AAAAAAAAAACGACCCGAGAAACGTGCAAGCTTCAATCTGAATGACTAAAAACCAAAACCAATGTACCTGGTTGTTATTCTAGATTCTATTCCTCACTTGGTTCCCGATCTACCGTGTTTGGGTGCACTCACATAATATCTTGAAATGGCACTGAAAGAGGCTGGAGTCCACTTCTTGAAACGCTTAAAACGACCAGATTCGAATAATTTACGCAAAATAACCGTTTTCCCGTTTCCAGGTTACGCTACTATGGCCCGTCAAGGTGGCTTTGCCGTCCTGCTAGAAACTTTGAGGTGTCGGCACCGGTGTATGCGATTTTTAAACTTTTTCAGTTGTAGAGATTCTAAGCGATTGTTTTATAGGCTGGTTGATGGCTATTTGGATCATTTTTGGCGTTTACTGTCGCTGTGTGAGATACTAGGATTTATGTTAGATAAAGCTGATTGTGTGGGTGCAAGAGACGTAGTAATATCCCAGGCTTATGGTGCCGTACACCAGTGAGGCTTTTACCGTGTCGCTCGCGAATTTTAAGGCTATTTTCGTATTTTGTCCTTTATGTCGAAAATTTTTGGCATTATCACTACTGGTAGAGAAACAATGGATTTCTTGAGCTTCGTCAGGAAAAGAGAGGCTGATTTATCGTAAGAGTACACTTTAATGTTGCAAAATGCGTTTTACTCAATATTTAAGATTAATCTTGCGTGAGTTTCGTTGCTGACATTGAAGTGATCGTAACAGCGTTGTAGGCCTCTAATTGCAGTGCGAAGCCCCCCCATTTTAGTATTGTTTATAGATCAGGAAAGATCAAAAATTCGATAACAGTTGAATCATGGCTGTTTTGAATGGATTAGACGCAGTTCTCTTTGAATCTCAATTTTTGTTTCTCTGTATGTCATATTTCTGTCAAATGTCAGTTTGAAATATAATAAAGAGAGATCTTGGCATTGGACAGGACTACAAGATGAGAAAGAGCAGATTGAGTACGGGTGCAATATCACGTAGAGACGATCAGTTCTTGCATCGTAGTTTAAGTGCCTCGCAAGGTCGGTTGAGACGACTTTTCGTGAAGCAACAGACCTAGAATGAGAAATGAAATGTGTCTGTCTGGTAATCTTGATTGATAATCCAATGGTAAGCCTTCAGAGTTAAAGTATGGTCCAAATTCTATTATTTAAATACTATCACATCTTCAATATTCTTACCCTTCAAGAGCACAGTAACCCCAGGCGTTTCTGAGCAAAGTTCTCGATTGTTTGTAAAAGGATCGTTGACTGTTTGGCTTTAGCTGAAAACGAACCGTAGCGTTTGTCTCACAACTGCTCACCCTGCATGTAATTCACTCTAAAGTAGCTTTTCTTGGACTTCACACACTCCACTTCCAAGCGTTGCACAACTCAACAAAACATATGAACATTTTATGAACACCATTACAGAGTGCCATCGGCCTCACAGGCTGCCAATGGCCTCACATACAGCAGTAACCACCGTCCACGATAATGTCGGTCCCCGTGGTGAAGGTGGACGCGTTCGAGGCCAGATACAAATAGGCCCCCACCAGTTCCTCAGGGAGACCCTCTCTGCCCATCGGAGTCAGTTCCAGCCACCTCTCCTTGGTCTTGTCGGGTGCAAATCCGCTGATAGGCGTGTTGATGTACCCTGGAGACACAGTGTTGACACGGGCGTAGCCGGCCCACTCCACGGCCAGCGACTTGGCCATGTGGATGACCCCGGCCTTCGTGGCGTTGTAGCAGGTCTGCAACTGCGGGACGTTGACGACGTGGCCAGACATCGACGCCGTGACGATGAGTGAGCCGTGGCCCTGTTTTTTGAACACGGACCCGATGAACTTGCTGCAGTAGTACACGCCTTGGAAGTTGGTCTGCAGGATCCTGTCCCACTCTGCAGAGGCCTCTCCACGTTCCTCTGCCTCTACAAGGGCACCCGTGGACCCTGCTATGCCGGCGTTGGCGACAAAGACGTCGATCTTGCCCCCAAAGTCCCGCAAAACGTGCTGGATGGTCTCCTGCACTTTTTTCTCGTCCGTGACAGGACACTTGTACGCGATGGCCTTGACGTTGTATTTTTCTGCCAGTTCTTTAGCCGTTTGGATCAATCGGTCGTGCGAGTTGTACCACACGGCGATATCTGCACCTGCCTGAGCGAACGCCACGGCCACGGCTCCTCCAATGCCAGACGACGCTCCTGAAATGCACGCTACCTTTCCCTTTAGCGAGAACATGTCCATGACATTCTTGGGCACTTGTGGTGCAGGACGGGGCACTTCCAGTCCTGTTGCAATAGTCTTGACCATGATGGAAGAGATAAATATGCTAGAATTACTGTATATACAGCGGGATGATAATCTTAACGACTTGATACCAGAGTGTAGCCAATATAGCCAATACCAATGTAGCGAATATTAGGGATCTTAATAATTCCAAATACTGTAGCTCAGAGTTCCTATTTTCTCCCATTTATATACTCAATACTTCGTCAAAATTCTTATAAACTTCGTCAAAGCAACCATTACCACCTTTTTCTTGAACGGCTCCGTTAGGCTGCCAGCAAGCTACAAATTCCGTTGTTTAACGTGTAGATGTCAGATATACTGGCTCAGAAAGTGGAGTTTTGAGATACGCAGAATAACCGGGGAAAAGACAGGAAATGACGTGGCCATAGACCGGGAATTAATATGGCTTAAACTATAAACGGAAAGACCCGCGAAATGCGACTAGATTGGCAGTTTGATTCAACAGTTGGCCATTTATCCCTTGTCACCTTATATTATGATGACGTCTCCGGAGTTGAAAAAAATTGATTGTGGGGGATTGCGAGTCGATATTTGTAGAAGAAAGTATAAATGTCAGAAGTTAGAATCTAGCAGTGAAGAGAGCCACGCTAGAGCGGGCAGAGAAGTGATTAAGAGACTTGGAATTTTAGCTCTCTTAACCACAGGGGTTTTCGGGCCAGGACGGCGGTGCTGGGAAGAAGTATGGGTAATATTTAGCAACAGTTCGTATTAAGTTACGAGTAGCGAGGTAGCCCATTTTAGGTGGATATAATCAAGAGACTATACATACAAGGTAGTTAATTTTTAATGTTTGATCGAAGGCCGGTCCAGTTATTCTCCCACTGTTCTGAGTGGAAAGTCAGCACTTTTTGATCACCGCTAGGAATGCCGTAGGTATCTGTGTGGTGCTAATACGGGTTAGTCTTTCGGGCCCTAAAACGATATGATTCTGGATTATGGTACCCATAATCTGGTATCTCTATACTTGGGCTTGGATTCGTGTAAAGGCTTACGAGTCCGGGCACGAGGCTACGAGTCCAAACAGTGCAAACGATGGCCCACGTTACCCACGTGACTTTTTGGGTTATGAAGTCACGGGGCATGACGTCAGGGAATTAACTCGAATTCACATGCTATACCTGTCATGTGACACAAACTATGTCACAATACACGTGAAAGTTTTATTTATCACGTGCTACAACGCATATCACATGCTTTCTCAAGTATCACGTGGACATTAGTCTTTCTTTTCCTCCTCAATTTTACTCACTTCTTATACACAGTAAATTGATGAATTTAGGCATCCTCCGGATATAAATCGTTGATCAACGTTTATCTTACCCATAGAAGACCACAACTTAGCACCAAAACCACTATTTCAAGCCTCAAATAAGGCTCCAAAACGTCTTAGCGTCTCAATTACTCTACACCACTGATTCCCAGCTTTTTTCGGGCTTCAAAAAGAGCGTTTTTTTTTTGGCTTCAATACCACCACTTCTCACCACACACACAGGTATCCTGCCACTCACCACTGATAGAAGTCCAGTTTTGTATATATTACCCATAAAATGATCTCCACAAGCGTCGGTGAGTCGATCCCGCCAAACACCAAACACGCTGTTTCGGTGTGTCTTCCCACTTGGGCAGCAACCGTGGGTTACGAAGAGGGCGATCCAGCCGTGGTAAAAAACATGACCACCGGGTATCCACGGTTTTTCATCCACAAATTGATCCAAAAACTGTGCAGCAACCTGGCGGCCAAGTTCGCCAAAGAGGACGAAACTTGTCTGGTTTTCCCCAGTTATCAGGTCGCGAAAAGATGTCGAGAATTCGTCAGAATCAAGGGCAATGGCACCGCTCGCGTTCGAATCCTACAGCTTGCTACTCCACCGCCGGCTACCGACGAAGAACGGTCTTGGCGTCGTGAATGTCGAATTTCGGTCGTTTTCGTCGCTAAAGACTCGTTCGGACTTCTAAAACAGTACTGGCAACACACAGGCGAGATCGTCAGCAGTCGGATGGCAGAATACGTTTTGCAAGAGCTTTCGCTGGTGGAAAAAAGAGAGCAGAGTCGCAAAACGCCCACCGACGACAAGACAGTGAGCAATGCCGAGATCAAGGACGAAGAAGATTTCATTGAAAAACGGTTTGGAAGAAATTTGGACCTTTCGTCAGCAGAGCGTGCCAAGCTTTTGATCAAACGCAGAATCGCTCGTAAAGTCGTCGACGTTGAGGGTGAGGACGGAGAAACTCCCCGCATGCACGAACTCAGCATCACAACTCCAAACGAGGCCAACGGCGGCCAATCTATGGTCACTTCCACGGACTCAAGTATACCTGCAGAAGAAATCCAGCAAGAAGAACATGCACCCGAGCCCGTGCCGTTGCAGGAGGGCATACATGTAAACGCAGAGCGCGACGTGTACCTTTTCCCCAGCGGCATGGCCTCTATTTTCACCGCTCACAGACTTTTACTGTCGCTAGACGCATGTCGCGTTCGTCGCAGACCTACGTCGCAAGGTGAACGTATTGATACTCCCGGGATTCACTCGCCCAACACTGGGGCGTTGGAAGTGGTCGGTTACGGCACACCTTACAAGAAAACTGTCATGTTTGGATTTCCTTACACCGACACACTCTCGATTCTGAGAAAATTCAACCATACCCACTTTTTGGGAGACGGCGACGGCAACTCCATGCAGCAGTTGAAAGAGATCTTGCATTCTGGAGAGCAGATTCTTGCGGTCTTCATGGAGGCACCCTCAAACCCGCTACTGAAGATGGGTGATCTTATTGAGCTACGAGAGCTAGCGGACGCCTATGGGTTCTACATTGTGGTAGACGAAACCGCAGGGGGGTTTGTAAATATCGACGTGCTACCCCATGCGGATATCGTGTGTTCTTCACTAACCAAAATCTTTAGTGGGGATTCCAATGTCATGGCCGGTTCTCTGGTTTTGAATCCACGTTCGCCGCTATATGGATTTGCACAACAGTTTTTCCAGAACGGTGACTACGAGGACCTACTTTGGTGCGAAGACGTGATATATCTCGAGCGTAACTCTCGTGATTTCGTTTCAAGAACACTGACAGTGAACAGTAACACCAAACAACTATTAGACGACGTTTTGATTCCTCAGGAGGGCAAATTGTTTAAAAAGATATTCTACCCGAGCTTGACCTCAGACGACACTACCAAGAACTACGACACTGTGAGATGCGCCAAAGGTGGCTACGGGGGCCTGTTTTCGCTCACATTTTTCTCGGAAACCCAGGCACAAGTCTTCTTCGATTCCTTACAACTGTGCAAGGGTCCATCTCTGGGGACCAATTTCACGCTGGCGTGTCCGTACGCGGTTCTGGCCCACTACGGTGAGCTGGAAGAAGTGGCCAAGTACGGCGTGGAGCGGAACTTGGTTCGTGTCAGTGTGGGTCTCGAGAGTCCACAGGCGTTGAAAGAGACCTTCAGATTTGCAGTGGCCGAAGCTGAAAAAAGGGCCACCACCTCGAGCAAAGAGCTCCCTTGATGATGCGATGCGAAACCAAATAAAAACCCTCCACTTATTTTCTCAAATCGATGTGTGTATTGATTGTCTTGTACGTGCTTGAATATATATACAATCTGTCGTTAAAAGGATGATATTATAGATGAGGGAAGAGTGAAGCTGGAAAAACAGGCTATCTCCCCCGCTCTACTTCAATTCCACAGGCTTCTCGCCTCTAGCGAAACGTGGGTTTCTGGGGTCGTTGATGAACTCAGAAGTCTGAGCAGACGCACTGGCAGCTTTACCAACTCCCCAGTACACGATCACACCCCCCACGAAAAAGGGCCAGTAAGGCTTTAAAATAGGTGTCGAAAATCTCTTGAACATTACTATAGGGAAGCAATAATACAATTGACCGTCAATATCACTGACAATAAACAAGTGCCAAAGGTATGGATGCTTGGTTTACGAGGTCGTGAATGGTTTAGTTGTTTTACCAGTTGAATTTCAAAAATTTTAGTATTGGCGAAATCGCCAATAGTAGAGATTTTGGCGAGTTGATTGGGTCGTGAGAAGTGATTACAGAGTGACAGCGAATGAAATCCAGCAGAAATGAGAGCTGGTGACGGTAGATGAGAGAGCTGATGGAGTAGGAGCGTAGTGGGGTGTTGTGCTGTGTATCAAACAGGACTTCTTCGCTTGTATTTCTGTATTATGAACTTTGAGAAATTATGCAAAGGTCACGTGATCAGCGACCCAGTAAACGTATTGAAATCGGGGTACGTAGAGCAGTCTCATGGTACAATAGTGTTTGAGTATGGATTGTGAAGGTTCTGTGCACTCCGCAGGGGCAAGGCTTCATTGATTGAATGCCCGGTTTGAGGAATCTTCATTAATTGGTAATTTATGCCCAGATCACTTTGTACTTATATGTCATTTGACCAAGTCGTCAACACATTTTAACTACACAGCCCTCGCAAACCTGGATGTGGGATGCGGAGGTTTTGATGAGTGCGCTTTGCTTGGATTTCGACCGTATCTGATCATGTTGCGTTGTTTTTTTGTTCAAGTCCCGTCGCTCTGCGATTAGAATGGCATGTGCAACTGTGCACTGGACCTCTCGTGATTCCTTACACTTGTTATTGCTGCCACGTTGAAATTGCAAAGCGTGGTACTGCTTGGTGATGTTTTTAAAGCGCCAAAGCATCCCTTTTCCAAGTTTTCGAATGACAGAAGCGAAAAATGTGGCAACCTTGATCACCGCTTTTAACTTCTCTCGTCAGCACAGCAGTCTTGCACAAGTGACTTTTAAACTCACACATATCCAATGCCTAAAAAATTCGGATACCACTCCTCTGAGCGAATCCCCCACCCAACGCTGTGCCAGATGAAAATTTCACAGACCGCTTTAACCACTTCAAAATCCCACTCTCTTGAAAACCAACTCGTCTCACCCCTCCAACGCACTCTCTCTTTGAGAACTACGTTGAAACTCACCTCCGTGTCTCGAAAATGGCCTTTTATTTCTCGTAGAACAACAAAAATCGAGATACTGAGTATCTTCGACAAATATCCCCCCCCTCCCCTTCTAACAGTCACCAAGATAAAAAAGACCCATCAGATTCGTCGATCTCACTTACATCTGGGTCACGAATTATCCAATACAAGCTCTTCGCCTCGTCTTTCCACTGCCAATATCGGCGTCACGAAATTAATTTCAAAATTCGTTGCGTCCCGTAGTTCAAAACAAAAGCACTCACCAAGAACTCATCAAATTCACTCGCCATGCCCATAATTATCGTCTGAATCGTGCCCTGCTCAACGTTGTTTATCCATTCTTCAACAATGCCCACTTTCGTCTAAGCTGACAGACAGACAATAATGAGCATCTCTTCGAGAACCCTACATCAAAGCCTGTCAATCTTACCAGATCAAGACCCAATTATGAACAATTACCGGCTCAGTAACGATCAAACCACGTTGCAGCACCTTGAGAACGCTTCCAATGCATTTTCAGAGTATTTGACTGCGTATATTGAGACCTTGAACAAGTATATCGGACATCAACGTCGAGTCTCCACGCTGCGATTCGAAAGAGCCACTCTGATCAAGCATGTGAAGAAACTGAGGTTCTTCAACGAGCAATTGGCCACGGGTGACTTGTGGCAAGATAACAGATACCGGAACGGAAATTTGGGCTTTGTCGTTTCCTCGTTGGCCTCGTTTTTCATCAGATGTCTCGAGGTCGTGGATCTCTTGAACTACTACCTAACACAGGCGTTGAAAAACGAGACCATTTCCAAGACCTTGAACAACGACCTGGTGGTTAGTGACTTGTGCATAGCGGTCATCGAAAATTCGTATCGCCATTATGTGAAATACACCCAGTGGATGCTCGAGGCGATAAATTTGCACGATCCCACGTTGACCATCGAAGTGTTGCAGTTTGCCCGGAAATGTGCTAAGGAAGACGGCTTGAACGTCGAAGAAACGGACGATATCTTGCTACAAGAAGTCGACATCGTGGGCGATATCCACGAATATCGTTATCTGCTGGACGAATGGTGCATGGTGCTCTCCGTTCAACGACAGGAGCTCACGCGGGTTTTTGAGCTCGAAACGGAGCGTTGGAGCCAAGTCTTCGAGCCCAAGAAGTAATTGCTGCGGAACAGAGATGTAAATAGAACAAAAAAATGACATTTTGAGCAACCCCATCCTCACATACAGGGTGTTTCTCATCTTGTAACTTAGCATCCCGTAGCATAAACAGCCTTTACTCGAAGATCATGGATTGATAGAAGAGGCATCTTCACGATGGCTGGCATTTGCTGCCGAAGACGTTGTAACCGACAATTCTGCACCCGTATCAGCGCTTTCTGCTGCGTTCTGAGAGCTAGCCGAGCTCTCATTTGGCGCTTGATCTGGTTGTTCTAATTGTCGCTGTTCGAACAACTGGAGTCTTCTGGGACGCGCAACTTGCCCCAATTGCAAGCTGTAGTCCTCTGGTCTATCCATTTTTTTGGCCAAATAGATATACAATTGATTCAATGTCATTCGCGTCGCTACACCGTGGAACATATTGTTTCCCAAACGCATGTTCTCTATAACACGGATAGCTTTCTTAAGACTCATATCAGCAGGAAGGTTGTACTTCTCTGGATGGTCACGAACATCGATAATTCGATGAATGATTTGCATTCTCTTGGCAAAAAAGGATCGCTCAGAACCCTTGGACCGCCAGCTTGGTCCAAATCGTCGTTCTAGGGCCACCACAGACGGCTGTCCGTGTAAACCTTCAAAATATTCCCTTGCCAAATCCTGTACAGTTTTAAGGAGCCGGTTTAGACGATAGTTTGCTGCCCGATCGTGTATGCTTGCATCGTCGTTAGCAGAGTCATTGTTATCATTGTCACCATTGCCACCATTGCCATCGTTGCTTCGTGATGACGCAGTGGGTGCATTGGGTGCCGTAAAATCGGGGTGATTGAGTCGCTGCCATGATTCGCTATTCTCCTGTTTTATAACCTGGTTGGGACGATTGGAAGCTGTTCCATCGCGCCTGACAGAAGCCTGCTGCATGCGATGGAGGGTTTCGTAATTTGAGGCCAGCAATTGCGACTCTCCGGTGCTGGCAGCCTCCTGTTCCGTGACGTTCTCGTCAGAGTGGTCCAAAAACCGTACTCTCTCGCCACTCATAATGCCAACAATATCTTTAAACACCTCTTTCAAACAGCTTACCTCTTCAACGCCTTGTTTAGAGCTTCGCAGACCTCGTTCGAATTTCTTGCATATATCGAAATAGAATTCTTGTTGGCCCTCTTCCAGTTGCTGAACCCGCTGTTTGAGCGTATCGTTCTGGTCCTGTATCTTAGCCAGCTGTTCAAAAATCAGATTTTGGAAAGCTGCAGTATTCAGTTCTGGAAGCAAACGCGATGTGGAAGGCTCATCATTGGAATTAGAAGCTACGGGCTCATCGGGGTTGCTGCCCGTTTCATTAGGAGCCCGAGAGCTACTATCCAGCGTCATAGCCTACGCCGTGACAAATTCCAAGCAAACAGGGTTTCTTTAGCTCAGCTGTAGCGTTCAATCTTCGTTTGTCAAGTTCATGTTTAAGTTTCTACAAGATGATGAGTTTAAGTAAATCATGGTAAAGTGTAATATTTAGCACTATTCAACGAAAGCAGGTCAGGAATGATGACAATGATGCTATAGCGGTCGCTCTACTCTTCTCAACTCTAGTCAAGCCTTTATATAGAGCATTAAATGAAGAAGAATCAAGTTTTCGGCCTGTGATTTGATCAATGACGCACTTTTGGCGATATTGTTGTAATTCATGTTGAGCCGCTGACATCGCCGTCACACAACGCATTTTTGGCGCAGTTTGTTGAGATTAATTGTCCAGAAATCTTAGGAAGCACGAATTATGCGGTTTTTGGATCACAGACCCATTTTCTAGAGCAGGCAAAATTCTGTATGGCCGTCTAGCCTCTCGCGGATAATCAATCCTCTTGATGACAAAGTGCTTTGTCAATGTACTTTTGATGTTTGCCAGACTGGAAGCGGTTTCACTCACTGGAAAAGCAAGGCTGCTGCAATTTCAGCGTTTCCATTTGCTTGATGCAATGCCTGTAGAACTTCTGCTCTTGAAAATCCAAGGTCCATCAGCTGCTTGACAGAAGATTCTGGGTACTGTCTCTGCGGAGCTGCCGCAGCCGCAGGAGCAGAGTTAACTTTTGGAGGAGCGGCAGCACTTCCAGAACCCTGGACAGGCGTCTGCACGCTTGTTTCTCCTGCAGCGGTGGCACTCAACGTTTTGGCATCGAAATCTTTGGGCAGCTCCGCTTCGCTCAAAAACCTGGTCTCTGCGCCCGCAATCCGCAGTACGTTGTCCTTCAGGTCGATGCAGGATTGGTGTCTCTTCAACATATCGAGCCCAAGTAGCATGTCCACATGCGTATCGATGACAGTGAAGCTGCAAGGAATGAACTGGGTTTCAATCTTCACTTGTGCAACGTGAATCTTGCCCAGAATCTTCTGAACGCCCACGCCGTGTGCTTCACCATGGAAGCGCTTGTCAATCAGCCTAAAAAGCCCCGTCTTCTGCGCCAGTCTTGTTGAAATAATGGTAGTTTGAGCCCCGGAGTCCACGAACGCCTTCACGGGCGTGCCGTTGATTTCGAGATTGATGTATAGCATGTGTACCGGTGTGAACACCTCCGGGGTGAATTCCAGCGCATTACGCATCTGTTCGTCTATTTCCTGCTGGCTGATGAGCTCGTTAATGCGTTCCTGGTTAGCAGGATAGTCTGGGTTTTGCATCAACTGATTGTATTCCTGCTGCGGAATGCCGAATGGATTCTGCGGAGATCCCTGTGGGTTTAGGCTCTGCAGGATGTTAGGTCCTGCTCTTTCGCGAAAGGCTACGGGATCGTCCACTATACTGGCAAATTCAGGGTTTGTGCTTGCCAGTTGTGAACGAACCACTGGGTTTTGGGCTACCTGTTGTCTAAAGTGCTCTATCATAGCGTATTGTGCAGAGTTTTCGCCGCCTGAAACGAGGCCAGAGGCCCTTTTCTTGGTCTTGATGGCTACGAGTTCATCGTTGACCAAACCCGTTTGTTCCAAGCTGTTGGAACCCTTTGGATCAAGGACACGGTTGGCAAACCAGATTTCGTGAATCTCGCTGTCAAATCCGCAGTCTAGTTGTAGTAAAGCAGTGAGGTCCTTCAGCTCCATGTCTGCACTGACGTCTAGCGTCAAGAAATCGTCTGTAACCTCGTTATTTATGGTGATTCTCATGTTATCCAAATGAGATGGCGAGAAATGGTTATAAGTTGTTGGAAGCGGGTCAAGAAGGCGACTTAACTGTGATCAATTCTTGATGATGGTTTGAATTGAAGAATAATCGTCAATTTAGAAGTGTTGATAGAAATTAAACGATTCGATGATGAACAGGAAAGTGGCAAAAGTTGGTGTTTAAAAAGGGTTGAAGATATACGTTTCTAAAATGTCAACTTTCTTGTAAAGTATGTAGTAGTGGTGGCTAAAGGTATAAAATAGTAAGTTGAGCTCTTGAATGATTGTGCGTGGTTTTCGAACAGGCAAGAAGGCCTTTCCAGATGCTGTGTGTGGGTACTACTGGGACACGCTTCATTGAGTTATTGCGTGAATGAAATTGTATGAGACAGGTATTCTTGGTCGCAGTGGGAATAAGCATGTGTGAAGACGTTCAGGTGTAAAACTCCACAACACGGTCGTCCGGCGCGTCTCATCCTCGGTTTCATGTAGATATCGTTTCCTCCTTCATATCTCATCTCCCGCCATCATCGTTAAGTTCACGCCCCAACACCTCAAACTGGTCCCGCAGCTTGTCGTTGTCTTGACCCGTGGCCTTTTTATTCACATTTATGGGCAACAGTCGGGTCCCCACGCTGTCGTCGAGATGCTTGATTTCATGTCGCAGTGCGACGGTAGCCTGCTCCAGACTACTGTAAAAACTGCGCGTGTGGTTTTCAAACTGCGGTTTCATGTTATCGTTGCCTCTTTTCAGCTCTTCCATTGTCCCCACTGCTTGCGATGCGTGTAATAGCGTCGACAGAAGAAGATCATCGATCGAGTCTAAACTCTTGAGTCGTTCCTGGATGAACTCAGGTTGTGGCATGATTTAAGTGAAGTTTGATTAGGCTGGATCCAAGACTCTCTAGTGTGCTGACAACGGTCCAATGAGCCTGTATCTGAGTATCTTTTGACTTAAGTTTTGTTAACTTAGATTTAGATTTAAATACCATATGAAATAAAGTTCATTACTTGAACATCTACTGATCGACCAGTATAAAAACCACAACAGGAACCGCCATGGCCATTGAGCTTGGACTCTCGAGAATATGCAATTTACTATCACATTTGGGCAATCCACAGAACTCTTTTAAGGTCCTTCACGTTGCTGGGACCAACGGCAAAGGATCAGTGTGCTCATTGTTGCAATCAGTGCTTCAAACCAATAAGAAATACCAGGTTGGCAAGTTCACATCACCACATTTGGTCCACATTACGGATTGCATTAGCGTCAATGGGAAATCCATTCCATTGCAGGATTTCCAAGGTATCAAAAATCGACTCCAGGAGACGAATAAAGTGCACGAATTTGGATGCACAGAGTTTGAGCTTCTGACATGCACGGCTTTCGAGTATTTCCAACGAATGCAGTGCAATTGGTGCGTTTTAGAAGTCGGGCTCGGGGGCCGTTTGGACGCCACAAACTGTTCGCCTGGTGCGAACAAAATCTGCGGAATCACCAAGATCGGGATGGACCACCAGGGCTTTCTCGGAGACACCTTGGCCCAAATCGGTACCGAAAAGGCTGGCATGATTGTTTCTGGCGTGTCATTTGTGGCCGTGGACGGTTCTAACGAACCAGAGGTTTTGGATGTGGTCAAAAAACGGGCTGCTATGGTCAATGCAGTAGCATCCAACACCTCTAGCATTATCTCTGGAAATATTATAAAAAGCAGGTCGTGGGGCAACATAGACCGCGCAATTGTTCCACTCAATGGCAGCTACCAGGTTTCTAACGTGGCCGTTGCAGTCTCGATGCTGGACTATCTTCAAAGCGAAGGACAAATTTCGATCTCATCGCAGCAGATCCACGACGGTTTGAAGAACGTGCGTTGGCCAGGACGACTACAGAATGTAAGTTACTACAAAAAAAGGGCCCATAAGGCCTTGAATTTGTTGATAGACGGAGCGCATAATGGCGACGCTGCCGCGGCTCTCGCAGCGTACCTTGCAGAGACGTTTCGTCCGCAAGGAACAGAACCTATTACTTTTGTTATCGCCGTGACGCAGGGCAAAGCTGTGGACTACCTGTTGGCTCCTTTGATCAAGCAACAGGACACTGTAATTGTCACCCGGTTTGGAAGCGTGGAGGGCATGCCATGGATTTCACCAATGGAATTGTCCGATCTGGAGTCCAAAGCTGCCAGATACACCGACAAAGTCTCAGCACGGCCAAGCATTCAAGCTGTACTTGACGAGATCCCACATGACCATCCCGATCCCGTAGTGGTGTGTGGCTCCCTGTATTTGTGCGGGGAGCTGCTTCGAGATGAGAATGTTGCATGGTGAGTTTGTCGCTGGGGGTGTATGTGTGTATGTCGTTTTCGTGAGAAAAGGTCGTCGCATGCCACAGCTAGTGTTTGACACGTTTCTTGGAGCAGAGCATTTGGGTTATATCGTTGTTGCGTCTTTTGGTGCCTGGTTTACTTTTGATCTCTTTTTCGGCTTCAGGTTTAGTTAGCTGCTCTTTGAGTCCCTTCTCAAGTTCCTGCCCGGATTCACGAACGACAGGTTTGCTCTCCTCCTCGGCCTCTTCAGTTTTGACATTAGGTTTTTGCTCATCGCGCGGCAAGTCCGGACTCTCTTCAGACTTGGCTAAGGATGTGGTGGTTTTCGCCTCTTTTTTGAACATTTCGCGAATCGGAGCCTTGGCTGGAGCAACGAGGTACTTCCCGTTGTTTGACACCTTCCCCACATCGGAGCTCACCTGCCACCATTCCAGTTCATTCTCGTTGCACTGCGCTTGCAGAACAGCTTGCAGTTCGGACTCCGTCCACTGCGTTTTGGAGTCTTCCAGCCACGCCTTCCACTGCTTCGACCCCCAATTTAAAACCACTGGCATACGCGTGTGCAGCCATTCCATGTTACTTGGAGCCGGAGCAGTTATGATCGTGAAAGTGTACAGATTATGAGACTCGACGTGATCGTACATGCCTGCCAGAAACATAAGTTCGCGGTCTTTTCGGGTTACGTAGTAGGGAATCTTCTTTTTCCCCTTCGTAAGCCATTCAAAATAGCCACTGACGGGCACAACGCATCTTTTGTAGTTACAAGGCGTGGTCCACATTTTACTGCTTGCGATGTTCTCGCATCGAGCATTGAAGGTTTTGTAGGGTTGCGATTTGGAAACTTCTGAGACCCAGTGTGGGATAAGCCCCCATTTCATGTCCCGAACCTTCTTGTGGTGCGTGTAAACTGGTGCAGTGTTAGTTGGTGCAACATTAAAGGAAGGCTGGACTTGCGAGGTATCTGGCTGTCTTGCGTTTTCGAAATCAAAGCCCAGCTCTGTGAACCGTTGATCCAGCTCGCCAGCCGTGCAATCCAACGCATATCTTCCACACATTTCGAACGTCAGAACTCTGCTTAACTCAAGTTTGACTGGAGTACGAGCACTTGCTTGTTTAATGATTTCTAAAAACCCTCTGACCAACACAAGTATGGCAAGAAAGAGACCAAAAAACTTCCTTAAACTTCAGTAAACGGCGGTGTTGAAGTATGGATCCCAATTCGACTAAATAAACGCAGTTTAGACCCTGTATTTGTCAAGATAAAGGCGATATTGATGAAGTTCAAGTAATATTATGATAATGAGGTAAATTATTGTTAGTTGTATAACTGATATTCATCCCAGCACCGTGAACATCGACGAGATCGTATTCACACAGGAGGTTTCTCACTATTCTATGTCAAATGTGCTCCTTTAGAAATTCAACTGCGTGCACCGTACCATGAAGGAAAGTGTTGGACGATGTGTTTCAACAACTGTCTTAATCTTGTCGTCAATATCTTATAAAGTGCTAGCAATTGCTTTACTAATGCTCAAGAAGATCGAAGAGTAGCTATCGATTCTCCATTAAGCCTTTAATTTTTGAAAAAAATAAAGATATCTTTTGAAGAACCCTCAGCGTGCCCGTTCTGCTCTTGTAAGTGTTCTGTTCTCTTTCTGTCTTTACAATGTCGTTCTTATGCTAATTTAATGTCAATGGTGAATTCAAATCTGCCAAAAACTTAATCTTAAAAGTTGTCAGAACCTGCCAAAAAACAGCTCAAAAGAGACTCCTAGATGCTTGGTGTAAAACTAGCTGTGAGGAATGGATTGCGGAGAGCTTCGTGGCTTTCTTTGCACACCAGAACACCTTTGGTTCGCCGTGTAACCACGGCTTCTTACGGTTCATCAATCAAGCCAAGAAAAGACCTTTGGCAGAAATGGATCTACGGTTTGGGAGTGTTTGGAGCACTTTCGGTGGGAGTTTACTACTATTACTGGCCTAGAAACACATTTCCTCCTACTGTGGCCAAAATCCTAAGAAAAGCGCTGTGGGAGGAAAGTGACAGGAAAGACCACGACTACCAAGCTGCACTCAAATATTACTTGGAGGCTCTGCAGGAGTGCAATAAGCTCGAAATGGATCCTGTTAGTGATGAGTACACCGGGATCGAGCTCAAAGTGGCCGAAATGTACGAAAGACTCGATATGAGCGACCACGCCCATGAGCTGTACTTGGAGATGCTGTACCGCTATTTCGACGCGCTGCATAGCCCAGGACGCATTGCGGACAACATACGGCCCCATTTAATCCAGAAAGACCTCAGAATCCTGATTAAGTCGCTGGAAATGAATAAGGACGTCCAAATAGGCAAGAGAAATCTGCTGGCACATTTGCTGCTCGCGCAAGAGGGAGTGCTCAGCCGGTCGCCAGAGCTTAAGAAATATTTCGAGGAGCGTAAAGAACGCACTGCGAAACTGTTCAAGGGCGAGTCCGTTGTGCAATCGCTCGATTTCGACCGTATTGTCAACGAAGACAACATCAAGCTGAATGAAGAGTCCTACATGATCGTGGACATGGCCAAGAACAGCAGCGCATGGGAACCTTTCAAAGAGGAGTTTTTCACTGCCAGGGATCTATACACGGCGTATTGTTTGTCCACCAAAGACATCTCGTCCGCACTGAGCTGCAAGCTCACCACCGTGGAATGGATGGTCATGGCTGATATGCCACCTGGCCAAATTCTGCTGTCGCAGGCTAATTTGGGATCCCTTCTATACTTGCAGGCCGAGAACTTCGAGACCAAGATCCACCAGCTGACCCAGCAGCGCGAGCAAGTCGCCGCGAAGTCTGGCGACGAGACCGTTATAAGAGCCCTGCGCCAGCTGCATAAGAACAGAGACTCATGTTTTGAGATGGCAACCCAATGCTACGACAGTATCGTCAAATTTTCCAAAAAAAACAAGAAACTGAGATTCAATGCCAAAGACCTGATGGATCCCTCAGCTGCACACGCAATTGCCCTCTCCATTTACGGAACTGGTGTCATCAGTCTACACAGACGAAACTTGGCCAAAGCTGAGAGACTTTTGAACGAGTCTATTGCACTAGCTGAAGAGACCAACTTTCAAGAACTCCTCACAGAGGCACATCAAGAACTGCGCAAAGTCGCACTTGCAAAGGCAGCGAGCACTCCAAAGTCAACAGAAGAAGTACAGGCCAGTTAAGGCTCTTTATTTACTGTTAGCTCGACTGGACGTCAGTATTTGAAAAAGTGACACTATTCATACCTAGTATAATGAATTTCATATAGCTTAAATATACTCTGTATCATAGAAAACTACTGAACAATGCTCATCACCAGCTCGTCGCTAAGCTTGATCCCACTACACCCTATCCAACAATGATATTACGACAAGCCAGCGTATCGAAAGCCAATTGTAGTGCTTTTGTAGGGAGTTTCCGACTGCTAACGACAGTTCCCTGCGTGAAACTTAAACATGATTTAAGAAAGGTATTCGATAACCAGCGATACTGGGAAGAAATCAACGAGGAGGTATACCGTGCTGCCCATAGTACGAGCAATAGCGTTTTTGGTAGGTTTAAAAATGACCCTAACCCGTTGAAAACGGGTCTTTTCCAAAATCCGTTTCTTACCTCGGGTCAAGGTCTTCGAAAGTTTAGTGTCAAAACTCTCGAGGAAGCACAAATATTGGTGGACACTATGCGTTCTGACTATTCTATCAAAGGACGTTTGAGCTATATCCAAAGACTCGACAGACTCAGCGATCTACTATGCCGTGTCATAGACCTGTGTGAGTTTGTGCGCGCGTCACATCCAGATCCGCAGTTCGTCCAAGCAGCTCAGCTCTGCCACGAGGAGATGTTTGAGTTCATGAACGTTTTGAATACAGACACGTCGCTTTGCGAAATACTGAAATCTGTACTTGCAGACAAATCTCTCACCAAGCAGCTCAGCACCGAGGAAATACGAGTGGGTAAAATCCTCTTGGAAGACTTTGAAAAGTCGGGCATCGATATGGAAGCCGGTGTCGGCGAGCAGTTCATCAGCTTGTCGCAGCAAATCAGTTTGGTGGGACAAGAATTCATAAACAACACGGATTACGCGAAAACACAGAGCGTGCGCGTTCCTTGTAAGGATCTTGAAAACAGCGGTATCAGCAGTATTCTGCTCGCTCAGCTCTTGCGTGATGCTAGGGGATTGAATTACAAAGTGCCAACTCATGGCTACATCGCCTTCTCCATTCTCAGAAGTTGTCCCGACGAAAACATCAGAATGAAACTGTGGACTGCGATGCATAGTTGTCCCGACCAACAAATAATAAGACTGAAACAACTGGCAAAACTTCGAGGATACTTGGCGTTCATTATGGGCAAAGAAAGCTATGCAGAATATCAGCTGGATGGCAAAATGGCGAAATCGCCAACCTACGTCAAAGGCTTTGTGCAGTCCCTAGTAGATACGACCAAACCACTCGCCGTTCAGGAGCTGAAAACTCTTGCAAATCTCAAAAGTGAACATCTTGGTCTCAAAAAACCGGAGACAGACGCCGAGATTTTGGTTTCGGTGCGCCCTTGGGACCGAGAATATTACAGCACGCTAAATGCTCTCCAACAGCAGCGGAAGAGCTTGGAAAATGAACAGATCAATTCTTACTTTTCTCTCGGCACTGTCATGCAGGGCCTTTCCAATTTATTTCAGAGCATTTACGGCATACGACTAGAACCCGTTGTTGCTAGTCCTGGCGAAACATGGTCTCCAGAAGTTCGGCGCATCAACGTAGTCAGCGACACTGAGGGCACCATAGGAGTTGTTTACTGCGATCTTTTCGAGCGGCGGGGCAAAACCACCAATCCCGCGCATTTCACGGTGTGTTGCTCACGTCAAATTTACCCTGGAGAGACAGACTTGTCCACAATCCAAGTTGGGCAGCTTAGGTCAACGGGTGAGAAATTTCAACTTCCTGTTATCTCGCTCGTCTGCAGCTTCGCACAGGAAACAGGTCCCGAGCAAAGTGCGTATCTGTTGCAGCTGAACGACGTGGAAACTTTGTTTCACGAAATGGGACATGCCATGCATTCGATGCTAGGAAGGACTTCGCTGCAAAACATCAGCGGAACTCGCTGCGCGACAGATTTCGTCGAGCTTCCGAGCATTTTGATGGAACACTTTGCGCGGGACCTGCGGGTATTGGCCAGCATTGGCAGACACCACGTCAGCAACAAGCCTGTGCCGCTTGAACTGCTGAAACTAAGTCAAAATGAACACACGTACCTCCAACACACAGAGACGTTTTCTCAAGCCAAGATGGCAATGCTGGACCAGGAAATGCACTCCTCAGTGATGTTGACGGACAAACCTGTCGATGTCGTTGACATGTATCACGAACTAGAGAAAAAGCTTGGGGTTTTAAGTGACGATAAAAGTAATTGGTGTGGACGATTTGGACACTTGTTCGGCTATGGCGCCACCTATTACAGCTACTTGTTTGATAGGGCAATTGCCAGTAAGATCTGGAGTCATTTGTTTGCCCGGGATCCATTTAGTCGAGAAAACGGTGATAAATTCAAGAACAGCGTTCTTAAGTGGGGCGGATCGAGAGATCCTTGGGAGTGTATCGCTGACGCATTGGACAACAATGAGCTACGCAATGGCGACGAGAAAGCTATGCGGTTCATCGGGCATACCGAGGATATCTAATGCCGGTTCCAACCAAGAACGAAGCACTCATTCGCAATTCTGCAAATTAGGATTTACAACCCAGTGCATGCATATTTCAAATTAGCATCTTGTAAATAAAAAGCATACTCATTATGAATAACCATAATGATAAATAGTAGCCAACTGTCAAGCTTCGCACCATTGCAGTACTGATTGACGCCTGGACAGTGTCATTCTATTCGACTCGTAGTGTCACTGGAGGACGTTGATCATTTCAGCACATGGGCTTAAACCGCTTATATATATGCAAAAAAAAGGAGTTCACATCAAGAGCCTTGTTGGCGCAATCGGTAGCGCGTATGACTCTTAATCATAAGGTTAGGGGTTCGAGCCCCCTACAGGGCTTTTGTTTTCAATTTATTTTTTATAGCTCATCATTACACCAAATAACACTTACTATAAACGCTACTCAGGATATAAGCGCAGGACACTCCAGTACAACAACTGAGATTCTTTAGAGTAGTTGTAGCAGCGCTATATCTTGGAAGCCCACCAGGAAATTATGGGGAGCGAGGCCACTACTTTTATTTTAGATGTCTCCCCATCTATGGTTAAACTTGGGTGTGCTGAACAAGCTTTGGCTTACATTGAATATGTTCTGTTTCTCAAGGCAAAGAAACAACGAAAGACTGATTGGGTGAATTGCTTCCTTGCAAACTGTTCAATGACTCGTAATGATCACGAAACGGATAACGTTTTTGAACTCTTGCCATTCACAGCGCCTATTTCCGCTCAGAGGATCATCGAGGCACTACGAGAGCTACAACGGATAATTGACGAACAACGAAACGACCAGAAGACCATAAACTCAATGGTTCAGAGTCTGTTGATCTCTTCGGTCAGCATGCGTGATGAATTCAATAAACGCAAACTGAGAAAGCAGATCATGATATTCACCAACGATCTTGATGGGTTGGACTTGACAGAACAAGAGCTCGAAACTCTGAAAGAAGAATTCGACTGCCGAATCATCCTGGTAACTTGTGGCTCGAAGAAGAAAGAAGAGGAAGAGGAGGGGGATTTTAAGCAGGAAAAATCGATATGGGAGAAATGTGTGGATATAATACCGGGATCAATACAAGTTTCGGTGACAGAGCTTTTGCAGGAAATTACTACGCCAAGTCCGGCCACCGTGAAGCCTGTTCGTACATTCCAAGGAGAACTAAGATTGGGGGCCGCCATTGTGAAGACAGAAAATTCGGATGATAGCTACAATTCCATTTCCATCAAGGTTGAAGGGTATCCTGCCACCAAAGCAGTCGCGAATCTCAATCGACGCGTTGTTGCAAGGGGAGATGGAGACACTTACGAGCCAGTGAAGGCAATAATAGAATACGAGGCCTTTGACCGCGACGAGAACCATAGCGACGAAAGTGATGAGGAAGAGGACCGCCATGGCGACAGTATTGACGGCAAGAAGAACAGGAAACTCCGCACGGTATCAATAGCGCGCGAGTCAGTGACAAAAGCATACAGGTACGGCTCAGATTACGTGGTTTTGCCTCAGACTATCGAATCGGAACGTATTTATCGCACAAGTCCGAGTCTCGATATTCGCGGTTTTGCTAGCCGTGGCGACATTCCTAAACATTATCTGAATTCGGAATCCATGTTCATCGTACCTGCTGCTAAAGAAGGCACGCGTGCAGACTGTTTTGCCTTGACAGCCCTAGTGGACTCCATGATCCAGCAAAACAAATTGGCAATTGCTCGATTTGTGCAAAGATTCGACAGCGAGGTTCAAATGTGTGTGCTTTGCCCACTCCTAGTCCCAAAGAAGCGGAAACAACAGGGGCGCGACACAGACTCAAATTATCGAGCCCTTGTGCTGAGTCGACTGCCGTTTGCCGAGGACGAGCGTGTGTCAGATTATCCAAGACTGACAACCAATGCCAGGGACGCTAAATCGACCCAAAATTCGGAAATCGACTCACTGATGGACAAATTTGTCGAGACACGCAGTCTGGGTGACGGCGTAGGTGGATCCTGGTGCTCCACTCCGCTGTACGAGCCCGTTGACGCCGTTGTAACGTCTGCCTGTTCTTTACCACTGCCCTCTACTAACGCACGGTCACGTGACACTGACATATGTGCGGCTCCCGCCATGGGCATTCATCGTCAGCAGCAGATATTGATCGAGTACATGCACCAACGGATCGTGCGTGGCTCAGATAGCTTTGATGTCCCGGAACTGCCCTCTGTGTACCACGATCTGCTAAATCCCCATTTCGAAAATTCCAAGCTGCCCACTCAAAAGTTGCAAGAACGTTTAAACATAAAGCTGAATCCAGCAGGGCCATCCAGAGTGACGCCGTGTGATGAGCAGCAAGACGAAGACGATGAATACTACGACATCCCATCTCTGGAGAGTCTTTTGGCGAGAGGTAGATCGTAGATGATGATAGCAAATGAGTCACGCGATATACGCATCATGTGAATGTCACGCGAAAAGCACATGACCTAGATCCTCAAATTCCCAGATCAAATTTCCCATTTACCGATGAGACAAAGGAACTTGACAAAATTTAAAAAGATGGAATCCCAAGTATAAAAGGGATCACTTTCCAATTACATCCCCAGGAAGCGCAAGCTCAGAGTTCTGTCTTTTAAAGGGAGGTCTTTCTGTTTTTACCAATAGCGACAGCTTTTAACTGGTATTTCTTAGATCCAGTCCGGAATCGCATCTAGAGGAATTGAAACTTGTTCGCTCGTCGAAAACCTCGTTAAATTTGGGCTTTGTGATCAGATTTTGAGCCAAAAGACACGAATAATACAAATATGGAGCCCTCAATCGAAGTGGTGGCCACCAAGGCGTTCCGTGACCAGAAACCAGGCACTTCTGGACTCCGGAAAAAGACAAAAGTGTTCATGAACGAACCTCACTACACGGAAAATTTCATTCAAGCGATCTTAGAAGCGATCCCCGAGGGATGCACAAACGCTACTCTAGTGGTCGGAGGTGATGGCCGGTTCTACAACAGTGAGGTGATGCAGCTAATTGCGGCAATTTCCGCTGCCAATGGCGTGAGAAAGCTGATTTTGGGACAAAACGGGATTTTGTCCACACCTGCTGCATCGCATATTATTCGGTCGTATCACGAGAAATGCACAGGTGGTATTATCTTGACCGCGTCGCACAATCCAGGCGGTCCCGAAAATGATTTTGGAATCAAATACAACCTCAGCAATGGAGGTCCTGCGCCGGAGTCCGTTACCAATGCTATTTATGAAAAGTCGATGCTCCTCACGCAGTACAAAATCGTCAAAAATTTTCCCAAAATCGATTTCTCCAAAATCGGCCAAAATCAGGATTACGCTGGGTTTTTGATTGATGTCGTAGACTCGACCGCCGATTACGTGTCCTTGATGAAATCGATTTTCGATTTTGACCTTATTAAACGGTTTATCGACGTCCAAAGATCCACCAAGGGCTTTAAAATCCTATTTGACTCCATGAACGGTGTCACGGGACCCTACGGGAAGTCCATATTCGTCGACGAGTTGGGCTTGCCAGCAGAGGAAGTGTTGCAGAACTACGTTTCGCTACCAGATTTCGGAGGCTTGCATCCTGACCCCAATTTGACGTATGCCCACACTTTGGTCGAGAGGGTCGACAAGGAGGAGATCGCGTTTGGTGCTGCTTCTGACGGTGACGGTGACAGAAACATGATTTACGGCTGTGGACCCGCATTTGTTTCTCCAGGAGACTCGGTTGCCATTATCGCGGAATATGCTTCGGAAATTCCTTACTTCAAAAATCAAGGTATCTACGGATTGGCACGTTCTTTCCCCACGTCTGCAGCCATCGATCGCGTTGCCAAGGCGCAAGGTCTACAATGCTACGAAGTGCCGACCGGCTGGAAGTTTTTTTGCGCGTTGTTCGACGCGAAGAAGCTGTCCATCTGTGGTGAAGAGTCGTTTGGTACCGGTTCAAACCACGTCAGAGAAAAAGACGGCGTGTGGGCTGTTGTTGCGTGGCTGAATATTCTTGCGATCTACGACAGGGATCATCCTGGTAGCGATGTGTCTATCAAGACTATTCAGGAAGCCTTTTGGAAGAAGTACGGGAGAACGTTCTTTACTCGATACGATTTCGAACAGGTGTCAAGTGAGGCGGCCAACAAAGTGCTACAAGTGCTTGAGGATATGGTCAAGACCAAGGAAGACGCCGTTGGCAAGCCATTCCCCGGCGAGCCAAGCCTGACTGTCACTGATTGTGGGGACTTCAGTTACACCGATTTGGACGGCTCAATTTCGGAGCACCAGGGTCTCTATGCTAAACTTTCCAATGGATGTCGATTTGTGATTAGACTTTCTGGTACCGGCTCTTCGGGCGCCACCATTAGACTCTATATGGAGCGCTATACCGACGAGTCCTCCAACTACCCGCTCACCGCTGACAAGTTCTTGGAGTCCGACATTCAGGGCATTTTGAAATTTTTGAAGTTCCAAGAATTTTTGGGAACTGACGAACCAACCGTAAAAACATGATTGAATGGCAATGCTTCGAAACAAATTTCAGACTACAAGTATTATGATCTATAAAAGTGCTGTCTTGGCAAACCTTACCCTCATTTAATACACACAACGACACTTAATTCCAATCAGTTCAAGTTGTTCCGTGTCAGGGCAGAAATTGGCTGTCAAAGTTGACCTTCTAACAAAACCAAATAATATTCAAATCCAACTCATTCCTAAACACTTCAAATAAGAGACGATATCCAAGTCGATCAGCATGTAAAACAAACAGCGGTGAACTGTAGCGCTGTCGTTGTAGCCGAACTTAACCTTAAACCAACTCGTATCTAGTGACGAATCCTAATATTAACGAATTAAAGTCAACTAGCACCAGATTTACATGTGTTCACCACCCCATCTTCTTGAGCAGAATCGAGCATGTACTCCTGGAAGATCGCCAGTAAGTTCAAATTTGGCCGTTCCAAGGAGGAGAAGGAACGGGAGAAGGAAAAAGAGCGAGAAAAGAGCAAGGAGAAGGAAAAACATGGGTTATTTCACCACAAAGGCCATCGCAGTGAATCTCCATACATGGAGCCCCCAAGGGACTCTGTGGACCGAAAGGAGACCATAGTGGCATCCACGTCACTGATAGCACCGGTAAGACTGTCCACAGATGCTAACAAGTACTCAACAACCAATTCTTCGATTTCCACGGGGGACGATTCGCAAACCACGACAGGTGAGCTTGATGACGATATGGTCGACTCCAGTGGCTTCACCAACAGCAATGGGTACAATGGGAACAATGGGAACGAAAGTAGACAGATACACATTGCGGGGAACAGCTCTGGCTATGGCACGGGAACCGGAAATGCGAGTGCTTTTGGCGACTCCATAAGTGCTGTGGATGAAATGGAAGACTCGGAGCCGTTGTTTTCAGGAATCATGACGGTCAAAGTCTACGGCGGCGAGGGCTTCAAACTGCCCGTTCCTATAACCTCGAACGCACAGATTTTGAAAAAACTTTTGAGTTCCGGGGTCGTCAATCCGTCAGCAGAGAAACCCGGTGTCGATCAGCTAATCTCGTCACTTTTACAAATGGAACTGAATGACGGCGGTGACGAAGAGAGCTTAATAGAGGGCGATGTTGCGACTCGTTTCATCCCTGCCACCATCACGCTTCCGAGCTCAACGGACCTGAATCCGCTCCTGTATTTCACTATCGAGTTTGACAACACAGTCGCCACAATTGAGCCGGAGTCCGGAACGATTTCCAGTTTGAATTTCAACAAGATCTCGACCTTTGACGTTACGAGAAAATTGCCGTTTTTGAAGATAGATGTCATGGCACGAATCCCATCCATTCTGCTTCCATCCAAGGCGTGGCAGCAATCCAATTTGTCAGATCCATATATCCGCGATATTCTGGAACGCATCAATAACAACCAGGACATTCATTTAGACTCCTACAACTTACCCTTGACCCTGGATTTCAACTCTGCCACCAGTTTCCGTTTATACAACCATCAATGGATCAGTCTAGAAAAGGGTAACGGCAAGCTCAATGTGAGTGTAGACTACAAGCCCGCGACCAACCGATCGTTAAGCATAGACGACTTTGATCTCCTGAAGGTGATCGGGAAGGGTTCGTTCGGTAAAGTAATGCAGGTGAGGAAAAAGGACACCAACAAGGTGTACGCCTTGAAAGCTATCCGGAAATCATACATTGTGTCCAAATCGGAGGTGGTGCACACTTTGGCGGAAAGAACTGTGCTGGCTCGCGTTGACAACCCATTCATTGTACCACTCAAATTCAGTTTCCAGTCTCCAGACAAGCTATACATCGTTTTGGCCTTCATCAACGGGGGTGAGCTATTTTATCACCTCCAAAGAGAGGGTCGATTCTCGCTGTCGCGTGCTCGGTTCTACGCTGCAGAGCTGCTGTGTGCACTGGAAACGCTGCATAGCCTCGACGTCATCTACAGAGATTTGAAGCCAGAAAACATTTTACTCGACCATCAAGGGCACATTGCGCTGTGTGATTTTGGTTTGTGCAAACTGAACATGAAGGGTCAAGAAAAGACCAACACGTTCTGCGGAACACCCGAATACCTGGCACCAGAGCTACTGCTGGGTCAAGGCTACTCGAAAGTGGTCGATTGGTGGACACTGGGTGTGCTGTTATATGAGATGCTGACAGGCTTGCCGCCATATTACGACGAGGATGTCCCCAAGATGTACAAGAAGATTCTACAGGAGCCATTGCGCTTCCCTGACGGATTCGATAAGGACGCCAAGGATTTGCTGATCAGCCTGCTGAGTCGCGACCCAAAACGTCGTCTGGGGTTCAACGGCGCAGAAGAAATCAAATCGCACACTTTTTTCAGCCAGCTCAATTGGAAGCGTCTCTGGATGAAGGGATATATTCCGCCATACAAACCGCCCGTGATGAGCTCTCTCGACACCAGTAACTTCGACCAGGAATTCACTAAGGAAATGCCCGTTGACAGCGTGGTGAACGATTTTCTCAGCGAAAGCGTTCAACAACAGTTTGGTGGATGGACCTACGTGGGCAGCGAGCAACTGGGGACGTCGTTGGCACCCGGGAGAAGCGTTAGATGAGAGCTTTGGGCCAATGAATCTGGTCATTTGGGTCCCACACAAAAAACGTGACATCATAAACACGTGACACACAAATACGCACAAAATATTACGTAATATCATTTTTTCTTTTTTTCTATTCTGCCAATTTAAAAACCTCGAAATATCGTGTCAGACGGAGAATCTCCTAAAGTCCCCTTTGAAAAATTTCAAGAATCGTTAAGTTTAACCAACTCATCTCTTGCACGATCCAACTACCAACTTCAGCTACAAAAGGGTCTTTGAAGTTGCTAAACTGTCTAATACTGACCACTACAATGATGGCTATCGAGCAGACTTCGAAGCGAAGCGCGGACTCGCCTGTAGCTTCGGTGGAGGGCAAAAAACGCCGGGTTGAATTTGCCGATGAGGTGATGATTCACAGCGAAAACGGCGAAAGCCAGACCAACAAGGCGTTCTCCGCAAAGCTTTACCGCAATTTTGTGCTGAGTGCAATCGAAGATCTGGATAGGGTATGTCGGAACGGGGGAAAACAGCGATTTCGTATGATTCTCGGACCATGAGATAGATCATCTTGAGGAAAGGAAGCGGGCTTTTCATTCTTCAAAAAGGTTGAACTCGGCAGTTCGGAGTCTGTCGCATCGCAATCTTTTGTGCAACAGCTACTAACAGTCAACTTTTTTTCTTTCTGAGTAGAACGACGCCTCTCAAGTGAACTCGCTGGCTTCGCAACTGTCACTTCCGCAGTCAAATCCTGATTGTATCTCCGCAGAAAACTTGACTGTTCTGCTGCGAACTCTATCCTACAATGTGAGCAAACTAGACTCGCAACTATGCACTCCCTTGATCCAGTCCATTATCAACTTTGAGAAGTGGTGGGAACTGCCCACCGCGACTCTAGGTACGTATATATTCTTCATTAAAATTCTGTGCTCCAGCTTGCCAAAGTGGTGGCAGGATGTGTCGCTCCCCTTGGTCGCCAACTTCATTCTCCCAGTGCAAAAAACTGTCCAGCATCATGAAATGCTCAAATATTTCCTTCGCACAATACCCACGTCGACTGGTTTTATCGATTCCTACATCGCCCGCTTCTTCCCCAATAAAAATGACTCCAAGAAGAACCTGGTCAACTACGCTGCAAACGTTTTGTTGTTGACAGACTACTGCAACGAATTGAGATTCCAATCATGGTCTTTGGTGATCGAGAAGGTCATTTCTATTGACGTTGAGCTACAAAACGAGCTGGACGAGCTGGACGACGAGGTCGAAAACGACATCGACGATGAAATCGACGACGACGATGATGAAAACGACCACGACGAAGACACAGAAGAAGCAAATCAAAATCTTGAAAATGGCAGCGATAACGATTCCGAGGATGAGTTCAACGACGATGACCTCATGGATGGTCAAGAGGAATACAATGTTGTCGTCTCGCAAAACATAAAACAACTGTCGTCAAAACTTGACGCAATTCTTTCACTCATAACAAAACGACTATCCCAGTCTCTGACAGCAGAGAGCATAGAGAATGGAGATGGGGTCAACATCTTCAATACCCTGATAAGTCTGTTCAAGTCGCATGTGCTGCCTACTTATTATACCCGTTCCATTCAGTACATTCTTTTCCACGTTTCCCAGCAGCAGCTGGAACTCATGGATGCGTTCTTGGTAACGCTCATTGACATCGCATTTTCTCCCAATGAGACAATTGAAAAGAGGATAAAGTCTTTGCAGTACATCGGTTCGTTTATCGCCAGAGCTAAGAGGCTATCGAACACTCAGATAATATTTGTGGCGAGTTATTTGATTTCATGGCTTAATCGCTACGTTCTAGAGCGAGAAGAAGAGGTTAATCAGACAGGAGGCGTGGAAAGGTTCAAACATTTTTATGCCGCTTTTCAAGCTCTATGTTACGTTTTCTGCTTCAGGCATGCCACGTTCAGAGACGGTGACAACTGGGAGTGCGATCTGGACAAGTTTTTTCAAAGAATGGTGTTGTCCAAATTCAACCCATTGAAATACTGTAATGAGAACGTCATGATGATGTTTGCCCGCATCGCTCAGCATGAAGGCGTCGCTTACTGTTTCAGCATTATTGAGAACAATAACAACGAAAGACTCAAGGGCATAATGGGCAAATCAGACAGTCAAAGCCCGGGTACAGCAGTCAGTAGGTGGTCTTTGGCCACCCGTCAACAATTCATCGACCTACAAAGTTACTTCCCATACGATCCACTTTTCCTTAAGAACTACAAGAGAATGATGAAGGATTACTATATCGAGTGGAGCGATGTCAGTCGCGATTACGAAAGCGATGAAAGTGACGAGGTCGATGATGTCAGGAGTATATAGGTTTTAAGAAACAAACATTGCATTCTGAAATACATAGCACACTGTTGACCGTGACTGCGCGGGACAGCATAGCATGCACAGTCAAATATTTATTTGGTCATAAATATACATTTTGAATCATTAGGCATCCCGAGAAACTGACTAAACCAATTTTTGACGCTGTAAATCATATTAATATATTTTCTCCACTCAACTCTTGCCAACTATGTTCAGTTCACGCGCCCTCGGGCAACGCGTTGCCGTCCTCAATTGTATGTGATATGTCTTCGTTATCGTCTGATGTTGTCAAAAGTGGCCTGTCGCTATCAATATTCGGTGTATCTGTAGCAGCAGAGCCCGCTATTAACCCAGTGGCGCTTTGGGGCTGGTTGGGAGTTGTTCGTTCGCTGGCGTTTGTAGCAGATCCGTGCCCGGCCGATGAACTCCCAACTTCTTGACACCAATAACGGTGGTAATGCCATGATTGCAACTGGCATTCCCGAGAACAGTATTTAGTCCGTTTGCACCGCCTACATTTGGCAAACCGTTTTGGATAATCCTCCCACTTGCCGCAAGCAAAGTTTGCACACTGTCTGACCCCTGTGGTTTCATTTTTTCTGCAAGAGTTTCTCATGATTACTGAACTCCAGTACGTCATGTCTCTTTCATTTTCCTTCTTAACCGTGAATCGTTCTACCAGTGGAAACAAGTTTAGATGAGGAGCGCTAATTATGTGAAGGTAAGTGTCTTCCTTAAGCGTTTTGTCGAGCGTATTGTAATTCCATTTTCGTTTAAACTCTTCCTTCAGCATTTTCATCTTGTCTCGTTGCCCCAGCGCTTCCTGATCATGATTTCGTGCTGCTGAAGAGTGACTGTTACTGGTGTGAAACGAGATATGCCCACCGATTTTCTGACATCGCTCTTTCATATCGATCAACAGAGGATCCTCGAAATCAACCGAGGCCTCGTCTTGTTGTGTCTCGAGACCCATGTCAAGTTCAGCGTCAGATCCGCTATGCTGGTTATTGGCCTGAGTTGCGAGTGAAATTCTTAACGACGAGATATCTAGTGCCTGTTCCCGACTTTTCCTTGCTATCGACAAAACGTTTCGCAATGACAGAGACTTCACAAGGTGCACTTTCTGTAGATGTGGCTTCAGATGAGTATACTTGGAGATGAACGCTAGTAGTTGGAGAGACCAAATGACATCGTCGGCTTTGGGCACGATTTTACCCCAACAGAAACCCCTCGGTATGGAAACTACGATGTTGTCGTAGGAGTCGGTCTCGGTGCCGTCCTGACTTGCTGTCTCTTCGGTAGATTCCCACAATTCTGCGAAGCTGGTGCCAAGCTCGGTGATGTCAGGCTTCCTTAGATTTTTGTACCTCAACGCTATGCTGTCGAGGTCGACCTCCTGTGATAGCTCATGATCACTGCTGTAGGTCAGATGCTCGATATCGAGCTCCAGTGATACATTTTCTATGAAGTCGAACCCTTTCTCCAGCAGCAGATAGTTGTCTAGAACGGTGGCGAGGATGGGGATGACCCCAGACGAAACCACCTGTTTACGAATCTGTTCTGTGCCCCTCGTACCCGTGAGTACCAAGCACTGGAACGCCAGCGTCCACTTCCATGCTACCATCGCGAGCTTTCGTTCTCTCTCGACTCTCTGCACCACATTCAAGCCACTTTCCACCCGATATTTGGGCCAATCGTCCAGCGAAAGCGAGCAGTCGTGCAAAATAGAAACCAGTCGTATTAAGGCCCCGTCATTGGCTACAGTTTCCCGCACTTTAGCAGAGTTAGAGGTCAAAAATGTTAGGTGGTTCAGCGAGTTTATAAGTGGAATTTCTGAATTACAATCCAGACCTCTTCTGTCATACACGCTGGAAGTTATGGTAACACTTGACCTGTTCAGCGTAACACATCGATGATTCGAGTCTCTCATATTAATGAGCTTCAGCCCTCGTATAGCCACTCCTTAACCTTTTTGTCTCTGCAATGTTTAAGTGTCCAGAAGATATGATATTATATATAATCCAGAGCTTAAACTTCTATCCTTATATGATCAACATCACAGCAGAGAAAGGACAGAGCACATCATCAAATAGCCAAACATCACAGTGATATGTTTGAGATAAAACTCAATGAGAAGCTAGTGGAGCTTTTGGAGCCCTTGCGCAGCGAAAGTAGCGAAATTGGAAGGTTTTTGGACAACGGAAATATACCAATGAAGAGCCTGCTGGCTTTGCAAAAACAGCAACTTGGACACATGCAGCTTTGTGAAGTGCTGCATCCACTAGAATTTAAGTTCAAGAGTCGACCAGCTCGGGGCTCAGAATATAGCGACTCTTTCAAGAAACAACTGGATCGTCTGCGACTGGAGCTAAACGAACAGGAATATCAGGAAATGGTCAAACGGGACGGTCTCACAACGTTTCACGACGAGGACAACCTTACACCGGCTCAGATGAACAAACAAGTGAAAGAACAGGTTACCACCGTGTTCAACATTTTGGTTTCGGTAGTTTCGGTCGTTTTTGCCGCGTGGTACTGGTCAGGCTCTTCTGCGGGCATGAAACCTCACAACAGAATCATTCTATGCCTGTTCAGTGGCATTTTGATCCTGGTGGCAGAGGTGGTGGTGTATAATAGCTATCTGCGGAAAATCGATGAAGCCAGGAAACGGGAAAAAAGCAAACGGGAGGTCAAAACGGTCATCAAGCAACTTTAGAGTTGTTTCTTACGCACACAGTTTTAACTTTTCAAAACCACAGAGACTGCCTGAGGGGCCTCAGGTAAGTCCTCGTATGAAACTGGTTTGCGTTTGAACGGAAACAAGTTGTTCTTGAACAAGTGGAACGCTTGCGACCTGAGCGACACGTTAGCCAGTTCTCGGCGCTGCAAACACGCAAAAAAGCTCCATCTTAGCAACATCACGAAAAACTCTATGAACCCAAAATCGGGCCACAGCGTGTTGGTGAACTCGATCACGCCGTTCTCGTGCACCTGCCACAACATGTAGTCCGAAAGTCGAGTGTGGCCGCTAGTGCGAATCAAAAGGTCGCATCTGTTGGAATTGTCGCCCAAAAACATGCTTTTGGTGAAGCTGCGAACGTCCACATCCTCTGCAGCCTGGCCGTGGTACTTGCAACTTTCTGCTGTGTCGTACACGGCGTGGTAGATTTCGTTTCTGGACGTGTAAGGAAAGCATACATAAAGCGTCATTGAGTCGCCACCATCAGTCATTCTCTCGACCCGGGTGATTCTGTCGTTGAGTTCCTTGGAGATCATGGATCTCTCGCCCACAACGCGCAAACGGACGCCAAAAAGCTCGCTTTTGCGATCTAAGGCTCTCCGTCCAACTTCGTCGAGCTTTTCAGCCAAAAGTGACGTTAACAAGTCTACTTCCTCGCGTGGACGGTTGAAGTTCTCGATAGAGAACGCGTACGCAGAAACAATTTTGACCCCTAGAGTTTTGCACATAGATAGCATTTTCAGCAACGTCCAAGCCCCAGCCTCGTGTCCCGACTTTGTCGGCTTGTTGAGAGACTTGGCATACCGTCTGTTGCCGTCCATGATGAACGAAACGTGCTGTGGAACTGGTCCAACCTGAAGAATGCTAAGCAGCAGAAATTGGGTGTGGAAGACGACCCAATGGACCCAGCTCAGCTCCAAAAAGTACGACCATACGCATAGCTTCTGGGCATGCAAATACCGTCTAACAGAGGTGTAACTCCACCAAATGGGCGGCTCGGGTCGTCCTGGTCTTAACTGTTTTTGGATCTGTTTCACCTCGTTTTCCATCGCTTTTGCGTGATCTTTTCGAGCAATTGTCTCCATGGCCATTGTGCTATACAGTTATTGATAGTTATTTAACGTTTTGTGGGCTATTTGGGGGGGGGGGGGGGGGGGGTTATTTAGCTTTAGGAGCTTTGGATCGGGTACGGTTTTGATATGAAACTCGTAGCCGCCCATCTCTGTTTTTTATATTTAAATTGAGGCAAAATCCGAGACAGTTTTGGTCGTGATGTACGAGTGGAGTCGAGATTTGGAAAATTATACTCACTATGGACGACAACATAAAAGCACTGTGTACGACAATTAGTCGGACTTTTAGTCGCGTTGTACGTATTTGTATCATTATAGACGATGTATATGTGATCTGACACACTATATACAACAATAAAAACAGCTATCAAAAAAGCTTACTTTCACCACTGCAACAGCTTTCAGCTGCCCGAATTACACTACACCAGCTCTCCAGCTTTACTTGGATTATATCTTTGTCTTGTTTCTGCTCTTTGAAAGATATGTGACACCGGAGTTCCCTCCAGGGCGATTCATGGCCCGATGCCAGTATAGTACAAAATGATAAATTGAATCTACTTGGTATTTCGCATGCCAGGGCTATATAGAGCTGTTCATCGACCCCACGGAAGCTGTTTATGCAGTTATACTATTCTTATGCAGTTTCCCAGATCCGATTATGATCCTAAGAGTGCTCTGCCACCCATTTTTTTTATCAAGTTTCTACGCATTCTCATCTGACAGCGATGATATCTGCGTCTCTCTGACTGGTACTGACCTCGTACGCCTCTCACAGCATTTGTAAAGCGCTCTTTGGCTTGCCTTAATACCATTATTTGAACTTCTGGCATCACAAGTGTCAACTTTTGTATAAAGATTCAAGTTCTGGACGAAGATTCGATAAAAACGACCTCATTTCTATAAGCGAAAGAACCTCGAGATCAAGGATGTAAAGCCCTAGTCCATTCGGCATAAGGTTGAAGAACATTGTTCACTGAAAACGGAAAACATCGTTATACTAGTTACACCGATCTGTGTGTTTGCGGGCCACCCAGTGGTTGCTATTCTAAAATCTATAAGCCCTGGAATCGAATGCAAGCAAGATCGCTTGAGTTCAAAAGTTCGTTAAATCTACGCGGGAAGAACTCTTTTCTCGACCGCGTAAACAAGTTTCATGGTTTGCTCCATGAAGGTCAAACACAAGATTGTGTGTGGCGCGATTCTGAAAAGCTGGGCTTCGAAACCCTTGTAAAGCGCACCAAAACCTTCAATTCGAACAGTCTTGACAAAGCAGTCCACGGGTCCCTTGTACAAATTACCCTTTTGGTTGTACACTCTGGTCAAAATCACGTCCCATGGGTTCATAACCACACCGACACCGATACCAGAAATGGTACTGGCGACAAGATGCAATCCCGTGCCTTCTTTCATTAGGTCGTTGTTGAGCAAAAAGTGTTTGGCCGTGTTGTAGATGGGCAATTGGACAGATGAGCCGGCACCAGTTCTCAAGATAGCAGCGTCAACACCACGGTACAAGCCTTTGAGACCTTCGGCGCGGTAAATGGTCGACAAACCATTAGCGATCGAGGTGTAGTGAGTTTGCTGGCCAACTTGGACTGCGCTGGAGTACGACTGCATACGAGTCTTGATCAAAAACAAGGGCGAGCCCATAATGGCACCAATGATACCGGAAGTAGCACCGGACGTCACGTTAACGGCCACGTTTTGAACCTTGTGTGGGTCCTGAGCTGGGTAGAACGTGCGGTTGAGTAAAGTCCGGATTGGCTCATAAAATCCAAGTCTCGAACCGTTCAATCCGATCTGGTAGATGTACGCGCACGAGAGACCCTTCTGCAGGCCACGGATACCCTCGTGTTTGAAGATAACTCCCAGTGCTTGCAATGGATTCCTGTAAATTTTCTGCCCTGCTGCTGACATTTCACCTTGCAGTTGCATTCTGGTTTTCACAACTTCAATAGGATTTGTCACTGTTACAGCAATACACGCGGCCATTCCACCAGCAATAAACGACCCGGCTTTGCTGATCTTTTGAGCCGCTGGCTTATCAGCGTTCAATTCTGCCTTTACTTCTTCACCGATTTTCGACATGCTATTCAAGTCTTATGTCGAAAAAAGTCGAGATTAAAGGTCTATTTAACTTAATAAAGGTTCACAAGCAACTATGGTATTGTTATTGGCAGCCGATCAAGCTGTTTTGGACGTTTTTATTCGACTTGTTCGCTTTAATCTGAATATTTTAATCAACTTCGTTAAAATCAAATACCAAATTTTTTTACGTTAGGAAGTTCACTAAACATCACCATAACATGACGGGATTTTTCCCGCACGAACAGTACCTCTGGATAAGTTTTACGCATGCCTTACGATGGCAAGAACGAAGTCGTAGTGTTGGTGCTTCAAGAGGAGTTTTTATGAAGCCTTTAGACTCAATTTTTGTTTATTTTTCATAAATTCCACCACCTTCTTCATGCCAAGATCTGTGATGCTTACTGCCCTAGTGTTGCCCCTGGGGTTCTTGAACGCTTGCCAAATTGAAGAGCCTTTTAACATTTGTAGTTGAATGGAAACATTTCGTTGCCTTGCTTTAAAAATAATGGTCGACAACTCGATTTGCACGGTAACAGCATGGAAAATGACATTTTGAACTACCAGTTAAGTGTGATTAGCCGGTGAACACAAAGCTCTCACTTCTTCCATTAACGTGTTGGCATTTTTATCATGTATGCCTTCCTTTTGAACAAGAAAAGTGCAATACAATAATCTCATTGACTTCGTTTTCGCAGGCCACTTGCAGACAATCGCATTTTATAATTTATAATCAAGGTTTCTTGTCCACACTTGGTGCATTCCCTAACCGCCAATTGCCACACCGACTCCTTAACACAACCCCAGCATTCTCTACCTCACTCCTTATGGTTGCTCGCTAGAGAGGTACTTGCCAAAGACTTGACCGAGTTGGAGCTGCCAAAATGCTTGGACTTCATCAGAGTCGAGTGAGCTGCCTTCCTTTTAAATCCCAACAGTCCCCAATGGCTATGTGGATAGTCAACATTGCAGTCTCCTTGGCTGCACTCTTCATCCTGGAAATGTTTGGCGGAACATTTCAACACTCGCTTTCTTACATTCGTCGATATATCCGAACGAAACACTCTTATGACACCGGAGCTATCGGTGGATATCACAATAGAGCCTATCGCCTCGATCACTGACGGGTAGCGTCTTTCCATCATTTCTTGCTTGCTCTGGGCCTGCCGCCCTACCTGAAGCAATGATTTTGTCGGCTGTTCTCCCATGACTACAACGTCGTCGTTTGTTTCGCTGAGGGCCATCGTCAACTCGTATATGAGATCGTCCGATAATGCAAGTGTCTTTGCGGTTTCTATTGGAGCCACGGCAGTTGTAGTTACGGTATGGTGATGGGCGTGAAAAGCCACGTAATGAGAGTTTTTGATGCTCTGGTCGATTTTGCAACGGGAGGGACAAGGTATCGTACCTTTTGGATGGCAGTCCTTCTTTTTTCTGCTCTCGGCGGAATGATTACTTCCGATGCTTAAGCTTCTTCGTAATAGACCTCGCAGCGAATTTGGGTGCAGATGTTCAGAAGTTTCTGGGACACTCTCTGGATCAGGTTTTTCAAGGCTGGATTCTAACCGCCAACAGTATACCCATTTGTTCTCACTTGAAGCAATAACGAGATTTTGCTTCTCTTGAGACTTCATTAAGTGGGCGCTGATTTGCGTATGCGTGTTTACGAAGCCTTTGAGTACCTCTAGTAAACGTCTTTGTTTGATGCTGAGCACTCGGACTCTGGAGTCATTTGATGTGACCAGTATCCTCAAGTCATTATCTGCTTCATTCTTGAAAAACTCAATACCAGTAATTTTAGGGCCATTTTGGGGAACCTTCTTACTTTGCTCTCTGGTTGTCTCCAAAACGTGAAACGTAGACATCAATTCCAGACCTCTTGTGTAAAGTATGGAAATGTGGCCATTAAACGTACCAATAGCTGTGTATTTGCCATCCCCCATGGAGACATCCATTGCAGTTATGATATCTCCGCAGTAGTACTCAAATGACACCTTATGGTCAAGTATGGACCATAGCCTGCAGGTATGGTCGAGACAACCGCTGATAAAGAATCGGTCATCATTGGGATGAAATTTACCGCACGTAACGAAGTCTGGATGCGTGAATGTTTTGATTGCCTTGAGCCGGTCACAATGCCACAACCGTGCTGTTTTGTCCATTGAGGTGGTAAGTATAAATCCATTTTTCGACCAATCGAGGTCTAAAATGTCCTGAGTGTGTTGCTGGAATGTCCGATACGGCAAAGGATGAAAAACGGGCGCGTACAAATTGATAGGTTGCGGTAACGGCTCTTCTGAATCAGGAGCATGTCGACCTGGAGTGCTGCCACTCTGGAGTTTACGCATGGCCACTTGCTTGGCGTCAGGTTTCCCCGTTGAAATCTGTAAATCGTTGCGCTCCAGGGGCGAGGATATAACTTTCCACACTCTCAGCGTACAGTCCTTTCCGCCCGTTGCCATGTACTTGCCGTCTCGACTGAACTTGGTAGCCCAGATGGCTCGTGGATTGTGGCCACTTCCACTGCTGCTGCCATCTGTAAGGCTGCTGAGCGTGTTGCTGGACCCTGCACTGCGTTCAAGTGCCCCGGGCTCGGTGCTCAGCTCCTGAGCTAAAAACAGCCGTCGAAACTGTTTTATCTTGGACTGTTTTTTGTAAATGCGTAGGTACTCCGGTTCTTTCAGATACTGTTCAAACTGCTTGCGGTCGATCCGGCCGAACGCAGAGCTCAAGGCAGCCTGAATTGGCGATAGTGTCTCCAAAAAAGCCCTATTTTCTCCCTCGGTTCTGGTTCTTGCGGCATGAATCCCTGAAGGTGTAAACTCCAAGGCAGTGTTTGGAACCTTGGCTGTTTCGAACTTTACAGGACCCGCTGCCGTTCCGTAATTGCGGCTCTTGTCTCGTTTCCCGGCTGGATTGATGATTTCAACGCTACCAATCCCACTTCCGCTGCCACTACTGACTTTGCTATCCGATTCTAGCCCTTCATTGAACAACTCACTGCTTTCGCTAGAGTCCGAGCTGGCACTGCTGGGACGCTTTTTATGGGTTAAATCCTCCGCTGAACTGTCAGTCAACTCAAATTGAGACATTTTGGAGCTCATTGGCGCTGAGAACCTCGCCAAATACCCCGTAACTCTTCAAATGATGTTCAGTTCACTCAATGTCTCTCTTGTTCTCAGAACTGTATAATTTCAGTAGTCCAATGATTAATATATAGAAGGAAAAGGATGTCTGAACGCTTCCATATATGTCACATGAGGAGTTGAGATAGAATCGTTCAATCTGGACTGAAACGTCGATTGAGAGGACGCTGGAATAATTGAGAAGAGTGTCCACAATTTTTGGATATAACTTGGCGTTGTTGCGTGGTGTCGTTCATGTTTTTTTCTCTTGTTTTTGGTTTCTCTTGTGTGTATAATAAGCCTTGGGAACGACAGCGTATCACGGTTGGACGCGAGACGCTGAAATCGGTTCCTTCGTCTCCGTAAAAGACCCGTCGAAATTTGATTCGTAGTTTTCAGAGCGTTTAATGAGGTGTGACAGACATCGAGTTGGTGTCAAGCCTGTGGAAATATCGGTATTTTGGGTGACGTGGCGTTGACAGTTTGGTGGTTATCGGGTTGGTGGGTTGGGCTTTTTAATCTTGTATTGTTTGTGGGTTTAATACTATGAGTCTATGGTCAGATGTGTAATTCGGGAAAAGTGGTCTTGACACTATGGCTGTCGATTTGCAGACATCTGCCAAGGAAGAAGGAAGAAAAAAGGGTATCAACATGAGCTGACGGAGCTCTAAACTGGGGATCGTCTCGTTTGTTCTGTGGGCAACAATCATGAAGGAAATTGTAAATATGAACGGGGTCTGCACGTAAGTTTGTCTTCATCTCTGTACTCATCGACCTCCTTGCTCTCACGTCTCGCGGACTGAAAGCTCCACTGTGAAACGTAACACCTCCATTCCCAAAATCACACTTCGGTTTCTTTACTTGAAAGCAGAATGCTTCAGTCTTTTGCAACAGATCGTGCCACTTTCCAGACTAGAACTTCTTATCTCCAAAGCAATTGGCTATTCCGTGACACATGGCGATACCAAAAATACGGCAAATATAGCACTAATCGTACTTACAAACTGTACTTCTTGATAGCAGGAACCTTTTGCACCGCACGTTTCTCCAGACAGTGGTCTTAAATACGACGGATGACACACCCGACGACAAAATCTTCTTCGTTTCCTGACCGGCTTTATAATGCCTAACTACATTTCATCAATAGCAAATGATACTATTCACAACCAAATTGTAAGCCCAGCTGCCTGGGGCCACGGTCTTCCGAGGTATTTCATGACCTTTATACCCAAAATAGCCGCCAACCCTGTAAACGAATCTCGCAAGAACTCGAATTAGTGGTGAATGAAATCGACATAATTGAACACTTTAGAAGCTTGACGAAGATGGGTAGATTCCACTTCTTTTGACGACGCTTTGTTGTTTGGATATTTCTGGAGCTCACTTATATGTGCTTCAAATCGCGATGTGAAAATCGCGACAATATAGTAAAAAGTGACAATTTTGAGAATATGTATGATATACAAGAAAGTGGCTACAGAGAGGCCAAAGAATGGTCCTGAATCAGGTATTTTATATGGCTTGTGACATTTAGACTGAAATTAGTAGTTGAAGGTTGATGTAAATCGTGTTTACTTTTCTCTTCACAAACAGACCTGAAAGAAATCCAAGTCTTTCTTTTGGCCCATTTGTCATTGACAATGGATCGCTAACTCTGAAAAATCCTGAGCTTTGTTGTAGCTATGCCCAAGCACTTTCTCAAAATTTGCTTAGTTACTGCATCAGATCGGATAGAAATATCCACTCATATTCAATGTGACGCCACCAATCTCCAATGGCCGAGAAATCGTAGCGACACCTGCTGAGGGACTGTGAAGCCCTACAAGCAGAAGTCAAATACTATGCTTCCCCTAGTGAAGGTTCGGCTGGATATGTTTTCAAGCATTGGTGGAATGTAATTTCGTCTCAACGCTATTAAGCATTTTGAATTTTCGATGCTCCACTTGTACCATTCCTTCTAAAAAAAGACAATCAGGTACCAAAAACAATCAATCCTAGCATCTTCCATTCAGTCAACCCGATTATTAAATGGTCTTTTCATAGCTACTTCCCATTAGTTTTGTTGTGTATTGTGAAAAAGCTCACTTCAACGTATATATATTATACGTAATTGTAATATATCCAAATCCATAAACCTGACGAAATTGACCATTAAACTTTAAAGTTTTAAAAACGTAAGTTAGGCTTCCACACACACATTTTGGGCGTAATTGGACCCGCCAATCCGAAACCTAAGCTTCAGTTTTGATATAAGGCATGTCTTCGGCACGTTTGGATGCTTACATCACAAGTTCTATAGCTCTTTTAGAGGCAAACCCATCATCGACATTGGTGAGCATACGGTACCAAATTGGAGCAAAAGCAGGCAAGGTGACGTTTCGTACAACCAACTCTGAGCTACTGGCCAGGTACAAGTACTCCACTTCCAAATCCAAAGATGTTTCAAGGCTGCTGAGCGCATTAGGACCACGCGGTGTGTCGATCCAACCATCTAGCAAAGTGGCTAGGCAGCGTAAGACTTTCCAAATGAGTCGTCCAACCGATGTCACTGGTATGGCAACACTAATGGCTAACGTTGACGTCCCTGAAGCCGTTGAGGAGGTCTTGCAGCCGAAACCAGCGGCCAAAAAGAAGAAGAAGGGCAAAAAGCGCTAAATACTGCATCGCAGGCAGTTACTGGATCGACGATAATCGCCACGTCTACATACGATGCGACACTAAATACAACATACCAAATAAAAAAAAAAGATCAACGCCTAACTTAAGTACCGTAAAAATGAAATCAGTTATCCTCCGTATCTAGCCACAGCCACCGTGCTTTTCTGTCATCGCCAGCCTCTGTCTTTACCTATAAGCACGTTTAGAACCCCGTTTTGCGCGCTTCTTGCGGCCCCGTTTCTTCGAACTCTTGGGCTTGCGCTCCGCCGTCAGCTCCCCATTATGAATCCGGTCGAAGCTAGACGAGTCCTGCTCATATCGTGACGGGTCGATCGAGCTCGGCTCGCCTTCCTGTACCGTAATTAAGCTACTAGTTATGGGCACCAGCTCTTCGATGGGATACTTTGGCGGCAGCTCTTCACCCGTTTGCAAAACAACATCTCTCTTTAGTTCTGCACCATTGTAAGCCGGAGGAACGCCTATGTCTCCAAAAACACTTCCAAAAGCGTATTTTTTCACATTGGCCTCCACGTACACGAACCCGCGCTGGCCCAAGTTGACGTGCAGCTCAATCTCATCCGATGCAAGATCGAATTCCACGGGATCGTGAATAGTTTCCAAGTGTTCGCTGATGATACGAGGAGCCTTCAAATCCATATCGCTTGCAAGAATTCTTTCGCGCAACGACACATTGTCGCAGTCTTCAAGCAATCCCTCCCGGCTATAAGTTCTGGTGTACGCTGCGTTCATGGCACCAATGCCCACAAATAGATCAATCCCAACGTTGTGAGTCAAGTCCATTAGTTTCTTGCCATTGTGCGTAATGAAAATGGCGCCGCTTCTATAGCGGTATCCGAAGCCAACAACATCCCCTTCCTGTAATTTGGGCAACAGAGTGTTGGCGTAGAAGGGATTGTTCATTCGCAGCTTCCCCGTAGACTCATATGCTATGGAAAACTGTGCCATCCCAGGCATGCGGAAGTAAGGGTATGGGCAAGTTGTGAGGCCACAGCTGAAAATTGAGTTGGGTGTGCGTGGGAACTTGAAGACTTTGACTTCAAAATAAACTGCTTCTTTCTTGTTCTGTGGCAAAGGGAAGTTCATGATGGTGGATGCGCTCTTGTTGAATTTGGTGAACAAGATGTCCAGTTTGTCTTGGACAATAAAGCTGGGGAGAAAATTCCCGTACTGGTCCACGTTGTCATTTATGGACGGGAGTAGATAGTAGCTCTGAATGCCTCTATCTTTGATAAACTGTTTGTCAGCTAGATCGGTGTAAGTGCCAAAGTCTTTGATAATCGGGGGACACATTTTTTGAAACTCCTGAGATCGACGATACAGCTCGACCTCGAATCTCGACATCCGGGGCAGTTCCACGGCCTCTTGTTCTAGTAGCGCTTGGGTGTCGTCAAATTGGCCCGGTGTGAGGAAAGAACCGTCTAGGAGAACACCATTTCGTTTCTTGCGGAACAGATTGGGCATCGCAGACGCCACTTCTTCGTCATATTCGGACTCATCAGCGGTGCAGAACGTCACGTAGAGGGCCACCACGATCAGCATTACCATTAAAACTGCGAAAGTTACACACAGGCTGATCAAGAACACGAAGCTGATGGCTTCCCCATCCTGATAATCTGACGCAGGTGGTTCGAAAATGGGCTCCACGGAAAGCCTAAAGTCGCTTTGAGCGCTGAAAGAGCCGTTTGGCATACGCTAATTGTGTAGTGATTCAGTAAAAGTGGAAGAAACGCGGTGGTATGGTTTTCGGTGCCCGTTGTAGACCGATACAAAATCCGTTCTTTCCAGCCCTTAGCTGGTATCCTAGTGATTTTATCAAGCCAAGAAGGAGATGAGGTCGCTGTGTACGAGGTGTGCGAGGTGTGTGCTTTTATTGCGCAAGCGGTTTTAAAGCACCAAGACAACGATCTGAAGCTCAAGAACTGGAGTTTACGCTAGGGAGACAATTACCGTGATTTATCTGGGTAGAACACCAGTGGCTTAAGGCTTCTTCTTTGGTACTTCCCATTCTTGTCAACTTTTCAAATCGACGACGCATTCGTATTGAGTGATGTAGTTCATAATTTAGACATCAACAAGCTACAATTTTACTCTCTTTTCCACCCATCTCCAAGGCTGTAAGTACTAAGAGTAAAACGGCTGATCCCACATTACAGACCAGACTTCTCGCCACACGAAAACTATGGGTCCCGTTACTTCCTTCCATTACCATCTCATTTATGATTTTTAACATTTTGTCTCGGGTTCGAATCCTCTCCGGACTATTTTTGACAACATTTATTTTTTCTCCCCCACCAAATTTACAAACAAGTTGTTCGACATATTCAAACAACACTTTCCAATTGGTCTAGCATGGTGCTCGAAAGCTACAAGCTCGTCAACAACTTTGGTACGGGCCCTTAACTATCGTTTCTCGTCATTTCTAGAAGATTCTTGGGTATACTATTATCACTGTGGACGAAACAGCTGGGACTATATAAGGGACAAATAAACTAGGCCGGTTAAACGTCTCAGACCTTTAGACTGATACCCACTTTTCAACTGCACCGAACTATTTGATTGTTGTCAAACTATTCAACGCATCAATCTCCGTAATGTCTAAATCTCTAACACCGGAAGTCCTATGGGCTCAAAGATCCAGCGAATCGGACCAAGAACGCAATTTCCTGCTGGTCACCATCATGATTCCGGATTGCGAACAACCCAAACTAGAATTGAAGCCCACGCATCTGGAATTCACTGCCCACTCTCCAGGACACGTTGGCGACGAGGAGGAACATAGATACAAACTGCACATTGACTTCTACAAAGATATCGACGTGGAAAAATCGCAAAGTAGGGTGGCCAACGGTAGAGACTATTTCCTCAAACTGTTCAAGAAAGATCTCGATGCCGAGTTCTGGCCTCGTTTGACCAAGGAAAAACTTAAGTACCACTTTATCAAGACAGACTTCAACAAGTGGGTCGACGAGGACGAGCAAGAAGAGCAGCAAGACGAGGATCTTGGGTTCGACGGCGGTCTTCCAGGTGGCCAAGGTGCGCAGGCCGCAGCGTTGCAGGAGCTTCTCAAAAATGGTGGGGCCCAAGGTCTTGAGGGCCTAGAGGGCCTTGAGGGTTTAGGCGGTCTAGGCGGTATGGGTGGTCAGGGAGAACACCATTCCCACTCCCACTAGTTGCTTCCTCCCCTTACATAAAAATGTAATCTACAGTATCGCAAATGAAGAATTTTGTATACATGTATAAAAATATTCCGTGGCACATACCGCAAGGCACTCGTTTGTCAATATTACTACATGGCCAGTGCCTTAAGTACGTGTGCTTTGTGTAGATTGCTGTCCCTGTAATTTACACGACTTGATACTTCAGGTCGTCCTTGTACAAAAGCTGGTACGCCTCCCATGACTGGCCTGGCTGCAATTGCACGAAATCGTGGACATGGCCCGGTTCGAAGCACACCATTTCCTTGTAGCCGCTTTTGGGCTCGAAATCCGCCATGCCCTTCGACTTGTCAACCCATGGGTTCCACACCACTGCGTCTGGTAGATTGTGTCTTCTGATGGTGTGAATAGGTGTGCCCTTGTCAATGACCTGTACGACACGATCGCCCTCCACCTTTTTGTAGATTCTGTCGAGTTCCTCGTGGAACGACACCACAGGCTGCTTGTCGACGTACGACTCCTGGAGCATTTGGTCGAACAGTGTGGAGCCCGTCAAATTGGAAACCATGGTATCTTCGATGTCCTCGATCCGTAGATACGTGTGGAACAGCCAGTGGAATTTGAGCAATTGCTCACTCGAAGTGTTGCTGACCTCGATGTGTGTTTTCAAGTGTTCTGAGCCCAGCTCCACCGTCAACACCAAAGAATAGTCCATTGGCCACAATTTCGACAATTTCGGGTTGGCAAACTCGGGACCCAGCCCGAATTGCACTGTTGGAGGGTTTGCACGGACCTGGCCCAGAAACTCCCAAGTTGAGTTCCTGGCCAGTCCGTGCTGCGGCAATTTGCTCAAATACTCGTCGTCATTATTTTTACCGAACACTGGGAAAACCAGGGGGATACCGCCACGCACGGGCTTCGAACCGTCCATTTTGGCAGCGCTCGACAACCACAATTGTTCATTTCCCTTCAACGTCCATGAGAACACAGTGGCACCGTATTTGAGAATTTTCGCACACGTTTTGTTGTCATCTGGATGAGTCAAAATGACCTCGGTATCAGTTTCTTCAACAGCCATTGGAGCAAGCGTTCGTGGATGTCGTTGTTGTTGTTGAAGATGTTGTTGATGTTGTTAGTTCTTGATGATTCTTGATATATGATGGATGATGAGCTTTATTTGGTTTGATGCACGTCGAAAGTGACACATTTTATCGTACCCAAGATAATGGTGAAATTAGTAGTAGTCGCAAGAGTAAAGGAGACAGTTGGGTCGACTTGGTGGGTCATCCAGTAAGTTGGTTCACGGTAGAAATTTGAGTGATGTTAATACACCGGAAACGTAGGGACTTTCGAGGATTTTCTGAATATTCCAACGTAAGTTTTTACGATTCACACAATTGTCGACAATTTGCTTGGCTGGCGAGTCTGAGTCGACCATTTTGATCCAACGCCATTCATAGCGTGATATTCTATGCGCGGTTGAGCTGCGTCGTTGTCTTTTGCCCGGAATAGCAGCCGGCAGTGGATCAAACGGCAGACGTTCCTCGAGCAACGCGTACAGAATGACGCCCAAGGCCCAGGTATCGCTGAGACGACCGTCGTAGGGCACCCCCATCAGTATTTCTGGCGACACGTAATCTTCGGAGCCACATCTGGTGGTGCACATCTCGTCGGGCTCAATGCGTCGACACAGCCCGAAATCGGCAAGCTCCACGATGTGATGCAAGCCCCAAGCCGTTTGGTCGTCGTGCATTTGTATCAGAGTGTCGAGAGGGTACTTTATAAGGACGTTTTCCAGCTTCAGATCGCGATGTACTATTAGATTTTCGTGCAGATACTGAACGGCGAGAGTCAGCTCCGTGAAAATCCGCCGCAGCAGCCAATCTGGAAGCACGTTCTGGCTCGCCATCTCAAACAGATCGCCGCCCGCGCAGTACGAAAGCACCATATCGCAAGGTGGCAGCCCTTGGGCAGAGACAGCGCTACTGAGAGGACGCTTACTGGAAACGAAGATGGGGTTATTGACGGCGAGCAGATGCGTGATGCAGGGATGCGAGATGCCCATCAGCGCATCCAGCTCGCGAATAAGAGAGCTTTCCACGCGTGAGAGCATTTCGCGATACTGGGGCGATTTTGGCGATGACGCGTGAATTAATTCTTCTGGAAATTTGACGTGCTTGACTGCAACTTTCGTAGCGTGCATAGCGCTGGCGGCGTCTTGGTAAAGGTAGACGTCGCTGAAGTTCCCGACGCCGATCTGACGGATTTTGCGCAGACGCAGAGTTTGTGTAGTGTCCTTCACAAGACACGCAGTGAGAAGCTCGTCTGTGGTCGGACTTAAGGACTCGGGCGTGTATGACTCGTTCAACGCAGCACCAATTGTCTCTTCCACGCTCTCCAGCTTGCGAGCCACGCCCGAAAGCGAACTAATACGCTGCGAAAGCGTGCTTGCGGTTGCAGGGGCCAGTGCGCTGTGAGGGGCATATTCGGACAGAATCCGCTGCTTGTCTTCGAGTACATGCGAGCGATTGAAAGTCTCGGCGATCGGGGAGTTGAGTGCCCCGTAACCCTTTTTGGAACGCGCACTTGACGGTGTGCTTGCAAATCTCGATTCCACAGGCGACAGCGAGGCCACGTTCGGCGACGACGGCGTGTACACCAACGGTGTGGGTAGCAGACTCATATCGTCCCCTCCGAATTGCTGTATCGACAGTTTGGGCGGTGTATGTGTAATACTGGTACCGTTTTGATCGCGTTCTCTGTCTTGAACTGCTGGGAACTCGTTCTGCTCCAATCTGGGCGCGCGAGTAGCACAACGGTACATGTTCGCAGCTTCATCGCCCATCGTCATCAATGAAGATTAAAAGTGCTTGCTATCTTGGTGAATGAAGTCGTTTAGTGGTGTTGTTGATGTTGTTGTTGATGTTGTTGTAGTTATCGATTGTTTAGTTGGAACTTTATTTGAGCATCCCTTTGGAATGAGCACATTTGACGATGGATGAGTACTCGTGAGTACTCGCGTGGCAGTTTCTCAACGAGCTATTCGACAGCGGGCTTGACCTTCTTAGAGCCCAGTTGCTTGGTTATATCACCGTCCACAGAAGATCTAGCTCTCTTTGCTGGAGCCTTTGTGGGCTTCTTGGCGGTCTTTTTGGCGGTCTTTTTGTCAAATTTCGCCAATTGCTCGCTGCGAGACTTAGCACCGGTTTCTTGCAAGGATTCACACTTGGTTTGGAACTCCTGCTCGTGCTCAGCAGAAACATAGTTCTCAAGCCACTCCAGCAGCTTAATTTCGTCGCCGTAGCCCTCGTCCTTGGGCTGTGGTGTCTCCAAAATGATCGGAATACCACGCAAAAACTCGGCCTTGGCCACGAGTCTGAACACTTCGAGTCCCAAGAAGCCCTCGCCCAGTTTCTCGTGCAAGTCGCGGTTCGCCGCAAGTGGCGCCTTGGAGTCGTTCAGATGTATTGCCGACAAATACTTGAACCCCACGGTGTGGTCAAAGTCTGCCCAGAAAGCGTCAAATGCGCTTTCCGTGCTGATGTCGTATCCAGCGGCAAAAGCGTGGCATGTGTCGACGCAAACGCCGATCCTGGTCTTGTCCTCGATCAGCTCAATCACCTTGTGCAGGTCTTTCAAGTCGCTGCCCACCAAAGAGCCCGTTCCCGCCATGTTTTCCAATACCACTTTGACGAATTTGGTTTGTCCATGCGCCTTGTTGATGTACGTCGCCAGTTGACGCAATTGCTCTTCGTGGTCTGCTTTCAAAGATGACCCCGGGTGGAAATTGTACAGCCCAATGCCCAGTTGCTCACACCGCTGTAGATCATCTAGAAAGCTGGCGTAGCTTTTTTCAGCCTTTTCCTTCTCTGGGTTTGCCAGGTTGATGAAATACTGTCCGTGCGGCAAAACATCTGTCAACGCGTTATAACCCAGCTCTTTACAGTTTTTCTTGAACTGGTCGATCTCTTCTTGGCTAAAATCGGGTGAAACCCACCGTCTGGGAGACTTCAGAAACATAGCAAACGAATTGCAACCCACGTTGAAGGCATTCGTGACACTCTTGGAAATACCACCTGCAGTCGATATATGGGCTCCGAATTTATACTTGGACGTAGTGCATCTAGCAAACTGGGACATGCCGAGTTGATTTCCCAGCTATGTTGTGTGTTTTTATTATACAGGTGTCGTCTCGTTGATTACAGTATTAGTGTTCATCAAATAATTCGAATTTTCCAATAAAAAACGTTGATGTTTGTTTGAACGGTTTAAATCAAACAATTTTTAGGTCGATGTTCACGTATCGTGTAGTCCTTCACATTCTTTAGTATCTATTTCCTAGGCCTTCCAGGCTTGCCGACTTTGCCCTTAGTTTTGGCAGCGGAATTCTTGGCGGTTTTGGCCTTTGCATTCGCCATAGCGAGTTGTTCTTTAGTCTTGGGTTTGACTTTGAAAAAACCGTCAAGACGGCCCTGGACGCCAGTTTTGAGTCCCTTTTGTAAACGCTTGATTCCAGAACGAATTCTCTCCTCATTGAAACCCTTTTCCTTGCACATAAATTCTATCAGCGCATCTTCCTGGGGCTCGGTCCATTTCAAGTCGACTTCAGAGCCCTTGATCACGTCTGGGTTGATAAACAGCTCGCGCGCCTCGCGGAACGGCCAGTTCTCGGGCACCTTCCATTTGTTATTGGCTTCCCCAGATTCAATATAGGACACGATATTCTCCAACGTCTTGTGTTCCTTGATCAGCTTGAGTGCAGTCACGGGGCCCACACCGCGAATACTCTCACAATAGTCGCATCCCAACATGATCCCCAGGTCGATAAACTGCTCGATCGTCAATTCCAGACCCTCCAACAGAACCTCGATGTTGATCTCGTGGATGGGCTCCTTTTTCGCTTCCGAAAACGTCAAATGACGCAAGAGAAACGGCGACCGGTAACAAAGTGTGTCCATATCCTCACTCGCGGCTGCATAAACTTTGCCCGCTTTTGCCAGCTCTGCACATTGTGCTTCTGCCTCGCAAGGCGCCTCTACGTATGGTAGCCCCATCAATCCCAGTAGTTTCTTGGCCTCAGCATTGTGCTCTGGCGTCACTTTGACCAGTCTACGCTCGTGTTTCTGCTTCTCAGCCTCCTCTACAGCTTCCTTTAGTTTTTCCTCTGTCGTTGCGCGTCTGGCGCTTCTTTTGTCCAATTCGTGCGACTTCAAGATGGGAGGTTTCCCGTCAAACACGTAGCAAGGTTTGATACCGTTGTCTATCATTCGCAAAGTCCTGTAGAAAATACCCATTAAATGCGACGTAGTTTCTCCAGATTCACTGGCCAATTGAACGCCATCTTGTTGTCTGACGGCAATCAAAAACTGGTATAACGACATTGAGGCATCAATGGCCACTTTCCGGCCGAAAAAGTGCTTGATTTCAAGCTTGCGTACCGCCGATGGCACATGCTCAGAGATAATAGCATTGAGACCTTTAATACCCATGTTGGAGGTTCGTTAGTTTGTGATCTTTCACGCCTTGAATGGTACTCGTCAACAAGGGCGATGCGATGAGATGCTTAAATTTTAGTCCTGAAAAAGACGCGTAAACGCCAAACCGTTGGGTCACGTGGTATGGGCGGGGAGAAGAGTCGGGAAAGACAACATCAAGCTACACAACGCATGCAAGCCGTGGTTCGGGTTACATAGGTGGTATAGGTGCAGTTAGTAGGCAATTTGGTTTGTAAAGCGATTTTCGGCGATTTTTCTGGTGTAAATTTCATGTCATTGTGACAAAGATTGACTTCGTGTAAATAGTGCGGTGAAAAGTGTATCATACTCCCCCAAGTATCTTCATGAAAAATCATTTAGAAGAAGCGACAAATTTTGCGCTAGAGTGTTTCGGATTATACTGCGGTAGAACTGGATCCAAACTTTATAGATGTTGCGTATTTCAATCTGTGACAAGATCTCACGGAGTCGCAGTGTTTTGTACTCGTTACAAGGTTGAGCATCACGCTGTAGTCACGAATAGGAAATCAAAAGCTGGTGATGATATGGTCTAGGATACCATGAACTGAGTGAGACTTGCATGGACGTGTATTAGTCCTGCCAAGTGACGCACTCGTGCAGAGTGAGGATTGGGATACGTATAACGTTTCAGCTCGGTTGCTTGAGTTCAGCAGTGGTGAGTAGCTGACTGGATCGCTGAAACCTAGAGAAGTGAGTTTTCAGCCTATAACACTACCTGAAGCTCGCCAGAGAGACTGTTTTCAGGCTTGACTTTCGAGGCTGCTCATTCACGTGACCAAATGACAGATGTCAGATTACTGGCAACACCGCTGGACAACTGACAGCGTCAGTGATGAATTTGAAAAACACTACATTATACTCTGACAGCCGAGAGCTATAGCACGCAGCTGTAGGAATTACCCAATAGTAACATTCTGAACTATGAATAATTAAAGTTTGTAGTACTACTCGGCCTCAATTGTTGACAAGTATTGCAAGCCCTCCATTGCTCATAATTGCTAATGCTCTCCATGGTTCGGTGATATTCATTTGAGAGCGTAGGCTATAATATAGAAGCTCCATTCATTCACAAGTTGAGAGCGCTAGCAATAATGGAAAAGCTCCACCCATTAACAACTGATAGCGTTAGGATATTTTGACGGCCCATCGCTGTCACTTTTGTAAGGTAAAGGACTGAATTTTAAAGCACTATATATCGTTCATAGTTTAGTGGGAGGAAGAGATTTCTACTGTCGCTGGCACTGTTAATTATTTCATGGTACCTGTAGCTTTTTAAAGTTCAAGCTCTTGATTGTTATACTACGAACACTCTACTTATTCACAAATGAGGGTATCGCTCCCACTAATACGAGCACTCTAATTACTCACAATTAAGGCTGCTTGAAGCCTTCTTGGATACTTTCAAATGTTCAGCTGTAGCCACAGTACAAAGTTTATGTATTCCTTTATGTTCAACGTGAAAACTTAACAGGCCAGAAGCACTATTGAGCATTTGGGAGCGTCAGCGATCTATTAGAGTACGTAGAAAGAGAATTTGCAACAGTGCTGAACACCTAAGGGTAAGCGATAGATTGAGAGTCAAGAGAGAGCTTCTTGCCTACCCACAATTGAGAGCGTGTGCGATCTGCAAGCTCCCTACAAATGCCCCCTACCGATCCCAATAGTTTAGTGATATTATGAGCTCTCTACTTCCTCACAACTACTCGCTAGCCCTCTTAGCTGTTCAAAAAGGCGTATAGCCACCGTTGCTACTGTGACTTTTTCAGGGACCTCAATTGTTCAATTGTACAACGAGGTCTCTACACTTTCAGTCGCTCAACCATACTCCACCCGCCACATTCATAATTGCTCGCTGACGCTCAAATTCTACTCGTTCATAAAGGATCGCTACTGCTCTTATTTCGATAAGAGCTTCAAGTCATTTAGTTCACAATTAATCGCTGACGCTCAATTGTTCAATTATGCTTGTAGCCATTCTACTTAAGGCTACGTTAAGCCAAAAAAAGGTTGTAAACACTATAAAGCTCTAGAGCTCGAAATCGTTCAAGCCAGACCTCTATTAAGTGCTTGTAGCCATTTTGATTCTTCAAATTGTTGGTGAACGCTCTCAATCGTTCAGTAACACTAAGATCTTTACTTATTCACAATTAATTGCTAACGCTCTCAATTGTTCAATGATGCTCGTGATACCTTTTTTAGTCTCAATTGGGAGCGACCGCTCTCAGTTGTCCAGCAGTGATTGTAGCCACTCTATGTTATAGATGATTGATTGCTGACGCTCTCAATTGTGAGTGAAATATCAAGAGTTCTCCGTTTATATAGTGCTTGTAGCAATTTAAATAGTACTGCGAGCCCGAGTTTGAGCCGTTGACGTTGACGGTGGCCGCCGCTGCGGTACTCCGAGTGCTCTAAAACTATTCACAGGAGCCCTTCGATACTCGCAATTGATTGCTAACGCTCTCAATTGTTCAATAATTCTAGGAGCTCTTTACATATTCTATACTACTACGGGCTCTCGTACTCACCTCTCCACAACCAATCACTCTGTAAGCTACTTAAACCAATAGTAGATAGATCATTGACGATTTCAAAAATCTAAGATGTATAATAGCATCAATGTCTCTCTAAAATATGTTTCGAGCTTCAAATTTACCACAGTTAAGAGTGCAAGTGCTCGTAGCCACCGTGTTTTTTCACGCTCTACGAGCCCTTTACATATAGACGATTGAGAGCGTAAGGTATCATTCTATACACTTACAACTGATCATGTTAGCAGTTATGTCATAGACAGTCTGTGTAAAAGTACCAGTGTTTCTTAAAATGTGTTTGAAGCTATTCAAACAAGCCCTTTCAAACGAGCCCTCCATCGAACATAACTTAGAGCGCTGGTTGTTGTAGCCATTTTGACAATTTCGCAGACGCCCTAAATTGTTCAGTAGTGCTTGTAGTCAATCACATTTGATAGCTGACCCTTTCATGTGCTTAATAGCGCATAATGTACTCTCTTTATGCACAATTGATCGCTTACGCACTTAATTGTTATAGGGTGGTTGCAGCCACTTTGAGTCTTCACAACTGATGGATAAGGCTCTCAATTGTCCGGTAGCGCTTGGTGATTTCTCTAATTCACAATTGATTGCCAATGCTTTCAATCGTTCAAGAGTGCTTGGAGTACTCCTTTGCCATTGCTCTCAATTGTCAGTAGTGCTTGAAGCCGTCGTACTCGCAGCTCGCACTCAAGAAGCTATTTGAACTTCTCTCATGTTAGTGGATAAATCATTGACGATTTCAAAAGCATATAGCGCTTCTTTACCTGTGTTTAATGCTTCTTACCCATCACAATCAAGAGTGCCGGTGCTCGTAGCCATATTGATTCTTCAGAGCTGATCGCTATCGCTCTCAATTGTTCCGTAGTACTACGAGTACTCGTACTCGCCGTCACTCTCACCATGTTCGCTGGTGCATCTTGAACCATAAGTATAATAGTACTGGTGTTTCTTGAAATGTGTTAGGAGCTCGGTTTTTATCACAATTGAGAGCACTGGCGCTCTCATCCATAGTCGTAGCGCGATCGATTGCTCAACCATGCTCAAATCCATCTACGTTATTCGCAATTGAGAGCGTCAACGATCGATTGCTCAACCATGCTCATATCCATCTACAGTTTTCCCTCAATTGTACTACGAGTTTTCTTGTTTGTTCAGAAGTGCTTGTAGTTTTTTCCTCTATTCACAACTGATTGCTAACGCTCTCAGTTGCTCAACTGTACTTCGAGTTCTCTAGTTTATTCACAATTGATCGCTGACGCTCTCAATTGCTCAACGGTGCTTGTAGCCACAATACGTTTGCAATTGATCGCTGAAGCTCTCAATCGAATAGTGCTTGTATTCCCCTATTCACAACTGGTTGCTAACGCACCCAGTTGTTCAGTTGTACTACGAGTTCTCTAGTTTAATCACAACCGATCACTAACGCTCTCAGTTGTTCAATTGTACTACGAGTTCTCTAGTTTATTCACAATTGATTGCTAACGCTCTCAGTTGCTCAACTGTACTACGAGTTCTCTAGTTTAATCACAACCGATCACTAACGCTCTCAGTTGTTCAATTGTACTACGAGTTCTCTAGTTTATTCACAATTGATTGCTAACGCTCTCAGTTGCTCAACTGTACTACGAGTTCTCTAGTTTAATCACAACCGATCACTAAAGCTCTCAATTGTTCAGTTGTACTACGAGTTGCCTAGTTTATTCACAACTGATTGCTAACGCTCTCAGTTGTTCAGTTGTACTACGAGTTCTCTAGTTTTTTTCACAATTGATCGCTGACGCTCTCAATTGTTTAACTGTACTTCGAGTTCTCTAGTTTATTCACAACTGATCACTAAAGCTCTCAATTGTTCAATCATGCTTCTGGTACTCGTACTCGTACTCGTACTCGTACTCGAACCCCACCCTGTTACCCTCTCTTCGTCCCAAACAACATAAAAACTCAAACTTGACGAAACCTCAACTTTTTATCATCACACACAACAAACAACACTGGTTTCGTGTAAAGTCTTGTTTATCGCATTCGTAATCCAAGACGAGAGAGATACTCATAGCTCGGCGGTTCAGCACGTCTAACGAAAAGATCAACAAGGTCAACAATGTCCCTGTACGAATACAAACATCCCATCATCAACAAAGAACTGGCCACGGGGCCAGACGCCGGGTCGCGCAAGCAATTTGCCACGCTGGAGGCGTGGTATGATGTGGTCAACGACTACGAGTTCCAGGCGCGTTGTCCCATCATTCTCAAGAACTCGCATCGCAACAAACACTTCACGTTCGCGTGCCATCTTAAGTCGTGTCCCTTCAAGGTGCTGTTGAGCTACTCGGGCCACAACAAGGACGGCCCCTTTGAGTCGCCACGTGAGGGCGGTGGTGCCGACGACGACGACGACGACGACGACGTCGTCGTTGCAGCTGGGGCTGGTGCAGACGGCACCGATCGCGGTGGCGCGCATGGCGCGCACCGCGACGACGTCAGCGCTGCCATCGCAGCTGCAGTGGCTGCCGTGACCGACACCAAGCCAGGGCACCGTGGCGGCGGTGGTGGTGGTGGTGCGGACGACGAAGACTCCGTGGACGTTTCAGGACTGGACGCCCACCAACTCGGTTCCGTGCGTGGGCCCTTCACAGTCACGAAAATCGACCCGTACCACAACCACCCGTTGGAATCCAACCTGTCGCTGTCGAAATTCGTGCTCACCAAAGTGCCCCGCATCTTGCAAAACGACCTCAAGTTCGACTCCATCTTGGAGTCGCTCTGCAACGACGACGACAACACTGTGGCCAAGTTCCGGGTCTCGCAATACGTCGAGGAAAGCGGGATCCTCGATATCCTCAAAGAACGGTACGGGCTCTCGGACCACGATCTCGACAAAAAACTGCTGTCGCACATTGCTCGTCGTATCACCACTTACAAGGCGCGTTTCGTGCTGAAAAAGAAGAAAAACGGTACTTACGGCGTCCCAGCCAGTGCCATGAGCGCAGCGGCCGCTGCCGCGGCCGCCATCAACGTCAACGGCTCGAACTCGGGCTCCCAGACGCCCCACCACCATCACCACCACCAGCAAAGCCAGCAACAGCACCAGCAACAACAACAGCACCAGCAACAACAACAACAACAACATTACCAACACCAGCACCGTCACCCACAACAACAGCTACCACAACACGCTCAGCAACACTCGCCACATTTGGGTTCCCCAGATTTGGACAAAAAACGTTCATACTCTACGAATGAACCAATCTCGGATCAAGACGACGAATTGGACCCTCGCAAACGGTCTCGTTCCAACAAAATCTCTACTGCGGTGAAAATGGGGACTCGTTCTTCTTTGGTCAACGATCCAGGTCTAGCTCAATTGGAAGATGCTAACGACTCGGAAGACAACAAACTGCCCCAAGATGTGGCCGAGCAATTGCGTTTGTTGAGTTCGCATTTGAAAGAGGTCGAACAGCAACAACAACAGCAGCAACAGGAACATCATCACCACCACCACCACCAACACCAACAACTTCGCGACGAAAACGACGAAAACATTCAGCCCGAGTTGAGAGGCCAGTAACTCTTCAAAAAAAAAAAAAAAATGAAATAAACAGGTTGAGAGTTTTTGCAATTCAATATTCGGGGAATATTATTTTGGAGCTGCATTTGCGCTCTGATGCTGGTCTTTAATCGTCAATTGTAATCTTATATTTTTATATCCATCTTCTAAATATCTTATGAACTGTGTCCTTCTAGTGTATGTCAGGAAATAGCCTAGATTGCTAATTTTTGGATGTTGAACAGGTCGCGAAGGAGAGAGAAATAGGTGCTAGAAACTAAGCATTGCCAATTGGAGAAATAGAGCTCCAAGTCCTATAGAGTGGCCTGACGAGGTTTGACGGTTACCGGAACGCCTTGTATTTTGAGCTGTCCATCATATCACGTTGTACTAATATGTCATTTGTTATTTGCATGTAAATCGATATTCAAGTATTATCACAGGAAAAATCGTGAAAATGTATGTGCCACCCAACTGCTTCCCACCATATTGACCATTTGTGCTAGTCCTCACGGCTGTCACAACCTCTTCGCAATTCTGTCCGAAATTGTTGCCCTTGCTTTAAAAATTGCTGTTCATGAAAGGTTTATTAAAAGTTCAGCTTCAATTGCTTTGAAATATCTTTAAACCCATCTTTAACCATCTCAGGCCTTGCAATATGTCTCTGGCCCAGCAGATAGAAATTTTAAATATTCATGTCACAGCACTTTGTCTCACTAATGATACTTTAATCGCCACTTTTAGACTCACAAAACAGATAGCATAAAATGAGGCAAATTACTCAATTCAACCACTCATTTAACAACCAATTCGGCTGCTTCTTTCGCGTCGTGTCAGCACTTGAGCTGAAAATCACTATACACGTAATCAGCTCTTTCAATAAGTATAATAAAACTAGTCGATCTATGCCAATGCTGTAACTCCCAACACATCCATCGAACAACCATGCTAAAAAATAACTTTGGGACAGCTTTAAAGGCGTGCAAATTGGGCTCTGTTCAGTTTAGCCCGCGTGCTTTTTCGATCGTTTTAAAACGACCATTTGCGGACGATTCTGTGCCAAAAACACCACTTCATCAAGCCAGTGACACTCAGGAAACAGAAACTCAAACAAACACTTCTACTTCTACCACCGAGCCTTGGTATTTGAATATCGTAAAGGATCAACTTCAAGAGTCCCATTTTCCAGTACAAAAACTTGAAATACCACAGGATGCACCTGATTCTTTGCAAACGCTGACTACGTATCTCAGAGACAATTTGGGACTCACGGATATCTTGGTTTTCGATATGAGACGTTCAAACGACTCTTATGCCACAGCAGTTGCAAAAATTAGCGACTTCATGGTCATGGCCACGGCCAGGTCGGGCAAACATTGCCACAAGTGTTTCGTGGAGATCAATACTCTGCTTAAACAAAAGTTCCAGGTGCAAGCACATGTCGAGGGCAACATAAGTGCCAATGAGCTGCGAAGACGCCAGCGTAGACTGGCTAGACATACCAATCTCAGCAAATCACAGGGTTCCCGTACTGCCGTCACTAGAAGCGGAGTGCAATCGGATTCTTGGTACATGATGGATTGTCATCTTGATAACATCTTTATCAATATCTTGACGGAAACTAGGCGTAAAGAGCTAAACTTGGAAGAACTCTATGCACCTCCAGAGGACAAACATCTTTACAAACGCCAGGAACACATTTCTGACTCTTCAGTGCTCGAGGACGACGACAATGTGTTAGCAGGGTTGAAAAGATTGGCAACTCGTAACCAGAAAAGGTTCTATTCTACTGTGTCAGACAAACACTCGCTGCTCAGTAAACTGACGCATCAAGATTTCGACGCCGCGTACCGGTCGGCGCCTTCGGGTCAAAGCCCGTTGCTGACCCTCCAAACTGCCACAAAGGCTCTAGAATTAATGCCCTCAAACTCGCCAGTTCAGGTTCAAGAGTGGTTGCGTTTCTTCGATCACTTCTGGTGCTCGAAACTTGCTCAGGATGCAGAGTATTGGTCTCTAAGACTACATTTTCTAAAGCTGCTTAATTGCTGCGAAGGGGATCGCCTTACTACAGCAGAATTTTTCACCAACTTCTTGAAGTTCAAGCTGGCTAGCGGAAACTTGATCACTAAATCTGATTTACTGGAGTTTTTGAACTTAGCGTGCGCCAATATATGGGAAGGGCCAGGTGGATATGACAAACTGGCGCAAGCCAATACAATAATAGTGCAAGCATTGCAACTCTACAAGGGCATAAATCCCGATATAGTTTTGGACACCGACGTGTTATGCTTGGTGTTGAAATCGATGAGCAGTCCGCATGCATCACTGGAATCGCTTAATGGGATTATCGAGTTTATTTGCACCGAATTCCCCTCTCAAATTCCGATACCCGTCATAGACACAGTGTTGCAGTCTTTGGCTCAGCGACGAGAATATATGAAAGCGCTAAAATTCTGGGAAAAGGGAATCAAACTGCCAAATGCCAACGATTACAGACCATGGTCACTTTTCGTAAATACCATTGCCAACTGTAGCGATACCAAGTTTATCAGGAATGTCATGAACAATGGTAATCTGCTCTGGATAAAGCGCAACAACATTAAAATGGATTCCGAACTCCGCAAAGCGCTCGAAAATCTATTCATTGCAGCAGACCCGAACAACATTGCATACAGGGATTTGAAAGATATTTTATTACAGGAATGACGTGGTTGTATTAAGTCTTGTAGTTTTCTATAAACTCTTTTGTGGTTGTCTCTATCAAACGTTCATGCTTTGGGATAATACTCAAATTACTCCGTCCTTAGATTCTTGTTCAAATATTCAGCAAAAAGAGGAGCAACTCTTTCCTGCTCGAGACTTCTTAGACGGTTCATGGCCACGAACTGACGTCGTATCCGCTGCAACTGAGCCACCGTGACGCCCTGAGGTGGAATTTCAGCGAAAAGACATCTTTCGTCATTTATATCTTGAACATCCGAGATTATGATCCTCGTTACGCCAGACACAACGTTTGATTGTAACGCAGCCAGAATTTTCTTGACAATCTTGGTGGTCTCAGAATCCAGAATCTGGAGCGAATTGCTCTGTGTGGCCGCTTTCAAGATGGTGGCATTGTTGGGCTTCAACGAGTTCAGCAATTGGTCGGTTTCTCGATCGTGGTCGGTCTTATATAATTGTGGGAAGAGTGCCTTAAAAATGGGCTCAGAGAGGGACTCTATGGAATCCTCATCTGCCAAAACGGGGATCAAAGGCGAGTCCCATCTCGTTTGCGGGTTTGGTTCCTCATACCGTTGTATGAGCTGGTTCAGAAGCGTGGTGTCCCATGGTACGCGGCCATTAGCGGTCGATTTATTCCATTCCAGGATTTTTGCGCTGGGGCACATAACGTGCACGAGACAGTACGTTGTCATTAGGTTCTTAGCTTCACAATGCAGCTGATATCTGACACCTTTGATGTAGTTTAAAGAGTCCACTACCACAATTTTTTGACGCGACAAATCCCGTTTCACCGCCGAGATAATTTTGGACCGCAATTTACGCTCATCCACAGACGTGATGTAGTCGCTATGTTGGATTCCCAGGCTTTCGTCAGAATGGCATACCACAGAGTATTTGGCCAAATCTGATTCTTGCTCGATTTTAGATTTTAAAAGTGCGCATAATTCCTGAGCTTTCGAAGTTTTACCACTCGAGGGAAATCCACTGAAAAGTACCAAAGGCATACGTAATTCTGACCGCTGCTGTTACGTTTAACTTCTGTTCACTTGACTACATTCGAGCTTCTCGCGATGGTTAATTTTTCAACATTGGTGACACACGCGTATGTAATGATATGTTAACCTGCAAAATGAATAAATCAAAAATGAGTGTAACCGCCTTTAGATCAAACTAAAGATGAAGTATATATTCAAGCTCGTTTGACCATTAAAACAATGTTTAAACGCGCTTACTCGACCTTTGTACCTAGACATGTATTTCCCGATTATAGGCTACCTTTGACGGACTTCAAAGGCCATCAAATGCGCGCTATTCAGCGTTTTAGACTATTGTTACCACAGCTGAATTTACTACTGGAGCTTCGAGACAGCAGAGCTCCTATAAGTACCAGAAACGTTATATTTGATGATCTAATGGTGAATAGACGTGAAGAAAATACCCAGAGACTAGTTTTATATACGAAGTCGGACCTGTGCCCGAAAGAAACGATTGATAAATTGAGACTTTGGCACACACAGATGGGTGACGAGTTCATGACGATGGATTGTCGGTCCACGAAAGATATACGAAACCTGATTCGAATATTACAATGGAAATACGACAAAGTGGTTGAGCAAAGTTTGGGTGAGGTGGAAGGAAATGAAGGTTTGCCCTTGGGTTACCGGATTCTGGTAGCTGGCATGCCCAACGTCGGAAAATCAACACTGGTAAATACACTGCGATTCGTGGGCTCTTCCAAAACTAGAAATTTGAGTGAGAGCATTCACGGCTCAGTCGCCCATAATAGACGCAAAGTCGCGAAAACGGGAGGTCAGGCAGGTGTCACTAGGTCCACTAGCGAATGCATTCGTATCGCGGACCACAGAGGTGGCATTTACTTGTACGACACTCCTGGAGTATCACTTCCGGGACGTGTGACGACACGGGAAAAAATGGTGAGTTTGAGCCAATGTGGATGCGTCAAGAGTAATCTAGTGGATCCCGTAATCCAAGCAGATTATCTGCTGTACGTGATGAATCTCCAAGATCCGGCCGCGTATACACAGTATACCAAAGGTATACCCACTAATAATGTTTACAAGGTGCTTGGTGGGATTCGTAAGGCCACGAGAATAAAAGACGACAACGGCGCAGCTATCCATTGGATCGACAAGTGGCGCCAGGGCCTACGCGGCATGAAGATTAAGATTTCTTTCGACGTCGAAACTTTGCTTGACGACGAAGCTTTTTCATACAAGGACTTGGTGGAACGCGAGTTGAAGCAATTGGGGCCTTGGCTGGAGTCGGTCCCTAGTACGGGACAGAAGATTTCGAAGCAAGCTTTGAAGGCCAGGAATAGTAATCAGCTGTTTGACTTGTGATCTGGGGAAACGATGCTGGTAGGAGTGGGGCCGCAGATGTCGTTATTATGAATCTGGGTCAAGATAAGGGGATTCGAGGAGCGGTTGAATTGCTCTGTTGTAGACGTCATCAAGACGGTCTGCTTGCAGTTTGCCATATCTCCAAACGTCCTACCCCTATCTTCAATGAAATGATGGGCAATGGAAAGATGGTGTCGCGGAGATTTTTTTCGTAAACGATAGGAGGGTGCATTTCAAGATAATCGTATGGACGGGCTTAACGAGTGCTTTGCGCTGAAGACGGATTACACGAGGATCCGACAAAAGCCGAGTCTTAGGTGGTTGGGATCGATGAGCGAAATGAGAGATCTCAAGAAAAACGTTGCTTCACGGCTCAGATTGTGATAGTTACGGAGATCGCAATTGCTGCATGTGTTGCATGCAGTTGGTCAAATATCCGGGAACCGGGCAGAAGAGTCAATCTGGGAATACGCACAGGCTTCAGAAAATGTTAGAGGAGGGCACTTGATGCGCATTGTGAGTAGGAGCTATTGGAATAGTACTAAGAGCTTGTTTCTTGGAAGGAGAAACATGTGACAACAGCTTCTCACCGTAGAGAACTGAGAGTTTTGAATACGATATGACGTTGAGAATAACGCAGTGAGGTGTGAACAAAAAACACGACCACCGCCCGTGCAGTTGCGATATGGTTCGCGTGAACGAGATGACACATAGCTTGTCATTGGCACATCCAGAGAAGCGTGTGAAATGTACTTACTTATCAATCATAAGAAATACGTATCCACAAATAATCCTGACGCACATGCCTGAAACGTCTAGTTTCTAGCTGGTTTAATTCAGCCCTGTAAGTACATGGAGAGAGAATCTCCTCTAGTTGTGTTGTAGCTAGATGGGCTTCAGCGGGTCATGTGATACAAAGAGCTCATTGCTCACGTGCCAACACACAGCATGCACATCTATCTGCATCCTGCACCCTGCACCATGCATGGTGCAGCATCTGCCACCACCTTGCATACACATGCATATATTGACTCCGCCCATATAGATTTTGTGACTCCTCCAAACGACACATTCTATCCCTATCCACGACATCACATACCCATATACGAGTAAAATCCACGTGACATCACGTGTGGCCTCTTGTTCCCCGTCCTTTTGTGCGTTTCTTTTTTGTTATTGTTGTTGTTTACAATATAATATCATGATCTACGAGTTCTCCGTATTTTTTTCCCTGGCAAAAAGACGGGTTCGTACACAATTACACAAAGCGCAAAAGGCATTATATAAAAAATGGGATATAATTTATAGCGCATTTTTGGACAACATTTGACATCTCTTTTCCAATCCGATCCAAACGTTCGAAAAGGGCGTAAAAGTTCGCTAAACGCAGGGATTTAGCCTCCAAAGCAGTGCGAAAAGCACCTCGGCGGACGTTGAAAGAGCCAGACGCCTTTTCCAGCGAGCGCGCAGCCCCATTTTTCGCGCAATTAGGAGCCGTTTTTTCGATTTTCTAACTCGCTCGAGCACTTCTTGTCGTTGTTGTCGTCGCCGTGCGTGTCTCGCCTCGAACTGCCGGTGTATATTTATTGCCGCCCAAGGCTCCCTCCCCGTTTTCCGCTCCCTTCCCTCCTGTCCTTTTTATTTATCGCGTGTGTGCGTCAAAAACATGCCGCTTAAACATTTGCCCATCCAACCCAGCATCGTATCGATCGCTCCAAGTCCGCATCCGGGCTCTACACGCGAGGGACGCAAGCCCGGTGGCCACGGACTCGTGATCCGCACTTCGCGGCAGTGGGTACTGCCCCCACGTCCCAAACCAGGTCGCAAACCGTGTCTTAGCGCCCTTTCAGGCCGCCATGCTGCGTCTGGCGACGCCGGGAAACCGGTCAAGCCGCAGCAAACAACCCAGCACACGACTCAACAAACGAATCAGCACTCTCAACCATCTCAACAGCGCACTTCTGCTTCGGTGATACCGGAGAAACAATCTGCACCCCGTAAAACGACAGCAGCAGCAACAGCAGCAGCAGTAGCACCTGTAGCTGCTGCTGGCGATGAGCGCTCCATGAAATTGGAAAAAGATCATATCGCAGCAGCACCATCGCCAACAGAAACGATCACTGCAACGCCCAGCGTCGTTGAAGCACCTGTTTCTGCCTCTGCCTCTGCCTCTGCTGCTGCTTCTATTGCTGTTACGGCGACCAAAAATTTCCCGGTTTCTGCCCCCCAGGAATCTTCCTCTGCCGTAGCACCAGTCCCGGAAGTGTCTGTTTCTTTGCAACAGATGGTTCCCGAGGACAAAGCTGTGTTTCGCCGAACATCGTCGTCAGCGCCCTCAGTAGCTCCCACGACTGTCAAAACGACAACAAACCCAGTACAACCGCTTTCATCAGCCACTTGCGCGCCGACTCTTAAAAAACTCACCAAAACTGCATTGAAGAAGGAAATTCAACACTTGAAGCTTGAAAACTTCAAACTCAAACAAGAAATGGGACATTTAGTGGGTAGTCTGCAGGATTTGAAACAAAAATTCTCGCTTTTCAACAATGCGTCTTCTGCTGTCGCTCCCACCAGTTTGCATCTGAGTTCCACCAAGAAGAGGCCTTTTCTGGACTCAATGGAACAAAAAACCTGTTCCGATAATACCGATAGTTTCTTGAAATTCGAGGATGATAACGCCGAAGATGAAGATGCTTCAAACGCAATTATATCTTCCGCACACATGAGGCCAACCATGTCTTTCTCATCTCAATACAGTTCCAGGACCACTCTTACCGATGATGAAGACCCCGGGTTCTCCTCATCTACTCCCAGCTCACTGTTTTCTGCTGAGTTGCAAAGATCAGTCACTAACAGCAGCCATGTGAGCTCCCAACCGTACCACCACCACCTCCAATCCCTTCAAAACTCTAGCGGGACTCCTAGCTATTCCCCGCTTCATCACGGTAGCAGCAGTCCATCTAGCATGATATCTACGAAAGCAACGCTTTCATCTCTCAACAGCATCAAGTTCGTGGACGATTACGAGCACCAAGACTTCTACAGTAAACATCGTCAAATGTTCGACAACGGCATAGCTCCAAATCTACCCAGCAATTCAATTGTCTCGCCATCTACCTCTAATCAACCGGGAGACTTTCATCTCGATGCCATCAAGGAAGAAGATATGGATTTTAGACTTGAACATGATTTTGGCAATGAAGACGTGAGCATTCTCAATTTTCTAGAAAATCACAGCTCCAGGTTTGACAACACAACAGCTACCACTGCAGTGACAAACACAATTCCAAGATGGTTGGTGAAAGATGAAGAAGCGCTCGGGTCTGATATGGATGGTTTTCAAAGTTACAGTACAGAGCCGGAGTTGCCAAAGCAAGAATTTCGCATGCCTCCCTCACTAGAAGAATTGATAGGGGAGGAGAATTCGGTCCGTTCAGAAATCGAAATCAAAAGAGAGGATGACGAGGACGATGACTTGTCTAGAATGAACATTTTTGATTTTGCCTAATGACAAATGAACAAAATGCATAATGCACAAAAGACATGCTGATATGATGAATAATGTGATAACGATACGAAATAAATTATGATGACGGACGAGGGTCGCGTTATACAAACCCTGTCCCACTAACGAACTATGATACTAATTCCAGCCTACAAGTAAACTTTAAAGATCGTGATTATTTTTTTTTTTTTGGGTCTTCAACTCGAAACCTTTAGGTACGTGGAAATCAATTGAACCTTCCAATGATACCCGGTTCATTGTTTTCAACTGATACACCGTCAATCACATACTAGACGGTTTTCGAGCTGAAATTTAGTGAAATTAACGTATTTATAGATAACACCTGTATTACGCCGATCTCTTAGCTTGCACGAAAACAATGACACTTGAGCTTAATTCTTAAGATCTGACTGCTTTTATTTATATACAGTTTCCTCATGCACATGGTAATTACCATCCAATCTCAGAGAGACGAGTTCCGTTGGACTTGTTGATGCTGTCAATGCTGACACCAGCCATCAAGTCACCCAAGTCAGTGGAAACTTCCAATAGCTTCTTAGGGTCTTGGTAATGAGTGGTAGCCTGCACAATAGCTTTGGCCAACTTTTCTGGGTTAGAAGCCTTGAAAATGCCCGAACCGACAAACACACCGTCGCAACCCAATTGCATCAATAGAGCAGCGTCCGCTGGAGTAGCCACACCGCCAGCGGCGAAATTGACCACAGGAAGCTTGCCCAATTGCACAACTTCCTTTAGCAGAGACACAGGAACACGTAGTTCCTTGGCTTTGGCTTCAAATTCGGCCTCCGTCTTGACCTTCTCGATGACCTCGGCGATCTCGCCACGAATTTGTGTGATGTGCTTGACGGCTTCCGAAACGTCACCGGTTCCGGCTTCACCCTTGGTTCTGATCATGGCAGCACCTTCCTTGATACGTCTTAGCGCTTCGCCGAGGTCCTTGGCTCCACACACGAAGGGCACTTTGAAGTTGTTCTTGACGATATGGTTCACCTTGTCAGCTGGAGTCAGCACTTCACTTTCATCGATGTAGTCGACCTCTAGCGCTTCCAGAACCTGGGCCTCGACAATGTGACCGATTCTGACCTTGGCCATCACGGGGATCGACACTGCTGCCATGATCTCGCGGATCATCTTAGGGTCCGACATCCGGCACACTTGTCCAGATTTGCGCATGTCTGCCGGAATTCTCTCCAGAGCCATCACAGCACATGCACCGGCTCTTTCTGCCACGATGGCCTGTTCGGCGGTGACCACATCCATGATCACACCGCCCTTTAGCATCTGGGCCAAACCAGCCTTAACTTTGAAATCAGACATCTTGTACTAGTATTTTTGTATGTGAGAGTGCGTAACTTTATTTAAAACCAACTGTTGTCTTCTGGGTTTCAGCAATTGTGAACCCGGCTCAAGCTTCTTATAGCATGACAATCCACCATCTCACAGGTTGACTGCTGTCCACTTCAGAGTCATGATCTTGACTTACTCGTTCTCACACTTGCAAATTTCACCTTACTGCATATCTGGTGGTCTTTATCACCGCTTGCACCTTGATTCAGCTCTGTTGCCAGTATCCGAATTTTCGACTCGCTTCCAGCTTGCTCACGGTGTTGCTAGCGAAAATTATACTTTGGCTTATGCTCAAGCCTTCTTTAGATGATCCTAACAACTGCCCCGCTTCCGCTTTCTAAAATTCTTACTGGAGGAGGAGTCATCAAAAATTTGCGGCGTTTAATCTTGCATTGCACCGCGCTTTAGTCTGCTCTGCTTTCAATGGTATAAAGCAGAGACACAGTTATGCGCTTCAAGGCCAGGTAAGTTCTTTAGGTTTCCTGACGGATCGGCATTTAGAACGTTGGTTTCGGAAAACGTACCATCATCGTTGTCAAGGAAGGCTAGAACGCGCGGTAAAACTGCATTTCTGATAGCGAAACATTCGTATAAAGCCGTTCGGTTGATTTTTAACGTGCGCGCGCGACTTCTACACCTTCAACTCGTTACTGACTGGAGTTAGTTGGTTGTTGACGCCGTAGTAATCAAATTATAGTAATTTTTCGCGCTTACGTCATCACAAGCGTCGTTATACGAGAAGGCTGACATAAGCAGCGTCGTGCAGCAGACGTGCATCACTTGCCATTGTTCTGGTGCATATAGGAAACACACTGCATAGGTAGGTGCATATCCAGACATAACACCTCCAAACACACCTCTTCTCTTCCTTTATCCAACCACCGTCAAACCATGAAGGTTGTAGGCGTACTTGCACTACAAGGTGCTTTCAAAGAACACGCTGAGCTCGTCGAGGCCTGTGTGCGTGAGAATCAATACCCACTCACCGTTTGCGAGGTGAAAACCGCGGAACAATTGGCGAGCTGCGACGCTTTGATCATCCCCGGCGGCGAATCAACCGCGATGTCGCTGATCGCTCAGCGCTGTGGCCTGTTTGAACCGTTGCAGCAGTTTGTAAAAGACCCAACAAAGGCCATTTGGGGAACGTGTGCAGGTCTCATCTTCCTCGCCCGTGAAATCACCAGCGATGCCAAACTCGTGACCCCACTAGGCGTGCTGGACGTGGCCGTCCAGCGTAACGCGTTTGGCCGTCAATCGCACTCGTTTGTTGCTCAGTGTGACTTTTCCCCCTTCATGACCCCAAATCCCAGCATATCTGCCACAGGTCCATTCCCCACGGTCTTCATTCGCGCACCTGTCATTGACCGCGTTTTAAACCCAGAGTCAGTGCAGATACTTTACGAGATTGATAGTCCCGCTGGCCATAATCTTGTTGTTGCTGTAAGACAAAACAACATTCTCGGGACGTCGTTCCATCCAGAATTGGCCGATGACAACCGATTCCACGACTGGTTTTTGCGCGAGTTTGTGCTATAGATAAAGCACCCGCTTGAGATCAGTTGTTCCAGAGCACTGAATCTGGCCACTATTGTATAAACACAACGGCAGAATGGCAACAGGTTCAATTTCCATCACATCGATCAGCTGTATTCGGTGTAGATGGCGCAAAGTCTCCCATAACAAAGCTTTGCAAGTATGTAGTTCTGAAGCGTCCAAGACTTCGACCACGGGCTTACTCCAAGCCTCCGAATGATCGAGCGTTTCGTTTATAGACCCGGATAATAGTAATCGACTCGGCAGTATAGTACGCAACGCTTGAAGATCCCACCATCTTAGTCTCTTAACGTTCTGGAGACGCAACCACACGCAATGCGGCGGCAAAACCACCTGGTTGAGATCCAGCGCTTCCAAGAATGAAAACGTTACCTTGCCGACTGCTTCCCAACGCTCCAGGTTCGCTAAGGATTGCGGACCGCCCAGGACCCCACACCGGCTGATTTCCAGCTCCGCGACTCTTTTCCTCACTGCGTATCCGAGGGTGTGACCGGGATAGTCCCTGAAGCCGTGAAAATTCACTAGCCGTTCGAACATGCTGTTGCTGGTGACTGCGAGGGTCTGTAAACCTTTGAGACTTTCTAGCATCGAGATCAGATCCCGGACACCTGCAGTTTCGGGTATTTCTTCATCTTGATAGAAGGTGACTTGACGAACAAGGTCTTTCACTTCCAATTTTTCTAGCTGCGTGTTCAACTGTCGTAGCTCTTCGCCATTCAAATGCTCCATGTTTACCACCGTAGCAAGGTTCAAGTCATTGTCGACCAAATCTTTATACTCTTCCAAAGAGCACCAATGTTGTAGTAATCCCTCGGGACTGAATAGTCCCAGCATGAGACACCCATCGATAAAAATCCAATGTAATTGCGTAAGTGTGCTTTCAAGCTCTCTGTTCACTCGTAGATAATCCAGCACTACGCAGTCGTATCGCAGACAAGACATGTAGTCCAACCATGAGTTTACAAAATCTGGCATATAGCTATACAGCTCGATGAATTTTTGGAGTTTTTTCCGCAGTTTAAAGGCCTGCCTCTTTCTTCGTGCAGTCTTTCGAGACTCAGTCATCGTGTCGGTGAACAGTTCATATGACGACGGCAGTCTCAAACGAGTTAATTGTCCGTCCAAGTGCCAGTATACACACTTTCTTAGAGTAACTGGAAGAGTAAGAAATAGTAATGGGTCCCAGGTAGAGCTTTGAGACATCATATATACACTTCTCTACAGGTGAAGTTCATTCTGTCAAGCTCATCGCCTATTTTCAAAATGGTAAATATTGGGAAATTAAACCATTAAGTAATCTTTAAAACACGAACATCATCTACTAGAAATTAAGGTCTTGTAGATCTTACAATAAGCTTAGTTCAGGGCTATTATGGACCAGCTTAAACTAGAACTCAAAACATTCGAGCGAAAGTTCGAAAAGAAGTATGGAAGACCACCTGCTCGTGATGATATTCGAGCATTACCAGATATAAAGTATCGATACAAGCAATATGCAACGCTACAACGCGAACGACATAAGAAAGAAGTGGTCCAGGAGACTCCTCACAGAAATGAAACGACGGAACTGGATTTGCCGGTGGAACTGGGACCCACTCCTCAGATTTATGGGAAAGTCTTGGGCTTATTCGATATGAAAGTGTCCCCCATCAAGAAAGAGTCTGTCGTGTCGCCAGAAACTTCGTTAAAAATTTCGGGAGGAGTAAGTGGTGTTAATCGGTCTCCGAAACTGCAAGAAGTCAAACGTCGCTTGGATTTTGAGCTAACCCCTCGAAAATCACCCAAGAAAAACCTGTATGGGCCAAACTCCCCGTTCAAATTTGACGGTGTTCAACTTTCGATTCAAACCCCACGGCGCAATTTGCGAAGCCTCATGGCCGAGAGTGAGATGACTAGTGGCGGAAGCCCGTCTCCCATCATCAAAAGGCCCATTGGCAAGCCTTTACTACAGCTGGCTCGCGAAAACGAAAAGTTTATGGAGGAGACAGACGAGTTCAGTGACGATGAGGTCATCTCACGAGAGATCAAGGACGTTTTCCAGAATGACGAGATACCGCAGGATGAACAGGCTTTGGAAGATCTCACAGATGTCGTATTTAAGCGCACAAAACGTAAACATATCTTACGACCTGCCGTCAACGGATCAGCGACACCACAGCCCATACAGGTGAATATCAAGGACGAGATGGCAAGGCTGAAACAGCAAGCCATCGACGAATTTAATGGCGTAGAAACTGCAAGCAGTGCAGTGATGCAAACCGCTGACAAGGCCCCAACAACCAGCACTCGCCGCAAACCTAAGAAATACAATCTCGTCAGTAACAATTTCCGACGGCTCAAGCTTCCTAAAGCGAAGAACAAGGGCAAGGGCAACAGGTGGGGCCAGCGCTGATACAGCGAATAAAACCCTTCCAGAAATAAATGCATATCTTTACTATTGCGAAATGGTTACTTTACATACATGATAGATAACCTCACAGTCAACTAACGAGGAGTTGTAACATTCCTTCTATCTTTTGCGCCTCCTCAGCTCTATGCACTTCTTGTTTGACCTTGTCCCTTAGAGCCACAACCATCTCTTCCAGGAGAGATGATCGGGCAATAAGATCGCCGTACATTTCAAGTACTACGGCGACCCAGTCAGCAACTATAGATGCACTCCTTACATCCTCGACACCACGCGTGCACCAATTAAGTAAGGGCTCTAACGATGACTCATCTCTTCCTACCAACGCTACTCTGATTTTACCTCTCTTACGAAGTTCATTCAAGGCCGTAAGTGTCAATTCTTTGGCCATACCGGACAAGAAGGCCGCGTCAAGGGCTTCAGACCATTTGAAGCTATTCATATACCGCTCAAAAGCCCGCAGTTTACGTTGTGGACGAGTTTTGTCATGGTGAATTATATGTTCTTGGTCGCCAGCGTACTCAGACCCTCTCATCATTCTCTGGAAGTTGTTGCTTTTCGCAGCGACCTTCTCAATCTCAACATTAGTTGCAGCTGCTTTCTTCTTTGTTCTTATGGCTAGTAGACCGGATGAAAGTCCAGCGACTAGATGCCTATTGCCCTGAGCGTCACCGGGGGATACAGCACAACTTAAAACGGGTGCTGAAAATTTCCAGCCGAACTTGACTTTGTAGCCATCCAAGGGATCAAAGATCTTGACATGACCGTCTAAAGACGAAACAACGAGGGTGGAGCTCATGGGAGAGTCTGAGGCAAGATCAACATAATCCAAACAGGTTGTGGTCTTGGCAAAATTTGACCTGTCTAGAAGTTGTCTTTGAGCTGTCAGGTCCCACACTTTGAAGCCAGGTCCACCACACGAGACCAGCTGAGTTGGAGACACAGCAATGACGTCCTCGACAGGCAAGCCTTGGGCCAGCGTAGTAGGCTTGGAGCTGGAGTTAGCTCTCGTGTCGTAGAGGCGGACATGACCATCGTACGAACCAGTCACGACAAGGTGAGGAGCTTGTGGGACCATGCACACAGTACGCACATAGTCTGCAGCACCCGTAAGCTCCGCGAGAGGTTGTTGAGCCTGTGAAATGTCCCACACGCGCACCACACGGTCGTCGCTCGCTGTGACCAGCGTTTGAGGGTCCGTGAGATGGAATTTGGCTACGTGGGTGGGATGCGACGATGCAGCGATGGACACCAGCTGCGTACGCGGGTTGTACGAGTCATACACCGATACCAAACCTGTAGCGTCTCCCATGGCTAGAAGCTTACCGTCTGGACGAAAGTTGGCGGCATAAACCACGTCTTTGAAGCGCGAAAATGTCTTTATGACTTGTCTGGTACGCGATGAAAACAGCTGCACTCTTGTAGATGCTGTTACGGCAAAGTCATTGGGCTGTTGTGGATTGAATGCAACGCTTGTGACGCTGTTATGCTCTCTGACCAGTTGTGTGGCACCATAAGCTCTCCAGTAACGCTGTTCGGGCGTCGTTTGCTCCGGAAGAACCGGGGCTCGCAAAAGATTCGTTCTAGGTCTTGTTGAAGACATTGTGGCGACAGCAGCGATCGCTTTAAGTGGTCTTTTGGTAGGCGATGAGCTGCTCGAATTGAGAGTTGACTTTTTCAGTATGGTTAGCGCATCATTTTTTCAAGCCAGCCAGAGAAGATCACTTCGTACTTATGTGACATCAATAGTTAGCGACAGCGAAACGGGGCAAACACCCTACCGATATTGTCCTTTGCCAGTGATATATCAGCCCTTGAAGCTGTTGAAATGTACTAGAGCTTCTTCATCGTTATGGTATTTCAGCTTCTTTTCTGAAAGTAATGCAGGTTGGTCCCCATCTATTCCCTGAGCTCAAATATGGGGATCTCGGCCTCTCATCATACAAAAACGCCCTGGTGGACTACCAAAATAAATGTATTTCATTGTTCAATGCGTTTGCGAAAGACAATCTTTCGAGGATTTCGACCTTACCTCTACCCTTACTATATATTTACTCGATTACCCATTTTAGGCGCATGCAGCGGTCAAAAATTCCTGTTAAAATGTTGGCGACTTTATTAGCTTCGTAAGATTCCAAATAAATTGTGTTGATGGCTTGGCAAGGTTTAAAGTACTCGGTTTTCCTTTGGAACTCGATTATATGCTTTGTTATGAAATTTACCTTTAAATACTCTCACCTTAACAAACTGAACCTCACTGCTGTAAAAACCAAAAAAACCAGCATAAACACAGGTAACAATGGCTCAATTGCAATGGCAAACGACTTTGGCACCTCTGCCAGCTACTGAACGTAACTTCTCGACCAAAATCTCGTACGACAAACGATCGAGATGTATTGCATATGGTTGCGGAAAGTCAGCGTTCGTGAGATGGCTAGATTCGGATTTCCAAGTTCAATTCAAAGGCCATGGTACAGCTAAAGTCAACGTCGTGCGTTTTCAGCCTCTTCCTGGCTCCAATTACATGTGTTCAGGCGACGAGCAGGGCCGTGTGATCGTGTGGGAATGGTTTCGCAATGCAGACCTTCTTGACGGAGACTCGAGCTCAGAACCTGCCACAGCGGTGAAGAGTGAGTTCCAAGTGTTATCGGGGCCTGTAACTGATATCAGCTGGGATATGGACGGTCGCAGACTATGTGTAGTCGGCGAGGGAAGAGACAAATTTGGGGCCTTCATCTCCTGGGACACGGGCAATTCTTTGGGCGAGCTTAGCGGACCTTCCAAACGCGTCAACGCGTGTCACATTAAGCTCAGCAGACCCATGAGGTGTTTCACTGCCGGCGATGACGGCGCATGTGTGTTTTTCGAAGGCCCCCCCTTCAGGTTTGCAGCAAGCGACCGGACTCACCACGATCAGGGGAAATTTATCCGTGACGTTAAGTTCTCGCCAGGTGCAGGAACGTATGCTGTCTCCATTGGCAGTGACCGGAAGATTGTATGCTTTGACGGTCGCACGGGAGAATTTATCAAGTATGTCGAGGATCCAAATGAAGTCATTGAAGGAGGCTTTTTCGCCCTCGACTGGTTCGACGAGGGTCCCGAGTCTCGCAAATTTGTCACTGCTAGTGCAGATGCAACAGTTCGAGTGTGGGATGTCGAGTCGTGCAAGTGTGTTTACAAGTGGACCATGGAGCGCACTCTCTCGAACCAACAGGTTGGTGTTGCAGTGATTGACGAAGACCAGGTTCTGTCCTTGTCCTTGAATGGTTCTTTGAACATCTTGAAGATAGGTGAAAACTCTCCGGTAAAAGTAATCGCTGGCCACAATAAAGCCATTACGTCTTTGGTTACCGCACCACTTGTTTCTGGATCTTATGACGGTAGAACGGTAACATGGGGCACCAACGGATCTCAAACAGCAACTATGAACAATGAGCACGAAAACGTTATTGTTGCTATACAAAACCATAAAGACATCACAACTACATCATGGGACAGCACTATGAGAGCTACTGGCAAGGTATTGCACACTTTCGAGTCTCAGCCAAAAGCGGCTTCGACTTATGACACGTCAGAGGCCGTTGTATCGATTGATAATGACCTCGAAATTATCAACTGCGAAACCGGCAAAATCGTTGCATCCAAAAAACTGTCATCAACTGTCTCTGCTGTCAATTTGGGACCGACATACGTTGCAATCGGGTACGAGCAGTTGAATACCATTGAGGTCTTTCATGTATCCGATCTTTCTGTGAGTTTCACAATTCCAACAGCCATGAGGGCCACTCCCTCATGCTTAGCACTCTCGCCATCTGAGAAATTCTTAGCAGCTGGTGATGTGATGGGCAAAATCTTACTGTTTGACCTAGAGACAAAAAGTGTCAAAACATCAAGATGGTCATTCCATACAGGCAAGATTACGAGCATGGCATGGAAGCCAACAGAGGCCGGAAGCGAAGAAGATCTCATCGCTACTGCGTCCCTAGATACTCATTTGATGGTTTACTCGATCAAGAGGCCGATGAAAACGGTCAAACAATTGAACGCTCACAAAGACGGTGTAAATATCGTCGCATGGGATGGAAGCTCCACTCTATTTACTGCGGGAGCGGACTCATGCATTAAAAAATGGAACCTTGCACTCGAATGATTGTGATGATCAAGCTCCAGCTGATTTTTGACGATTCGCTCATTTCCTTCTTGAAATTTTTGTGAGAAACTCCCCAGAAAACTGTGGCCTACTCGTATTGAAGTGTTTTCGAATGAGCATGAAGAATGACCGACCTGTTGCCAATCGATATTCCAACAAGTGTACAAGACTTTATTTTATGAGAGATTTCAAAAGACAGCAAATCTTCGTAAACGCACGGTCCGTTTAAAACCGAAATGTTGTTTGTCCAACTAGCGCAGCCGCCTTTATGGACTGTCTGGTTTTCGGTAGCAGATACGAAGATGACCTTGGCAGCAGAAAGTGCTCTTCCTCGCACAAATTTAGAGATTGCGCGAATGAGACAGGCTTTCAATTTTTCTTCACAGCGGTTGAATAAATCATGGAACCTGGCTCGCTGGCTACACACCGAGTCCCTCCATAAGGCCCTGGTCAGACGCGACTGGTGATAGATCATTTTGTACTATTATGTCGCAGCTTGTGTGTTGCGCTTGAATCGAGAAATACGACAACAAGACAACCTTGTTTTAGAACCTGGGAAACGGGGTAATACACCATGTTCCACTTAAGATGCTCTTGATTGAACGCTTATGTCGATCATTAAACATTGTATCTCAGCTTTTTCATAGACCGCCTCAAACGCAAATAAATATGATAATTCTCCATCAAACAACAAACTTGAACGTGAAATTTGTGAAAATGTGCTTATTCGATAGCTGAGATAGCTACCTTAAAACTTCATCAAGCTCATCTTTCGACGAGTGTTGGTTGAAGTCCAAATTTGCCAGTAGTTAAATTTTAAGCATAGAATGACCGAAAAATCTCGGAAAAAAGTCCAAGAAATTTCCTTAGACTGCTATAAAGCTCTGTATCTTTGGATACTCTTCAAGCAATCAAATCGGACTCTCTTCAGCTGAATATCTAGCTTTGATTTTTGGTTTATGTGTAGGGTGTCGCTATCGTCATGTATGATTATAAAATAGTCGAAAACAATCTAACATATAACATCTTTAGAGATTTCAACTAACTCTAAAACATCAAAGACGTTCTACTTATGAGCTCCGATTCACCTTCTAAGACTGCCAATCCCTCTGTTGGGAGAAGGTCTGTCTCGGCCAATGGAAAGATCAATTATGCGGTGGACGATGAAGACCTAGAACTCAGAGACGATGAAAAGGATGAAGACTACAACGAAGATATGCCTGACGACGATGACAATGACGACGATAACCTCGACACTGAGAATGAGAGGTCCAGAAACTCTACCAGCGCTAATAGGCCAATTATGCAGGAGACTGTTCTTAGTGCATCTCGACTTCCTGCACAACCTAGACGGGGGAGACCTCCCAAACGTAAGAATACAGCAGTTGACACAACTTTGCCGATCATTGACAACTCGAAGATAGAAGGAGCTAATAACAGCAAAACCCCGAAAAGACCGCACCTGTCATTTCCTGTTGACGAAAATGGTGAACCCGTACCCGTTGTCAACGACGAATACGCGCTTCCTGACGACGCCGAGGGCGATACCAAGATTAATAGAGACGGAGATTTGCTGGGAGGACGGCAATTCTTGGTGAGGACTTTTACCGTAACTACACGAGGCGAGCGTAAATTTATGCTTTCGACGGAGCCTGCGCGAGCCGTGGGGTTCAGAGACTCGTATCTCTTTTTTCAGTACCACCCGAACTTGTACAAATTGACGATATCGCAGGACGAAAGAAACGACTTGATCCACAGAGGCGTAATACCGTACTCGTACCGAACCAGGACTATCACGCTTGTTGCTGCCAGAGGTGTGTACAAAGAGTTCGGAGCAAAAATCATTGTCGATGGGAAAAACATCACGGACGACTACTATGCGCAGAGACTGCGTGACGAGGGCCGCGTGGTAGAGGGCTCTTATGCGCGTGAGCCTCCTGCTGCTCTCCGCGGATCGGGCGTCGATGGATACAAATTCACCAGATCTGGGATCAATCCGTCCAAGAACGCCGTTGATTTCTTCGACAAGCGCAACCACAACATTCCTCCAAGCAGCAACATCAGCTCCACGAACTGGCTCTACCAGCATGCTGCAGCCTGCAGTAGATTCAACAGTGACTTGTTCTACGACAGAGAAAGAGTGCTTTTGATCGAACATCAAGGTCTGCGGGACCCCTACACCAACACTTTGCATCTCCCACAGTCCACACAATCGACACAAGTCTTAACTTATGTGCAAAATACCAACCAGAAACCGGCAGACAGAGCCGTCGTCTACGAAACCATCATAGCAGACAAAGATCTAACACGCAGGTGTATTGGAATCAAAAATGTGTCGCTTGATGTTTTTGAAGACGTTGTTGACGACGATGTCAAGCTGGCAATACTGGAACAGCAGCAGTTCGAGAAGAACCTAAACTAAACTAAACTAAACAGCCCTCAGCGTCCAAACTGCTGCACCTGGGCCGATGTATTAAAATGTAACTCTATACGAAATATGGTTTAAGAGTTATTTGGAATCCTTCGATTCTAATAATCAGAACAGCCTTCTCCTGCTCGATACTCCCTCACCAAACTGCCTACAAGGAAGCCATCTTTCGAAACTCGAGGTTCGGTTATAATCAGAGAGAGCATTTTATTTGACAGGAAACACCTTGGGTCCTCTTTCTCACGTTTGTTGCTAGGTTTGGGTGGCAATCGTCAGCAAATACTTCAATAACGCATATAAGAAGATGCTGAGGTCAGTTTTTAGAGGCCGGACTAGTTCCATGTGGACCAGATCGGCTCGTACCACACTGTCACCGCGTTTGTTTATCACGGCATCTCCCAACGTTGCTCATTTACACTCAAGTTCCAGACTTTATAAGGACAGCTCAAGAGATCAGAACATCAGAGACAGGGACGCCAACGACGAAGACGTGGAGGATATCAAAAAAGAGATCGAGCGTTATATCCAGGACGCCAAAAATGACACGCCAGGGAACCGCGAATTGCGCAAGAAACGACTAGATGACAGTATCAAGAGACTGGAAGAGACCATGCTACGACAACAAGAGAAGCAGCGTCTGGAAGCTCAAGAAAGCGAAAACGACGTGACTGATAAAAATAAGACGTCTGCTGCTGAGCAGTCGAATGAGCAGGGGAAGTCTACAACGAACTCAGAAGACAGTCCGTTTGCCAACGAGGAGAAGCAAGCATTCGACCAAAACAAAAAGATTAACGACCGCAAAAAAGCAGAGGAGGAAAAACTTAAGAAAATCCTGAATGACCCAAACGCCAACGTGCTCGCTGTGAACATAGGGTTTCTGGAAATTGGGGTTTTGCTATTTCTGCTGTCGTTCGTTTTGAGTCGTGTTTACAACACTGAAGAACAGAGGGAAATAACGTGGCAAGATTTTAGATCGCAACTGCTCGCCAAAGGCTACGTTGCAAAGCTTGTTGTTATCAACAAGTCGTTTGTGAAAGTGATTCTTAACGAAAACGGTAAGAATCAGCCCGAACACAGCGGTCACGATTTCTACTTCTTTACAATTGGCTCCATAGAAAGCTTCGAAAGAAAACTTCAGAAGGCGCAAGAACAGATTAAAATTGCCGATGACTTCAGAGTTCCAGTCATCTATACTCAAGAAGGCAATTGGGCCAAGGCGATGTACCAGATTCTTCCGACAGCCTTGATGATCGGTGGTTTGATCTGGATTACTAAACGTTCCGCATCGGCTGCTGGAGGCGGTGGTCCCGGTGGTATTTTCAGTGTAGGCAAATCAAAGGCCAAGAGATTCAACAAGGACACCGCTGTCAAGATCTCCTTCGAAGACGTTGCAGGCTGCGATGAAGCTAAAGAAGAAATTATGGAATTTGTGAGCTTCCTAAAAGAGCCTTCCCGCTACGAAAAACTTGGTGCTCAAATACCCCGTGGTGCCATTCTATCTGGACCTCCAGGTACCGGTAAGACCTTGATTGCCAAAGCTACAGCGGGCGAGGCAGGTGTTCCCTTTTTTTCCGTTTCTGGTTCCGAGTTTGTGGAAATGTTTGTTGGTGTAGGTGCTTCCAGAGTTCGTGATTTATTCAAAAATGCTCGTGAGAATGCGCCCGCAATCATTTTTATCGATGAGATTGATGCTATAGGTAAAGCTAGACAAAAGGGAAATTTCTCCGGTGCTAATGATGAGAGAGAAAACACTTTGAACCAGCTACTGGTTGAAATGGACGGCTTCACTGCATCCGATCATATAGTCGTTCTTGCTGGTACTAATCGCCCAGATGTACTAGACCAAGCGTTGATGCGTCCCGGAAGATTTGACAGGCACATCAATATCGACAGACCCGAGCTTAAAGGTCGCAAACAGATTTTTGAAGTTCACTTAGCCAAGATAAAGCTAGCAGGATCCATGGAAGATTTGAAAAATAGATTGGCAGCATTGACTCCAGGATTTTCTGGTGCTGATATCTCGAATGTCTGTAACGAAGCTGCACTAACGGCCGCAAGAAACGATTGTAACTCTGTGAAGCTAAGTCATTTTGAACAGGCAATTGAAAGGGTCATCGGTGGCGTCGAAAGGAAGTCTAAACTTCTATCACCTGAGGAGAAAAAGATTGTGGCTTACCATGAAGCTGGTCACGCTGTATGTGGATGGTTCTTGGAATACGCCGATCCTCTGCTGAAGGTGAGTATTATTCCTCGCGGTCAAGGCGCTCTGGGTTACGCGCAGTATCTACCAGGTGACGTTTATCTATTGAGCGAACAGCAATTAAAAGATAGAATGACCATGGCCCTAGGTGGCAGAGTATCCGAGGAACTGCATTTCCCATCTGTGACAAGTGGCGCCTCAGATGATTTCCAGAAGGTTACGCGTATGGCTACTGCAATGGTAACGGAATTGGGTATGAGTGACAAGATCGGCTGGATCAACTACCAAAGGAAAAGCGAAAGTGATTTAACAAAGCCATTTTCGGAAGAAACGGCTGCGATCGTCGACTCCGAGGTCTACGAAATAGTTCAAGCCTGTCACGATCGTTGCGCTGCTCTTCTCCAAGAAAAATCCGACGCAGTGGAAATGGTCGCTCAGCAATTGTTGAAGGAAGAGGTGTTGACAAGGGAGGACATGATTCGCATGTTGGGGAAACGTCCCTTCTCTGAACGTAATGACGCATTTGACAAATATCTCAACGAAAAGGAAACCGAAAGGCTGCGCAAGAACGAGGAACGGGACATAGGAATGAGCGTTTAAAAAACGCTAATCTGGAACCTGGACGAAGAGCGGGCTACAATAATAATAAAATTATGAGCTCTACCCGTGTCAGTCGTCGCACTGATGCTATATCACTTGTAAATAAAATATATTAGCACAATGACAACGAAGTCACATAAGAATCAAAAGCGAACCTGTTGGGCTGCTCTAATCTTCAATCATGCCCTGCAATACCGGACAGATTGGACAATAGTGGCACGATTCCTACTGATTTACTTACGACGTCGCTGTAAAAATTCCAAGGGAATTAGATCGACAAGATAAAGAAATCATTTGAGCGGAAGCATGTCCGTCGCCATTCTACAATCGGATAAATCCGCCAAGACAATGCCACCGAAGTTGGTGCACCTATTCTTGATTTAATCGCTAGAAGCTGCAGCTGTATATAAGGACAACAATTGAGTTGCTAATACGCCATCTGAAGATATCCAAAAGGCTAGTGACCAGGGATCTTTTGACCAAAAAACATGAATTCTAGTGAACAAACTGAGGAAAGCGCCTTGTTGGCCGAGTGTACTGATGAGTCCAGCAACAGCACTTCTCTTGAGCAAAAATGTCATAATCAAAACTTGGGTCTATCAAAAGCTCCGATTCTAGTATCGCTTTGGCTTGGATCTTTTCTGGTAGCCATTGATGGCACTGTCGTCGCCAACATTACCAATGCTATAGCTGCAGATTTTCAGGAATCTGACAAAAAACAGTGGATTGCCACGAGTTTTTTGTTGACCAACACCGCTTTCCAATGTTTGTATGGTAAACTGTCAGATATCTCTGGTCGAAAGTTTGCGTTACTAACGGCGCAGTTCTTTTTCGGACTGGGTTGTCTGATGACCTGTTTTGCTGGCAACGTAACCCAGTTCTCGATAGCACGGGCCGTTTGTGGTATCGGTGGTGGTGGAATCAGTGCCATGAGCAGTATCACGGTTAGTGACATTTGCACAACGAAAGAAAGAGGGATGTACCAAGGCTATGCCAATATCGTATTTGGAGCGGGACAGTTACTGGGAGCACCATTGGGTGGCTTTTTAATCACATCCGTGGGCTGGAAACTCATTTTCGCTGTTCAAGTACCGATGATTGTATTGTGCATGTTTTTGGCGCATCGTAACGTGAACATTGAGCTCGCTCACTTAAAGCCAGTCGAAGAGCGTTTTACATTTGAGAACATGTCTCGCTTAGATCTGGTAGGATCGGCCACCTTAGTGACATCTATCAGTGGGCTCTTGTTTTTGTTTGCGAGTAACCTCAACAAAATTGCCGTTTTGATTTGCACTGTGCTGAGTTTTATACTTTTCGCCTGCAACGAGAAGTATTGGGCCCGCGAGCGCATCATTCCGTTTGAATTGCTTCGAGGCAATTTTGGCTTAACATCTTTGATCACCGTCGCGTCAACCTTCGTTATGTTTGGAGACGTCTTCAGATCGCCAATTTACCTGCAGGTAGTTCAGAACATCTCAATTGCCAAGAGTGGAATATTCATCTTGTTTGGATCAGCAGCATGTGCAGCGGCGTCTCTTCTTACAGGCTGGATATTAAGACACACCAAAATGGACCTTGCCAAATGTTCGTTTTTGATCATTCTAGCGGCGGTCTTTTTGCAATTGGCTGGCGTTGTGCTCAGCTCTGTGCTAGTTGCAACACTACAACCAGATAAAAAGTCATATTCGCAAGAAGACAACAGTTTATCGGTTTTGCTCCAGCTTGACTCTCGTGGCCTTCTTTGGAAATGCATTTACGTGGTGGCTACAGTCTTCAACGCTTTTGGGTATGGTTGTCTTTTGGTATCAGTATTGGTGAGCATTGTGTTTACGGTGCCAAAGTCTCAGCAAGCCACGCTAACCGGCATATTTTACCTGTGGAGATCGATCGGCAGTGTTTTAGGAACGTCCATCACACTGACGACTTATGATTTGACGCTGAAAACAAAGCTATGGACCTATATGAGCTCGAACGGCCTGTCGAAAGCGTACCCAAAGCTACTACGGGACTCTGGGTATCTCCGAGCCCACTTTTCGGGCCAAACACTTACTGCGCTATTGGAAGTTTATCGCAAGTGTTTTGTATGGTCTTTTGCACCTGGCTTTGCTGGAGGTGCTATTGCTGTGGTTGTTGGGCTCATACTAGTTACTATGATGTCGCCCAAATCTGGGCGCTAGAACTGAGGCAAAATGCTCGCTATAGGGTCCTTGCAAGCGTCGTACGCGAGCAATGCTTTGGTGTTGATGCCAAGCCGTGCACACTCCTCGAGACATTGGGGTGGAACGAAATTGTTGTAGCGATAGCCTAGAAATTGCATAATTATGACGTTTCTGAGTTCCAGAGACATCGAGACCGAGCCAGAGCCAGAGCCCTGAAATAGTCGAATTGCTAGCTCCATGGCCTTGCTGCACACTTCCACGGGAACCCCGGCAAAACCAGTTGCCAGACCTGGGACCACCAAAACTTCTGCGTCTTTCGGCGTGTTGGTGAGCGCACTCCACAGTGTATTGAAAACCAGACCGTAGCCAGTTTCTACGGGTCTGGCTGGGTCGTAAACTTTACGCGAAAGAGACGGTGCCACTACGGTCGGAACGTGAATCACGCGTGTGATTCCGTTTTTGCTCCATTTAGTGCCCAGTTCCACCACCGTTGCAGTTCCAACCGGTTTGTAGCCTGTTGGGCCCAATTGCTGTCTAAAGTATGTCTCGAACTCGGGACCTCCAAAAAACCGCTGCAGTGCCAGATCAAACCCACCACCTAACCATCCAAACGAGTTTCCGGGCGAAACTACCGCTGCTGATGCCTTCGTTTTCGGGCTTTCCATTGCGCTGAAGTCTAATTTATCTAGGTCTTCTGTACATATTTTTACATATTTCAAATCGGCTAAACCGCGTCTCCAAAACTCGATAAGTTTGGCATTCTTATCCACTAGAATAATCTGTCTTAACATTGCTATATTGGCGGCTATTGTGGTGTTTTTTTTGATTTGATAAAAGTTGTATGTGTTGATCTTTTTTTTGATGTACAATTCTCATATGTCAAAAATCAATTATATTAAAGTTGGCCAAAGTGAAAAAAATGCTGATCTTCTCATCATCAGATCAAATGCCTAGATATAAGACCTGAAGTCTTTGAAGACACTCAAAGACACTTAAAGCGAGTATTTGTGCATCAATAGGTAGCCACGATGCTTCGACGTCAAGTTTACAAATTTCCCGGACGCATACAAGCGATTCCGATGGCTCCTCCAGACAAAATATTGGGCCTTACAGAGCAGTTTAATGTCGACAAAAATCCAAAAAAAACAAACCTTACCGTGGGTATTTACAAGGACAACTGGGGCCAGGTAACGACCTTCCCAAGTGTGGCAAGGGCGCAAACAATTCTGGACCAGAGTTTTGAAATGAACACAGACTTATCATATCTGCCCATCAAAGGCTGTCCCGATTTCCGAGAAAATGTTCTCAAGTTTTTATACCGAGACAGTTGTCCCGAGGGCGTGGAATTGCTGGATCAGGATCGAATCAGTTTTGTGCAAACGCTCTCGGGAACGGGCGCTTTGGCCGTGGCATCCAAGTTCCTGTCACTTTTCATTTCTCGCACAGTATGGTTTCCTGATCCATCTTGGCCTAACCACGCAAACGTTTTTCAAAATAACGGCTTCAAAAATATCAACTATTACACTTATTACAAGGAAGGTAAACTAGACGTCGACGGGTGGATTCAGGACCTGGAAAAAGAAGCCAGAGAAACCACTGATGAGTATCCCCCATGCATTGTGCTGCACGCTTGTTGCCACAACCCTACCGGTCTAGATCCAACTCTCGAGCAGTGGAGACGCATTCTCGACAAAATACAAGAACTCAAAATGATCCCGATAATAGACATGGCGTACCAAGGTCTAGACACTGGCGATCTCATCAAAGACACATATCTGCTGCGTTTGAGTCTGGACAAAAATCGATATCAGTGGCCTAACGGACTGTTTTTATGTCAGTCTTTTGCGAAAAACATGGGTCTTTACGGAGAACGTGTTGGCTCTCTCTCAGTTGTAACGCCCTCCGGTGGAGATGTTAAGCACAACGTAGATTCCCAGCTGAAAAAAATCGTACGCGGCATGTACTCCTCGCCACCAGGTTATGGCTCCCGGGTAGCCAACATCGTGCTTTCTACCCCACATTTGAAAGATCTGTGGTTTGAAGATGTGAAAAACGTCGCACAAAGATTACAATCGGTCAAAGCAAAGATGGCAGAACGGCTAGATTGGGAGTCGCTTAAAGATCCATCACGTCAGCATGGAATGTTCCTTTACACTGGGCTAAATACGTCTAGTGTCGATATCTTGAGGGAACGTTTCTCGATCTACTTAGTGCAAGACGGCCGTCTTTCGTTGAGCGGTCTGAACGACTCCAATATAGACTACGTTTGCGACGCTTTGCGTAAGGTTTAGAGATAAAGTTGAACAAACGCTATTCACCAGTCTCAGCGTGGCCCCATCCAAAATTCACTCACAGATTGATATTAAGTAATTATAAGTTCCATTCTATCTACGTTTTTCACTTCTTTCTACCAAACAGCTTTTTTAATTTTTTGCCAAAGCTCTTCTTTTTGACAGGCTCATCATTTCCTGAACCTCCAGAAGGCAACTGCTCGCTTAAGAAACGATTGCTCAAGGTGTTGCCCGTTTTAGCTGGCATGGCATTTCCCGAACTACTCACAGACCTTAGTGATAGAGAACTAAACTTTTTGTTAGGTGTATTATGCTTCGAGTTCGGGGCGGTCGCAGATTGAGCATAGCGTGGCTGTGGTGGTTCGAACAAAGAGTCCTTTTTATTTTTGAAAGAAAAAACTCCACTCTTTCCAGTCGAATGTGTGGCATTCTGTTGTGGGGCCGGCATTGGCCCACCCTCATCTTCCGAGTCCGAATCTTGGAATCTTGAGCTCCATTTTTCTCCCGATGACAAAGGAGCTTGCTGTGACAAAGAGGCAGGAGGGTTCTTTCCTTTCGTAGGTGTTGAAATGTCCATTTTTCCTGCTGGCATTGTATCGCTCGGTCCGTCTGCCATTGAGTCTCTTAGCGATAGCTTTTTGAATCCCGTATGCGTTTGATCGGGTCTTACTCTTTCAAAGCTAGAGCGCTTTTGTGGTGGCTCTGGAGGGTAAAATATGGATGGGTCATTTCGTGACTGCTGCTTGGCGTGACTCCCAGGCTTTGTGACTGGTTTTTTTGAAGATGAGTCTGGTCGCATTCTAGATCTTGCCGGCGGCTGGATGTCAGATTTTGGTAACGCCTGGACAGAGCGATGCTTTTGTCTCGTTGCATCTTCTTTTTTGGGCACCCTGCTGTTGCCATTCGTCATAGATTGAGGTCTAGTTCTCCGAACAGAAGGCTGGCGCTGGGGCGGTTCGTTGGAGAGCTGTGCGTTTAGTCTTGTGTTCTGAGCAGTCGCTAAAGAGACGTACGCGTCATGGGCTGTAGAATTTGAATCTTGAGAGTAAGTGCCATTGCCAGAATTGTTGTTCAAAGACTGTTTGAGGGCGGACTTCATAGGAGATGTGACTCTGGCCATTGGAGGTGAAGCCGGTGAGCTTACAACTGCTTCTTTGCCGCCATTTTCAGTCACATTGTCAGATGCATCCGAGTATTCATCCCTGGCTGCTTCATGTGCCTTATTAAGGTATCGATTAGCCGAGCGGAGGTATTTGGCCATACTGTTGCCCGAGTCTTTTTTGTCTGGAGCAGCAGTACCATGTTCGGGGCTCGTTTCTGATTTTATTTCTTTCGATATGGGGATTTCGTCTGTCAATTTGTCTTCGTTAATAACATCTTCAACTGTTTTGACTGGTGAGTCTGAATCACTGGGTGTATCCGTAACACGAAATTCTGGAACTGCACTGTCTTCTGGTGTCTCTGTGAGGTCCTCCCCTGGTGGTGAAATAAGGACTTTTGGGGGGGATGGTGGGGTGGGGCTCTCGGGTTTGGCTGTAAAAGGAGCTATTAGTACAACGGGTTTTGAATTGACTTTCTCAGTTTTAACTTGGTGAGAAGGAGCTGACGTCGCGGACTTTCTGGGCGACGAAGGTAAGACAATGGGGTTAACCACGTCTTTGTTTTGACGTTCCTTCTGAAGCTGCTCGTCTGTTTCTTCCTCAAGAGACTGTTGTACCAGATTACTGCGCGGATTATGGCTTCGGAGGGGACTATTAGGAGCTTCAATTTTCTTGCGAGCGCTAACTTTATTTTGAACGGTGTTTCTGGTCTCTGCCGACTGAGATCCCAACGACGACTTCCGCCGCAAGGAGTCTGAACGCAATGAGTTATTGCGTGAGGAGAGACCGCTATTCGTTGAGGGCGAACGTCTGGTGAGACTTGAACGCCTGCTGGAGGGGTTCTGGACATCTGCGACTGGAACTTCAACGAGTCGCAACCCAGTTGGCCCAGGAACGTATTTCTTTACCGTTGCGGGTTTGGTATGCGCCTGAGGCCCACCGAATTGTTGGAACGTGTCCTGTGCGTCGAAAAACTCGCTTTCATCGATGCTGCTTCTAACTCTTGTTTTTTTCGTCTGTAAGCTCGAGGTACGCACCGAGTCTCGTTTGGAGCGTAGACTGTTATTTCTTCCGCTCATCGACATCGACCGAACCATGGAATTTGACCGAGAACTGCTATTGTAGCGCGGCAATTTGTCGGCGTCCACTTTGGTGCCTTTTTGATCCAAAGCTCTCCCAATTGCAGCTGCAGCGGCAACCGCCTCGGAGTCTATTGCCTTGCTTTGACGGGACCTTCTCGAATGTAACATTAAGTTTGAACAGCTGGCTTCAAGTATTCGACTGAAGCTCTGGAGTTGTTGATGAAAAGGGGAGGGTTCAAGTTGAGCTTCGACGAAACTTTTTGCAACTGTGTTATAAACCCATAACAAACTCAGGTAGCGTGAATGTTGCGTGAGTTTCACGTGAGTTTCACGCGAAACACGATACCTACATAGATGTTGTCAGTCGTTTAATCAAGGACGATGGCCCATCAACTTGGTCCTGCGAAGCCAGCGTGAGGCAGTCGACTGCTTTTGAGCCCAAGCTGGAAGCAAAAATCTTGAGTTGGTATACGCGAAAATTCTGGAGAGTTTACTCTGGAAAGCAGTACTTGGTGGATCCGCGATGCTTGCTATGTGTTGTGTGCATTCCTGAATCAGACGGCTAAGCCGTCTCTGTTTGGCATCAAGCACGCACAAAAAGCTTGAAAAGGTGATTACGGAATTTCGTCAACGGTCGACGAGAAATTCGCCACGAGGAAGATGATCTGGTTGTCGAGAAGCTTTTGCTGAGCTAAATGCAGAGCTTTTCAAGCTTCTGTACTTAAATTACAACAACAAAAAGTCTCGGAAACCGTAGGTCCTCTCCTTTTCCGACTGGACTCGCAAATTAATTGCACTTCGTTCCATGACAGGCGTGGAAACCCCACAAGACAACACATTTTTTGATCATTTTGGGCGTACAGCAATCCTCAACTCCGCATAATACGTTAAGCATCTGCAACTCTCGAGGGCACTGATTTGTTGTAACTAGCCGCCGATCGTCATTGTCCTCATAATTGACCATTTCAATCGCTGAAAAAAGTCTCTGTGTGCCGTTACAGCTTGTTCAATCGGAATGGGAGCCAAACAGTTTAAACCAAGCGCTCGGTTCTCAGATATTCGATGTCCTGGGGTGTTTTGTACAAGCAGTTACGATTGTAAATGTCAGTTTCAGGCTTAGATATTAATTAAATATCGAGCTTCCGTATAAAATGCTAGTATATGGCTCAGAGTTCTAAACCGTAATGACAGAAACTAGTTGTAAAAATGTAGCTTCTAGAGACTTTGGTCGTTGACAAGTGTTTACGTCGCTAAATTTGAGTCACAAATGGTGTTTCTAAGTTTTCGTATAACAAAATTGGCACTCAGTAAACTTAGACCGTATTTTCCCAATTTTCAGCCCGAACGGCACTACCATCGAAAAATTCCCCGCATTCTGTCCCACCTCACACACTTATCTTTCAATTCGTATCATATTTTTACCTAAGAATTAATTTTTACTATAAAGCTCTATGGATTTATTTGAGCGCTGCTGTTTATCCATTTTCCTAGCAATTGGCTCTTTATGCATCGCGTAATATTCGGTTGTCCTAAGATTTGAACACGTTAAAAAAAGTGGCGTTGCCACGTTTATTCCACGGTGACTGATTTTGCCAGGTTTCTTGGGAAATCCACATCTATATTCTTGTTCACAGCAAGCCAGTAGGCAGTCAGCTGCAAAGGAACGATGTTTAGCAAACCTTGCAGACAATCCACGGTTAGTGGGACCTCTAGCGTAACAAGATTGGTGTTTTTACACTTGGCCCTCCAAACTTCGTCGTTCTCATTGCAAATAATAATTGGACGTCCCTTTCTGGCAGTAACCTGTTCAATAGACGAAACAACTTTTGGGAACAACGAGTCCCTCGTGGCAAACGCAATGATTGGTAAATCTTCGTCAACAAGAGCCAGAACACCGTGTTTCAATTCACCTGCAAGCACACCTTCTGAATGCATGTACGAAATCTCCTTAATTTTCAAAGCACCTTCCAAGGCAGACGCAAATTGGTAACCTCTTCCCAAAAGTAGTAAAGATTTTTGGTCTTTCAACTCGGTGTTGCACAGCTTTTTGATAAGAGGCTCCATCTGTAACACTTTTTTGATTTGTTCCGGGATGAGTTTGAGACCTTGAATAATTTCCTTTCTTCTTTCGATTTTCGAAACCCGGTCATCAGACAAGGACAATGCGAACATCACCAGGGCAATATACTGGGAAGTGTAGGCCTTGGTCGAGGCTACACCGATTTCAGGACCAGCGTTGATGTGGACACCACAATGAGTGACTCTAGAGATCGAAGAACCAACACTGTTCACAATACCCACAGTCAAGGCGCCTCTTTCCAAACAGTATTTGAGAGCAAGCATGGTGTCTGCCGTTTCACCACTTTGCGAAACAAACACACACACGTCATCTCTAAAGACCGGGGTCTTACGGTCCAAGAAGTCGGATGCCAACTCAACGCTCACAGGGATCTCGGACAACTCTTCGAAAATGGCTCTAGTGGCCAGACATGAGTGATAAGAAGTGCCGCATGCGATCATGATAAGTCTGCGTGCCCTTCTCACGACGGGGAGCCACGCGCTCAGGCCTCCAAGCATCACGCTGTTGTTTTCAAAATCGATTCTACCACGCATGGTGTTGAAAGTAGAATCGTGCTGCTCAAAGATCTCCTTTTGCATGAAATGCTTGTAGTCGCCTCTCATAATTTGAGCAAGCTCCAATTCCAAAGTTTGGATGGATCTGGTAGCAGATTCGCCCATTTTGCGTCTGGATCTGTGGATGTGCAATTCACCATCGTAGATATGCGCAATATCGTCGTCCTCCAAAAACAACACTTTTTTGGTGTGTTTGACCACAGAAGCAGCGTCGGAGGACACGAAAAACTCGACCGGGTTGGGTGCACCGTCTTCGGACAAAAACGCACGCGATTGAGACCGTCTCAATGCAGACTCGTTAGCGGCAATGGGCAAAAAGTTGCGGTGCTCGCCACGCACGGAGTTGAGTGGGACCTCGGGTTGTGGGTCATTGTCGGAGTCCGGGAATTCCACGTCGACAAAATCGACTTTGAGCTTGCGTTCGGACTTGACACCGACCAATAGCGGCGAACCCTTACGAGTGGCAATCACCTCGTTTGGATAGTGGATAGAGCGACACAGCAATCCGTACGAGCCGTCCAGTTCTTGTAGAACCTGGACTGTAAGCTCGTGGAAGTCGAGATCAACGCCGTTTTTCACGTTGGTGTCGTACAAATGCTTGAACAATTTGGCAATGCACTCGGTGTCGGTGTCGGACTCGAAATGGCAGCCCTTGTTGACGAGCAATTGCTTAAGTGCGCGAAAGTTGGTGATGATCCCGTTGTGAACAATCACGAACTCGTTGTGGGCGTCTGAACGCTGGGGATGGCAGTTGACGTTTTTGGGCTCACCGTGCGTGGCCCAACGGGTGTGAGCGATCCCGCAATGCGACACAAACGTCGCTTCGCGTTGTGGCTGCTGTCTCTCTATTTCCTGTTCCAGAGCTGCTACTTTGCCGATGTGTCTGTAGATCAGCGTAGAGTCTGGTTCATCGCCGTCGATGGCTATACCAGTCGAGTCATACCCACGATACTCAAGGCGTTGTATACCTTCCACCAATGTGTCTATCACTTCACCGCGTGATTTTTCTACCAAATAGTTGCAGTAGCCAAAGATACCACACATTTTTGGAGACTAAAACGAGTTTTTGGAGTTTAAATCTTCGAAGGCTATTTTACTTCTTGAAAATGCTTGAAATTGGACGCTTTTTTCGGGAAATCCACAACTTATGGCTATGTGGATTGCAGTAACACGTTCAATTGATGAAAGTTTAAGCTTTAAAACTGGCAAAGGACTGTTTCCACTGTGTTTGGTTAGGTGTCGAGTGTTCTGTGTTCTGTGTTTCGTGTTCAAAGTTTCGATTTATGTACAATTTATGGGCCCTGTAATTATTTCATTTTCACATACGGGATCAAATTATAGCGGTGAACCCGGCGACGGCCGTATTAAAAATAGCTTGTTTGGGAATTGCCAGAAACGAGAGTGACACGTGATAGAAATCCGGAGCGCCGTTGAACAATCGAGAGCTTCAGCGACCGATTGTGAACGATCGGGATGGCTATAAGCATTATTTAACAATTGTGACGGCTAGTGATTGATTGTGACTATTCGGAATGGCATTTAGAATCATCGAAAAATTAAGAGCGTCAGCGATTGATTGTGAGATTTTCAAGTTTCCACCAGCACTACAACACAGTTGAGAGCATTGGCGATCAATTGTGAATATTTGGAAGGTTTGAGGAGTGAAGATGGACATCACGATATCGACACAGTGCGTAAGATATGAAGAGATCTGTCTTCAAGGATGTACTCGAATGTGTACTCGTAGTGGTAACCATCGTACTCACGAATGTACTCGAGAATGCACAGTTGAACGAGTTACAGTGCTAGAAGCACTACTAAATGGGAGCGTCAGCAATCGATATGAGAAGTAGGGTGGCTACAAGCACTACGAAGCAATCGAGAGCGTCAGCGACCGACCGATTGTGAATAAATACGGTGGCTATGAAAATAATTGATTAATCCAAGGCTTCAGCGAACAACTGTTAATAACTAAAAGCGCATAGTATCATTGAACATTTGATCGCTACGCGTTCAATCGATGGCGTTTTATAACTCAGCTTTTGTTGAAGAACCCATATCTTTTAGGTCGCTCCGTGTCATTCTGCTTCTGTGCAGGGAAGACAAAGCTGTCCAACGGGTTAACCCGTTTCACGAATGTAGTGCCCGGTTTCCATAAACGGGTACCAAACATGATATACCTATTTAAGGCACAATACCTCGTCGCTTCTAGTAAGCTAGTTGTTATCAGGCACATGAATGTTGCGTTGATGATTCGGGTACTCGGACGGTTCCTCAATGGTGTGAGTACTACCAAGAGATCAAATTATACATACCGGGTAGAAACGGTTCTTTGTGGCCGTTATAGTACGCGTTACCCGAACACCTGAAGTATTCGTCAGATAACTTCGAGCCCTAAGTATGCCGAAACAGGTATGTACGATTCCGTCATAGTTGGTTGAAACTATACCCACAAATACCCGGTTTTCTTGTCGGTCATTACCCCATTCCTGAACTAAGAGTACTACAAAATATTATCATTATGCGCCCGTCATGCTCTTGCTTGAGCTTCATTCCAAGCTCTTCCAGTCCGGCCAGTAGTCTTGTAAAGACGTATATATTTGAAATACTTTCTGCGCATATGTTTGTGAAGATCTTCAAGCAAAACTGTTTCCGTGCTTGAGACTTTAAGAATTTTTCATCCAGTAACCAAAGCAAAAGCTAGTGTACACATTGTTCTTTATTCTTCAGTCTACATGATCTGCGAGCAAAGTCCCATTTTCTCTATTAGGCTTTGCAATTATCGACATTGTAGTAATATCATGGTTTTCGTACAATATCTGGAGTTTTTCGTCCTTTAGAAAATTACCAAGTTACTGCTAATTTCTTTGACGTTCTTCAAGGTTGAGAAGCTCTACGTTCGCCCTATTGTGTCTTCTAGAAGTCATGTAGCAGTTGTATTCTGTTGAACTTCGATCATTTATATTATCACTTCAAAGTAGATTGTCATCTGTCATTCTATCACATGGCCCGTGCCATGGCGCAATCGAGGCCTCACACCGCCTCACAACCTGAGCAAACGCTTAAAGTATACTTTACACCAGATTCGCCCTTGTATAAATTATCGTCCAAACGCTGAGGCTTATTCACAACCATCATTTTTCTTAATGATATTCCAAGAGTAGAGTACCGGTAAGAAATGCTCGTTTCTTGGACATACTGCTTGGTAGTAACGCAATCATGACCAGCGGACTTCTTCGAGAGGTATAATTGGGGTAACAATATTCTTGATCCTCCTAGAATTCGATTTATGGCACCACTTGAAGTCACATATTGTCTAGATTTTGTCCCATCATCGCATGACTGGTAAAAAATCTAATCAATGCTGCAATGACAACATACACGTCTAACAGCTGTGGCAACAGTTTATTTGAACCATTCAGCTGTCACTTTTACACCAGATCTACATAGCTTTCGAAGCAGATAAATGCATTAAAAGTGCAGTGAGAGTTGCGAGCTTTGTTCACAGACACTCAAATGATTGACGGATAAGAGTGAATTCACGATTTGCATAGCCCGATTCGATATTTGGAGTTAGCAGGATACAATTGGTCACAGCTCTTGGCAAACTTAACTTTCATTTCGCACTCATGATCATTTAGCCCATTCACCTCTTCAAACGACCTCTGGATTTTTCCGCCCTAGGTCTTCCAGACATGCCTGAAGCACCTTTCGAATTGTTTGTCTGCAAAACATTGCAAGCGCGAAAGTGACCACTTGTCTCTATAGTAAAACTTTCCTTCTAAATGCATACGAAAGCGTCGTTTTTGAATGTGTGTGATACGTAAATTTTAACTTTTGTAGGGTTCGTTGGTCTTGCATTGAATTGCAATCCTGATATGAGTGCACTAGAGATGTATCAAACAGAGCTCCATGTACCGAGCTACTATCTGTTGATCAAAGATCGCCAAATTTGTCGTAAACAGATCTCCAGTTAGTGAAAAATCCCTTGAAGAACTTGATGGCCAGCCCGACATCTTTGGAACCTGTTACTGCTCTAATGCTGTGCATAGCCAACTGGGCAATACCTAGATCGATGGTCCTAGCACCAGTCTGGGAGGCAATTGATGGACCAATTGTTCCACCCGATCTAGAGTTATTCTTGATCTGGAAGTACTGAATTTTGTCACCGTTGATCCTGGCTAGTTCTTCGGCGAGGGCAACGCCAACCACATCGGTCGACATGTGGAGGTTCGAATCCAGCGAAAGAGTCACTCCAACGTTGGGCTTGGGTCTGTGGTGTTCCATATACACTGATTTGAAGTTGGGGTTGAACATGTGGTTCACATCAGCGGATAAGACAATCGAATTCGCGAAAGCGGTACGCACAATTGAGGGGTGGTCGCCATGCAGATTGGCAGCCACTCTTTGCACCACGCTCTCCAAGAGGCCACCTTTCGCACCTTGTCTTGACAGTGAGCCCACTTCCTCGTTGTCATACAAAGTTACAACGTTGAAGGCACCCGATGGAATGGAGCCTTCTTTGGCAAAATCAATCAAGGCTTGAATAGCGGAGAAACTGCAAATGCGGTCATCGATACGGGGCGCAAACAAAAATTCGTTCTTCAGACCCCCAAAAGTCCCCTTCTGGACGTCAAACAGATCCAGGTCGAGCTGTACAATCTGGCTTACTTTGACCTGGGTCAGTCCCGCGATGAACCTTAGCAGACCGATGGGGTGCTTTCCGTAGAGAGGGCATTGGGACTCGTCTTCCAAATCGCCTGCTTGCTTTTCCTCCTCCTCTTCATCAACAGAGCCGTATCCAATCACTGGTACTGCCTGGTCCTCTTTATCGAAAGGTCCAATCGCGGGCTCACCGAAATGCACAGCTAAAGAGGGGATTTTGGCGATTGGCTGGGGCGACGAATTAATAAGCCTGGATTCGATTTTGCCCGTGGACTCGTCTTTGACCAGAACTCTTCCGCCAATTCCAAGGTCTCTGTCGAACCAGTAAGTGTTCAAAGTCCCGCCATAAGGAGCTACGCCCAGTAATTGGAAACCTTCCACATTGTCCTTTTGAGAAACGGGCTTCAATTTAACGCATAGGGCATCGATGTGCGACCCAATGGCCCCCACGCCGGACTCGCTTTTCCAGTCTTCGTCCACCACGAAAGCTGCCAAACTGGTGCCGTTTCTGACGGTGTAGTATTTTCCACCTTTCACCTCGTTCCAAGCAGCTTTTTCGCTCAGATAAGTAAACCCGGCTTCGTCTAGCTTTTTGGAGAAATATTCCACAACATGATAGATGGTAGGGCTTTCGTAGGTGAAATCAAGGTAGTTTTGGCTACACTCTTTGAAATAATCCTTGCTTTGTTGAGCAGAATTGTGAGTTACATCGTTCAATTCATTCTGCGTCGTTTGGCCCTTAGAGTTGGTCAATCCGGACTGTTGTTGCAAAGTTAGCAGCTCCAAAGTCTGCTTAAGTTGTGCCAATGCTTCTTGCGTTGCGTTTGACATCGTAGTGGTCTTCTTCTTGTGATTAAAATGTATTTGTTCTTGCTGGTTTAGAGCTTATTTTAAGAACCATTCACTTCTAGAAGATAGACAGATAAAGGCCTTATCTTTATATAATGAAGAATCTGACTCAATCCGACAAGAACTCAGTATACGATCGACTCGCAATGGTGAGCAAGGCCATTTTATAAGCGGCAAAATTGTCTACTTGACTGGTTAGGTCTTGTCGATAATAGGAGATAAGAACGGACACACGCTGGAGCGTTAGAATGTGATTAAAGAGAGGGAAACAAACCTTTGGTATACGATAAGATGGATAAACGCGCCGTGGCGAGGATTGGTGCAGGAGTGAAGATGTGAGAACGGGCAATTTACACCGTGGAGAGCAATAGCATAGTGGTGGGAAGTAAGTGTGCCAATTTGACACCGTGGCGAGGGCCAGTGCAATGGTGGAAAGAGTGTTTTGGTGGAAAGGGGGAATTGGCAACTTAAGGAAGAGCAATGTCAATTTCATGATTGTGGGCGTATATGTGTCAAATTCGAGAATAGAAACTTACGCAGGGGAACGTCGATGTTTGGAAAGCATTTCTTGCCCGAACTCCGTAAATCTGGCGGAAACAAGGTAGAGACGAATCGTGAGCGTTGGAGAGAGTATTCTGATGTAGACTTGAGTTGATGGCCGTTCTGTCTCCTCCATCCTCCAGTGCCCTCATTCTCAAGTTGTGAGAGCTGATGCGGGGTCACGTGGACAATTAGGTGGAATACTGCTTTTACAGCTGTTCCCACGTCGTTCTGCTACTAAGTGTTGCACCGAACCTCTCAAAACCTTGTAAATTCACTCATCGGTTTCACGCAGTCGTGAACTTATTAGTATCGTCGGCCATTTGTCCCGGATCCAAGGACATACTAGAAAACCTATACCAAGCGCTGTGTATCACTGATGTCAAGCAGTAATTTATCAATACCATCAATATATGGGTCCGTTTCAATGATTGCAAAATCGCGGAGAACTCATGCCACGCCATACAGATAATTTCACTCAATTATGCCAAAGCGCTCGTACTATTGGCACATCTACATTTATTCAAGGTTTTAGGACACACCAACCACACAAAACAATACAATCACTAACGACAAACAATCAGAGCACTCCCACCACACCAAACGCTGTAGAAAGGACTGTCGCCTGGGCACGAGTAGCCTCAGGTTGCGACGAGTAGATCACGTGTTTCGATCCACTTTTCTCCACGTCAGTAAATAAAAATAGGCTTCGCCAAGAGGTCTTTAGGATGACTCAAGCAGCATTTCTTGGGACTCTAGAGATGAGATTTATGACTTATGACCTTCATACTTCAGAAAAGATTCATATGCGAACTCAAGATAGTAGACTTTTCTGCCGGAAACCTGTGTCGTGCTCTAAATAAGTATACGAGCACTCCACTCATAGCACGAAGCCTAGAAGTTGCGTCAAAAAATCCGAAATTTATGACAAACTAATGACATATAATGTCGTATTGTGGTTGAGCGCTTGCTTGTGTAGATGCCTTTAACAATGATATATATCTACCCGTATTCGTACCCGTACCCGTACTTGTACTCGTACTCGCGAAAAAATAATTCGCGTTTTGTTGATATCACTTACAACGTACTCATTCCTTGTTTGTTTTGATCTTAGGAAAGCTAAGTCGAGAATTTCGCGTTGTTCCCACTACAACAATGTTTTGAACCCATCAACAACGTTAGGTTAGGCTCGGTAAGTGTTCAGGCCAAATGTCGATGGCTCAGCAAGCAGCGATGGCAGCAGTGACACCTTCTGTTCACATTGACAGAGTGGTTCACTCAGTCACGGATGCCACGAAACGACTTTCGCAGATCTCAAGTAGCACTACAAACACCACAACACAGTCTTCAAAACGGCGTTCAAGAGACACAATCGGCCCGTGGAAGCTGGGAAAGACGCTTGGGAAAGGGTCTAGTGGACGGGTGCGGCTGGCAAAGAACGTAGAGACCGGGAAACTCGCAGCCGTGAAAATCGTGCCAAAGGCTCGATCGTCCAGACAGGGCGCGTCGTCACCGTACGGGATTGAGCGTGAGATCATCATCATGAAGCTGATCTCGCATCCAAACGTCATGGGGCTGTACGAAGTGTGGGAAAACAAATTCGAGCTGTTTCTGGTGTTGGAATACGTGGATGGAGGCGAGCTGTTCGACTACCTGGTGTCGCGTGGACGCCTGCCCGAGAAAGAAGCTATCCACTACTTCCGACAGATTGTGGAGGGGACTGCGTACTGTCATGGCTTCAACATCTGCCATCGCGACTTGAAGCCCGAGAATTTGTTGCTCGACAAGAAAAACAAACGGATCAAGATCGCAGATTTCGGAATGGCCGCTTTGCAACCGTCCAACAAGCTTCTGGAAACGTCGTGTGGATCGCCCCACTACGCGTCGCCCGAGATTGTAATAGGCAAATCGTACGACGGAGGTCCCAGTGACGTGTGGTCGTGCGGTATCATCCTTTTTGCGTTGTTGACGGGCCATTTACCATTTAATGACGATAATATCAAGCGGCTGTTGTTGAAAGTCCAGTCTGGCAAGTTCCAAATGCCACAAGGTATATCCAGTGAGGCCAAGGACCTTCTCTCAAGAATTCTAGTTGTAGATCCGGCCAAAAGACTGACCATCAATGAAATTTTATTCCATCCTTTACTCGCAAAATATAGCAACAAGCGCAGCAAGTCTAATTCAGATCTCCATGTCCTGGAACGGTCCTTACCATGTGCCGTGATTTTAGACAGCGAAAAAGACGTGGATCCAACTATTCTACAGAATTTGCAAATCCTATGGCATAGCGCTCCAAAACCACTCATTTTGAAGAGATTGATGGACCCCAATCCAAATGAGGAAAAGACATTTTATGCTCTTCTGTTGGCGTACCAACAGCGACAATCCAAGCAGCAGCACAAACATCCTACGATCAGCGCGCCAAAGATCTTGCAAAAATCTCAATTTAGTGTTCCCTCTATAAAGTCGCAAACGTCGCCCCGAAAGGAACACGTTGCTTCTTCTTCGCGTGTGTTTAAATCCAGTTCCAAGAAAAAGCTCCAAACTTCGGCTTCCAAAAGATCTCTACATCACTCCGCGTCAAAAAAATCGCTGGTCTCGGTCTCGGTCTCGGCGTCAGCGTCACGTAAGTCGCTGAAAAGCTCTCCAGTGAAAACTCCCGCGCCACCTCTTCCATCGAAACAGTCTCTCTACTCATTGAACTCGATCTCAAAGCGCTCAGTAAACCTGAAAGAACACCTAAACCACAATGATGTCCCACCATTGCCAATCCAGTCCGAGTTCGAAACTCTTTGCGAAGAGATTTTGTTCGGAAGTGGCATCGACGAAACTGTACAGGAGGAAGAGACCAATGCCACATCAACCATCACACGCACGAACTCTACAGAGGTTGATGCAAGCCGAGAGTTGACGCAAGCTGATACTCCAAAAAAGGTTGAACGGGAGAAATCTCCATCGCAGGACGAACAGAGACCCGAAAAGAAAGCATCGCCGTCGATGACTAGACTAAAGACCACACCTTCCAGCCGTAACCTTAGAATTACGTCTGCACCCTCAGGTCAGCAAGCAAACGGATTTTCGCTCGATCCTCGCAGAAACGTTTCGCAACCAAACTCTATTGAGATGTTGCTCAATAAATACAGTTTGCGCGCTCACCTCAAGTCCAAGTCCAATTTGAAAACTTTGAGAAATAGTGGCAATTGGCAACACGCGGAACTTGGCCTTCTTGAGGCTTCAAAACCAATTGAATTGACTGATCTAGAAATCGAGCACACCAGATCTTCAAACAGATCGCAACCAGGTGATACTTCAGTCTTTTCAGCTCAATCGAGCACTTCGAGAAGGGAGCGAAAAGAAGATCGCATGTTTGACAATACTTATCAGGCTCAAACCCAAGCGAGTGTTACAAAGAACTCAGCCATGTCTCCCTCTATCAGTATTAACAGCTCTGTGACCTTAAAAAACCTCAAGCAGTTTTTGCCAGAGAATGAGAACTCCGCAGAAAGGGCGCCTTCCGTTGTGCACCATCCTATGCGCTACTCGGTGAAAACAGTAAAGGCTGGCATCTCGGCTAGACCCCCGTGCAAAAGTTGTGCGCCAGCTACAAATATAGCTGGGCAGGGAGTATCCCGCAAGGTAAGTAAGGCCAGTAATTTCGATGGCCCATCTGACCTGCTTTCCGATATGTCATTTGCGTTAGACATTCCATTAGATACCTTCACCGCGCAGGCTTTTCACATTTCCCGTGATTGTCTTCCAGAGCAGAACCAAAACGGTAGAAGACCTGTTTTGCGCAAAGAAGACCCAGTGGAAGACGATATTAACATTTTCGAGGATGCTCCTTGTGATACTGCCTCCGTTGCGACAAGTTCGTCAGGGCTGGACTCCCAACCACATGTCCATAGGAAGGCCACTTCTATTGATACCTTAAACGCAGCAAGTGTGTTAGCTCCAAACGCTGACGTACGGGTCTCGATGTACACCAACAACATGCCATCTTCGGCGAAGCTACCAAGGGAAACCACCGAGGAGATCATATCCAAATTCAAACTTTCACCACAAAAAGGTGAGGTGGCACCACAAAAGAGGCTTTCCTATCAGAGAGCCCGCAACTCAATTTCTCAAAGTGTTATGTCAATGTTCAAAGATCTTGATGGTGAAAACGATGGTGAGTTTGATAAACAAAATTTTGCTGACTTTGATGGCATCCGCAACCTGAATGAATTACCAAGAGATGCATCTGGGAGTTTGAACGATGCAGTTCTAGAAAAGGAGTCCGCAACAAAAAAGAGAGTAACAATGCTTTTTGATGATGAAGCTGGCAATGTTTTCAAGTCTTCTCCTTCGAGACCGCTGCGGAACGAACATTTTGCTGCGGAACCCGTTCATAAACTTCCTTCTTCTTCGGGAGCTCCTGTTACGTTCGGTAATAATAAATTGGATCCAGTGACGGAGAATGAGACACCCAATTCACCTCGCAAAGTTGAACAGTGTTTGAGACCCGCACCACCTCCACCTGTCAAACAAACATGGTTCAAGAAACTCTTCCGTTCTTTTACATCAAAGTCTAGTAAAGAAGAGCTCATCAGAGACCATTCAACAGTACTGGAGTTCGAAGAAGTGCTTATTGTCATGCTTAAAGAATTTGCTAACAATTCAATTGATTACACATTGAAACGTCTCGATAAAAGTAAAAATACCAGACGTGCTGAGTACAGCTGCTGGTTTCAAAAGGGCCGATTCCGTTTCAAGATTCGTATTGATGGAAAGGAAGTCGGTACCAACATTCATATCAAGAAGAAGGGCCAACAGGACCAAATTACTTTTGAAAAGTTCAACAATGATATATCAAAGGTCCTTCAATCAGCAGAACAAAAATAAGACAAGTAAAAAGAGAAACACAAGCTAGCCCAGACCCAGAGACTTTTGTAACAATGCTTTTAATTTAACCTCAGTTTGTACTATATACCGTTATACAAGGAATTTTCTTCCAGCCAAGTGCTTGGGGCTAAAGAGAGGCATGAGCAACACGTAAGTTTCTCTCTTGTAATCCAAATTTAGGCCACTTTTATAAACAGTAGTCAAGATCTGCGCATACACTGTTGTCAAGCTTCTTTTTGACCTGCAAAGACTTATTTATTTCGAGGTATCAACCACATACCTTCCCAAAATTTTACCCTCTTCCATCAAGCCGTATACTTTTGGCAGCTGCGATAGACCTATGATCTTGATTGGCGATTTCACAAGTCCTCTGGTGAAGAAGTCGATGGCTTCGCGAGTGTCGACACGATTTCCGACGTACGATCCCTTGATAGAGATTGATTTCACTACGTGAGAAAAGACGTCTGACTTGACATACGCGCCCGCGGGTAAACCAACCAAGACAACAGTTCCACAAGGCCTGACATACTGTGCCGATAGAGAAATGGCAGCCTCGGAAACCGAGACGTTGATGGCACTATGCGGACCACCCTGAGTAGCCTCTTGAATGTCATAAACGAGGTCTTTGCTCTTGAGGTAATCGATGAAAACATCGCCACCCACGCTGTGGAAAAGTTTTTTCTTGTCGTCTCCACCGTCAATCCCAAGAACTCGTAGACCCATGGCTTTGGCATATTGCACTGCCAATGACCCCAGTCCACCGGAAGCCCCTGAAATTGCAACCCATTGGCCAGGTTTCACGTCCGCAGTTTTGAGCGCTTTGTAAACAGTGACGCCGGCACACAAGATGGGAGCGACTTGAGCAAGGTCCGTGCCTTCTGGCAGCTGAGCAGCCTGGACGGCGTCAGCCGTGGCGTATTGTTGAAAGGATCCGTCGTGAGTGTATCCTGAGAGGTCTGCATGCTCACAGTTGGGCTCGTGACCTTGTTCGCACAGCTCGCACGACATGCACGAGCCGTTGAGCCACTTGATGCCTGCCAGATCGCCGATTTCAAAGTTGGTGACGTTTTCGCCCTTGGCAACGACGACGCCGGCACCTTCATGGCCGCCCACGAGCGGGAGCTTGACGGGCAGTGCCCAGTCACCCTTCCAAGCGTGCAAGTCCGTATGGCAGACACCAGAGTACTTCACGTTGACAAGAATCTCGTTGGGCTTGGGCTTGGGCACGGGCAATTCCTTGTAGTGGAGTTGGCCGCCGTGTTCATAGAATATCACGCCCTTTTGAGTCGTGGGGATGTTGGTGGAAGCCAACCGAAGCGTGCCCCAGGAGTTGGCCAGCCGTTGGGCGCCGCCAAGACGTGTTTTGCCGCCGCCAAGCGCCATATGCACGGTCGATGTGCCTGCATATCTGTGCATTGTCTTTAGCATTGTTCTCTGTGTTGCTCGTGGATACTAAGCGTTTCTTCAATCTTTTCTTTTTCCTTTGAACCCCCTGATTACGTAAACTCCGAAACTTTTGTGGATGTCTGGGTTTTTTGAATTTTGGGGTTTTTGCGATTATGTAATCTCGTCTCTCTCAGATGAAGAAAAAATCGTACTAGCCCTGTTAGAAGTAAAAAGACACTACTGCCAAATGATAGTAAAACGTAACAGACAGTCTTGATGAAAACTTCGTTTACTCGAAGGAGAATAGATTAGTGCTTGCCTTAAACTGTAATCTTACTTGTGCTTGTGTGCTCTTTGTCACTCTCGAGACCTTTGAGCTGTCGTCGTACCTCTATTGGCCAGCTAAGTAAACTCTATGGTTTTATACGATGGTAGATATACCTTAAAACCTAGCCATTGTTCGTTATTGTGTCTCTCTGTTCAACAAAGACTCTTTATATCTGAAAATGTGGGCCCTTTTGACTATACGGGGTGCAAACACCAAAGTTGCAAGTCAGACCATCATCTGATGATCGTCTTTTGAGTCTTAGTCCATTCAAGCTCGAAATGAGCCAGCGCAGCATGGTCTTGTTTCGTCGAAGATGAGCTAAATGTGTGGGTGTGACTGATTCCAATCTCGTGACGCTTTTTTTTCTTAAGTATGAGTCAAAAGTATTTTTGACTTCTTTGTGTCACATGGCTGGATCTTCCTGACCCGGGATGACACACGTAGCGGGTGTATGGGTGTAGTGGGTGTGCTGGTGTGGTATGTCAGGTGACACCCAACGACGCATCAACTGTCTTCTCGCTTCCTCGCTCGCTTGTTCACCGCTTGCGCTGCTTCTTCCACTTGAACGTCACGTTGCCGCTCGCGTCCCGTATCTTCTTCTTGGAGCCCTTCTTCATGCCCTCACGCTGGGTTTCCATGCGCTGCAGCACCCCGGAGAGCTGGTTCTCACGCTCCTGGTGCTGCTGTATTTGCCGCAACTTTTTCAGCCGCTTGCGCTGCAACGTCTCCGCATCCATGCTCGACCCCAGCTGTGAGAGGCCCGCCTGCAGGTCCAGGTTGGACAGCTGGTCGCGAGTAAGCCGGTTTTCACGGCGTGTTAGCATCTCTGGAGTGGTTTTGAAATGCTCAGCGGCGTCGAACGAATGCAGCGTGTCTTGGTCCTCAACAAACACAGTGTGTGCTCCCTTCGCCTTGAACATGGTCTCGTGGACCTGACGTTCCAGAACCTGGCGCTCGTTCTGTCGCAGCGTGCGCACGTAATTGGCATCCTGCGTTTTCAGCAGTTTGACCTGTGCTGTGGACAAGCTGGGGTCTTCGTCGCGTGCGTGTCTTGACTGTTTAAGCAGACCGCGGGCGTCCACACTCCGCGAGTGCATTCCATGGTAGTACTCATCTGGGTTTCTTTGTTGAGCCTTTTCGCGCAAAATCTTCAAAGTGGCCTCTTTCTGGTGGAAGTTTTGAGCTCTCTTGACATAGTCCTTGTGCTTTTCCAAAAACCCCAGTCTTGAACGGGCCGCCTCTTGGGACCGCTCCCGATGCTGCTTTTTTTGCACGTTGTGCACCAGTTTCGCCATTTGTGATTCCTATTTGTGCTTATTGGGGTTGTGCCGATCGGTGAGTTCGCGATGAGCTACGGTTGAACTATTCTCGTTGCGTTGAGATGAGATGAGATGAAACGAGATGAGATGCACTATCAAATTTCAATATTTGGAAAATTTTTGAAAATGAGCGGGCCAGTTGTCACGTGGATAAGATGTGAGTACTCGAGTCCAGTGTCAGCGTCAAAGTAGTAGAAGTGGTAGCCGGTATGTAGCGACTGTGAGACCACGGATTTCCGAACTTCACTTTGCTCAGTAATGGCGGTTTCTAAAAGCCATGTTTATCGCGGAACCATCACACTAATGACTTATATTTGCTGGTGTGTTTTTTTTGTTGATTGCTGCCAACTTGCAACTTCGGTTTTCGGCGCTCGATGACAGGGGCAGCTGTGTTTGCTGGGTTCTTGCGACCGTACGACAAAATTCGTAGTCTTGGGCTTTTACAATACTCGAGGATTCTCGAATTTGACAATGCCACGGAAAACCTATCTGCCCTTTCTCAGACTAGGACCCTTCTCGAGACTCAATTTTAGTTCAAAAACCTCTTGGACAGCGAGCTTCGGCAGGAGTTACTTTAATCACCGTATCTGTGGCGTTCAAGAAGACCTCATTTCGCTAAAAATGGCATTTGAAAGCAAGCTTCGGTAATATTTCAGCACTCTCCGTGCCCTGCTTTTCAACTCAGATTGAATATCTGTTCCAGGATGCACAGATTCCTCATCGACTGCCATACTCACCTTCATCTGTGCCAACAGAGCCTACTAGTTCCGTGCTTCTGGATCACTAAACAGATACCATAGTGAGTATCTAATATCGGCCAAAATCAACGACCTTCTACGAACGAGAATGACAATTCAGACCTCGCTAGATCCATCTTTTGTTGTGTTTTTTAGCGAATTGTAGCGTTCTAGAGGTCGGGCGGGAAAGTGACACCTTTTGAATTTCAATTTAAATGCCATCTCCCCGTACAAAAACAAACATGGTTCTGATTTGCAATTTGCATAGACTAGGCTGAGGTTTCTCCAGAGCATCGAGAAAACTGCTCGGAACACAATAAGTTAGGATATTGGGCCATACGTGGTCGGTTCATCAAGCGCATAATTCATTGTATGCCGCGTGAGCTGTCGGTCCGTTTAAAATGATAGCTATCGCCAAAAGCCATCGCTGCCGATGAGCTCTACTTTACATTATCGTTTGACAATGGATACTTCTCTGTAGCTGGCAAGCGAACAGCGCACTTCCAAAGCACCTGCTTCACCAGTTATATCAACAAGGGAGGAGGAACTTCCCCTGATCCAGCTGCCGTTTGATTCATGCAGTTTTCCATGGACTTATCTCAGCCTGCCCTACCGCCTATGGGCGCTGCCCTGCCTGCGTCGTTGGCGTTCCGGAAAAACCTGGTGTGTTACACATCAGACGCCAGCACTGTTGTAGAGTACTTACAGAACTTGAAACTGCCGTATTGTATTTGGGACGATTATGAGTGTGTCGAAGCTAAAGAGAGGCCAGACACGGGCACGGTGCTGGTGTTACCAAACGTGGACAAGTCGCTCGTGCGACACCAGGACCAGCTAGCCAAATACCTGCAAGTGATGCGGCAGCGGGAAACGCCATTTTTCGCAGCAATCGCTACCGTGTCTCCGGAATTCGTGCCGTACGCCCATATGACGGCGTACCTGAAGCGACAGTTCTGGTTCGCATGCCACGAGCCACGCCCTCAAGACCTGGTCGAGTTGTCCGAACTCGAACTCCCGTCTTTGAGGTCGACGCTCCGCCAAATTCACGTACACCAGTCGATTCGACGCTACGTGCTCGACATCGTTGTGCATTTGAGGGTTCACAGGTTCTCCAAACAGGCATCAGGAGGTGGTTGTAGTGCACATGCGCTTGGCGACATGCTGGAATTATGCCAGACCCTGGCTCTGGCGCAAGAAAGAACTTTCGTGGTTCCCGATCTAGTGAAGCTCGCTGCCCAATGGTACTTCCCGTTCCATATCGAGGTTATCCAGGACCCCCGCCACGAAATTTCTCTACAATTTGGGTCCGACCCGGACCTGGTCGCTCAGGTTCTAGAAAAACTGCGGAATTTTTCGCTGCACCGGTCTCGAGAGACCCAGTATCCGCTTTACTTCCAGTTTATGGTTCTGAGAGATGTTCTACGCATAGTAGTTCCACCGATTTAGCACATTGCATTGATAACATCGTCAATTGCTAATTGCCAAACGAGAGACTGCATGACTTCCGTTGAATATACTCACTATTGGGTTCCGTTCCGCAATTGTGCTTGTAGAATTTAGCCGTGCGTCCCCAAAGCCAACGGTGTGATCGCTGACCAACGGCACCCCATGGAACAGGTCAAGGATTCCTTTCTAAATTAGACGCTAAATCCTTGCCTAAAGATTTATCTAATACTAAGGCAGCCAGCACCGAATCTTGAAGCGGACTCGCTGATGAAACTGGCATTTTATCAGCCTATTAACAGGACGATGTGGCTCTCTCTTTCTCTCTATCTCTGTTTCTCGCTTTGTCCCACCTCGGTCTTTATGACGATTGGAACCCAGCATTAACTTTTTTTCATCTCGGCAAAATGCGTGCTACGTCATAGAAAGATCTCTTACGCTATTCCACGCATGGAAGGCAGTTACTAAAAAAAGACGACAATGCCAAAAGTAAATACACAGGAACTCGAGCTCAAAGTACAAATTGGCGACTTTGTACAGCTTTTTAGATGAGACATGATTCTTTGGATTTTGATTGTTTTTTGTTCAGGAGCCATATCCAAATACCATTTTTTTGTGATCCACATCTAACACCTAACAATGAAATTTTCCACCGCTTTCAGTGCTGCCCTACTGGCATGTGCCAAATTCGCAATTGCCGACTCTGAAAAATTCGGGTTCTTGGTGATCAGATCCGGATCGCCTTTGCAATACGCTTCCGTTTATGTCCAGGACTCGAAATTGTATTTCGGTAGCTCTTCCCAGAGTCTTTCTGCTGTGATCACCGACGAGGGCAAACTTAAGTTGTCAGACAACACATTCGCCGTGGTCAGCTCGGACGGCTCTCTAAAAGAAGGCTCCGTGTCCGACGCAACTGCTGACTTCTCCATCATCGACGGGCACCTCGCCTACAACGGTGAAAACGGGTTTACTGCCGTCTCATCGGGAAACTCGTACCTCGTCTCCACCGCCCAGGGTTCCGGCTCCAACGACCTCAGCGTCGCTGTGAGAGCCGCTTCTGCGTCGTCCGGATCGGCCGTCTCGGATTTTTCGCCTGACGGGAGCTCCTCTTCCGCTTCGGGTTCAGCAAGCTCTGCGTCCAATTCCACTGTGACCACCACCACCGCGTCAGCTGCTTCCCAAACGGTGATCACTAGCCAAGCTCAGGCCTCCTCTGTCTCTAGTGAACCAAAAACTACATCCACAGTCGCCCCAGTTTCCCAAATTTCCGACGGCCAACTCCAGGCTGTTTCTGCTACCTCTAGTGCAGCTGCCCAGTCTACGGCCTCTGCCGTATCCCAGATCTCCGATGGCCAGATCCAAAACCCTTCTTCGGTCACCATTCAAGTGCAATCTGGCAATGGAGCCTCGCAAGCCGGTGTGGGTCTTGGTGCTGCATTTGCGGCAGTGGCTGCGGCCCTTTTGTAGGTTTTGAAAAGAATCTAGGTTTATGATCAATATGCCATGCTGGAGGGCGCCTAACATGGATAATAATACTAATTATTATTATAATAAAAATAAATGCATAGTTCTTTATGACACTATACTCTTCAAACGTTGGACAAACATTGGACAAACGTGCTACGCGTAGAGCACGACATGGCCGGGTCTTTCATCTTTTGTCTCTCAATAGTATTACCAAGCCTAAATACCTAACAACGCTTCCATCTTTGACATCGTTGGGAATTTTGATGTTCCATAAAGACTTTCTTTCAAAACCACTAGCCTCGTTTCTGTCGCTCACAATAAACTCAAACGGTGGACGTTCTGCTAACACGTATGGATCCAGAGACACGCCTGGTCCGGAGTTTTTGACGTATTTGCGTTCCTGAATCAAGCTCGTACATAATGATATTTACTTGAAAGAGAATCCTTGTAGCGCAAAAAGTTATGACGCGTGTCTCGAGATAGCCGCCGAGCTGGTGACACTGCAGTACGAAATGATCAAGTGAGCAAGAATGACCAGATCCACCGCCTACAACTTGTGAACATGTTCTTATACTTCTACAGCACAGCTGTAGGCCTGGAATGCACGACTTCTGTTCTTCTCCTTGCTTCATCACAATCTTTTGGTTCCGAACTCCGTAGGTAAATTTGTCTTTGCCGAGCGCGTTATTCGTTTTTGTGTCACCGTGGAAATTTGCGTTCTTGTGAGTAAAATACGACTATATAAAGGGCCCCGCGTTCCGGATTTCCAGCTGTAAGATTAGATTCTGAACACACCACTAGTTCATAACGACGGCACCGCTTTCAATTGCAACTGAAAACTTTTGAGCAGTCCCATTCTTTTATAAGGGTATATAGTAGTATATCGAAATCTATTTAGATTCTGTCGCTTCATTCCCAGCCGTGTGCACGCAACCGAAAACAAAAATGAAGTTGCGTTCGTTGCTGGCCTCCAGCGCTGCTTTACTAACTAGTCTAGTGAGAGCCGACTCCGAGACGTTCGGAATGCTGGTGATTCGCTCAGCCTCCCCACTGCAGTATGCCTCGGTTTACGCCGAAAACGGTAACCTGTACCTGGGCGGCACGATCGTTGGGCTGTCCGGGACAGTGACCGACGAAGGCAAGCTCAAGTTCTCCGACGGCACCTACGCGGTTGTGGATCGTCAGGGTGCTCTCTCAGAAACGACCGACAGTGCCAGTGGCTCGACCGGTTTCGTGGTCACCTCCGGATACCTCGGTTACGACAAATCTATCGGTTTCACTGGCGAGCTCTCCAACGAGGGCTACCGTTTCTCTACCACCATGACGTCTCCGGATGACCTGGACGTGCTTATCAAAGCAATTCTTCCCAACGGGTCCATGGTGCCAGACTTTGAACCCTCGTTGACAACTTTCGAGGCTGGCTTCACCAAGTATTTGAACACCACAGTAACAGTCACCACTACGACTCACGATACCACCACTACCACCACTTTGACATCATGCGGCGGTGAAAATAGTTCCAATGGGTTTTCCACTGGTTTGGGCACGGGAACATTTAGTTCATTTAATAGTTCATCTCTCCCCTTCAGCACTTTCATGACGACTGCTAGTGTGAGCTCCTCTAGCGCGCTAAGTACAACGGCCACCTCGCTCCTTCCATCGTCGCTATCATACTCGGGGTCTTTGAGTTTGACGCGTTCCAACTCATCTTCATTTGTCAGTACAGTTGGCCCTACGAGTTTGAGTTTGAGTTCGTCAATCGTCTTCCCAAATTCCTCTCTGACACTTTCATCCTTCACTTCGCCCTCTACTTGGGCGAGCGCCACTGCCAGCAACACATTCACCGCAAGCAACAGTAGCTCCAGTATCGCTTCATCTACTTTGTCGAGCTCACTTTCCGCTAGCGCGACCACACCCACAATTTCTAGCAGCCTCATTTCCTCAATCTTTTCGCCCTCGTCAAGCCTGGTCATAAGCTCTACTTTCAATTACTCGAGCCCCACGCCATCAGTTACATCAGTGTCGATATCAATTCCCTCGAGTGTGGTAACTATTACCCTTTCATCGTCTAGTGCCATTGCTTCCCCTAGCGTTAGCAGCTCGGAAAGCTCTGTTCCGTCGAGTATTATTACACTACCTTCGTCCTCTTCGTCTGTCACCATCAGCTTCTCAGCTTCTGTAAACGCTTCCAGCTTCGAAACGGGCTCTGCGTCCTCCAGTGTCATTACTCTCACTTCTTCGGCCTCGTCATCCACTCAATTTAGTTTATCGACGGGAACAGTAAGCTCAAGCTTGAGTACACCAAGTTCGAGTATAACTGTGAGCAGTTTGACAAGTGGATCAAGTGGATCAACGATCTCCCAAACGAGCTCCCAGCCTTCCAGTGTCGTCGGACCTTCTTCCTCATTGCCCTCGGTGTCAAGTTTGAGCATCTCTTCAGAGTCCACAAGCTTCACTTTCAGTTTCACCTCGTCAAGCACTACGACTGTCACGCCTTCTTCTTCCACAGCTATTAGTGGTTCTACAGGATCTTCGAGCGCCTTTTCAAGTACACCAAGTTCTCAAGCTCCTTCAAATTCTGTCACAATTTCCAGCTCTTCTATTACTGTCCCAATTTCTTCCTCTTCCACGGTGGTATCAAGCTCTTCGACTGTAACCTCGAGTTCTGTCACAGTTTCCTCTTCTTCAGCCGTGGGATCAAGCTCCTCTACGGCACCTTCCAGTTCGGTCACGGTCTCCAGCACTTCTATCACGATACCAATCTCTTCATCTTCTACTGTGGGATCAAGCTCCTCCGCACTTTCGAGCTCTGTCATAATTTCCAGCTCTTCTATTACTGTCCCAGTCTCTTCGTCTTCAACCCTGCGATCAAGTTCTTCCACCGGACCCTCCAATTCCAGTACGGGTGCCCCAAGCTCTTCGTCCTCGACCGTAGCATCGAGCTCCTCTAGCGCAATTTCGAGCTCTGTGGTGACTTCAAGTACTACGACAGCAGCTAGTTCGAGTGTCAGCTCTAGCAGCGTTGGTCTATCGTCGTCAGTTTCATCTTCAAGCTCTGAAGTTATCTCCAGTTCTGCGGTTCCTTCTTCCTCTAGTGGTGTTACAGTGAGTTCTTCTCCTTCCGTGATTCCGAGCTCATCATCGACCGGATCAACAAGTTCCGTAACTCCTTCAGTCTCTTCCAGCTCGGTCACTTCCTCTTCCGCGGGCCCTAGCTCTTCTGGTATCTCTGGAAGCACTAGTTCCAGTGCACCAAGTCCCACCCTAAGCACTTCAACTTTGCCTCAGTCATCTAGTACTATTTCAAGCTCCATCACTTCGAGTGCTACTGCAGCCACTTCATCTTCGCCAGGAGTCTCAAGCTCTTCGACTTCGAGTTCCAGCGTAGTGACTTCAAGCTCTTCCACTAGCTTCGTCACAAGCTCCACAACAGGATCAGCATCCTCGAGTGCACTTACGCAGTCTAGCTTATCTTCCTCCGCTTCCCCGTCTTCGGCAATCCCAAGCTCTTCTAGTAATGCCGCGTCAAATTCTCCATCATCTTCAGGTGCTAGCGGAACGATCACTTTGACATCCTTGTCGACAACAGTCTCTGCAAGTGGATCTACCTCAACATTATCATCTTCTTCGCAGGAGTCTGGAACAACCAGCTCTTCGGCCGTCTCCTCTTCTGCGGTGACATCACGTCCTTCTAGCACAGCTTCTAGTAGTGGTGTGGTTTCTTCTACCTCATCCTCTAGCGAGCAATCGACCTCGACCTTGGCGCCATCATCTAGCACCGTTAGCAGCTCGACCAGTGCTTCACCATCATCATCAGCCACTAGATCCAACAACGGAGCGGTCCAAAAGGGATCCCACGGCCTGGGTGCTGGTATCCTCTTTGTGGCTGCCATGCTATTGTGAGAAACTCAATCATCATTTCTTTGCACAAAAGCTCTTACCAATGCTCTGTCCTCGTCATCGCCTTACTTGCAGGGGTAAGCGAGCCGCTTCCACCTCTATGTCATTAATCTCTGCAAGGTTGCTAGGCGCCAAAAGCCTTATTTTATAAAGTCCAGGAGCTGCTTGCCTAACGAGCCTCTTCAATATACCCCTTAACTAGTGATTTTAATCAAGCTATCATTCCTATGAGCAAAGACATCAAGTACCATTTCCGTTCATTGATTGTATCTAATTCGAACTTAAATCATTTTGTACTCTTCTGACAGAATGGTTTTCCCGCGATGAGCTTCTTTTGACTAAAATTAAAACGAATTCATTCACATTAAACTTAACAGCTCTCAAGCACTACAATCAATACATCTATCATCAAACAATAAGCCCAGTTCATAATGTCAGAAAGAAAGGTGATCAACAAGTACTACCCCCCGAACTTTAATCCTTTGGAAGCCGAAGAGGCAGCTCGAAAAGTATCCAAAAAGCTGAAGACTATGAATAAGGACTCGACAACTATTCGACTTATGACGCCTTTCAGCATGCGGTGTCTTAAGTGCTCTGAGTTTATACCGCGCAGTCGAAAGTTTAACGGGAAGAAAGAGCTGCTTCCCGAAAGATATTTGGATACCATTAAACAATATAGATTGAGTATCAAGTGTCCCAGATGCAACAACATGATTTCATTCCGCACTGATCCCAAGAGTGGAGACTATGTCATGGAGATCGGAGGGGTGAAGAACTTCGTGGCGAATACCGGGACCTCAGAAAATAGTAGCGAAACGGTGGATGAGGCGCTCGAACGACTGGAGCGACAACATCAGCTCGAAAAAGAGGAAGCCAACAAAGACTCGACAGAGAGCAAGCTGGAACAAGTGGAAAAGCGGCTCGTAAAAATGCAGCAAGAGCAAGAAGACTATGAGAACCTTGAAAAACTGCGAAGAGAAAACGTTGCCCGAATGAAACGCGCAGAGCAGCTACGAAATTCAACAGAAGACGCAGCGCGAGAAAAGTCGACTGAAGATGAGAAAAAAGCTGAGGAGGCTTTCCAGGTGCGTGTCACTGAGTCAAGGGTCCGCTCTGGATCTACACATGCTCTCCAGACAGACAACTCGAGCATTCCCCAGAAAATCCAAATGAAGAAAAGGTTAAAATCTAATCCTCTTGGCGTGGTGATTAAAAAGAGGAAGAACTAAATCTGGTTAAGTATAAGAAAAGGGTGGGGAGGTGCTGATAACTATCAAGCATCAGGAAATTTTTTGGCACTAAAACTGCTAATTTCTGTCAGCTGAATAAATAAAATCTGGTGATAAAAAAAGCCTTGACTTGCGAAAGCTGCAGATATAAGCAAATTCAATGACGAGAACGTCAACAAGAACATTTATCAGTCCCCCAAGCCCTGGAGACACCCCGAGCGCGCCGTCACCAACCACTACAAAAACTCCGGAACCATATGGTCACGTGACTGATCTCTTCTGCGATTAGAGCCTGTTATTTGTAAATGAACTGAGCCTTTACAATGGAAGAGAAAGGTACGAGGTGTTTCCGCGCGAACTTGAGCCATAAAATGTTTTTTGGGTCGCGTTCGAAACAGGATCCTGTTCCGTTTCCTTATGAATGTACCAGCGTCAATTTGAATCAACTCAAACACTGCTTTAACGGTGCAGATTTCACGTATGCAAAATATCCAGTTTCGTCATCACAAAACGACAGCAGCAGACCGGTGGCTAGGGCGCGTGTGCTGATAGTGCATGGTTTCAACGAGCATGTGCTGCTGTATAGTCGTCTTATGGACTACCTCAGTCGGGCAGGTATCGAAACTTTCATTTTCGACCAAAGAGGGTCCGGCACCACGTCCACAGGGAAGCTAAGAGGCGTGACAGACGAAATGCATACGTTTCGCGACCTGGACCATTTCATCGAGTGGAATTTGCAGGACAAGGCCGAACAAACTGGTCTGTTTCTGTTTGGCCATTCCATGGGCGGTGGGATTGTTCTGAACTACGGATGCAGCGGGAAATTCAAAGACCAAATTGCTGGAATCGTGTGCACGGGGCCCTTGGTCACGCTGCATCCACACACGGCGCCCATGGCCATTGTGAGCCTTCTTTCTCCGCTGCTGGCGAAACTTTTGCCGCGATTTCGCATCGACACGGGACTCGACCTGGACGCGACCACTTCCGACGAGCGGTATCGCGAGTTTTTGAGCCGTGATCCTCTGACCGTTCCGCTGTACGGCTCGCTGCGGCAGATCTACGATTTTCTGGAGCGTGGCAAACGGCTTGTGCGCGACAAAAGCTATGTGTCCCAGTTGCAAACGCCGATTTTGATTTTCCACGGCCAGGATGACAAAATCAATGATCCTGCGGGGTCTCAGAAATTCTTTGATCTTTGTACTCTGTCCGATAAACACTTGAAACTTGTTCCCAACGCCCGGCACTCGCTGTGTCTGGAGACAGATCCGATTTTCGAAGAAATGGTTGAGAAAATGCAGGAATGGGTTTTCGAGCACTCTGTACACAGTGCAACTGATTAGCAGAGCACGAGCATGTGGCATGAGCAGGCCATGCTATAGACAGAGTCTTCCATTCAGTTACTCCGATCCCAGATCACTCTGTACTTTCCCGTCATTTGCTTGTATAATAGGTTTTCTGCCAACTTTTTTTTGTGAAAGAAAGCCAAGCTCTCTGCACAAATCAAGCAGCTTCTAACGCTTCTACATCTACCAGCTTGTTAATTCCATGGTCAGCAAGAAAACTACCGAAATCTTAACTTTTGATGTCAGATCTTCTATAAATCCCAGGTATCTCACGTACGTAGTGATCCACTCTCTCATGATTCCGATAGTAACTAAAACCTAAAGATAATCAACTTGAACCCTGTAGTAACTCCAGATCATTTCACGCCAGGTATATCGGAATAACACCAACATATCGAGTATTTAAACCCACAAATTCAGCGTCAGAGACTGGCAATTGTTTCACAACTCGATAAAAATGGACGCAGCGGAGTTGACGTCGCATTTTCAAAAGTTTAAAATACATGAGAAGTCTGCACCGAACACCACGAATAGCAGGGATCCTGGAGGCCAAGACATGATTTGCAACTGCGAAGACGAGCTCGACATCTTCGAGAGGTTTGTGCAAGACCCGTGCATGGACTCGTGGGAAAACCTCGACGAGGACAAAGACGTCAGTACGGAGCCACAGGACTACCCTGACGAGAGCTCATCACAGTGGGAGGACGAGGAATATCTGGACACAGTGGCCGAGGGCGTCGAAAGTCTCGACTACAAAGCGTCCCGGGTGGCAAACCCAAACGTGTGCTCCAAATGCCACAAACTGCGGCGCTGGAAAACGGGTGGAAGCGCTGCTCAGGACTCGGACGAACCGGTGCTGAGGTGCTCTCGTACGAACAGCTTTATGTCGCAACTGTCGCGCCAGGCCTCGCGACAATCGCTGCCAGACCCGACAGAATCGATGCATATCGCCGGGGGTCCTGGAGGACCCGCCACGGAAATCGGTGCTTCGTGCACGGGACCTCGCTCACGCTCGAGATCCTCGTTCGGAGGATCGTCCGCTATCCCCGCGCACCTGTATTGTCTCGAGCGCTTCGTGAGCTGCGAGCTCGATTCCGCAGCCGAGTGTTTCTTCAAGAAGGACCCACCCTTGCACGTCTGCACCTCGATGGCGTCCCCGACTGCGTCCGTCGGGTCTCCTGGCTCGCCCACGCTATCACGTGTTTTGTCGACTCCCTCCTCTAGCACTACGGCCAAAAACGGCAACGATCTAACGCAGACGCAGGCGCATCCAATCATGCCACTGGCAAAACGCAAATCGCGGGTCTCTTCCATCGAATTGTCACTGCTAAATTCCATGTCGTGATCCCAAGAGGTCGTGGAAAGATACCAAAACTCAACGTCGAAAATTCCCAACATTAATACCCCTCCTCAACCTTCCCAACCAAGCATACAACAAAAACAACAGCATTTCACTTCTAATTCGCTCACTCGTTTCTCGTCCGCGTCATCTCCTCCTCACCTCAGCATTTGACGCCTTTCTTCAATATCACTATTTACTATACTGACATGGAAGGATAGTTGTTTCTCCATCGTTATATACGAAGTTAAATTTTTCATAATTCATCATAAGTCAAAAATCGCATCGCGCGATCTTGAACTCATCTGTGAACTCAATGACCGTGAAACGAAGCCGAATTTATCACTTGGCTCCATTCATGATCTATATCACTAGAAAAAGTGAGTTCTAGGGTGTTTTTTGTATAAATTTGACCCAGTTTTCGTAAACTATAGGTTTGCGTTTGTCGTCAGAAACAAGACACCTGAGAGAGACCTTAGTGCCTCTCTGGCCTAGTAGCAATGACAACCGAGACTGTTCACAGCGCTGACACGCAGTTTGAGAGCCGAGTGCTACCAGCGGCCGAAGACCTACCTCTAGACAATGGCTATCCCTCGCAAGAAGATCTCGAGATCTCGAACATCAACGAGGTCGAGGAACTGGGCGAGACGCTAGACACACCTGTGTCTCCACACGCCTGCGCCTACTGCAGTTTGGACTCTCCAAGGTCCGTGGTGAAATGCAACATCTGCAACAAGTGGTTCTGCAATTCCAAAAATGGGACTTCAACATCGCACATCATCAATCATTTCGTGCTCTCGCACCACAGCAGTGTTTCTTTGCACCCAGACTCGGACCTGGGCGACACCGTACTTGAATGCTACAACTGCGGCTGCAAAAACGTCTTTGTGTTGGGTTTTGTGCCCGCCAAAAGTGAAGCAGTGGTGGTCATTCTATGCCGTCTGCCCTGTGCACAGACCAAGAACGTCAGCTGGGACACTGACCAATGGCAGCCCTTGATAGAAAACCGTCAGTTTTTGTCGTGGGTTGCTGAGGAACCGACAGACGAAGAATTGCTTCGAGCAAGAATGATTTCGCCAAGTCAAATCTCCAAACTGGAGGCTAAATGGCGATCAAACAAGGACGCCACCATAAATGATATAGACGTTCCGGATGGCAGAGAAGAAGTTCCCCATGTTCTTATGAGATATGCCGATGCATATCAATACCAAAGGTCTTTTGCCCCACTAGTGAAAATCGAGGCTGACTATGACAAGCATTTGAAAGAATCCCAGGCTCTAGAACACATCTCTGTGTCATGGACCTTAGCACTCAATAATCGGCATTTGGCATCTTTCGCTTTATCAACTTTTGAATCGAATGGATTGAAAGTCGCAGTTGGTGATGAGATGATTTTGAGATACTCAGGCGTTCAGCATCCTGAGTGGGAAGGGCGTGGATATATAGTGCGCCTCCCCAACAGCTTCCAAGATCAACTAACCTTAGAGCTGAAACCTAACAAAAGCCTCCCACCCACACATCTCAATACAGGCTTCACTGCCGAATTTGTGTGGAAAGGAACTTCTTACGATCGTATGCAAGAAGCAATGAAGAAGTTCGCAGTCGTCAAGAAATCTGTTTCAGGCTTCCTCTACTATAAGATTCTTGGACACGACGTGCCTGATCTAGAGTTTGACGTTGAAATGCCCGCTCAATTCAGTATACCACATTTCACTCAACTCAACGTTTCTCAAGCAAACGCCATCCGCCACGTATTGCAGCGCCCGCTGTCTTTAATTCAAGGTCCTCCAGGTACAGGAAAGACCGTGACTTCTGCAACGATTGTCTACCATCTATCCAAATTGCACAAGGAACGAATTCTTGTGTGTGCACCTTCAAACGTAGCAGTGGACCACCTCGCAGCCAAACTTCGTGATTTAGGGCTGAAAGTCGTCCGTCTCACTGCTAAAAGTAGAGAGGACGTTGAAAGCTCAGTTTCCAATTTGGGTTTGCATAACTTGGTTTCTCGATCTGCTAAAGGTGAACTAAAAAAGCTTCTCAAACTCAAAGAAGATGTAGGCGAGCTATCATCCACTGACACTAAAAAATTCGTTAAGCAGGTTAGAAAGTCTGAACTGGAAATTCTGAGGAAGGCGGACGTAGTGTGTTGTACATGTGTTGGCGCTGGTGACAAAAGGTTGGAAGCTAAGTTCAGGACCGTTTTGATCGACGAAAGTACTCAGGCCTCAGAGCCGGAATGTTTAATTCCCATTGTCAAGGGTGCTAAACAAGTCATTCTTGTTGGTGACCATCAACAGCTGGGACCTGTCATCCTCGACCGAAAAGCGGCTGACGCAGGCCTCAAGCAATCACTTTTCGAAAGACTCATTTCTTTGGGTCATGTTCCTATCCGCCTTGAAGTACAATATCGTATGAACCCTCACTTAAGTGAATTTCCTAGCAATATGTTTTACGAAGGAAGTCTACAAAATGGTGTTACAATCGAACAGCGTACTGTGGATAACAGCACATTTCCATGGCCAATTCACGGTTTACCCATGATGTTCTGGTCTAATTACGGCAGGGAAGAGATTTCCGGAAACGGTACGTCTTACCTCAATAGAATTGAGGCCATGAATTGCGAGCGAGTCATCACCAAACTTTTCAGAGATGGTGTGAAGCCCGACCAAATTGGAGTGATCACCCCCTATGAGGGTCAACGTGCTTACATTGTCCAGTACATGCAAATGAGTGGATCCATGGATAAGGACCTCTACATGAACGTAGAGGTTGCCTCAGTGGATGCCTTCCAAGGTCGCGAAAAGGACTACATAATTTTATCTTGCGTGCGTGCCAACGAACAGCAAGCTATTGGGTTCTTAAGCGACCCTCGTCGTTTGAATGTCGCTCTCACGCGGTCGAAGTATGGGCTCGTCATCTTAGGAAATCCAAGATCACTCTCCAGAAATAGTTTGTGGAGCCACCTTCTAGTTTACTTCAGACAAAAAGGGTGCTTGGTAGAGGGTGCACTTGACAATTTGCAACTTTGCACCGTCCAGCTCACTAGATCAGCCAATGCAAGAGCTGTACGGAAGCCAAACTTTGACAAATCGCGCTTCAATAATGTTTCTGACTTTGGCAAGGTGAACTTTGCAGATTTCGATACTCAGAGTTTGATGTCCTATGGGGGCGCTGACGAATTCGATATAACTGGTAATGGCCAGTTGAATTCTTTTCTGAACAACTACTCGTCTTTTTCTCAGCCAGTACAACCACAGACAGCGATTGACGCTAACACCTTCGACGGAACCATCAACTTTGACTCAAGCCTGGCTCGCGGCTTGCAGGAATATAGCGCCACTTCGAAATTCGAGAACACAGTCATTGACGAAGGTGATGTTAAGTGTGTGGAGGGGATGAAAAATCTTCGCATTTAAAATATTCGCTGTAGTATAGCAAACATGGTCTTCCTTTTATGTACCGTAATCTATCCGTCTATTAATTCTCATTTAAATCGTAAAAACATTATAAGCCCACTTGCTGTGCTTTTGATGAAGCCGGCTCTCAAAGTGATTGTCAAATCAAGTACAGATCCCTCACTTTTTGAACAGCCGCAGAAACTTAAAGCCTGATTTTTCGTGTGCTTTTGAGTCTATGCTTCCTGTGACTTTTTTATGAGACGATGCCAAATTCGAAGAGCTGGATTTCGTGCCCGATCTGTGACTTTGCGAAAAGTGTTTGCCAACTAGTGGACTTTGTCGTCTAATCAGCATTTTTGTGAAGGATGATGAATTCGAACAAAGCTTACTCGCACCGTCGTATTTTGAGTAAGAACCGGTAAGATCAAGCTTGACGTTCAGCTGTTCATCTAAAAAGAGATGATCTACCAAATATAGGGCGAACTCGGCTTTGCCCAAAATTATCTCATTCGGCTGCTCATAATCGGACAGAACTTGAGTAAGGTGCTCGAGTCGATGGTAAAGTAGGACAGATTCCTGCTCTAATGTTTTTGTAAGGTCAACAACGGCTCTGGATCCACTTGACTTACCCTCTGCCGGAGAGCCCTGAGAATCAATTGCCAAATATTTGAGTAAATCGTCACCGAAAATTTCAGCATTGTTTTCAGTCAACTTTTCAAATTCCAATTCACCTATTTTGGGGCCAGGCGGGCCAATTGTAGGGCTTGGCACTGATGAGGGATGGTCCTTAGAGAGGCGGTTCATACTGATGCTACTAGGTCCTTCGTATTGTTTGTCTTTATGGCGTCTAGAAATTGCGAGGACGCTAATCAATTCTGTTTCTCGCAAATACTTGTCGATAAGGTATGGATTTGTAGGAAGCTCGTTTCGACAGTTTGGACTGAGCGCAATCTTGGGTCGAGCCACGCTGCTACTCAACTTCAAAGTCTTGGTTGAAAAATCGAGCTTCTTGTTCGTTACTTTGTCAATGTAGTCAATAAGCTCAACCTCATGTTTCGAGATAAAGGCATTCATTTCTGTCATCCAAGGTTCTTTTTTACCAAACAATGCAAGATTCGACAAATTAAGCAATACTTTCGCCAATAGCGTTAGTGTTCGTTTGGGACCGTCTTCGGGATGATTCTCAACTATGTGAAAAAGCTTGGGGCTTAAGATAACCGGACAGAAAAACCTTAAGAACAAAAAGCTCGATACACAATTAATGGTGATTCTAGGTTCGTCGTCTTTGTAGATGATTTCGAGGTTTTTCCTTACGGCTTTCAACTGTTCTTTGATACCGAATGGCAAGTCATTGCTGGTTTTGTAAATGCGAGCCCAAAGCTCCTCAGCTAGCTTCAACAGACGCGTATAATTTCCTCTAATAATACCTTGCTTGTGTTGGGGATCCTCTTCTCCGATTCTATTTGGATCCAGCTCAAGGCACATATCCGAAAAAACAATTTTTCGTATAGTTCCTCCAATAGCCTTCTCCAAATACTCTTGACCGACGCGACTGAAGTACTTCTCTATCGATTTAGTGAGGATTGAATTGCCTCTGAACAGAGAACTATAGATGTTCGCAGACGATAGGTTTTTTATCGCGTTTTTTGTAATGGTGGTATCCAACGCATCAAACTCTTTATCAATTAGTGCCTGAAACCAGTCATTGGTTCTATCAAGCGTTTGAAAAATATCCAGAAAGACCATGGACAGATCTTCTAGCTTGAGATACTCCGCAATTGACATATCATACAAGTAATCTGTCATTTTCGTTAAGCTCATGCGTGATAGCATGGACTCGAGCTTACTGAAATTCACTGACGGCAGAATTGCATTCAAACTTGACGCAACCTTGATGCAGAGAGTTCCCAATTGAAAGTGCTTGTTTTCTGCATCAAATATTGGAATTCTAGTCTCCGCATTGAGACTTCCATCATTGATCATCTCTTGGGTAACCTCTATCACACCTAACACCCTATCGTGAGCTGAATAGGATCTGGTCCCCTCGACTGCTAGCATAACTTTAATGCGAACGGGCGACGTTTTGACCGAAAAATTGAAATCGAATTCCTCCCGCCAGAATGGAGATTTCGCGTCCGACACTATCGATGTTCTTGCCCAGCAATGATCCCATATAGATATTTGCGCGTACAGTTCCGAAGGAGTTTCCTGTTGTGTCTCGTTATCAAAATTCGTTAAATTTATTGCACTGAAGTCAGCTTCCAGAATGGAGATCTTGAAGCGGTTGGAAATCCTCAGTTCATTTGATTTGTCTGTGCCAATGAGTGATAATGTTTCCACTTTAGCGAAAGAGCTGAGTGCCACGAACCAATCCTCGAGATCGATCCTCAATGGGAATTGCAATACAATCCCGTGCCAATTAAACTTGTCCTTTTGCGAAACCACAAGGAATGAAGAGTTGGTGGATAATTTCAATTGATCCCTCAACTTTGGTATTATTCCGAGATATAAAAAGTTATCATTTTGGAGGAGACAGGGGTCAAGAATTTGAATCTCGGACCTAAGTAGTTCGGTGACGTCAAAGGACCAAAGAATCGCGCCGTCACTTTGCAAAAGCAGATCCAACTTTCCATCTGAGCTCAGTTTTCCCATGGCTGAAAACCATCCTAGCTCTTCGGATGCAGATTGACCGTCTAGAAGCGGAGGCTTGGGAATGTTATTTTTGAGCGATACATTCTTGTTTTTGGGAATACACGAGTAGACGTTGAACCGACACACCAAGAGAGGAGCAGGTTCTTGCTGACTTGGAAAAATCGGCTGGATCACCGAACACTTGTTGAAGATGCCTTTGTCTTTTAGACTTGTCCAGAACACAAGTGCAGCTAGCAAGTCGAAAAATGTATCTTTATCCGCCACTCTGAGGTATACAGTGGCGTAATACGTTTCCACCTTCAAAAGTGGATGGATTCCTTGAATATTGTCTAAAAGTTGTAGCCTACACGCCTGTAAATGCTTGATGATGGGTTTGTTCGAGCTCTCGAGCCCCGTACCGATTGCGGATAAATCAGCCATACTTTCTCGGCTGACAGCATGGCACAGTCCCCCGGCGGTGTCGATTTCTAAGCGATGTGTCTTCCAGTCGTCTAGCGACAGGTTGCTGCACCATTGAACTTCTCCAGTGAACAGGCCTTTATTATTTTGAATCTTGCTTACCAGTGTACTTTTGATACCGTTCATGTCCGAAGACTGCTCGGATCGCAGCGACCCAAGTTGGTCAGTGAAAGACCCTTCTTTGACTGGTGTGGGACCAGAAATACTCAATTGAGGTGATCCCATCGTCTTCTTGTCTCGCTTGAGTGGCGATCTTCGAGCTTTTGGACGTTTCACTTGCGCGCGTCAGTGTAATTTTATTTTCTGGTATTATATACATATATTTAGTATCATATCAGTGAAAGAATGGACGGACACGCTAGGTTCGAAACTGGCGAGCGACAGAGCTAAATGGAAACTTTGATACTTAGTTTCTATATGACTGGAAATTTATACACAGTCGTCTTGTGCGTAAAGCTTAGTTAGACTTTGAAGGCAGTAGGAGCTTCACCTTCGGGCCCGATATATGTAGAGTCTCTCCAAGGTCCAACGTCGGACAGATATAGACCACCTTGCTCTTCGCTCACCACCGATTTACCTCCAAACTTGACCGGTAGGTTTTCTGCGGGAATCTGCTTCAGTAGCTCCTTCTGATACGAGGAACCGAGAATGAAGATCTTGGAGACAGTAACGGGGTCCAGAAATGGCTTAAACAGACGGAAAGCGGTGGAGAAGCCAAATGGAGCATTGACGAGGTAAAACTTGCCCATGCGTTCTGGGTAGTAGTTTTGGCCAATGTTTGAAGCCTCTCTGACGTAGCTGAGTACTTGGGCCGCGGCAGAGATGGAGATTCCTTTTAGGTCCAGAATGGTGCACGAGGTTTCGACCAAGTAGCCCGCTTTTCTGGAGCATGCAGGCAGTCTGTAGCGGACGAACGATTCGTATTCCCACACCAGGTTTTTTAGCATGCGTTCTTGATTGGTGATCTTGTACATCTCGGTGAGATTCACGGAGCCCAACTCCTCGAAGTACAAAGGACGGCCGTCGTTGTCCGTCTTATGATAGTATTGAGGGTAGAACTTGGCAACCAAAGGCTTTTCGTCGTAATGGAATTCTTCAAAGATTTTGTCGACACCAAATTCCTTACGCCATTTTTCGCAGTTTTCGTACATGATTTTTGAGGCAGCGACGTCAAACTTACGAGCTCTGAGAAACCTCAACAGGGTGGAGTCGTCTAGTCTTTCCGTGAACCCGCCCTCCTTCAACAATGCCCTTAATTCAGCAAGCGACTTTAACTGCATCTCAGACAAATTGCCTGGCGTTCCAGACACTGAATTAGGAGCGCACTTTTGAGGGTATGAAGCCAGCAGCTCTTGTTCCTGGTGGTAACGTTAGTATTGTTCTTGGAGAAGATCGGGTTCCACAGAGCTCCCAAGCACGGTCATCGTAGGCATAGAGCAGATGTTTCGCATAGAAAAGCGTCTCGTATACTGATAAGGCAGACCAGCATACGTGTCAGCAAAAAAAAAACCAATGGACGAACGTCGAGTTGCCTTGCAGACGTTTAGTTCATTGCTGGCCGAAAATAATTATTCGTGTAAAATGAATGACACTTCAAGCATTTTGCCAAGACGAGCCCAAACGTAGTAGCTACTGACCGGGTGGGATGTAAGGTCAGGCATTGGAAAACGTTGCAGGTTTTGAAGCATAATTGGCAAAACTCAATCACCGATATTTGTCTATCAGCACAAAATTTGCCGGGCAAATCTTTTTTGATCAGAACACTACCAAAATTCGACATCATATTTCAAGAACCTTGATCCTGAAATGCCTTTCGTTGGCGGGCCACAGCGTACCACTGCGCAAACTCAGAAAACATTTCAAGTCTGACTCGACGTCGGCTTGTATTTCAATTGTTTTCCGGTGATAAAAAACCGCTTTTTTTTACCCTAACATCAGATCTGTGAAACCAGCAACATTTTAATCGCACTACCATATACATACCGACACCATTATTGAACCGTTAGACTAAACTGTGTTCAGAACGCTATGTGTTATTTAAAGGATACGGTAAGTCTATTTTGACAATTATATCACTGGTAAAGCCTGTAGGACGGGTAACCTAAATCCAGACTGCGTCAAAATTTCGGTCGTTATCACTTTATACTTATCTGTCACTTTTCTGATATACCAAACGTTGGCAGAAAAGAAGACATGTTGAGGCCTAGAAGAGTGGTAAAGTCGTGTGACCTTTATTGCAGTGAATTTTGGGACTCAGGTCAATTGAGTTTTTGTCAAAGTCGCACTTTATCAGCGCTCACTAGCTATTTCAATCCGCCTTTTCAGAAATGTCATGGAGTTTTGTTGAGACATATGACAGAACAAAGTCAGTTGCACATCCTAATGATTCGGCTACGAGAAGTACTGGAGGTTCTGTTTCTTGAAAGTAATGTCAATTGTAAGTTCACCTCAACAAGTAGAATGTGATGACGAGATAGATGACAATCTGGTACAAAGTGACAGCATCGATGGTAAGCAGGACATGAGTGGAGTTTTGCTTTGGAAGCGTTCGATACCAATTGTCAGAATTAAGCATGCCAGTGCAGTGGTAGCGCATTTAGCACCTGAAATTGTCGTGAGATCAACGGATGTGATTGTATCGTACGTAAAAACTATATATTTGCCCGTGATATCACCACGACGTCACAGAAACGGACGTGTCAGAACAACTGTCGCACACATTCAGCTTCAAATACAGAACCAGGCAAGCAAAACGATTACATAGATTCTGATAACGGTCAAATTCAGAAACGGCCAAAATTTTAACGCAGAAAGTGATGAACGTTCGTCCCCTCCAGAACTCTATAAATATGTGTGTACCGTCAACTCTTTGATTCTTAGTATAGCAAAGTGAGGATTCTATCCCCTTTTCAAAATCATCACAATTCAGAAGGAGGCAGCACTAAAACAAAATAAGTACGAGCTGAATCATCCATCGAAGACGCAGAGTCTCGTAAAACCAAATGCGTAATTTTAATGATCAAAACGTAAAAATTCAGAGAGCTGAAACCTTTCCGAAAACACCGCAAGCCTCTGAAGATTGCTTGATATTTAGATCAAAGACCTTAATATCCAGACTAAACTATGTGACAAAAGGAACGAACACTCATTTTTCGACCTTAAAATAGGACCGAAAGCACTTAAAGTACCACATCATATAGCCTTGTGATACCTTGAATCATTCAGAGCCCCGGATCTGGTTCAAACGCATTTCTCGCTGTCAAGTGATTGACGTCTGTGATATCATTCAAATCATCTTTGGTCACGTGATCCTGAGACATCGTTATTATCTCGCCTGCAACGCGTATACTTGAGATAAAATAAGAACTGGTTCGCGGTTCAGACGCCAATCTGTAACGACATCTGTGAAGCATGCAATCTGAGCTCGGGTATCAATTAGGTGAGAGCCTGCTATTTGAGAACTCTGGAAGCTCAGGGCTGAGTTTTGTCGGGTCAAATGGTCAATTGGCCAACCTAAAGCGAAAGAAAAAGAACGGATCGCAAGACATTTCGTGGAAGAGCGATGAGACATATGGCATTGATATAAATCGTCTACTTGATCAATGCAGCACTGGTAAAGACGATAAAGCTGCTCCACAAGGCCAAAAGTCCATAAAAAGTCTCACCCATAATCTGTGGACAGAGAAATGGAAACCTCAGAGTTTTTTTGACCTGGTTGGCAACGAAAGGACAAACAGGCGCGTCTTGAAATGGCTCAGACAGTGGTCACCGCTAGTTTTCGGTGAAACCTTGCCAAAACAATCGACAGCTAAATGGGGGGGCTCAAAATCTGGAGTCCAGGACTCGCTGGAGATATTAGATCCACTACAGAGACCTCGCAAGAAAATTCTGCTTCTCACTGGACCGCCAGGAATAGGGAAAACATCGGTTGCACACGTCGTGGTGAAGCAGGCGGGCTACTCTGTCGTGGAAATCAATGCCAGCGATGAGAGGGGAGGGCCCGGTGTCAAAGCACGAGTGCACAATGCACTTTTCTCGAACACCCTGGATGGCCAGCCGGTTTGCTTGGTAGCCGATGAGATTGATGGTAGCATGGAGTCAGGCTTCATTAAAGTGCTCATCGATATTATCAACAGTGACTTTAAAGCTACACAAAGAGTTCTAAGCGGCGCTCCGACAAAATCAAAAGGTAAACGTCAGCGAAGAAAAAATCAGGGCCAGATAATGACACGGCCGATCATAGCCATTTGTAACAATGTCTATGCATCTGCCTTAGAAAAGCTACGGCCGCACTGCGAAATCATCAACTTCCAAAGACCATCGGAAAACGCTATAGTGGAGCGTTTACATCACGTCTGCAGAAAAGAAAAGTTGTTGCTGGACAAGAAAAAACTCAAGGAGCTAACAGAGCTGTATCAGGGTGACGTGAGAAGTTGCCTCAACAACATGCAATTTATGGCCACATTAGCCTCCGAAAACGGGTCAAACAGTCTTGATGAACAAGCGAAAGACCTGACTGTGTCTTGGTACAAAATCTGCAATCAAATTTTTCGGAAAGATCCGCATGTTGACGGTAAACAACAATTTGGGAAGCTATTGCGAGATGTGGAAACCAATTCAAACTATCAAAAAATAGTTCATGGCTGCTTTTCCATGTTTCCTTCTGTCAAGTACTCAGATTATGGCTTGAGAAAACCAGGCGCTGCTGCTGATTGGTTATATTTCAACGATCGCATGTTTCAGTCTCTCTTTGAGCACAATGGGGACTTAATGCGCTACAATTCTGCAGTACCTCTGGCTTTTTTCCAGCTCTTTAGCGACATCGCTAATAAGGATGAGATTAGAACACAGCATAATGAATTCGAACATAGAGAAGCGCTGCGAAAAAATGATGACCTCTTAAGTGCTATGTTGCAACGAACACTTCCAATCTCCCAAATATACATGAATAAGCGCGCATTAACGCTGGAAGTTCTGCCGCTATTGGATCACATCATAGCAACTGATTTTACGAAAGTGCGCAATGGACTGGTGAAGAATGCGATATTCGAAAATATAATTCCTGCCGTCACAACGTTTGACCTTGCATTTGGGGAACGATCCGATACGGACATGCCTCGCGTTACCTGCATAGAACCACCATTTGACGCAGTTGTCTTGATGGATCAAAAACGAGCCAGAGAGATCTTTACCAAAAGACCTTCTCTTTTGAATATACTAAACGCGAAGGTTCAAGAAAGTAAACTTCGCAAAAGAACTCTAGAGGCTGCAAGAGTCGATAAAGAGAATTTGGAGAGTGCGCGCAAAAGGCAGAAAACGTCATCATCTTCGACTAAACCTGCGGAGTTTTTCAAGTCTCAGTATGCCAGCGTGCAGTCTGGGAACAGCCAAACTGTCGGTGCATCCGACACTGGCGGTGTAGAACCCGCCAAGGTTAAAATATGGGTGAAACACAAAGAGGGTTTTTCGGACGCGGTTAGAAAAAATGTTACTTGGAAAACACTTTGGGAGTAGACGTTCGTGAACAATAGAGGGTTCTTGGGTGGAAGGTATATCATTTTGTTCAATTTCCCTTCCGCATATTGTTGATAGCACAAATGTATAGATCAAGATGAAGGAAGAGACAAGCCCAGGCTGCACACGGATTGACGGCAAGTCAAGATAAAATCAAGTACAATAGTCATGAAATTGTGTATTTTTTAATTCTCTGTGACGTTTAGAAAACACATTGTTCGCGCCTTGATGTCATGATTGAGAACCCAAACAATAAAATTACTACCAAAAGATAGGGGAGAGTTAAGGAAGGCTTGAAAAGAGTCATTGATAAAGCAAGCACCACAAAGCAAGCACCTCGAAACAAGCTATGCTCCAAAGTACCGACAAATACAACACGTAAAAAGCTGATCACTTGAACAAGCATGCTCCTTATATCGTTTAATATGTCTTCAGTTTCTCATAATTGGTTTCGTGGTCTAGTCGGTTATGGCATCTGCTTAACACGCAGAACGTCCCCAGTTCGATCCTGGGCGAAATCAATTTTTGTCTTTTTTGCCCATCGACAATCAAGTCTATTCAGGCGCTCCTGAAAATCATCAAGCTCTCAACTCGTCCACCACAATCATTCTTGCCAGTGACAAGAGAAGGATTGATACTGTAGGTCTTTACTCTCAAGATCTATTCCGGGACTCCTTCAAAAGTCTCTCTTGGATAACTCATTTCGAGACTTCAAAACTTAGTGAATTCCTAACGTCTTATCACAGAGCCAACGCCAACATTGAGTTCAAAAATATCTAGCTAGAAGACACGAGCTTTTCAATGAGTGTTGATTGTCCTCCAGATAAAGTTCTCTGCGAGCTAGTGGCGAAAGACCACGATTTCTCACGGTCCAACGGTCCGTATCAATTCGAAAATTTAATCGACAACTCGTCAAACTTTGGTAGAAATGGTGCTGGCTACAACTCACAATTCCAGGACCACGCCAAACCTGAAGAAGTCCTACTTGACGGCCTGCATTTGGGTCAGCCAGTTTTCGCGGAACTGGGTGACTGGAGTGTTCACAACCCCTCATCGGTGACCCCTCCATTACTACACTCCCCGGAAGACTCTCACGAGAGTGCCTCCAGCAGAGGTCTGAACAAGCCAGTGAGAGAACGTGATGGTTATGAGCAGAACAGTCTTCCAGAGGAAGCGCTTTCAGAACAAGAAATTCTGGCCCGCAAGAAGGCCCAAAACAGGGCTGCCCAAAAAGCTTTTAGAGAACGCAAAGAAGCCAGGTTAAAAGAGCTGGAGACGAAGTTATCGTCCAGTGAACGTGACAGACAAGCGCTTCTTAAAGAGCTTGAAGATTTGAAAAAGCACAATCTAGAGATAACAACTGAAAATCGTCTTCTCCGGAGCAAAACTGAGTCCAACTCAGCACAGAGCGTGCGAGCCGAACCAGCTAAGTACCATTTTCCATCTCAGAGAGAATTCATTAGAGCAACAAGTGGCGATCATTCAATCGACTCGTTGGACGAGCTCGCCAGCACCTCCTACGAACGTGGCGGAGAGAAGCTGCTGACCTTGCCCGCCACTTGGGAATACTTACATGAACTATCCAAGAACAACGAATTTGATGTATACTCCGTAATGGAAAACTTACGAGGTCAAGAAGTCTGCCACGGCTACGGTCCAGCCTACCGCCAGGACGTCGTCGACAACATCGTACGGCATTGTGCATAACAGGGCAAGGACGCAGAATAAACACGGTCTCAAGGGAGGAGCTCGAAACCACCAATCTAGCAATAATATAAGGATAAGTTTTAAAGGTTTATGTTTCGTATGCGATTACGACTCGATGTCAATGATCGTCAGTGGTGTATATTATATTTAAGTTCGCCTGCGCGGCTTTGGACCATGCGCGACAGAGAGTTACAGCTACTAGACAATCGTGATGGCCAAGAAAAGTAGTAAGCAAAGCAATGGCTCCGTGCAAGGGTCTTCTGCCTCGAGACAATTCAAGTTTCCAGATGCACTCAACAACTTGAACACAGTCTCGAAGAAATTCGAGTATGTGCCGATCCCAGAGCGTCTTTTGGACGACAAAGTCATTATTATAAAGAAGTTTTGGCCTGAGTCCCTCACGCAAGAGCTGTGTGCCAACCTTTCGCAGCCTGGGGTCATGGAATTGTTTCTTCAACGAGGCACCAAAGAATACGCTGAACGATGCAATGAACGCTTTTCCACTGACGACACCCGTGTAGCACAGCTTGTGTGGCAGAAACTGTATACCTGCCTTGCACAGGACGAATATATACTGAAAGAGCTTGAGTTCAGTCAGGCCACGGGGCTTAACCCTCAAATAAGAGCTTATCGGTACGAGAAGGGCCACAAGTTTGCTAAACACTACGATTCTTCATTCAAGGTGCCTAACTCTGGTACTACTCGTTGGACGCTCCTGATTTATTTGACAGGAGGCAATCAATTGGTTGGCGGAGACACAGTTTTTTATTCAGCTCAGGAAGGTGAAGCGACTGCCGTACATCCTGAAGTCGGAATGGCACTCTTGCACAAGCATGGCGACGACTGCCTTTTACATGAAGCCAAAGAGGTCTTCAAAGGTGTGAAGTGGGTGTTAAGGAGCGACGTAGTGTTCTTATAATGACAAGATTCGAATGGTGTTGCTCAAGTTCTTGTAAGTTTAACATTTTACCAATATTAATTTCATTGTCATGAAGATGAATAAAGAAGATATAGGAGATGTGTACTCGTTGAACAGTTGTTTTCGGTGCAAGAATCAAAGATGTCTGACCAGACTTCCACGTTGACACTCCTGTTTCCTCATGTCAGTGAAAACGTGCTAATGAAGACGCTTGATAGCGCCAATGGTGATGTAGAGATGGCTACCAACATGATCTTAAGTGAGCAAGAGTCTCTCAATCGAATGAGAACAATGTCAGCAGTCAGCGATGTAGACTTCGAGAACGGCAATGACGAGACATTGCCGTCTAGCGTGGACGAAAAAAGTAGCCAAGAAAGGCCCAAAGAGCAAAGAAATGCCGTTAATTTGAAGAAACGACTATACAGACCAGCACACTCTTTCGACAAAGTACGACCAGCAGACACGATTAGTGTGAGCTCTCCGAACAAAACATGGTCTTCTACTCAAAACCAAATTCGCAAAGTAGTGGACCTCACGGATGTGCCTTTCAAGATCGCCCAAACGGCTTTTTACAAGAAATCTTTGAGCGCTGCGAGAGCTGCTATAGACATCATACACCACTACGACGACTACGTTTCTGATTTTAAATCGTTCCCGTCTCCACCTCCCGCTCCGCCAAGTCAGCTGTCATCACACTTAGCTCCCGTGAGAGTTGGCGGTCGCGTACAGTCTGTGCAAGGCTTGGCGCATCGGAGAGGTGGGGCCACTGCAGCGTCAAAAGAGAACGATTTCAGAGCAGCGACACGCCATTCTGAAAGCATACCCCCTATCATAGCCTGTGCAACAAGCCCCGAGAGTTTGGCTGAAACGTCCTGTGATCTGGATGCCACCATCGCGAGCAATCCATTGCTCAAATCCATCAGTCCCAGTTTCTTCAAACTCGTGCTCAAATTTTACGCCGGAGATGTTGTGAGAACGACTATGCTGGCTGCTTTTATCATCGATAATAATTGCTCGCGATACACATTCACCGAAGCGACCAGTGCTCCCGCTTACGATGCGGCAGGGAAGCTTCAACCGCAAGTGAAAATCGTTGCAGGCACGCCTGAGCCCACAGCTTACTCGAAACCTGACTTCCACGGCTTGGTGCCAAGCTCTTTCACCAGCGCAGATAACTACAACCAAGCTTTGCAGGTATTTGAAAATGTATTTCGCACTCATACTGCCGATTTACATGGGTTTTTGCCTCAGGAAGCCGCCAAATTGGCTCAGATGTGTCTTTCGAATTGGTGGGATAACGAGACCAGTCTACGTGAGATGAATGCCCATCGTCCTAACTTAATAAAGGCCCAAAATATCGCTCCATTGAAAATTATTACTGGACGAGGGCTTCATAGTCTTGGAGGAGTATCCAAAGTAAGGATCAAGATTAAAAAGCTACTAGATTCCAACAACTATGTGTACACCGAAGAGCCCTCCTACTTCATCATTGAAGGCCGAAGAAGCACTACATCGTCTCGAAAGCGATGAGCTGTGAGATCGAGGACAGATCACATGATCAACGATTAATTTCGAGCCTGATCTTTAAAAAAGGTGTTTACTTGTTTGAATCGCATCTCCCAGCCATCACCTCAAAATCATACCAATGGGAGGTTGAATAGCATCTCTAAACACGTTTCAGGATGGATTATATGAATTTGGGCGTTACTTCGCGTAAAACGGGGATCAAAATACGACAAAATATACGCAAGGATGAGTATTCTATGGAAAATGTTGATGAGTTCTTCAAAGACAATGAGAGCTCCATTTCTTTCAGAAGAAGGAGCCGAAAATCTTCGTTACTGCCCTTTCAAAAATCTATTCTTCCAGAGGCATTTTCAGGGGATTCGAGACGCAGTTCGAATTTTCTTCCTCCCAGTGTGCCAACCATTGATGAAAACTACTCAGAACCTCTGCTGAACGAGGATGCAGAACCAGAGGTCTCTGTGGATAACAACTGGGGTGCCGAGGAAGAAGCCGCAGTCGAGGAGGCGTCGGCTATTGTTGCGGACAACAGGTTCTTGCCACAACAAGAAGAAGTGAAAAGAGCCAAGAGAAGAAGACACTACGAACCCGATTATCGAGGAGACGAGGCCGAAGACGAAGACAGTGCCGTCGAAATACCACAAACCCCAGCGTCAGATTATGGTAATGAGAGTTATCGCGATGTCCCAGACTTGATTGCAGATGATGATGACGATGAACCCTCACATGGAAATACGTCTTTCAACACTTCAGAAAACGCGCTTTTGGAGGATGAACTGGATCGGGAATACGGGTCTTTGAGTGAAGAAGACGGGGACTACGTTAACCACCCGAGGTACCCCGACACCGGGGCGTCGAGTGACTCAGAAGGCGAAGGGAGTGAAAGTGCGTATAGCTCTCCAAACAAACGAACTCTTATAACGAGTCGTCGAGCAGATTTATACGTAAATCGGCCCACTGGAACAAGAAATACTGGACATTCAAATCAAAAGGAATCAGATAATGAGAGCTCTGACGACGATTTTTTTCAAGAGCAAGCGCAGGAGTTGGGCCATGAAGTTAATTTTTCGAAAGTAAATGGCGTGCGGAGGTCTAATAGGGTAAAAATAGCTCCCTTGGAGTACTGGAGAAACGAGAAAGTTGTCTACAGACGAAAATCAAGGAAGCCAGTTCTGGAAATCGATAAAGTCATAACTTTTGAAGAGGAAGAGGACGAGGAAGAGGAGGAGCTCCGAAAGAGAAAAAAAGGCAAAAACAGACCTTACAACTATACCCCTTCAGGTAGGCCAAGGGGCAGACCAAGGAAAGACCAAAATGCCGCTGGAGGCATAAGGGCAGCTTCAGATAATCCGAACGGACAGCTGATATCGAAGATCGAGGCGGGTCAAATACACAACTCCGAGTGGTTCGAAAAGGGGGAGTTTCGCGCTCAAGTAAACGTTTCCTCTGATCATAAAAAAAAGGAGGAAGACATTTTGGCGCGGTCCGATTCTCATTTGATTCCAGATTATAAGCGCAGCACAAGCGGGGATTCATATTCTTTAACAGTTTTGTTCGATAAGCACAAGGATACATTCGCAAGTGGATTTTTGACACTACCTATGGGCGCAAGAAAAAAACCTTCTGATTCTTATAACGTGTTCATCAACTTTTATCTTATTCAGGGCGTCGTGGAGATGACGGTCAATCAGAATAAAGTAATATGCATTGAGGGTTGCAGCTTTCAGGTCCCCGCCTTCAACGAGTACTCCATCCTCAACAAAGGAAAAAGTGTTGCTAAACTGTACTTTGTACAGGTATCACTGCCTACACCTAACAGCGTCTCAAATCCGAGCAGCTTCAAGCCCCCGAACGAGCGAAGACAAGATGCAGATATGGGTAGCTCATTAAGCGATATGAGTTTATCACAGAGCTAGGTGACTGTCGTACAGTTATCACGATTGTTTAGGTTAGCAAATTGTTTTATAATCTCCAAGCAAATACTACTCTATAAACCTATAATACATTCAGCCGCTCGTAACCTTATCTAACTTTGAAAACCAGTAACCCCGAGTTTCTTTGAAATATACCTGATGTTAATAGGTGATCAGGAGCTTTCCCTGCTTTCATCACCATCCTCCATTTTCTCCGCGAGCTTCTTCATTCTTGCCAGCTTAACCAAAGGTGCGAGAGATTTCACATCGTCAGCATATGTCGTAATGAAGGGATCAACAAGTAACTGCGACGCTGTAGCCCTTTCTTCGGGATTTACATGCAGACACCAGTTCAGGAAAAAGTTTAGATCCTCACTCAAGTTGTCCGCGTCCTTCAGCTCAGGTGTACCATTAGTGGCGATCAAATACAAAGCACGTAACGGCGTTTCATTCAAATATGGGGGTTCTCCTTCGATCATTTCTATAATCATAATACCCAGGGACCATATGTCAACCTTCGGACCGTATTCTTTCCTCGACACGACCTCAGGTGCCATCCAATAAGGCGTCCCTACCATTGTTGTGCGTTTCAAGTTTGTTTCGTTAATTTGTGCACAGAATCCAAAATCTGTCAGCTTGATATCTCCTGCCATCGAAAGTAAGATATTATCAGACTTAATATCACGGTGGATAACGCCCTTCGAATGTAGAAACCTTAGGCCTTTTAAGGTTTCCCTGCACACAGCTCCAATTTGAGCTTCCGTCAACATACAGTGTGTCACAACATCTGTCAAGGAGCCGCCTTCCATATATTCCATCACGACCCAAAGGTCACCTTTCAGAAGATACGAGTCAATGTAATTAACGATGTTAGCATGTTTGCTTGCTTTCATTACCAAAATCTCATTGATAATGAGTTCTTTCTTGGGCTGCTTCTCTAGGCTCATTTGCTTGATAGCAACAGATGCATTGGTCCCGACCTCATAAGCTGTGTATACACCTCCTGAGGCACCTTGCCCGATCTTAATCAAGCTTTTGTAAAGCTTACTAGGGTCGCCCTCCGAGCAGATCTCTGTAAGTGTGGCGTAGAGCTGTTGAATCTTCTTTCTTCTGTCCTCTCTTTTCGATTCTAGTGTTTTCTGCATGTCGCTGAGAGCCGATTCTCCCTTTGCATTGTCTTTGGGTACAGGAGGGGGAGGAGCCTCCCTAAATGGCGCATCTAAGTTCGAAGAATCGGGTATAGGCTTTATGCTTGGAGCTGCACTTTTTGGTTGCGTCTGAAAGTTTTGCGGAAGTTCGGTCCTTGTCTTGGTACCCTTACGAGATAGGCTCTTGATTGCAGAGCTTGTACTTCCTTTTCTATCCAGATTTGGCGATGCAGCTGAAGCAGCATTCGCCAGAGGTGAGGTAATGTCAGATTTTGTGGAGGTGCCTGGAGGTTTGGGAGCAGGACGACTTGGCATAAATCGCTCGTTAGTCGCAGTTTGTAATCTCGGCGCTTCCCTTAGATTTACTGGAGATTGAAGTTCCTGAGCAGTATCTTTGGTAACCACACTGGTCTGTGAATTGGCTTTTGGTAGCCAGCTTTCGTTCTTATTCAAAGAGGGTGATGAAGGAACTCTGGAGGATGAGGGGCTGGATGAATTATTTCCTGAATTTCCGATGTGAAATGTTTTGAACACCTTGTCTTCGCCGTTTGCCTCGGTCACATCTTGATAAAATTTCACAATATCCATGACTGCCTGCGGGTGCTGCTGTTGTTCTCGTTTTGAGATACCGCTCGAGGTTAGAAGCTTTTCCCATTCCTCAGGCAAACCGGTGTATTCGCCAGTTTTTGTATCAACCCCAACATGGTGAACGTGCTTTGCGTTGTACGGCGTTGAGATTCTCAAACCTACATTTGATTGCCTTTTCTCTCCTTGTGAAGTCCTCTTCATGTTTTGCATCAGAGATGAAAACACGCCTTTCATTCTACTCCCACCGCTCTTCCGCTTCTTACCTTCTAAACCCGGAGAGGGTGTTTGGGATTGTGACATCGGACTTTCTGGCGTTACGTCGCCTGAACGAGGATTTCTCTTCATGCCATTGAAGGGAGATGAAACCACGTTGAAGGGTGACTTCTGAGGCGGCCTTTTGGCATTCGGGGAAGGATGTTGTAACGAATGAAAGCCTTCCTGGGCAGATACAGGTGTTACCCACGGTTGTCTATCCCTCGCGGCAGAATCAAGCTTTTGGGATCCAAAATTATCATCGAATTGCGCATTGTTTTCTTGAGAAGTGAGATACGGGGATTCTTCATGCAGTGTGCTTGTAACGGGCGGCTCGAACGCCTCTCGTTTGAAGTTTTCGCGACTATAGTCACTCTTTGGCGTACTACTCTTCATTTGACTGTCATAGTCCATGTTGGCTGTAGAGCTATTTTGGGTAGAAAAAGCGGGGGAAATCTGAGTCTCGTTTTCGCCAGAAAGTAGCATGGAGTCATTGATCATTGCTGTGTTATCGGCATTGTAATGTTCCGAGGCCCTTATTGTGGAGTTTGTCTTGTCTCCGATTGTGGATTGTTCCTGGAGATCCAGCATGCCTGGCTCTTGTGTTGGGGGTTTTTGTTGTGAGTAAATAGGCTTCTTAGCATCGAGATCGGATTCATGAGACCTACTTATGACATCACTTGCTTCGTAAGAGCTGTTGCTTAGTGCTGAAGAAGACGAAACCCTTGTAAACTGGATAGGCTCGTTGAGAGACGTTGATTGTAGAATCTCACCCACGCTGACAACTTGTGACACTTTAGGTTTCCCCGGATCCATGGACCTGTAATCTGAATTATCCGCCACCTCTTCTGTATCGCTGGTGTAAGAATTCTGTAATGCATTGACGTTAAGTGTACCGGGGGCTCTGGGAAGCTCGTACTCTTCATTGGGTTTCTCGCCAGCTGATTCGATAATACTCTCACTTTCGCTCTGCATTTGCTGGTCAACGACTTGTGAGTGTCCAGCAGGCCTCATTACACTTGACTTGGGCACTTGAGAACTCAAATGGTATTGGGAGTCACTTAATTCAGTGAATATGTTCGGTGCGTTCGTGAACTGGGGATCGATATGGTAGATCGGTTCGTTAACCTCAAGTCTTCACGGGTCAATTATCACGAAACCAAGCTGTAAGAAGTTGGTGGAAATAATGTTTGGGGCACTCTTGACAGTCAGATCTGTATTTGAAGTGGCCTATTGAATCAACAAACGCTCTATGTGGAACGGAACTCACCTGCGTCAGCTCCAAAGGCATTTTCATGAATGAGATTTATTTATTTTTCGGAATTGTCGAGAAGTTCAACGTATTTAATCATGTGACTGGTGGATATTGAATTAAGGACAGGCTTTAAGCTGGAATCCGCCAGGATATCCACCACCTAAGGAGCATCGTTCCATCGGCATTTGGCAAACCGGCTTGTATGAAATCAGCTAAGAGAGTTCACAGTTTTGATGATCAGACATCGTCTGGACGAGCCTTGTCACCTTTCAACCTAGGATTCGGGGAGCCTTCGTATTAAGAGCAATGGAGATTTTCCCGATCTCACTGCAGTCTTGAACTTTGGTGATGAAGTCTTGATGTGAGAATCTCATGAGGTGGTTCATGTCTAGAGCAAGCCTAGGAAGCTCCAAATAGTTCTTTCGAGATGTTCATATGGCCGCCTTGCGTAGATTGGATCGAAAATCGAATAGTCGTTTGTTTCATTGACATAGTCAAGCCCACATTACGAGAGCAAAAATGCACCAGAACCTTCAGTCATAGCTTGAATAACTCTAGATTTCAGAATTGCTTTGTTGCTATAGAGCGGTAGTTTCAGATAGTTCGCGCACGTCATCACACTTGGTAAAAATTCATCGGCAGTCATGTTCTCCTCTGTGTGCTTGCGTACAACTGTGAATTTGGGAGATAAGGTCTTGAATCCGCCAACGGGAAGCTTGGGCGATCCGGTGAGAAACTGGAGAAATTGACGGCGCTCTTGGTCTGAAAAAGATGACATAAGTGAAATCAAATCTTGGATGATGTCAGAGTCGTGATTATAACCATGATCCGCTTCTATATTGGCGATAAGAGTTTCCGTGCTCCAGTCTTCCTCTACTCCACCGAAAAACTGTGTGAGCTCCTCAGGTGTAAGGATCATTAACGAACGGTAGGGGAAAGCGTGCGAAAATCCTTGCATAAAGCTACGAATTTGCTTTTCGACCCCCGCGCCAACAATTTGATCCAAGATGCTGTCCAAGTATTGATCAAAGTTGTTTTTAGTAACAGCCGTCTCCAGCCCATTCGCTACCAAATTCACATTGTAGCCGGGCAAATGAAAAGTCAAAGAAAGGGATTCCAAAACGTCATCGTTTTTATGCTTTTGCAGAAAGTTTAGGGATTTCTCTAGTTGCGGGTCCACCATACCTAGGATTGAAAGGGCCAATTCTTTGTCCTCTAAAAGCATCGGTTGATCGGCAGCATACATGTGTGCTAGTTCAAAGAAAGCTTGACTGAAGCGAAAGTCTAAAATGCGATTATCTAACATCGACCTGGCGACAAATACTCCCAATTGTTGAAATAGTGCCAATACCCTCTCTTGGTCTTCAAGAGCACCTAAAGGGGCTGGAAAGAGAAGCCCCTCGACTAACTCGTCTTTCTGGTGTGAAGAAAAGTTATCAGTTCTCCACAACCGCAGAGATTTCTTCGCAAATTCTTTTGACACTATAGCATAGAATTCCATTGTGGGGCCCAATCCCGTTCCAACTTCATTCGAGTACTCAATTTCTAGAATGTTTGGTGAGGAACCATATTTCCTGAGAATCTTCAGAGCACTTAAAAAGATATCGTCACGAGAAATTCTCAACTTGTGTCTCGTTGGCCTACCTAATTGATGCAAAACATTTTCTCCCTGTTCTCCTTTGTCATCCTCTATGCGATTCTTCCATATCTGAATGAGTCTCCCATACCCAAAGGATGTACTTTGTAAGTAAAACATTCTGAGTTCAAAGGGAAAGAGAAAAGAATAGCGCCTCGTAACGTCTATCGTCCATGAAGGGAGACAACCGCCAGACACAATGAGCGGTTCATCTAACTGACAGGACAGTTTCGCACTCATCTTTGAATTGACAAAAAATTCGCCCCCCAGAGAGCTTTTCCGGAGTGCTTTAAGAATTACCAGAATATCATAAACCTGCTTTGCATCGGCCTCAACATCGATATCGTCCTCATATAAGGGCCTCAAGACCTCCGGCTCCTCCTTTGAACCAGCCTTCCTGTATTTAAGCACATGCAGATCACTCCAAACATGCTTACTCTCTCTTTTGTTTTTGTAGCAGTTTCTAAAGATTGGTCCAAATATCGTATCCTGATAAGCACATGTTTCTCCCTCATAAGAGAACCCAAAGTTCCATGTTTCCATTTGGCTGACTGCTTCTGATTCAATTGCCATCAGTGGTGACGAGGAGCTTATGATTCGAGATTGTAGTAGCTTGTGTTTCAAAAAGTCATTTAGCGACTTGAAGGAAGCTACGCAATGAATACCGACGGTAATTGACCGCAAATTCTGTGGTATTTCATCGCCATCGAAGTCGCCCTCATACTCTAATCTGAGCTTCATTTGCTTCCCCAAAGAAGCTGTTTTTCCTTCGTCACCATGCAAGCCACAGTCTCTCAGGTCAAAACATTCTATGCGCGTCAAAGCAGACTGTAAGATTTGAACGAAAGGTTTCAGGTCAGCGCCAAAAGCATCAATAAACGCCCGTTGGCAGACTGAGGTCTTGATACTGTTATTTGTGATAATTCTCGACATTTCACTAGCCAGACCGGTTGTCATGAACTCAAAGCTGGAAATGGCGAACTCAGAAGAGAAAAGCTTGGTTTTGACATCGCGCCATACAGAAACCCAGGAATCAAAGCTAGTCGAGCGAACGTCCAGGCTTCGCAGCTTTTCCACCAGACAGGCTATTTCGCCGAGTTCCCCTGATATTGACTTATCTTTGCGCGAGATTGCTGTGATCTTCTGGAGATTATCACGAAGCGAATCGTTTACTTGCTGCAACCTCAACTTCTTGAGTACATTGAACGTGATTTTACGAGGTTTCACTTGTCCCAAACCCTCAAACCCGTCAAAGTCCATATCGTAATCCTCGTCACTTTCATAGTCGACCTGGCTGTCTTCCGAAAGCTCCCCTTCCTCAGACGAGTGGGTGCTATCGTTATCCGACGAGGCTCCAGCTGAGCTGAGTGCTAGTTGTTGTAGTAAATTATCAATTGATTCGAAAACACCTTCGCGTTGGAAAGCGGGGAGATACTCAGAGGGATGTCTTTCAATCAAAGTGCGTGAAAAAGAGGCACACCCCAGAAGCAGGACCCCTGACTCGAGATCTTGAAACCCGCTTTCTTCAAAGATTGGCTTGTTTCTTGCAAAACTCGACGCTATCATGGAGATCACGCTCTTATTTATTTTTGACGATGCATGGGGCATGCGCGATGAAACTGTACGCGCTAAGGCGATAAGCACGTACTTTCTTATGTGGAAGTCAACGGCGTTATCGAATATCTCCACTAAAATAGGTGTGATGTCCTCAACCAGCTGTTCCAACTTATCTTGTAGTCCTTTCAGATCCACGTTTACGTTTCTGGCGTCAGAAAAAACCGGATTATCTTCCACCGGAAGTAAAAAGGCTACGAATCTTGAAATGCAGGTGAGTAATGACTTTGGTGCAAACATTATTCTTTCATGAAGTGGAGACTTAGAACTTTTTTTGTAATCGTCGATTGAGCTCAGTAGTACATCTACTATCTTTTCAGACCCTAAAATTTCAGTAGACAATGACTCCGAGCATAAGACCAATTGGGACATAAGATCAAAAGCTTTCAATCGGGTTTCCACCTTTGTTTCCCCATTTATGATTATTTGCATGATTTTCCTAACCAGTTCATAGTCGAACAGTTGGGTCAGTCGCTCTTGCTCTTTGCTCATGCTGCTGCAAATACCGTAAAAGCCATCAAAAACTCTCAACAGAAGAGCATTTTCAGAACGCGACATGAAAACTTCTTTCAATGTAGGCATCACCTTCGCAATTTCTTCGAAACTTTGCGACCGGACCCTAGCACACGAATTCACAACTATTGTAATGGCTTTCCGCTGCGCATGTGAGGTGAAGAAATCTAGATATTGCAGGCATACCATAAGACTGCCTGACTCTAGAATTTCTCTGCCATGTAGTCTGGAAATGATTTCTAACGTCTCCAAAACTTGTTCAGCGAGATCGATGTAACTGATTTCAAGCAATTTACCACGCAAAGCTCCGATAACGCCATGCTCTACTGCAACAGCTATGATACCTGGGTTGACTTCAAATAAGTTGTATAAACATCGACATGCAATCATCTGCAACTCGAGCTGATCCTGCAGGCGAGAGCTCTCCAATATCTGAATAACGTTTTTAAGAAGCTCCTCTTGGGGAATGACACGTTCTGCAGTAATTGAGTTCATCATGAGCAGCTGTTCTGATATTTCACGCAGGCTTTCTTGTGCCATGTAGGGATCTTCATGGCAGGATGTAATGTTTTCAAGAAGTCTTGCAACCCGCCCGTTAGTCCGGTTTTGTCCTGATAGGGGTCCGTTACCAGCAAAGCCAAATATCTCAGGAAAAATGTCGGCGATTTCTACTCTTCTGCCCTGGCGATTGTCACTGTCGGGCATGTTACTTGCTTCGGAGTCGCGTGCAACACCATGTGTCTCCATACTCTGCGAAAGAAATCCCAACAGCTGCTGTAGTGATGCTGGTGCTCGGTGAGCGTCGTTTTCAATTCCACGTTGGCTCGTTGTACCGGAACTGATTTGAAATGGTTCTTCTTCTTCATTGTCCTCAACTCGGTCTCCATCTATGTTGTCGCTAAACTCGTTCAGACGTTCCGATAAATGTTCTTCATTCTCGACGTTTTCATCTGCTTCCTCTTCATCTGGATAATCGTACTCTCTCGGGTCGTCAGAGTCCTCAAGATCGCTTTCGCTGTATTCACGTTGTGCTGCGTTGGCGCGGATCACAAAATCCCCATCGCCATCGTAATCCCGATCCATTAGCTCAAACTACTTCCTTCTTGTAGCACAGCACCACCAAACTCTGGCTCAAGTTTCAGAAAGAAGCGTCGATGATTTCAAGCTTTTCCCTAAATCAATAGAAAGATGTCTTACTGTCGATCAGGGCATATATATGTAGGCTATAATCTTTTTTCACTCACCTAACATGGGGGCAGACCTAACTACATAGTCACGTGAACACTCAGCAATCCACCAAGCGCGACACATCTTCTGGTCAAGAAGACGGCGTGAAGCGACATATCTCGACAAGGAACGACGTCGCAGCTATAATTAAGAAGCGAGTTTGAAAAATCGTCTGAAAATCTCAGTATGAATTTTCTGATTTTTCGAGTATAGGTGGTAAATATGGAAAGTGGTAGATGGGACACGGTAAGGCTTTGGGAATTTACCTCATCAGTTTTATAGTTCTGAGGAGGACTCGCAAAATCCCGGAAAGAATACGAGAACATCCGATTTTCAACAACTAGATTATATGATTACGATACGACAATGAGCCCTCAGTCTACAAGATCCTAATATCGCTCTCAATGTCCTCCCGAGATATTGTGGATGCATCTTATTATAGTTATAATATCGAGTTCAGACGACTCAGTATTACGGATGCAGCACACGTTAAATCCCCTGTGTAGTATATTATCCCGTGGTCTTTAATCGATCGATGACCCTTTTGGTAACAAATTCGAACAATGCATGTCATCTTATTTGTCCCATTGCAAAGCCTATGAGTTTAGAATACTACCACTGTTTTTATGACGATTTTGAGATGTCATGAGTCGAGGTAATGATTTTGGCACCGCGCAGCTCCTCGGAGAGGCAGTTCTGGACGGCAGATGGCATATTTGCAGGAATTTTGACCTGTGCAGATCTAAACTGAGTACCAAGCTGGCTAACAAAAGCGGTGACTCGGTGTCATTTGATGATCATACAAATCTCATAGGCCCGTCATGGCTAAGTTTATTTTTGTCACTTTGTACCAGTATGTCATTTGTCGCTCCGTCATCTGACATACTGTAACGTCACTGCACTCTTGAAGCTAGACATGAACAACACGTCAGATTTAGGAATAGAAATAGAGCCAGCATGGTGCCGTAGTCTGTCAATTTCCTCGTCCAAATATCTGTCATAAATCTTCTCGCATCCAACTTTTGTAAGAACCGAAACCCAGATTAGGTTTATTCGACAGTTCGGGATCCGGGTCGGTAGGCATAGTACCCAAAATAATACAAACTTAATCAAGGAAATGCTAGGTTTGTTTGTTACTTAGAATTGCAATATTCAGAATCACCGTGACTCGTCAGTATTCAGTTACAATTTCACGTTAAGTTGAATGCTTACAAACCAATTTGAATTGTCTCCTCAATGGCAATCTTTCAACGTTCTCGATACACTCTTATGTGAGCGTCATATCTAAGACTCACTGGATTATTAGTAGTATATCGTATATCATACCAGTATGCCGACTGATAACCTCGGCAATCTTATTTATTCATTCCATTTGACTTGCGATACCACATTTTCTCTGGCCCTTTTTTTTCCTTTAGTTGGATATCGACAAGAAATTCAACCGCTTCTACACGTAGAGGCCGATATTTGACTAATCAAGGGCTTCTTCTAGCTTGCGCCAGCAGCGACTGTCCAGGGCCAACAGCTCATCGTCGCATTTTTCGCGTCACGTGAAGATCACACCAAACTGTTTTTTTTCTTGAGATGGGCTAAAAATTCCAAAAGATTGAATAATTGAAAAATTTTAGCTCATCGCATCTCAATCTCAACTCCAGGCGCTTAATCTATCAAGTATTTAAGTTACTTTAAAGACTTCAACAACTTCAAAAGACTAGTTTACGAGCTTGTCTTTACCAGTCCTACTAAACCCTCCTTTTATACTAGCAATTTCACAAAATGCCCAGATCTAAACGTTCCAAGTTGGTGACTTTGGCTCAAACTGACAAGAAAGGCAGAGAAAACAAAGAGCGCATTTTCGATGAGATTCGTGAGGCCCTAGATTCTTTCAGATACGTTTGGGTACTACATTTGGACGACGTACGGACGCCGGTCCTACAGGAAATTCGTTCCTCATGGACAGGATCCAAGCTCATCATGGGTAAACGCAAGGTTTTGGAAAAAGCCTTGGGCCAGAAAAGAGAAGAAGAGTACAAAGAAAATCTTTCAAAACTCACCAAGGCTTGTTCCGGAGTCACAGGTCTGCTTTTCACAGACGAAGAACCTCAGGTTGTGCAAGATTACTTCAAATCGTATGTCAGAGCAGACTACTCCAGACCTAAGTCCAAGGCCCCACTAACGTTTGAAATCCCAGCCGGGATTGTCTACTCTCGCGGTGGTCAAATCCCAGTCGAGGAGGACGTTGTAATGGTTCACTCGCTTGAACCCACTTTGAGAAACAAGTTCAAGATCCCAACCAAAATCAAGGCCGGTAAGATTACCATCGAAAGCCCATACCTTGTTTGCCAAGAGGGCCAGACTCTCGATGTTCGTCAAGCACTAATCTTGAAACAGTTTGGTGTAGCCGCCTCCGAGTTCAAGGTGAAAGTTGCGGCCTACTTCGACAACGAAACCAGCTCGGTTGAGAAAGTAGACATCAACATGTAAATTGCATCTACAAATACATTGTATACTATACTCACGCCCAAAGAAAAAGAAAATAATTCGGAAGCCCTGATGAAAGCTAAAACGACGATGCCGGTATCGTCTGTGCCGTTTGTTCTATCTAGCCTATTTCGCGCCAGTACTGCTCTAGCCTGCTGAGATCATCGCACGGGACCTGGCGGGAGGGGACAAACTGGATTTCAATTTGATAACGCCCCTTCACTTTGAAGGCGACATTGTATATGAGATTCGCCAATCGTAATTGCGGTGCTGTCAAAACGTCTCGATCAAGTTCGAGTGCTTCGTCCAGCCCGTAGATGATCAGATTCTCGAAACTGAGCTTCTCATTTCCCTCGTTGACCTCAAATTTCGTCAAATACATGTGTAAATACCGTAATTTGTTCAGAAAAAGAACTTTGATTTGGTTTCTGGCGTTCATCATGGCCCGAACGCTAGAAATAGTTCCCGTTGAGCTTTGGAGGTCGTTCTCGAAATATTTTCTTGCAGTGGCACCTAAAGCGAAGATCAAGGTACATGATGATTCATGTTCTTCGAGAATCAGTTGCGATAAAACTGTCTCCATCAACTCAAATCGGACTTTTAGAACCTCGAGTGCATTATTTGTCCTGTTAAAGCGCAGTCTTTAACAGACACCAATGACGTTCTGCCCTTAGTTGTTACAGTTTGAACTTTCATTTACTTGTTGATCAGTTCGATGTTCTGTCTCTATTTTGTAGATGGAGATATATTGATTTAGACTGAAAAAAATTTGAAAGTCAACCTGCAAAGTAAGATTTACTTGTTATAAAACTGACAATAACGCAGCTTGTGAGACCTTGTGAGGGATGTTGTTAGGTTTCCGCACAGCGAGGCAATCTTTGAGAGCTGGTTCGGGTCTTTGTGTGCAACACATTACGAGAGGAATCACAACACAGGACAAAGTAAGCACCGAAACAGATGACGGGGTTTCTCCATCACTGAACGCTGACGATGCTAAAGCTGAGCCTCATGATGAGCTATCACTTCTACGTCAAAGAGAATATAATGATCAAGTGAAGGAACTTCTGAAATCATTTTCAGAAACCACGATAGACGACATCCCCGATTTTCACGACTCTCTATCTAAAGAACTGGGCGTGAAAGAGCAACAGCTCGACGAAGAGCTCACTTCATTCCTCAAGCAGTTTTCCCGTTACAACAAGATAATCGAGCCCAAGTCTGAACGTGAAGCTACCCAAAAGCTATCGAACCAATCGCGTATCAAGTCATTTCCTTTCTTGGTACCCTCTCCAAAAGACAAGCCATACTCCAAGCAAGAATTGTTCTTGCGTCAGATGAAACATGCGGATAGAACCGCTAAGTTAGGGGCATCCATTGAGGGCGTTTACTTCCCACATAATGATATCTTTTCTCCTCCAACCAGCGATCAGCTGTCTATTTCAAAGTTGCTCGCTGCCGGTGTGCATTTGGGTCAATCCACTTCTTTGTGGAGACCTAGCACACAACCCTACATCTATGGCGAATACAAGGGCATACACATCATTGATCTCAACAAAACTCTTTCTCATTTGAAGAGAGCAGCCACTGTGGTCCAAGGCGTTGCTGAAAGAGGTGGTACCATTCTATTCCTAGGTACAAGAGAAGGCCAGAAAAGAGCTTTGCAAGAAGCGGCCAGAAGGACACACGGGTTTTACGTATCTACTAGATGGATTCCAGGGACGTTAACAAATCCAACAGAAATCTCTAGTGTGTGGGAGAGACATGAGGTAGACTTTGCCGACCAGCCGACCAACAGACCTCTGAACGCTGACGAGGAAGCTGCAATTGTCAAGCCAGATTTGTTGATCATTCTAAATCCTACAGAAAACAGAAACGCCTTGAATGAGGCGATGCAAGCTAGAATACCTACAATCGGGATCATCGACACGGATTCTGAACCGTCGCTATTCACGTATCCTATTCCAGGTAACGACGATTCACTTCGGTCTGTTAATCTACTTTTGAGCGTGTTGGCCAAGGCCGGTCAAATAGGGCTTCAAGCGCGGCTCTCGAAAACAGTTTCCCAGTGATAATGGCGAGTTATAATCATGTACATATTACTAAGTCTTTAAGCGCGAAATCGCATCCGTTTACTGTTCCGTTACCTTCTTCCGGGAGTGCCGCTGAAAAAGTTGATGATGTTCTTTATGAAAATATGTAATGGGTAATGTAAATGGAGATGCATAAGAACAAGTTACGCTTGATATGGTACGAGCCAACGCAAATCAAAATGACTCAATCCTCTTTCTTTGTAGCTTTTCCAGATGGCGCATCTTTCTTGCCTGCAGCGACTGAATTCCCAGAGGTTTCCTGCTCTTCGTCTGATTCTGTATCGCTTCTGTCATCCTTTTGAATGCCCTTGAAAATTAGACGATATAGAATCCTCAAAATCAAAAAGAGCCAGTAGAGGTTTACCATTTGGAGAGCAAAAATCAAAGTGAAGACGATGGGCAGCGCAATCCAGCACTTGTACTGCTGAGTGGCAAAGTTCAGGGTATAGTTTCCCACAGTGCGGAACTCAGTAAGAACAGACCACAATATTTTGATGTTAACATAGTGGCGCAAATAGGTCCAGCTTGCCACAAATAGGAAAAAGAATGGCGGTGTCAAAACAGAATCCATGTAGTTAAAGGTCTTTGAGAGAGAAAGGAAAAGATCGGAGACATCCATGGTGATGTATACGGCAAGCCCCATCTTGGTAAAGTGAAAGACGTATGAGAGCCAAATCAAAGCCAAAGTTATGATGTGATGAAAGACCAATTCTTTGAAATCTTTTCTTGGCTTTTCGAGTAAGAGTGCCAAAACGCATGCCTGTTGGGTCCAAAAGGCGGCTTGGCCCAGGTAAAAGACCTTGTACAGGAACGGATTTGTTAGGTCAGGGTACGTCGCGTACATGCTAGAGGTAGCAAACAACCAAAGATCTGTTTGATACATGATGTAGAGACCGAAAGGTCCCGAGATTCCGTAGTAGATAATGGAATAGGTTTGTTCCATGACACGCTTGATCTTCTGTTTGCCAGTCATACCAAGGGAAATGGCGAGAGGGCGCAAGGCGACCTCCATCAAGAACTCGCGCAGAAAGGTGAAAAAAATCATGTAGAAAAACACAAAGCACAGGTCACGGATACCCTTGCCATACTCATCAGTGTCACCGACCTGGTATGAGATAGCCACAAATGCATGCAGAGGATTGGACTCCGTCAAATTACCTGAAGTGAAATACGCCCCATAAACCACTAACAACAGGATCAGTGGTGTGAGCCACGTATGTCTGTAGCTCATTTCACGGTACGTGAGCATGAATTTCCACAATAGGTCAGCGTCGCCTTTCGATGACTCGGAAAGGGCACGCATGCGAGCCTGAGCGGCTGTTTTCGACTCCTGGCTTTCCTTCATCGTTGAAAGCCCCGGGACTTTTGTGTCCCCGAGATTAATTGCCCCAACAGAGGACGTACGTCTCTGGCGCACGGGTGGCTGCAAACGATTCGACGACATGGAAGACTAATGAATTTGGCAGGGCCAATTATCCTATATTTCTCGACTTGTTTCTGTTGGGTTCCTGAAAGATGTACATCATCCGTCAATATATCTAGAAATATTTATCCTACTGTTTAAGCCGAGCATTTTACACGTCGCGCGACGCGCATATAATAAAGAAGCGGAAGTTTCATCACGCCAGGGCACATAGCCTAGCCCAGCCCACATTCATTGACTTGCGAAAAGATTGTCTGAGAGAACCTTTTGGTTTCGCCCGTCCCATCGCTTGATTTAATCTGTAGACTTCTCTCAACTATATCGGAAAATTTTGAGAAGTTGGAACAACCTCTAGGTGCTCAGTAATTTTAGAGTGGCACCTAGCTGAGCATGGTTTGTAAGGTAGTTGTTTCCAATTGCATTCGACTCTCGAGGCAAAGAACAATTGTACATATTTCGTAGAGCTACCCATACATCGACTTTAAGGGTTTAGTCTGACAACAAAGCATCCGAATATACGCTTATATTTCCCAGTTAATGGTAAGAAGCCTAGTCACTAAGCTCATTTTGAGCGCAGTCTTGAGGCATCCGTAGAATTTCTGCGTGATAAATGGCAATCAGGTAAGTAAATGCACGTCTCATAAATTCACGACAATTGACTGGTCTTATCTCTCTGAACCCTCTGCGAATCTAACTGACAGTATTCTACAGAGTGATTGAGTTCAGCCTCCGTTTCGCGGTGTATAATGTATAAATATATAACTCATCAGAGACGACCTCACTACTACACCTTAAGGTTAAAATGGCTACAACTTCTGTAGAACCCGCAAAATAGAACCAAAATCTGTAGGAGTATGGCATCTGACAGCATTCTGCGTAATGCAATCTTGAAAGCTACGGACGGAAAGCTACGGTCTGACAATTGGCAGTATATCCTTGACGTGTGTGATCTTGTCAAGGAAGATCCTGAAGATGGTGGTCCCACAGCCGTGAAAATTGTTCAAGAACGACTAAGAGTAACAGACGCAAACGTTGTGCTGCGCACTTTGTCACTGGTGGTATCTCTGGCTGAAAACTGTGGATCTCGATTGCAGCAGGCAATAAGCTCGAAGACGTTCACGAAAGAGCTTTTTGGTCTGATCGAAAGTAGCAAGGTCCATTGGCTGGTGAAGAAAGAAGTGGCCAAAACAGTCTCGCAACTCAGCGACTCCTTCAAACGAGACCCTTCACTACGTGCAATGCAGGACTTATATTTGAAAGTCAACTCGCAGGCTCCGGACCTGCTGGAGGAACAAAATGTGCCACGTAAGACTGAGATGACCGCACAAACCAAACGTAATGAGGAGAAAGAGCTCGAGGAGGCCCTCAGGTTGTCAATACTTGAGTACGAAAACTCCTCAAAAAGCGCAAATGAATCTCAACAGGCTGCACCGGAAACAGCCCGCCCGGCTGCTTCGAACAATGCTCACATATCCTCCTCGACAGGCGTGAGGAAGGTAAGAGCTCTACACAACTTAACAGGGAGGGACTCTGAAGAGCTCTCATTCAGAAAAGGCGACGTCATAGCCGTCATCGAGCAAGTTTACCGGGACTGGTGGAGGGGTAGTTTACGTGGACGGGTCGGTATCTTCCCACTAAACTATGTAACGCCTGTGGCAGAGAAAAGCCCCCGAGAACTAGAGAAGGCGCACGCAGAAGAAGAAGCCGTGCTGAATCGTATTGGGGACGTGGATAAGCTGCACCAGCTGCTGAACTCCTCGAGACAAAAATTGGAAATTACGCAAGACCAAGAAGTATCCGACCTTTACAGCTCAGTCACGCCTCTGCGACCACAAGTCACCAAGATGCTAGGAGGTTATGCTCAGAAAAAGGAGGAATACACCTCTTTACGCAAAGTTCTGGCCGATGCTGAGGCCTCTTACAGTCAGTTGCTCAGTCGCGCAAGTCAAGCCTACACGAGTCCACCAGCACAGAATTCTCCACCGGAACATATGCGTATGGCACAGCAATGGCAAGGACAAACGAGACCACTCGAAAGCCATCGTCAAACACAAGGGGGTAGCGAGTACGTACATGCGCAGCCATACCTAGCAGCAGATAGCCGCCAGCAGCCATATCAACAGACTCCTGCCTCTCATCAGCAGCAGCATCGTCTTCAGCAATACGAGCAGCATCAACAATATCAGAATCAACAATATCAGAGCCAAGTTCCTTACAGCCATGAGCCGCCAGTGTCGCAACCTCAACGCTTTGCACCCTCTCAGCAAGGGCTCCGACCACAAATCCCACGACAGAATATGGGAACGGCTTTTCAGACACCTAACTACGAGCCACCCTACCCCATAAGTAGTCAAAGCACTGGATTTGGACCCAGCTAGTTCATGCTGAGTTCAAGCGGGATATTGCATAAGAGATGATATGTGAACAATGAGGATTTTGAGTAACCGATATTATATGAACAACCACTTGTTTCAAATTATAGGCTGAGGGACAGTCTAATTCGATTACTGATGCATTGTATTCGAAAGACCTGATACTCGCTTTATATATATTTAAGTGCGCGTACGTATTATTTTGTTCAAACAAAATTCAAAAAATTGGTTCCCCTTTAATGGGCTAATCACGATCAGGCCAACCAAGCATTCTCAACAACAAGTTATTCACACAATGGCATCCGAGTTCAACAATATAATTCACTCTCTCATCGCGAGCACACCGTCCGGCGAGATCAAAGATGTTTATAAGAATCTGCTCGTTATAGCAGGTGAGCAGGCGGAGGACACTATTTTGGACTCCATAGCTAAGTACAATGTCACAAACTTCATTCCCATTCAAGTTGAAGGACGTTCAGTAATAATCTCAAACTACAACAAAGAGGGTTCTAAGTTCTTTGACCCCGTAAGCTCGAGGTTGTTTTCGGTAAATCACCTAGATCGGACAGCTTTTGACGTGAATTCATGTGAAAAGAAGCTTTGTGAAACCTCTGAGTCTATCCACCAGGACTTAGAATCCTATACATCCAAGACGTTTCCTGGAAATGTTTCCTACGCTGTTTATCCCGGGGACGCTCCCCATGACATTGTGATCGCCATCGTTAGCACCAAATACAGCCCTGGGAACTTCTGGAACGGCCATTGGAAATCAGTCTACCATTACAACTTAGATACGAAGCAATTGAAGGGTGTTATTGATGTCAACGTTCACTACTATGAGAACGGAAACGTGAGTTTCCAGTGCGAGAAGCAAGTTGAAGACCAATCGGCCAGCAACGCTGTGGTATCTATCAAAACTCTGGAGAACGAGCTGGAAAAAGAGATGCGTGCATCCTTCACAAACCTGAACGAGAAAGAATTCAAGCTGTTGAGAAGAAGACTGCCCGTGACCCGATCGAAAATCAACTGGGGCAAAGGCGTTGGCACTTACAGACTCGGCAAAGACTCGGCTGAAAATCAGTTTAGGTGAGAGAGCGCTTGCTGGTGCGGACGTGAGCCCACAACTTGTAGCGTGGCAAACCGCGTGCATGGTGTCTGCGTGGCTAAAAAACTTTGAATAGAAAGTATACAATAAAGAATATCAGAAGTGAGAGGCCAACCATTCGCCAGATGTTGTTCCCTGCGTTCATAGACCTGGTCAGCCGGGATGACGAGTTTTTGACTTTTAGCACCATGGAGTCGAACTGATTTTGCATCTGGTCCATAACGGAGGTGTCAGCGCGTGCTTCGTTTCCTATTTCTGCGTTCACATTTCTGAAAGTCGACAGCTTGGACGCCAGTTCGACTAGTCTTTGGTTGTTCTGCAATGAGGCGGGTTAGTTATAGCAAAGAGGGCACATACGGGCCTTGGAAACATACACTGTTCTCCACTTGTGCATATCGGGATGTAGACATGGTAAGCACGGACGGTTGAACGTTAGTTTTGCCGTTGCCCAGGCGTCTATTTGGCTATTGTGTTCAAGTGCCCTTTACTAGAGAGACAGTGATATAACAGTAATACAACACACGTCCGTGTATAGTGACGTAATTGCGACAGAGACCAGCGATTCGAACAAAGGCGGAGAATTTCAGGCTACTACGGGGGCTTACGAAAGGAAGAATCACTACAAATGTGGGTTTTGTTTGGTGTGCTGTGTCAGAGTAGATCTTGGTGTTATTTAGTGTTTGAATTTTCACAGGTCAATCAATTTAGGCGAACTTTTTTCATCACATCACAGCACAAGAAGATCCTTTTTGGGGACCTTACTACGGTAGCGTCAAATCGCGCTATGGTGTTGCTACTCATGTGCCAATCATGGTTAGTTTCTGCTGAAACCGGGGCTGTCTTCTGCTTTTTATTTTCTTTATTTTACCGCGCTGAAAGCGCTGCGTGAGCCAAGGTAAACTCGTCAGATTCTTAAAGTGATCGCATGCCGCAGGCATCCCTTTGTGAAGCTAGGCATGCTTCAGGATGGCCTGCTCTCAATCGCAAATTATATCATCATCGTGGTAATGTGCTCCCGAAAGAAGCAGAAGACTGCACTCCATTATTGCCAATGAGTAACAAGAAACGTCTAGTAGCATTAGTAGCACTAATAGCACTAGTAGTGCTCGAACTGTCGAGTCTTCTATTGTGTCTGCCAATGGCGAGAAAACAGTTGATATTCTGCCGTTTTTTATAGACATCTCTTTATGTTCAAATCGACGATATATCGCTCTACACGAATATAGTCACACTGTTTACATTTCAAACCCATACATCACATATCTAATCTTTTAACACCCAGAGCCCCGCTCTCTTCACAGCCCATTTTTTCGATATACGAGAACAACACACAAAATATGTCAAAAATCTAAGAAAATTGCCATTTAGCGAGCGTCGACAACCCACGCAAAATTCACGTACCCACGCAAAAGCCGTCGATAGCGAACCGACTCAGCTGGAAGATTGGACAGCGTGAGCCCGGTTGGGTCGTGGAATTCTGGATAGTGAATTTCTACTACGAAATTTACCATTTGACGTTGGGCTTTTGAAGAGGTGCTAGTACTAGGTCTACCTTATCTCATTAGAAGAGCAAGCTCAATAATGTCGTCCGAATCTACTGTTAAGAACTCTCAATGGAGATTGGTTGAAGTCGGCCGTGTCGTGTTGGTCAAGAAGGGCCCATCCGCCGGTAAGCTGGCCGCTGTCGTCGAGATCATTGACCAGAGCAGAGTATGTTGAACTTGAGAACACATCACAGGCAGGAATAGAAAACAAGGTGAGCTGGGCTGGGCTGGCAACTGCAGCGTGCGGTGAGAAGAACGGTTCGCGTGCCATAGGCATGCCAGACCCCCGTGTGTTGTCAACGCTGATCGTGCGTCCAAGCAGCCAGATCCCAGCTTGTAAGCTTGGAAACAAAAACAACAACCACTGTGGACATCCTTACTAACTTTTTCCCCCTCCAGGTTTTGATCGACGGTCCAGAAACTGGTGTTCCTCGTCAATCCGCTAGCTTGGGTCACGTCGTGCTAACTCCATTGACCTTTGCTTTGCCAAGAGGCTCCAGAACCGCTGTGGTTGCCAAGAAATGGGTTGCTGCCGGTGTCGCTGAGAAGTGGGCCGCCTCCTCCTGGGCCAAGAAGATCGCCCAGCGTGAGAGACGCGCTGCTTTGAGCGACTTCGAGAGATTCCAGGTCATGGTTTTGAGAAAGCAGAAGAGATACGCTGTCAAGAAAGCTGTCGCCAAGGCTTAAGTCTGCGTAGGCCTTTCACTGCGATCCAATTCATCATTTCTAAACAGCAACTTCTTCCATCTGAAATCTTTTCTCCCCGGGGCATGAAATATATATTATTTCAGTAAACATAATGTATATCTAAAAACCTTATACTGAGTTTGACACAACAATCCAGTTCAGCTTTAAAAACTCGGTTATAGTCTTGGGAACGTCCTCAAAAGAGATTCTGTTTCACTAGGGTCTTGTTCCTGCTCCGAAACTCTATTCGAGCTTGGTCCATGTGGTTGTCCTACCCCTGCTTTAGCTTTCTGTAGCGTTTACAACCAATCTACGTTCTTACAATTTCATTCCCAGGCTACTTATGTAACATCTAACATGTCAGGCCTGACTATGGCCACCACCACCAGACAATTTCCTGCTATGAGATCTTTTTCGTCCTCTGGCAACTGCATGTGTTTGAAAACCCCCAGATGCTGGTCCTGCGAGTAGGGAATCACGTAGACATGCCGTACATATTGTCTCTTGGCTTTGAGCGCTCCATAACGTTGCCTGCTCGCCAAAAATTCGTAAAGCGCCTCGAATTGCTGGGAGTCATGACTATTAGCATGTGGCTTCAGCAAATAAGCCAGAAACGTTCTGGTTTTGCACATTTGCTCGATGTAGCCCTCGGCATCTTCGTCTTTCAATCTGCCTTCCACCACGAAAGCCCCGTCGCCAATGGCATCACGTCTTACTGTATTGCTGATCTGTTGTGATGAGGCCAGAAACTTGATCTCCCCAGAGAATTTCGTTTGGATATCCTTGTACTCGACACTACATGACCACAATTCACCCACTGATGGACTTTTGGTCGAGGGCGAATGTTCGCCTGAATTGAGAGTGCCGCCGTTAGAATCTTCCCCATTTTCCCCATTCGTGGCATCGCTATGCTGTGCACTATTGCTGTTCTCTGCATCCTGCTTTAACTTCGCGGCTAAAAGATCTCTATTGAATATCATGTCTTCCGGCTCGTAAGCGTTAGGATCTTCTATGAGTTCCTCCCCCTTATGGGTTTTGTGGTACATGGGCTTATGGGGCTGCTCCACTATCAGTTGATCAAGTGCTTCGTGGTCTACCTTTTCCCTAAAGTGCTGGAGATCAGGATTGATAAGTTCGTTTACAGACATCCTTACAAGTTTGCTAAAAGGTAGCACCTTGTTTACAACAAGCGTTTTCATGTCAATGTTCTTCTGGTCTTTCAAATTCGAGAATAGAACTCTCACTTTCTCCTTGTACATATCATTCAACTTGCCCACCTCATTGCTATAGCTCGCAGCGTGAAGCTCCTGCTCAAGCTCGCTCGAAAGTAAGTCTGCACGGCTTTCGACTGTGTCGTCCGGCGGCAATTGAAATGTCCGCGCTGCGATGGTGTCTGGTATAATGTACCTGACAAATAAGTCTTTAAACATCCTCGAAGCGCTCTCTCTCAGCTTTGAATCCTGGCTCTTGTTGTCTACGACTTTTGAGATACCGCTCCTCCTTCGCTTTGTGGGGCGTTTGATTTCCTCTTCGTCATTTTCCACAGGCAAGCTTTCCAGCCCGTCATTGGCGTAGTCGTCTTCATCTTCGCCCACACTGTGTACTTTTTTGGCTTTTTTGGCTTTGTAAGAAGCAGGATCAATAGCATACGTCAAGTTTGGGTATAAGGACGGTGAGCACAGGCTGCAATCGTACCGCTCAATCTCCTCCGCATTCTCCTTCCCTGTCATGCATTTTATATGCTGCCAAGTGTTACAGGTATCACATTGAATCATGTCGCCATGTGGATCGTTGTCTTCATCGTAGTTCTCATCGGTTGTACCACAAACCAGGCACTTGACTACCTCATCGCCTTCACCACTATCCTTGGCATCTTCTTGATGCACCTTTCTGGCGTTGATGTATTCTAATTCGGCTTGTCTTTGCCGCTCCAAGTACTGATTCGTGCCTTTATTACTACGAGAAGATCTACGAACTGTCTCATCCATATTGGGAACCTAACCTTAATTGTAGTTGTACCTTACACCTTTTGGCGTGCATCTGCACTAGCTGTACTGAGCTTAATTGAAATAATGCCTGTTTTTATTGAATATAACCACATACGAAGAGAAGCGCTGATGCACGTCAATAAATAAATGCCAAATAACGTTCATAACATTTATTCTGATGTTCCAGACATAGCAGTTTGAAAACTGCTAGCACTGTAGCCAGTAAAGAGCTGAACAATGGAGCTGTAGACCGCGTGTGATTCAGGGCAACAACTAGCCTCTAACAAGCGAACCACTGTGTTCGCTGGCAATTTACGGCTAATTTATACCGTCACGTCCTCAACATTTTGTTGTAAGTGACTAGAAATTTGCTACTGACCGTGACATCAAGTTCAGCTTTTTCCACTTCCAATTGGTGGACATTTTTGTTTATGGCGATAGCTTACACCTTTGTAGGTGTATGATCCTTTTCGCGTGTTGGAGGCTGAAAGTAACATTAGATGTCCCAGATCTTTACGGAAGTTTTTAGCAGTACAAGACTCGCCTGAGTTCCGAACCGTCAGCTGTCAATCGAGAAAATTCAATCACTGATCAATGTTTGAAGATCCTTTTCTTTGTTTTAGAACCGCTCCTCTCCAAAAATCCTGATGCAATCCAACTCTTATAGTTTGAGATGTATAGGGCCTGTACTCGCTTAGGCACGATTACGAAGCAAAATTGCTGTTGATCAGGCCTCAAACCTATCGTATGGCAGCTTGCAGTAGTGTTCGGGTTTTTGCTCCATAAAGTGCCTTAATGACGCAACGCACGACCGATCACGTATTGTTAAAAGATGCTGATTTTCAATGGCGGCTCACTATCCTGGTATTGTATTTGACTTCGCGCTCGATGATGTGATGGACCCATGACAGAGCGACCCAGGAAGTATCTTCTTGAGGAGTCTTCGGTTCGTCTCTATGAGATTTGAGATGTTTAGGAGTGACCATAGCATGAACTCTGCCCGGACGAGAACGTAGAGCCTTCGATTGTGACTTGAATAGAATGATACAAATCGGTGACATCAATGAAATGAAAATTGAACACAATATCACATCCCCGTGGAAGTAAAGCGATGAGGTTCAAATCGATACTACTCAGAACCGGTTACGATTACTATCTCCAACCTGAAAAGCCAACATGGGGTCCAAGGTTCAATATCGGCTTTGTCAAGCATTTTTTGTGACCTGCATCTCGATGAAAGTGAACTTTCACTTGTGACGACGGCGAGCACTCCGTTCGTGATTGCTATTAGACAATTGAATAGAATTCATCGCCCAGCCTCTGTTGATGACAAAAAGTTTCAGTTCCAAGTGCAACGCATGCGATGAGTCTTGACTTCAATTCTCGTCAGACATTTCTACAGCCGCTAATGGAAATGCCCAAGTTCTCACTGGACGTTTCGCCAGCTGCCAGTTGAATATCAGCCTAGCGGTCCTAACCCAGTGTTGTCATTCTAGCTTGGCCAAACTTCTTCTGTCGAACCTTCCCCGCAGTTTTTATTACTTCCTGTCCAGTAAAGTCCAAAAGGCATTCTGAACTCATTGATCTTGGGGCCACTGAACTCACGATGCCTTCTGACCTTGGCTCTCTCTCGAGTACCATTTACTCTTCCGGCCTACTTTGGTGTTTTTATACGGCTCTTCACAAAACAATAAAGGCGAGCGTTTACGACCTGTTTATAAAAATATGTATGCTCTAGAAGAACACTCAGTGTAACTGCAACTCTCTCTTGAAACCTCGGTGTGTTAGCTTCAGCAGAAACAAAATCAGGAGAGAGACACTCGGGACCTGTTTTGACCTATCTGCTCCAGGTCTTTCAAGTTTCTGCAGATTCATCTATAAAAAAAAGCGAGCTCCGATAGTTGGACCGCGAAAAATACCAACAAAACGGTGTAAGGAGTCCAAATCATGTCAAGACTCTTCAGGAAGCTTTTTCTCTCCAACAGACCTGCTGGGTCAAAAGTGGCGAACCTAGAAACGAGCTTGGACCCATCAGTGACCTTACGGAAACTGCGAAACTATCATGTATCAAAGACAGATATATGTCATTACGGATTTCTTGGAAGTGTTCTTCTCTTCGTGTTCGTAGTGAATCCGGCTGTCTGGATCGCTAAGATTTCCGTGTATTCGCTTTTCGCTGTGCTTTTCCTCGTGCCAGCCACATCTCAGTTCTTTTTCAACGCACTTCCCATATTTACGTGGCTGGCGCTCTACTTCACATCATCGACGTTCTCCGCTGAGCACAGGCCTCCAATAACTGTTCAAGTGCTTCCCGCTATTGAAACCATTCTATATGGAGACGACCTGAGCGACATCTTGGCGGCTTCGCTGAATAAGCCCTTGGATTTTTTTGCATGGATTCCGTATGGCCTTTTCCACTTTGGGGCTCCTTTCGTGGTAGCCATAATTCTATTTTTATGTGGTCCACCCACCATATTGAGAGGGTATGCATTCGCATTTGGTTACATGAACCTATTGGGTGTTATATCACAAAACTTGTTCCCAGCTGCCCCACCCTGGTACAAACTCATCTACGGTCTAAGCCCTGCAAATTATTCCATGAAAGGCTCTCCAGGTGGTCTCGGCAGAATTGATAAGTATCTGGGCCTAAATCTCTACACGGATGGGTTTTCGAACTCTGCTGTAATTTTCGGAGCCTTCCCGTCACTTCATTCAGGTTGTGCCACCATGGAAGCATTATTCTTTTCCTATGTGTTCCCTAAATTGACCCCGTTGTTCGTTTTCTACGTGTGTTGGTTGTGGTGGTCTACGATGTATTTGACTCATCATTACTTTGTCGACCTCATGGCGGGTTCAGTGCTCTCCTACGCCTTTTTCCAGTACACCAAGTACTTTCATTTGCCTCTTACAGAACCTTCCGTGTATTCTCGCTGGTCCTATGCTGAGATAAAGAAGTTCAGTGTGTGGTTTACTGATCCATTGACGTCCAATGACAACGATATCGAGAACATCATTGTCCCCACTGGAGACCATGAAATTGAGCTTAATTCACTAGAAAATAGTGTGACGCCCTCTATTTTCGACCACGATAGATCTGTGTCTCGTTCGTCCGCTACCTCAAATGTGTCTCTGGAAGTGCAGGACGAGTTGATGTCGTCATCAAGACCTAACAAACAGAGAATAGATTGATTAAGCAGGTGGATTTTGGAGAATTAGAGATATAGAACAAAAATGGCGTTTTCACATAATTTGGTGTGTTCATTGGTCCAGCTAGATCCAAAAAACGGGATTGGTAATTAATAACTATAAACAGGATACTAATATGTGTCAATACAATGATAAATGGCCGGCAGCGGGCTTAATAAACATCTTTCTTAAATTTGTCAAGTATAGAAGTGTACCCCGCTGCTCTTTCGATCGAAGAGGCAACATCTAGTTGCTTCGAGGTATCCATCTTGACGATAGATGATCTGATAACACGAGGGTCCTTCTTTAGCGTCCTCAAAATTTCCGACTGAACTGGCGCGGAAGAGTCGAAAAGCATCAGAAAGTGGTAGCCCTGGAAATGTTGCTCCTGATCTTTTCTAGTGATCTTTGGCAGCAGCTTGTTGCCTATGGGAAGAATTCTTCTCACCACCCCTCTGTTCTGAACTATCAGTTTTCCTATCGTCGTAGCGAGCTGTTTCGCCTCGGCATTAGCCACCAGTGGATTCACAACCCGTACCACACTTACCAACTCATATAGCATAGTTTGGCGGAAGACTTGTCTTCGCTCCTTGCTTAGTCCTTAGCTTGCAAGTTGGTTGGTCTTGAAGTTTAAATTTTTTTTTTACTTAAACAACCGGGTAAAGTGACGATGAAATTCGATGGCTACGCTCCCTATATTAATTCTCATCCAAAAAACCTACAAAACCATCTTGAGTTTCATTGTAAGATACTGGAGTACAGGGCGATGGCAATACTGGACTGGGTGTTTGGGAAAAGCTTGACGCCGCAGGAGCGTCTGAAAAAAGTATGCCGGTTTTACTATCAATTCTAAAACCATTCTATTATGAATTACTGACCATCAAAATAAGAACCAAAGAGCCTTAGAGAGAACACAGCGAGAACTCGAAAGAGAAAGGCGGAAGCTTGAGGTGCAGGAGAAAAAACTGGTTTCTGACATCAGAAAATCAGCCAAAGATGGACAGGTAAGCGCGGCGAAAATTCAAGCCAAGGATCTGCTGCGAACCAAAAAGAATATTGCTAAATTTAACAATATGAGGACTCAACTGCAAGCGATTACACTCAGAATTCAGGCTGTTCGCAGTAGTGATCAGATGGCAACATCCATGAGAGAAGCCACAGGGCTCTTGGCGTCGATGAACAGATCTATGAACCTACCTCAGCTACAACGAATCTCGGCTGAATTCGAGAAACAAAGCGATTTAATGGACCAGCGCCAAGAATTTATGGATGAAGCAGTGGACGACGTAATGGGCGACGAGCTGGAAGAAGACGAGGAAGTGGATGAAATCGTTAACAAGGTTCTTGATGAAATCGGCGTAGACCTGAACACCAAGTTTCAAAACACCCCACAGGAAGCATTGAAACAAGGCGATGTGCATTCCCACGAGAGAGTCGCTGAATCATTAACGACAGGTAGCGGAGGCACAGGCCTTCAATGTGCGGATGATGAATTACAAGCAAGACTCAACAGTCTTAAAAGATAAATTTCTTCAAAGTCTCTACTAAATGCCTTATCTGCTTAAATTATGGATGCCTTTTTCAGGTAAATAAAAATCTGCTGAGCACACTCCTCCACAGATTGTTTGTCTGTGTTCAAGTGAATCTCGGGACTTTCTGGGGCTTCGTAAGGCGCCGAAATACCTGTGAACTCCTTAATTACCCCTTCTCTGGCCTTTTTGTAAAGACCCTTTGGATCTCTCTGCTCCGCGACATCTAAAGGCACATCAACGAAGACCTCGATGAATTTAAGGTGACCGTCCCTGTGTAGGGCTCTTGCATTATCGCGATCAACGCGGTAAGGAGAGATGAAAGATGTTATTGAGATAGTACACGAGTCTGCGAACAGTTTGGAAACTTCCGAGATTCTGCGAATGTTTTCATTTCTGTCCTTTTCTGAGAAGCCCAGATCCTTGTTGAGGCCAAATCTGATGTTATCACCGTCCAATCTGTAGGCAGCAACACCTACTTTGAGAAGTAGTTGCTCGAGAGCACAAGCAATTGTACTGTGAGAAGTTAGTAAATTTCGAATTGCTGAATAACTACTGTGGACAGTTATACGAACCTTTTTCCGGACGCGCTGAGGCCAGTCAACCAAATCGTTGCGCCGCTTTGTTTTCTCAGATCTGATCTCTCAGTGTAAGTCAGATTAGGATGCCATGTAATGTTCGTAGCCATTTTGATAACTTAGCGTCTGAAGAGCAATGAAATAAGCAATAAGAAGAGTTCAACGCGATACGATTGTGGGCTCTTTATATCTTCGTTCTACCACTGAGAGTTCCATAGCTCTTACGACCCCACCACAGTAACATTATCACCACGTGACATTGTAAGCTAGAATGTTCATTTGGATCCGAGCAAGATCACCAACCAAACTTCGGCAATAATAGGTATCGATAATGAATCCAGTTCGCTCTGTACAAAGAAAGAGCTTAAGATAGGTTGTTGTTTACTTGGTTATTTTCAAAATTTAAATACAAATAAAGGACCAAGTTAGATGAACATAACGTTAAATTGACTTTCATTGAATAGCCCGTATAATCAGCTGATTAAAATAAACAACAGATTCTGATTTTAATTTCATACTTTAACTGTTTTATAATAAAAACATTTATGGTTTTATTATTTAAGTAACATTTGTTGTTATAATTTCCGAAACTGTTTTTTATGCTAGTTGTAAGGATATTAGTGGTAGTGCTAGTTTTTTTTTTCTATTATTTTAATTAAAGAATTAAATAAAAAATACTGAGATTCGTAAATTTTCTGCAATTAAACAGTGTAACACTCTGTACGCACTTTATTTAGCGAGTCTATTTATCAAGGATCTCACAGAGATAGCTAGACTGAGGAGACGATTTCACTTGCGTTTCGTAGGATTTCAGTCATTCTCTGGCATTCTTTGCGTCTTTGAATAGTGATATCATTTTCTTTGGTTAATTCCGCGATGTCTTGATTGCCATAAAGCTTTTCGAGTAGCATCTTTTGAATATCGTTCTTGCTTCTCACAATCAATTTTAGCATGACAGCCTTGGGGATCACATCGGCCACGGTGCGCTTAACGATATTGAAATAGCTCTCAATAAGCAGTTTGATAACTTCTGTCTCCATTGTTTCCCGCTCAGTCATTTGGCCAGTGGCTTTCAAAACTGGAGGAGGGGATTCTAAAGCAGCAAGTTTCTTCTTGTTTTTAGACGAGAAAAAGCCTCCAAAAAATCCAGATTTGTCCTCTGATTGAGTAGTTGGTTGTTGCACTGGTTGATGAGGTAAAGGTTTGCCAGTTTTAGGGTCGACCGCAACTTGCCGAGGGTGGAGCTTTTCTTCTATCATCGCCATGGCTTGAGATCCTTTCAATAGGTCGGGGTGGGCTGTATTAATATACGTCTGCTCTGCGCCTATTATGTCTGATACAAATGTGTTGGTGGGTATTATCGCATCTTTTAGAAACTGAACAAAACAACTCGACATCGCCTCTCTTAGTCCAGGATATCTGCCATATTTTGGCTGTGAGATAATTTGCTTTAGGATACGAACTAATTCGTCAAAAACAAGACTCACCAGTCTCAAGCTGGGTTCTTCAAAACGCTTGATTTGTTGCTTCACTAAGACTTCGAAAGCTTCGGTTCCCACAAACAAAGAAGGAGCAGATCCTGAGCTGTTGTACATTATGGTTCGAATGTCTGAGTCCTTGATCTGATCAAATGGGTCTAATGCCCTAACTCCGTTCTTGTAAATTTCGTGGAAAACGAAAGAGATACGAGCACCACCAGAGAGCTCTTGGCTCGATAACTCCTTAGCTTCACCGTCCAAGATTCCATTGTATTCCTTGGTAAAGTCGGTAATCATGCTCAGGACGATGGAGTTTGGGGAATCCATTGTCTCGGGACCCAAGTTCAGAAGCTCAGTCTGGTACTTCTTAAGAGTCATTTCTATTTTGTTCTTTATATCAGGCAAAGTCTGTCTGATATGGTGTAGTAATATAGAGTTCAACTTTTTTGCCAAATATGGAGTGCCACAGTAATGAGCTTTTGAACTGTACGACGAGTGGTTCTCGAAGTACCTCCTTTCATCCTCCAAGGCGAACCTGATTGTTTTCTTGCCCTCGATATCCTTTTGACCACGGTTGATGACAGGAATGTATCCGTATCTCAGAGGAATCACTCTACCAGCCAGAATGTCGATCACATCGGTACCCTGGTCCATTAAATCAACTTTTGTGAGAACACCAATGGTTCTTGTTCCTTCCGGGTCAACCTCTCTGGCTAGTTTCAACCCATCACTGTTAGCTAAATCTGTGTTAGCAGCGTTCACAGACAAGATGATGGCGTTTGGTTTGGAAATATATTTGAGCAGCATGTCTTTAATTTGCTTCTCAATATCGGCAGGCTGATCGCCGACTGGAACCTTCGTCAACCCTGGCAAATCTACCAATGTCAAAGTCAGCACATGTGGTGAGTAAATTCTCAGATTGATTGGCACAGAAGAAATACCCGCATTCTTACCTGTGGTCTTGTCAGTCTCCGCCACGATCTCTTGCCTGATTTCGTCAAAGTTGTAGAATTTTTTACCTGGAATGTGTAAAAACTCACCCCACTCATTGACGTTGTCCTCTGACTGCCCACCTTTTGACTCGCCTTCATTTTGCAACTCTAACAAATCATTGCTTGCCTTTTTACCTCGTTTGTTGATCAATTGCAACACTAAAGGCCTTCTTGTCACAATTCCAGTACCACGAGGCAAGAAATCCCGCCCCACGATATTTTCAAGAACCGAAGATTTACCCGAGGACTGTGAGCCAACCACGGTGATTTGAGGAAGATCGATAGGGGATTGTGATCCTCCTCCCAAAGGAGCCAAAGCATCCTGTAGCTTATTGATGGTGGCGATTAAAGCTTCATCCATGATTCCAGTTATGTTTATTGTAAAGCTTTAACAACTAGTCGACTTGCGAGCTTTAGATGAACGACTAATCAGATCTAAACGCTTCCCCCTTTCGCCACCATTCGAGACTTCTTTAATTTGATGTTCAGTATTTCAAGTATTTTTTGATTCTCCTTTTTTACCCGGCCCTGGCACCTTTTTCAGCTTAACAGCACAAAACAGGATAGAATCCTAGACTAGTACTTTGGTGTTCAGCAGATACGCCCTACATCTTGAGTTCTGGTAAGAGATCTGGTGTTGAGCAATAAGAGCTGATTGACATACCTATTTCGTTGAGCACTTTCTTACTCGAAGTGCCATTGGTAAAAAACGATAATTGCTCATAGATCAGAACGGGACAGGCCTCCCCGTTCCAACAAGCATAGGCTTCCACATTAGTAACTTAGACGATCGTGGTCATTCCAAGATTGAAAGTCAGTATGACTCAACAACGCATTTATGGTGTAACCGGTCCAATATCAACAGCTGGCCCTACAGCAGCGGAAAATCAGCTGAACGATGCTTTGATTCAAGAGCTAAAGCTGGAAAAATCGTTTGAGTCCGAGGAGGACACCAAAAAACGAGTTGACGTTCTCAAAATCCTTCAAGAACTCGCAGAAAAGTTTGTCTTTGAGGTTTCCAAGAAACGCAACATGTCTGATGGGATGGCAAAAGACGCTGGCGGGAAAGTCTTCACGTTTGGTTCCTATCGTCTGGGCGTTCACGGACCGGGCAGCGATATTGACACCCTAATTGTTGTGCCCAAGCATGTTTCCCGCGAGGACTTTTTCACGGTTTTCGACCAGCTGTTGAGGACCAGGCCCGAACTGGACGAAATCGCGTCCGTACCAGACGCCTTTGTACCCATCATCAAAATCAAGTTTAGTGGGATTTCAATTGATTTACTTTGTGCTCGACTGGACGTCGCACAGGTGCCCGCAAGCCTCACGCTCTCGGACAAAAATTTGCTGAGAAACTTAGATGAAAAGGACCTAAGGGCACTGAACGGAACGAGAGTCACTGACGAAATTCTTCAATTAGTCCCAAAACCTACAGCTTTTAAGATTGCTCTTCGCGCCATCAAAATCTGGGCGCAACGAAGAGCGGTATATGCCAACGTATTTGGTTTTCCGGGCGGTGTCGCTTGGGCAATGCTAGTAGCAAGAATATGTCAGCTCTACCCAAATGCTTGTAGTGCTGTCATTCTGGCTCGTTTTTTTCATATTTTGACGAAATGGAACTGGCCTCAACCGGTACTATTGAAACCAATAGAGGATGGGCCTCTGCAGGTGCGTGTATGGAATCCAAGAATTTACGCTCAGGACCGTTCGCATAGAATGCCTGTCATCACCCCTGCTTATCCATCTATGTGCGCGACCCATAATATTAGCGATTCGACTAAAAAAGTGATATTAGCTGAGCTCGAAAGGGGTGCTGAGGTAGCAAATGAAATCTTCTTGAATAAGAAGTCCTGGAGTGACTTGTTCAAAAAGCATGATTTCTTCTACCGCTACAAGTTTTATCTGACTGTGATGGCATCCACCACAGGTTCAAACGAGCAGCATTTGAAATGGAGTGGGCTGGTGGAAAGTAAATTGAGATTGCTAGTCCAAAAGCTGGAAGTGCTAAGCGGAATAAACTTGGCTCATCCCTTCACTAAACCTTTCGAGGTATCATATGTGTACGAAAGTGAGGCACAATGCAAAGACATTATTGACAACTACGGTACCTACAAAACTCAGGATGTTTTGGAGCAGTACACCGAAGTTAATGACCAAAATAAAGACAGCGATGACATCAAAGACAAGAAACAAGTTCACATCACAACAATGTACGTTGGACTAGACGTTGCCGCTGACGCGAAAAAGCAAGTTGATATACACGTTCCTTGCTCCGATTTTTTCAACTTGTGTCGGTCATTCAGCGAGTTTGACGACACGGATACATTTTCACTCATGATCAAGTATGTCAAACTACATGACTTGCCGAATCATGTATACGAAGAAGGTGAGGAGAGACCAGTCAAGCACAGTAAAAGGAGAAAGCAGGACAAGGAAGGAAAGAAAATCAAACGCCCTAAATCAAGCTCACAGAAATCAGACGAAGTTAGCACTAAAGCGAATGGATCGGATGGAAAAGACCATTCGAATAACCAGCCTATTCCAAGTTCAGCGGACCCTCAGATCAATCAAGCTTCTGTGGTAAGCGCCAAATCATCCAGTGTTAGCTAATAGATGAATAGGTGAGCAGCCCATCTTGTAATGGTTTCCCACGAACGAAAATGCATTTTAATCAGACCATGGTGAAAACATAAGTAGACCATCAATCAATTATCCCCCATTTTTTTTGTTCGATTATAATCACCGCTCTAGCTTACCAGCTCAATTGTTGTGATAGATACAGCGATCATCGCACTTGTAGATTTTCCAGATTTAATTGCAATTGCGCCGCCTTATCCTTTTCACAGCTTTTGAGAAGCGGGTATTCAAGAGGACAGGAAAAAATGAGGGTCCAAATTAAATTATAGATTATCAAATTAGAAACACTTCACGGTTATAAGCACCAAACAACGGCTAAGAGGTTCCTAAAAGAGTGTGTAACGAGTAGATGCCTTTGAATGTTATGAAAGGAAAGTCGGTTGTATCCGCAAATTCAGTCAGTGATTCTCATGCGACAGTCAATGCTTCAGGCAAAACGGCGCTAGATACAGATGATATCGATGAAAATGACGAGTCCGGCCAAAGTATCTTGCTCGGAATCATTTCGCAGCTGAAGCCCGGATGTGATCTTTCGCGGATCACTCTTCCAACCTTTATTTTGGAGAAGAAATCGATGCTCGAGAGAATAACAAACCAACTTCAGTTTCCGGATATTTTATTGGATGCCCACGAAGAGAAAGATGAACTTCGGAGGTTTATAAAGATTGTGAAATGGTATCTTTCCGGCTGGCACATTGCCCCGAAAGCTGTGAAGAAACCTTTAAATCCTGTACTCGGCGAATATTTTACCTGCTATTGGGATCTTCCTAACAAACAGCAGGCCTTCTATTTCTCTGAGCAGACCAGTCATCATCCACCTAAATCTTCCTACTTCTACATGATTCCAGAATCAAACATAAGAGTTGATGGTACAACGATTCCGAAATCCAAATTCTTGGGCAATTCCACTGCAGCTATGATGGAGGGCTTGACCGTGCTACAGTTTCTGGACATCAAAGACTCCGATGGGAAGCCCGAAAAGTACACATTGAGCCAGCCAAATATGTACGCGAGAGGAATCCTATTCGGTAAAATGAGGATAGAGCTTGGGGATCATATGATTATCAAGTCTTCCAAATATAAGATTGACATTGAATTTAAGACAAAGGGTTTTATCTCAGGAACCTATGATGTCATTGAGGGCACTGTGAAGGATCACTCAGGAAACGAATACTATGAGATTACAGGTAAATGGAATGATGTTATGTACATTAAGGATTTGAGGAAAAAGAGTGCCAATACAGTTTTGTTTGATACCAATAAAGCGGAGCCTTTGAAACCGCTTGTTCGCCCTATTGAGGAACAGGGAGAGTTTGAATCCAGGAAGCTCTGGAAAAAGGTCACAGAGGCGTTGGCCAAACGAGACCACACCACAGCGACCAATGAAAAATTCGCTATTGAAGACGAGCAGCGTCAGCTGGCAAAGAAGAGATTGGAGGAAAATTCAGAATTTCATCCCAAGTTGTTCAGGCCTGCCGATAATGCTGAAGATGACCTGGAATACTACATCTATAAAAGGATACCATCAGAGGCCAGTCACGAGGACCAAATAAGAGGCATTTTGGAAATCGCACCAGTTTTACCAGGCCAGCAATTTACGGAAAAGTTCGGTGTATCGGGGCACAAGAAGCACCAACTACAAAGTCATGCAGAGTCATCATAATTATGAGCTGAAAAATCAAGCGATTTCGGTGCGAGCACCGTGATTCCGTTTTCTGGGTGACCTAACTTGGGTTCTCTTCCGCTGTACTAAAAAACACGAGCACACCAATCTTCTTCAACAACGTCTTGCGATGCAGCAGAGACTGAACTGATCTTTGAAAAATCAAGCCCCGATCATTTTTATAAATAGCCAAAGAGACTGAGTTTTTGTTTATTTCAAAGTATTTTTTCTCAAACGCCTGTATCTCATTGTACCATTTCTGAAGGAATTGGGCTTGATCTTTCTCAGTCACGTAGCGTAACAGCCTGGCGAGACATCCAAACGGAGGCCAGTCACTTACTTCACCGATTTCTATGAATTTTATGATTTCGGACGAGTATTGAGTCAGCTCGCCAACAGAGTTGACTTCAGAAGCGTGATGAGGGGATTGTTCAAATCCAAATCTAGATCTTAATGAATTGTAGTCTTTTGATGAATATTCGGACAAAGCCGAAAGATTCAGCACACTGTGTCCTAGAGCCCACCAAGCAGAACTGTCTTTGGGATGTTGTGAACTGAAATCCCAAACAGCGGTCAAAAGTTGAGCTTGAGTTGAGGGACTCTCCAAATCATATACCCATCGAAAAGTATTCCAGCAGTAAAAATTTGAGAAATGGCGTTCAGCTGAAGTCAAAAAGAGCCTTTGGTAGTCGACCTCGAAAGCCGGGAAAAGCTCTTTTAGAATCGTGAAGAGCTTCCTGTAGAGGAGCCACAAAGACGGCGACTTGTTAACTCGATTGAGGGAGGATGTTAGAAGAAGCATCACGGCCATTATTTCGCGCGCCAAAAAAATGTGACCTTCTTTGGTTAACTTTCCTTGATGTTCTGACTCCTCTTTGAGTCTTTGAAGTATAATCGCTTCATGGAGATTCAGGTTTGTACGATCCTCTGGTGTGGTAAGGAGGAGGCCCAAGGTAGCAAAGTAAGTGTCCGCATCGCTTAATGATGCTGTTTTTATCGTTAGTCGTCCTCCAAAGAAAATTAACATCAAAAAGACATACTATTTCCATTGCGTTCTTGCAGAAATACACGAGCCTCGTGGAAGACTTGTAAGTAAGTTATTTTGGAGCAGAATATCTCGGGACCGTCATTTTCCTCGATTTCGACAAACGCTGGACTACCTTCTGGTAGCACACCATTGGAAACGACAGATAACTTAGCTCTTGGACTGGCAGTACGTTCCACTGCTCTGTCGAACAACTCGCGGCAAAGGTTGACACTTTTCATGTTTAGGTCTCAATGACGTGTTTTGACAAAAATTGATTGAGGTCTAGCCTTATAAAAATCTGATATCACCGGCCTCGCAAAACAACGGAACTCATAAAAAACACAGCAAGATTGATTATGTCGACGGGCATATCATCGCTACAGTCAGCAGAAATCTGATCTCGTGCATGTATTTAAGCGTTTGAAAGTGAGGACATCTACCGTCTACACGAACAATGAGGAGTTCAAGTTCATGTTTAGGCTTCAGCTAGAAGTTGGCGCTGTGTCGGCCTCTTCATTTTGGTGGAAATGACCATGAGCGTCCAGTTTGACCCGCCAACAATCTAAGACGAAAAGGTTCTCGCCTTTTAAGGCAAATATAGCCCTTAGTCTAACGGACTCGCTAAATAAACTCGCTGCCTCGCTCACCTCAAAAAATCATTGTACAACGATCCATTACATTTGAAAGGCCCTAAAAGGGTAGAATAAGCCGCGAAAAATGCACTGGGCCTTTTATTTACAAGATACGGTCTATATGTAGTGCGTAACAGACTCAGCTTTTCAAGCAGCTTGCCTAGCACTTTCCAAAGCTTCTTTAGCGCTTTGGCGTTCTAAGCTTTCCACTTCAGAAAAAATTACCGACAATTTCCTCTTTTTATCTTTGGGCCTTACTGAATTGATAATGTGAACGTTCTCAGCACTATACGATGTACTGTTGAGCTCAATGGCATTAGGTTCCGCATCTTTGAAATTAGCAAGCTTGCCGCTAATAACTTCTTTCAGATAATACTCGCGTAGTTCACGGGGTGTTTGTAAACGTGTCAACTGATAATCAGGTATTAAAGTGCCGGTGGAGGCCTGTAAAGCTTTTGTAAAGTGAAATTTGTCGATGAGGTTTGAGAATGGCAGTTCGAGAGATTTGTCAGTTGTTGACTCAGGAATCGGCCCACCCAGTGTGCTAAACGCTTTAAGTAATGCGTGATCCAGATCTTTTACCGTAGCGACTTTAGAAGGTGATAGCCATTCATTGAACGGAATTTGTGTGATGAGAGCCTGGCGCTGGGCTTTGTTAATAGCTCCAGCCTCTTCCCCGATAAAGTACTCCTCGTTTAGTTTAAGCTTGGTGTTGGTTCCGCTTACTTTAGTCTCACCTGCTTCAATGTCCGCGATAACTTCTTTGGTGTCTCGACTCACCGTTTTCGACTTGCCGTCTTGTTTTCGTTTGAACCACGACATGAAGTCTGATCTTTTGACAGACACGTGTAGCGCCCTACTGCCATTCAAGTGGTTCACGGTGCGAAGCATTTCGGCTCGCTGATAGATGATTAGAAGGCTTCAACTCTCGTCAGCACTTGAGCGATCATACCTACCCATGATGACTTTCAAATTTACATTAAAGATTCTTCAAGCATTACATACGACAAAACGCAGGTACGGACTGGCCACGTCTCCGTCGCGAAGTAGCCAGGCCGAGAGCATCGGTCAAGTCACAGATCGACGGGCGGCGTCTGCTCAATGTTGTTTGTCCCATGGCCAACTATTCACCTTTTTTCACAGTCCAGGTTTCATTTATCATTAATTTGAGGACAGTCAACAGATGGTGATAGACTTGATTGGCACCGTCAAAGGAGTCACTACGAGTTGGGCTTCCCTCTGAATTATTATGCGTGAAGAGAGTCGTCTCTGTCAATTTTACTCTAGGCATTCAAGTATGCAGTTACGTGGCCATATGAAGTCAAACGACAGATAATATTGGACGTTCAAATGCCAGGAAAATAGTAATTTTGTATCCAGACAGCTACCTTCATGCAAAATCCTGCAAAATAAGAGTAGAGCAATGATAGATGGATATGCCAACGACTGGATGCATGACCGATTTGCTTTCAAAAAGTTGTATGCCATTAAAAAAAACAACATGTAATCGAATGTTTCCAAATAGCAGGATTATCACTGTTTGTTTCTTCGAAGTCGGTGATCTGACATTGAGGGTTACGGGCGGGCCCTCCGGTCAGTCGTTCTCTACATCATGTCGATTGATGATTGGGGCTTAAACGTGACATATTGGCATTGGCAATATCCAGAAATATATACGATTTAGAAGAGGCACCGTAAACGGCAAATAACCTTACTTGCGAAACTCTGCGAAATACCAATACAATAAAACCATTCTTACCTGGTTTGTGTAGAGAACTCTTCTCTATACTTGAATAACAGATGGGTGCCGCTCTAAGTTGCTGTTTCAGCAGCGGAGACTCAGAGGGAGAACCCCTCATACAAGACGCCCAGAAGGGCTACGGTTCGTACAACGACGATGACGATGTCATGCAGAGAAAGTTAGAAGAAGAAGAGCAGAAGCTACTGGCTCGAGAACAAGAGCTCACGGAAATTGTGAATAACACAAACGACAAACTAATAGACATATCCATGATGAGCAATAGTGGCATAGTAGTACAGAGTCACGATCTTGGAGACGCCCTGGATGGCGAGAAAGGACAGGAAGGACCTATTGATAGAAGGCCAGATGGGTTAAGAAATGTTGGCGCTGCTGGACTGGACGCTACGCAACGCGAAGAACTGAGAACCGTATACTCTAACTTTTTTCAGGACTTGGAGAAACAGCTGGAGTTGCATAACAAAAGTGACCTCATTGTTAATTTGTAGCGCCTCAGACCAACCTCTCAAGACGCTAGATGACCGAATCTCTTACCATCCTTACCGGATGAATGTGGTTTCGAAGATGCTCACGAGATACGTATATATTCTGTTAATTTAATGGAAAATGACATTTGTTACTGACTATCAACATCGGCGCCAACAATACGTGGACCAAGAAATACAACTGCAATCGCTGATGGTCCCGAAAAAGAGAAAAACTCAGGAAGTTGAGCCAGTGGCTGAGGTTTTTGAGCCGCAAAGAAAATACGTTGCTGGAAAACAGCCGAGAGTAGAGGAACAACTGCCGCCTGTGGATTACCATGCTCCTCTAGATCCTGAGAGCGAGCTTTTCGCGGAAGACGACTGGTTCATTCCCAAGTTTAACCTTTTCATTTCATTCACACTTGACAACTTGGTTGAAAGCTATAAGGACATGTTCAAGGACTTCATAAAGCTTCCCAGTAGGAAATTTCATCCAGGGTATTTCTACAAGGTTGATCAGCCCATTTCGATCAACGAAATTAAATCAAGAGACTATGAGTATCTTAATGGCCACAGAACTTTTTTGTTGGATGTCGAGTTGGTGCAGAAAAATTGCAACTCCTACAATGATTCTGATAGTTTGATCGCCAAAAATTCAAGACAAGTTGTAAATTACGTGAAATACGAAGTGCTGAAGGCCAAAAACGTAACGCGGAACTACTTGATCAACGCCGAGATAAAAAAGTTTTTACTCGAAACCCTCAATCAACTTCTAAATGCAACAGATATGTCCATTGCTAGTTTGGCGGATAAGCCTGTTGAAGGTCTGGATGACACTATGCATATCTGTGAGCCATTTTTCGAAGTGATTCTTGAAGAAGAGCTTCCAGAATATTATGAGGTCATTCATCGACCAATCGCCCTGAAATTGGTCAAGAACAATTTGGAAATGGACCACTACACAAAGATCTACGATTTCTATATCGATATCGTGTTAGTGTTTGAAAATGCTCTGGTGTTTAATGACCCAGAGACTCTGATATATCAAGATGCTGAGAAACTTCTCCGATTTTTCAGGAAGTTGATGCAAAACAAGTTCTTTGTCTCTTTAAAGGATTCAAGTGAGCGTGGAGAGATTCGACTTGAATACGACAAAATAGAATACGAACAATACCTTGCCAATGGAGGAGACGAAGAGAACGCTGAGGGTGAAGATGAAGCGCCAGATTTGGAGGACTACGATTTCAATCATTACGAGGGATTAGGAAACGGCTACAACAGAACTCTGTTTTCTGGAGACTACCTGTTGGGACCCAACAAAGTGAAACCAGTTGAGCTCAGTGCGAAAAGAATTGCTTTAGAGCCAGCGGAAGAGCTTCCTGATGTGACCAAGTTCAATATTTTTAAATCTATTGACCTCGGTGTGAAAAGCGAAGCGACTACTCCTTATTCGCTGATTGAGGAGATGGTCGTGTCCTCGTCAAGGTCTTACTACAAGCAAGAGTCAAAACCAACACAAGGATCTCACCTACCCTCTCTCGCTCAGTGCTGGGTTGAGTATATTCTGAAGGGCGAAACCATGACGAGCAAGCAAAATATGTTTTCTTTGACTTTACCGCCGGTACAAACAGCCGTTACAATTCAGACTCGTGTAAATTTGAAAGCAAATTGTGAGTCTAGCCTGGTTGTAAACAAAGAGAAATTAAGCGCATTACCCAGCGTGTCGACTGACAATCAGCCGGCCGCATCTCGTTACGAAGTTCGTCTTGCCGAAGGCAACAATCATGTTGAATTTACTTGTCAAGATATCGAAGAGAACAAGGTTGAGGTACTGAAGCTATGGATTGTCGTGTTACCATAAACCAAAAAGATAAAAATCTTCTTGCCCTTTTTGGTCCCGAAACACCCCAATGCTTTTTGAAAGGCTCATTCACGGAAGCTTTTCATATCGGTTTAGTGGGTTGCAGTTCTCGAGACGTCATGTTCTTGATGGCATCGTTTGAGCTGCAGTCCAAGACATTTCACTAACCGAACAGTTTCTGCAACATCTTTCCAGGGTTAACCTGTGAACGATAATATAGACTGCGCTTCAGCTTCGAATCCAGTTCGCCAGGATCATATAGCATAATAGCTGGGCTGGTCACAGTAAGGGAAGCGCGAAGAGCCTGAGATCAGCTGACCTAGAACCAATGAGGACATAAGAAATCTCGTCTGGAATGATATATATATATATATATATGAATGTCGAAAATTTACAATAAGCTCTAGGATTAAGATATCCGAACGTCTACCTCAAGTAGCAGTTTATACTAAATCACTGACACGCAATGGTCGCAGTATGTCTAGTAATCACCAGGGAAGCCTTTGGTACTTCTGTGAGAAATGAGGCGGAAGCAAGAGGTAAGTTCTCGTGCAAACCTTACTAACCATAGTTTTAGTACGTATCCAAGCTAGCCGCTAAGACAACTCCATTTTTTGGGAGGTTGAACCTTTCCAACTTGATTGCCTACACTCCAAACCTTATGCTCTGGAGTGGAGCTTCCTGGGCTGGTCTTTTTGTCTTTACCGAAGGCTGGCCTTTGTTCCAAAACACCTTCTACAAGAAGATCCCTCTCGCCGGATCTCACTGGGTCAAGGAAGTTGCCCCAGAGGACAGCCCACAGTAATGCGAACGCGAAACCGAGAATTCAAGGCGTTATACATTCGGAAGAGGACAATTTATGGGAAACATCACGGTTTGATTGACTATTCACGAACTTCTAGATCTTTAAGCAAGAAAAGCTCGAACTTTGCAAATTGTTGACCATCCTTAGAGCTCCTCAAATTTCAACAAAAGCCTTGACATATGTTAGATATTCATTTGCACACTACATACCATTTGAAATGAGAATTATTTAAAACATTTTCGCGCCAAACTACGTCTGAAAACTGGGGTAGCTTAGGTAGATTCACTAGCAATCATGTTGAGTTCAGTCTCTGGCTCATTGAAAAAGCCAGTCATTGTCTCCACTTGATCAGATTTTGGCGTTCCCGCCAACAAGTTTTAGTGCAGCATTATCAAGCACTACGTAGCCTTGATCGATGTCGATTGTTCGAAACACAACAACACCATTTGGCTTTTTCCAAGCTTTCACCTTCAAACGATCTCCAGGAAACACTACATTTGTGAAGCGCACTTTGAATTCCTCAAACTGGCCAAATTTTTCGAACAAAGCTTTGCCGGTGACACCCAGTGTACACAGGCCATGTAGAATTGGTCTTGGAAATTTCGCCATCTTTGCGAGATCAGGGTCAATATGCAAAGGATTCAAATCCCCGGACAAACGGTATATTGCTGCTTGATTGACATTTGTGGTTATCTCAATTTCAAAATCAGGTTTGCCGTTACCGGCTTCGAAACGCTGAACAGCGAACTTTGTTCTAGTGTTACTAATTTGTTTCGCTTTTGGTACCTTGGCTCCGCGGATGAAAAAGGTGGCTTCATTGTATACAAGGGGCTCATTGGTTTTAGCATTGACGGTCTGATAACCTCCTACGATGATTGCTGCTTTCCCGCCTTTATCAAGGACCTGGATCGGCTTTCCGATAGTTTTCAGAGACCCCTTAGTAGGCAGAGGGAACTGATTGAGCTTGAAGTACTGTTCGCCATGTAACAGGAAAGCGCAGTTGAAATTATCAACGAGCGCGTCCATCTTAATAGAGTTTCCACTCGACATGAAGGGAATTACGCCGAAAGTTGGAAGAACTTGAAAGCTTGGATCGTTTTCATAGCAGTACTTCAACTCTTGACTTGTGCATCCAAGTCCCAGGTTATACAAGATAACTTCTCGCTCTGTGTACTTGAAGACTGACTTGGACGCGGCAGCTTCCATTGCCTCTGTGACGCTTTGAAGTATTGACATCGTAGATTCTTGAGTTGACGATGGATGTGTACTTTCGGTGAAATCGACAAGCTTCGCCCAGTTATCCCGTAAAAACTCAGGCGAAGGTTGTGTACTCACGATCCCTTTACTTCTCTCCCACCTAGTTTGTCCACACCATCCACCACCAACTTCAAATAGCTGCCCAGTGACAGGTTTTCCCGCCTTCTCGGAAAGCTCGTCAGCAGCCAGTAGCACAAAAAATGGGGAGACTTGACTAGGTTCAAAGTGATTCCCGAGCTCTTTGTCGGAAAAGATTGTCCTGGTCATTGATGTTTCGGCATGGGGAGCCACCACATTAACCATGATACCAGCCTTTGATCCTTCCAACGCTAACGTCTTAGAAAAGCCGAGTATGGCAGCTTTGGCCGCAGCATAATTAGCTTGTCCAAAATTACCATAAATGCCGGAGGTGGAAGTCGTGTTAATAATATGACCTCGTTTTTGCTTGAGGAAAATCGGCCAAACGGCTTTGCACAGCCTTAAGGTTGAATAGAGATGAACTTTAACAACAAGAAACCACTCTTCGTCCGACATCTTTACAAAAGATCTGTCCCGCAGGACACCTGCGTTATTGACAAGGACATCCACTCTGCCATAATGATCCAAAGCAATTTTTATGATTTCCTCTGCTTGTGTGACAACGTCATGTTTGTCGGCTACAGCGGCTTCCTTCCCATAGATCTCTTGGATTTCTGCGACAACGGTATGTGGATCCCTGATATCATTAACAACAACTTTTGCCCCATACTTTGCGAAATAAAGCGCATGCGATCTACCCAAACCTGCACCTGCACCTGTGACGATAATAACTCTATCGCGTAAAGACTTGATTTCGAGAGATCCTTGACTATTGGCAGGTAATTGGCGGGCTTTAGAAATCAATGAGTTGTAGTCACTTAGCTGCACAGGGTGAGAAACCTTGTTGAAAGGCTTGTCTTGATAATCGACAATTGAACTCCATTTATTGAGAATTGCCTCGCTGGTGAACGTCTCAGGATCAGGATTGAAAATCTGCCCAGACGACCGTTCCCAACGAATTTGACTGTAGTATCCTGCTGCTAGTTCAAAGATCGAGTTTGTCACTTTTGTAGACTCGTGACACAGGTAAAGGACCATCGGAGCAATTTTCTCTGGCGCTAAAGTTTTCAGAATGTGGGGAGGGATGATCCGTTCGGTCATGCGTGAGCGTGCCAAGGGAACAATGCAATTGACGTAAATGTTATTTTTGAAACCTTCTTTCGCCAACGTTTCAGTGAAGCCCACAAGACCCAATTTGGCTGCAGAGTAGTTGGCCTGTCCAAAATTACCATAGAGTCCAGCGGGAGAACAGGTATTGATAACTCTGCCGAAATTTTGGCGCCTGAAAATCGACCAGGCGGCTTTTGTGAGCTTGTAGGCGCCGTTGAGATGTACATCGACCACGGAATCGAACGCAGAGTCCTGCATTTTGACAAAACTAGAGTCTCGCAAAATTCCGGCATTGTTGATGATAATGTCCAAACGTCCAAAATTATCAAGTGCTGTTTTCACAATGCCGGCGGCATTGTCTGTTACTGAATCATAGTTTGCAGCGGCTTTCACTTTGTATTTTTCTTGAATTTCTGCGACTACGACGTCGGCAGCTCTCGAATTGTGACCTTCCCCACCCAGAGAACCGCCCAAATCGTTAATGACCACGTTCGCACCCCTCTTAGCAAATTCCAGGGCATACACGCGACCCAAGCCACCACCAGCGCCCGTGATGACCACTACCTTGTTCTTAAAGCTGAGTTTTTCCGTCATTTGTTCTCAGGTCTGAATAACGAATCTCAGCACTAAGTTTCAGTTAATTGAGATTATTCCTGCTCTTTAAGGCTTTAATTGTGTTTGAAAAGAGACGGAAACACTCTGTTCTGCGCCCTCCTTATATACTTTTCTCGATCTTTTTTGTACCCTGATCATCTCACCCTGATTCTCCACAGTGTGTGAGGTCCGGTCATCGAAAATGGCTTTATTACGTGAGTTTCATTTTTCCCCCAATTATTTTCCGACGACACGAAAAAACGAGGAGTGACAGAAAAAATGGCGACACTTAATGATAAAATGACTTATACTGGCATCCAAGGTTCGGGCTTTTACTCCGTCACACCTACCGCAGCTGATAATCACCTGTCTTAGCCTGATATTTGACGCCTTTGAATGGCGTAATATTCCGTGGCATGCCTGAGAGAATGTTCACCGATCGAACTTTGATCCCGCTAGGTAATTCGCCCTTGCTCGAGAAATTGACGTCGAGTGTCAGGAATTTCATTTGAGCAGGCGATGCGTGCTCTAGACAGCCACGCAAAATCGGAAGCGTACCTGTCGGTGTTTCCTTATCGAATATCCAATTTCCGGAGAGATTATCGATCGAATTTTCAAAATGGCCATGTGTGTTCCGGAGCACCTTGAGTCTGCAATCCGATGGGGTCAGCGCTGAGGGCGGACCGAAGCTGACCGCAATGTTAAGATCGTCAATGTGCTTCGAGTGCTGCGAGCTCGCGACGTTTACACGAATTTCGAACTCGTCACCGACGGATCCAAGTCCAGTGTCGAAATCGACCGAGACCAGCCCTATATTGGAGAGCAGTTGGTTGCGGGTGGCTAACGTCTCGAGATCTATGCAGTACTGCATCAATTGAAATTTGCCATCCGGCGGCACGAATTGCAATTCGTGTATTATCTGGTCTTGACGGTGAGCTTGGCAGCATTCGTGAAGTGCCGGAATTCCTAGATCATGTCCAGCCAAGTCCAAGTTTAGCGCTATCAGTGGATCTCCTGTCAGCTGGGAGCGCATATCCACAAAGCCTTCCAGAATTCCTCTAATGACATTAAAGCGGTTTCTTTTGGAGCCCTTGCGCAGCACAACATGAATTTTTTCGACCATGTCAACGTAAAGCTCGTTATTAGAGTGTTTGATGCCCGCGGTTCTCCAGGGAACGGCTTGATGCCCTGTAGAATTCAACGTGACAGCGTAGGACGAAGGCATACCCGAGTTTTTATTCTGCAATGAATCACGGGTTTGCATTCGATTGCTAAGCGTGGATGCGGTGGAGCTGAGGACCTTGGAGAGATCTTCGCGATTGGGAACAATTTCTTTCAGTTTGTTCAAGTCCGAAGTAGCCGGTTCATTGGCGTCGACCATGCAATTTAGTAACAGCGCAATACGGTCCTGGTTGTTCACCAGCTTGCTGATGGTAAGCTTTTCTTTATCGAAGTAATTCAAAAGCGTAGACTCTAATGTCTCCAAAAATACCATGGGTTCCAGAGGATTTGGTTGACGTGTGACCAAGCACCAGTAAAGAAGATCGCTGGACTCGGACTTCATTCTGTAAACTTGCAGGTTCTTTCCCAAATTAGCTTTGAGCCAGAACTGCTCGCTCGAGTTCTCTTGAGCCACGGTTTGAAGCTTAGTCCACAAGGATTTGAAAGATGGCGAATCATGGCTCAGCAGAAACTGAAAAGCCAGTGCATGATTAAGATTAGTGATGTAAAATGCTAGAAACATGTCGATGCACTCAATTGACCTCTCTTGATGAGTTGCCTCATTGCTAGCGCAAACGCCATTAAGCTGTGCTTACTGAAGTAATCTCAAAATACTAAAAACCTGATTTTCCAAATCACCAAAGGTCACGTGCAACTATAGCAGACACCGTTGATTGAAACGGGTGATTAGATGGCACTACGGTAATTGAGCCAAGAGCATTTGTAATAAACCTTTCTCTATCTTATCGAACAGCGTAAAAATTGGATTTTTAATGCCCCCGTCACTTCTGACTTTTAGTCAACGAAATTTCATTTGACAATTTCAGATTTTGTCAAAAAAATTGTACATTGTGCGTATTTTAACAATGCGACAGATGTAGCAATTGGCGTTATCTAAAATTCTAGGTCGATTGTGTTCAGATGACGAATTTGGAGACCAGGATATTATATGTCTAATCATTTTTTACAAGTGATTTAACAGAGATTCTTACCTTCAAAACCATACCTTTTGATGCTACGTACGACGAGGCAAAACGCTAGAACTGATAACATCAAAATCTATATAATTTCCAGACAGTTTCTAGGAAATGTCACTATTCAATTGGTGCCTCAAACTTTAGTGGAGGGTCAAAGATGCTGAGCATGCCCAAAATAAATCCTTATATAACGCTGCAGTATATAAAGCCGCGCAAGTGATTAGTTCACTCTCTGAATATCGGCAATATGCATTTCGACACAATTGACACCAGACAAGTGGTACACCTGTCAAAAAGTTTGGATTCCCCGGCAAGTTGGCGAACTTTGAAAAATTGCGCAAGCCCGGAATCGAACCGGGGGCCCAACGATGGCAACGTTGGATTTTACCACTAAACCACTTGCGCGTTAATGAAAGAATGAGGAAACCTGGATGTATTCATCAGATAGTAAAATCCATTGTATAAAGGTAAAGCTGCTGGCGTCAGGTCGCGTCACAATCGATCGGATCAGAATCCAGTATGATGTTGCTGAGCAGCGAATCATAGAGCACTAGTTTGCTCAAATCAGAAACTTGTTGTAAATTCTGTGAGAATTAATATTACAGATACCTATCAAGACTGACCTTGATTGCCGCTTTTCCCGACTCTTTGAATGCGTGTCTATGAGAGAAATGACCGGCAATTACCAAAATAAGACGGAGAACCACTAATTAAACTCTTCCCCCATTGCCTGCAGTTGTCACTTTTGTACAATTGATAAGTACGCGGTCGCCTTAAAAACAACTACTCCGTGCAAGACTGGGAACAGTTAATTTTTGAGCTATTGAACTTATTTTGAGCTGTACTACGTTTTTGAGTCGTACGCGGAGCGAATGCACAGATGTACAGATTCTATGCTCACTACTGGAGCCATACACACCAGCGGCTAATCTTACCGCCTACGGAAGTGCACGGAAAAGAGGTAGGATTGAAATTGGATGATGGGATCTTTTCGCAATACTTGCTTCATCAACCAAAATAGCTAAATGATGAGATTAGCCTGTATCGATTCAAGATTGTCAGAACGACTGTGATAAGCTAATTTCAAACTTTAGGGTCAAGTGTGCCCCAAGTAGGCTACAAGTAGTCGGAACACTCCAAAAAACTTTCACATGTAGCGTAAATGGTCCGTGGGGAGGACCTCGGATTACGCAACAGAAAGAATACAGCATCTTCCGATGGTTTTTCTAACCAAAAGGAAGAAAAGGGCTTGCGATCTAACTAATGAGTTGCGTCAATTCGCGAAAAAGAACGCATAGCCCAAGTCCGTTTCTCCTATACGGAGACAAAAACGATCAGTGATAGACGAGCTCATCAGAGCTCAAGATCATTGCCTAATATGAAAAGAAAAACAGAGCGGTTAACTAGGCTGATGGTCATCATAATATTCCAGAATGGTATTCACGATGTGACTCGGATCCAGTGAATGCGCGAGTAACGAAGATGGGCCCACATGACAACCCGGTTTCTCAAGGAAACGACTACTGGCTGGAATAGAAACTTAAACTGCTGATCCTATGCTTTCCGATGATTGAGCAGAGAAACCGGTATCAAGCTTCCAAATACCATGTCGTTCACGTGGTCTGGTCTTGTGGAACATGGAAAACGGCATTCGAAGACAAAATCCAAGAGCGAGAGAGCAGCTCCACATGACTTTCAATTAACTGGTTCCGCAAGTCGCTAATTTGGAATTCTATCGCAATCTAACTCGAAGTGGTGAGGGAGGATACATCCTACGTCCTGTGCAATGGAAATGTTAATAATTCACACACTCGTTCCAAACGATATGTACCAAACTGAAAATGGTATTATCGACTTGTTTGATCGATGTCTACAGTAAGAGCGTCATCGGCAAACGAAGGCAGGGGACATGAACAATCTGCAGACCAATCCGTTTGCCAACATTGGCACCCCGAGCTTCAGTCTCTCACAGGTTCCCCAGCATATACTGGAGAACCTGACCCCTGTTCAATTGCAAATGATTCAGCAAAAACACCAACAGTTGTTGGTGGAACGTCAAGCGCTGATGCGAAAGCAGCAGCAGCAACAACAGGAGAGGGAGAACCTCAAAACTCAAGAAACGCAGAGAATACAACAACAGCAAATGCAACAATTACAGCAGCAACAACAACAACAACAGCATCAACAACAACAATTACAGCAACGTCAAATTCAGCAACAACAACAACAACAGCAACAACAACAGCAACAACAACAACAGCAACAACAACAACAGCAACAACAACAACAACAACAGCAGCAGCTACAGCAAACGTCGCCCCCGCAATATGCAACTAACACAGCTGGAAGTAACGTACCTACTCAGCAGCTCAATCTCGCGCAGAGGGCCCAACTATTGAAGGCTAAACAACAACAGTTGAACGCCCCACAGATGCCCAGACAAACACCAATGACAAACGTTCAACCACTTAATTTACCACCCCAGATTGCTCAGCTTCCACCACAAGTGCAGCAACGCGTGCTCGCAAATCTGAAGCAGCAAGCGTTGGCCAAAAATAACCCAGCCGCTGTGGCAGCTATAACCGCAGCTCAACAGCAACTGGTGTCTCAGATCCCAAGCCAGCAAGCATCCGTATCGCCTGTCACACAGAACTCTCCTATTGTATCAGGGAACGTTGTGAATTCACGGTTACCAACTCCACCTAGCGTTCCAATGCCTCAGCTCCCACCACTTCCAAAGTTTCAAGTTATCTATCAGGATCCGCCGGAAGAGCCTTTAACATCACTCACGTACTGGTCTGACTTGGTCAAAGCTGGAAAGACCAATGTGAAGGACGTTGATTCCAATCTTTTGCTATACGAACAGGTTCTGCGAAGAGATCGTGAAAACTCAGAGCAGTTGATCAAGGAGCGGAATGGATATGAACCTTTCAGCAAATATGGATTCAGCCACAAAGAGTATCTCATGAGGCTTTTGCAAGATCTCAATTATATTAAGGAACTAAAGGCGGCAAGAATGAAATCTATCACAAACACTACTCAAGGGATTGTTTCCAAGAGCATATGGGGCGACGGGTACTCAGGATACGGAAATGGGTTCAGCAATACGGTGACGAATGTCTCCACCGGCCTAACTGGTCCTGATGGACGAAGGCGAACTTTCTTCGAATTACAGGACATATATCAGCAGGCTATGAAGGAGACCTACGAAGACTTGGTTCCCATACGATTGGAGTTTGATGCTGAACGCGACAACTTTTCGCTCAGAGACGTCTTCGTTTGGAATAGAAACGAAAGTATAGTCAGAGTCGAAGACCTGGTGACCGAAATGCTTCAAGATTATAAGTTCACCCATAACGACCATTTCTTTGAGACACTTGTTCAGAACATAAAAGAGCAAATTAACGAGTTTCAGACGGATCCTTTCATTGAAAATGACCGCGATCAGGTTGGGGGTGACGACCTTCGCATTCGAATACAGCTGGACATTGTGGTGGGCCAAAACCAACTTATTGATGGATTCGAGTGGGACATATCTAATCCCGATAATAGCCCGGAGGAATTTGCCGAGGCCCTTAGCCAAGATCTCGAGCTGCCCGGCGAATTTACGACGGCGATTGCCCACTCCATCCGGGAACAGGTTCATGCCTACCATAAGTCATTGGCAATAACGGGGTATCAGTTTGACGGCTCTGTTGTGGAGGACGAGGATATTCGGAGTCGGCTCTTGCCACTCATTACTCTGGACGAGGTTTTCAGAAGCTCCACCGAGTCGAAAGTGTACACACCAAGTTTACTGAAAGTGTCTCACGCTGAGCTCGAACGATTAGATCGGGATAAAGATAGAGACACTCGTCGGAAACGCAGACAAGGTCGTTTTAGCAGACGTGGTGTGGTACCCAGCTCTGCTATTACGCAAAACGAGACTGCCCTTCCCGATCTCTCAGATATTCCAAAAACTTTCCGAATTCCTATACCGAGCACAACGCTACCCGGTGGAGTTGATTTGGGGCCATCAACCCATTCTTACCAGCTAGAAACCAAGATTGACTACCAGCCACTACCACAGACACTGGATACGGTACCGTCCGAAAATCCTGCTTGTCGCATTATTGATAATAATCCGGGCCAGTATCTACTAGTGAGCATTAAACTGCCGCCGCAGTTAAACGCTGCGGCTATCAACGCTCGCGACATGAAAGACGTCAGATACACCTAGCAACTATCATCCTAAGCACTAGTCCGCTTGCGTCCAAAGTGATCTTTATTGTGTTTTGTTTTGCCAGGCGCACCCGTATCTAATGCTACATCGAGGCACTTACAAGATGAAATTTATACGTGGTGATGCTAAGCTATTCTTGTAAACGGAACGATACCTCATCTGAATATCGGATTAGTCAAACAAAGAATTGCACTTCCATATATTCAGATATTTACTTCGGAGGTCCCGTCAACAATAATCAGTGAGAAAGCGATGACTGCAGCTGTGGGAAGCTCATCGGACGTTGTTTCGCAAGGGATTACCGATGAACAAAGCGTGGCGCAGGTGTCAGCGAGCAGAGCGGAAAGACTTAAAGAGGGCCTGGTTAGTCGATTCAAGATGGTGGGAAGAAAGTTCAACATACTGGACAGCCTTTTCAAGAAAAATACCGGGACGGTGTCGTTGCAATACGGTGCCAATGCGGATGGTGTTTTCAGTAATTTGACTGCAAAACCTGACAACAACAGAAACACAGAGCAGCAAGAATCTGACAAGCCACCCAATTATGACGAGGCCGCCTTAGACATGGCTCCGTCTTACTTTGGTGTTGATGACGACAATTTTGCCATGTACTGCAATGAAATCTGTTTCGAGGGTTTACCCGTGGGAAATGTTGTGAACTTGCTGTGGAACATCATAGTCAGCGTCAGCTTCCAGTTTGTCGGATTCCTGTTGACATACATACTTCACACGTCTCATGCGGCTAAACAAGGCTCGAGGTTCGGCCTGGGGCTGACCTTTTTGAGTTACGGCTACTCTATGATTCCTAATGACATAACCACCAAAGTTGGAAAAAGCAAAACTCTTGACAGACTGAAACCATCGGATCCAAATGAGTACGACGACATGCATTTGTACACGGGTAGTGCTGTGAAGGATGGTTTTGAGTCTAATCTGAGCCATGGAATCGAAGAAAAGCGGGACAACCTACCATTTTTGGCCATTGTCCTCTTTGTTGGCGGCACATTTATAATGATCAAGAGCATCTACGATTATGTCAAGGTCAAGAGAAAGGAAAAACAGTACTTGGCGCAGGAGCCTGTATAATCGAGAAGTTTAGAATATCAGGTGTGTGGTCTATAAATTAAAAAAGAGAATATCTTATGAGGTACAGTCCTTCGAACTATCGATTAATTCATTGTCCGTGTCTTCGTAAAGACTTTATGCGCCTAGCACAACCAGGACTTTTTCGTAAATCGTGAAAACAATACCCCCACTTAGAATGAGTCTGCCCAATCTGGGTGTGGCACCTTTCCAGAAAGTTTTCAAACCCTCTTCCTTGAACACCGTGGTGAAGCAGTTCAATGTCGATGAGTACTTGGACGAGTCCAGACTTTGCATTCTAGTCTTCACCGTGTCGATGGGCATGGTAGTGTAGACGGTGACAACACCACTGAAGGCGCCGACAACGAAGGTCAAGCCAGAAGATAGAGGTTTGTCTTTAGGTGTGTTGGTGTAGTCCTGAATCATGGTCTTGATCTTGTTGTAGCAGCCCAGTCTAACGGCTTGGTTGGCTGCTTGTCTCATGGAGACTGGCAAGACAGCGCGGTAAAGACCCGAGAAACCTTGGTCAAGAACCAACTTAGAATAGTTCCGTAGCATGCCACGTCCATTGTTGTGGTACTTGGGCTGAGCACTTTGCTTATCATCGATTAGAGCAGTTTTGATCGCTTCAAATGGCGTCACCGCTACCACACTTTCCAGAAGGCCAGCTCCAAGCCCTGCTACAATACCTCTTGGCCCGCTGAGCTCGCCAGTGACAGGGTCTCGGAGTACATTTTTGATGGCGTCAAAACCTAGGAATCTAACGCCAGCTTTGGCCGTGTTGCCGACAATAAATGCTGGACATCCCACGTACAGCGCTCCGACACCGTTTATCTTGGCTGTGTTATAGATGAGCTTTAGTGGATTTCTTGATGCTGTTGAAGACCGATCCACGAGCTGCAAACGGGTTTTGGCAAACTCAAATGGATAAGTTATGGACGCTTCTACAGCGCCAGCTAGAGAACCGGCAAACAAAGAGTGCAGCGGATCCACCTGTTTTTTCTGAGACATGGTTTTTCTTTAGGATAAGTTGTATGGTCTGGGGTTTAGAATGCCTACTCAAGTCGAAAGCCTTAAGCTCTAATTCAAGCTTGAACTTTGCAGTTTGGGAACCGATAGCCTGCCGCTAGAAGCCCTGAAAAACCGTTCGTAGGCGATTCCACTTTCACTTTTATATCCTAGGGCCCATCGATCCTACAGGTGTATTTTTTTCCGGAGGAATATTTAGTTGATGCCTTGGGCACGAGAAAGCAGACCATAATGATGAGCAAAATTGAAGCCAACGAAGCTCTGAAATAGTTTCAAGCTCAAATGGGTGCGCATCCTAGTCGAGGACACATTAACTTCGGAGTTGCGTTGTTCGATTAAATTTTGAATTTAGCCTTTGTCTCCAGGGCTCGATGGAAGAAGTCTAGAAACTGCAGAAATCAATAAAAAATACGAAAAAAAGAGCTGATTTCCCGGTATTTTATGTGCTTCAAGATGACATCAAGCGATGGAAATGAATGTTGAATATCTCAATATAAAATTGTTACCTCTCTTACTTTTCCCGCCGTAAAGTTGCATAAACGATTTTGTCAATACGATTACATAGCCTATATACTACATACACGCACATAAAGTTATTTGTTTAAGGGCTAAAAATGACGATGAAAGAGCCATGTTGCAGCTTGAAACTAAAAAGCTGAGCTTAAATGAGTCGAACTCAGCTTAACTGACGCTACGCTTAACTGACGCTAAGTTTTATTAAAGGATGTATCGGAAAAACTGGAAAAGCTATGGAAAAAATAAATAAATACCAGAAAAATAACCGCCAAGAGATTATGTAATATTCACGTGACACAATCATATTTTAAGAAGTAAGTCGTTTGATACGAACTAATATAAATGAAATAAGCGCTTCCCAATTGAAACCCTGGCATAAAAAATTGGTGGCAGCCCTGCGTGCCCAAACTTACAATCAATATAAGTTGAATATATAACTTTTTTCGTGTGCTCGACCTCCAAAAAAACTAACCACAACAATACATGGAAGTTCACATGTGATTACCACCACATCACGACATACGAATGAAGACCCTCCAGTATCTGTCCTCAATAAAAGGCTTTACGCTCGATTTACACTACATTGAGTTATCGTGCGCATCACACATCACACTGCTCGATATGCTAGCTTTTCTCGCCAGGAGCTTTCAGATTTGAAGTTCCAAGAAATACCTACTTCTCGCACTGAAATTATTATCATTATTATTATTATTATTATTATTATTCACTTCCATCCATCCTTCTGTCGTCGGACAAAAAAAAATAATGATGACGCTAACATCGAACTTCACTTGGTCGACTTCGAACTCAAATACAAACCCAAAGAACCTCTGACAGGCTTCGTAAACCGCTGCCACCAGTCTCATCTGCCAGACATAGTTGAGTGGTGAAAAAAAATAAAACACTCACCAGAGCTCGATGAGACATGATGACAAGGACGGCGAAGGTCGTGCGTTGTCGAATACTTCGGTGATTGACAAGCGGTCCGCGTATTATATTTGGCGATCTGGGCTGGCAGGCGGTGTGGCAGGTTCATGTGCCAAAACTCTGATTGCGCCTTTGGATAGGATCAAAATTCTGTTCCAAACCTCCAATCCACATTACTTAAAATATTCAGGCTCCATGCTGGGATTGTTGCAGGCCGGTGTGCACATCAAGACCTACGACGGGATCAGAGGCTTTTATCAAGGCCATTCTGCCACGCTGATTCGGATCTTCCCATACGCAGCCATCAAGTTTATTGCATACGAACAAATTCGGAATATCATGATACCGTCTAAAGACTTCGAGACCCCTACACGTCGGCTTGTCAGTGGTTCGCTGGCTGGGCTGTGTAGTGTTTTCGTAACATATCCTCTGGACCTGATAAGGGTTAGACTTGCATATCTTACAGACCACAAGCGCATCAAAATGTGGCCTGTCGTTCAACGTATTTATACCGAGCCGGCATCGGAAACCCTCACATCGAAACATTTTGTGCCGAAATGGTTCGCTCACTGGTGCAATTTTTACCGTGGTTTCACACCTACCGTTCTGGGCATGATTCCATATGCCGGTGTGTCGTTCTTCGCCCATGACCTATGTGGCGATGTCTTTAGAAGCCCACTAATAGCACCTTACTCTGTGCTTCAAATATCCGATGAAGAAATGAGCATGCGATCGAAACAAACTAGTAATAGACCTCTCACAACATGGGCAGAGCTAACCGCTGGTGGCATAGCAGGCATGGCTGCCCAAACTGCATCCTACCCGTTTGAGATTATCAGGCGCCGACTTCAGGTAAGTGTCGTTTCGCCAACGGCCATTCACAATTTTCAAACGATACCCGAAATGTTCCGAGTAATCTACATGGAACGGGGTTGGAGAGGATTTTTCGTAGGGTTAAGCATTGGCTACATCAAGGTGACACCAATGGTAGCATGCAGTTTTTTCGTTTACGAAAGAATGAAATGGTACCTCGGCATTTAGTGCCAAAGTATATATTCATGAGATATTAAGGACAGAACTTCCGAACATTTGTTCAATTCAATTACAATTCACTTTTTACAGGTTATCTAAATTGGGAGTAGTATTCCTCCTCTTTCAATCTCTTGGAAACAAATTCTAACGTTTCTTTGGAGTACACATCCACCAGGTTTTCGCCTCCATTCAATACGCGTTCTTCATGATTCTTTTGTTCATCCTTAGTCATCAGCACAACGTTTTGTATCGAAACAGGAAGAGATGGATCCCATTTGGATAGCGTCAATCTCGTTGAATATCCGCTCAAGGGAGATTTTCCACGGAAAACCTCTTCGCAAATATAACCCACATCTTTGAGCGCTACTGGAACACGCTGATCTGGCATACCAATACGTGTCATTTGCCCAGCAAGGGATTGATAGATTCCGTCGTAGACCTTAATTCTGTTCTTACCTTCAATAGGATCCATGGGGTAGCCTGATATTTTTGTAATCAGCCACGTCGCGATCGTGAGTCCGAAAACCCCAGGCATTGTGCCCAAAACAGGAAGAATGCGTACCCGGAAGTCTTTAATTGCGCTCAGTTCATCGACTTTTCCTCTTTGAAATTCATCCTCCGGTAGCGGCAGTAGCGAGGCCTTGCGTGGATCGGGCTTTTCGGCACTGAATACCACAGTAATGCCTTTCGTTATACCTCTTTGCTTTAGGCGTCTTCTGACGGTTCGGGCAAGAGGGTCTTCCTCTGTCGTGGTAAGGTCACCTACATTTATTCTAGTGGGATCACTCTTGGTAGCAGCACCCATAGATGAAATTACAGGTATATCATTTTGGTACACGAACTCCAATAAGTCAACCTTAGTATCGATATTGTCGATACAGTCAACAACAAATGTAGGTTTGTCCTCGCCATCCTCACCATAGATTAAACGGCCTGCATTCTCTTTATTCCATAGCTCATTGACGGCCACTACCTCGCACCATGGAGCAATTTCACGAAGGTGATCTTTTAAGCAATTCACTTTTGAAGTTCCCACGTCCTTCAAGGTTGCACAGCTATGTCTGTTCAAAGAGCTGAGAGAAACCTGATCAAAATCAATCACCTTGATTTTGTAAATGCCTGATCTCACTAGCATGGTGACGACCCATGATCCAACACCACCAGCACCCACTACGACAATGTATTGATTTTTTAGACTCTGCATTGCTTCTTCTCCCAAAAAAGCGTAGTTACGAGCTAACTGCTCGCGAATCAGCTCAGAGTCGTAGTGTACTTTTCCATTTGCTTTAGAGCTACCATTGGCTTTGCCAGTTTCTTCTGACAGGCGTCTGCGACTTGCCTTGTAGCTCTGATGAAGACTATCGAAAAATTTGGTAGCAGCTGCTGCCAAAATCGCGGCAGCCACTAAACCTTTCCAACCCTGGTTTGACGGCATATTTTGATGTCCAAAACGGCTTTCTGATCCTGACTCATTGTCTGCATCTCTGCCACGTCCCAATGAGCTTCTTGGTAGCCCATAAAATTTTAATCTCATCGGGTCACGAGACTCCCACGCTTAGACGTCCTCGAATTCAGCGTCCATGTCTTCGTCCTCAATTTCTTCAACCTTGGTTGTTTCCGTTTTCTTGTCCTGGTTACCATCATCATTTGAGCCCTTTTCGATTAGTGTTGGCTCTCCATTTCCAGAGTTGACGTCTTTGACAACGGCATCGTTATTTACGCCATTCCCATTTTCTGTGTCGATTTCGTTTTCACTGCTCACGTCCTCAAATTCTACGTCGTAATCCATGCCATCGTCCCCATCTTCTGCGCCTTCTTCGCCTTCGTCTTCTTCGTCTTCCATGGCTTGTTTTTTAGCCAATTGAGCATAGTAGTCTGCCAAAGTTTTCTCGGCCTCCCTCTCTTCTATCTCCTTTTGCGTCAGCGGTTGTGCTGGTTCTGTGTATTCCACATTGGTGAAAGAAGCATTTGAATCCTCTGCATCGTTCAACTCTTGAAGCTCATCGTTGTTTTGTTGTGGAGGTACCGAAACAACCTCGTCGTCATTGTCCAATCTGCCCAAAGCAGCTTTTCCAACTGTACTCTGTTCATGCCAGGCAGGCAAGGCATTTTGCTTTCTTTTCTCTTCCATCTCTCTTTCTTGACGCTCGCTGCGGACTTGCTCGTCACTCGCGGTGGTGATATTAACATGCAAAGTGGCCTGCGACTTGGCGCCGGCACGTCTGCTGCTCGCGTTGTCCAGGGCAGTGTTTGTGTTGTCCCCCGGGGTAAACATTTTACTTTTCTTAGATCTTGGATTCACGGTGTATGATGCAACGGAGTTGTTTTGCGGTGGGATCAATCTCGCCAGTGAAGTTTCAAAGGTATTCTCCTCGATTCTCGAATCGTCAATTTTTTTCAAATAGTCGATTATAGGCTGTACCTGGTCCATGAGCCGGTTCAGCTTCATTTGCTTCTCCTTGGATTTTTTGCCCGAGTCGTCTTCCACCAAGGGCTCTTCGCACAAGCTACAAAGGAACTGCGTTTTTTCATAGTTTAGCAATGAGACGGCTTCGAGCTGCGAATATTTGGTGTGACATACGGGACACATGTAGCCCTGGGGAGCAGAGTTCTTGTCCAGGTCATCTTTCAGCATTGATACAATCTGATGAACTTTCCATTTGATGGCGTCGATGGCCTGTGGGTACTTGATATAGTAATAATACCGCTTAATGCTTCTAGTATTGAAGTGAAACTCTTGCTGGGAGTGCACTGCAATCATTCTATCCTCGAGTAGCTTTGTGAGCAAACCACGAAGCTCAGGTCTTTTGATTCCAAGCAAATGCGCCAAGTCTTCCTCTGAAAGCACAGAGTGGAAAAGAATACCATCTACAACTAAGACATAGGTTCCGGTGTAAAATCCCCTAACAACGAATTTGAGAAGGTTCTTCACGATTTCATCAATAGGACGATCCATAGTTCTGAATCGTGGGCAGACTGGATATCCATTGTTAGTTCTTCTCTTTCATGAACACTTCAATACCGCTTGATATTTCTTGATCTTTCCAAGTCCAATATCGTATAGTGCGATCTAAACAGGCTATTAAAGAGTCGTCTGCTAGCACTGAGTGCTCAGCGACAGTGATCTCCAGATATATTCGTCGGCTTGTCGAGTATTTATCTCGAAAAAAAATCATTTAGTTCTTTTCATTGCCCAAACCTTCCTCGTTAGTCGAGGACTCACCGAGATCCTTGCTAACATATGTGAAATCGAGAAGGCCCTTATGATCGGTCCAATGCCTAGCAGCTTTGCCGTAATGGTACAGGGGAATGGCAAAAAGGCCCACAAAAAGTTCAACACACCCGTAGACAATAAACGCTGTCTTGTAGCCCTTCTCTGCATTGAAGTTGGTGTTAAAAAACGAAAACGCAAAGCCCATGACGTTTTTTAGGATATTCAATGTCACTAGTGCCTCCTGGGCATAGAGTTTGTATGAGTCCACCGTGTACGTGATGGCAGTAGTACTGGCTAAAGCAGAGCCAAACCCAACAACTCCCAAAAAAATAGTTGGAGCAATCCAGGGATCTTGGTTATGCGTACACCACCCAAAACCCATCAGCCCCAAAGCTGTAGAAATGCACGCTGGAAATACCATAATTAGTCTGAATTCAGGCTCGTAAACACCGTGGTTGTCTTTAGCCATGCGTCGAATTAGTTTATCGCTTAGAGTACCAGCACAGATGGAACCCAAGACACCCCCAATGAATGGGGAAATGTACACCAAACCCACAGAACTGGCCGAAAAGCTATAAGGTGGAGACGCAAACACACGATCCACAACTTGAGCAACCATAATCAGCCATACAATGGCTAGGGAATAAAGAAAAGCACCAAAGAGCACGGCGGGATACGTAAAAAGCATAAACGGACGGACCATAACCATGTACCATTTGTCTTCGCTGTGTCTTCCGTGAAATAAACCCAAACCAACCGTTAAGTGGGATTGTGCGAGAGAGTTTACCGCAGATGGCACCTTGAAAAGAGAATGGCGGCGAGGCCGATCTCCACTGAGCGCAGCCTCCTCGAAGTGGAGCGGCTGAGGGGCCCTTGGCTGTGCCAGGCTGGCGTCGTCATCAACCGCCGACGACAACGCAGCGAGATCGGCGTTGTAATTGGCATTAGATTGCGCCCTCGTTATGCTACTTAAGTCGGCGGCCCGAGCTACAGCCGTCTCCTCAAGAGATCGTTTGCTGGGAACAGGAGCCCTATCCCAAAACGTTTCTGGAACGAAGAAAAGATGGAGCACAAAGTTGATACCAACAATAATGGTTACAATCCAAAACAACCAGTGGCGATCGAGATGCTGGAACACTAGCGAGGCCAACAGAGGAACCAGATTTTTGCCCCCAAGCAGCAAAAGCGTGTAAAAGCCTAATCTGTAGGCTCTCTCGTGGGCAAAGTAGATTTCTGCCACCGTAGCAGAAGGCAAAGACTCGATTGTTGCAACCCCAAGTCCCGAAACAACTCTCGAGGCCAGAAAACTCTCGTAGTTGGGTGACACAGCACAACCGATGCTTCCACCGAAAAAGATGATGATGCCAACGAGATACACAACCCTTTTACCAAATAAAACAGCTGTAGGTGAAGCTACAACCGAACCGACAGCCAACGCCAGCATCATGCCACCGATCAAATAGGATATTTGGCTCAACGAGCGATCGAACTCTTTAGCGAGTCCAGACAGTCCGGCGGCCAAAATTGATGTCTGGCCACCGCCCACAAAACAGTGCCATCCCACCACAATAAGTGCTACGTCTCGACGCCAAATAGGCCAGTTGAGAGGGTCGCGCTTGTTTTTAGAGGGCTGTGGATTGAGAATGATGCCATTTTTAGTGGTTTGCATTTCATTTTCAAGTTCATCTTTTGAGTTTGACGAGTCACCCATCATTGCAAAAGTACCTGTGACTCCCAAAACCGGTCGAAGGTCATGATCGCTCGTTGGCTGTTGAAGATATTTCGGGAGTGGCTGTTTGATCCAAAGTAGACTTGGCATGGTCGGACTTAAAGCTGTGTTGTAGTGCGTTTCGACTGAGAGAAATGAGTAACTCTATCAAATCCCACCTCACAATATTTAAGAGACTGAAATGCGATGCAGTAGCTAGATGTGTACACGTCAGGTATGAAGCCGAGTTGTTTTCTTTCCAGTGCTGAGAACAGGTAATTCGAAAACAAAATAAAGAGGTCCACAGAAGATAAGTGATGAGAACATCGACTGGATGAAAATGCAGGGTCTTATAGTCAAAAGGGGTGGATCGAGTAGAGAAACGACTAGATGTTTTTGGAAATGGCGTTATCAATGAACAAGTTGTCGACACTTGTGGTCATTTTTGTAATTAGAGGACGCATGAGCGTCGCAGCTGAGCCGATGATGATATTGGTATGTTGCTGTATCTTAAATTCTGCGTAAGGCATCGATTTATATTGAAAACCACTGTGTTTCGTATCGAAACAGGGAAAAGCGCTCACAGGATGCCCTTAGCTTCAATGCGGGGTCGCAAGAAATAATTGACAACAATGCAGTTTCCGTGGTTGAAAAGGTACATCCATTTCAGCAATGTGTTCAGGTTAAGGATTAATAAAATTCTAGATATTTGGTGACACATGTGTTTACGCTCAGCGTCTCGTGGCACCCAACTAGAGCCATTGGAAGCAGATTGAAATGTGGGTCTGTCAAGAATAATTCTTAGGTTGTCTGGAAAAAGGGCTTTTATCATCCAAACACTAATCTTAAAGAAAAAAAAGGAGCTCGAAGATAAAATGACGCGCTAGTAATACGTTTAGAAACATACATTCCAACGGCTTTATTCATAACTACAGTTGACGGTGGTATTTCCGACTGTCACTATTGAACAAGTGTGTGTCTCATGACAGCTTTAGAGGACCACGATGACACATGCGTACGAAGTGATGACATTCCGACGACAGGCTAAATTATTTCAATAACCAGGACTCAAGCAGCGCGAGCCACGCTTGTTGTTGGACGAGATCTAGGAATTGGTAAGTCAGAATAATACCCGAGTTTCAACAGACAGCGTCCCGTTCCATCCATAAACGACAGGTACGCTGCGACACATTTGCCAAAATCATCCATCACTATTCTCAATCTATTTTTTTTAAACTCCTCTCACAAAGTAAACAATCCATTAATCACAAGCCGCAAACAAAACCTGGCGCTGCCTCGAGCCTTCCTCGAGCCTACTAAAGCTAAATCAAAGCCATTCTTTCTGTTCTTGGCTTTTACGCGCGTTCTTTTTCCTGATGCTGTTCAACGACCAAATAAAAAAGAATGTGTATTCTCTTTGTTTCTTTTTTTCCAGGCTTCCATCGGAAAAACTAGGAATTCCCGGAAAAATCGTGCAGGTGCTGCGCCATAGATAATCCGGGCGGTCCCACGACAGTCTCTGAGAGAGTTTTTCCGGTACCGCTTATGGGCCACAAGCTTACTCGGAACAAACCGGGACCAATCCAGATAATAGCGATAATTAGTTGTACTGTGAAAAATTAGGTCTGAACTTTGAAGAAGAGATGCCTGTTTATCTGACTTTGACCGGTGAGCATCTAGCAATTCATAAACAGCTCAAGAACAATTGAAACAGGATACTAATCCAATATATAAGCTGAACTTTAGAAGTGGTACTACAAGTATTCGTGCTTTTACAGTCGTCTTTCTCGTATTCTCGTTTTGGAATTAACAGCTTCTGGTGAATCATACTAATTTCGATCCAGAAAATTGCAGAAGTTTGAATCTCAAATTTCGATTCAACTTCAAGACGGCAGTACGTATCAACACAGGATCGGTGTCCTCTTCGCACTTTTGCCTGCAACTTTGGTGCCCTCCGGTGATAAAATAACATTAGAAGACTTCAATTACCATCAAAATCAAAATCTCTGAGACATGACGAGCCGTGTGGACCTCTTAAAGCGCTCTATCAGACTGACCAGACTAAGCCGTTTTTACGCAAGTGAAACCTCTAGAAAAATGGTCTCCACTACTCGCGATACCACTTTGTCCCACTCCATCGACAGAGACGACCCTCACACGAAGTTGAAGCCTGTGGGCTCCAAGGCCAAAGCCATGTTGGAAGACCCAGTGCCTAAACAGACTCGTCTTTTCGTGGAGGGTCCCATCGAATGTCCTTTGGAGGGATTCCAATTGTTGAACTCTCCACTTTTCAACAAGGGTTCTGCCTTCACGCAGGAAGAAAGAGAAGCCTTCGGACTTGAAGCCTTGCTGCCTCCTATGGTTAACACTCTCGACGAGCAGGCCGAAAGAGCCTACAAGCAACTTTGCTACCTCAAGACGCCATTGGCTAAAAATGACTTCATGACCTCCATGCGTACTCAAAACAAAGTTCTTTACTTTGAGCTTGTGAGACGTCATATTCGTGAGCTAGTGCCTATCATTTACACACCCACTGAAGGTGACGCCATTGCCGCTTACTCCCATCGTTTCCGTAGACCCGAAGGTGTCTTCCTCGACATTACAGAGCCAGACTCTATCGAGCGTCGTCTCGAGTCTTACGGTACCAGCAAGGATGTCGACTATATTGTTGTTAGTGACTCCGAGGGTATTTTGGGTATCGGTGACCAAGGTATTGGTGGTATCAGAATTTCTATTTCAAAGTTGGCTTTGATGACACTTTGCGCCGGTATTCATCCCGGACGTGTTCTACCTGTGTGTCTCGATGTTGGTACCAACAACAAAAAGCTTGCTCGTGACGAGCTGTATATGGGTAACCGTTTCGCCAGAGTGCGCGGTAAGCAATATGACGATTTCGTGGATAAGTTCGTGAAGGCTGTCAAAAAGAAGTTTCCATCTGCCGTACTCCACTTCGAAGATTTCGGCGTTACAACCGCCAGACCAATCTTGGATCGTTACAGAAACGAGGTTCCATGTTTCAATGATGATATTCAAGGAACTGGTGCTGTGGTCATGGCTTCTTTCTTAGCTGCCCTCAGACACACCAAAAGAGACTTGGGAGACTCTAAGATCTTGATCTATGGTGCAGGCTCTGCTGGTTTGGGTATTGCAGACCAAATCAAAAACCACATGGTCACCCACGGTCTGTCGGAAGAAGAAGCTCATGGCAAAATCTACTTGATGGACAGACGCGGTTTGATTTTGAAGTCGATGGAAGCATTCTCATCACCAGGTCAATACCTATACTCCAAGCCCGATGAAGACTGGTCAAACGTGAACACCAACTCTCTTTTGGAAGTTGTCGGCCAAGTGAAGCCCACTTGTTTGATAGGCTGCTCCACTCAAGCAGGTGCCTTCAACAAAGCTATTGTTACAGAAATGCATAAACACAACCCAAGACCCATCATTTTCCCACTATCTAACCCAACAAGACTACACGAGGCCGTTCCAGAAGATTTGATGAAATGGACCAACTTCGAAGCCCTTGTCGCTACCGGTTCACCATTCCCTCCTGTCAACGGCTACCGCATTTCCGAAAACAATAACTGTTTCTCATTCCCAGGTATTGGGTTGGGCGCCGTGCTATCTCGTGCCACATCTATCACTGACACAATGATTTCGGCTGCCGTGGATCAATTAGCTAGTCTGTCCCCCATGACGGAAACAGACTCGAAGCCTGGTTTGTTGCCACCTCTGGAAGTCATCAACGACACCTCTGCTAAGGTGGCTACAGCTGTTATTTTGCAAGCCTTCAAGGAGGGAACTGCCCGTGTCGAGGAAGAAAGCGTGCCTGGTTCGAGCAAAAAGGTCGAAGTTCCAAGAGATTTTGACGCTTGTCTCAAATGGGTCACCAGACAGATGTGGAAGCCCGATTACAGACCAATGGTCAAGGTGCAACATGACCCAAAGGTTTTTACTCACCAGTACTAAACGAAGCGCTTGATAAATTATCAATTATAGACTATCAATTGAGCCAAGACGAGTAACATCTATGAGGCCCTTCCCTCATCAAGTCCACAACGCATCTTTAAAAGGGGGAGGAAATCAGAAGCATTTGTACTATAGTCAGAGATGAATATGCTATGTTACTATCCTTTATATTCTTGTGTCTTTAATGCTAAACAATAATAACATTACTCGTCGGCTACTTTGGCGATTAGCTCTCGCTTCAATCACGGCGCGAACATTATTTTAGTGCGATTTGAGCATTAATCTATCAAAATTATACAAGCTCTACTACACTTTGGTTACGCACTTGCTGAAGTGCTCGTTTTAAATATTAAGCAATATTCCTTCCCCCCGCTCTTTCATTAAACGGCCTACCACCACTTATCGTAGCCAAACTTTTCACCAGACTTCAGATTGTAGAATGTCTTGTATTCATGGTCATAAGTATTCTTGTAAACATTGTTCCCCCACCAATCTAATTTACCACCAGGGTATTGAACAGCAAGGAAAATAATGACCACTGCAATGGCCACTCCAGTTTCGACACCGGCACCCATGACAAAGTTGTATTTGATGAACCATCTTGGCCACGTTTTTCTGATAGTGTTCAAAGCGAAAGCCATCGCAAAGAAAAGGGTGTAGTTGTAAGGAGTGCTTGGAGGAATGTTACCTGGGCCAGTGAAGAAGACAGGTGTGTGTATTAGCTTCAGGAACTGGTTTCTCTTGAAGAGTTTCTGAAGACCATACACGATAAAGGGCACGATCAAACCAATGAGGAAGAACCACATTAATGGGTTGTAAATCCGACCAGGAGAAAATAAGTACTGTGGCATCGACCAGATAATCGATGCATTGAAAATAGCACGACCATTTGCACAAATGAAACCGTTAGGCTGGGAGGTAGAGCAGATATCCTTGATATTGAATCTCATCCACTCTTGAATGCCAACATTAACCAACCCTGATAACAAAGAGGCATAGATCTGGATAGCAAAGATCAGTCTGGGAGACACCTTCATATACAGCGCCAATTTCAAGTCTCTGCTCATGTCAAGACCGTGTCTTTGTACAATAAAACCATATAGCTTGAACAAAACGTTAGCTCTAGGCTGCAAAGGTAGCATGTAACCGCAAATCAACTCCGTAATAATGTTCAAACCAACGTGTTGATTGGTGACAGCCTCTAATAGTCCCTGGGGGACGAAGTTGACAAAAGACACGAGTAGTGCCACAACAAATGCCCAAGCAGGCAGACCGGAGTCAAACCCACAAACCGTAGCAAACCCAAGACCCAACATGATGACTTGAAGAACAATATACCACCAGTCTGGACAGTCTTTGTAGTTCTTGGTGTATGTTCTCATGTGAATATCTAGACCGCCGTGATTCTTGTCTCTGAGTTTAGCCCACAAGTCTTTACCGTGGTAAAGACCGCAATGGACGAAAACAGCAACGATGGCAGCGAAGTTCAAGGCGTAACTTAACAAGTAAGAGAAGGGCACAAAAAGAGGTGAATACGCCTTGTATTTCTCCAGGTTGACGGTGTAATCAGGATTTAAGATCTTGAGTACGTTGTATTTCTTTTGAGTGTTGTCGTAGGTCGAAGACGAGATCAGAGGCATAAACTTCGCGTACCAGGTGTTGGTAAAGTACAGTATAGGCAGGATGATAACGAAGAAAATGACCACAGACACACACGTATTAGCAGCCACCCAGTATGGGGTAGCAAAGACGGATCCAGTCATTGCCTGAGAGATCTGAGTGTAGTCAAAAGTGATGGGGAGAGCGCCAATGCCACTTTCCACACCAAAAATGGCGTTGGCAACAAAGTTGTGCCTGGTTTTAGAACCCCATAGAATGACATTAAAGTAGGAAAGACCCTTGAAAAGGAAACCAGGCACCCAGTACCACACAAAGCTGGCACTAAAGACAATCATGAAGAATTTGTATCTTGACATTCTCCACCCGTTAACAATAGTCTTGTCGATCGCAGTATTGTGCAAAGAGTCAAAGAGCGACACCGAGATCAAGGTCTGTGGCCAGATACAGGGAGCGGGAGAAACGACCCAACGGCGACTTAGGCCGGCAGCTCCGTAGCCCAGCATTTGAGTGGTCCACACAAGCATGATTTGGTAGCCTACGTTGAGGTCCATCATGTAAAAGTTTGTCTGGGCGTTCAAAATGTTCATGGCATATGCGGTACTGGCAGTCAGGGCCACAGCGATGGTAACCACAGCGTGCTCCTTCTTGGTGAAGGGCCCGGGGTTCAAGTTGAAAAAAGGAACACGAGGACAGTCCCAGTGAGGTAGCAGAGCTAGAATCTTACCGATTGGGTAGCACACGACCTGCGCGACGAGGAAATTGATGGACAAACTAGGATAACGAAGGGAGAAAAACTGGTTGACACCTGCGAACACAATCACGAAAATGGTGGTTAGAAACCAAGTTCTCCAGTGGTTCAGAACGATGGTAGGGTCGTCCTCGACAGTGACCGTGGCACGGACCTCTGGGTATGGAGAGTTGGGCAGCAGCTCGACGTCGCCCTCCCAAACCTCCTGTTCAGCAAGTCTTTCCTGGGACGGCGTCTGCACGACTTCTTCCATTATGCAGGTGCTATCGTGCACCTCCAGGCTCTTCGTGGGACTGAGCTGGCGGACGATCTCGCGGCCCTGCTCCAGCTCCGGGCTATCATCGTAGGTCACGTGTGAGCGGCGTCCTGGCAAACGGTCTGAGATACTCGTGTCGCTGACATCGCTGGAGTCACGTTCGCGCTGCTGGGTGTATGCGCCGGACTTGTGCGGCTCGTTTTCCTTGTGGTGCTGGAAAAACTTCATGTTGCTTGAATCCTGCTCCAGCTGGGGTTGCTGCACAGAAACGTACTCGGGTTCAGACTCGGGTGCGGATTCGAGCTGGTTGGCTTTACTGGATCGTCTCTTGTAAATAGTCATTGTGTTACACAGGTCCAAGTCCACCGAGGCTCACCATTAATTTATAGACTGTGTTGTTGGGATCGACGTCAAGACTCAGGGATCTGAGATCCTCGATTCTAGCTTTCTTATCGGTTACAAGTCCTATCTCTTCTTAGAAGAGTATCAACGCTGGCGAGTCGGGGATAAAAAAGAACAAAGCTTGGGAGATCTTATCACTAAACTTTAAAGTGTACGTCGGATATCCACTAGTTCAACCATTATTATAGCCCTTTCGATGTCAACTCCCATTTCTGCAACTTGTTCTTCTCCAGGACGACGTGCGACTCTTCAACACAGTTTCTTTCTTTCCTTTCTCTTCAAAGCCCAAAGCCACATCCATATCATGACTTCGATGGACAGAGAGACTCACTCTTTTCACGGCGTTTCTAGCACGCAAGCGACGATGACAAAAACGACGACGAAAAACGACGACGAAAAACGACGACGAAAAACGACGACGAAAAACGACGCTAGAAACCATCATGAAAACAATAACACTCCTATGACAACATTCGAGAGAGCCGCGATTGCATTCTAGCGACAGAAATCGTAAAAGGCTTTCGATTTCAAAGCACCAAAAAAACCATTTATCGTACCGTGAAAGCTGGTCTGATTTTTCAACGCTTTTGTTTCCCCATGGACTCGTGCTCGTGGGCTTGACACAGTTCATAGTCCTGGTGTCTCTGGCGCTGGTGACAATCCAAAAACCACCAGCGCGTTTTTCTTTTCGTAGAATTCTTAAATTTTTTAACCTGCAATTCGGCTTCCATGCGTAATCTCATCGAATTGGCAGGTTTCCAAAGGGAAGGTTTTAGTTCGAATTTGGTCAAGAGATCTTGAAAAATGGTCATGTGCACTCGGTTTGTAAAAGACAGGCGGCGATGGCGGTGAATAATACGACGACGGAGGTATGAAGATTAAGGTTGAGGGGTGAAATCAATGAACAGGACTTTGTAGATAGGCGTAAGTCCGTCTATCGCTGGATGTGGTGATATTTTGATCTTTTTGATATTTTGAGGGCTGGTTTGACGGTATGCTTGGCCAATATGCGGTATAATGTCGTTGCGAGCGGTGTTAGTCACTCCGTGGTGGTAGTGGTATCAGTGGCAGCAGCAGGGGAGATCATTGGCGATCGCAGAGATCTGCTTCAAACGCATAATCAGCCAATTTGATCGTATAATGTGTGGGAACATGCCCGGTGTGTTCCGGTACGACAATTTTATTGTTCTTTTTTTTGGGATTTCTTGGGCTGTGCCGGCGTTCGAGCCTCTTAGCGCGCAGTTAAGCGCTGTGTCCAGGAAGACTCCAGGAAGACTCTCTTCGACCCAGCAAGACCATGCAAGCTTTATGCCAGGACGACTCTCTCCGATCAAGCCGTGTGTCACATTGCAAACGCGCATTCGCCGTTTTTCAACGCCAAGACGTTCCGGACGTCTGTTGTGAAACGCAGCGCCTCCAAAAACGGCAGCAGATTCAGCAGATCTGTGTCTGTTGGGTCACTGATCCAACCTTCGACTTGTATCGCGTTGTCGACGTGCATCGCGTAGCTCACAGGGCTGTTGTCGATGATGAACACGTCGCTGAGCGGCGCGTGCGTCGGCGCCAGCAGTGACAGGTCCTTGATGTAGCCAATGCCGTCCCGCAAAGTGCAGTCCTGGCGGTACAGACGGCGGGAGAATCGGCCTGGGAACGAGCCCTCCAGCCAGTCAATCACAGGGTCTGCATACTCTCGCATAGACGCCGTAAATATCACCAAATCATACCAGTCCCACACTTTGGTGAGAAAGAAGTCACAGTAGGGCCGCTTGTGCACGTAGTAAAGCGTCGAGATGCCACTGACTGCGAATTTGACCTCCACCATGTGGCCCTGCGACGAATTGCTCGACGAGGTTCCACGCGACATCGAGTGGATCAGGGTCTCGTCCAGATCCAGTACCAGCGTGCGACGCTTCTGGCGGTTCAGCATCGACTGCGGGATCAGCTTTTTCGGAAATAGGAATCGGCCCATGCGTCGCGATCCCAGCATGACGCCCGCGTTGCTGCTTGCACCAGACCGAACACTAGTCGCCTTCGCAGCCGATTTCGCACTTTTTGCCTGCGGAGCTGGCGGAGACAGCAAATGCTCCTGTTGCTGCTGCTGCGACGGTGACAAATTAGGGTCTGGTGTGGGTCTTTTTGCTGCAAGAGATCCCTTGACGGTGTCAGGCTGCAGAATCATCTCTTCTCCGCCCATATCGTCTTCTTCTTCTGCAATGGTATTGAAATTCGACGCCGCAGGTGAATACCCGGTGGTGTTTGCCGTCGGGACAGCATTTGTATCCTGTGGGAATTCGGATTTGTTCTTCTCTTTGCCTGATCTTTCCACGAAGCTTAGTGGGAACGTCACGACAAACCAAAAAAATAGCACGGGTTTCACCAGCAGCAAGTTGGGCATAAATATGAGTATAGCCCATGCCATTCGTCCCACCTTTCTGGACCTCGATATCGATTTTTCGACGTGATCCGAGTCACTTCGAGACTTTTCTGTGTCTTGGTTTTGTGCGATTGGCACATCGAGATCTACACTTTCAGGTTTCGCCGTCCGTCCTGCGCTATTCAGTCCAATTTTTTCAGAGCCTGAGCCTTTTTCCTCGAACTTAGGCGGCAGCACCCTATTGGTAAGGTAGGAAACGACGTTCATCAATTGTTATGGCGGCAAAGCAGACACACTTTCTTCAGGACTCTTATTTAAAGTAAGTTCTACGATTCGATGCACCGATAGAGGTTACAGTCAAATTGAGACCCGTTCCAGGTGTCCAGAAACGTTGGCAATGGGGTACCGATTTTCTAGTTCAAGTCCTTATTGCAGTTAGTTGTAAATGAACTTTGACGTTATGAATCACATTGTACGGACCTCGAAATTCCAATTATTGATCTAGTCAGAGAAGACCAACACTACTGAAATCTACGGGGTACTACTGTCGACTTTTGTTGAGAGAGCTGCCAAAGAGCATTCAAGGCGACAAGAGTGCTGAAATAGTTCTTGAGTTACTGCTTAGACGATTGGCTTGAAGCCAGAATTGTTATAGCGGAGTGTTTTTTCTTTGTTTGCACGTCGCTGTAGAAACTACTGTTGACCAAAGTCGTTGGGTTTTTGTAGCCAGTCATGTAAAAGTTAGAAGCCGCAATTTTTGACGAACGAATCCGTTGGTGTAGACAGGATGAACAGAGTAATTGATGATTCTGATCGTCAAAAACACATCAAACAAAAAAAAAACGTCTAGTGTGTCGTTTTGTTCTTTCTTTGGTTTCTGTTGGGATTTGAACGGAACTCGAAATTTGAATCCACACATTGTTAACATTGTTTGTAACAAAGGTTTGCGATGCCAGATGATACTCGGGTGCGAGAAGCACCAAAACGTGACGAACTGCGCGCCCTGCAAGGCGTTTTTGGTTCTTTGAAATACCTCACCTGGGGCAGACCTCAGTTGCTTATAGCAGCTTCTTCGAGGACCGTTGAAAGTCAATATGCAGAGTCTTATGTGTGGTTGGAGTCATTCTGCTGAAACAAACGAGTGCGCAGAAAAAAAATAAAGAAGAATGCGCAGCGACGCTGTGTTTCTCCAGGTGGCAGATGGCACCCCCATTTGTAGCTCTAGATGCAAGTACATCTTACTCACGCCTCAAACTCGTCCGTCTCTGCAAATCTTTGTTCTTATCCCCGTCAGTGTAATGCGGCGCTACTTGCAAGCTAAGCCGAAAAACCCATAACGCCACATACATTGAAGGAAACACAACGTTCTTGCCCCAGACTGAGAACAGACTTGGTGGCGCTTGTGATGAATGTTCAGTCAGTTGCAAAGTCTGCGAGCCAACGCATTGTAAATCGCAGCGTGTATGCCTGACTGCAAGCCACAATGGGCACATGCATTTACCAAGCCCCGAAAACGGTTGACTAGCTGTTCCTTTGGCCAAATTGACTGTCTTGGTATTAGCAACAGCACCGTGAGATAAAGATCAGCTACAAACTTACATAGCTCGCGCATGTTACAGCAAACTTAATACGCAGATATGTTTATATGTATTTCTATGACGGTAGTGTGTCTGACACGATCTCTCCTTAAAGTGCCCGTTAACTGTCGACTAGCAGTGCTAGCCCAGGGTAGACACAGATTCTGGTTATTGTAGCATTATAACTGAACTCTTGGTCTCGGCGAACTCAACTCACTGGTAACACATATACTATCTTAAATGATTCACTCATACAAAAGAGCGTTTTCATGATTTATCTTATGTTAATTAAAGATCGATCATGTATATACGTATGGTAAAATCTATATAATTTGAATTAGAGGTAGAAAGACAGAGAGCGCAACGAGAGTGCTTTTCGTGATGTAGCTTTCGAGTGCCAAGGAATACGAAACGATCGTTACGAACAGGCTCATGTCTATTTTCCTCGCTTTCCGAGTGCCGAGGAAGGAAAAACGACCGTTCCAAGCAGATTATCCTCTCAGATCTTCGTTGTCCAATGCAGTTCCTGACGTACCCTCAGCGTCGATTTTTTTGGCATGCAACTTGCTGTGTCGCACCATGTTACTCTTGACATTAAACGTCTTGGCACAATCAGGATGCGGGCATTGATACGGCCTCTGACCAGAATGTACTAGGGCGTGAGCCTGCAAGGCAGTGAAGCTCGAAAAAATTTTGCGACAGATCGGACACTGTCTCCTCGAGATGCGATGGGGCTGTGGGCTGGTTTGCCTCTCTGATGGCTGTGGAGCTGAGTGGCGCCGGGGTTGGGTATGTTGCCACTGTAAATGAGCGGGAATCCGTGCTGTGGGGATCAATGCGTAGCTGTCAGAGCCTCGAAAGAGCCTTGGGCGAGACGAAAGAGCTGCGTCTGGAGGTAAAACCAGGTTCAATGAGGAACTGAAGAATGCGTCGTGTTCCTGACGCATATGCGAAAGGGTGCGGTGAACACCACGGTCATGCTGTGAGTGCTGACGTTCGTTCTTGAAAGTCGCATGGCTCAAAGGCCCCAGGGGAAAAGATTCCTGGGCTTCTAAATTAAACTCGGTTCCCTGGTGCGAGAGGAATTGCTGATTGCCAAAGCTAGGCTTTGCAAAGCCGGGATTTGCAATGCTGGGATCTACAATGCTGGGATCTTCCCGATGCAAATCGAGAGGATCTACCTCGAAATACGCAGGTTGTGGCACGGACCTACGTTTGTAAAATTGGGCAATTTGGTTTGGCAGTAGGGACTCTTCTGTCAAGTACTGCTGTGCTGATTCAAACGGTGTGAATAGCAGTCCTGCCAACGACAAACTGGACGGCAGGTTCGATTCCTGAAGAAAATGCGTGTAGGGAAACCAATCCTGCGAAGTTTGCATGTGGATGGGGCTATGAGTATGCGTATGCGAGCCCAGGTAGGAGTGACTGCCCTCTCGAGGCTGGGAGCTTCTTCGAGAGAAGCTTCCGGTGGTGCTGGACCCGCCGCACATCGTGGGCTTCAGCGATACACCACAGTCGTTCGAGTCTGGAGAGCCATCCAAATCGTACTCATGGTCGAGCTCAAAGGGAGACTCAGCAGGTGGCAGCGATTCGGACCAGTTGCCATCACTGTGGTCTCGGCTCATCAAAGGGCCCAGCAGCTTCACAAGTCCGCGGAAGGTGAAGTGGGTACGAGGATCAGAAAGTCACGTGGTCGTGGCTCTAAGTCTCGGTTCTGGACCAACTGATCTTAAGCCTTTCAATCTCCGAGAACGGCCTCTCCAGCACTGGCAAGTGTAGCCACGACGTCCGTGTAGCTTCAGTTTTTGAAATTGTTGACCTAACGAGCACCCTGTCGCTCTGGCTTCCGCACAAACACACCAGGTCGGCTACTTTTAATTGTTTGGCGTTCCGCAGCCCCTCCTCCCGCAAGAATCGGTTCGTAAACTGGATGCGCAAAAGGGATTTACAATACGGCAAAATTGCTGTCTTGGCGTAGAGAATATCGCGAAGCTCGGTGCTTGTGCTTGTGACATTTGAGTATTTTTTGACACTCGTTTTTGGCAACGTGTGGTGCGTGGAAGACGAGGATTTCCACTAGCAGTTCCAAAGATCAGCTTGGGAATCAAAAACCTGCCACAATCTAAATCCAAACCTCAAACTTGATGGATGTGCGCTTGCGGAATTTACAGATACGCATGTATTCTCCCTCTGTCGTTACTGGCGCTGTTGAATGGCTGTTATCTGTGCCTGTGACACGGCTCTTATACAGTATGCTGAGCTAAGCCAAGAGACGTTGGATGGAAAAAATAACGTTTAATATTTATATATCGAAAACGATAAGTTCAGACTTTGATCCATGGGGCTCAATCAAGTGGCGCGATTGTAGCGAAAGAAGGGGTTTTCTTTACCTCGTCCACACCACAAACCATGAAAAAAATTGCAAAAGGGTTCAAGAAGCCGTGTATTGCACTGTCCCCTCGAACTCTGTAAATTTTCCGCGTCCTCAAAATTAAGGTTATTTGCGGGTCTTTTCCTACTTAAGGCAAGAAGAAGACAACTATACCAATTATTATATTTGTTAAACGTCATTTGAGGCTCTCTTGTTGTGGGCTTTTCTTGGCTTGTAGAGCGGTCGTGGCAGTTAACAGAGGCGCTTATTTTGCGAGGTCCTTGAGTATCTAGAGGTTTGATACCTCAGCTCCTTGGTAACTAAATTGCAAACGGTCACTTTTGACAGTGAAAGATAGCTTCCTTTTCGCACGCAAGCGCTGGTTTTGGTTTAGTAGCGCAATACCCATTTTTCCGCTCGCGACGACTACGTGCGCTGCTAACGTTCGTAACCAGTAGTATAATCTAGAGTTCCTGACAGACCAAAAACGATGTCCACATGGCGAGACAAGATAAGCAACTCGATAAAATCGAATAAGCAGACTGAACGGGCACGGGAACACCGGAATTAATGGGAGGACTGAGGTCTGGGAACCGTGTGTGGTGTCGGCCCGGAGAACAGAGAGAGAGAGAGAGAGAGAGAGAGAGAGAGGTAAGCGATTCCAGTACAGCAAGCTATTCGTGAATAGCAGCTTAAGTCACGTGACTATGTCATGATTCCAAAACTTTCTCTCAAAGAAACAGGTTTCCCTCACTGCAAGAGGTGTGAAAGAGTGATCTGGAGGTAGTCTAGTACACTCGGATATTCAGTGAAACATAATCAGGTAGCTCCAATCGGCTTTCCCCGAGGCGAAGATCGGGGCATTTTTAAAAATGAGGATGTGGTCACTATAAACGACGTGATATAATATAGCGTCAGTTTTTTGACGGTGTGTACAATTTGATTTCATTCAGGATGAAATTTTACGTTTCCTACCCTGTTGGTGTCATTCAAAATAGAGATTTACTGACATGCTTAGAAAACTTGATGACCGTCTTGACTCTGGAAAACTCCGGTAACTTCTCGTAATGGCGCGAAATATAGGGGAGGGATTGTGGGGTTTCCGATCGAAAAGCGCGCTTGTCAGAAGAATTGGAACAGCACCTATAGAAAGATGATACCTCGAAATATGGACAAAAGTTTCCTAACGTATATCTCATGCTGATTTCAAAGTCGAGCCGAGCCACCCTAGGGCCAAGTTTTCGACTCACAAGATAATACCGATTCTCACAGGAGTTCACGTTAGGACCAAGCCTCTGTCACTGGAGGCCAGCTCGGCGAGAAGTTTGGCACATGACAGATTTCTGTGTCGCCGTTCGCTGTCAACTGCTGTCAACTGCTGTTTGCTGCTGCTCGCTGTCAAATGCCATGAACTCCCACATCAGAGTTACCCGCCCCTCGATTCGCTTTTCGCTACGTCTTGAAAAAAACTTGCTTTTCGCCGGGCCTTTTTTCACTTCCCCCTTACTCTCTCGGAGAAAAACTGAGCCCGCCTCACGTTTTTCATGGCTGCTGCGGTTGGAGATCTGCCCAGCACGTGGCTTGTGCCCCACGTGCTCGAAACGTTTCCCGAACACCACGTGATAGACACCACGGACGGTAAACACGTGACACTCGAACGCACAGTACACGTGACTGACGACGACTTTGGTGCTCGCCAATTGTCCCGTCAGAAGTTGGAACAGCTGCTGGCGCTTGTCGATGCCAACCTGGGTGCGCTCTACGCGGCTTTCGCGGGCGACATCTACACGAAGCTCACCTCTTCGTCGGGACGGCCGTGTTCGGCCGCACAATGGCATCCGCTCAAGCGGGGCGAGATGAGCACACCAGGTCTGGTATATGTGATGTACCACGATGCCAGCGACGCCAGCGGTGTGCCGCTGGCGTTCGCGTCGCTGCTTTTGACCCATGAGCCTGAGTTGGAGATGGACGCCCGTGTGGTGTACCTGTACGAACTGCACGTGTCCGAGACGATCCAGAACTGCGGCTTGGGCACGTGGATAATGCGTGACTGCGTGTCCGGGCTTCTGCGGCGTCTGGGCGTGTGGGTGCCGGGGTTCCGCGGATTAGAGCTCACGGTGTTCCGTGCCAACACGCAGGCGCTGCGTCTTTACCGGGATCGGCTGGGCATGCGGCCGGTGCCGTGGTCGGCGTGCGTCGCGGATCAGAGCACGGTTTCGGCGACGGATGCGCAACCGACGATCCGCCGCACACGTTCCCGTACATATCGTTATGCGTTACCAAATGCCGGTCACAATAGTGCTCGTCGTCGCGCGCGGCAACCAGAAGTACTACCCGCGTTCTGCATTTTGTTCTGGGACGGCTGTTCGTGACTACCGGTATATGCAATGCGTCGCCGAGGCATGCAAGTGCAAAGCCAAAAATTTATAAGACCTTGGTTATACTGCTACACTCACCCACACACACCTACGCCTGCACAGAGACCTACACACACCATTTCACACACTTACACACCCACCTACGCTCACATACTGAGACTCTGACAAAAACTTAAACACTGGGTCAGCTTAGCCATTTCACCAGCCTGGCTGGGTTCCAAAGACCGTTTCATCGCCGGTGCCTAAGATTATATAAAGATGAACGATACCACAAGCGTTTTAAAAACCGCAAGGCAAAGCAAACCGCATAGTAAACACCGAAACCGAGAACGAATTTTCTCTCTTCAGACGTCAAACAATATACCCTGTGTGTCCCCTGTGAGTGCAGTGTTTTCAGTTGGGAAGTAAAAGTTCGAAGCAAACGCATCGAAAGCCAGCTTCGAGAAGGGGAGACCGCCCACTACCCCCCCCCCCCAAAAAAAAACTAGCGACACACACACAAATACACTACAGAAAGAGAGAGAAACGAGAGAGAAAAAGGTTAAAAAATTATTTCACTTTAGTTTCTGCGTAAGTTTCTGCATTTATTTTCAGATCTGCGTGTGAGTTTTTTGCTCATAGGAATTTTATTCTATTCTACTCACCAGTATAAGGCTAGGATACGGCAAAGCGTCAAATTAAGCGTACATTTGTTTTTTGCGCTCGTACCGTAGCCTTTTTCCCCCGGTTTGCTTGTTTGCTTGCTTGTTTGCTTGCTTGCTTGCATACCTGTTTGTTTGTTTGTTTGTTTGTTTGTTTGTTCGATTGTTCGCCTGCGTGTGCTTTGCTGGCTAGCTGGCGTGGCTGGCTATCGTCCACCACTCCCGCTTGAAAAATTCAATTTCAGTCGTCGAGAGATCACCCCACACGGATCGATTCTTCTTGTCACGTGCAAATGGGTTTTCGGAGTTTGCCGTCACCACCGTCGACAACAACAGAGCCAACACAGCCAACATTGAAGGACAACACTAGCCAGAAAATGATGCAGGAGCCCGCCCCGCAACTAGCCCACAGCACTGCTCCCCTGGTGCTACCACAGCCGTCAAGTTTCGATTCGAACGAGTCGCAGCATCACATCTTTCGATACGAACAGCACCAAAATCACCAGCAACACCATCCATACTACTACCAGCAGCAGCAGCAACAGCGACCTTGGATGCCCAGTTTTTCCAGTGTCGTTAAACCTGCAATCGATTTGGTGTCCGTATCGCCGCCGCTGTCGCAGCCCAAGCACGTGCAGAAGCACGTGCCATACCAACACGTGAGCGCTTACCGTACAAACGCACACATGTTATCACAGCAACAGCCGCCCAGCTTCGCGCCCAGCTACCCGTCTTCGTACGTAGAGAGGTGCTCCTCGGGATTCTCGGCTCCTGTGCCCGAGCTACCCGACGGTCGCAGTACTAACAGCAGACAAAGTAGCGTCGACAGCAACAGTCTCAGTGTCAGTGGTGCTAGAAACAGGATACCATTGCTGGGGCTGGCACCCCACCCGCAATTGGCATTCCCTCCGTCGCTGCCGTCCGATCTGCCACCCGTCGCATTCGGTCCCGATCCAGGTGGTGTTGGTGGCAGGCAGTACATGGTAGCCCAGCCACTTACGCCAACGGCTATGACCAGCATGACAGCGCCCAAACCGACTTGGTTCGCGAAAAACGGCAACACGGCTGGGGCGCCGCAAACAACGCCTCCAAGCTCGAGTTCAGCTCGCTCACTGCCGTCTTTACAGCATCAGCATCAGCATCAGCATCAGCACCAGCACCAGCACCAGCACCAGCACCAGCACCAGCACCAGCACCAGCACCAGCACCAGCACCAGCACCAGCATCAGCACCAGCATCAGCCTTTTACATATACCAATTTCCAAGGTGTGAGCAGCGACGCAGTAGTCAACAACGATATCAGGGCGGGACTCAACGCTACGGGCGTCTATAACCCAAATTTACGACCCGCAGCCAATCTATTCTGCTGCAACCTGTGCTCCAAGACCTTTCGGCGTCGCTCGTGGCTCAAACGGCATCTGCTATCGCATTCGAGTTTCAAGCCACATAGTTGTCCCTGGTGTCAGAGTCGTCACAAGCGACGCGACAATCTCCTCCAGCACATGAAGACCAAGCACCCGCGTGAGGTGCTTCAAGAGCTGATTCGCACGGGCAGTTTTATCGATACGTCTGTTTTAGAGCAATTCACTACTGTAAGCTCAGAGAATGGAGAGTTTGGTGGTTCGTCGGAGCCCAACATCCGGACGCTGGTTGAACAGGGCCACCTTTGCAAGGATCGGATGAAAAGCGCGCTCAACGAGGTTATAATGAGTTATGAAGCGGGGGACAGTGGCACTTGATCCATTTCGGAGGCCCCAACTGCTTCGAGTTGTAAAAAAAATAATATGGCATGAATACCCAATATCGAGCAGGAGGCTTCTTTCAGCCAGCATCCCCACAAGAAGAGCACAACCTACCAGAGGCACTGTAATTTTAATAATGTGCAAGCTTGAGAACAAACAGACCTGGATGTGAAGCAAAGGACATCGTGTGTAATTGACGCACTGACATTGACATTGACATTGACGCTTGTCAAGAACCAAGGGTAGCCATCGCAATAACTAGGTATAACGCCTAAGACGCTATATATCGTCACTAATCCTTTACCAACAATTGATTACACACGCTATGAATGTAAAATAAAATCGTAAGCGAAACGTAGGAAGCTTTCTGGGCACTTCTAAAGGTTACTTGTCTGCCCATCCCACATGCTTCGTGCCCGTCTACAGCATTTCACGCACCACAGCCTCGTGCGGGAAATCGTCGTCGGCCGGGTTTTTGATCACGCTGGTGTTCTGGAACTGCTGGTGCTTCACAACTGCTACTCCGTAGCTCAGCGACGAGATTGTCAGCCCGACAGCAACGACCACCAGGCTGGTGACCATCACGGACATCGAGCAGTACTGAATTGCGGCCATTGCTAGGTAGAACAGCGCTCGTTTACCATTGGTCGCGAACCGTTTGATGAACTCAATGAAGTTGTCGCTCAAAGGGCAAATTTTCAGCAAAAAGGGAATCTCGATGAAGAGAACAACCATTCCTTGTATTATCGCGATGATGCCAAACACGATCACCCCGCTCACGTGGAATAGGTTGGCGATTCCGAGCGCTATGCATAGTATAATGTTGATGTATCCGAACCACTGGCCGTAAACACTATTAAAAACGGCACGCACCGACGTGCCTAGCTGTTAGTATATTTTCTAATGGCTAAGAAACCCACTGTCACCATCAATAGCACTACTACTATCATACCTGAAATTGAAACTTTTCAAATCGCGCGCAATGCCCGCGAAGTTGATGAACTGCTTGATACCCAAAGCCATGTTTTTTCCTAATTTTTCAAACTGCTCGAACTGCTAAATTTACCAAAGCCCTGTATAAAGCCGTTGGAGACTTCAAAGTCGTTCAAGTTCCCAATTCTTTGTCCAAAACCTAGTCAAATTGTTCAGTGATGAGATAGATGGTCCTTTTTTGAAGGTCAAGTTGTCTAAATTATCCTCATCGTTTAAAGACCCTGCGTATTTAGTGATCAACTAATTATTTGGGATTTTGTATAAATATATAATCTTATGATATGATCAACAGGTGTATTTGGAGTGAGGAGATGAGGAATTAAGAACATCGTGATAGCCGAGTTTACCTATCTATCAGTAGTGTAAATGGGACAGAAGCGGTGAAATGAAGCTCACGGACGGAGACTCGGAAGCAGATTCGTCGCCGTTGTCGAAGTTGGACGAAGAAGAAAGCGAAGACGAGCTGATTCTGAGCGACTTTGACGCGAGTTTTGCCAAGTTGGGGCGTGGATTCCCCAACATAAACTTGGGCGCAATATGGAACGGCAACGCAGGGAGTAGTAGGAGTGATTTTGGCCACTGGAGCCGCAAATTCCAGATGAATACGTTTCTGAACGATCTTCAGAAGGGACTCAGCTTCTCCAATGCCGTAACCCGACTCCAGACCGTCAAGGCCTTGACGGAAGAGGTGTTCAGCAACGCCGTCAAAAGCAGAGACAACTCAGGCTCGGCTGTGGAAACCCAGGAAGAGCCCTCGGGTCTCGTGCCGGCGCTGAGACCGAAAACGGCGCCGCCTTACAACGACATGGTCATCCCGCAAAACAAGGACCCGCAAATGCTCGAGGAGCACCTACTGCGGCTAACCGAGTTGCCCAAGGACCAGAACAACAACGAGGAAGCGCTGCGGCGTCGAATCCAGCATATCCAGAGTCTAGAGCTGGAACCCGGCAAGAAGGCGCTCATGGTGCAACGACTCATGATGGGCAAGCACGTAGAGGAGCCTGCGCGACAGCATCGATCTCATGAACACCAACAAGAAACCTCACGTGAAAGTGAACCCACAGAAGCAGAACGACAACCCACCTACCATGAAAACGGGAATTTTGGGTGCCCACACTACCAGCGGAATTGCAAACTGCAGTGTCATGAATGTTTACGCTGGCACACCTGCCGATTCTGCCATGACGAGTCGCCCGATGTGAGGAATTCCGCGAAGCCGCATTTGTTTGAGCGCTCGAAAACGGAGCGTATCATGTGCATGCGGTGCCAACACGTTCAGAAACCCCAAAAATACTGTGAAAATTGCGACGAAGAAATGGCCATGTATTACTGCGATGAGTGCAAGCTGTTTGATAATGACGAGACGAAAGATATCTATCATTGCGACAAATGTGGGATTTGCCGACTGGGGCTGGGTCTCGGTATAGATTTTTTCCACTGCGACGGGTGCCAGGCGTGCTTGTCGATAGAGTTGCAAAACAACCATAAGTGTATTGAACGAGCCACGATGTCGAGCTGCCCTATATGCGGCGAATTTATGTTTACATCCACCAAGCCCGTGGTATACATGTCGCCTTGCGGCCATGCCATTCATCAGCACTGTTTTGACGAGTACACTAATCACTCGTACAGATGTCCGACCTGCCAGGTGTCAATCTTGAACATGGAGGCTCAATTTCGCGTTTTGGACAAAGAAATACAGGAACAGCCTCTTCCTTCACCATATTGCGACTGGATTTGTTACGTATCATGTAATGATTGCAAGGCGAAAAGTACCTGTAAATACCACATTCTGGGACTTCGCTGTGGGAACTGCATGAGTTACAATACGACTCAAATCAAACTGGTCAAACCTGAAGAAGAGGACCAGGAAGACATGGGCGGAGAATACCGGCCAGAGAACGATGTTGAAGATTTAGCTAACGATAGAGCAATGAGGAATCTGAATATAATGCGGCAAGAACTTTTGAGCGGTCATTTTCAGCGTGAGGAAGTGTCGCCCCTGATTACGGTCGATAACAACGGCATGCTCTCTAACATCGAGCAGTATATGAACGAGTGTTTCCACGACCAGCCCGAGGATGCACCGCACTTAAAACGCCGTGAATCAGGGGAGTACAGCTCGCAAAATGTTTTCAATGCGGCTGGGCTTTTCAAAAACAGTGGCATGCGCAAAGCTGTCGAGAAAGATTTAGAGGTTGAAACTGCCGAGGGACAAGATGCGTTAGCCAGTAGTGGCATGAAGCGGGCTCCATCTTTAACGGATCGTCTACGACAATTTCTCAACGATTCGCCGCCGCAACTGTCGATATCAGATGCATTCCAGAAATTCATTCAAACCAGCCATCAAGGTCTATCGTCGGGGGACGAGGATGATGATTCACCAGTCAGCGCTCCAGATACATGAATAGTGTAGAATCTAGGGCCTGCAGTCATGTTTTTACACTAGCTTTCATGGACCAGCTAAGACCCCATATAAACGGTTGTGTGCAGGTTGCTCAGCTTCAGTCGTGTCCCATCACAAAACGAGACCATTGTACAGAAGCTGAGCTTCTGAATTAGGAACGTCTACTCTCTGGAAATATGCTGTTTACTACGGCCTCTAGCGCGTGCCATTTGCACAAAGTTTGACGAGCACGCAACGGCTCCAGCATCTACAAACTTAAAGAACCATATGTAATAAAAAGTGGCTACCCAAGAAGAACTCCATAGAACGTTGAGATCAGAACGTTGCGATTATTACGTTGAGAGACGAAGTGTGGGACTGATTTTTTGACTGTTTTTTAGCATCTCTACTGCAGTTTAGCTCACTCTAAATTTTCGCGATTTAAAGAATTAACTTTCCCTTCTACATACCACTTTTATACCAGATCAGAAACCACAGAGAACACATTAAAAGCTCCAAACAGAAAGATACCAAGACTTTCTCGAGTTACAGACTAGTTTCAAAGCCTCTAAAGTATGTTAGTACAATTTACCGCGTTTTTTTGAAGCTTAGAGAGCAGTCCCCGCCTTCGGCGGCTAAGAATATCAGATATAGGGGGAACATGTGTCTTTTTTTTGTGAGGAAGACGTGAGTCAACCGCGTCAAAGTGGGCTCTTTCGAAGCGCACTGTGCGCCATAACCACATTGCACAGTTGCTGATCAATTCGGCTAGTGTCTGTCATGGAATGACATGAGAAGCCCTGGAGAGTCTATTGTTTTGTTTTGCCCCCCTGAGCTGAAGGAGGGTGCGGGTCCTATAGATCACATGTGACAAAAACCATGTGACACCGAAAGCCTCTCAAGGTTACATGTGCATTTTCCTTTGTCATCGTTGTATACGGAAAGGATAACGAGACGTGCTGGGTCTTTGGCTCCGGGCCAAGGGCCATTCATTGATGGTTGTCAGTAACGAGGAAAAAAACGGTTTGTGAGTCCAGTAGCGTGCTACTGGCTACCACGAGGTCCACGCCCCTAGTGTCCGTGGCGACATCTCGCCATTCAAATATGCGTAGCCAAAGCGGTTCGGTTCGCCCCGCGTGCCAGCTCCATATCCTGCTAAAAAAAACAATTTACGCGCGTGTGACGTCTCGGCGTCGCAGTTTCACCGTAGACCTTAGAGAGAGAAACGAGTTTCCTCTAGATAATGGGCGGGCGGGCAACCAAAAAAAACGAGCCTAAACTCACTCAGAGTTTTGCAGTAGGGCTACGTTTAGGGCGCTGGCAAGCAGAGCCAATGAAATGCAAGCCTAGGGCAGCGCAGGCAGGGGGGAGAAAAAATTACAGAAAAACAGAAACAAGGAAAAAAATTTTGCTCAACTCTTACACATCGACAACTAAGCTTCTGCCCCACGATACGTCCATTTCTGGTGGCTTCTACAACAAGAGTTCACAGCGTTGATCAAAGCACATTTGACTTAGCCTCCTGTCATTCAGAAAAGTGTGCAGAATCCTTTCCTGCCCCCGTCAGTTACAAGAAGATATCTCCATTGCTTCTTCGGCAAAAACGTCCCGGATTCAGGTGTGAAATAGTTTATACGCACGCTGCCGTGCCTCTTCATCCCGTTCTTACCCATCTCGTGCACCTTGGTAATCAATCTAGGACTAGATCAAATCCGCACAGAACGTACAGCCTTCCTCCGCTTGCAGTTGTCACAGACGGAGTCCCATACGTGTTCGTACGTCTAAAGTTCTGAACACGCACGCACGCCCAGAGCCCAGAGCCCAGAGCCTAGAGTTTACTGCTGCCTGCCTGCCCGACCATCACTCAACGCGCGCAGTTGCCACCGCACCAACAGCTTCGAGTCACACTCACGCAAGCCTGCGCTGCTGGGAGTTGAAACGTTATTTGCGCCATTTAGCTAGATACAATGAACATCCCTAATATCAGCACCGGGATTTCACCCCCTTCCTCGAAAAGCCTCTCGAACCCCGGGCCCATACCGAATACTAACCACAACTTACAGGACCAGTTGTTGCCCTACCCCGAGCTGGATTCTACCTCAGGTCACCAAATTCATTCTTTGCAGTCCCATCTCTCAACACCGCAACCGGACGATAGATTGAAACTCCAAAGCCTAGGAAATCAACTTTCGCATCTCCCACTGCAGCATTCTGTAAATCAGCAACAACAACAACAACAACAAGACGTCTCAATACCCTCTGACTTGTACGCTCAAGTATTGCAACCGCAGTTACACAGTGCTCAACATTACTCACAGCCACATCTGCAACAGCATCATCAGTATCAGCAGTCGCATCAACAACAGCTACAACAACAACAACAGCAACAGCAGCTACAACAATATCAGCAGCTACACCAACAACAACAACAACATCAACAGCAACAGCAACATCAACAGCAACAGCAGCAACAGCAGCGACAGCAGGACTTTCATTCTCAGTCTCAACAACACCAGCCTCATCAACAGTTACAAAATCAGAGTAAGTCCCAACAGCTGCCTCAACAACAAGAACAGCAACAACCACCACCGCAACAACAGCAGCAACATCAACAATATTCGGACGTGATGTTCAATTCCTTCTTAACGCAGATAGGTCAAAGATCTATGAACAATGTTCTTAACACGTTCCAACCCGCTGCTCACAGCGTGTCCGCCGCTGTGGGTAATGCGATCACCCAACCTGCTCAGAGGTACTTCCACGCCGCCATGAATACCCCTTCTATGTTAGATTTGACCCATCCAGCCATGGTCCAACCTACACCTCATTTTCAACTGCAGGTTCCTCCACCAGTTGCTAAGAAGATGTCTGCTAGTCAAAGCAGAATTGAAAAGAGAAAACAACTCAAGAAACAAGGACCCAAGAGACCTTCCTCGGCATACTTTTTGTTTTCAATGGCCGCCAGAGAAGACCTTGTCAGACAGTACCCAGATGCCAAAGTTCCTGAGTTGTCTAAGTTAGCTTCTGCCAAGTGGAAGGAAATGACCGATGAAGAGAAAAGACCATACCACGACAAGTTCAAGATAAATTGGGAAAAGTATAGAGTTGCTAGAAAGGAATACGAGTCAAACTTGCCTCCAAAACGGCCATCAGGACCTTTCATTCAGTTTACTCAAGAGGTGCGTCCTAAGATCATCAGCGAGAATCCGGAAAAGGATCTAATTGAAATCACCAAATTGATCGGTGAAAAGTGGCGGTCATTGTCTCAAACTGACAAGCAAGCATATACCGATACTTACAAGCGTAAACTCAAGGAATGGGAAGAGCAATACCCGGAGGAGTCGAATCTTGTTGACGCTCCCAAGATCGAGTCTTGAGTAAAGATGTCTATGTTTGACGCACCACAAGGAAGAGTCGCCAATGTCATATCATGTGTCAAACGAAGAAGGTTTTGATACTAATATAGGACTTGCTGCATCGTCACCATGAATTAGTAAATAACACGCCTATTTGCAATGCTTATAATCAAATGTAATACTATTTGCCTTAAACGACGTCGTTTGTTGCGTGAGAGGGTTGAGTGAGGTTTACGCCTTGCTTGTCCATCTCATGAGGTAGTGCCCGAGAGGTTAGAGTAACATTGTGGGACGATATGGTGATAGCTACTTCTGAAGTTTCTCGTTGAACATGTAAATGACTTCACACAGCTGTCGGTTCTCTGTTTAAGATACAGTCAGCTAAATGATGGAGCAGTAGGCTACAATCTCTCGTATGGGTAATCTCCCGGCGTCTCTTTTAAGATATGCAGATTCCGACGTAGCAATGTTCCAGAAGCTTTTCGTAGTTTACCCATCTATGGTATTTATCAAACAGGACCGTCGCATTCTTTCCGGCTGCAGACCTTAACAGAATGTCCACTCCACCAGGATGGAAGTCCAGATATGCAGTGATACAGTACACCTTGTTTCCCAAGACGCACCAACAGTCGTCTGCAGTCTTATGCTGTTTCAAATGGGCCAGATTAATGTTCAAAGGTGGGTAAATCTTGAAAGCAGGAAGCCCCTGCTTTAGAGCCATCAATACCTGTGGATTGTTGATCTTGCAAATTTCGGGATCGGAAATCAGCTTGTCGATTCCTGTCACCAGCGCACCAGTCCTTCCCTTCGAGATAGACAAAGACGACCAGTCCATGGCACTGTGGCCCGGTTTCAAGGCAACTTTGTTTCTGTAGCCACCACTTTGCAGGGTACTGCATCCAGACTGTGCCGGAACACTTATTATATTTGAACTTGGAGGCTTCATCAACCTTGCAAGTGAAGCATCACTTGGAACTTCTGACACACTTTTCAATGATCGCGGGTTGTTTGGAGGTTTTGAAATCTGTTGACTCGACGACATCGCACTCCTCTACTTGTCTGTCGTTAAGCTCGATGCTGAACGTCGAGGTTCGATTTCTAATCTCAGAGTTCTAAACTTCTGGTCTAAAATGTTTAGCTCATCGCATAAATAATAATAATATACATTTCGTTGATCCAAGGCTCGTAAATTTAATCAAAAACTATAAAATAAACTCAAAACTGTCAGCTGAAAGTCACGAACCGTATTACTTCCACATATATAAGTCGTAAATCGTAGACTTTGCATAATTTTCAACCAAATTGGACGCTTTTCTTTGTACCGACCTTTGCCTCGAATTCCAAACTTCTGGTATGACTTCAATACTTCAAAAACCTCGCAAGCAGAGGCAAAAAGTGCAGCAAAGTAGAGTTTCAGAAAGCTTGGATTGGTCAAGATTTGGAGAGGCAAAATCTTCTGTTTGCTTGTAACTGTAGCCTGAATATATTTAATAACGCATGTTTACATTGACAAATATGTTTTGAGATAGCACTGTTGTTTCTCTGATGGTTTTGTCGTTAATGCACCGAGAAGGGCTTTTATTTGAAGGCAATGCAGCACATTTTGGCGTTCTGTCATGAGCATCAGATTTACTTGCCCTATTTTGGCAAAGGTTTAACGCTGAGTTTCTTGTAAAGAAGGCCCTAGCGCGACCAAAAAGCTCTAGAAAAGAGAGGGCCACTCCTAGCAGCCGCCAATTAATCACAGATCATATCGATGCCAGGGTAGTGCAGACAACAATTTTGGTATTTTGGTCTTTTGGTTTTTTTACGACTTTTTCAGAATTTAGTGTCGTCGTGGAAGTAGCCTGTGAACCACTAACGGGTTATAGTTGCGACACTTTGTCAATTACGATCATTTCACAGCGAAGAGAGCTGCGTACTTTGGTAATTCATACAATCTGGAAGGGCACAATAAATTTGGTCTTAATGAGTGATATTCATAGGCAATTTCTGTTGACGTCCTTGCTTTAAGCAAAGCTCGAAGACTCGTCTCGTCGAATTGGGCAATGTCAGTGGCTTGCAAAATTAACCATGTGTACCATTCTGAGCTTAAATAGCTTAGCTATACAAATTTCCAATTGTCCCTCACAGCTCCCTCGCATCAAGTCTGATAATGTCTTTATTAGTGATGACAGTCTGGAAGACCTGAATTGCCAGAACCGGAAGTTTGAAGTCTGTAATAGCTGCGAGAAAGCTGTTGAATATGATACAATAAGAACCAGATCTACGAGGAGAGGCGAGTAAGTTCAATCTGCATCTTTTTGTTAGTAATACTCGTGAGCCAGTCGCTAAAACGTAGTGTGTGCATTGAAACACTGTGAAAAGAGTGTGCAATGAAATTTAGCTGAGAATGATGAATCTGGCTCAATAGCTATTATGAAAACAATTCACAAATTCATGAAATGCTGCGGTCGTGCCGTCTTGAATACTACAAATAATGTGCCTGAAAAAGTTAGAAGTTAACTGGCGCGGGACATGTCTTACTTGCGACAGTAAAAGCAAAAGTCGTCATCGTTCAGATTTGGACACGCTCAAACAAGACTGAATATCGGTAAAAAAACACGACGCTACATAGTACTTGAATCATGGATACTCAAATTTTGATTTCGAATCAAATCATTACGATACATGGGTTTAGAAGGACATTAACCAGATTTATGCTCGGGTCTTTCCTGCATATTCTTTGACTGTTTGCCCCATTGGCGCCGAAATTGTAGCGGAGACCCGTTGAGAAGCAGTAATGGGCATTGAATGGCTCTAGCACACGGTATAAAAAATAAGACACTGCTTTTCAATTTTATATACAATCGAGCTATGTGCAAGCTCAGATGGTCTGTCATCAAGAATATAGTTTTGAATAATGTAACTCTATACTGCCATAAAATAAGTTTTCCTGGATGCTTAGATGTTGCTCTTGCAACAAGAAGCTGAAGAGGAAGTACCTGGGACAAAGCCTGCTGACTTCTGAGCATCCTCGTAGTAGACTGATTTGTTGAAATTGTTGTTTGCTAGTGGTACGTCCAAAGCAGGGTTTCTGGTGAAGAACGAACTTGGGGTGACCAAGAATTGCAAAAAGTCAGACGTCATCACAGGGAACTGTTCAGTTGCTGGAGGATGAGTCAAAGCCAAAGTTGCCCATACAACGGTGTCACTATTTCTCACACTTTCAGTACCGTTTGCCCATTCAGAGAGACCTGTGTCTTTTTGAGATTGATTTGTGAACTCACCAGCGGCATAAAGCTGGTCATCGTGATACTTGCTGACCCAAAATTGTTGAGTGGCATAATGTGCTCTTTTAACATTGTATGAATTCTTTGATGCTGCAATCATCTGCTTTGCAGGCATCTCAAATTTGTAACCTACAGGCTTCAATGTGACTGGATTGATAGAGTTCTCATTAATAACCTTGTAAGTACGATTGGTGAAGGGCGACTGCTCAACATAGCCCGATTTTTCCATAAAAGTTCTCTCTTGACGAAAGCCAACATTATAAGGATTAATAGCGGTATTCTCCTCCATAGGGACATAATCGTCATAAACAACAGTGTTGTTATCTCCATCGATTCTCGTATCGAATCTGAAAGATAGCAAATGTTGATGGAATGGAGCCGTTACACCGGGGCCAACAATAGTCGAGAAATCGGTAGTATTGCCGTCATCATTAGGCATCGTGGAAAGAATACCAGTTGCTCTGACCTGAACGGTGATTGCACCGGCTTGATCGAAGATGAGGTTCACAACGTACTCGTAATTGGCAACCGTTGCAATGGTTTGAACAACAAATTCTCTTCTTCTCGTAGCAACGGTATTGCCGTTTCTGTAGTTTTTGTGCAGGTATAGAAGACCGTAATCCTGTTCATGCATACAGATGGTGGAGGGGATCAGTACTGGATTGCCATCTTGGTCTGCTCTTCTAGTGTCGAGGTACTTAATAACACCAAGACAGTGACAACCCAAGGCCAAAGAATTGGCGGTATTACCGAATCCACAGTCACCCAAGTCAAAAGCTTGCTTTCTGTGGAATGGTGCACGACCATCCGCGTAAGGAACCGTCATTTCGTTTAATGCCACTCTGTAAAAGAGAGATCTACCCTTGAAAAAGACATCGTAAAGGGCAAAACCTTCCCTGACGTTTGTAGAGATGCGGAATTCCCAGCCTTGCCACTTGATTTTGGAACCTTCAATATCGAAAGAAGCACCTTCGGGCTGGGAAACAATGAGAGGCTTCAAACCCCCCCTTTCGGTAAAGTTTTCGATGAGATCTGGATGATACTCAACGGTTTCCAATTGCTTGTAGGGCAGAGTCTCCTGAATGAATTTCTCGTCGGCGCCAGCGGGCAAATAGTCCATTCTGACAAACTTGTGTGTGAGATACTCAAACACTGGCGAGAAACGTAGAGGAATGGAGTAATGGTTTCCCTCTGGATGGTCAAGCTTCATGTACATGTAAGCCTGAATGAGAGGAATTTTGTCGTGTGGCGAGTCGGTCCCGTACATCCAGGGCTCGCAAACGACGGTGTAGCCGAGATTTCCAAGACGCGAGTGTTTGTAGTGAATACGGTCGATGTTCAATTTGGCGATTTCTGCCACCACTACTGGATGCTCCATGATCGTGTCTTCGATGGCACTGACGTCATCTGGCAACAATGGACCAACGGTGCCCTCGGGAGTTTCCTGGTTAGCAATAACACGATTTTCTGACACATTGCACAGCGCTTTGTACAGTGGCATCTCATCGTTGAGATAGTAATACGCATATGTTCTTCTGGGGATAAAGGGAAGCTGAGTTCCGGGAGCACTGTTTCTCTCAACATTCAAATAGTGGATAGCCTGTTTCTTTGGAGGATCCAAACGGTCGATCTGGACAAAGTGCACTTTAGCATCACCATTGAGGTCTTTCAACAGCTTGGCAGTTGTTCTAATTTCGGCGTCTTGAATAGGATCAAAAATGTGTAAAGCCATGACGAAGCGGTAGTTAGGAGATGGAATGATCAGAATAACCAAATGAATGTCTCCAAGAGTGAAGTTGACGAACGATGGAGTTTGATCTGGTTTTTGACCGTAGTTATATGTGTTTGGCTCGAGATGTGCTAAGATCCAGTTATTTGATATTCGCTTGATAACATAGGCGGGAAGCTCTTATCGTACATCCGCTCTCTTTGGTATCACCGATAAGGCCGTTTTAGGAAGTTCGAGACGAAAAGCCTGAATAGGAAATACCTTATCTCAAACGATTACATAATACACGTATACAATGATTATAGCAGTGAGTCACATGACAAAGTTATTATGTATCACTCAGGACGGAATGCTCTCATTTACTCAATCAAAAAAGTCGTCTTCGTCGTCGTCGTCGTGGTGAATGATCCCTGATTTAGAAGCTGAGTTCAGTCCCGTCGATGAGACTTGATCTCTACGATCAAAGATGATCTTGGTAGAGTTCTTGCGATTCTCATCTCGGGCCACACCGTTGAGAATCTCCACAATCTCTTGCTCGGAGATTTTGCGGGTTATCTGGCCCCGGGTAGCAAGTTGTTGTAGATACGCTTCGACGGCACGTACACGGTCGGGACGGACCAGAGAGACACGCGACAGGCGTTCGAGAGCCTGGGGCTGGAGCAGAGACGCTACTGCATCACCGGCAGGTCTGTGTTGGCTTTGCGTTAGTAAAAGTAGGTTCAGCTGCGCGCGAGAGGCATAAGCGCGCCTCCGTAGCATATGATGCATACTTTTGGTCTGGAGCAGATTCGTTAAGAGAGCCTGAATGACGCTTCAGCTCTTGTAGCCGAGCTTCGCGAATGGCCTGAAGTTCTGGGTCCATTGGAGGGTAAATGGAAGGGAGAAGCGAAGGGAAAGGGAACGATTTTTAGTTGGCTCTCTCGATTAGAACTACGCTGCTAGCGATCAATGAAGAGTGAATTATTTTCAAAAATCAAAGACACTATATGGTTAGACATCATCAAGTTGGATAAAGGACTTTTACGCTGCAAAGTTAATAGGCCAGACTTGCTGAATTGCGAGTGAAATTGTAGACTCTTGGCACTTGATCTAAACGCTCTGTCACAGCTGCACTCACGCTAGATGCATGTTAGATAGTTTTAGGCGACGTCACGTGACCTTTAATTTACAATTTGAGAGACGATGTAAACTTCGCGACGTTGACGAGCTTCATATTGTCAATCTTCGTGATCCACTCGCTTGGGCACTCGTCCTAAGGTATTCTTCATTTTGTTTCGGTACGACGTCTGCGTGATATGCATATTTGTAAATAGAAGATTAGGCGACACATTAGTACAAAGTGATCGATTATTCGCTTGAAGTCAATGACACGGTCTTCATTTGAGCAGAAATCAGTGCCGAAAGCATATTAGGGCATCGTAGGGAGCTTCGAAGATATAAAAAAAAGCCGAGTTTGAAGTCACTACCTGTTTTTATACTTACTCTGCTTTGCGAGAAAATTCTCCGCATTTGCATATTGGTGTGCTCCACCGAGCATTTGGTTGTGAGGTCATGAGTGTGATTTCGATTGGTAGCTAAATATGAACACTTGACGAAAACACCATACATGCACACCAAAGAGCTTACGCGACAGCGTAGTAATTTCACTTTTTTCGACGAAATTTCCCTCCGATAGAAATCTCGCCCTCTGCACATAATGTTCGAAAGGGCCAGTTTCCGGTACCGGAAGAAGCTGTTGCAAGATCGTCCGTCAACATTCGGAAATATGCTAGGTGGTCCCTTTTGCGAAATTAGCGGAATAAAGGCAAATGGATACGCCAAAACAAGCAAACAAGCGAGACAAGAGGTATCAACAATCCAAATTAACCCAAATGACAGTGCAAATTGTCGAGCCCCAACTCTCGCCTCAAGCACTGCTATAGGCTCAGTCGAGAACTTGACAAGTATATTATCACTATATACGAAAACATAAATTATAGTAGCTGTTAATTAAGTTCTTCTGCCAACTTTCAGCGCGAACAACTGTTGACAAGCTGTCGCACTCAGGGAGTTCTCAGCAGCTTGAATTTGATAGCTGCGAAGAACTGCGGATCGGATTTTGGAGACTGGCCCAGTTGTTTGGCGTTTGGGCCTTTGGATTGAGATTTGTCATTTTTTTAACTGCATAAAGCTGTATTTGAAGACAAACATAACTTGCTTTAAAAACGTATACTTTAGACCCGATATTTTATTGGATCTCCTCGATTAACTGCTACTGATTTTGGACCTATTCAACGTTCTCTTACCCACGAGAAAATTCAAAAAAGTGTATGAACAGTCCAACAGATCAATCACCACCACCGGCATCAAGAGCTAGCAAATCTTCATCTCCAAATGTGGGCTCTTCTGGTGATGGCAGCTTTAAAAGAGCAAGACGAACTATGACTTCGAACGTTGACTATAACTTGAAAAAAAGGCGCATAATTCCTGCAGATGACTCTACCTCCAGACGTTACCAGAAGAACAATGCCGAAAAGGCGAAATGCAACCTTTCATTAAGCCCGTCTCAAGAGCCAGACGAACCAAAAAGCGTTATAGTACACGAACCTGATGGGAAAATAAGTTTCAATGAGCCAAAATCTTTCGATCCCATAAATGGGATGACCGGTTTACCACTGGGAATGGGTCCTCCTGAAAAAGTGAAAAAAGAGTGCTACTGGGTCTATAAAAAAAATGGTGGGGTTGGGACTAATGGGACGGCAAGCTCCGCTAGTAGTGCAGGAAGTAGCCAAACGACACTGTCCCAGGAAATCAGCGCGTACGAGAATCGACTGGAAACTCGCAAATCTGAAGAGATAACGCAACCTAGCTTCTTGCGTACTAGCACCAAACCAAAAGACATTTATCGAACAAAGAGACAATACCGCAAAAGAAGCGATAACACGCAGCATAGAAGTAAACACCTTCCGATACACACCAAAATAAAAGCTTCGACCAACAAGGAAGGCAAGCTATTCGGTCAAAATTCAATCACGAATCAAAAAGCTATTGCGCCCTCAGTGTTTTCATCTACTAGTGCCGCGGTGGAAAATGACGATTTATGCTCTAGTTGTCACCAACCAGGTGTTTTTCTCTGTTGCGACACTTGTCCGAAGTCTTTTCATTTCGCCTGCTGCAATCCTCCGTTAGACCCCGATAACTTGCCCGAGGGAGATTGGTCTTGTCCCGAATGCCAGTTCAAAATGAGGTGTCCTAATAAGTCTGCTGCCCATAAACTGGAGAAAGAATATTTAGATGCTTCAGGAGCAACACTGGGACTGTCACTTTTCGGAAAATTGCTCTTCAAGCTGGAGTTTACCAATCCCAGACAGTTTCTACCTGCAGCATCCATCAGAGACGCTTTTGCTGAGGTGAAAACAGGCACTCATGGTGAGTACTCAGATGGCTCAATGCGAGAACCGCTCAACGAGAAGCAGGCAATGAACTCTGGCTACGGACAAAGTTTAACAAAAATGGATCAGTATAATCCCGAGCAGCATGTCGATCCTGACTCAGGCGAACTACTGATATGCTACAAGTGCCGTAAGACCAAGATGGGAACAATTGACCATCCGGAAGAAGAACGACTGATTACCAAATGCGACGTTTGTGGTACTCCTTGGCATTTAGACTGCATACCTGACATACCTCGGGCATCATTCAAAACCTTGGGTAGCAAATGGATATGTCCTTTGCACGCAGACAGCCTAATTCCTAAAAAAAGAAGACGACTCGCACGCCACCAAAAATTCTACACTCCCGCGTCGACCTTCAACGTGCCTAACAATGGCGACATTGAAATTTTACTAGATGAAATTTCTTCTCCGCTGTCCAAAGAAACCGTGAATGAGACCAAAACCAACAAAGATCTGGCAGTTTTGAGGGTTCCTGAGAACTCAATCAAGCTCAACTTTATTGACAAAGTATACAAAGCCAAAGCAGCCATGATGGATAAACAGTTCCAGGAACAAGAAAAGCTCATCGACAAAGCTTTGGCCTCGATGTCAAAGACAGGCCTTGCCAAGTCAAAGCTCGGTTCATTTTTGTACTTCACCTTACAGAACAATAGACCTTTACAAAAAATGTGGGATTTCAAGGAGCTTTGCGATGTGGCTACTAAGAGGAAGCAGGTGTCAGAACTTCAAGACGCTGAAGTCAGTGAGCTACTGGCACTGCGAGGAATCTTGGAATCGAAATCAAAGAAGGAAGTAATGGCGTTTTTTGGTATGAAAGAGTAGTGCTAGGCAAATCGGATCATCTCCGAACTTAGAATGCATACAAAAGTGGATAGATATAAAAATTTTCCTGATGGCAATTATAGAAACTACTCGTTATCGCTCTCAGAGTCAGCATAACTTATGGCTTTCCTCTGACGAGTGCTCTTCCTTACCTCGTTCGATGATCCACTAGTAATTTTTGAAGGAACGTAATTGTCATCGTCACTTGGTCTCTCTCTTAAGCCATCTACTCTTTCTCTAGAGGCCACCTGAGTCCGCTTTCTAGCCTGGTCGAGCTCCTCATTCATCGGCCTCTTGACACTTTGTTGTTTGTATCCTGTTGTCCGCCTGTAGAGGCGCCCAATCTTCACACCAATCGTCTTCTTGAGGCTTTCAAGTTCCTCCGACTTCAAGTAGCTCCCGAACGTATTTTTTCTGGCATCCTCTATCGTTTCGAAGGGCTCAAATAAATCCGACGGCAGGTTGAGCTTGCCGGGGTATGGGGAAAGCGTCCACTCATTATAGTCTTTGAGTTGACCTAGAATAAGTTGGGCTAGTTCAGAAATAATATAGATACCACAGTCTTTAGTTGGGACGTCCTCAGGGGCTTCTTGATCAGTGTCCGCGACCTCCTCAGTAATAGTGTCTCTATACTGTCTCACTCTTCCCGCCAAATAGTACAGAAGTGCCAAGTTATTCGAGTTAGCCACTGAATGGAAATAATAAACCATATAACCAATCGCGGTCGTCAAGCTGTTATAAAGACCTTCATCTTTGGTTTTTAGCCCTTCTGCTACATCTGGATGATGAGCTACCAGGTGAACTAGCCTTGGCAATGCTCTCTCGAAAAAAGTCCCTTTCTTGAAGCTCTCCTTTTTAAGAGTGGAAGTGATCCACATCCGTGTGCTTGTTCTCAAAGCTGTATCAGGTTCGTAAGCTGTAAAAAAAATCAGTGGAAGATATTTGATAGAAATAGCCTCGTCTCCCACATAATCCTTCAGTTTCCCAATAAAGAGACTTCTCACCTCAAGCGATTCATCTTCAACCAAATTTACGAGTTTGCTGATATCATCAGGTTTGATGTAAGTGCTCAAATAAGAAATTTTGGCTAGCTTGAGGATTTGTAGCCCTGCGCTGCACCTGAGCTGACTCTGGAAATTGCTCGGTGTTGGATAGCTTTCGCTTTGATCCGATATTAGTTCACCACCGCTAGCGATCAGGTAAAAAAACAGTTTCAGAATTCTTACCGTGAAGGCTTGTGCCATCTCATCACCTCGAAGGTCATGCGCGAGAACGCGTAGTTTGTTTGTGAATAGTTTAAGCGAAAACACTTTAGCAGCGAGCGGCCTATTTGATTCGACAGAGCATAAATCATTGTACGATATCCAACCCGGTTGTCCTTCGACGTCTCCGACCACTTCGTTGGTTAGTAGTACTTCTTTGATGAGGAGGCTAACAATCTCCGTTGAATCTTCGCCAAGCAACTGCGGCTGCATTTTTAGAATTTGTGATAACACCATCAAATGTGCGGCAAAATAGTCAGATTTAGAATTGAGCGGTAAAATGGTTTCTTTGATTCTCAAAAGTTGCGATCGCGGATCATCTAATAGACCTAGCAGCTTTGTGGCATATTTTGCGGCTAGAATAGCATCACCTTTCGCCAGCTCTTCTAGTTTATCCAAGAAGAAGGGGTTTGCATTTGTGATGTATTCACGATTCAATTTGCTGATCTTGTACAGTGTTTTCATGGCCTCGCTCAAGGTAAGCGTCCAAGTCAGAGTTGAGGAGCTTCCATCCAGTGCCATTATGTTCTCCATCAAATGCTTGGCTTGATCCTTGAATATTCCTGGATTTACCACAGATATGTTGTCTATCAGCTGTCTCTTCAAAACGTTTTCTGCTTCAGTACATGAGCCAGATCCACTCAAAAGTATTGACAGGTTAGAAATGTTGTAAATTATAGGGCTCGACCTGTAAATCAGCACCTTGATCACGCTTATGAAGCTCTCTTTAGTGAATCGAGAGTCAATTTTGACGTTCTTCTTACGGAATAGCTCAGGGTCTTCTATTCTTTTAAAAAGCTCGCTGATTGCGTTCCTTACTGTGCTGTGGTTTGACATCTCATCAACAGCCACTTTAATGAGGTGATACAACCTCCGGTCATTAAGCTCATTCAATGCCACCAAGACTTCCTTAAATTCCAACTTTTGAGAAAAGCCTGAACTTAGCCATTCTATTGTTTTTTCGAGCTGTGTTTGGGAAGACTTTACCACAGAGATTTCGGCCGAATGACAATTTTCGCAAAATGTAATGAGCTTGGAAACAACCATAGACATCTGCTCTTGACGCTTGTTGAACGCGTAAAATGATGAAAATGCCTTCTTGTCAAAGTTTCGCATCATGCCCACGACTCTGTTCACTAGGGTTTGTGCGTCGAGAGGCAGAGGTAAAAACTTCTCAAACAAGACCTGATCAATTTTCATGTTGATATCGAGATCGTTAATGTAGTAGAGATTGAAGAAGACCGATGGAATTGTTTCAACAACCTGCCATATTTCTCTATTATCTTCACTTCTAGAAATTTGCTCCACGGAGTTAACGTAAATTTTAGACACCGCTTCGATGCATATTTCTCTTATATCTGATCGCGCTTCTCTAGTCAAATGTAAGAGGCCTGTAAAAACAGATGGATTGGATACGCATTCCCATAATTGTTTGACCGGAACTTTCTCAAAAACTTGAACAGCACACAAACGTACAGAGTGGTCTGCATCTATGAGAGCCTTAGCCAGTCCTTTTGAAATATCGTTAGCAAGATCCGTGCGATTCACGAGAATTTGAGGCAGTTGGAATACCCAAGCATGCCTTACCTGAGGACTGATGTCTGCCATTTTACTAAGCCAGACTTTGTAGGTGTCCCTATGGGCAACGTCGAAATTGACAAGAGAGGAACTTTTCAGCATCTCGCTGACACAGTCTGTAGCCGCTTCACGAAAAAGCGCATTTTCAGAGCAAAGTAGCTGGTAAATGAAGCCCGTGATAGATCCTACAAGATCAGGTGCATATTTCCATAGCTCGGATGTAAGCCTGCCAAGTTTGACCAGCGTTTTGTATTCTGAGGACAGCCTGCTCTTTTCATGATCGTGCTCGTCATTTAAAACTTCGTATATTATCTCTGAGTAGAATTTGATGAAGTGCCGCCCTAAGCGATTTGAGTAGTTTTGGCAGATCGCTAGACTGAATTCAAACCCAGGATCTTTTTTCAGGCTGAGGCCGTTCAGGGCTTCGTCGCGTTTGTGGGATAAAAACTTGTTGAAGACCAGCTTCAGAGCAGTCATGGGCATCGTGTCACACTCCAATATTACCTCCCCCAAAAGACCGCCTATGATATTGAAGATTTTTTCTTGAATCGCGTTGTTTTTCGGAGAGTAGAAGATATCAAAAAGATCTGAAACAAGCTGAGACGAGTTGGGCAGATCTGTCAATAAGACGATCGATCTATATTCCAGCAAGTTCGTGACAAGGTACGTTTGCAGCGTCAGGTATCCATTTTCAGGATCCTGCAATAGCCGAAACTGTTCCAAAAACAACTGGAAGATCTCCGTGAGTTCTTTGTCTGTGTAGGGTGCATCGGGCGCGTAAACTCTAAGTATATCACTCAGACAGCACGCTGTATATGCTCTAACACCATGGTCTTTGTGTTTAAGAATCTTCTTGTTGATGAGGTCTGCTCTGTATTTATTGAGACTGCTCACGTCCACTTCTTCCTGTTTCAAATCCGACAGCTCCTCCTGAAGTTGTGCTAGTCTATCGAGAAGTTCTTGGACCGAAATGCTGTCCTTGATAGTCGAGATAATCGAAAGATTGAACTCTAGTCTTGAATTTGACCTCACCATTGGGTTTGCTGCCTTCTTTGATGTCTTATGTATGCTGTTTAGTTTGAGATTATGTTGAAGTTTAGCTTTATCTCTGGATTGTTATTTGACGCGTCTTTTAAAAATTGATGTTTTCGCGTCTCTAAGAATATAATCACTTTACACGCGATGTTAAACCATTGACGCTCAAGTAAAGCTTAGACCACCTCGATTCAAATGCTAACACTCGTCCAGACCTCGAACTTATCAACTTGGTGTTATAGTTGTAATGGTTAATGAGAGTCATTTTTTAGAAATGTCATTTTTTTTATTAATAATGCGCGTTCAATGAGTAGTAGATGTTGAATAGCTTTAGCTCTTCAATTTGACATTCTAGGAGCTCAAAATCCTGTACTAAGACTGTCATTCCTGCTTTGATTAGTCGGCAGCTCAGCTGTCCGCTTTTTTGTAGTTTTTAATGTCGTTGCTGCCGGGGTGTTCACCATGTCGTAGTGAGCTTCTGCTCGAAACTGCTCTTCTTGGCTCGGAAACTTCTGGGAGATATGCAGAAGAAGGTCTGCGAGGAATAGATATCCCGCTCCAGCTCGAAGTGTTTCTTGACCGGTAGACAAAAGGTGACTGATCTCCTGCGTCTCTATGGCTTGTTAACGGATTGTGACCGTCCAGTGAAGCATGGTTGTCGATGGGGTCATTTGACGGGCGGCGAACTATGGGATACATCTCTTGTATGGTCGTGGGCAAAGGCCTGGAATCGTCCTTGTCTTCGCGGGAGATTCGCGATCCTATCTTTGTTAACGCCCGTTCCAATCTCGCTCCCATTTTGGTTTCCAGAATGTTTTCAGAAAACGCCGGGCTCTGTTCACGCCTCAATTGACCCAGCGAGCGGCTCGTAAAAGTGTGCTCCAGACCAGGAGGTCTAGAACGATCTATGCTTGCATTACGCTCTGAAAGCGCGGTCCTGACTTTATGCAGAAAAGAAGACCCTTGATCGAAAGATCGGGATCTGTGGGGAGGCAAGCTGCCTGAGTCATGTTCATTCAGCCTTTCCCTTCTCGTGTCTGGTGTCTGCGGGAAGGCCATTCCCTTGATAGGAAACACACCAACAGGTGTCCTCTGCGCAAACGAGTGACCCGATCGAACGCTTGATGTAGACTTATTTGTGCTCACTCTTCTCAATGCCGAGCCCACTCTTGAGATTCTTGGAGTTGATGCAGTCGGCCTGTATTCGACCGGTTCATTGTTGCCCGTTTTCTTTTCTTCCACCGACGAAGCCTTGCTGAGAAACTCGAAACCATTCTTTTCTTCGGAAACACTTTCTCCATCAGCGTCGTCACCGCCTTCTTCGGCATCTTCTTCCACTTGTTCGGCGACTTTTGTGGGTATTCTTACCACTCTCGAGTCGACGTTGAGTTCAGGTTGCTCGTCCCTGGCCTCCAATTCTGGCAATGCCAGTCGCTTACGGTCATTCTCAACAGCGACCAGATGCATATAAAACGGTACAATAGCTGCAAAGGCCCCCCCTCCCACTATATTACCCAGTGTTGCAGCGACCATATGCTTCCAAATGAAGCGAGACACCGGTAAATCGGCGCCATTGAACATTCCAATGGTAAGCAAAAACATATCTGCGACCACATGCGTGAAACCTACTGCAACAAAGCTGAAAATCGGAAGCACCAACATGAGGAATTTAACATGCAGCGGTTTGGCCATCATTTGCAGATAAATAGCGAGGCAAACGTAGAAGTTTCCGGCAATGGCCTTGATGAAAGTTCTGATGAAATTGAACGAGTCCTTCTCCGCCACTAAGTGATGTGTGTATTTTATAAATGCCGCCGACTTCGTAACGGTTGAAAGAGAGCATATAACGTAAACCACGAAAAGAGTGCCACCAAGGTTACCGATCCAGCTGACAACCCAACTTATGAGCAAATCATAAAACGACACGACGCCTTGGAGGAGTCCCACGACAAAAAACAAAATGTTGGAGTTGAACAGATCCGCACCGTTTATCACCACGTAAAACAGACCAATTGGAAACATGAAACCACCCGAGAAGTCCAGTATTCCAGGATTCTGCTCAAAGATACCTGGATTTAGAGAGTGACAAGCAGTAAATAATAAACCACCTGTGCTGAAGAAAACACCGCCCATGATCGAATTGCAGATCAAAGTTTCCAATGGCAGTCTAGCTTTTTTCATAGAAGTGGCTACCACTGCCAGAGCTGCTTCGTTGGGCGTAATGTAGTACGCATCTTGCGACATTCCTCAGGAACAGTGGGCCTCGTTGACACAGCTCAGGCTAGTAGAGCGAATCAATTTAACGTCTTTGAAATCTCCAAAACCCTCCGAAGCCCTCCTTAATTGTCCCGCAATATACAAAAATTGTCGATCGTACCGAGAAGTCTCCACTGCGACTGGTATAAGCTTTAACTAGCCGTCTTAGGTTTCGCTAACCATAATCGAAAAACTTCGCAGTAGCGACGCTTGAATCGAAATCAATCACCATCACGTGATAGAGTCGATCGACTCAAGAAACGTCAGTATCGCATTAACATCGAGGGCTGTTCACTACCATCGTGAATTGATCATCATAGGAATGAATTGATACCATTTGCTTATATTTGCAGAGATGAAACCATATCTCCAAGAATGAGGGATCGAGAGGCTATCGTGTCAGCCGGTAAAGCTAACAAACAAAAGCGGACCATTTCTTGAAGTTGTGCATCAGTTACCAATAGCTCTGTTTTGCTGATTCCTTCCAGTATCATCCAACCAAGAGCCTTCAAAGCTTCTGTCGTAATTGAGGGAAAGTTTTGCGCTTTGACGAGCGTTTTGCCTTTGCCAGAAACTTGCAAATTCGCCCGTCTGCGTCCGACGTTTTGCAGAAGAGCTGAGTCTCTCGTAATTAGACCCCACATATCGATAAACCTTTTGGTAACAAAATCGCCCGAGCAGTTGATTATTGATCTCAGGCATTCAAGCGCCGGTTTCACCAATGAATAGTCGGCGCCTAAGGATATTTGCACCACCATATCCCACGATTTGGCAACCTGCGGCAGAAGCATGTCATACTCCGTCGCAAGCATAGGAAATATTTTACGGGCCAATTGCAAAATCTGTACTTTGAGCGGACGAGAAGAGTGAGTAAGTAGTCTGTCTCCATAAGCTGTAATTTGCAATAGTAATCTGTAAGAATCGCGCGGAATGGGCGAAGTCCATTTTTTCGACGCATCTTCAGGGTTGCCGTCACTGTGAGCACCATGCAAGTCCTTTTCAATGTCATTGTCTTCTTCCTCGTCATCACTATCCACTTCTCGCAGTTTGGAGTTGAAAAACTCTTGAAAATTGCCGGGTTCCGGATCATCAGCTTCCCTTGCGTCTGGGTTGCCTGCTATACGGTAACTTTTCATTCTCTCAAGAACATCTGTAACCTGGTGAATGTTTTGCATTTCCCAGGGTCCGAAGCTGCCTTTAAGTTCTTGTTTGTCTGTCAGCTTTAAGACGCTGTCACGATTGCCTAGATACTTTTTGTTCATCTCGGTAACGACAATGTCAAAAAGCTGAAAGAACTCCACGCACAAGTCTTCGTAACCGTGGTAGTAGTCCAGGAGTCGGAAAATTGTCTCTAGAACATCTTTGAAACTTCTGATAGTATCGTAGCCTCCAATGCGGCAGATTACCATTAACAATGTCGCGACTCTTTGGGTCATGCAGTTACTCAATCTAATGGACAATGAGTCTACTAAGTAATCCATGTTTTCCCAAATCAAGTCGCGAACAGATCCCCCGTAATGGGATCGTGCAATCTCCATGGTGGTGACTTGAGCAAAACTTCTTATTGAAGGAGACGACGAAGCCAAACAATCCATCACAGGAAAGAGGACATCAATAAGCTCACCCTCAAACTCCGATTCCATTGACTCATTCATAAGCTTAATAGAATGAAGGCCCACGATCGCGTCGATTTCCTCACTCCTTGTTATCGTCCTTCCGTTCTGTGAGACTTCATTCAATATACCCAAACAACTCTCTAGCACCATAAAGCAAGCCGCCGGTACTTCAGACTGGTTTACGTCGAATGCAAGAAATTGATCTACAATGTCGTCATTCTTTTCTGTTTTCTTCATAGAGCCCTTGATTAAAAGACTTGAGATCCAGATGGCCACTGCTTTTCCATGAGTGGAGTCTGTGTAGTTCTTGGTTAAAAGTGTCATCACCATGTCGTCGGTGTGCGCTATGCCACAGTATGTACCAACATTATGGAGCAAGTTTGAAAGGGCCTCCTCAAAACTTTTTGACACCCTAGGGAAGACCTGGTGAAGCTGGTCTGTGTGCTCAAAAAGATCTTGCCCAATAATTACCAGAGAGCTTTGCTCTATCACTTTATAATCATTGAACCGAAGATTTTTTTGTTCGAGAAAGTCGCTGAAAGATCGCTGTAGTTCAAAGACCGCCCTGTCTATTAGTTCAAAGTCGCGCTCACTATTTTGCGCCAGCACTGACAGGGCAAAGCTGAATCTTTGCAAAACCTTGACGCTCTCGAATTGGAGAGCTGTAGGAAAGTTTGAAATTTGATTTTCTAGCGTGAGTTTAATCATACCAGAACTGCCACAAGATTCTAACAGTCTTGGTGCTGGTAATTGGGTGTCTAGGGAAGTCACAGTGAATAACTCGAGACAGTTGCTCAGAGAATCATGACATTTGTCCACAACCGTCTCCAGAAAGTCCTTTATTGCGTTATTAATCCTAGAATTTTCTCTCTTCAAGAGTTTTGGTAATATTGCCTCTAAGGCGGTTTTCACTTGACTTGTTGTCGCTTTAAGCCATTTGTTCGTCCTATGAGGATGCTTATTTTTGAATGCGCTTTCGTCTATTTGAACAGCTGCCACTACTTGGCTGTCTTGCCTTTCCGTCAGTCGGTGCTGAAGATCAGGAGCCGGAAGCTTGCTTATGTGTAAATCGTGGTCGCAGTATACTAATGACAATAACGATCCAAACAGCCCCATCGTAGAACAGACTACATCTGCGTTAACAGTCAACCCTGGTTTTAAAAGAAGCTTAGAAAATGTCGAGACGTTTCCAGGTAGGATAAATGAAATGGTCTCGCCATCTTGCAGCAACTTCACGTAGAGCGTGTGAAGAGCCTCGATGGCCATTAGTTGTAAATCAGATTCATGGTCATTTCCTTGCAAGATATCCAGTAGGATCGTCACAGAGTGCCCCAATGAAGGAAGAGACTTGGGATCGGAGAAATAAGTGTAAACGTGGTATAATTTCTGTATCGCCAACGCCTTGAAGAACTTCTTGAGAACCACACACCCAGAGTATTGAAATTGTACAGGCTTCTTCAACAGATCTTTGTTGTCCCTATCGCTACTGATCAAGTACGTAAGAAGCGGGAAAAGCTGCTGAGCCAAAGCTTGCGGAAATGATCCAACCGATGACCACGACAACGACAATAAATGTCCAATTATAAGTAAAACCGCTTCTGTTTGGCTTGTTCCTAGACCGCCTTGCTGTAGCAAATGAGCTATTGGGATGAAGACGTAGTCAGCAAATGCTGGCGCCAACTTCTCGATTTCTTCCAGCTTTTCAAGTTCATGCTCAACTGATCGAAGAGCCTTGAGCAGCGTTGCAGAACTTGGATCAAACGTCGTTTTTGGAAGGAACGCCTCCCTTGATAACTCAATACAATGAGGTCGAACCCTCTGGAATGCATCTGATTGAACACTCGTCATTGTTTCTTAAGACTTTAAATCTATAACACTAATTGTGCGCAGAGAACTTTTCTTAAATCGAACACGAAATCACTGCACTGCTGAGCTCACTAGTTGAAATGTTTGTGTATTTGAGTAATTTTCGTGTCAGAAGTAGCCAAGAGATATCTGTATGACATCCATCTAGTTGAACCTCTTGTGTAGTTGTCTCAAAAGATTCTATGTTAAAGCACTGACTTTATTATTACATTATATAAATCGATATATGTATTGACCGATTAAAAGTTACACAACGTAGTCGCTCACCATGAGCCTCACTTTTTTCCAGCCTTTGCGATTGTCAAGTTCCTCGTTGAAACAAAGCTCTTCCTCAGACTGGATGTACTTATCTGTGACCAAATCCATCTCACTACTTCTGACAAACGAATCACGCTTGTAGAGCCACCATGCCGCCCATAAAAACAAAAAGACAAACAGCTCGATGTAGTAGGAGAAGAAATCAGCAACGTTCCATGGTGCAAATGAGGACCAACCTTGGACTAAAATGATGAAGGTGACGAAGACCACTAGAAAGTACGGACCGTAAGGGTAGGTCCAATTTGCAAATTGAAGTTCATGAGTTCTATCTTGCTTTGCCAGGCCACGTCTGAACCTGATTGAAATAACACTGATGCACAACCAGGCCAGCTGGTTGGACACTCCGACAATGTTCTGAAGCCAAGTCCACAGCGTACCAGCACCAATAAAACTGGACCCAAAGCACAAACCGCCCACGGCCCAAGTGATGAGGACAGCCACGTAAGGCACTTGATAGCGGTTTGTCTTTGTAATGAATTTGGGGAAGAAATAACCCTCCAAACCCAGGTTGTAAAGAACTCTGCTACCGGCGAAAAGGGCGTGGTTACCAGCACTGATCACACTAGTCATGATGACCGCGTTCATGAACGATCCAGCGCCACGAGAGCCTACCATTTGGAAGACAATGGTGAATGGCGACGTGATAACAGATTTCTTGCTCAAATTGGGGTAATTGTACGGAACGTTCATCCCAATGAAGAAAGCCGTGAAAACGTAAAAGATCAGGATTCGCCAAAACACAGTTTTGATGATCTTGGGCGTGTTCCTGATCGGATTTTTCGTTTCTCCGGCCGTGAGCGTTATGCTTTCTGTGCCCCCGTATGCGAAACTCGAGGAGACGAACAGCGCGGCGAAACCCTTGAAACCGTTGACGAATGGTGCTTCTCCCACAGTCCAGTTTTTGAACCCGATATAAGTGTGGTCCTGGTTGTGGCCCGCGTTGACCACGATGGAGATGATGAAAAACATGACGATGGCAATGACTTTGAGTAGCGCCAGCCAGTACTCTGCTTCCCCATACACACGGACATGCACAACGTTAAGTAGCAGCAGAAATCCCCAGAAAAGCATCGACGCGGCCCAGTACGGGAAATGCGAGTCCGAGCTTCTCCAATAGTCCAATACAAGTTGCAAAGCCGTCAAGTCGCTCGCGACTGAGACTGCATCGTTGAACCAGTAGTTGCACATCAGTGTGAATGCTAGCGAGCTGGACCCGAATTTCTTGGCAAAAGAGCAAAATGATCCTGAAATGGGCATGAATGTTGACATCTCGCCCAAACAAAGCATAGTGAGATAAACCACAAGGCCAATCACACTGTAGTTGATCAAAATCGATGCAGGTCCACCGTTGGCCAGTGCTTTTCCGGTTCCCAGATAAAGTCCAGTGCCTATGATTCCTGCGATAGAAATCATGTTGATATGGCGCGGCGAGAGCGACCGATTTAGGTTCTCGCGCACATTATTATTATTTACTCCCAATAATTCCAGATCTGAGACATATTTCGAGCCCTCTTCTGTCGAGGTTGCTTGTAGAACTTCCACTATTTGTTCGTCGTCTTTTTTTTTCTGCATCGGCAACGGTGTCAGCGAATATTATGTCAAGGCGAAAGGGAAACTTGCATTTGAAAGAGATTTGACAATAATCCCAAATTCTTGGCGTTCTTATAGCATTTGCCTGAACAAAGGTGTGCTGATAAATTTAGCCATACGGCGCTTGTCTTGTCAGAGCTCTTTCTCAATGACTGACTACTTCACCATGACGCTTCCTTAGTGTGGCTTCCACTCCCACTATTGTTCAGTTTTGGTGATTAATAGGGAAGGGCGAGAAAGCTTGAAGAAAAACAAAACGTGACACATGAGGTCATGTGAGAAGCACGTGTAGGAAGGGCTCGGCGGCTATCTTTAAGCTCAGAACCGAGAAAAGGTGGGAAAGGTCGGTCAAGATCAGACGAAGAATGGGTGACGGTTAATGAACATTTGTTTAGTCGCAATACACTCTGGGACAACGTTCTGGGGACTTGGAGATCTCTGAAGAATACTTTTTGGGTCGGTAAGCGCGAAAAGGAGACGAACGGAGAGCGATAGAGAGGAAAGAGCTTTCAGCAAGTTCTTCAGAGTTTTGGTTTGAGCAAATATCAGCTCTTCGAATATGAATTCATCTAAAACGTCCAGTATTCCAAGAAAACACGTTCGCGTCGAACAAGCAGGTGTTTCCTGCTTCTTGAGAGAAGAAACATAGGTTTATCGGAACAGGAGCGTCCAAAACGAAAACAAAATCAGTTTGATCCACGTCCGAAGTACAGGATCACAGATTTACATTCGAATATGGTTGAAAAAGAGCTTCTTAGACGCCTCTTTCTGGCCACCAGTACACGCAAACAGACCACTGGCGATCTTCTGGCGCCGTCCACTTTAATAACTCTCCTTCTTACAATGCAAAAGCTCCCCCTAGCAAGACTCTTTCGTCTTTGAGCTTCATCTCACGTCACTTATCTCTTAAAGGTTCCACACATCACGAATCCTTGGCCAAAATTGGCTTCAAAACCGTCAAATTGAAGCCACCGCTTCAAGATGCCAATCTATTAAATGCTTTACGCGCTCAATACGTTTCCATTTGATCCCATCTCTTGCTTTTGGCTTTCTCATCTCTGGTGTGTAAAGATATTGATATATTCTATATACGCTAAATTTCTCGAATTTAAAGGTATTCTCCTCATCTCTGCAAGGAAACTCTCTTAAGATCGCTCAATAGGGACACTTAAATGGGTATTTGGTACCATTTAATCGTTGAGCTTGAGACTAAAGACCAAGTAGCGGAGGTATACCAATTTTGGACCGGTGACCGTTGCGAGAGCACAAGAATAGATTCGAAACGTGTTTCGAAAGCTGATCAAACGACCAATCAAGACTGGAGGCTCGGAGCAGTGGTGCTTGAAAGCGTGCCAATGAGTGGTGATACCACTGGGCTGGTTGAGGCCAATTTTGAAGGTGCAGGCATTATTCATCTTTTTAGATCGGGACAATCGGCAAACAGGGCTGAATCGCAAGATGAGACATTGGCAAGGGTTCCTGGGGGCGACACGACCGTTGGAATCTTGTTTGTGCCTAGCTATCTCACGTCGCGCGACATGCTGTTCTCCTTTTTGGGCGAGGAAGTGTTGAATCAAGCGTCCCATTTCCGTATCGTGCGCAGTAGCGAACACTTTCTGGTATTAGTCAAGTTTCGGACCCCAGACTTTGCCCAGCAATTCAGAGAGGACTTCGACGGTCGGAACTTTAATAAAATAGACCCGGGGACCTGTCACGTCGTTCAAATTCTGGAAATCCGTTTCCAAGACCGGCTTTTCCCGTCATCGCGAACCAAAAGCTCCGCATTTCCTATGATGGATCCTTTCACCTCACACGACTACCAAAAAGACGTAGAACTGCCGACATGTCCCGTGTGTCTGGAAAGACTGGACTCAGATGTCACAGGTTTGGCTACCATTCCTTGCCAGCACACGTTTCATTGTCATTGCCTGAACAAATGGAAAGACAGCCGGTGTCCAGTTTGCCGATATTCAGAACTCAAGGTAAGCAAAAAGTCGCTAGTGCGCGAAACTGCGCGTTGCAGCTCATGTGGGTCCAACGAAAACCTCTGGATTTGCGTCATATGCGGCAATATAGGCTGTGGACGCTATAACTACAAACATGCAGTGCAGCATTTTACGGATACGGGCCATTTTTTCGCCATGGAGATGGCAACACAGCGTGTTTGGGACTATGCGGGGGATAACTACGTGCATAGGCTAGTTCAGAACGAAGAAGATGGGAAATTGGTCGAGGTGGGTTCTTCTTCGTCTCTAGACTCCGGGATGAAGCGCGACAAACAATACCATTTGGAGTATGTGCAAGTTCTGCTGTCACAATTGGAATCACAGCGGGACTACTACGAAAATAAGCTGCTTCACATGTCTAGTGAAGCTAATATCGAGCGTCCTTCTGAGCGCGAGCTGGCCACGATGCGGGACCTCCAGCAACAGATTCAAGATCTCAAATTAAACGCGGCCCAGTCCCGCAGCAAGGCTGAGCAGTGCATAGCCCAGATGCAGAAACAGATGCAAGAAGAGAAAACGATGTCGGAGGCATTACAATCCAATCTGGAACATCTCGCCAAGAAACAAACAGAATTACAAGAAAAGCTGGAGCAGAACGCCGCAGAGAAACAAGAGTTGCAAGAGCAGGTAAGGGACCTGATGTTTTTTCTGGAGTCCAAAGAGAAATTCAAGGACGCAGATGAGGATATCAAACAAGGAACTGTTACGGTAAAACCTGTTACAGTAAAACCGAAGAAAACTCCGAAAAAGCGCAAGTAATCCGCGAAAGGTCCAAAAAAATGTCATTTTGGAAAGAAAAATTCGACTGCGAGTGTCATGAAATCAAGAATCCGTGAGAGGTTTGGCAAATCGAATCTTGAAGGCCTTTCAAATCATCTTTCCTCAGCAGTAATACGGAGTCCAATTTGTAAGAGGACACAAGAGCTCGTTACCGGGGCTAAGCAATTGACGATAAAAGAGCATCTCGCGAATTTTACAGAGTTCAAGATTCACACCACGGCAGCCTGGGGACCGAGTATAAACTCAATGGACCCATCGCTACCCTTCTCGAGCATCTTTTTGGTCACTTTTTCCAAAACTGACATCTAATATCGGAAAATTTTCAATATCCATCCAGTGCACCGTATCGCAGAGGTTAATCACCTACACTCCATAAGCTCAAGAACGGCTTACAAGCGACTTTTGCTTTAAACTTACCTCTTAAACAATTTTGATGGACTAAGATCTAAGGTTTAGTACCTTGAAACTTGATTCGGACGGTTTTTTCTGAGCTTTTTTGGCGCAGAAACTCACATTGACCAGTGGATAAAAGAGAGCACTTTTTAACAACATGGCTACCAACGCTATTAAGCTGCTGGCACCAGACGTTCACCGCGGTCTTGCGGAACTTGTGGCCAAAAGACTAGGCCTTAAACTCACGGATACCAAACTCATAAGAGATCCTACTGGCGAGGTATCTTTCTCGATCCAAGAGTCCGTGAGAGACCAAGACATATTTATCATCACGCAGATTGGGTCTGGGGTTGTCAACGATCGGGTTTTGGAACTCTTGGTCATGATCAACGCATGCAAAACAGCTTCTGCGAGAAGAATCACTTCAGTGCTGCCAAATTTCCCTTATGCCAGACAGGACAGGAAAGACAAGAGCCGTGCGCCCATCACGGCCAAGCTCATGGCTGATATGTTGACCACAGCGGGCTGCGATCATGTAGTGACCATGGATCTTCATGCATCCCAAATTCAGGGGTTTTTCGATGTGCCAGTAGATAACCTGTATGCCGAGCCCAGTGTTGTGCGTTACATTCGGGAAAACATAAATTTCAGCGAGGCCATAATCATCTCCCCCGATGCTGGTGGTGCTAAAAGAGCTGCCGCTTTGGCTGATAGATTGGACCTAAATTTCGCTTTGATTCACAAAGAAAGAGCGAGAGCCAATGAAATCTCCAAAATGGTGCTGGTGGGAGATGTCACCGACAAGATTTGCATCATTGTGGATGACATGGCAGACACATGTGGAACTCTAGCTAAAGCAGCAGAAGTTCTTCTGGAAAACCGCGCAAAATCGGTCATTGCTATTGTGACACACGGTGTACTCTCGGGCAAAGCCATTCAGAACATCAATAACTCTAAGCTTGACAGAGTCGTCTGCACTAGCACAGTACCCTTCGAGGAGAAAATGAAGTTGTGTCCCAAATTGGCTGTTATAGACGTCAGTGCCGTTTTAGCAGAGAGCATTCGTCGTTTGCACAACGGTGAGAGTATTTCGTATCTATTCAAGCACTCTCCGCTATGAAGGTTTAGCGTTTGATTTATGTAAAATACTTACTTATAGGAAATCCGCTTAACAGAGTTTGCAATTCGAAACCCTGTCCGTTGAATAGCTCTCCTGCTCTTTGCGGATGTTTATTTCTTTCATAGTCCAAATTTAGCCTTGTCCAGGTGAGTCAAAGAAGCCAGGACCTCACCTTTACCGTTAAGCACGGTTTCGGTATCACCCAACACCTCCAAAGCATCGGGATGAGGTACCCATACAACGTATGCCCCAGCGGCCTTGGCAGCAGCCACGCCAGGTAGTCCGTCTTCAAAAATTATGCACTCTTCTGGACGGATTTCCGTATTGAATTTGGCATTAAGCTGCTTGAGACCCAACTGCCAAATGTCGGGGAAGGGCTTACCTCTCCCAGGAGGGATACGAGGGTCATCACCAGTGATGATGACATCGAAAAGTTCGAATCCTTGCTTCAAATGACCAGTCTTCCCTTCATACTTGTGTTTCGCGGATGACGTACACAAGGCGATCGGGATATTATTCGAGTGCAAGTATCTAATCAAATCCAATGCACCAGGCAAAAAAGAGCAAGTAGGCCATTTCTTATGTTGCAAAACCACACTTTTTTCCTCAAGTTCTGCAAGAGTCAAAGGAACTTGATAATGATCCAACACTTTGCGAGCAGCCTGGGGGCCAGGAAGCCCCTGAAGTTGAATTTTAACATCCCACGTTATGGGCCCCTTACCGAATTCTGCCAGAATTTCGTTGGTCACCAAAGTGTATAAGTCTTCCGTGTTGATCAACAACCCATCCATATCAAAAAGACATGCTTTAATTCTGGTCGAAAAATAATGACGATATGTGTCAGTTTCGCAAGCAAGCATTTGCATATTTTGCAAAAAAATAGTTTCAATAAACTTACCTTGAATTTACCCTCATAGTGCTGATTGGCGTAGCGCTTTTAGTAGTGTTGTTCGAGACTCCTGGCATCCAATTGATCTGAGCTCGGAAACTTTCGATTTCTAGATATCTAAAAATTGAGTCAATTTCAGCCCTAACTCGTTAGCCCTAAAATTGAGCCCTAACAAAGAAACCCTAAGATTATCAGAATCCTGGTGCCAGGGAAAGCGATAGCTATCATAGAGGTGGCAAAGGCGACCTGCAAACAGGACATTGAAGTTTGTAGCTCAACCAGTTTTCAAGACAACCAGTGTGAAAAATGTGTCCACATGGGGTGACCATGTATTCGTGCTGGTCGACTTTGTGAGTTTCTGGGATGTCTTCGACATAAACAGCAACGTCGGTCATACAGATCGCGCAGTCAATGGTGTAGTTTTCAGAACTCCCATGTTCCAATAATTCACCCGCCGAAATCGCTTTGTGATATCCGTAACCGTCGGGTATGGTGTAGTTGGGCAGGAACCAGCGTGCTCCAACAACATCCTGCGAATATAGCACTGCCATTTGGAAGATCAACCACAGAGCAACAAGAGCCACGAAAGGACGATCTTGATGATGGTAAAAAATGTTTGACGGTACGCTGAAAGCGTACGCCGCCGGAAGAAACCGAATGACAGAGGTGCCAATGACAAAACTCCATAGTAGCGGCGGCTTGTTCTGGTTTCGACGCGAGCTGTTCCCGGTGGTACCCCGTCGTGGCTCATTGCCCTTGATAGCGTTTCGAACAATCTGAGGAACCCAATAGGAGTTGAGAACGAATACTGCGAAGCTTTCTACAGGAACGCGAAGGCTCCGGGGCCACGTCGTCATGCTGAGGATGACAATCATGGAAAAGAACGTCTTGAAAATATAGCTGCGGTAGAGGGATGAGCTGATACTTGCCTCGTCCAATATCACCGCCGGTGCTGTACGTTCGTCACCATCTGTGCTGCGGCGCAGTAGAGTGAAAAGACTGACGTTACGCTCGTTGGCTTGCGAAGCATAGACGGAAATCATGTATCGCATTTCAAAAACGGAGGCCAAAATCAAACATGCGAATGAGCATACAATCAGTGGCTGGAATAAAGCGGCAAAAGAGCTGGTCATGTAAAAGAAAATGATGGCAAGGGCTCCATCAACTAGGTTCATCAAAGATAAGCCCCAGTAGGAAATTTTATTGACCATGGAAGGCGTATTAGTATGGTGCATCTGGCGCAACAATAGATAAATCTGAGACGCCAACAGTAGCGCACCAAGAAGCAGGACGTTCCTCATCTTCTTGATTTGCAACTCGTGACGTAGCCCACTAACATTATTCATGTGTAGCTTGACCCCACAATCTGGAGAGTAGATCAGTCCAGATGACACATTAATTGGCGGAAGAGAAGAGAGGTTCGCGCGCCTACCGAGTGGCCACACTAACTCTTCGTCTATGGTCTTGATTTGCTCTTTTGAGTATCCCCACCATGGTTCTAGCTGCAAGAACGCCAGAAATTCACATCTGCTGTTTGCAGCAGCGTAGGAATTCTGCAAATACGCCATTGTACGAGTGTTGAAAAAATCTGTGGCATTCCAGTATTCTTCAACAAGAGTCTTCACTTCGTTGTAGATGGTCTCATCTTCTTCCTTCAAGTTCATGTAGTGTGGCAAAGCAAAGAGGGAGTGGAACTTGGCACTTTCTGAGACGGCCAGTATCCGACCGTTTCTGATATCATAAATCGCCTTTGTGCTGATGGAATGCTTCTGGTTTTCGGCCAGGTCTGAGAGATGGATCTCTAGGTGCAAAAAACGCCATTTATCGCTTTGGCTGTTGTGAAACCGTTTCTCTGGCTCCAGAGGTGAGGAAGTGGAATCTGTCGAGATGATCTCCATGACAATTTCACCTTCATCGAAAGTGATGTTGTGGGACCCCGTATAGTCTCCTGGGTCTGCAACGTACGGTTCTGACAGACTTGGGCGGTTTTGGATGAGATCCTGAGCAGGCTCGTAATACTCTGGTATTGGCATGGGCATGGGGAGAAACCCGTCGTGGGAGTTTACTACACGCCCGCGCAAAGTACTCGTCACGTTGGGTGGAAACACGTTGTGTTTAGTGGCCCAAATTTCGTTGTTGACTTGGTCACTGACAGCCTCTGGAAGCAACGTGTAGTTCTGATCTGTGAACCAATGGTCGTAATCTTTACCCTGTATTGGATACGTGGCATTGATGTCTGGTTGTCGCAAAACGTCCCCATAGCTCAGCTTGAGGCCCGTGATGTTGCGAAAATTGGATGAATGCGACAAGTTGCCGAACTGGGCAAACTCATCTTGATATTGAGCCTTCAGTGTCTGGAGTTGAATATACTCATACTGTGATGTCACTCCATCGCCCGATGGGTTCGAATACAAAATAAACAGGAAGACGAAGAGCAACAAAACTGTATTGCCGTCTATCTCCATTTTGAAGATCGGGGCGATTAGTAGAGGTTAGAACGAGCTCACTTCGCTTAAAAAAAGACGGTAATAGCGGTGATGGGATGTTCATTGAGTTAAGGTAGTGTTAAATACTGGTATTAAACAATTATTACGGGCCGTGAGCTCATCATCTCGGAGCATTATGCACGGTCGTAATTTGGAAACTTTATCTTTGTATTAAGTAATCAGAGTCACGGGATCATTATCTGATCACGAGACCGTAATTTATTCACGTGATCGAGATATTTATATCCTCTATAACGAATCTCAAAATAATGATCGATCCTGACAAGCTATAAGCGATACATGCATACATACATACATACATACATACATACATAAATCAATGACAGACAATAAATACGACAGGTTTAATCGTTCAGATGTCCAACAAGTAAAAACCCGCCGGTCTCTTCTCAATATTTACACTCATTCTTTCTTCATACCAGTTCCCCTCTGCTCGTACTTTAAAATGTAATTTCAACCACACTATCGCGTCTTTAAGGGTATTCCAATGTCCTAAGAATATCTTATTCCTGCGAATCGTCGATTCCTTCATCAGCCTTTTTGTTGAACGCGCGCGTGTGCGTGTCTCAATTAATCGATAGGATACCTCTTTATTAATTACTTTATTGAGAATTAAGTAGAGAACCTACTTGGTTCTTATTCTTACTGCATGCGCGCACGCGCGCGCGCTCATTAGTTGTATTTTAGGAAAATCTCCTAAGACGCAGCCAGAATGAAAGTTGGAATGAATTTGAAAAAATAGCGTTTGAAATTGAGCTTTGCATTTGGGTCCTGCCTTCTAATGCTCTAGGATTTGCAAATTACCGGTGATAACAGCGTTCTCCAAAACGGAGCCGTTAGGAATATCAATTTTCTGGCCCTCGGAACAAACGATGATGACGGTACCTTTCAAAGTGACACCTTTGCCCAAAAACACGTTACCCGTAATGGTCAAATGGTCCAATTCGACAATTTTGGGGATATGAGGAACACGCGCATTGAAGCCCGAAACTTTTTTGAAATGCGAGCCCAACTTGATGAGTGGATTGGGCCCGAATCTTGAAGGGTCGAGTTTCAAAGCACCGTGCTCCAATTCGAACAGATCGGATTTCACTAAAAACAAATCAGAACAGGTCTTTACGGGCAAGAAACGGGATCTGGGGACCACCACACCGTGAGCGCCCTCGAAATGTCTAATGGCAGCACCGCAAGCGGTTTCCAGTTGCAAAACGTTGATGTCGTGGCCACCTCTGGTGATAGTCTTTTGATTTGGAATGATCTCCATTTGCAAAGTACTAGACTCGATCAATTTCTTAATAGCTTTCAAATTGATCCATAGATTGTTGGTGTTGAAGTTCTTGAACTTACGAATATTCTTGAATTCGTCAACGTGCTCCTTTGGCACTTGTGCGACTTCTAGCAAACGGACTTGACCGTCGTATGAGATCAAAGTACCACCTTTCACATCGGCTCTGGTCTTGTCGGTCAATTCCATGATGTATTCGGCGCCGGTCTCGATCATGTGGTTGAGGATCTTAAGGTCAACGGTAGCACCCAAGTTGTCACCGTTGGACACGAACAAGATATCGCGGCCTTGTGCAATCAAAGCATCGAGCTCACCCGACGCGTGCAGAGACTCGAACAGGTCACCGTGACCTGGTGGATACCAGGAGTCGAGATCTTCGTCGTAGGACGAGGGCACGGGCAAAAGCGAATCTTTGAACACGCGGGGGAAACGGGACTGGTTGAAAGAGCGGATGCGGATGCGGTTGGCGGTGTATTTCTTAATGAGATGGGCGGTGTCGGAGTCCGTGTTGAACGAGTTCATCAACAGCAGTGGCACGTCGCTGTCGTATTGTCTGTTGAGGTATTCGATCTGTCTGACGGACAGGTCCAAAAACGTGTTGCCGTCGCGGACCTCGATGACAGATTTGGGGCCGACGCAGCCCATGGACGTTCCGAGACCACCGTTGAGCTTCAAAACGGCCAGTTTGCTGAGATTGGCCACGGTTTCCGGCTGTTGCTCGATAACGGAGTACTCGACCACTTCTTCCGGGTTTGGCGACTTGATCTTGTCCCATTCCAGGGTGTTTCCGGACGCTTTTTCGACCAGATACCGTCTGAACAGTGTGAAGAACGAGTCGAGCTCTACTTCGCACTTGGCGCGCACTTGCTCGTCTTTGGCGGAATCGGCCAATTTGTTGAGGGCGTTTCTCATCTGAGACGCGGCCACGCTGTTGGTGTTGCTCTCGAACGCATACGTGGAGTGGGTTTTGGTGTGTTTCTTAGGAGTCTGCAACATCTTTGTTTCTGCTCTCCCTTTTTCTTACAGATGTGTCTTGAAGCCGCTGTTTGAGCTAATAGACGTATTTGGTAGCGTTAAAAAGCTCGTTTTCAACACAATGCTTCAAGTCTGGCTACACACGCTATTCTGCTTGCCGCTCAGATCCTCTGCTGCTTCTTCTCCTTCTTTCTTCAGGAAAAGTGGTGCTTATGAGTAAACAAGATCGATCTTGAAACTTTTCCGGGGTTCTTCCTTTTATATATAACAACAGTTGAATTTGATGGGTATTATATTTTTTTCTTTGGTTTTTTGTTGTTCTCCTTCTAATTATACAAAGGGAGGGAGAGCGAGAACGAGGCAAGAAAAACGATGATATTCCGTGAAGAGTGATGGACTCACGTGTGTTATGGAGCACGTAATACACACGTGACGCGAAAGGAAGCTAGTCACGCATTTTTCATGTGTGATCCACGTGTACTGTGTCACGCCATTGTCACGCCAGCCAGCCCAGCTCCTGGGCGGCAAATAGTCCCCAAACGGTATCGGAAAGCGAAGCAAGCACCCCCGTGACCTCGGCTCTTTTATTCTCCCGTTCGGGCAGGTCCTCCCGACCACAGTCTCCCCGGCCATACTTGAAGTGTAGTCGTCGCGCCAGCGTCTTGGACATCGCGCGCTGCGCTCGAGGCGTGTGTTCAAACATCTTGTAAGGTTTCAACACCGACAATAGGCTCGTAATTTGCACCAGCTCGCTCATGGCGTGCGACAGCGCCAAGACAATTTGTTGGGATTCCGCATGTAACGGAAGTCGCTGCACGACCAGCGCGATCAGCATAGTGGGCACATTTTTAACCAACTCCAGCACGTTCGACACATATGCCACCATGGAAACCACAAACGGTGAGACGGTACCCTGCGAAAAATCAACGCCAGCGCTGTCGTTGAGCCCCAGTAGTTTCTTGTACATTTCAGAGTCCGTAGTCGTTTCGGAATGCAGCGCAACCGGCTGTGGATGCGGGTTCGAATGCGCGTTGTGTGCGTATTGGCCCGGCTGTTGGGTTTGTGGTGGAGGCCTATTGTTGGGATCGATGCTGTTCGTGGGATTCGTTCTCATGATCGTGGTCAGTAGACGTTGCATAGTGGTGACGAGGCGACATATCGCAAAGCACAGCTCCGGAATACAATCCTCATTCGATTCGCGCAGCTCCAAATACCGTTTCACCAGATTATGATTCTCCATCAGTAACTGTCCGAATTGCCACGCCGCCAAATCCTCGATCTTGGCGTTGGATTCTAGTGCAGGCCAGCCCGCAAAGGGCCCACTGTAAATGCTTTTGCGGCCCATGGCCATCCGTGACATCACGTCGCCCAGACGCAGACTCTGCTGGATGCTGTCGAATCTTGATTTGTCGCATATTAAGCTCCACTTGTCAGAGCTGTACGCAAATGTCTCTTCTATCAGGTCTTCCAGCGGAATACTTATCAGCTTTGGAACCCCGAACGTGCAGCTTTGCAACGAATCGAAAACCACTAGCAGGCCATACATTCGCTTGAACAAAATCTCGAATCCCTTCTCGCCTGAAACCATGGGCTCCTTTTGCCCATCAACACTTTTGTTGGCCCTGTGCCCTTCTTTTTCTTCTTCTTCTTCCTCTTCTTCCTCTTCTTCCTCTTTATCGTTGTCTTCTTCGTCTCGCCCCTCCTCCTGCTCCTTCTCCTCGTCATCCCGGTCGCAGATCAAGTAGCGATACAGTTTCAATTCATTGTAAATCGTCACTGACATACCCAGAACAAACGAGTTGTCGTACCCCACAAATGCCAAGACATAGTTCAAGATAATGAAAGTGGCAAGGTAAATAAACTTGACTTTTTGGGACAAAACCTTTTCGTTTTCTCGCAGCCTCGGATGCATGTCCACTATTCTCTGAAAACTTTCATTCAATGCGGCGATGAATGTGGTCTGTGAATCAAACACATCCACAACACCGTCGCTGTAGTCATATACTGAACCGGACGGCTTTTTCAATGCCACGCGCACTAGTAGTTCTAACGAGTTTCTAAACCATTGCAGGACATAGCAATTGAGCTCGTGGATGTGACTGACTGGCTGCGTGTTGATTACTAGAATCTCGTTAGTTAAAGTGTGTTTGTTAATTGGGATGACAGGGAAAGAAGGATGAATGAACTCGTAATAAAGATCTATCAATTGACTGTCCGGAATTTTGCCGTAAACGACAATTGAATGACTATTAGAGTCGTGAGACTCAATGGACCCTTGAGAAGTGCTTCTCTTAGTGTTGGACGTCGAACGTCTCATGGAGCTCTTGTGCGTGCGAGAAGGTACTCTGCTCATACTCGTATCTGTGTTCATTTGTCGCAAACCGTTCTCGCTGTTCGAATGGACCTGGCTGGCGTTTTTGTTGTTGTTGTTGTTGTTGAGAGTCTCGTCACGCCCATTCGAATTGACCGCTGACGCCTTTCCAGGCGCTATCCTAATCGATGAACTAGGCGAAATCGCAACACTAACATCACTATTTTTACGCGAGTGGAATTCTGAATCGAATTCCTTAAAGTGTTGGTTGTAATTGATAGGTGCCTGCTGTGAGTGAGGCCCCATTGAAATAAAAGGCTGTTGCGATGGTTTCTGCTGCGACATGCCGTTGGCCTGGGAATATGGATACTGGGATGAATTCGATTGAATGGATGGAGCTCGCTGCAGCTCTGGTAGGTTCAATGCGGTTCTTGAGTCGCGATGTTCAGGGTCGATATGCGGCGCGTTGGGTGGTTGCGGCATTGGGTAAAAAGGTGACGATGAAGATGCGTTGGAAGCCGCATACGGGTACTGTTCTGAGCCGCGTCTGTTGGATGTGTCACTTGCGAGCGAGTCTATCGATTCCCGTCTTTGGTACTGGTACTCGTGGTAAGGAACCTTCCAAAACTGTTGCTGATGTTGGTTTTGTGGGTGCTGTTGGTGCGTACCCGGAACTAAGATGCCCTGCGAAGTTTGTTGCGCTCCGGAAGATGAAGACGGTAGATACTGGTTTAACGGTGGCAGCGGCACCAGGTCAATCCTGTTTCTCCCGGGGTCTTCTTGAAACGTTTCGGAACAACTTCTTTTACGGGACACCGACCGGTTTGCATCAGCAGATTCTCCACCTTCAACTTGGCGGTTGTAACCTTTCGTTGGCCCACGTTTCATGGGAACGCGTGCAAACGTGCACGTTTTGCCAAGCTTTTTGCACGCAGAGCACACCGTGGTGTTTGGGCCATCGCCGAAATCGCACTTGGTCTTCTTCTCACGACATTGATCGCAAGCGCGGGATGCTTTGCTTCGTCTGCGCTCCCCAAAGTGGCCTGTTGCGTCCTGTGAACCGTATCTGCCGTTGGAGTGGTCTTCGAGCTCCGTCGGCAAATCCCTGCTGTTTGGCGTGACCACGACCGATTGCTCGGCTTGCTGACCTGCTTCTGACGCCAAATCGACACCGCTACCTCTTGCTGTAGATTCTGACATTTTCTGATGTCTTGGCAGGGGTCTTTGAAGTGAACTTTTGGAGGTATGCAAACGGAAATGGGACCTGCAAAAAAGTCCTTTACAGGGCCGTAAGAGACGGCTTTTTGAGTCTCGGTTATCAGGAAAATCCTTTAAACGTTACAATGGATCTGTACCTGCTGGTTGATCCCCTTCCCTGTGGAATAACTTGTCCGAGACCCTTGAAGTGTGTGTCTTGTACCCCAGATCTATTTCATTGACTAAAATTAGTTAACCCACTAAATTACATATGTAGAGGATAGTCGTCACTGTGTACGTCCAGTCAAAGACTAATACAAAAGGGATGGCTCTCCGCCCTGAGAAACCTTCCTAGCTATCAACTTATTATCGAATTTGGGCAGAACGTGGCATATAAGCAGTTATGTATGTGAACCTTGCCATTGCCTGCCATTCTTAAGTTCAGCGATGAGCTTCAAAACCACATGATGTGTGTCTTGTGGGATGAATATTCTCAACTCTACGATTTTCATCGGCTAGCGCCGTGGCGCAGTGGAAGCGCGCAGGGCTCATAACCCTGATGTCCTCGGATCGAAACCGAGCGGCGCTATTTTTTTGATTTTTTGGCAGTAATTTAAGTGTTTTACAGAGACATGTGACCTTAAGACGTCTTTTTATACAAGTTCTATATAATCTCAGCTACATCGATGTCTACCACCAGTTCAGCAAGACCACACAGCATCGTCCTCCACTATGGATCAGTCAATTGACGCCGAGCAGGCTCTTTTGGAGCGGCATCGTGCTGAGAAGAAAGATTTGCAAAATCAAATCACTGGGATGAAAAAGCAGGCTACCAAGTCCAAGCGGAAACAAGTCAACGCTCGTTGCGAAGAGCTCGAGCATCAAATGCAGCTGCGACACAAGCAGGAGCTTGAAGAGCTTACACAGGGTGCGGGAGCAGGAGCAGAGGCAAAAGCACCAGAAGAAACACACTCACAGAACCCACAAGACGGCGAAGAAGCACAAGAAGTGAGTCCCGAAAAACTGCTCGAGCAGCTGAGTATGGACGGGCAAGATGCAGCCAACGCCGCCACGACAAATGCCACACAGCAGCAGCAGCAGCAGCAGCAGCCGAAGAAACGACGGAATCGTCAGCGTGAAAAAATCGCCAAGCGCGAGGCAGAAGTCGCACGCATGAAGCAGGCTGCCGCACTAGAGGCTGCTCAAATGCCCGATTATAAACAGATGGAGCAGGACGCTCTGGACCAGATCTGCACTCTCAACAAGCTGATTCAGCACGATATCCAGCCCGACGGTCACTGTCTCTTTGCATCGATCCTGGATCAACTCCAAACCCGCCATTTGCCCTTGGAGGGCTGTGTCTACGAGTTTCCCAAAAGCTACTCACACACCAACGCTTCACACCATCTGGACGTATACAAACTACGATCTCTAGCGACATGTTACGTTCGCGAGCACCCGGACGACTTCGTGCCCTACCTGTTCGATGAGGCCACACTCACGGTCAAAGACATCGCTGACTACACCAAGACCATGGAAGAGACAGCACAATGGGGCGGTGAGGTCGAGATCCTCGCGCTGGCGAAAGTTTTAAAATGTTGCATCAGCGTCCTGATGAGCGGCAGAGCTACTCACCTAGTGAATGAAGACGAAATGACCAATCCGCAGCTCAAACTAGTCTACTACAAGCACAGTTACGCTCTCGGAGAGCACTACAACTCTCTGCGCGATGAGTAAAAAATAGACTTGTACAGTACTTATTATCACCATTATATAAAGATTCATTCAAATATCGAAAATCTCAAGAGCGTTCGTTGTAAACAGGATTCGTTTGAAAAAATATGTACTTCCACGTCTTCAAACGTTTCTATGCCGTCGGAGGAGCCTCTGCCAGGCTAGGAAGGCCTAGCAACAACCTTACCAGTGGTATAGTAGGGCTCGCGAATGTGGGCAAGTCGACTTTCTTTCAAGCCATCACCAATTCTAGTCTGGGGAATCCTGCCAACTACCCATTTGCAACAATTGAGCCCGAGCAGGCTAAGCTTATAGTACCATCGAAACGACTGAATCATCTGCAGAACCTATATAAGAGCAGCAAGAAGGTGCCTGCTACTTTGACTATTTTCGACATCGCAGGGCTTACTAGAGGAGCATCGAAAGGCGAGGGACTCGGTAACAAATTTTTGAACGACATCAGACACGTTGACGGCATCTTCCAGGTCATTCGAGGCTTTAATCAAGAGGACATCACGCACATTGAGGGCTCAGTGGACCCTGTTAGAGACTTGAGCATCGTCCAGGATGAACTGGTGCTGAAAGATCTGGAGTTCTTAGAGGGCATACGAGAGAAATTGGAGCGTAAGATGTCGAAAACGGCCCGCAACTCTGCCGAGTATAAATTGATGGCCACCGAAGTTGAGCTTTTGGACGCCCTCGAAGAACACATGTATGAGGGCAAGAAAATAGTACATTTCCGATCCCATTGGAGCCAGGAAGAGGCAGATCTTTTGAACAAACACAATTTCCTAACAGCCAAACCCGCTTTGATGCTGCTGAATGTGAGTCCGAGAGACTACTTGCTACAAAGAAACGAATACATGCACGACGTCAGCAAATGGATCGCGGAAAATTCACCTGGCGACAAACTAATGCTGTTTAGCGCCGAGTTCGAGACGATGTACAACCAGTTTGAAGCAGCAAATGATCGTGACGGGCTTGAGAAATACTGTCGCTCACTCGCGCCGGAATTCGGTGAAGAATCGGGTCCCGAATCCTGTCTGCCGAAGCTCATTGTGGAAATGCGGAAAAGTCTTGGCTTGATTAGCTTTTTTACTTGTGGACCAATTGAGGCAAGACAATGGACCCTGAGAGAAGGTAGCTTGGCGCCGCAGGCGGCTGGTGTCATACACACGGATCTGGAAAAGACATTTATTTCTGCAAGCGTCATCAAATACGCAGACCTGAAGGACATGGCACCGCCGATCAAGGAGTCCCAGTTGAAAGCTCAGGCGTTGGTGAAGAGGGGTGGTAAACAATACGTCGTAGAGGATGGAGATGTCGTGCTGTTCAAAGCAGCTAAGGGTAACTCAAGGTAAAAGCACACAATACATATCTTCGCGCTGCTGATGCTGAGAAGCTGCACAGAAGGTGAATCACAGAATTGTGTTTGCCCTCAAAGAAGATTAGAATCGTCTACGAAGAAAACAGACAGGCATCAATGTAAATAAAAGTTCCGTATCAGAGCGTTTGACAATTTTTCTTCTCACACTTTTAAATCGAAGAGCTGGGTTTATAGCATTGTCTCTAAGGACTTGTTCTCATCATAAACAGAAACGTTGAAGTAGTTACTAAGAGCTGTTTCAAAAATGGTAACGTTTTTGACCGTTGATTTCGCCAGAAATCTCACTTTCTACAGGTTCGCCGTAGCATTTTATCTTGTTTGAAGAAGTAGATTCAAGAAGGTCAAGCTCACAAGCTAACATCACTTTTTCACTTTATATCCACTCCAGATGCGAATATTAATCATTTGATACGCAGTTCACGGTCAGAGCTAGGGCTTGCCACCGGCTTCTTCATAGCGTAGCTCTCTTCAACAGTGGCAGTGCAAGAAAGCCATCGCGAGTCGCTTGCCAACGTTCGTAAATTAACTATAAACTTAGTATACATAAGGCCAAAACAGCTTCTCCCAAGGTGAGAACCCCGGTGACAATCTAAAACCGCAGCGAGACGACAGGGAACACTGCTTATTCAAGCAGTCAATAGCACGGAAGCCATTTACAGAAAAACGCCGTCTTATTTTTTAACCACTGATAGCACAGCAGAGGTATATCAGGAACTGCCATACCTAGAGTGGGCCGCTCGCAGGGCCGGAAATATGCGTCGTGGGAAGAAGGAAGCCAATGTGTCAAGAGCACAGCTAGAAACTTTCATTTCCAACGAAGTCGACGAAAAGCGGAGTGTGAAGAACTGTGTGCTAACTAACACACAGAACGCCGTAAAAGAGAGAAAGAGAAAACTAAAGAAAAAGTGGGAGGGAGGACCGTGCCGTTTAGGCAGCGACGGTGACTTCGACATCCACACCAGGTTCGATGGTGATCTGGGTGATTCTCTTGACGATCTGGGCTGGGGCTTGCAAGTCGATGTATCTCTTGTGGATTCTCATCTCGTAAGTGTCCCAGGTCTTGGAACCCTCACCGTTAGGGGCCTTTCTGGTGGTGATCTTCAAGACCTTGGTTGGGATTCTGACTGGACCCTTCTTGACCAACTTGTAGTTTTCGGCGTTCTTGATGATATTGGCGGACACATTCTCCAACTGCTTGACCTTGGTGGAGGTCAAGGTGATTCTGATCTTGTGGATCTGAGGTTGGTCTTGCTGGTCAGCTTTCTCCTTTTGGAAGTCGGACATTATTGGATGATATATACCTTTTGAAGTTCTTAGGGACAGTAATGAAGAGAAGACGAAGTTGATGTTATAGGAGAAGTGACGTTTGGAAGATTTTGTTATATGGCGGAATCCACTAGGCGATGGGAAGAATTTCCAAGTGTTCGTCGAGGGTGATGTTTCTGTGGTGAAAGATTTCAAAAAGTTGCGTGGGTCTCGGTCTATCTTTTTTCAGGACTGTTGAAATTTTCTGAAAAAAAGAGCAGTCTAATGTGGCGACTGATTAATTGGGTCGGGAAATGGGTAGATGGCGAGTCGCCGAAGGAGAGTAGAGAGGAGAATTGTAGAGCTACAAACGGGCTTGTATGGAAACGAGCTGCGGTAGAATTGTTAATTGCGTACATAGAACAGCTTGTTTTTTATCGATGTCGTCAATCACTCTCACCGTGACGTCATCTCCCTCGGTATTAAATTCAAGCTCTTAAAGACTGGACATTTTTGTCCAAAATTTGACTGGCGCTATCTTGGTTTATTGATTTGCATTGTGGTTTGGGCTCCATCTCGTATGTGTCAGTCCTTCAAAGAGTTCATTTCTACTCGCGGTGATATTTGTCACCACAGGCGCAATCGTCCTCGTGCCTAGCGTCTTTGTAGAAGACCCCAAACCCTAGCCTGCGATCACATGCTTACATCTCATTTCTCCGTCGGCGAGTCCCGGCTTCGAGATTATATCCGAAGTCCGTCGGAGTTTGTTCTGGGTCCCCTCGCATTATATACGAGGTGCTTTGACGAAATCATAACAAATCTGTCCTATAATAAATGAATATCTAAGAAACCCATGCCAATAAAGATCCTTTATCAACAACTTCGACTGCGAATAATCGATTGGCAGCGTATCTCGAGCCGAATAACCGATTGCGAGGATCTCAGGGAAGCTGGAGTACTTAAGGAGGTGCGAATATCGTGATTTATGGAATTTGGTAGTGTCGTATTCCCCCTTACAATCTTGCACACATAGAAGATATATAGATAGATCGATATACATTCGTCAACATTCGTCAACATTCGTTTCGTTTGTGGGTGGCAAACATATACTCTGTGATTAACAAGCGCTCTTTTGAAACACCCTCCAACCCTACGCTCCACAAAAACCATGGCGTTGGACCCCGTCAAATACCTTAGATCCATCAAGTCCGTGCGCGAAACCACGTCGCAAGTTTTCCGGTATGCATGCGACCACGATGGCGGAAATCACTTCGATCTCGAGCTCTCGCACATGTCAGAAGTGGCAGACTTTCTGTGCTCAATCATCGAACGCGATTACGGAACCCAGTACGCCAATATCCCACCCCACGGACGGTGGCAGCATCTCAACTACGGGTCCCAACCGCGTGTGGAGACTTTGATCCAGCAATGGACCGAAGCTGGCATCGACAAGATAGAAATCGCCCGCAAACTCATCGACCTCTTCGTCCTGAGTGTACTGGTTGACGCAGGCGCTGGAAATACCTGGAAATACACTGTTCCCGGCACAGAAGACGCTCCGCAAAGCGTGGGACGCTCCGAAGGTCTTGCTGTGGCCTCGTATTACCTCTTCGTCGACGGTCGGTTTTCCAGTGACCCCAAGGACCCATACAAAGTGTGCGGTGCGGCCTTGCAAGACCTAAAACTAGACGAATTTGCACGCGGATTTCAAATCTCAGAATCGAACCCCATGGACGGCTTCGAGGGCCGCTTGAAGCTCATCCAACGTCTGGGTGATGCGCTACGCTCGCATACCGAGATTTTCGGTCCCGAGGGCCGTCCTGGAGGTCTTGTCAACTACTTAAAAACGAAATCGAAGACCCAGGATGAAAAATCGTGTATCATTGACTTGGAAGACGTATGGAACGCACTCATTGCCGGACTCACCAGCATATGGCCAGTTGGAAGAGCCGTGGTCAACAACGAGCCCCTGGGCGACGTCTGGAAGCTCGACACGAAGGCCGACGCGGTTGCAGAGGGCCGTGAAGACGCCTCCACGCCCGCTGGCGTACCCACGGATCTTGTGACGTTCCACAAGCTCACGCAATGGCTGTGTTACTCCCTTCTGGTTCCTTTGGAACAGTATGGCTACCAATTTACTATCGAACACAAGGATCTGCAAACGGGGCTTCCCGAATACCGCAACGGTGGTCTTTTCTACGATTTCGGGGTATTGAAGTTGAAGCCCGAGGCAATGGCCAGAGGCCAGCAGCTTTCAAAAGAGCTACAGAAAACAAGCGAGCTTCCAACGTTCGAGCCCCAAGACGGTGCTATCGTGGAATGGAGATGTCTGACTATTGGACTGCTCGACTACTTGCTGCTTATTGTGAACGAAAAACTGGGCTACCAACTTGCCTTGCCACAGTTAATTGAGGCCGGGTCTTGGAAAGCCGGGCGTGAAATTGCTGCTAAGCTCAGACCCAAGACCGCAGGGCCTCCGATCGAGTTGCATAGCGACGGTACAGTTTTTTGAATTAAAACGCAAATGAACTTGATCAGGATGAAATGAAGAAAACAGCGACAAGACCGTCACACCAATTTTCAAAAGCCATGAAATCCTGATACACTGACAATGGCTATCGAATCGCGATAAAGCGCACAAATTGAATGTGCGTGATCGGTTCAGACATCAGAAAACAATCATCACAATTTCAGATTCCAAAGCTGATGACCGCTATCCAAACTGGGCGCTAACTATCCGAACGCACCCGCGACGTTTAGAGTTCACGACGTCAGCGTCCATACTCAGGTCACTGTCATCATCAGCTTGGATGGATGATCTACGAGATCCAGCCCAACCGCATAAAACGCATTTTTCCCATCTCGCTTATCATATAACTCATTTCCCAATGTGGAAATGATGATCCGATAAGCAGATAAGAAAACTAAATTCAGTTTTCAAGGCTCGAAAATGAGTGCAGTGGAAAATGCGTTGGTCAAGAATCCAGATAGCGGTCCCACTATAATCACTTCAAAGTTGGCGAAGTAAGCTGGTGAAGGTGAGTGCTCGCATCGCGCAGACATTCTTCTTTGACGATACCGATTGGCAGCTCTTGGCGGAGTATCTAGGGTGATTGGTTCTACTTACGCAGCAAGTCTCATAATGCTTGGACTTGTGGTGCGATAAGCAACTTGTAGATATAAGGATCGTCTTCTGCTGTAAAGGATTGCTCAGCTGGAGTTTAAAAGCAGACAAGATCGAGAAGTGGAAGCTTTTTGTCGGATTCAGTTGCTCTTTGGTTGTTCTGCTTTTTATCTCAAGCATCAATTTCGGTGTACTGCTACCACTACCACCACTGTGTCACTAGAATAATCGTTTCTGCTTGCAATGAACGGGCTCGAAATTCCATTGCCACAGGGTGCGGGCTACGCCGTTGTCGTCGGTCTGGGATTCGTATTTGCGTTTGGTATGATTTTGACAACTTTCATGTTGAGAAGGTATCAAAAAGAAATCGTCACGGCTGAGGAGTTCGCTACAGCAGGTAGAACGGTAAAAACAGGGCTTATCGCCGCTGCCGTTGTGTCAAGTTGGACTTGGGCTGCAACGCTGCTGCAATCGACGTCCATGGTGTACAAAGTGGGCATCTCAGGTGGTTACTACTACGGTGCGGGGGCGTGCTTCCAAGTGATCGCTTTCGCTACGCTGGCCATCAAGGCTAAACAACGCGCCCCCAACGCACACACGTTTTTGGAAATTATCGATGCCCGGTACGGGAAATGGGCGCATTTGACTTATTTGTTTTTCGCCCTGGCCACCAACATTCTGGTCACCGCAATGTTACTAACAGGTGGGTCTGCTGTAGTGACTGCGCTCACTGGTATGAACACCATTGCCGCTTGTTTCCTGCTTCCTGTAGGTGTCGTCGTCTACACGCTATTTGGTGGTATTAAGGCCACGTTCTTGACAGATTACGTCCATACAATCGTGATCATTGTCATCATCATGACTTTTGCATTCACCGTCTATGCCACTGACGACACCTTGGGGTCGCCAGCCAAAGTGTACGATCTTGTCCGTGCTGCTGCGGCCGCTCACCCTGTCGAGGGAAACGCTGGAGGCGAATACCTGACTATGAGATCAAAGTCTGGAGGTATCTTCTTTGTGATCAACTTGGTTGGTAATTTTGGTACTATTTTCTTGGATAACGGATACTGGAATAAGGCCATCTCCGCGTCTCCTGCAGCCAGTTTGCCCGGCTACGTCCTCGGCGGTGTCTCGTGGTTTGCGATTCCAACGTTGATATCCACTGTCATGGGACTTGCCTGTCTGGCACTGGAATCCAATCCTAAGTTCCCAACCTACCCCGACAGACTGAGCCCTGATGATGTCTCCGCTGGTCTCGTCCTACCGACCGCTGCAGTAACGATCATGGGTAAAGGAGGTGCTGTTGCAGCACTCATAATGATCTTCATGGCTGTCACCTCCGCCATGTCCGCAGAACTGATCTCTGTCTCTTCGATCTTCACCTACGACGTTTATCGCCGCTATTTCAACCCAAATGCCTCAGGTAAAAAGCTTATCCTTTCGTCTCATGCTACTTGTGTCTTTTTTGGCTTTGGTATGGCTGGTTTCTCAGCAGGTCTCTATGAGGGGAAGGTTAGTATGGGTTTCCTTTACGAAATGATGGGAGTGATCATTGGTGCTGCTGTTCTTCCGGCAACTTTAACGCTGTTTTGGGATAAACAGAATACTATCGCAGTCATTGCATCGCCTATTTTGGGTACAGCTCTTTCAATTATGTCTTGGTTAGTCTGCACAAAAAAGAAAGCCGGTGTTTTGACGGTCGATACCACTTTTGAAGACGATCCAATGCTAACCGGAAATGTCGTTGCGTTGCTCTCTCCAGCGGTCTTTATCCCAATTTTGACCTACGTTTTCAAGCCTCAAAACTTCAACTGGGAGTTGCTTAAGGTCATCAAGAGAGCTGATGAAACGGCTGAGATTGAGTCTGCAGAGAACGTCAATGGTAAAGTGCAGGAAGAATCTGCAGACTCTACCAATTCGTTAGACAAAGAGAAATTGCAAGCAGTTAAATCAAGTGTGTCAGTGGCTCAAGATGTGCCAAAGGAAAATATCGAGGCCATGGAAAAGGAAGAAGCGCTTCATTTGGCAAAAGCCGGAAAAATCGGTTCGTATCTGACCATTTTTTTTGCATTGGCCTTGTTAGTTGTGTGGCCCATGCCAATGTATGGCTCTGGCTATATCTTTAGCAAACGATTTTTCACAGGTTGGGTCGTGGTGCTGATAATATGGATTTTCTTCACTGGGTTTGCTGTGTGTGTTTATCCTCTATGGGAAGGCCGAGAGGGACTGTACACAACGTTCCGGGGTGTCTACTGGGACTTGAGTGGCCAAACATACAAGCTTAGAGAGTGGCAGAATGACCACCCCGAGAAAATGCACGTTGTGCAGTCGCAAATCAGCGCTAGGTTGCATTCGCCGCGAGACTCGTTAGAGGGCAACATCGATGAAATTGTCGAGTGATCCGAGCTCTTTCCTATGTAAGAATAATTCAACTCTTTACTAATTATATAACTTATTCTAACATGATACTGTTTCCACGCTGAGCATTTGGACATATAAATTTGGATGAAGGGTCCTTAAACAAAACGGCGTATTATTCAGTGTGATTATTTGGAAGATTTGTTGTCATAATGCATGCATTATCAACTGTCATATATTGAAAGTCATCATTTGAGAAAAATACTATAAAACCATAAACTTCCCTCTAACTACCCTAGAACTCACAAGCGACTTGGTAGCAGGAGCTAGCACGGAACTCAATCTCGGTATTTTGCATTTCGTATACAATACGTACTTAATATTCATATCAACATTTTTGCTGAAATTTCCGCTCAAGTAAGACCATAGTCATAAGTGGCAGACATATAGTTCCTCTCGCCGTGGCAGTGTGCACGCTCTATCCAATGAGCGCGATATGTCAAACTCTTTATTTGTTTTGTCCATCAGCATTGAAATTTCTACGCGGTTGCTCTTCGTCATCTGAAAAGTTAAAGTCGTCATCGATGTGATTAGAGGGGCCCTCTAAAGATTGCAAATCGTCTAGGTCGAAGTCCGCGACATTTTCAGGATCTGTTGGAAGTTGTTGAGAGCATGCTAGCATATAGGAAGTATCAGTTGGCCTCCAGATGAACGCAGTTGTAACGAAGACAAAAAAGTAAACCAAAGAAGGCCAGAACTCCACAAAGAAAAATCTGGTCCTCCAATGTTGTTCGACCATTTCAATGGTGTTCATTCCAATGAACACAACCGATGAAAGCACGACGCCTGCAAACAAAACAAAAAGGGAGAAATAGATCGTCGATAGTAGTTTCTTGTACATCTTCAACTTCACCACTTGTCTCTGTTCTTGCAAATACCGCAACGTCTGGGACATGGATCTCAGAATCCAGAAATAGAACCCCAGCATCGTGAGGCCTAGTGGCAATAAAGTAGCCAGTGGCCAGAGTGTGACGGATTCAGGATTGGTCAAGTAGGACTGAATCAAGTAGGCCACGCCAATAGCGAAGTTAATGACCGCAAATATTTGACACCGTCTCATCAGTTTTTTGTTCAGCTTTGGGTAGACGACACCATAGCCAAGTGCTATAACCAGAAGAAGGAAAAAACTGAAAGAGGTCTTGGCTGCTGTTAATATGGAGACAAATACCATGTAAACCTTGGTACCTGCAGTGTTACCTTTTTCATTCTTGATATCGTAATAGGCCCAAATGAATATTTGCTCAACGGTCAAAAAGGCGAAGAATGCCAAAAGATACTTCTGCAACGGAAGTAGTTCGTTTTTGTGCTTCCAGAAAGCGAAACTGTATAGAGCCATTGCCACTAGGTAAAAGATAGCCAGAAGGCCGTATAAGGGCAAGTTGTTGATTTCTGAACCGGGCAATTGTCCGTACGCATTTCTGAAGTTCACCACGGCGGAAAACGTAGCGGCTTCGTCGCTGAGAGACGATGCTACGACACAGTAGTAGCCCGTGGATTTTACTGGATACCGTGCTTCGTGCATACCGTTTTCGGTTTGGTAAAAAGTCATGATTTGGGCAGCAGCAGTTTCATTTTCCCCCGTTGTGGGGTTTGTGATCAATTTCTGCACCAGATACTCATTTCTGTGCGTCTCGTTGCAAGCACCGTGACGGATGGCATAATCATCGCAGATGTAGTGCATGGTTGAGTCAATCTCCACACCCAAATGTTGATAGTCCTTGAAATCAAATATAACTACAGAGAGACCCTCCACACTGTTCGAATCCTTCAGGTTGAACGAGATGAACGGGTCAACTTTACCGCCCCAGTCCTCTCGAGAGTACATTCCACTGCACACTTGATTGTCCTCGTTTGAAAGCGCAACTTTGTTCGCGCACACCAGCGAAATCCATAGCCATATAGAACAAAATTGAATGTTGAACAGCATGGCACAACGAGCTGAACGATTCGACCGTCTTGGACGTGTAGTTAGAACTGTTCGTCACGGTGCTAATTGACGTTGAATAATAACATTTTAGTAGCATTTTCAGCCCATATCGTAATATACGACAGATTCAAACAATTAGAAATCCAATGAAGCCAGACCACGACAGTGGGTTTCACCTTGAGGATCAGTTTATATAATGTTATTGGGTAGTTTGCGTGTTTTAAAATGTACTGGGAAAGCTGTGTGTTTGTCTTTGATTTTTGAAGGTTGTTTCCATTGCCGAGACTTTTGGTCCTCTACTCGTTTTTCTAGTCGTAACGACTAGATGGCGCTCAGCTTTTATAGAGGGAATGATGGTTTAGATATTGAAGTTCGGGGAATGAGCGAGTCCCGTATGGTGTATTAGTGACTAGTCACCTAGAATTCCATACCTTATCTTTTCTGAAGCGGCTGGAGTTTTGCATGGCGGATAAAAGACCGCATTTGAGCGGAAATGTCGGGTTCTTAGTCAATTACAACATTTGACAGCCGTGTAGGTAGCCAAATGCAGGTTTATCGTCGCTTCCATTTTAATAAAAGATACGACTATTAAATTCGAGAAACTACTGCATCCGATTTTGAAGGCCTCCGTTTTACGACTAAAAAATACTACTTTGTCCCGATAGTAAAAGTTACTGCTCTCCTCCTTGTACAAACACCAGGCTTAAAGTAATGACAAACCTTCATCAATCACTAGCTGTCTACAAGGTTCGTATTTGGCAGCCTATTCTTTGTTCTGCCTTTCTGGTTGGTGTTGGCCATCTATCCTATCATTCAGTCCATGCTCTGGTCGATTCTCTAGTCAGATGGCAAATTGGCCTAGTAGTAAAGTGAATAAATGCTAACATTTAATCAGCTCAGAGCTACTTCACCATCCATTTGACACCATACAGGGCTCTCGAACTATGATAGCGAACCGCAACTTATGGGCAGCGACGCGTCGCGGTTTGAACTTTGCCAGACTTTTGCATGTAAAAACGGTCTCCACACCCAATGATAATGCTCTCAAGTTCGTGTCTTCGGATGGTGAGCTTCTCCAGGATCGCGGGAAGCCAAGCGTGGAGATCAAAAACACAGATGAATCTCTTATCAAGCACTCTCCGCTTGCACAAAGAATCTTCACCCAGTGCTCTGGCGTGGAATCAATGATGATCGGCGACGACTTTGTCACTATTAATAAAGACGAAATGGTTCACTGGAGCCAGATAACGGGCGACATGATCGACCTTTTGACACAGTATTTGGCATCAGGCAAGGAGGCAGTTTCCCCCGAGTTTTTCAGCGTCCAAGAACAAGGAGTTGGTTACGACGTCAACTTGCCGAAATATGAGTATAATGAAGACCAGCAAGAAATCAGCGACATGATCGAGGAGCTGATACAAACGCGTATTCGGCCAGCAGTTATGGACGATGGTGGCGATATTCAGTACCGCGGGTACGACCCAGAGACCGGAACCGTGTATTTAAAGCTGCAAGGAGCCTGCAAGTCGTGCTCGTCCAGCGAAGTCACTCTGAAGCACGGCATCGAGTCGATGCTCAAACACTACATCGAAGAAGTCGAAAACGTGGTCCAGATCCTGGACCCCGAGGAGCAGATTGCCCTCAAGGAATTTGAAAAGCTCGAGCAGAAGCTCGACAGTCGTCAATGAAGCAGAGAAACCCGACCAAGCCCAGTAATTTCCGGATTTTGTACATATCGCATAACATACCTATTTATGCTTGGTTTATTTATCCACTCACATAAGATATTCACTCACTATAATTTCCCCGTTTTTTTGGCCACTTACTCACTAACTCATCCTGCTCTCGTCCAGCTGCGTAGCTTTCGATCTTGCTCACCAGTTTCATATCGATGTCGCTAACACCACCAACATCATGGGTGGTCAACTGAACGTTGACTTTGTTGTAGCACGTAGTTATCGTCGGATGGTGGCCCCAGAGGTGGCTCCTCATCGCTACTTGAGTCAGAAATGACCAGGTAGTCTCAAAATCTCGTAGGCTCAAGTTTCTGGTCAGCTTAGAACCGTCATAATTCCAACGTGGATAAGGTTCTAGCAGTTTAAGTATCTCTGCAGAACTCAGACGTACTGCCGCTATTCTCTTGACTTTGTTGTACATTTCGTCTTGGGCTTGCTCAATCCTAGAAATTATGGTTTATTAAGGTTTAAACATTACTTGTTGAACATTTCACTAAATAGCTATCATAAGCGGATGGAAAGAGCTCAATTGCAGGCAGTTGTTGAATGTCCTCGTGCGTATTTATATTGGACGAACAGCTCGACCTTCTGATATTCAAGAACTTCAAGTCTGTACCTAACCCAAAGGCATTTGTCGAATTCTTTAAAAGCATCTACAATACCAACTCTGGACCTGTCATCGCGCACCGGGGAATCGTGTACGTTTATGTGTGTCGAGATGGACTCTTTTACGTGTCTGTAGTTTTGGGCAGCTCGGGCTTCAACGTCATGGCCATCCTAGTGTATCTGAGTGATTTCCATGCGCTAGTGAAGAAATACCTGCACGTCTCGCAAGTGGACCGCAACAACATTGTGGACAATTTCAATCTCGTGTACGAGCTTCTGGACGAAAGTATGGATTTTGGTATTCCTCAACTAACTGAATACAACATCATTCGTGAATTTATCAAGATCGAGGCCAATGTGCCCGCCAAGAACGAGGGCCACCGCAATTCCTCGTCCAAAGATGACGAAAGTGACAGCGATCACGACGAGCAGTCGCTTTTGAAAGCCTCTGTGGTCAAAGACAAAGGGAAGAAAAATGGATTACAAGGCGACGAGCAGTACATCAACAGTTTTATACTTCGAGCCACAACCCAGGCCATATCTTGGCGTCCAAAAGGTATCTACTACCCGAAGAACGAACTGTTTGTTGATGTGGTTGAGTTGCAGGCATACTTAATGGACATGAGTCGCGGCCAAGTACGCAAAAGTTTCATACAGGGAAAGATCATATGCCGGTCATATCTCTCGGGGATGCCCAAGGTCAAAATGTGCCTTAACAAGATGCTCAAGAATAAGGATTTGTTCTTATCCGCAGCTAAGTTTCATCAGTGCGTTTCTCTAAACGCTCTCAACAGTCAAGAAGTAATAGAGTTTATACCGCCAGATGGAGAATTCCAGCTATGCGAATATAAGCTGAAGCGCCATATCAACGATCCGCCCGTCATTAAAGTGACAGACTACAAAATTACAAAGCGCGAGAAAAAGCAGAGGGTTCAATTGAAAGTTACTGTGGAGCCTCATTTCAAGACCCAGAATACCGCCAAATACCTGAAAGTTCACATTCCCGTTCAAAGACTGTTCCGCAAATACAGCATAGATTTAAAAAAGCCCCCCAAGTTCAAATGCGATTATGGGTCGATGGCCTTTAATGTCACCACAGAAAGCTTGCTTTGGGAAGCTGAGGGCATGAAAGGTGGGCATGGCGAAGTCAGTTATTCGATGCAAGTTGAGTTTTCTCTATTTGACGAAGCTGAATATAAAAAGGAACTCGAAGAATTGCAGCATTCTATGGATCCTCCACCTCTGCGAGATGGAGTAAAGCTGGATGAGCTTTACGCTCAGATTAGCGAGAACAAGACCGAGACGGCTGAGCGGAAACGCATAATGGTAGAATTCGAGGTGCCCTATTATGCATGCAGTGGTTTGAAGGTTGAGTACCTTAAGATAGAAGAGGAGCAACTTGAATACCAGTCGTTTCCTTGGGTAAGGTACAAAACGGTTAACGACCAGGAGTATGCCTACCAAATCTAGAAAAATGGAGCATCAGCAGCTCCAAGCCTTAATGTGAATATGTTCTTGGTATTTAATGTTAGCGAGAATCGTCATGCAATGTAGTTTGTATCATTCTTCGCCGAGACGTTTTAAAAGTTCTGATTTCTTTTGATATTCGATCTCTCGCTTTGCGTTTTCCTTGTTCCATTCGTTTTGAATAGCTTGACGCCCGTCTTCTATCTTGACTCTTTTCGCATCTAAGATGTCATTTTTGAAATGCTGCAACATCGATGACCACCGGTTCATGATCCTACTAGCGCCTAGGACAACGCCAAGAATAGCTAGTGAACCCATGGAGTACGCAGAAAATTGACCAGAAACCACCCCAAAAGTGGCACATACTAGCAATGGTAACTGCAGCGTAAAGAACTGCTGGTAGATGTGCTTGTTTATGTTTTTGTGCAGCGCTGGAATCCTATCGAAAATTCGAAGATCTGGTGAAGTCTTTGGAAGCAGCGGTAGATTTAAACGGCCACGCAGGTAATTGATACGATTCAGAACGCCTGAATTATCGGCAATACTGCATAATTCACGAAGTTTCAATTCCATCTTACTCTCGGAGTAAGTATATACTCTCGAGACAGAAAGCTGGTCATGAACGAATTGATCGAGCCGAGGTTTGAACTCAGATAACATATGTGCGTGTGCCTCAGTTGACCAGTTGGCAATTTCTTGCTCGACGTCAGCATTTCGCAATTTTGCTTTCTCGTGCTCTTCGAAAGTGTCGTCGGTGTTGTATATGTTTTGAACCACTGCCTCTTCCAGGTTTTTCATTATGCGCGGCTTGTTGTCGAGCACACGTTCAATATTTTGGGTGACTGTAAGAAAGTTTGAAGACTCGAGACTCTCTAGATACATTTTTACGTTCCGCTTGTTTTCGATGAAGTCGAGGATACCAGTTAGTGCTTTAGAACTATTGAGTTCCCGAGCACCAAGTGGAATTTCTGAGCTCGAGTCCGTAACCTTCAAAATGGGCCACGGACATTTTGTTGCCGCAGCATGCGAGTTCATGTCGAGATACAAGTGACAGCCATCAGTCGAGGTTTCTTCTTGGAATTGCGCTGCCTCCGATTCACGCAGCTCTACACCGTGCTGGAGAAGCCATGGCGACGGCAGGCCGTACACAGTGGTTTGTCCCTCCTTCTGAACGTCTAGTATTGGTGCGTACCTTATAAGTCTCGGGCTTGCCGAATGCGAGCTTTTAATATTCTGGCTGTATCTGCTGCAGAACTCTCGAAACCAGTATTGGTCCGTTGTATAGACATCTGCCAAAAGAGCACTGAGGAATGCTGCATCTTTCTGCGACGTCAGAGATTTCAGAATCACTCCGCATCTGATAATTTTGGTATCTCTAATTTCGCTGCCAGATTGTGTTGCCACGAGTGCCAGCTTGGTGGGTAATCTCTGGCTGCCTGCACTTCTATATACTTCAGCCAACTTAGCCCAATAACTCATGAAGCGTCGGCTTGGGCTAGGTTTAATGTGGACTCTCAACTGCCCAAGCATCCTATACAAAGAGCCGAAAGAACTAAGAAAAACACTACTTAAAAACTATACAATTGTAACGAGAAAAAAGCCCAGAAATTGCCCGTCTGAGCCGTTATTGATAAACTAATAGCGCTCCAAAAATTGAGCTCAGATAGTGTCTTTTAATGGACTTAACTCCATTAATCGTTGTTTAAGTACAGTCATCGATATGATCGTGATTGATATAAATCTTAATTTTTGAACTAATTTGAGCTCTTTTTAGTTCGTGCAAAGGCATGGTTACGTAATCCTCTTTTCATCATCAAAATTGAGCTAAATTACTATCATCTCATCTCATCTCGAAATCTTGGAAGTTCATTGAAAAGCTGTACTCAAGACAGACTGTAAGCTGTGAGATCAATCCCGAGACTCAGATCCTAGAGCATAAGAATGCAGATTGAGAACTCTCAAGGCGACTCTGCTGCCGAAATTTCCGACGACATAGCTTTGGCGGTTGAAGCGTTGACGGAGTTGAAGAATTCACATGGTCAAGTTGGGTTTCATCCACAGGAGCATGATTTCCAGCAACAACAGGGCGATACACTGCTGGCCAAAGTGAGAACGAACTCGCTAATCGACAATGCGGTGAAGGTTTATAAAAAGAGCAAAAACCAATATCCCAAGTTCAGAAGAGGGGCGGAAATGGTGGAACGGAAAGCTCTTATACCCATGGTAAAGCGATTGGAAGAACGACGCAGTCAAAAGCGACTGCTGGAAAACACACACAGGATGAACGACCGCAACGACGTCCTGGAGCTGCAAGAAATAGAGACCGAAAACGAGATAGACGTGGAGAGCGAAGGCGGTGACTCGAAAATTGCCCACATCGCAAGCGATCGCGAAACCAGAAAGAGAAGATCGAAAAAGCAAAAGATATCCAATGCCATTGCGAAGTCCAAGAGCAATTTGAAGGGGTATCAGCTTAACATGTCGATTGAGTCCAAGAAGCGTCTGGTGACGTGTCTGCATCTTCTGAAGCTTGCCAACTACCAACTCTCCAACCGCGTGAGTTTCTTACAGGATTTGGTTCACAAGGAACAGCAACTCAGGGGTGGACGAATACGCGAGAATATAGGCCGGAGAATCAAAGTCCGGGGCGAAAAAAGACCTGATGACGCCGATATCGCCGCCAAAGACCGCGACAATGGTGAGAGGAAGGAGAATGATGAGTACGACGAAAACGAAAAAGGCGAATCAAACGGAGACGAAGACGAACCTGAAGACGAAGACGAGGACGAATGCGAGGACGGTGACAAGGACCGCTATTATGACGCCTCAGACAATTTACACGAACAATCTGACGCTGTCAAGATGGAAATTGTGGGAACCGTGAAAAAAGTATATTCACTTGTCTCCAAGTTTACGGGTAATTCACTTCCCGAGCCAGCACGCACACAGGTTCGGGAGTCTCTACTCAAACTTCCTTCCAACTGGACTTCTTCAATGAATTCCGAGAACCTTTCAAAATACACAAATTCAAAGAGATTAAGTCGCAATGGCAAAGTTCTGATTCTGGCCAAGGAGAGCCTTGGAATGGTTCACAACGTGATGGACGTGGTAGATAACACATTGGGGAAAGCCGAGGAGTGGGTTAAACAGAAACAAGAAATTAAAGAGCTGCTCAAAGAGCAGTATCTCAGCAGCAAGCTACGCGATGTCGTGAGAACCCCCACTTCCGAAGAGGGAAAAATAAAGTAGTACTAGTGGTACGCATCACATAAAACATCGTAACTAGAAGATACACGTTTGCATTTACCTTTACAATCGAAACCTTAATTTTGAAGAGCTTTCAATCTCTCTCGCATCTCCTTGAGCATGACGTCAGCTTCGTCGTTGATTTGGTCCTCCGGCACTATTTCCTCGAGTTCCGGTTTGGATGGCAATTCAGAGGTAGGCGCTTCGACAACACTTCCCAGCTTGTTTGAGGTGTACTGCTCCACGATCTTGTTGACTTCTTGTTCTGCCTCTTCCTCTGCTTCTTCGTCCTCGGTCATTTCCATTGTGTCGTCGATCATTTCACTGATCAGCCCACTTTTCACCAATTCCTTCTCTAGATCCATCATGGTATGCTGCAAATACGGGAGCTTCACCAAAGAGTTTACCTCGCGCATCAGAACTGCCGACGACGCCATGTTTTCCTGTAAGCTCTGCATTCGAAAGGCTTCTTCGATCTTCATTCCCACGGATTGTAACTGTGCTTTCGAGATGTACATCCTTTGATACTGCTTATTTATCTGGTATAGCTCCTTGGCGTAAATTCGTACCGATCTAGTGTCGTTTTGTTTCGCCGAGCGTTTGATTAAACCTTGAGTCTTGCCTTGCAGAGCAGATAGCTCTCTTAGGGACTTATCCAAAGACCGACCATTTTTCCTTACCAGTTGCCGGATTTTCTGTTGTTGTTCTTTGGGATCAGGCCCCCAAATGGCCTTTTTGAAATAGTCCATGCTAGAGAAGCTGGGTTGAAGCTTTAGTGAGCTCGATAGGGGATTTGGATGTTATGAACTTTATCTACTTGTAGCGGGCAGGTGTGGTTATTGATCTTTATTAGTCGTATAAAGTCACGTGATAACAAGTGGCTATCATGAAATATAGTATAAAGAGTCCTACTGGGCGGAACAGCCGGAGGCAATAGATCTTGATAAGCACTGTTATGTGAGTTCAAAACCGAAAATATAATGGGCATTAATTTGAGGCCGATTTGTTTTGTTACTTGTTCCTCCGGCCTTTTTAATTAATTTAGTGAATTTATCAAACTTACTATTGACAAATACTAATGTGACATTGGCTGAAGGTGTATGTGCATATTTGCAGTAAGCCATCATCTCACGCTTAAACGGTAAATGCACAACGCTGCAGCTTTGTCACAAAGTCTGTTCAAATGACAGTTTTCTCAGCGTGATATCATACAGTGGTCGTATATCTTTCAATTTCTGATCCTTCCAGCTCCAATCCGATATAGTGTAACGGCTATCACATCACGCTTTCACCGTGGAGACCGGGGTTCGACTCCCCGTATCGGAGTTTATTTTTTGCAATTTTTAAATTACATTGTATTTTTTCATCTTCTGTTTACAGCGTCAGTGAGATAAATACTTTACTGTCGTTACTTCGAGTAGCCCTCCAGTTTTCCGCCTACCTCTTGGCACTACGTCACGGACATCAAAGTAGCGATGTCCATATTTTCTATGTAAAGTACATAAACTTGACCTCTGGGATTCTCTCGGCGGCTATCGTTTTTTTACCCTACACTTTTTCTTTACGTCCGCCCCTCGTCAGTCCCCATGATGGAACCCATGATCGCACCACCGGTCACAAGTCACCATTGTATGTGAAACATGGCGTTATTACGCTTTCCGAGACTTAAACGCCGATAGTTGTATTGATTTGTCCCCGCCTGTCTTGAAATGCCAAGCGTCCTGGCATTAAAAGACGCACACCATTCTTCCAACCTTGACTGCTACTGTACTGCCAATGCTAGTTGTATTATTTTGCTCGCCACGCTGAACGGGAAGATCACTAAAAGGTGTCAATACGTTCACCTGAGACAAGCCTTTTCGATAATTTTCCAATTCAATGTAATCAGGCTATTGTGATACCTTTTACAATCCATATTTGCACTTTGAGTTTAAACAGAGAGAGAACTACAGTGCTGACCAAGAAGCAAGTGAGATACTCAGGGCATTTTCGTTTGCCAACTTACTTACAAAAGCATGGCCGCGAAGCGCACGACCTGCAAGACTATAATTTACGCCGTCAGAACTCTACAAACTAGCCTCCACACAATTGAAAGGCATAACATTAAATCAACTCAGCCAATCATACTGGGTTGAAGCTTGCTATTGGTGAACCAGGGCTCATCATGATCATTGGTTCAGATTTACGCCCGATTTTATTCCCACCGCTAAGATCGTCTGAAAAATTTTGAAGCAATGAATTCAACGAACTTACTTCATTTGAGCTAATCAGAGTAAAAGGAAGGTTTGAGATACCCCCATATCCGTTGCGAAGAGCTATTGTGAACATGGTCGCGCAGCATGTTGACGCTATAACAGTGTCAATCAAGCTTCCGCACCAGAAAGAGGAGGTGCGGTTGAAATTGGTTAAATCTTCGACGACTCAAATTTTGAACGACGCGCTACAGTTTTCGTCCCCCAAATGCTTGACGAACCTTGACTTCTATTTCAATGGGAAGAAGCTGACTGGCGAGGAAGCACTTAAGGATTTTGCCACAGATGATTCGCTCAAATTGGATGTGAAATACAAAGCTTACAATACTAGGGACGTTTTGAGACACATTGTGGTCGTCCGGGACACCATTGGCTTCGCCACGGAGACTCAGGATGGAATCACCGATTTTGCTGTGTCTACTGGAAATCAGTTTTGCGATATGCCGCTACAAAAGGTGAAGGTCTCTGCGGCGAAGGAAACTGACTCAACCAAGGAGGAAAAACCAGAATCCGCGGCTTTTGATCTCTCTAAAGAGGAGGCTCAAGAATTTCAGCAAACAGTAAAAGAAATACTAAATCAACGCAAGTCGGTGAAGGAAATCATGACGACCAGGTCCTCAATCGTATCTCCTTGCGTTCGTTCACTGCAGCTCTCCAGCTACAATCCGGTTCCCGCGTTTTACAGATCTAAGGGTCACCTGCTGTATCTGCAAATAGTGACTCTGGAGGGTGAGACTTTCAACGTCACTGCCACCACAACTGGTTTCTACGTGAACAAATTTACGGCAAACAAATTCGACCCAAGCCCTAAAGATCAGAATGCGAAAACTTTTGTTTCCTTGATTGACCTGCTTTCTTCGCATTCTAAGAACTTCAATGAGCATTTCAAGAGACTTGGACAACGGGTAAGCGCTGTAGACTCTGTGTGCCACGCCAGGCCGTCAACAACCTTCTTGTGTAAACCATGGATGGTCTCTACTACTCCTAACTCTACAGGGGACTACTCTCGCTTTCAATTGAACGAAAGCGATCTCAATACGGAACGCAACTTTAACGATGAATTTCAAGCAATTAAGGACATGACCTCTAATGATTTCCAGTCCATCATCGATAGTGAAAAGCTAACAGCTAAGGTCTACCACGAATTCACTGAAACTGCTGTCAAAGACGCAATGTCCATCTTCTATGATGACCTTGTGCCAATGAACCCAGAGGCCCCAACACAGGAGCAAATATTTTTGAAGAACAATATTTTCTATTCTTATGTCGGTGACGTTAACGGCAGCTATTCCTCAATCGGCGGAGATGCTGCTGCTTTTGCTGCTTCCAATCAAGACCTTCAAACTGTCAAGCTTCTGCAGCGCGTCACCCTCTCAGAAATTCATTATTTGTTATGCGCTGTTATAGACTTTGCCGGCCGCAGAGTTCTTGCTCAGACACCAGTACCAGGCTTGCTGAGCGCAATGGGCTCAGTCACGAAGGTGGACCCCGAATCTGGGGAAACTGTAACAGAAGACTTAAACTCTGATGTTAACGTGGTGTATGGCCTGGAGGAATCGACTGGTGACATTCTTTACGACAAAGAATTCGACACTGCTTTGGAGTCCTTTGCGCAAATCTTACACTTAAAAAAACACCAGGTTGGAAATGCAGAGATCAAGGTTTCATCGCACTCAAAGGGAATTGTGGGTTCCGATAAGCGTAAATACATTCTGGACCTCGCCAACTCTCACCCTCTGGACGTGAACTTCGCTAGAAAATTTTATGACGGCATCGAAGAAAGCAAGCGCTATCCTCACAGGCAAACCTTGGTCAGAAATGAGCTTGTTGATAAGTGGTGGGCTAATAAAATTGAGGCTGCTGGAATTCCTTTCGAAAAAGCCTTTGAAGAAAAAATGTTCGCATTCAATCCCGACGCATTCATTGTTGAAGGAGCTGAGGATCCATTGGTGGAAGAAATTTCCAATTATTTGACCGACGAAGTAATGACTGAGGTAGTAAAGGAGTATGCTGCCGGAAATACAGCAGCGCCATACGATGGGGACCATCTAACAGATTCCTTGCACAGAAATGGTATTAACATGCGTTATCTTGGACACGTTATAGGTTTGGCAGAGAACGAGTTGAAACAACAAGAAGAGAAACACGAATCGAAGTTGGCTGCGGTTAAGGTGGACAACGAAGATCATGAAAACTGGGAGAAGGATTATCTTCTCAAAGTTGAACGGCTCATCAAGGAAAGGCAAGCAAAAATCAATAAGCTGGTTGAAGAAGGAAAAGATATTCCCGAAGATCTTAAGGGAAATCTAAAGCTGGACGAAAACGAGATTAGAAAACCTACCAAAGGTGAACCGGTCTCGGTCAATCGCGACCACCTATCGTGCTTGATCAACGTGTGCCGATTGGAAATTGCAGCTAGATCTCTCAAGCATGTGTTAAGAGCTCATGCGAAAGATTTACCCGTTTCAGTTATTCCTAGTCTTGTCGCCTATTTCTTCAATCTTCTGTTCGCGAGTTCCTACAATGAAACACCCGTGCCTGAAATTTTGGATGAGTTTTATTCTCAGACCGACTTTTCGTTCTCTAAAGTCTCCCGCACTGAGCTGCTAGAAGCTATAAGGGTGCAAGGGCAGAAGAGATTTCTCTTTGATCTCTCTTCTGAAATTTTGGAGGACTTGTGTAAGCAGCCTTTCACTTTGATAAGGGCAGTTTCAAAGAAGTTCGGTATCCAGCTAGCTAACAAAAACCACTTCTTTACGGTTGAGGAGTTTGAGAACTTCAAGCAGTCGCAGGACAAGAAGGTGAGAGGTAAGCTGGCTGCTCCTACTCACACCTTTTCTCCAAGCGATTTGGCCGTTATTCCTGTTATCAAAGATGGCGAGTACCAGTCTCTTTCCGGGGACAATTTCTGGACTCAGGGTACCTCGTTATTGAGCGAGAAGCCAGAGGACGGATTGGTGCTTCTGAACCAGGCTTTGACAATCAAAGAAGAAGTCAATGGTATTGTTCACCCCTCTGTTGCAGAATCTTACCTAACCATATCCACAATCTACCATTCTTTGAACAAAGTTCCGGAGGCAGTCTCTTTCTGTCGCAAAGCTTGTACAATTTATGAAAGAACAAAGGGAGCGGACTCCTTCGAACTCATTAGATGCTTGACAAACCTGGCTATCTTGGAAATCAGCAACAAATGTCCCTACAATGGTGCATGCGTGTTAAGCCGCGTAGTCAACACATTGAGTGCTCTATGCCTCACTGTGCATCCTGCAATCATCAATGCTTACACGATGTTACAACAAGCCTCTTTGGCTTCTAAAAATGCTTATCTGGCAATTGAAGTCATGAAGAAACTATCAGCCACCATCCTTGATATTGAAAATGGTCAACACTCTCTTGCATACGGATACAATCAATCTCGTATCGGAGATCTCTACGTGACTTTGAAGGACTACACCAGCTCTCTTAAAGCGATTTCGGAGGCAGAACAAGTCTTCACGAGAGAACTTGGATTGAATGATGAAACTACGGCCCAGTGCAAGCAATGGGTAACCGGCCTACAAAATCTCTTGCAGCATCAGCAACAGCAGCAGCACTTGACGCAAACGCAAACTGCTGTAAATTCTGGAACGCCTGCAGCCTCCTCGAAGAAGCCAAAGGCGTCGAAGAAAGAAGAAAAGTCGAACCCTGAATTGGCCAATAAATCTGTCGATGAATTGCTGAACTACATCGAAGGCGGCTCCACCAAGAAGCCAAAAGCAGGTAAGAAAAAGGGTAAAAAATAAATGATTGCGTTGTCGTGATAGATTGAGCATTTAAAAACATGTAGATAACTAATGCATTCCCTTATATTGTTCTGCGCCTGTGCTATAAATGCCATAAATGTGCAAACACGGCCGAAATTTTATCAAGTTTTTGGGCAGTTGTTTGATCTATTTGAAGATCTCGCGAATTAGGAGCATGAATGAAGGGACCAGTATATTATCATTGAGCACACTGTTGCCCTCCAAAAGCCCAGAGAATAAACATATCGACATCAGCTTAGTGAAAGAAACATCTTTAAATTCTCCCAAGAAGAACTTAAATGACAGACTGCATGCAGCGGTAGCGACAACAAACGCCGATGTTCCCTCGTAAGTTTTGTTAGTTCCCGGCCATCTGTGACGCCCCCATCTATTACCAACAATAGATGCTAAGGAGTCCCCGACTCCTAAACTTATGACACCAACCAATGAGTCGTTGATGAGGATGGGAGACGCCACGCCGATGACCAGGTAGATATAAGATATGATTATTGGGCCACGATCATCGCGAAAATCGGCGAATGATCTCAACTTGGAGTCAAAGTATTCCCCAAAGGGCGCCAGTTTCAAATATCTCAAATACTCAACTGCCAAGAAAGAAACAATGGTACCAGCCAGGGCAATCTTAACAAATTCAGGATCTTGTTTGAGTGGTGGAACTACCAAAATCAGGACGATGAAATGCCAAATTTTGCGAGAGGAATCCAGGGAAAAATTGGACTTGAAGACCATGATATTTGGAATCAAAAATAATAGCCCAATCAACCAGCTGAATGTAATTTTGATTCTGACCGAGGACGAAGAAATATAGTAGTAAAGCCAAACCGCTGGATTTTGGCCGTCGATCTCAAAAATGTACATCACTGTGAGTGGTAAAACACAAACGAAAGTCGAGAGAAGAAGGGCGGACCTGAGATACTTGTTGCACCGCGACGTCAGCTTTATTAGGGGATAATTGACCGCGACAGCAACTACAAACCCCCTCAGCACATTCTGCAAAACTTGAAAATGAATGGTAGGAGAATCTATCAGGAACAGCACGTTTGTCAGGAGTATGCTGAACAGGTTACATTCCACACGATCGAAGCTTTTCAGTTGGCTCACTTTCTCAAGAACGAATGCCAAGATACAGTTGAGACCCAGAGCCTTAATATACGTGAACCTGTCGTCGTAGATCTGGCCATTAAACAGAACCAAAACCGTCTGAATTGGAAGTCGCATGTACGGAGCCATATCGGCATAATTAAACGTCATTACCAGGTTCAAAATTGTGAACTGCCGTGCAAAAAGCAGTGAAAGGAAAGTAGGCAGGTACAGCAAGTACAGAGTATTGAAGTCCGGCAAAATGTCGGCTTTTCGCACCAGCAACGAATCGTGAATGCCGTTGTTGACAATTCTAGTGCGATACGAGACTCCTAACCCGACCAAAATTGCCACAGCTGTAGTCAAAATGTCCTGGAACAAAATCGTATCTTCCTCGCTCTGCATAAACTTCGAGACAGCTAAGTGGACAGTACTTCCAACGATAGCTACTTGTGCTATTTTCTCGGGTGTCATGAGCGTCTCAAACACGGAAAAAGTGGCATTATCGCGCTCAATGGCTTCCACTTCGGCCGCATCCTGTTTTGCCATATTAGCCTCGAAGAATACAGCGATTGCTTGTTCAGTTGTAGATCTCAATAGCAGCACGTCAGGTTTATGTTATATGGTTAAATCTCATGATTTTGAGATCTGCTGTGTACACGTTCATGTTTCGTGGATAGTGACCACGAACACCTTAATTGGCCAAGTTCGCTGAAGTATAGCAGCAATCCATGCCCAGCCTGAGCTAGGCCGTGAGAGTTCTGAACTTGAAGCTATGTGATGAAGTTCTTAGGTCATTTTGAGACGTTGTAGCGAAATACAGTCAGGTTTAGAGCAATTTTTTTTGGGTTCATTTTGCTTACAATATTGAGATTCAAGTTTTGTGCGACTTCAATTACATACGCAAGGAATTGAGGCTAAATTGGTAGCAGGAGTTTGTCAGTTAATTTTGCGAAGAGGCCTTTGGGAGGTAAAAAAAAAATCTTCGTATTTTCGAAACTGATACTGCAAGTCTGACCGAGATGCTCCTGGTTTGATAGTGGCGATCTTTCACCGACGAGGTACAATTATTCTAATGAGTGTACATAATTTTTAGTGGCTTTTTGCGTAAGTCGGATGTTCTTGTACATAAACTTGGTACTTGCTTGGTCATTCCTTTTAAAGTTATAAACGGTGCAGAAAAATAGATCTGTTTCTCAAGAAACTTTGCTATCGGGCTTTTAGAGAACAGTCGGCCTTCCAAGAGCTCGGATGAAGCGAGTTTCGTAATGTTGAAGTCTTTTGAAATGTCCAAATCCCAGTGCTCTCATCTTATCGTTTTGCACCTGACTGTCATCTGTCATTCAGTCACGTGACAAAGCACTGCACGGATTGCAAATCGAAACTTTATCCAGAAGACGGTTTGTATGGATTATTACACTTGAAAAGGCAGCTCCGGACAAGCTGCTGTTGTGCTCACCCCGTCTTAACTAACTGTGCCCTTAATACGTAAAAAATGCACATTCAGCATCAGGGATGGTAAGACTGATTCATTAATCACGCATTTATATCTCTTTTGAGCAATACTATCAATTCTGCGTCAAGAAACATTCAAAAAAACGCTCTATAACAGAAGACGTGCCATCAAAACAGTATTTACAGCGGTTGTGATGGATCGACAAATGCAAACGCATTCTCGGCCACTTGTACTCGAGTACACTTTCCAAATACATAATTCGAGTACATGTACTCGTATCAAGCCCTTTATGTGTCTTTATCAATTTTTACGGTTACCCGTCTTTTCCTTTAGAGAACTATAAAAAAGCCAAAAACTTTTCCACATCTTTCTCTTCTAATCAGCTCTCTTTCTGAACAAAAACTAAACACAAGTTGTGAGATGTCAAGCGGGACATGAAATGGATTGACATTACCGTCAAGGGAGACTAATAGGAAGCGAAGCTTTGTCTTGAGAAGAGCATATCACTGATGACCAAGATTAAAATTTACAAACTAGAGTTTCTGAATTAAATTTCGTGATTAGAAACTAATCGCATTATCTGAGACTATGTTCTAGAAGCAGTACAGCAGTACTGGCGCAAACTATTTACTCTTCTTGTGGGGTTGGTGGATCCTATTTCTGCGAGGCGACATTTGCGCTCGGTTTCCATTTTGGTTCTTTTAATGATGATGTAACAAAAACAAAGCTGGAATTACTGGCTGAACGATTATATGTTGATAAGTTTTTGCACTATTTCTGAATTGTGACCTAATGGAATACTAAAGTGTTGAGGTTCTCCATGTTCATTCAATAGCGAAACAGGTGTTTCCCTCAACACGTTTGCCAAGTTTTTGAACTAACAGGAGTTTCTTCGGGACTGAGCAAATTTTGACGGGCAACATCGGTCCTGATCTTTCCTTAAAAGAATCTTTCAAATGACGAAGCATAGCACTGGGCACCGATTCGTTTTCAAAATTCGATCATGAGTGACACTGCTTTTAAGTGGGCTTAGAAACCCCACGCTACCGATTTGTATTCTTTTGAAAAGATTTGGACTCAGCCAATAATTTTCCTCGTGTTCCTAGATGATATTGCAGATTTTCGAAGCACCCGAACAACACCGCCAAAAAAATTTCATGCTTTCGCGTTCTCAAAGTGATGATATTTTTAGATGACGAGTCTGATCCGAGGTTTTTCTCGCTGAAGACACAATCAATTTATATTCCATTCATGCATTTCTGAAATTGAGCTCAAACGCATGAGCTTTATTTTGCATGGTTGTTCACGGGCGCCGATTATTAGACAATAATCCTGTAGTATTGTCTGGGAATACCTTGGAAATGGTGTCCATCGATACACAAACTGTAATTTACGGTTGGTTATTTTTTCCAGCTCTTTGGTACTGACACTCGCATAAGATGATACAAAAGAAACTAATAAGACAAGCATATGTCTGAGTTATCATTGAAGAAAAGTTTCATACGTCTGATGCAGCATTTAAAGAGCAGCAGTAGGTCTGACTCCGGGTCAATCCAGAGGCAGACAAGGATTTGACAGACGGATTGATAGCTGGTGCAAGAGGGTTCGAAAAGTGCTACCTCTTTCTTGTTTATGATGACTTTCCACTTTTCACGACGGTCAACTGTTTCTCTCTTTACTTGTTTGGTTTAGAGATGTTGATGATAATATGCCTGTGACAGGGCGTGGTACTGAGCAAGATTAAACAAGAGGAAGTCTTTTTAAGATGTCTAGACCGGTCTTTTTAGTGCTTGAGGACAAGCATCGCACTCAGCTACCCATTTAGTCTCGTTAGATCCGATCAGAACATATCGTTTGTTCTCATTATGATGACAAGTAACCAAAACGTTTGAAATTTTTTATGAAAAGACTCAAAAAAATTCGATTTGCATGTCAGTCTGATAAATGTTCTTAGAAAGCAAGCGATCGTCGATCGCATCGCGCGTAGGTTCCCTTAAAGTCTTGTCTGGTAATCACCAACATTTTAGAAAATGATTACAATGTGGTCATTTTAATGTTAGTTTTAGTTTTCTTTCTAGCACATATAGTCAAACTCAATATACTCGCGCTTCTCGCTACAATGCCATCGTCGACCCGCTCAAGACCTTTGAGATAGATTAACAGAGCGACAGTTTTAAGAACTTGATCAGTTGTTTCTTCAAACATTATCGCCTTAGACGACGAAAATTTTAAAGGCCTAATAGAATAGATCAATGCTCATCGCATCGCATCTCATCGCATCGCAGTGCTCATCGCATCTACTTGTTGACATCAAAGGGAAGTACAATCATAAGTTAGATCACCGCAATGCCAAAGGAAAATTTGATCTTTAAACTGGACAATTTAGAGTACCAGTACCATCACCTGAATGGAACTTTGAGCGAGTTCAAACCGCGCTTGAAGAACACTTCAAAAACGTTCAATGCTAAAGGAAAGAAAACCTCGAAAAAGATCAGTAAATTACTGGACTCTGCAAGCTTGAAAGATATTAATCGTCAATTGACCAACTTGCGTGCTGAAATCGTGCAGAAAAAAGCGTTTCATTTGGAAAATAAGCTCACAAGTCTGTTAGAAAAGACTCTACAACAACAGTATGCGTCTCTCAAGAAAAAACATACAGAGAAGAATGAAGATAAGCTTAAGACTCTCACAGAACTAGATGAGAAATACAAACTTCCCATTTTTTGCAGACTGTTTGCAAAATCAAGAACTTGCAAGTTGTTGGTAGCGAAAATTACGCCTTCGAAATCCTCGAAAGATGATCCTCCAGCTTGGTTCAAAGACAGCGAATACTTCCAGGCAGCGCAAAACAAGACCCAAACCTATAACCCAAGCCGCGTTTGGAACGAAGTGGTGACCACTACAAATGGATGTGAAAAGCTCTTGAGTCAGGCTATGGCAGGACAGAAAGTGAAGGAACTTTTGACGGCCTTTGACAGTGGTATGGACATGTTTCTCAATACAAAGAAAGCTAAGGAGAATGAGCTACCGAAGACATCTGAATCGGCAACAAAAGCCGCTGTTGATGATTCAGAATCCGACTCGAGCTCGGAATCTGAGTACGAAGAAGACAGTGAAGGTGGATCGAGCGATGGTGCTCGAAACCCTTCTACCGAGCTTCCTGAGGGTGTGGATGAAGACGAAATTTTAAAACAGTACGAAGGCTTGCTAGTCGGTTCCGATGAAGAAGATGATGAATCTGCAATGCCCACGTTAGACCCTTCGGTGAATTATAACGAGATTACGGATGAGGAGCCCAGCGACTCAGAGGAAGAGTACGACATAGAGCTAGGTGATAACGATTCAGATGAGGAGCCCGCTTCCAAACGACAGAAAATAGAAAAAATCAAGAAAAAGGACAAAAAGAGCAAGGAGACTGCCGCCCTTCCTGAACTGATGACTGGTTACTACAGCGGTGGTTCAGATGATGAGTTTTCAGAGGATGAAGTGGCTTCAAAACAAATAGCCAACGAGCCCAAGCGTAAAAACAGAAGAGGTCAAAGAGCCCGGCAAAAGATTTGGGAGAAGAAATTCGGTAAAAATGCCAAGCATGTCCAGAAGCGGATGGTTGAAGAGCAGTCTGAAAGACAGCAAAGACAAGCTGAATATGAAATGAGAGTTGCAAAGCGTGCTAGCAAAGCTCGGGAAAGAGAGGAGACACAGAGCCGTGATACTAACGCACAAAAGTCTCGTGAAGTAAGTGCTAAAGATACGCAAATGCACCCTTCATGGGAGGCCAAGAAACAAGCAGAAGAAAAGCAAAAGGCGGCGAAATTCCAAGGTAAAAAGATCGTTTTTTGAAAGGATTCTGCTCCGCCTCACAAGGCGTCTGACACCGCTGAAGATCGAGAAGTACAAATTGGACCTGATTGTGTCGTATATCAAAAATACATATAGATATACATATTTATATATGGGAGGCTGGAAGTCAAGAATAGTTAGAATCGAAATTGTAGACTAAGTTGAGATTCTTCCCGTTAGTGGATCTCTTTTCTTAAAAGACAAAAGTAGATCATCTTTAGGGAAAATCGTGGCGAAAACCTTGATCTTTTCACTTAGTGGTGTCACTTCGTGTTCCCAGTTTGTGTACATGGCGAATTTGCCAATGAGTGCTGTAAAAGTCATCATAACGTAAGTTTGGCCCAAACAGACGTGAGGGCCGGAACCGAACACTAACCAGTTTTTCTTTGCTTCGTTGGCAGCAGAACCTTCAACCCATCTCTCAGGAATGAACTCTTCAGGGTTTTCGTAAACTTCTGGATCGTGCAAAGCTGGGTATAAAGTTGGGATCAGCATTGCACCCTTTGGAGCTGTGTAATTGGGGGCCACTGGAAATTTTTGCTTGACCATGTAAGGCACCATAATGACTGGAGGTCTGTAACGTAGGGCTTCCTTCACGACCATGTAGGTATATTTCATTTCATCGATCAAAGGCAAAGACAATGGCTTTGAGGGGTCATTGTCACGGACCTGTAGCTGTTCCTCTCTAATCTTTTGCATAACATCCGGTCTATCGGCAACGATCTGGAACAACCAGCAAGCCAGGGACGAGGATGCATCTTGAGATGCAAACAAAAATGTGAAAACGGCTTCCGAGATCTCTCTGTTTGAGAATTCTCTGTGAAGAAGTCTAGAGTTTTCATCGTCCTTGGTCTTGGCGTCGTGCATCAACTTGCACCAGGCATCCATCACACAAGTAGATTTACCGCCTGCCGCAATATGGTCCTTGGCCATTTGAGCACATTTTTCGAAAATCTTCATGGTCATGTCTGCAGTTTTACGACCGTACCAAGTCTTGGTGTATGGCAAAATTATTGGGAAGTTGACCAGCTCCAAAGCAGCGGTGACCAAGTAATAGTCGTCGGCCACTTTTCTAATCTGGTCCTCGGTAATGTAATCGCCACAGAAAGCTTTCAAAGACAACGCACACATAATTTCTCTCATCTCGTGGAAATACACTCTTGGCTTGAAATCAGTTTCTTTAGAGAACTCCACGAATTTTTCCAAATACTTGTCCATGACCACTTCCTGGGTTTCCAGGTATTGTGCCAAAGCGGTCTTTGTGAAAAGTCCGTTCAACGACTTACGGTAGTCTACATGGGCCTTGCCGTCCAAAAACACCCAGTTTGAGGGTCTCAAAATCTTGACTGCAACGTCCACGACGCAGGGCTTGACGTATTTGGAGCTCTGCAGGATTTTACGTGCCAAATCTCTAGTCGAGGCGATGACCACAAATTTGTGGAAAATGGAAACACATGACAGAGGACCCGAGTCCCACTTGGCTTTGTACTCTTCGAATTTGGGGTCCAGCGATTCCAAAAACGGCCCGATCACAGGCCACATCTTGTACTTGGGACCTGCAATGTCGCCCTTTTTTATCTGGTACGAGATTTGGTCCCATGCCAGGCCCACACAAATTACGGTAACAAACAATTTCCAGTACGACAGCTGCTGAACAGCTGCCACCATGCTTTGAATGCTGAAGGCCCCACTGGCTGCCGTGGTGACATTTTGTTGAGCCTCCATAACCCACGCATTGCTGGAGCTGTTATGAAGGATAGAGCTCATTGTCGCTGATAAATAGATTTATTCTCGTTTGTTTGTCGTATTAACCTCCACGATTAGTGACAAATATGAAAAAATCGGCCCTTCTCCCACAGATCAGACACTGTTGGGTGTCTCTCTTTTATACCCTTCGTACCGGAGTAATCGGAGCTTAAACTTAACGATGTTTGGTTTGGTGACGAACAATTGGATAATCGACGGGAGAGAGAAGCTTGTTCCAATACGATTTTTGACTCGAAAAAATTCTGTCGAGCGTTAAACGAGCTCGAGTTGTTCGCGTATACGAGGGGGGAGGAAAAAGAGAGTAGCACGACTTCACGTGACCACGGAATGATATCGGCGATGAGTAGTGGTGTGTGTGTATGTATAGCCCGATATACCACTTCATGTTACAATACGGGGAGTTCTCGGTTCTCGATTCTCGGTTCTCGATTCTCGATTCACGATTATTGGTTCTTGGTTCTTGGTTCTTTTTGGAAAATGAGATTTCGGGCCAGCTGCTCTCGTTACCACAGTGTGTCGTTGTTACTCTTGGTGGACCGATGTGCTGGTGTGGGTGTTTCTAAGGCCTGTGCCATTGACATGTAGGGCGGGTTCTTGAAATTGCTGGAGTTGGGAGCGTGGGTGTGGGATCTGCCATTCGCTGCAGTGGGGGAAGTTGCCGTTTTATGGCATTGGTCGCAATGCGGAGGTGTCGCTTCCGAGTGTGGAGCAGTGTCAACAGTTGTGTGGGTCGGCAGTGTGGGTTTCGACATGTCCAGTTTGTCCATTAGGTCCAGAAGTTCCTTATTCAGTGAGAGCTTTCGTAGTTCATTTTCACGCTTGATCAGAAGCTTGCGTTTGAGTAGATCGATCTGACCCTCTAGGGACTTGAGCTCAGCGCTTTCTTGCGTCAGGATCTCGTCTTCGGAGGCTGCATGCAAAGAGCGGTGTAGCACCGAGTCCGTCGAGGTAGAGGACGAATTGGGTCTTGTGTGGGCTTGGCGAGCGCCAACGTTAGAGTGGGCCAAGTTTGCCGCGCTCTCGCCAATCGAGTTAGTCATCAACGTTGTGAGAGCATCCAGCTTAGAGTATATGTCACTGATGCGAGTCTCCAGCTGAGAAGCCCGAGCTGCCGAGGCGGTGGAGTCCTTCGCACGCGTCTTGTTCACCTGCAAAACGTCAACGGGCGAAAAAGTCGGGGACGGAATACCTGATTCCTGCGACTGATGACGGGTAGTAGTTGCCGCGCCATTGTTGTTGTTGTTGTTGTTGTTGTTGTTGTTGGTACTCTGTTGGCTCAACTTCTTGTTCAGCTCTGTGTATTTGATAAGCTTGCCTCTGAGGGACCCGATCAAGACGTTCATGCGGTCGATTTCGTCCTGCTTGCGGTCCAATTGTTGCGTAAGATCTTTGTTTTGTTTGATCAGTTTGTTGATCATTTGTGAGTTGACGCGATACTCTTCCGGTATTATGCGTTCGGAGGGGATCATAATGGCGTTTGCGGGTTCGCGGGTTTGAAAGTGACAAGTGAATGGAGGAGAAGAGTGGTTTGATTGTGTGATGTGGTTTTTGACGCGACGTTTTTACACGTTGATGTGAATTTGTGATGTCATGGAGATGTCAAAAGGGCACTTTCGTTGGGTGTGACAATGGAGAGCTTCAGAGATCTATTGTGAACAACTTAAAATGGCAACAAGCACTACTGAGCAGTAATGAGAGTCCTCTACTTAGTTACAATTGAGAATGTCAGCGATCTCTTATGAAAAAAAGAGCCATCTTTATACTTTTGTACAATTGCGAGTGTCAGGGATCGATTGTGAAAGAAGAGGAATTTTAGTACCATTGAAAAATCAGTACAATCGTCGAAAGAACAGAAAACTCTTTGTTCGCTGACGCTCTCAATTGTGAATACACAGAGAGCTCTAATTAACATTCAACAACTAATAGAATCGTCTATCGGTAGTGATATAACTTGAAAGCTCTTAGTATCGCTCAACAGGTGAAAGTACCGGGCTACATGCTGCTGAACAATTGCTCGTTTTAATCTCCATTGTGAATAAGAAGAGCCCTTTTAGCATCAGCGATCGATTTTATAATTATTAAGCAGAAAACCTCTGGTATCATTGAAAAAACAGAAAGCTGTTTGTATCGCTGACGCTATCAGTTGTGAAGAAGAAGAGCCCTCCCAAAACTATTGAACACTCAACAGTATTATCGATCAGTAGTAATGTAAATTAATCTAGTCGCACCATTATTCAGTCAAAAGCGTTAGCGACAAGCACCATTGAGCAATGGAGAGCTTCAGCGATCTCTTGTGAACAACTTAAAATGGCTACAAGCACTACTGAGCAATTGAGAAAAACAAGCATTATTGAACAAGTGTGCTCTCTAAATACCATTGAACAGTCGGTCGTTGACGCTTTCTTGACATTATTCATGCATTAATAGCACTAATGTGATGGTGATTACGTAAACACAAAGATGAATACAAACACGGACGTCGCTGACGCTTCCAATTGTTCAATGGTGCTTGTAGCCCTCTACTTATTCACAATTGGGAGCGTTAGCGAGTAGTGGGCTTTTAGATCGCTAAAGCTCTCAATCACGAGTATCGGAGGCATAGTAGAACGGTTCAACTATTGACAGCAATCGCGATCAGTTATGGATAGTCGAATGATTGTTTTCAACATTATTGAGCACTCCACAATGCCACCAATATATCTGTTCATTTGTGAACAAGTAAAGATGTAGTACTGCTATTTACAAGCCCAAGAGCGTGTACAAGCATCACTGAGAAACTGAGGGTGTCAAGACCCAGGAGGGTGTTTTGAGTGTAGTTGATGACCTGTTGGAAGGAAAGCATTGAGAGCGAGTTAGCAGTTGGTCAAAGGGAAACCGAACACGTGGAGGCGGCTCAACATTCAACTGCTCTCTCTCCACCTCTCTCACCCCAGACACTTCTATCCTGGCTCTTGACGCTCCCGCTGAGATCTGTCGACGAACCCAGTCCTCTCACGTGACACGCGTCACGAAATTCGAGCAGCTCGCAAAACAAATAGTGTAGTCAAAGGTGGACCGAGAGCACACCATAACTCGAAACAAGCACTTTTGACCACAGTAGATACTTGCCATAGACACACCGGTCTCCCTCCCAGTCTTAACAAAAAAGTCCTTCTATTCTTCTCCATATGCTATGTAAATGTTACGCGTGGCGAGTGGCGCGTAGTGTTTGGTGTTTGGTGTTTGGTGTTTGGTGTTGCGCTGCTTGGTGTCGCTGCTGCCTATGCTTGTCTTTGTTCCGGGTCGGACTTAACGGTGTCGGAGCCTCTGGCGGCCGCGTTCATCTGCTGGTCGTTGACGGAGCCGGACGCGGACATCGGAGCGCCTCCAGATAGACCTGCCAGCTGTCCGACAGTGGTTATCGCATTGCCCATTAGCCCGTGGCCGCCGTGGCTGCCGCCATGCGCCACTACGCCTGGACCGGGCATCAGCAATCCCGGTCCCGGCGCCGGGATGTGGCCGCCTAAGCTGTGGTGGGTTTGGCCACTGGGACCAGGCCCCATAAGCGCGGCCATTGGGCCTGGCATCATATGGCGTCCGGAGCCAGCGCCGGTGCCGGTAACGGTACTGCCCACATACGCGTACTCCGGGAACTGGTACCCGCCGCCATAGGCGGCTGCTAGCGGCTCAGGGTAGCCCTGTGGGGCTGCAGCCTGGGACTCCGGGTAGTAGACGCCCCTAGAGGGCGGCGCAGAAATGGCCACCTGCTGCGGGGCGCTGCCGGTAAGGACCGATGACGCGCCTTGCTGGATCGCGCTCTGAATGTCCCGCACAAACAATGGGAACAGCAGCTCGGCGATCTTTTCGCGTTGCGCCATGGCAAGCGCGCTGTCGAACGGGATCCACACTCCCTTGAGATGCATGGATCCGATCTTGACGACGTGGCGGATCTTCTCGGCTTTCAAAATACCGTCGCGTCGACCCCGGGTCATCTTGGCCACGTTCAGCAGCTTCGTGCCGTTGATCATGTCGTTGTCGGCCCTGCGAACCACCGACACGCCGTTGGCCTCGACTTGGTAGCACAGCGTGTTTTCGTCCTCCCACACGGTCGTGGTGACGCGTGGGCGCGCGGGCGCGCCCGAAACGTTGGACGCAGGTTGCTGCGGCGCATGCAGCGCGTGCGCGCCGACTGGCGACGCGTGCGACGACGAGATATGCGGGCCGGCCTCCACAGAGGCGCCCGCGGAGGCCAGACCCAGCAGCGCGGAGCCGTCCAGAGACGAGCGCGCGGGGGGCACCATGCGACGGCGTTTGGAGTGTGCGAGCTCTTCTGGGGCGGCACCGGAGGAGCCGTAGTAGGCGGCCACGGGGGAATTGGTGATATCCTCCTGGGGGCCTGCGGCTCTGAATCCGGGATACTGGTACGATTGGGCGTGGGCGTGGGCTTGAGCCTGGGCCTGTGCTTGTGCTTGTGCTTGTGCTTGTGCTTGGGCTTGGGCTTGGTACTGAGCCTGAGCCTGAGCTTGCGCTTGCGCTTGCGCCTGGGCTTGCGCCTGCATCTGGTCGTACTGGCGGTACGCCATGTACGCTGGCTGCTGTTGATGTGGTTGATGCGAGGAGTACTGTTGTTGTTGTTGTTGTTGTTGTTGTTGGTGATGATGCTGTTGTTGCTGCTGGTGATGCTGTTGTTGCTGCTGCAGCTGGTCTTCGGCGGCTACGCCGCCGTACGACGGGTAGTATGACGCGTAGCCCGTGGTTGTCCCGTACGACGCGTAGCCCTGGCTACCGTCTGCAGACGACTGCTGTCCCGCAGACGCGGCCGCAGCAGCGGCTGCGTTGGGGTGGTACGCGTATGCGTACTGCGGCACGTGCGCGGCACCCGTGGTTGCCAGAGGTCCCGCGGAATCCACAAGCGGCCCCGCGGAGTAGCCCGCGGTCTGCGCCTGCGCCTGTGGGCTGTAGTGGTACGCGTGATGCAGCTGTTGGTGCGGCTGGTGCGGATGCTGCTGGTGCGACTGGGGCGGCTGGTGCTGCGACTGCCAATAATCGTGCTGCGGAACAGCCGCGGCACCAGCAGAGTTTCCGCGGCCGCCGCCGCCGCTATGATTCTTAAGCGGATGCGTCGCTGCAGAAGCTTGCGCAGCGTCCGCCGCGGGACTCCCGGCGGCTGCGTCGACGGAGCTTCCGTCGACGCCCGCAACAGCCGCCGCCGACGATTGCGGCTGTTGCGGCGGTGGCGACTGCTGTGATTGTTGTTGTTGCTGCTGCTGCTGCTGCTGCTGTGATGGTTGCTGTGGTTGGGTCTGGGTTGACTCGGGTGGCTGCTGTGACTCCTGCTGCTGCGTTTGGTATCCGGAGCCGGAGCCGGAGCCGGAGCCAGAGCCAGAGCCAGAGCCAGAGCCAGAGTCGCCATTCACCGCCTCGTGGCTGCTCTTCTGGTCGGCTACGACTGTGCTAAGCTCGCTCATCTGTGGTGTACCGGTGTTGCGGATGTCCGGGTGTATATTGGTTTCTTGGCCTCCAGGCGACGTTAATAATCTACACATCGCACATCGCACACCGCCCGGTTTAAATATGCACCGGCCTGGAATAATTTTTTTTGCATGGCGTTGCAGTTTGCATGCCTCGTGTTATGCAAAACGCGGACTCGTCCACACGGCTCAGAAACAGGGCAGTGGTATGGCCGATAAGCTGCGCGAGAACAACACGACGCAAGATAGCGCGGGCGCACAGGGCCAGAACTGGTTTAAACGCGAAAACGGTGAATAAACGTTGAGTTTGGCAATGGTGTAGCGTAGCCCGGCTTACGCGAGAATTTGGGTGCAGACGACGCGACATGTGCGTAATGCCATGTGCAGAAAAGGACACGCGTGTGCATGTTGGGGGAGTCTGGGTGACTGGGGTATGGGTGTTGTACTCGAGTACGTGATGCGAATAAGCACGTGATATATTGGTGTCACTGTGGACGAAACACGCATGTCTTGTGAGATCACATGATGAGAGCGTTTCCTTGACTCTGGAGAAGCGTCAAACAACACTTTCCCACGCGTAATGTCAGTCTAGACAAAACTTCTTGACACTGCAAAATGCTGTCGGGCGCCCTGACACGATCTTCTGTTTTCCGATCCTGACCGCCCACGAGTGTTGATGTCAATGGTGTTTCGAAAATAGGCTTTCGCTAGCGCGATTCAAAAATACTACACTCAAACCGTTCGAACAAAACTGCTTAAGATACTGAAGAATCATTGCCGCTCACTCTTTCGAAAAGCTTTTTTTGGCAGCACAGCGTCGATGTAGGCAGCAGGTAATATATAAACGTCTTGAACTGCGGTGGGATATCTGATAGTTGGCCCCGAAAAGTGAATAAAACAGACTCCGATCTGGGTCATTGTGAGGAACTGTTGTGATTCAAGATGTCGTGGCGTGTCACGTGACTGTGCGACTGACGACGGAAGCCAGCATTTCGAAGCCTTCAATAGGTTCGTAGCGACCATTAAAAACCCTCGCATTCGTAGCTTATCGAATGTAACCTGACTACCACTGAAACTCTTCGCGAGTTCTTTCAACTGTTGACTCACCGAGTTAAAATTATCGCATCTTTGAAATATTAGATGAATACATTCCGATTCTAAACTTAATGAGAAAATACACATACTGTCGTCTCAACAAAACTTACCATCCTCTCTTTCAAACAGCCCAATGCGTGGCAGTCACCAGCCATCTTCCACTCCACCAGCGACATAATGGTATAAAATGATATCCATTGTCATTTTAAATCCTTTCTCCTGCATTTCAGCATTACCAATTCGACCTTTACGGACATCACTCTCTTCTCGAAGGTAGCAGCATGCCCAGACATGTGTAACTGAGACAAACCAAGCTCGATCTTTTATCCATCAATCACACACCATGCTAGCCGCCAACCGTCTTCGAGTTCGCAAAGCATGCATCAACTGCAAACGACGCAAAGTGAAATGTGATGGATTGAGACCTTGCCAAAACTGCATCAAACATAATATGCATTGCTCGTACCAGCCCGATTTGCCTCGAATTCGTAATACAACATTTACTTCTATTTCGTCAGATCCGATCCACGAAGCGGATCTGCGTTGGTCTTCTCCATGGCAGCGATACTCACCCCACAATTATCGTTTCCAGCGCAGACACCAGAATTCACTGCCTTACTACTTGGGCTTGGCTTTGATGAAATCGTTACCTCAATCTGTGATAGATCAATGCTCATTAAGGCCGCCTCGTCTACAATTTTATGGCTGGAACATGTCCGGTGGTCATTACCTGGAACACCGTCACATTCAGTTCTCACAGGACTCTGCACAATGGCAATGGGATTTTACTGACCCAATTCAACGAAAAATAGTAGAAAAGCTCGCTGGATTCTATTTCCAAGATATCAATCAGTTTATTTCCATCGTTCACGAACAAGCCTTTTGGCAACAATTCAAAAACGGGTTTGTCAACCGCGATCCACATGGCTCGGCAGATTTATTCGAATCAATTCTCAATTTGATCGTTGCGATTGCATTGCGCTTCAGCTACACTAGAGATAACTGTGACGTGCAATTGCCAAATTCAACAACAAAAGCTTCCCCCAGCGAATGCTTGTCACTTGATGAAGTCCAATGGGTCGAGTCTCACGTAAACTTGGAGGAAAGGCTATTTGAATTTGCTTACACAGTTACTGACAAGTTATCTTTTGAGTGGGAGTCTTTCGAGCTTATTCAGTCCTGGCTTCTTATAACATTTTACTTGCGAACCTGCCATCGCCAAGTCTCTTGCTCGCAGGCTCTTAGTCGCGCCGTGCAAATATGCAATGGCATGTCCCTGTTTCTGAACAGATTCCCGGAGCACCATAACGCTTACGACGAATGTAGAGCAAGAAATTGCTACTGGACATGCTTCGTTATGGATCGACTCATCAACTTTCAGATGGGTCGCGTTCCGGGGCTCGTCCCTCCTGGTCCAGAAATGGAAGCCCCAGATATTGCATTCGATAGTTGGCAAAGCCCAGAATCAATTTCTTTGTACAAACTCGCTATTATAATATCAGACTGCCAAAAACCCCACGGTGAGGAACTACCGCAACGCGAGTATCAAAGTGCGAAAAATCGTCTTATTGAATGGTATGACACCGTTGGAACGAGCCTCGGTGATCAAAATCTTTGTACGGGACAAGTGATCTTGATGTATTTGGACGTACGGATAGCTTTGGAGATAAACGGCCTGTTCTCGTTCCTAGACGTTGAAGAAAGTTGCTCACCTAATGCTCGGGCTATAAAGGCGCCCATGCTTCTCGATCTTGTTTCTCTGGTTTTGAATACAGTTGACTCAATTGTAGCATCTAAGCTTTATTTCAGGCCTTGGTGGCTGAATCTGTCTCTTTTGTTCACCTCGAGTATCATCTCTCTGATTCTGATTCGCAGTGGGATTCAGCTGCCACGAGCCAGATTGTTATTAGAGCAAAGCTTCAAGACGTGGCATTATATTGAAAACACAAAGCCGCCAAATCCACCCGAAATGGCCTCGGAATGTCTGTGGTGTCTAAAAATGTTAAATCATATGATTTGCCAGCAGCTGCAGTTGTCTGCAAGGGAGCTGGAAAGTGTAATGGGCGTTGATCACTCGAACGACTCGGTAAACAATAATAAATTCCGGCAGTTTGGTGAAGTGGAAAAAGAGCCATCAAAGACCGAATCACGGAGTCTTGAATTCAGTCCCCCGCTGCCAACCTTGTTGGAGGATAACAATGGCGATCTCCTTGCTCACCTGAAATGGTTTGATCAATGGCTCGACGTAAATAATCTCGATACTCTGCTGTAAAATGATTTTTAGGAATTATAAGATGAGCAAAGTCCGAGAATCCCTCATTGTGAGGACGTGCTTTCTGATTTTTTTTGTAGTTGCCGTGATCTTTCGTAGTAAAGGTTTGGGTGCGAGATATGCGTCTGATCATTGACCTCCACATTAGTGGATCCACCATGTGTCATCTCGAATACTTTAGTGCACGCTACTGTATATTCTGTTCGTTGTACATTATCCAAGACACTTGTTACCTGAACTGGAGTCAGATTCATTCCCTGCGATAACTCAAGCGTCAGCTTTTCAACATTCCAATCTCTGTAAGGGCATCCGTGAAACTCCCCCCTCGAGGGTCTGGGCTTTGAAAGAATAGTTCGACAATCCCAGGGCTTGTAATTGATTCTGTTACCTTCCAAACCGTAATTATGCCTGAAGTTGTATCTGTATTCTTTGTTGAACTTTTCTGTCGTAATACCACCGCCGGAAAAAGCATCAGACCAAAATTGCAACGCGTCATCAACGCTCATCCCAATACCTTTCAAAAAGAACGACAATTGCTGACGAGCCTGATACCGCAAATGGTGAGTGGTCCTCAGTCCATTTATTAGATTTTTAGCACAAAGAGGAAAGTTTTCTACAATTTTGGCGGAGTAGACGCTAGTTGAATTGACTTCTCCTTGTGAAGCTTGTCCGTATTGATCTTGTTGCAAAAAGTTGGACGCATCATATCCAGAAGATAAATGATGTAGAATAGGCAGCAGGCGATCATCTTCGTTTAGACGTGGAATGTTTTGGGATGTCTTGATTAACGCTGTAGACAACATATTAGAAAATTCGTTGGCGATGTGATTGAGTTGCTGGAACTGAGGGAGATAGGCGAACCCTTTTTTGATGAACACTTGCCTGCTGCCGACTAGGTCGGCAACAGACTCGAACGGCAGTTTGATAAACTTTTCCTGGTTAAAATAGTTGCGCCGTTGCGTTTCATCGGTCAGATTGAGTTGAAATTGTAGGGCACTGGAAACAGTCTGGTAAAGCTCCGTAGAGAGCTCTTCTTTTTCCTGATCCGAGATGAACTGAAGAAAAGGAAGATCCAGTGTTTTCACAAACTGAGCCTGGTCTTGTGACGTCAACATGTTGAAGCGAAGTCTCAGCAAGGTAGTCTCAGATCTGACGAATTTATCACGAAGTTCTTTAGACCGACAAAAACATAGCCTCAAGATAAAATGGGAGTAGTAGTCCTTTTTACGACTTTCAAGATCATCTGTCGTAAAGGGCAGTAGCTTTTGTAGAAGTGGTTTAATAATCAATTCCATTTCTTTGGCAGATTTGTTTCTTTGAATGCACGACTCGACCTCGAGAAGAACTTTAAGTCTATCGATAGCCCAGAGCTCAAATTGCTCTAATGTTATTTCACCCTTAGGAGGTGAGATGTAGAAGGACAATTTGGACTGATACAAAGAATCGTAAAGCTGTTTCTCCTCCTCCGATGTTGTTCCACTGAGTATGAATGTGCCCGATGGGGAACCTGATTGATCATCGAAATTCCTCCTACTGGAAATCCTCCTCTTCGACTGCCTGAACATGTTCTATAGCTTATTTGTATTGGGATTACAAGTTACTTGCGAGAGGTTCGTAGAGGTGATGATGTTCACTGAAGAACGCGTCATGGAAGTTTGATTTTCTAGTTTTACGCGTTAGCGGGCATAGTTGGATCACGTGACATCATCGAATCTTAGAGTCATTCCTCAAATGGTCGACTAGCTGTACAGTGTCGAGGATCGTGTAGCGTTGTGCAAGCAGCCCCGGTTTAGTCGCATCATGAACTTGAACTTTTCAGAGCACTCTTATAGCGACGCTCTGTAGGAGCTCGGGAATCTTATTTTACTAATGGTTTTTTATCACCATGTACTTAACAGACGCTGGATAATAATATGATTTCATAGCTCATGAACAGAACATATCCACCTTGCAACGGTGAGCATTGACCAGGACAGGCTATTACCAGTAGTCTTTCATATATGATATTCTGAAGCTCACATGCTGTGACAAATCAAAAACAGTCATGGAATCTGCAATGGGATCTGCGTATTGTTCATATTGAATAGCTGGAATTTGGCGTGGTGTAAAGACAGGAAATTGAAATACTAAATCGACCAAGGCGATTATTATCGAACTAACCGTTTTCTTATTTACTTCCACGGCCTCAAACTCAATTTAATATCACTCTATTGTTTGCAATCCCGACGCATGACGCTGGCAAACTTCGAAACTGTTAATATTTTATCGGACACCAAATTAAAGAGATCGATGTGGTAGCACAGCGTCGTAAAACTCAATTCACGCCATAATTGCCATTTTTCCTCAAGCGCTCGTTGATATTGCTTTCCACCTGCTTGGACTTACGCTCCATATGCTCCGTCGAACTGATCCTTAGAAAGTCAACATTCAGTTTTTCCAAGCGTCGATACATTTAGGAAAATCAACTAGCACGTAACTTACCTGACCAAACTTAAACAACTTGCAATCTGACCAGCGGTGCTTTACAAAACATACAGGAATTGCACGAATGACAGTCCGGATAGCGACCTGCGCTCAGCGTCTTCCGGCACCTAGGACAATATGCTAAGTCCGATACAATCTTTCTAAGCATTCTAGCCAGTTTAACGACCTGTCGGAACGAGCTCTTCGAGCACTCAACGCTACGATTTCCCTGTATACTGGAGAGACCTTAGTGTCACTGATAACTCATCTTCATCGCTTATCTCTTATCGGTTACCTGTTCTGGCGCTTCTTATCGAACGGCTCAAGTTCTTTAAATTAAGCGCTTATGCCTCAATTTGATCATGATACACGAATTAAACTCAGTCAGGTAGAAATAGACTGATCTGTATTTAAAGGCATGAAGACTAGACAACTATCCAATCGTAAAGACCACTAGTAGTCAGCTCTATCACTCACAATTGAATCACAATGCAAGAGAAGAGTGTCGTAATCATAGGTGCCGGAATTTCCGGCTTGAAAGCAGCTTCTGAGCTGTACAAGTTAGGCTACAAGTCTTGCGTGGTCTTAGAAGCTAGAGATAGAATCGGTGGCAGACTATACACAGTTCCAGGCTACAAAGAAAACAAATACGACATAGGTGCCAGCTGGCACCACGACACACTGATCAATGGCCTCTTTCTTGAAGAACTAGGGCTCTCCAAAGAAGAACGTGCGCATTTTGTGTTCGATGACGATGTTGCAGTCATTTTCGACAAAGATCGTGGCCGTGTAGACAACAACCCAGAAATGACACTCGAATTGCTATTAGAAGAGCTCATTAAGTTCAACGAGTTGCAGTTTTTTGAAGGTCTCGACGTCACAGACACCAGCTACTTCGAGACCATCGTCAAATATCTGTACGAAAGAAGGGACCTGCTGACCGACGACCAGATCAAGTATTTGCCCCAATTGGCCCGCTACATGGAGTCCTGGCATGGTATCGACTGGAAATCTATGAGCTCCAAATGTATGGAGATCGCTCATCAAGGTCGCAACGCATTTGTGATGAATTTCGATAAAATCGTCAAGCGAATTAGCTCCACATTTCCCGAAGAGTGGCTAGTGATGGAAACAGAGGTGACATCTATAGATACACAGGGCATCAAGGCAGTAGTAAAAACTAATAAAGGCGAAAATTACGAATGCGACTTCGTCTTGGTGACTATTCCGCAAAGCATTCTGGCTCACTCGTTGAGACCCGAGCCACGTAAGGGTAGAATAGAGTTCACTCCACCTCTGACTCAAAAAATACAGGATGCTTTCAAAACGGCCCATTATGGTGCTCTTGGGAAGGTCGTGTTCGAGTTTGAAGAATGCTGTTGGTCCAAAAAGCGATCCCGGGCATTGTCACTGGGGAAATCGAGCACGGACATCATTAATAAAGTAAGAGATGCAGACGATCTTGCATCGCTCATAAAAAGGCTCGATATTGACACCGAATACAAGTTTGAAGAAGGCGAGTCCTGGGACTTTCCACTGTTCTTCGTGAACTTGGCTAAACACTCCGACATCCCTTCTTTAATTATGTTGATGGCAGATCCGCTTACCAGACACATCGAATCATTGGATGACAAAGAAAAGCTTTATGATTTCTTTGAACCGGTTTTGGCCAAGCTCCTTGAGGCCTTCGAGTGTTCTGGCTCGGTAACAGTAGACTTTGACGACAAACTAAAAACGGGCGATCAGAAAGGCCCCATTTTGAAAAATATTTTTACGACCAAGTGGACTCAAGACGACTACGCTCTAGGCGCATATTCTGCGTGTGTTCCGGGGGACGATCCACTTGATCTCGTTTTGGCCTTGACAGATAATGATGGTTCAAAGATCCGGTTTGCTGGTGAACATACCATCATGGATGGCGCCGGCTGCGCGTATGGTGCCTGGGGTAGTGGCAAAAGAGAAGCAGTGTTTATTGCCCAAAAAATGGGCAAAATCTGAACAACAAAACACCCTTGAATCTACGTAACGAAAATCTAATCCTTTATTTAGACCCTACCATTTTAAAATATATACAAGAACACCAAACCATCGACTATGCGTTTGTAAGCAGCCCAATACTATGCTTGTTCGAGCATTTTTCACCATACTGAATTGGATCCTGCATTCCAATTGAGTGTATCAGGTCCTCGAACCATTGTATCAGATCTATGTTCGAAATTTGTTCCTGTGTCATGAATGGCATTTCTTCTTTTAGAAGTGTCCACCAGTATCTTGATGGTATCAATTTTTGCTTGTATTGAATAAGGGTTGTGGGTCCCAGTGGTACATTCAATAATCCATATAATAAGATGTTGTTAAAGGGGACAATTTCCTTAGGGTGCGAGACGCAGTCACTTGCGTCGCAGTGAGAAGCAGGCATTTTGCAAACAACAGTGTCCTGATGAAAATGGTCATCCGCAAGACTGATCCGACCGTTTCCCACGTTTGATAAAGGCACCCCGCTTTGTTTCACATAACTCTCGATTTCTTCTTCTTTACGGTGAATGAGGCAATTAACGCAGGGACAGCTGTTGTCATCACAGTTGCATTTGGTACTAAGATAGACTCCCTTGGGTGTGAAGAGCTCTACGAAGGAGTTATTTTGAAACTCTGAAGCAGTAGTATAATCCATCTCCAACGGAATGTCTAGACGATTTGCACTGGGATCTTTGTTAACAGTGGACGCGTGGTGGTCGCTGATGTGGGGCTCGAGACCCGGATAGTCATTTTTGGCGTTTACATCCTCCTTGGACAGTCTCGAGTGACAGGGTGGTGGATGTGACTCAGCTGTGTTTGTGGAATAGGAGTGGTCGTGGCAATGTGCCGTATGCGTCTGCAGCGCTTGTTCAGCCACGTCTGCTGACGAAGGCACTTTTAAATGGTTGAGAAGATATTCTCTTTCGGAGACGAGTTTCATTTCCCCGTCGGGCAGAGATGTAGTTTTATCTTCTATCACAATTTTGAGCGCCCCATCAACCAGAAAGGCCTTCTGCGTACTTTTAGCTCGGAGAAATAGAATTGGCTGTTTGTTCATTTTGGAGCAAGCTCGGGGCGATCTTGCCGACGAAGCCGAATGGCATTCGAACCCTCTCACTTCAGGAGGGGGGCTACCTTCTACTTGGGAGCTGGCGTCGACCAGGATAACTTTTCGTACTGTTTTGGCAGAGGGACGACCCTTTGTACGAACTTTAACAAGCATTCGATTACTGTGTTTGCAGGTCGTGGACCTATGTCCTCGAATGCACGAGACACAGGCGTATTTTTCACCGTCATAGATTATCATTGTAATGACGGAACAATGCTTGATAATACCAGGATCACTGTTTGCCGGTCAAATGTCGAATACTGAATTGTCTGACTTTAAAAAGTTTGATAAAAAAAGACTCAACAAGCTCTAGCTCTTGGTAGATGCCCTCAGAGAAGCTTTGTGTACTTTTTGATGACTTTAAATGCTGAAAGCGAGTTTTTAGTCGACCGATGCAACCGGTACGCTCCTCGAACGTCGTTATACTGTATTGTCCCAAAAACAACCTTGTAAAGAGCTTTAAAAAACGACTATATTCAAAGATAGGCCTAAGAATCGAATTACGGTCTCTGATACTTTCGAATAGTTCGCCCGGAGCGGGTTTGAGCTACTTTTATTTGAATCGATGCACACTCAACAGTTCGATCTTTGAAGATTAATTAATCAATTTCTAAAATTTCCTCCAGTACTGCTACTAAAGCTGTTCCAACAGAGAAACACTTGGCCTGTCTCCCCGGCGAAAGCGTCTCAAGAACTCTAGAAAGAATGTCCAAAACCGCACAGAAGCGTTTATATAAGGAATTGACTCAATTGATGAAAGACAGCCCTGCTGGGATCGTGGCAGGCCCCGTTTCCGAGGACAACCTGTTCTTATGGGATTGTTTGATCAGTGGGCCACCGGACTCTCCGTACGAGGGAGGAATTTTCAATGCACGGCTGGAGTTTCCTCGCGATTACCCATTGTCGCCTCCAAAACTGCTGTTCACGCCTAGTCTTCTGCACCCTAACATCTATCCAAACGGTGAAGTCTGCATTTCCATCTTGCATTCGCCAGGCGACGACCCTAACATGTATGAGCTTGCCGAGGAGCGCTGGTCTCCCGTGCAGAGCGTCGAGAAGATTTTGTTGAGTGTAATGAGCATGTTGAGCGAACCCAACATCGAGTCTGGCGCCAACATTGACGCGTGCATCCTGTGGAGAGACAACCGCGCGGAATTCGACAAACAGGTGAAAGCATCGATTCTGAAATCCCTAGGATTTTGAGACGAAAAGTTAAAGAGACGGAGAGACACACCGATAGCCAGACTTACTCTCATAAAGGAACTCGGATTTTTTGTTTTTAATTTTGGTTTTGTTCTAAAGCTGGGATTGACCATAGAAATGCCTGAAGATAAAAACTACACCGTAAGTGCCCGCGAACCAGCATGTCCTCCCCAAACGCATAGTCAACACCATCAAGACCTTGAAATACTCAAAAAAGCGCCAGGTTTTGGCCGGCCGGTGACAGCTTTCTACTGTGAGAATCGACCAGCTCGTACAGAACGACGTTTAGGATTTTCGCAGTCTAATGATTTCTGATTCCTAAGTATTGTTTCTCTGCTAACCATCACCACCATCAACAGAGCGTAACCTCATCTTCACGAGGACTTGTCGATCGTAAAGTAATGAGATTATCTCTGGCATGGGTGCTGACATTTCTGGCGTCTTTTCGCGGGTCGCTAGGTGTTTATTGGAACGTAAACGACACCGATTCCATCAACAATGCAACGGCACTGGTCGCTACAGGTTTGCTGGACTATTACACAGGATTGCAGTATGGTAACCCCATAGGTATGTTCTCGTCTCCCTACTACTGGTGGGAGGCCGGCGGAGCCTGGGGATCGATTTTGGATTTCTGGTGGTACACGGGGAACACCACGTACAATGGAATACTGAAGCAGGCGCTTTTGGCACAGACCGGAAATAACAACGACTACGTTCCTCTTAATCAGTCCGTTACCGAAGGTAACGATGACCAGGCTTTCTGGGGACTGGTGGTAATGGCTGCTGCCGAAAGAAATTTCGAAAACCCAGCAGAAGACGAGCCGCAATGGCTGTATTTGGCACAGGCGGTTTTCAACACAATGGCACTTCGTTGGGACGACGATACATGCGGTGGCGGTCTCAGATGGCAAATCTTCACTTGGAACTCCGGTTACGACTACAAAAATACTGTGTCTAACGGAGCGCTTTTCCACATCGCTGCTAGACTGGCTCGTTACACCGGAAACACGTCTTACGTTGACTGGGCCGAAAAAGTGTTCGACTGGATGAAAGGCATCGATTTGTTAGAAGAGAATGGTGTAAACTGGGTTTATGACGGTGCGAAAGTTGAGGGCAACTGTACGAACATCACGAAACTGGTCTGGACTTACAACCAGGGGCTTTTGATGTCTGGTTCCGCCTACTTGTGGAACATGACTCAAGACGAAAAATGGCACACCAGAGCATGGGAATTTTTGAACGGGTCAGAAGTCTTTTTCAACAATAGCGTCCTTTATGAGGTGACTTGTCAGAGTGCCAACTCCTGCAACACCGATCAGCGTTCCTTCAAAGCTTACTTTTCAAGATTCCTGGGTTTGACTGCTCAATTGGTCCCTGAGTCTAGAAGCAAAATTATGGGATGGATTCGAACTTCTGCCGCCGCCGCCGCACAGTCCTGTTCGGGAGGTACAGATGGCCATACCTGTGGACTCAACTGGTTTTACGATGGCTGGGATGGATATTACGGGTTGGGTGAACAAATGGCCGCGCTGGAAATTATGCAAAACGTCTATTGTCTTGATAGACCTGCTCCTTACACCGCTGAAACAGGTGGAACCTCGATCGGTAACGGAGCAGCAGGTACTGAGACGCAAGCTACAAACTTAAGCCCATTGACCATTACCACAGGATCGCGGGCCGCTGCGGGAATAATAACAGCAGTTATAGGACTCTCTATTATCGCCTGCACCGTGTGGTTGGTCATTTAATGGCTCTCAGAGTTATGAGTATTAAAATTTGTATACAAAATTCATTCAACATAATAGTTTGCAGTCTATGCTCTGCACCTGCAGCGTTCTATTGAACCATCTCCGGCAAATGAAGTGGATGAAGTCGTAATCTCTTTGACTAAAACAGTCAAGTGAATTTGCAGACAAAAACACAGGCGAAACTGTTACGTTGCCCTCCTCACTCGATTGCACGGCGTCTTTCATAGAGTGGTGGAGTGTCGATATTCTTTCGTGGAAGTAACCGACCAGCGACAGCACGATTTCAATGTTATCGCGCTCCGAATCCGTCATTAGATCTTCGTCTGCTTCGTGATAAGATGGTTTCATATAACCAGCCGTCGCCCACCAATAAAACCCGTCAATCAAGTACTGCGACCACGTCGTGGGCTCCACGAGTTTACATATTTTTTCCTTCTCGTCATGCGACAGCTCGTACCCTAGGTGAACAGGCACAAGCTTTTCGTAAAGCTCAAGTTCATGTGGGGTTGCTTTGTAGGAACTTCCATCGTTAGTTTTAATCTGAGGAATTAGATCTTCGTTATTGATCCTCAAACAAATGTCGTAGAGCTCAGGACGGTCTTCCAAAATGGTATCTCCGGTACAGGCGACAAAACCGGGGATTTCGTAACTCTCATTTTGACTTGCAATGGCTTCAGAGATATGCTGTGTTAATGCCTCTACATCGGTTATTCCAATAGTGTAAAGCGGCTGCAAGGGTTGTTCATGGGTAAGATTAGCAGTGCCATGAGGGAATAAGGACAAAATTGACAAACAATACACCAGTGCATTACATTTCTCAAATGATACGCCGTCGCCAACAATTATTAGCACTCTCTGTCGCAGTAAGGACGCTTTCCACAGCGGGAAAATAAGAGGGCCGAGAAAGCTGAACCACTGCATGAGCGACTCAATCATGTGAGGGTGTTTGTCCTGCAGTGCTCTTGGCGAGCCTGTGAAAGTTGCCGAATTTTGCCAGGAACGCCGAAGAACGGGCGACGACAGCGTTGCTGTTTCGGGCTTCAAGCAGTTAGACTCGAAGTACGTTTCGAAAAGCTCATAGTCTTGAGGTTTTTCGGGAGAAAGTGCGACTTTTTGAAGCCAATGGCTTAAAAGGTCCTGAATGTCACTGATGTATTCAGTTGCGCTAATAAATTGGTTTGGTTTCCAGTCGTAGTATTTCGACTTGGATACGCCCTTGTACCTAAAATTGGCATCCACAATAACGCCGAGCGAGTACATCAATACCTTGCTTCGGTCCAGCTGATCCGAGTTTTCGCTTAGGGCGAGTGCATTCTGCTCAAAGCAAGAGACACCGTAGTACACATCGTCAAATGACTTTAGCTTGGGAATAACGAAATGAACCAAGTCTTTTTGCGTCTCATGTATTCCAGAGGGTATGGTTTTGAATTCCAGGTTTTTCAATGCTATATTTGGCGAAGAAGGTGACGTTTGGGACCATACAAGCTCATTGCCTTTTCTAACATCAAACCGGCACAGGAACATGCAACTCATTGGAACTTTGTGGGACGGTTCGGAAATTTTGAAGCTTTGCGGTTTGGCATCGTACCTGATGTCCAGAGGTTTAGTATAATGCTGCATTGATGAGATCGTGGTGCCGAGAGAGGTTTATTCTTAGGTAACATGCCGAGCGTTCTACTTGTCACTACTAACAATATCATCCAGGTCGTCTTGAATTACTTGACACGATGATAATGACGAAAACATGGCAAAATGACAGGACGGACTCTAGCGATAATCGAGTTTGACGTTAGATCAGTGGCTGTTTGGGCCAAATTTATTGAATATATGTAACGTCCAGATTTATTTTTTGGGCCTTTGCAACATTTTTAGATTTCGTATTCAACTTTGACTTGAACGATTTTATACACTGGCAATAATGTTCATTCTGGAGCAGCTGAATCTTTCGTCAGACCCACAGTTTTTGATGTATTTCACCTTGTTTGCCATGTGTACTTTGATATTCACGTCGAGTCCTATTTGCGTTGTATTGATTATTTTCTCTGTTTTTACAGGTTTGAGAACCTCTGGGGCAATTGCCAGGCCCTCAAGAATTGATGTCGCTCAAAGATGTATGTCGTCAACACTTCAAAATCTAATGTATGACACAGACTTTACATGTTGTATGAATAATTTCCCATCCCATTGATTTTTCCAGTGTCAGTGTCACTATACTATTTCATTTTCTGGAGATTTTAGTATGCCGTTTCTAGAAAAAGAGCTCTAGAAAAGCGATAGCTGACGCTCGCAATAGCCCTTGATGATGTACAGCTTTTTGGTACACGAAATAGCGTTAAAACACAACGGCTGGTCCTAGGCTCGCTTTGCAAATTGACCGCCTCTCGTTCAGTTGCGCAAGGAAAAACAACGAATGTCAGAGAGGTACAGTTTAAGGAGCAGACTGGCATCAAAAATAACCAATGGCGAATGTTGGTAACACTAGCCATGGAGAATTCCAGGTCGAATCATACTGCTGGATTTGGCTACTAATCTCGAATTGATAAAGGTCACGTGCTCCGAAATAAAGCCTTTAAATCGTAGGGCTGAAAAGCCCAACTTAAAAGCTCTGCACCAACAACAGCGAAACAACGTAGTTGTCGTCAAGTTTAGACAATTAATGACTGCGTGTCAAGGTTTCTTGTTTCTCACTGTGGTCTATCTCACTCATAACTAGGTGTCTTTTTTCCAATCACCTTTCTACCTCTGTTTTCGTTCGGACAGCATTTGAGGTCAACGATTCTCACAATTGACTGCTTCAACTGTGCCTCGATCGAATCGCCTGCATGTTATGAAAGAAACGCAACTGAGGAAGTACGTTGAGCATTGCAGTAACAAACTGCAGGAGATTGTGGATCTTCAATCGGCCCAGGCAATAAAAGATTTCCAGGCTAAAACAGAGGATAATTACCACCGCCTGGACGAGCTAAAAGATCGTTTCAAAACCAACGAGCAGATCATTGAAGAGTTCAGAGCGCTCAAATGTGAATTTGGCACTAAAATTCACTCCCTAGAGCAGTCGGTGATCTACTACGAAAAGCTGGCGGACGAGCTTCAAGAGTTTCTGGTCGAAAGCCAGGTCAAGAAGAAGCTTGCTCTAAAGAGGCAGTCGCAACACACAGCAAAATGACCTTTTCTTACACCTAGTTTTTTCTTGCTTCACTTACCGACGCAAAATCGTGAGAAAACTACCCCCAGAACTTCTTCAATGCCCACGGACTCACCAGTTATTTTGCCAATCCCCTCAGCGGCACTTGCCAAATTTTCTGAAGCCATCACAACATCGCCAAGATCGATGGTCGCTAGAAATTCATTGATTCCGTAAAGAACGTCTTTTTTCAAGATCTCCTGCACTCGTTTCGATGCCGCGATTGGATCGGCGTCCAAATCTGACAACTTCTTGAAAAATCTCGACAGGCGGTCTACCAAGTCGTCTATTCCGCGATAATCAAGACAAGATACTTCTTCAATTATTGCTAGGTCTCCGAATTGATTTTTCAGTTTTTGCCTCACTTCGGCAACAGTCTCAATATCAACAGCGTCTGTTTTGTTTATAACGGTAATCACCTCTTTCTCAGATAGCTCCGAAATGACAAGCTCGCTCAATTCGGGGGTTACACACGACCTGGCAGTGGCGTCCACAACCAAAATTGCCAGGTCACTCTGAGCAGCTTTCGCTCTTGCTCTCTTCATACCTTCTATTTCTATTTTGTCTTTGCTTGCGCTCCTTATTCCGGCAGTGTCGCAAAGGACAACTTTGAAGCCGCCAATGTCAAGTGGAACATCTATGGTATCTCTTGTCGTCCCTGGTATATCGCTGACAATCGAAGTTTCGTCGCTTGTAATGCGGTTTAAAAGAGATGATTTGCCCGCGTTGGGCGACCCTAACAGTGCAACTTTTATACCATTTTGTAGAATGGATGAACGATCGATTTTGTGTATAAATCGTTCCACTTCTTCTTTCAAAGTTTCCGTTTCTCGCGCACAAGATTGAAGTATGTGATCAATGTCGTTTATCTCAGCGTCGTCTCCAAAATCTATGATGGCTGTTAATTGAGCTATATTGGAAACAATAATGGACCTCCAGCGCTCGAATATCATCTTATGTAAACCGGTCATACTTGTGATAGCACATCGACGCTGGGTTTCCGTTTCTGCATCTATGAGATCCCCAACACCCTCGAGTTCAGTAAGGTCCATGCGTCCATTTTGGAAGGCCCGCTGCGAAAATTCACCTGGCAAAGCGAAACGTATCTCTTGTCCTGCCTTTTTATTTCCAAGGCGTTCGATGGCTTTTAAAACACTCTTTACAACTGCTTTTCCGCCATGGAGGTGTAGCTCCAGCATGTCTTCACCGGTAAACGATTTCGGACCAGCAAAATAGACCACAATGGAGGAGTCTAAAACGTTCTTCCTTCCTGAAACCTCATCGTATAAAGTTCGCAGTGAAGCTCTTCTAGCAATCGGCTTTTTCCGAGATCCAGTGAGCTGCTGGAATATGTGTTCAGAGTGTGTTCCTGTTATTCTCACCACTGCTACAGCCGATTTCTGGCCCAATGAAGTCGACACTGCATAGATCGTTGGGTGATAAAACGTAGCAGGAACATGTGAATAAAATCTTCTTGCTGCAGTGAGATATCTTAGCATCGGCTGGGTTCTCAATGAGCCTAAAGACCAAATCAAACATTTAGGTGTATTTTGATTTTGATGCGATGAGCTAGTTACTGAAAAATCCAATTTAACAAATATTGGAGCGTCAGTAAAAACGAACATAGTCAAGTCATTACAAATAAACGTAGAAATGGCTTCTTCAAGAATTCAAATTATATCTCATAATACTACACGCATTCAAAGTGACTTTTATTCAGTTGCCAACTTTTTCCGTTTCTCAATTCCTGTAAACACCGGCTATTACTTTCCGCGTCAGCGACAGACGTTCTGACACTTGAGGTCCAAATTCAAAGATACTTAAAGCGAAGTCTCATCCTTGTACACTACTCTTTCTACTATGTGATACTTCTAGCAAGCGTGCATTCACTTGAAATCAAGCTACAAATACACACTAGACCTAACTTTGATCATAATATTCGATAATGAAGCTCACTAAGATTTTTGGAATCAGCTTGGCGTCATTCGCTATGTACTCAGACCTTGTGCTAGCCAAATGGCCCGATCAGTCTTTGTACGGACCTCGACAGATTGTGGCTGAAACGCAAAATCTGGCTGCCACCAATACAACCGGGGAATGCCATGATCAAACCTTATCGATGATTGGTTCTGTCCTCTCTTATAAGGTTGACGTTGACACCATGGAGACCTACTTGTTAGAGGGCATGTCTCTTTTGAAAACCTTACTAAATGGCAAGAAGCAGTTTAATGCCCTGGACCTCATGGATATTGCTGCGACCCAGATCCACTGGTTCCCACCCGCGGGCCTCGACTTATCCGACATTTCGTTTGCTAATCAGTTTGCACAAGTGAAAACTATCTACTACTCGTCGCCAATTTTGCGTCACACTCATGACTGGGTCGTTTATGTGGCTAAAGCGTCTGCTCAAAGCGCACAGTGGAATAAACTTTCACAGTGTGCAGTCGAGGTATTTAAAGATTTGGAATCGACGACGCCAGCTGTCCACAATCTTTTCCACGAGATTGTACGCGTGCTGACGGCTCCCGAGGTACTCAAGCTATTGGGCAACTTGAAAAATCAATTGACCAAGGCTACTCCTAATTGTGTTAAGCTTCAAGATACTCGCATAAGCAAGAAGAGCGCGGCTATCAATGCAGTCGTTGACGCACGCGCGAAAGCAGCATCCAATGTTCCTTCCTGCATTGTTGATCTCACTGCCCCCAAGCCTGGCAATGTTCCCGTATTGTTCCAGCAACGCACTGTTATCTTCAACGTGAAGCATCCAAACCACTCGAACTATTCAGCTCCTGTTATAATCAAAGATGACGAGTCTTCCGCGATCACATCGTATCGCGTACCACCGTGGTCTATTATGGGAGCTGTGATAGTAATTATTAGCGGTGTGACTCTCTTCTGATCAGCTGAAAGCGCTGCAAATTGCAAATGCGTGCGTGTCAAGAACAGATTTAAAGTCCAGCATTTTTTATATCGAGCTACATCGAGCCAGTAAATCCTGGTTTAGATTCTTCTTTAAATACATTCATTAAAACAAAAATCTACTATAAAAATCCGGTGGTGCTGATAGCGAATAAACGTGGCGTCCTGGGAACACCATTGTGCGGGATAGTCGTTGACACTATTGCGCTATCCTATCACTTTTACACTTTAATGTCATAATTATATGGTGTTTGTCGTGAAGCGACAATAATTATAAAATGTGGAAAAAACAGAAAGAAATAGAGTTAAGAGTTCTCACTGAATTTGCTGAACTGGATGTGCTCATTAAATTTTGAATTTAGCGTCAATTAGAGGCACACCGAATTGTCTGATACCATTATTTGGTTGTTTGTCTTCGAAAAACCTATATTCCTGCAAATGAGATTTTTATCGTCTCCAACTCTCCACCGAACTGACTGAAAGAAGCTCGCATACAGTAGTAGAAAGAATCGAACGTATGGCTATTCAGCCTTGCTGACTATATTCACTGTCAGTTTCTTTCATATCTTCATATCACTCTATACTATTATGCCACAACATGTAATCTTAACATCAAAAGTAGCCAAAAGTACACTCAAACAAACGTATTTCCTACTACCATATTTTCTGAAACTGCTTCAATTGATCTCGCTGGTCGAAACGTGCGATTTGATTCTTGTTTAATAATCAAATAATTGTGACGCACAACAAACAAATAAAATAATAAACGCACCACAGTACACTTTTCGAACCTTTGAAGGTTCAACAAAACCAGAATTTAAAGCACCTCACTATATGAGAACCAAAGCTTTACTTAAAATCCTCAATCTGTCTGTTCAAAGTGACCAACCAGATGGGAACTTTGACCATTCTGTCGTCGATGGGTATAATCGAAAATTTTTCAGAAATCAAAATGTTACTGTATAACGATGGCTTTGGATAGAGGAAGAAAGTAGACTTCGCTTGAAGATTGTGGACCCGGTTCTTGCTGGAAATACTCGATACTCAATGTTCAAGCAAGTCTTAGCTTCGAAGCGACTGCTGAGAAATTTCCATGTCGCGACGCGCGCTGGAAGAGTTTCATTGACGAGATGTCCAACTCTGTACAGACCGCTACACCATTGCAGCATAATGATGCAGAAAGCACCACAGGTAGCGACTTCTGAGCTGGACAGATATAGAGTCTATTACAAGCAGCTTCAGGACGCTGTAAACGAGGTCCCTGAGACCTTAGCATCCAAGTCACCGGCCTTGAACTCACTGCACTCAAGGCTAAGGTTACCAGGAAGTTTTCCAAAATCCACTTTGGCAAGATGCCTGACGTGTCGTTCTTCTCAGCTCCCAAAAAAAGCCGTGTCACCTTCGTCTGGCGCCGCATTTACTAATACTGTCCCCACAAACAACTTCTGTGACAACCACGGACTGAACATTTTCGGCAAAAACTTACTGACATACCACGTCTCGCGCCAAGTGATGACACAGTATCCACGTCTGCCTACCGTGGTACTCAATGCCGCTGTAGACGGCTATATCTCGCATAACGTTCTTGCCAGTATAGGCAGGTCATGGGGCATAGAGCTGGAAAATGCCAGTGTTATGGACAGGTTTCTCAAGGAAGAACCCATTCAGCTCACGCTCGGGAGGCTGAGATTCTTCAACAACAGTTTGAAACGTGAAGACGGTGTGGAGCTCATCACAGGCCAAAATTTCTCCGAGGAGGCCGCCTATGCCTTGGCCGTGAGAAGTATAATCGGCGCTCTTTGGGCGTACACCCATGAAACCAACCCTGCATTAGCGTTCAAATTTATCGACAACCACATTCTGTCCCGTAAATTAGACGTTACCAAGATCTTCCAGTTTGAACACCCTACCAGAGAGCTTGCAGTCTTGTGTCGCCGTGAGGGCCTCGAAGCTCCCGTGTCGAGACTACTGGCTGAGTCCGGAAGGCTCTCCAAAGCCCCCGTGTTCATCGTAGGTGTATTCTCTGGATCTGAGAAATTAGGCGAGGGATTTGGTGCATCTTTGAAAGAAGCCAAGGCCAGAGCCGCCACCGATGCATTGACGAAATGGTACTGCTACGAACCAGTGAAAGGTCAACCTTCTGTAATTGACCACGGTGCTGTAATCGTCTAAAACAATTAATCCGCCAAATTTTGAGTCGAGAAACCCAGAAGTAGCCTTGTTTAGAGGTGTTTCAACCATCACCATGTATATAGTCAGTGAAGCACATAATTGGTGGTCTCTCAAGCCTGAACTTTTGAACTTCTGTGTTTAAATGTTTAACTTTACTTGTGGTAAGTAATGTCCATTAAAAATCGACGTCTTGCTCAGTGGGAACAGAACATTAGCAGACATGGAGGTAGTGCTTAGCCCTCTAATACTTGTACAAGCAAATCAATTACTGGAAGCTCAGCGTCTGCTCGAAGATAAGACAAGATTACTGCCATGTTTACTGCTATTTGGTGAGAGAACGAGCTCTCATATTGATTTACAATATGGATTGGATCTTCCGGTACTTGAGTCTAAGGGCGCAGTGAGTTACCAGTCCGATGCACTACACAAACGAGTAGAGCTTTTAAAGTCTGTTTTTCCACAATTGAAGGCATTTGGCGTGATGTTCGTTAGTGAAGGTCTCAATCGTACATGCAACGTTAAAGGGATTCTTGACGAATTGACGAAAGAAGGACCTAACATGAGCTATTATTTCACTTACAATGTGCTTACCGAAAATTTCGAACTACACTGTTATCATATTGAGCAGCCTCGACTTCGAATACCCTTTCGCCTCGCAAACAACGACACTCTATTGGCAGCGATCAACAGTTCACAACAGTCCAAACCCAAACTTGATGATGGTAATGAGTATGAGAAACAAGCTGACTTTAATAAGAAACTGATTCCAAGAATCGACAAAATAATCAGTTACTTAGAAAGCACCCCGGTTGCCGATTCGATCTTGAGGAAGGTGAATCTCTTGATTTTGCAATTGAAGAAGGCTCCAACGGCAGACATCGAGCAACAAGTGACAGAAAAAGAGATGGAATTGCAGGTACTTAACATTATATGCAACCAATGGGAAACCAGACAGGTGTTAGACAGAAGCCAGCCCTGAGCCTTTCGCTATACCATAAGTTTTCTAACACCCGTAATAGACCAGTCCCCAGATTCTTTGTCATACTTACACCCTAGCAATTTGCTGCCCGTTACGGGACATGTCCCCTCATGCATCGGCAGGTAGCTCATTATACAGGGGTAGCAGAAGACATAGCCTGTTTCAATTGCCGCTGGATTGGTGATAACCGTATCACAGATTCTACATTTACCATTGATGTTTCTCTCAAACGGAATTGGTGGAGGCGGAACATCTTCGTCAATGTTATCGATATTTCTTTGCAGCTCGTTCGTTAGGTCTTGTGACGTCCACCATTGGAACACGCGTAGCATGAATATGAAGGCTGGAAAGACCTGTGATGCCACGTTTTTCACGACTGAACCGAGTTTGGAGCCCCACATCCTAAGGAGGTAGAGAAAAGCGGTTTTGTTCAACCTAACACGTCTCGATTGGCGTCCACTTGCTTGCGATGGGTCTTTTGTTTCATTCCGTTCGTAGTCGGATGTCGATAAACGTGCATAGCTGACGTGCATAAAGAGGTCGACCAAAGATGTAGCTCCTGTTTTACCCGAAAGAAAATACAGCTTCGCTGCCAGATTTAGGAGAAAAACAAGCTTTTTCAGCAATGGATAGTACTTGACAAAGGCGTTTCGCAGACCTTTCCGTATCTTAGGGAGCGTTCCATTAGTGTTATGTTGCGGGTCTCGCACTAAAGCGCTTGCAAAAAGCTTTGAATGCGCCACATCGAGCTTCGTACCGAGATAAGGTACGAGAACCTTTTGAAATAAGACTGCGGATCGCTGTTTATTCGTCAATCGCAGTGGAAGCTCCAAATCAGGGGTCTTCTGTAAAGTGCGAAGCAGCACGCTATCTGAGACGTTTATGCGCTTCAGTCCGTAGAAGTTTTCTATGAATGTGCCATCCCACCGACTTAGATACCGCGATTCTATAGCCAGTTTTGTAGCTAGCAAAAACCACTCGTCAAACCAGTTGTTGATCGCCAAAGTGTACCTGTTAGGCTTTCGAGCCACTAGATTGGCTACAATGTATCGAACAGAGGGCGCGAGAAGCTCGTCGATTTCATCCGAAGAGAGAATTTCAAAGATTGTTGGGTATAGCGATGATGCCAAGGCAGGAGAAGAAGTTGAAATGTTTGAATAGAACTCCATAATATCTGACAATTGAATTCACGGTTAAACAGCCCTTTGACACGGTTTGAGTTTCCAAAACTACTCCTAATAACACCGTAACCAGACAGCGGCTAATAAAGACGCGAGTTAGATGCTAATAGATACCCAATCAGTCTTTCAATGAACCCGTTTGTTCTAACTTTATTTGTCTTTCGGAGATTTTCGATATTCTTGAGCTTAAAGTGCATTTTTGATATGCTAATTAATACCATAGTGCTAACATATTCAGCATAAACAAAAATGGTAGGAAATGAACTGAGAGAAGTGCAAGGTAAGTGTCTGATAGATTCGATACTCACTCGTCATGGTCAGCTTTTTTATCAGTTAAGGGAAAATTAGCGATAGCATTTTTTATTGAACGACAGAAAATGCTTGCAAAACCACAGACTTCGTTGTTGAACAAAGAGATGGCCATTTCAATTTCTTAGAGGATTCCCAAGTTCGTATTTGAGTCGATATGGGCTCATATAAAATTTAAGATTAGCAAACTTCCCGTCTCCTGAATTGTTTGAATATATTCTTGTTTGGATATTTTACGTAATCTTTCAAATTTAAGATTTATTGTCGCTCTGCTCATCGATCATACTCTTTCGAATAGATACGTGAAAGGACCCTCTGCAAGACAAGCTTTCTGGTCGCACCTAAATCAATTGTGAGAACCTGAGCTGATTTGATCGAACTTCGCTCTCAAAATCATGGATCGGGCAGTTCAGCAGACGGATTATGACGCGTTTTCTTGCAAAATTAGCGCTATTAACAAAAAGTACCTACCATGCCAGAAGGAGCTGGAATTTTGCGAAATGAAAGGCTTTTCAGAGCTTCACATGGCTTATGTTCATAGATTGAAGTCCCTGAACAAAAGGGCGTTCGGAAAAGTGCAAAGAGCCGTTCAATCAGGCCTTCCCCTAATGAACTACGGAACTTATTTAAGAACCGTGGCCATTGACGTAGAGTGCAAATCATTTCTCCAGAATGCTGCGAGCAACTCGAAGGTGCAAGTACTTAATCTAGGGTGTGGCTCGGATCTCCGAATGATTTATTTTCTCGAACAATACCCTCACTTGAGGTGGATCGATCTGGACTTCGCTGAATCTGTCTCTTTGAAGGCGAAAATTCTTAGAACAGAAGAGCAGCTCAAAAAGGTTGTGGGTGAGCTCAGGGATGCAAGTGAAACCGAATACGTCTCGGACCGCTATTTTCTCAAAAGCTGTAACCTCAACAATATAGAAAAAGTCTTGGAGCTGCTGACGGAAATAACTGATCCAGAGGTTCCAACGCTTATCATAACCGAGTGCGTGCTTTGTTATATGGATCTGCCAAAATCTCAAGCTCTGATCCACAAGCTTATCTCTTTATACAAAAGTGGAACCTGGATTTCTTATGACCCCATCGGCGGAGATGACGTTAACGATAAATTTGGAAGTATCATGCAAACAAACCTCCGCGAGTCAAGACAATTGGAACTCCCGACTTTGATGGTCTTTAACTCAACCAAAAAATATGCTCAGCGGTTTGAGGAAGTATCGAAGTCTACCGAGATTGAAACTATGTGGCAATATTACGTCCGGCAAGTAACGCAAGAAGAGAAAAACCGCCTCAAGTCACTCCAGTTCCTTGACGAAATTGAAGAGCTGCAATTGATTTTTTCGCATTATGTACTTTTAAAATCTTCGTGGTGAGACAGGCACCAGCATCCCACATTTTTATCATCTTAATTTTAAACATCATGAACATCGTTACTGGAATTTTTATCTGAACATCCATCCATTTCCCTCACCTTGTGTTCTCCAAGTAGACTGCGGAACTGTGTCGTTTTCAGTCCTGTAAAGCCTCCAAGCCTCACGTATATGCTCGGGTAAAATGGGACTATTCGCATATTTCTCTACACTCACATCCAAGGCATTGAACGATTTAACCAATCGGTTGTAGTGTTTAATAAGGCCGATGCGATTGTCTTCAGAATTTACTCCTGACCTCACAATCTCATTATAGTTATCAGTTTGTTTCATAAGTTTCTCGTCATTTTCGTCCTCATATTCGTCAGTCTCGTTCTCATCGGCACTATCATCCAAAGACGCACCAGAGTTATCGACCAACATTGTAAGTTTCTTGAGGGTTTTTTTCAATTTATGTGCTGCCAGTTTTTTCTCTCTAAAGACAGAAGCCATAAGCGCAACTAGATTCCGTTTTTTGACCTCTTGAGCTTTTTCCACAATTTCGCCTACAAATATTTTACCCACACCGGCCAACAAGAGGTTGATATTAGCAGCAACGGTTTGGTTGGTGACAATGCTTGAAATCTTTTTGATATTATTTTTGGCCAATGACGTTCTGCGGAACACCTCAAACCTATTCATTTGGTCCTCGTCCAAATTGGTCAAAAGTAGGTTCAGTTGTTCAGATTGGTCCAAAGATTTGGAATGTGGTAATCTAGCAAGCTGCTCGTCGTGAATTTCTCTTGGAAAACGTAGATTTTTCGGTACTGAGTTTATACGTGCTGTCTTCTTGATCTTTCCAGAATTGCTCTTAGAGTGTTGTGAACAGCTAGAAAAGTCGAAACTCCTAGCACCATCTTGTGTCCCTGCCGAATGATTATTATGGAAACCATTTAGGTAAGCGTTCATGGTTCCTCCCGTTCGTACATCCTTGAGCTTCCAACTCACGTACTCTTGATCTTCACTTACCACCTGGTTAATCAGCTGTTTTGTTCCCCAGTAATTATTGTGAGTGATCAACGGTGGATAATTCTGTTCTGGGAGAGTGTCCAAAGGCCCTTGAGTCTCAGTCATCATGCTAGGTTGGCGTCTTAGTAGATAGATGACTGTTTTCTCTAGATGTCTTTGATGATGATGATGTTTAGTTAAATTTGACGTCTATTTAACAAATCTTAAGCATAAATCACAGTGTATAAAAATTCAGATAGGTGACTTGACATGGTCGTCGGTAAAGGATGCCAACAATTGTATATAGAAATAAAATGCGTGTATATATGAGGGCAGTGAATAAAGATTTTAGTGCACACTGCTTCTTGCCTTGGTTGAAATAAAGCTTTTTAAAACTTTTGCATCAAAGCTCTTCGGAGAATGCGACACGCCTGCTGTCTTTATTCAAAAGCAGAGAAATGATATACTTGAATTTAGAATTAATGCCTAAGGGCTGAAAGCCATGCTGCGCAGAGTGCTTATGATGTATCCTCACTTTGCAATGGTTTGTCAGAGTCGAATTTTAAACTTTTTTTGCCGTTGAGATGGTCCTCAGCATCATCGCCATGTTTTTCCCGTAGTGCCTTGATTAGCCCCGTAAATATGATCACAGAAATGGGGCCCAGCAGTGGCAGATAAACGGCAATTTTGTGTTCCTGAGGGAAGAAGTTCTGCTGAACCATTTCCTTGTGGAAAAAGGCCCTTTCGCAGACCTGCACAAAATCATTGCTCAAGCGTAATGCTTCATTCCAAATTGCCTCGTTTCCTTGTTTAGGATCGTTGATCAGTTCAACAGCTTGTAGTCGCAGTTCCACGGCCCGTTCAACATCTGCTAAGACTCTTTTGGGCACGGACATTTGTGGGAACTGGTTTGTAAGCTTTACCAGCGACCACAGCGTTTCCACGCCTTGCTCCAAGTTTTTCAAGGTCATGATCCTTTTGAAGGAGTCTATCGTAGTGTATGGTGTGGAAAGGTCGGCCTTCTCGGATGACAAACCTAAAAACTGGAACAATTCACATGCAAAGCTGTAGATGACAGGTGCCAAGTAGTCTTGAGTTATGCGCGCATTATCAGGTAAGGCCTCTTTATTAACTACCAATGCACCCCACTGGGGAACCATAAAACTTTGCCATGGTCTATCCTGCGTGGCATTGATAAAAGCTAGTTGGCCTGCCTCGGGACTGGGGAATACTATGGCCAAGTTCACCACATTTTTTTCCCGATAGTGATTTATCGACGAGAGCTCCGAAAGGTCAACGGAGTGGGCCAGATCCTGCCATGAGGGGTCCTGAACGTCGTGCAGTGAGCCTAGGTTCAAATCGTTGAAGGGCAAAATGCTAGTGTCGACTGTGAAGTTCACCAGTGGCGACAGAAAGCGACGCAGGGGTGTGAAATACTGGTTCAATGTTGACTCTATGTCCCAGGCAACGGGCCTACCGTCACCGGTGAGGAGCGAGAGTGACAGATGCATAGTGGGCGAGTACGAAATCACCATTTCCGAGTCGATATCCAGAGTATTTTCATCCTGGACGCTAGTGCTGCCGCTGAAGTGGGTCCACTCGGCAGCAAAAGTGTGTTCGATCAACGTTTGGGCTGCGAAAAAGGGCACATCGTTGGACAGGACAGCAGTGTCATCGAAGAAAACGACCGTTTCCTTCGAGTCGTAGGGAATAGCGTAGCCTGTGAAGTCGTCCAGGACCAGTGTCAACACGTAGTCGGACTCCAAATCCAAAGTCTGGTTTTTTTCTGCCGGCATTACCTGCAAAGACCAGTCTATCGTACTAGGTTTGGACCGCAGCAGTGCGTCTGCCTGCGCCTGAATAGCCCTGTGAATGTCTGGAAATTTGTACGTATCCGAACGCACGTACACCGGCACTACTACATGCACGTCTGCATGCATGTTTTCACGCAAAGAGCTCACGTATTCGCCTGGCAAAGGCGCCCTGTATATGGTAGTCAATTTATACCATAGCGGAAGGCCTATAAGCGCATAAATGGCGGCAAACCACACAGCTACCACCCGTCGCAAGAACAGCTGTGACATGTTAAATGAACCAGTAAAACGCGCGGCCCTCAAAGCCTTCTGATAAGAGCGATCTTGGGACTAGACGGTGTCTTGATCTTGATTTTGATCCTGGGTTGGAAGCTCGGTATTATTACTAGCATAGAGGCTAATTCCATATTTTGAGATTTCGTATTTAGCGATCAAGAATTCGAATAAATCGTTTTTATTGATTACATAATCCAAATACGTATAAAAGTACATAATATAATAATTTTCCGAAATTCCGAAATTTTGTACGTACATAGTGATCTCTTGAAACTCATCTCATCTCATTAGAATATCGAGAACTTAGACGATTCGACATGGTTCGAACCATCACGGTTAAAGCATATCCAGCAGAGGTTTTCAGAGCTGTAGCTGTCTGTATAGTTTGTAAAAAAACTTTTGGGACTCGTTTAAAGCCAAAAAATTCCGGAAAAAGTGCTTTCTGGAGCTCACTGGCACGCTTTTTCAATAGCTCATCGCCCCAGGTAAAAAGGTGTGTGTAGGGAATCTTAGATCTCCCCAATGGCAGAAGCTAAGGAGCAGGAGTTTGTTCATGAAGTGTACAATGAGATCGCGTCGCATTTCTCACAGACCAGATACAAGCCCTGGCCTATAGTGACCAAATACCTCGAGAACCAGCAGACAGGAGGCATAGGCATCGACGTCGGGTGTGGCAATGGGAAATATCTGGATGTAAACCCTAATGTGTTCATGATCGGCTCGGACCGGTCGTGGAGGCTTGTAGAACACGCACACGAGCGTAACACACATTGTAACGTGCTGGTCGCAGACGGGCTGCACCTGCCACACCGCGACAACAGCTTCGACTTTGCCATTTCCATCGCTGTGGTACACCACTGGTCGACTCGTGAACGTCGTGTGGAGGCCATCGCGCACATTCTGAGCAAAGTGAAACCAGCGGGCACCGCTTTGATCTACTGCTGGGCTCTGGAACAAGCAAGTTCGCGCAGAGGCTACCAAGCAGGCCAAGAACAAGATGTCCTGGTACCGTGGGTGTTACAAGGGCCACACGCTAAGACGACGACGACGCCGTCAGCGCGATCTAAGGCTCAGAAAACTAGGCCCAAGGGTCCGGACTTGACTCATGTGCCGCCCCAGGAAAGAGCAGCAGTCGTTGCTCAATGGAAACTCGAGCAGGAGGCAAACAGAGCAAAACAAGAACAAGAACAGCAAGAACAAGTACAAAGTACCACAACACTGCAAAAGGACCCCGAGAGCGAGCTCCAAAATACCAAGTATCGCTACTATCATTTATACAAAGAGGGCGAGCTGGAAGAAGACTGTGCCAGTGCAGGAGGCCAAGTTATCGAAGCGGGCTACGAAAGAGATAATTGGTATGTCATTGTACAGCGACAATGAGCCTTAAGGTATCAGAGAAGTCTTATTTATCTGTCTTGCCCGTCTTTTTACGATTTTGTATAGTTGGTAAAGTTATAAAGTTGTAATATGATCGACCTTCACTTAACTTTACACTTCACGAAAGAACTGTCCAAACGACAAAAATGCCCGTTATCCAGCACGAGGAACATGAATTTCACCTTTCACATGAGCAGGAAACCAAATTGAACGAGTTTCAGATGATTACCAGCTTTCCGGACGAGGAACTTGCTCTGGTGGTCAAGTTGTTGGAAAATCATGGTTGGCTTTTAGAGTCAGCATTGGGTAGGTATTTCGACGGAAACTGGCAAGAAGACTTGAATCCACCAGCAATTGCTGAGAGACCTCCTACACCAACACCACAGGGTTTTGTTTCACACTCTGCCAGCCCTTTTCTGCTCGGTGACAATGCATCGTTTGTACCTAGGCTGCCTCTCGTTAAACGGCTTCCCCTGGACTTCAAAGATAACTTTCGATTAGTGGGGCTTGACAGGCGTCCAGAGAATAATTTCAACAACCATCCGGCGTTGTTAATCCTTCTTTTCTTGCCCAAGGTGTTGCTGAAAATAGGCACTGGACTAATTACAATCTTGTGGTCGATCATTTCATTTGGCTTCAAAAACGACCCAGTTGCTGAAAAACAGATCAAGCGAATACCCCGGAGACCGAATGAGAAGTCAACACCTGCGATTGAAATTATAGAGTCCCTTTTAGGTAAGAATTCCGAGTTGGCCTCGTTGCTAAACCCTAAACCTTTCAACGAAATATACGATGAATGCGAGAATGATTTCAAGATGATGATGGTCGTGTGCTTAGGAGACCTTGAATCGGAAGAGCTAGGCCAACGCGACGAAAACTCGATGAAATTTGTCACTGAAATTCTTAACAATCCTTCAACCTTGCAGCTACTACGGGAACATTCCGACAATTTGCGCATTTACATGCAATCCGCACAGTCTCCGGAAATGTGGGCTGTAGCAAACCAGTTAAAAATAAGATACACGCCGGAGTGCCTCCTAATCGCCAATGTTTTGAACTCTAGAGACTCCGTGAATGGCGTCACGCGGATGTCGGTGATTGGCAGAATAAAGGTCAGCTCATTGAGAAGATTTCAAAATGCTTTCAAGGTAACTACTGAGAAGCATAGTGCCGAACTTTTGGTAAGCCGGAACGATCAGAAAGAATTGAAGCTGGCCAGGGAAATAAAAGAACTACAGGATCAAGCCTATCAAGAGTCGCTAAGACAAGATCAGCTCAAACAGCGAATGCGCCAAGAGGAAAATGAAACGGCCAGGAAATCTGTGGAGAATGAAAGACATAAAGCTTTGCAGAAGAAAATAGAAAGAGCAGAGCGCGAATTACGTGCATTAGATGTCTGCCTAGGATTTGCAGACGGTCAAAGATCTGTAAACCTCGAGGCTGGGAAAGCTACGCTACAAATTAGAACATCTACTGGAAAGCGTTTGGTCAGAGTCTTCGCCGGTGACGAATCGCTGAAGGATATTTACCTGACGGTAAAATGTTTTCTTTCACTGGACCTAAAAAGTTTTGAAGACCATGCCGTTCTGGAAAGCGTCAAGACTAAGTTGGACACTCTACTCGAAGATGGCAACGTATTGAATTTAGATGAAACTCACTGGTCCCAGGAGGCACTTGCCGGCGAATCTCTCGGGTCATTGAAAATGCGGATAAACCAAAAATTGGAAACTTTATGTGAATCAAACAGGGAGGTTGAGCTGGATATCAACTTTGAATTGGTGTCGCCATTTCCAAGGTTTAGAGTTCCCTGCGATGGGACTGTCAATATCAAAGATACTTCGCAAATATGGCCGAACGGCAGTCTTTTAGTAGAGACCATTGAGGACGAAGACGTCACTGAGATGTAAGTATTTGAAGTATAAAACATATGATGAGCATTCTATTATAGTTTTAGCGCTAAATAAAAAAGGTCAACGTGATGCCCCCAGTGGAAGCTGGCGTTGACTTTCATGGCCTGCCATGAAAAAGTACCTGCTAAGTTGTCAAGTTAGTAAGTAGGTAAACGATAAGAAAGTCATTTCCACAGTCATAAGTAGGTCATTACAGTACGGCAAGCTGATGGATCATTCCTAATAGATCACCAGCCGGCAAGAAGTGCGGGTCCATTTGTGTGTATAACAAACGTATCGAGCCAAGATTTTAAATTCACCAAGTGCTCCCGGATAAACTCTCAACAGGTTAGACCAATACAACTCGGATCCCACAAGATAAAATTATAGATTCATTCAAACAAGTAAAATACAACGTGCGCACAAATCGCACAAAATTGTCTGAGTTGCAAACTGAGTTCTTAGGTATAAGACGACATTTCAAAGCCACTATTCATTGGCATATCATTTCTCGTGCTTTCTAGAATTCGGAAACCCTCAACAAAATGGAACCACTATAAACAAACAAACAAAATGGGACATATTCCGGAGTAATACAAACGAGACACAGGTTGCAATAGTGACTTTCCTCTCAACAGGAAGGTTAATAAAAGCGCTTTTTGACGCTTTTTCTTGGCTTTTTTTCTGCAATCCTTTAATTCAAAAAGCCCTGGAAACCTATTCTACAGTTAGTACCGTAAGACTGGATGGCCGGTCTTCTCTACTCGAACTCATTCACTGTCTGGTTGGGGATCTCTCACGAGCGGAACCGTAAAAGTCGCCGCCGTCTCTGCCTCTGTACTCATCTCTTGGAGCGCCGTAAGAGCCTCTTGGAGCACCATAGGAGTCACCACGTCCACGGCCGCCACGGAACCCACCACGGTCGCCGAAACCACCACGGCCACCACGGAAGCCGCCACGGTCACCGTAGCCACCACGGCCACGGCCACCAAAGCCACCGCGACCACCACGGAATCCACCACGATCACCGAATCCACCACGGCCTCCACGGAAACCACCACGGTCGCCGAATCCACCGCGACCACCACGGCCACCGAAACCACCACGGCCACCACGGCCGCCGAATCCACCGCGGTCACCGCCTCTGAATCTTCTGATAGGTGGAGGGTTGTCATCCTTCTCAGCAGAGATCACAGAGCCTCTGAACTCAATGTTGTTTAGTTTTTCCAAAGCTTCCTCCAAAATTTCTTCTGATGGGAACTCTAGAGCACCGGTACCGTCGAATTCTCTGGTGTTGACACTGGAAAACGTAGTTTCCAAGTTGTTTTCACGGGCCAGGTCCTTAAGTTCTTGCCACGCGACACCCTCTGGTAGATTTTTGAGGATCATACGGTAACGAGGGGGCTGAATCTTGGAGAAAACCACTTCTAGAGGTTGGTTGGCAAAAGTCTTACCGTTAACCTCTTCGATGGCTCTGGTAGCAGAATCGGATTCTTCAAATTCCACGAACGCAAACCCGTTCAGGATTTTAACCTCCTTCATGGGTCCAAAAGGTGCGAAGATTTCGTTGAGCTCAGACTCCTGCACATCGAAGGGAAAAGGTCTGACGAACAGTCTAGTAGTTGAAAGCTCACCGTCCATGCCACCTCTGTGGTGGGATTGATGTGGTGCCGAGTTCTCGTAATATGGTCTTCTTCCCTGTTCCTCCTCTGGGTATTCGTTTACTGGAGCAGGAGCTTGTTCGAGCTCTTGAGATGCGGTTTCCTGCGATTCTGGGGCTGGAGCTTCGCCAGCCGGGGCAGATTCGACTGGCGATTCTTGCATTTCTTGCACAACAGAGACTTCTTCCACGGGAGCTTGTTGGTTTTCTTCGGACATTGTTAAGTGTAGTTGGTCAACTGCTTACTTGAATGGCTTATGGCAGGGAAGTGAAGAAAGATGGGAGAATTATCGACGACCTGCTCTTTCTTATACAAAAATTTGAGACGATTTTCACTTTCGTGCGAAGGTATGTTATAGAGACACTAGTTTATTTAACTTTTGGAATTTGTTTGGAGTCCAGTTCTTGGAACGGTGGTGGTGCGAATTAGCGGTGGATATTATGATGAAACATAGATTTTAACGAGGTTTCTAAGGAATCCTTATTTGATTTGAAGATTTTCCAACGAGATTGGGTTGAACTTAGAGAATTGGGATTTCAATTGTGCGATATAGTTGAATCTATGGTGCTTTGGAAGTAGTTGGGAATGGAAGATAGCCTTATGGTATTGTAAGCTTAGACCTTTATTTCATGAGGCGATTTGTTCTTGCAGATGAGGCTGCCGCGAATGTGTCACTTTGTACTAATATGTCACAACATGTTGTGGACGAGCTTTAGATGGATGACGTTGGCGGAACAATTGAGAGCGTCAGAGATCACCTTTTAGTATTGATAAATAATTGGTCGACACTCCCCATTGTGAATTGGTGAAGGCTTGGTATTGCTATACCACCCTTTTTCTTACCCGAAATCGCCAGCGCATGTCCGTATTTCTGTTCAGACAGTGCACTCGAAAATAAAGCATTTGTGTGATCACATCTTATGCGTTCTTGTCAAAAAATTTAGACCAAGCCCGAGTACGACCACTGTTTTTTTCGCTTGTACGTTGTTCCCTTGAAAGAACAGATTCGAAATTTCGCATCGCAGTTGTCATCTAGGAAATTGCATCTTTCAATTCGGGACCGTCAAGATCCAACCCAGTTCAAAAGTTTTTACTAACTTTTTTTACTTTGACAGTGGCTCTAGGGCCACCACTCGTTCAAAAGTGTAAGCTTTAGAGCCTTCGAGGAAACGTCCCAACGGTGAGATTTACCACTTCACTTAATTGTCGTTTATATACTGTATTATTAAACTGAAATCCTGACATTGCGACAGAATGGTACAGAGTGATATGACTTCTCAACAAGCATTATCCATTCACAGGGATCCAACACCAGCAGCAATAGTTGGGTCTCGATAACCCCGTATCGCTCTTTGCACATGAGTTTCTCCCTTGACAATACCTATATGTTCAAAATTCGCCAAAATTGGTGGCAGACCATTTCGTATTTTCGCTATTGGTGTCAACCACTCGTCTTCAACACAAGCCCAAAAAGAACATGTTGAGAAACAGTTCGTTCAAAGCTGGCACACTATAGGCATCATTCTGGTCGCTGGTTGATCGCCAAACATCAAACTAAAGCCCCAATCCTATCCTTTCACTTAGCTTTTGAGAGCTCACTTTCGAACTTTCGATCACGTGACACATCTCGAAGCTTAAATTAATGTATAATCTCATAACTGGCATTCTATAAGACTCTACCAGACTTCAAACTCGAAACCCCAGAATATAAGGAGAATGCTGCGATTTAAGCGTTTCGCATCACAGTACAATCAGGCGAAACTCCTGCGAAAGTATCCAGTGGGTACCATCTTACATGGCTACGAGATCAAACGGGTCCTGCCCGTTCCCGAGATGAAGTTTATCGCAGTAGACTTGCAACACTCACAGACTGGTTCCCAGCATTTGCACATCGATAGAGACGATAAAAATAATGTTTTCAGCGTAGCTTTCAAAACCAATCCGCCAGATTCCACTGGCGTTGCCCACATCCTGGAGCACACCACTTTATGCGGTTCCCACAAATATCCAGTCAGGGATCCGTTTTTCAAAATGCTCAACCGATCACTATCGACTTTCATGAATGCTATGACTGGCCATGACTACACGTTTTATCCATTCTCCACGGCTAACCAAGCAGACTTTAAAAATCTCAGAGACGTGTACCTTGACGCCACTTTTAATCCGTTATTGAAGCACCAAGATTTTCTCCAGGAGGGGTGGAGACTAGAACACTCGGATTTGAAGGACCCTAACAGTGACATCATTTACAAAGGAGTTGTCTACAACGAAATGAAGGGTCAAATGTCCAGCTCAAACTATCAATTTTGGACCAAATTTCAACAAAGCATATATCCTTCCCTCAACAACTCCGGAGGAGACCCACAAAAGATCACCAACCTGCAATACCACGATTTGATTTCATTTCATGCGAAGCATTACCACCCTTCTAATGCCAAAACTTTCACATACGGTAATTTCCCGCTCGATGACACTTTGCATCGACTAAATGAGGAATTCAGTCTGCATGGTAGAAGAAATCTGAAAAAGGAAATCCCAAAACCTTTGGATTTTGCCACGGAAACGCGAGTGACCGAAATTGGTGAAGTCGATCCCATGCTACCGCCTGACAAACAGCTGAAAACATCCATGACCTGGCTATGCGGTGATCCCTCGAATGTTTACGACACATTTGTGCTGCGTGTGATCGGTAATTTACTAATGGATGGCCACTCCTCTCCGATGTACCAGGAATTGATCGAATCCGGTATCGGTTACGATTTCGCCGTGAACTCCGGCGTAGATTCGACCACCGCTGCCAACTTTTTCACAGTCGGTGTCCAAGGATGTAGCGATGCTTCTCGCTTTGAAAAAACTGTCCACTCTGTTCTGGAAAACACCTTGAAAAAGCCTTTCGAGCCCAAGAAAGTGGAGGCAATCATAGAACAGTTGGAGCTTTCAAAGAAAAATCATAAAACTGATTTTGGGCTACAACTGCTATACTCCCTGGTTCCTGGGTGGATTAACAAAACGGATCCATTTGACAATTTGGTCTTTGATGATATTTTGTCTCAGTTTAAGTCTGACTGGGCCGAACAGGGTGACGGTTTTTTCCGCGATGTTATTGAAAGATACATTATTGACAAGCCCTGTTTTTATTTCTCTATGGAGGCGGATCCCAAGTTTTCTCAGACTCTTGAGCTTGAAGAGGCTGGTCGTTTGAGTCAGAAAGTAAGCCAACTGGATAGCGCTGACAAGGAAACGATACTCAAGCGCGGTATGCAACTTCAAGAGAGCCAAAACAGTCTTGAAGACCTTTCATGTCTCCCCACGCTCAAAATCAAAGATATTCCGCGCAAGGGAGACACTTACGGCATTCAAAAACGGCCGCAAATTTCTCATCGCATTACGGATACAAATGGGATAACCTACTTGAGAGGGAAAAGAAGTCTCAATAATGCCATACCCCTCCATCTTTATCCTTACCTGTCCCTTTTCGCTGACTGCCTTACATCGTTAGGAACCTCAAGCGAGAGCTACAGCGAGATAGAAGACGAAATGAAGCTACATACGGGTGGAGTTTCGACAAGCGTATCGGTACACGCGAATGCAGAAACACTCGAGCCGCAAGTCGACTTCAATTTCGAAGGCTACTCCTTGAATGCCAAGACGGAATATGTTTTAGATATTTGGCGGAAACTTATCGTCGAGACCGATATTTCAAAGCATAGTGAAAAGCTGAAAGTGCTCATTCGTTCGTTGGCCTCATCCAATACATCTTCGGTAGCAGAGAGTGGACATTCATACGCCCGAGGTTACACTGGCGCTCATTTACTCTCTTCGCGTGCCATAAAAGAGGCTATGGGTGGTATTGAGCAACTGAAACTGATAACACGCCTTTCTGCTGTTTTGGATGATTCGGCTCTATTTCAAGCGGAAGTTATCGATAAGTTGGTCGAACTAAAAAGCTATGTGATTGCCAAGGATGAAATGAAGTTTTTTGTGACCTGCGATGGCGACAAACAGGTCACCACAGTGGAGTCTCAAATACAAATATTTTTGAACAGTTTGCCTGACCAATCTCAGGCGTGTTCTTTCTCAGCTGCAAAATACCCCACATTAACCGCAAGTGGTAAGCCCACATTGGTCACTTTCCCCTTCCAGGTGCATTACACTGCTCATTCAAGGATGGGCGTTCCTTATGTTCATGCAGATGGTGCGAGTCTTCAAGTGCTCTCCAACCTACTCACATTCAAATATTTGCACCGTGAAATCAGAGAAAAGGGTGGTGCTTACGGAGGTGGCGCTGTTTACAGCGCTCTAGACGGACTGCTATCTTTCTACTCTTACAGAGATCCACACCCACTAAATTCCTTGAATGTGTTCAACAATTGTGGGAAATACGCATTAGAAAAAGCTGACTGGCATACCAGCAATTTGGACGAGGCCAAATTGACCATATTCCAGCAGGTTGATGCTCCTATCAGTCCTAGCAGTGAAGGAGTGACAGAGTTCAGCTACGGGATCAGTGACGACATGCGCCAAAAGAGAAGAGAGCAGCTACTTGACGTCACGTTGTCCGACGTTCGCAACGTTGCCGAGAAATATCTGTTAGACAGCAAATCTGTATCTGCTGCGATTGGACCGAAACTGGCAGAGATGAAAGAAGAGCTTTGGGATGTTAAACAGCTGCAGTAAACAATAAACTGTACTCATGTAAATAAATAATAGCACGAAGAGCTAGTTACTTAAAAGTGGCGAGCTCAAAAATCATTTTAAATTCTAAAATGCCTCACTCAAAGCAAGAAAATGATTATCGCGAAAGCTCTCGGTTTTATTCGAATTAGTTTCGACCCAGTAAAGCATCTCACCAACTCAGATTTCATTCTTCACTTATACGTGACACGATACTTATTATTCATTTGTTAAATGTAAGGCTTACACACCCGATGCATACGAAGATTTCGAAATGAAGCCAATCAGAAACGCAAAACAAGTTAGAGACCTATAATTATATTTTTGAACCTTCCTAAACCTCGCAATTAGTGCATTAACAGCATAGGCATTCCGTTACGTCAGTACTTCCTAAACAAAATAAAAAAAAACAAAAAATGTGAGAAACTAAAGCTCAAGCGATCAACATCTAGTCTAGATATCTCGATACTATTTCAAAGACTCTTAATGGGTACTCTTGAATCTTCAAGAGCCTCACGGTCTTGGCTTGGCTAAAACTATGACACTTAATGCTATAACGATGTGATGATCACCCTACGTATGCAATGACTTGGACACGTCTAATTATAAGAATTTTGAATTGTGAACTAAACCACGACATCCTAACAACGAGTACTGTTGACTTCTAGACCATAAAGACCTCCAGAGCGTTGAAAATAATGCAATTGCGTGTATTAGCATTCATTTATGCGATTCTAAGCGTTGCTTTTGCGGTGCGGTTTGAAATCCCCGCTTTCTCAAGCCCAGAGCCAGTGTGCATCCGTGATTTCGTTAGCGAGGGACAATTGGTGGTGGTGGACATCAAGACCGATGGTACCGTTGGAGATGGCCAGAAACTGAATCTTGTCGTCAGAGACAGTGTTGGGCATGAATACCGCAGAATGAAGGACATTGCGGGCCCCGTCAAAGTTGCATTTACCGCGTCTTCTTCCGCTGCGTTCGACGTGTGTTTGGAAAATCATTTGCAGAGCCGTGGGCGTGCGCTGGCCAGAAACGTGGAAGTGGACATAGAGTCTGGCTCGCAAGCCCGTGACTGGAACAAGTTCCAGTCTTTGGAAAAACTGAAACCGGTGGAGGTTGAACTTCGTAGAATCGAAGAGCTGACGGACGAGATCGTGGACGAACTCACTTATTTGAAGGCGAGAGAAGAGAGACTCAGAGACACCAACGAGTCCACCAACAGGAGGGTCAGAAACTTTTCTGTGCTCATGATTTGCGTGTTGGTTAGCTTGGGCGCATGGCAAATCAACTATTTGCGCAACTACTTCAAGGCTAAGCATATTATTTAGCTAAGTACATAGAAATATCAAGCACCCCGGGCCTTTCACTCGCATATATGTGGCCTGCGAAATTCTTTAACTCCATGCAAAGCGTCTTTTGTTGCCGTCCCATAAAATGCACTTTGTAAACTGTTCGCGCTCAAAACACCAGATGGCCGAGCTTCCCCAAAAGATATGCAAAATCCAACCATGTCATGAAGACGCGTTTGCCACTCGTCGCAAAGCTCATCATTTCCACCAAATGTCCGTTATCCATGTTGATGCTGTTCGCTATTTTCTGGAGGTCCTTGATGCTGAGAACATGGCTTCGCAGAGCCACGTGTGGGAAACGTTTATCTCTCCCGCAGGCCACAACCAGCATGGACCATTGCGTGTCGACAATTTCAGCATTGTTCATGAAAATCAGCAGGTGGAATGTGCTTTTGAGCAGCTTATCGAAGCTCACAACGTTGGTACCTTCGACACAGACGTCCTGTGCATTAACCATCTTGGTAATGTCCCTGGGCATTTGCAAGTCGCTAAAAAAATCGTTCAAATTCGCAGACGTCATGTCAGACTCAATACTATACGTCGCAAATGCCCCCAAAATGTCATCTTCGATCTCACTTGGAACTTTTGGGTTCATAAATTCTAACACATCACCATAGGCCTTCTGGCCTCGTTTTCTGCTCATTTTCGCTCCGGACTTCGCACCATGAGAACAAGACTTAGCAGTCAAGTTTGAACACTTTTATAATCTTGGAATTGCGACTTAAACTATCTCTTCAAGTCTAAAGTGTCTGATATTACACGAAATATCTTTAAAATATGTCCATCTTTCATAATTCCTGACGTAGGATTTATATCACTATGTACTAAAGGGACAACTCAAAATTTTCAAATTTACACTCTGAACTAAGAGTAACAGTAATAAAATAAGAAAGCTCAAGACCATAAATCGCCATCTGATCGGCTCTCGTGAGGCTCTAAATGTCCGAGACTAACGACCTGCGACCAGATAACGCGAATAGCGTTGAAAATGGTGAAAAAAACACTGATGAAGGATCAAAAGCGGTTGAAAACGAGAGTGTTGATCTGAACCCTAACGAAGAAGCGAAAGTTACTGAAGACGGGACCAAAACCTTGGAAACTGGAGAAAATGACGCTGGAAACAGGGTTTCGGCCGCTGGAAATGCTGGCAGTGAAGGTCAGAACACAACAGGGGTGAAAAGAGCTCGCGAGAACTCCACTGGAAACATTCAGGACAACGAGGCATCATCCACAACAGACGGCGAGAAAGGCCCTGTTAAGACCAGTTCAGAAGGTCATTCTGAGATTAAAGATAGCGCACAGACTTCAGTTGGAAAGATCGACCAAGACGACGACAACGACAACGACAACGACAACGACAACGACAACGATAACGATGACGATGACGACGAGGAGGAGGAAGACGAAGATGAAGAAGGCCCTAGAAAGAAACAGCGCCAGGAGAGAAATCGATTCTTAGATATTGAAGCTGAGGTGAGCGACGACGATGAAGAAGAAGAAGACGAAGAAGAATCGGAACTGGTCCGCGAAGGTTTCATTACGCGCGGTGACGAAGAGGATGAGGACGAGGCTGCGGGACCAGAGCGTGGCGATAGATTACATCGTCAGCTGGATCAAAACCTAAGCAAGAATTCCGAAGAAGATGCTCAAAAACTGGCAAAGGAACTGAGAGAGCGTTACGGTAGAAGCAGTTCAAAACAGTACAGGGCTGCTGCTCAGGATGGTTACGTCCCACAGAGATTTCTTCTGCCCAGTGTGGACACTGCCACTATCTGGGGTGTCAGATGTAGACCTGGTAGAGAAAAAGATATCGTCAGAAAGCTGCTTAAAAAGAAGTTCAATCTGGACAAGTCAATGGGGAGTAAAAAGCTGAAAATCATGTCGATTTTCCAGAGAGACAACTACTCCGGGAGAATCTACATCGAAGCCCCTAAGCAATCTGTTATCGAAAAATTCACGGCAGGTGTGTCAGATATTTATCCATCCCAGAAACTTTTGATTCCAGTGCAGGAACTGCCCTTGTTGCTCAAGCCTGATAAGAGCGACGATGTCAGACTGGAAGAAGGAAGCTACGTGAGAATAAAGCGTGGGATTTACAAAGGAGACCTTGCGGTTGTTGATCAGATTAGTGAAAATAATCTAGAGGTACTACTGAAGATTGTTCCGCGTTTAGACTACGGTAAGAATGACGAAGTTGATGCCGACACAAACACCAGAAAACAAAAGCGGCCAACGTTTGCTCAACGACCTCCTCCACAGCTTTTCAATCCCACAATGGCCCTAAGAATGGACCAAGCCAATCTATACAAAAGAGATGAGAGGCATTTTACCTACAGAAATGACGACTACGTTGACGGCTACCTCTTCAAGTCTTTCAGAATTCAGTACCTTGAAACCAAAAACATTCAACCCTCTGTGGAAGAGTTGGCTAGATTTGGTAGTAAAGAAGGCGATCTAGATCTAACGACTATCTCACAAACGATAAGGAAAGCGCAGGCGGCAAAAGTTACATTCCAAATAGGTGACAGGGTCGATATTTTAGGAGGTGAACAGAAGGGCTCAAAAGGTTTCGTTACTAGAACTTCAACGGACATCATTGCTGTCAACCTTCCCCAGCTAGGAATGAAAGCATTAGAGTTTCCAATCTCTTCGTTGCGAAAGATTTTCGAAGCCGGTGACCACGTAACAGTTGTCGGAGGTGATCATCAAGGTGACGCTGGTTTGGTGCTGGCTGTCAAAAATGGTCAAGTAACCTTTGTCTCTGACCAAACACGAGCAAACCTCACAATTTCTGCCAACAACTTGAGCAAGTCTATGGACTCTACTCCAACTTCAAGTGAATATGCCCTCCATGATATCGTGGAACTGAGTGCCAAAAATGTAGCCTGTGTCATCCAGGCGGGCCACGACATCTTCAAAATTCTCGACGATGCAGGAAAGGTTTCGACAATTACGAAGGGCTCAATTTTGAACAAGATTAACACACAGCGTTCCAGACTTACGACTGTCGATAACAAGGGCAGTGAGATCAAGATAGGCGACACCGTGGTTGAAAAAGTTGGTGCACGGAGAGAAGGTCAAGTACTGTATATCCAGACGCAGCAAATTTTCATTGTCTCTAAGAAAATTACAGAGAACGCGGGTGTATTCGTCGTCAATCCGATGAATGTTGAGGCTGTAGCGTCCAAAGACAATGTTGTTGCTGGAGTGGGATCAATCGATCTAAGTAGAATGAACCCAGACGTTGTATCAAAAATGCGTCCTCCGCAGCAGTCTGCAGAACAAAGTCGTATTGGGCGTGATGTGGCGCTTGGAAAGACCGTCAGAGTTCGCTCAGCTGGTTACAAGGGACAGCTGGGTATTGTCAAAGACGTCAGCGGCGACAAAGCTACTATTGAATTGCATTCCAAAAGCAAACACATCACTGTGGATAAGAGAAAGCTGATGTTTTACAACAAAGAGGGTGGTGAAGGTATTACCTACGACGATCTTGTTAACAGACGTGGTAGAACACCAAGCAACCGGATTGGGCCAAGTTACGTCAGTGCTCCCAGAACCATGGCTACTGGCGGCATGCCTATCGGTGCAGGTGGATCTGGTCCATCTGGTCTCTCTGGAGGCATGACTCCTGGTTGGAACGGTGTTGATGGCGGTAAGACCCCTGCTGTTAATTCTGGAGCCACAGGAGGCACATCTGCATGGGGCGGTGCCTCGACTTGGGGTGGCCAAGGTGGTTCTTCAACCTGGGGTGGCCAAGGCGGCGGTGGCGGTGGTGCCTCCGCTTGGGGCGGCACTGGCGCCACATCCACTTGGGGAGGAGCATCTGCCTGGGGAAACAAATCGAGCTGGGGCGGAGCGTCCACTTGGGCTTCTGGAGGAGAAAACGGAGCACAATCAACCTGGGGAGGAGACAAATCGGCCCACGGCGCTGGCTCTGCTTGGGGCGGTCGTGATGGTGGTACCTCTACCTGGGGCGGTGGCACCAGCCGAGAAGGCGGTAACTCCACCTGGGGCAAAGATGGGAGCGGCAACAAATCCGCTTGGGGCGACCAGGGCAATAGATCATCATACGGTGGTGGCAGCACCTGGGGCGGCCGTTAATCGACAGAATACGCAAATCGCCAGTTTTTTCCAAGCCCATAGTAAATCTTGCCGTGCTACGCAAGCCACTATTGTTCTTACCGATGTCCGATAGTATGTAAATATAGTTTAATGTTCAGATTGAGTGAAAAGCTGGTGCTAACAAAGTAGAGGTGGAAGAGAGCCCGTTAGTCTCGTGCTTATGCTTGTGGCCATTATACTTCCACTGCATTCTGCGACTCGCAAACATATCTATTTCGTATGAAACCAAAGCTCAGCTTTGTCGATTTGTTATTCGAATGGTATGAGTATGTACTACTTACTATATACATGATGCTAAAGTTATGATAAAAAGTCCTAAGCCAACAGGTTAAAAATGGCTTATCTGCTTGTTCTCAAGAAATCCAATGGTTTCCGCTCAGCGACTTTTCTCTTTTTGGACTCTTTGAAAAGGACATGTCGCTTGGCGACTGGATCGTATCTCACTTGCGTTACCAGAGGTGCACCTCTGGATATGGTGATCTGACGGGCAAAGCCGGTAGCGGCGGTGGAAATCAGCTTAATGACAGAGTTTTTAGACTTTTGCTTGGCCATGGGAAGTGTGCTGAAGTGTGCTGGAGTGGGATTGATGGTGTGAACAGTGCTCTTGAACTTGATTGACGACTTCGATGACATGGAAAGCTTTAAAGTTCGTGAAGTTCTCAGAAAAACCAGAGTCGCTTTATACGAGATGTGCATATTAGTATCTAAGAAACCCTGAAAGGGTAATACGGTTCAAAAGACCGCTAGCATGGTCCATCATCGCCTGGAAATGCATAGCAGAATGCTTTTCTTCCATGCTGTATGCGTAGAGTCGCAGTACTTTTATGCAAACAAAAGACAAGTTTATTAATATCACTTTGTACTATTCTGACACTTCCAGATTTCAAATAAGTTCGAAAGTTGTAGTGGCAAGCTAGTTTAAACCCATCTCAGACACTACTATGTTGTCGGAAAGCGTCTATGAACTACGGCCAGTTCTATCTGATTAATAGCCGAAACTGGGCACGAGCACGAGTAACAGCGAGGTCATAACGTATATAGTGGCTAGTATCATCGCCAGTCCGTCATTCGAAATAGATAGATTTATCACAATACAACTTCATTGCCAAGATTGGTTAAAAGACAGCATTTATTCATCAGGTATTCTGTGTTTTAGATCCATTTTCCAGACCCAGTGCTGTGAGTGGAAAGTGAGCGTATTTATTGAAATTGCGAGATCCGAGGTTCGATGACAGCAGCGTATGAGGTTTTAGTAACATCAATGATTGACTAACAAATTATCTGGGCTCATACACTTTAAGACCAAGTCAGTCTTGGGAGACACTATTCGAAACGACGTCTGCCGTCGTATCATGTATAGGCTACTGTTTTTTACTGACGCGGAAATTGGCAATGGGATCACGTGATCTGATCTCTTAGCATTAGGATTGCCGAAGAGAAGCCGCGAGTAGCTTTGACGGGCTCTCGATTGGACTCAAGTACCCGGTTTTGGCCACTAGTAGATTGACCCGTGGTCTTGGTGAGTGAATGTATGCATAAAAAAGGTCAATCTGGTTGTGACATTTGGTCACGTGGGTCACTTGTCACAGGGCTCGCTGCGTCATTAAATTGAGCAGACTGTAGTGGATCAACGTCTACTTCCTGAGACTGAATTTGTAATCTACGTATATACCGCAAACTATTTCTATCAATCTTGATAAAACCTCCTCTCCAGACGTTTAGCTTTTTTAGCATTTCCGAAAGACTGAACTCAATTCCCAAAACCTTTTTTCGCACTCTGAGTAAATACACTGACCTTTCACTCACAACACAGAGCCTAAGAATTCAGTTGACAGAACCATTAACTTATTGTAACAATCTGAGCCAATTGATTTGTATTTTGGTTGAGCTCTGCCTCGTAGGTGTACACTCTTTTGACGAGAGTTCAACTACTCGTCGTACTCGGTCCCAGTCTTCACCACAGGTATGATTGAACAATTGAGAATGTTTGGGATCAATGGTGAATAATCAAGGTCGCTGTGAGCACTTGTATTAATCATGAATCCATCAAATGACACAGCCGTATGTAGTGATCTTTAATGCATGCTGCCCGGATGTGGGCTATTTTAAACGTTCGGGAGAGCCCGTAATCCTTAGTAATCACAGCCTCGACTTTAATAACAGGTCAATGGCATGATCTTTGAGTTTTAACCAAGAGGTAGAGAGTAAATTCACAAATGGTCCTGCCCGTAGCAGCGATGGTAATCACTTCTCACGATAATATATACCGAAGCATTTTAATACTTCCCACAGTTACCATGCTTAGTACAAGCATTATAATGTATGTTTCTCATCAGATTCCGGGAGCTAGCTGGAAGGTCAAGATGGTGATATTTCACACACCTAAATTCGATAGAATCCGAAAAATAAAAAAAAAGATAAAATCAACTAACAACTAACAGCTCACAAAAACTAGACGCCTCTTAAATAAAGACGATCACTTCAAGGTAGAACAGAATTACTGTTCATACCCTGTAATCCTGTACCTTTAGCTAAAATTCTGAAATCTCAGTCTTTATATTTATGTATCACTCCTGACGAGCACGGTTTCCAGTTATTTCTCGTCTAAAGCGATGGATCCATCTCATAGCTGAAAAACTTGAAGAAAAATCTAACTACAATACTCATACTCAACAAAGAAGTCTAAGCGAGCCAGAAAACCCGAACTCTTTCACGTTTAATAGGCTCTTTCAGTCCATTAGTTTAGTGCACTGAGATTATTTCAATATCTGCATAACCTAGGTTCAGAGTTTTCCCCCCGTTTCCCCGAATTTCACCGCACTTTAAAGCGCTTTTTTGGCATTTTAGTCAACGCATAAAATCATCATCATGTCTGCAGTTTCGGTACCAGCACCCGTCGTGGTAGAGAACCCGGACGGAACCAAGACCATTGTGTCTTACAAAATTGACAATGGCAAGAAATACAGAGTCACACAGAAAGTTCGCGAAATCAAAGTGACAGAAAAGGTGAACAAATCGGTCGCAGCCCGTAAAAATTGGCATAAGTTCGGTGCCGAGCAAAACTCGGCACCAGGCCCTGATTACTCGACCACACAACTCGGAGAAGAAATCGTGCTCAGACTCGGAACCCAATGGCGTAAAATCGAAGAAGAAGAAGAGCAAAAGGCCAAAGAATCCAAGGGCGGGGAGAAGCTCATCACGTGTCGTATCTGTGGTGGTAACCATTACACGATGCACTGTCCTTTCAAAGATACCATGGGCGACGCCAGTGCTGCCAACGGTGGTGCTGGCGGCGATCCTGCCATTTCTGGCGATCCTGCCGTCGATGGCGGAGCTGGCGCTGGCGAGGGAGAAATTATCGCAGGCAAATACGTGCCTCCATCTCGTAGAGCTGGAGCTCGCGATCCTTCTTCGAGCAACAACCTCGACGCATACCGCGACCAAAGAGAGCGTGATGATGCCAAGACTTTGAAGATCATGCAATTGAACGAAAACGCCGACGAAAACACACTAAGATACGAACTATTGTTCCCATTCGGCAGAATACCTAAGGTCGTCGTTGTCAGAAATAGAGAAACCGGTAGATCCAGAGGTATTGCGTATGTGACTTTTGAAACCGAAGAAATTGCTGAAACTGCTATGAACTTCCTAAACGGCAGAGGTTTCATGAACCTGATTTTGAATGCCGATTGGTCCAAGCCTAAGGTCAAGGAGGAGTAGGGTTCAGCAGTCAAGATCAATTAATTAGTAAATACTTTGTACCATAAGAAAAATAGCTAACTGAGATCACATACCGGGGTTTTTCCGGGAGGCAATACCACACGATTTTGATAATTCGTGATCTTTCAACTATATAGCACCAAAAATGAACGGTTTTGGCATTAGTGTTGTTGATGTTATCTATTGTTATAAATCAACAACCTGTATCTGAAAAATATAGACTTTGATCTCACCATTGTGCGTTTGTCTGACTCGAACGGCTTTCTCAATCTCCTCCGCTCGAAAATGGCCAAATTTGACGACACTGTCACTTTCCATCGATCACAAGATTCAGGCCCACACCGGGCAATTGTTTTCCTTCATGGAGGTGCTTGGATTGATGCCACTAACACACCTCACGATTTCGATAAATTGGCAGAACATTTGGTTCGCTTGAATCAGTCTGAACCGGAATTCTCTCTGTATGCCGTCGAGTACAGACTTTCACCGGAAGTTAAACACCCGGCTCATCTACTTGATGTGATAGACAACCTTGCGCAACTCATCCGAAAGGAACAAGTCGACGAGCTCAATTTATTTGGACACTCCGTGGGTGCGACACTTGTGTGGCAATTGCTTACTTGTAGCCCTGCACTAAGCTCAGATCTTGAAACGATTCGATCAAAGGTCAATCGGTGCTATTTAGCAGACGGGATCTTTTCCCTTGTTGATATGCTCAAAGAGTATCCTACTTACGACTACTTCGTGTCACAGGCTTTTACTAAGGTCAAAGACTACGATGACCCTGAAGATTTGACGCTGCAAATTTCATCAAATATCAAGCTTCACATCTTGCACTCTTACGAGGACGAGCTGCTCTCGCTTCGGCAGAGCAACTATCTATGCAAGGTCCTTCAGGCTCATCAGCAACCTTACCAAACTTACTATGATGTATTAGGGAAACACAACGATGTCTACGAAAGTTTGAAAGTGGCAGAGTACATTATGTACACTATGATGTATTGAATTCTAGCGTATTAGACCCAGATAGTTTTACCGCGAGATTCGATTTTTTCCCCCAGTTTGTTAACTTCCTCATTCCATTCTACTAGTCTCTCTTTCATTTTGTTGATCTGATCGGCATTTATAATCCGCGGCTGCACCCACGTAACCGTGACCAGTTCGTGAACTTGATCAATAGATCCTTTTAGCAAACCCAGGCAGATACTTCTCATTACCAGATGTTCAACATTATCCTTGGGCAAATGCGTAGCGGCGGCAATGTCTTGAAACGACAGAGTCCTAATATTTTTGACAAAAACGCTTTCGACCAAAGTCATCAAACAGATTTTTTGCCCCAAAAAGGATTCATGTGTGGACAAAATTGGTACTTGAGGAACCCGCTCTTTGGAAATCTTATCAAATTGGTCGAAGTCTCCGCTCGACAAAGTGTTCAAAAATTGGAACAACCATTCGTACTGCGCGTCCGAAGAAATACTCTCCATTATTGGGTGATGCAAAAGTTCGCCAAAATTGTAAATTTTATCGCCCAGAAGAGCTGCAATGCACAGATCGTACGCAAGCTGCTGGCGCCTGAGGAAGGAGAACTCTTGTGCCGACCGCGAGGCCTCGGCGGTCGATAGGTAGAGTAGACTTGTGTAGTAGAATGAGTTGAAGTCTCTCTTGGCCTGGTAATATTCGGCACTTGCCGAGTAAAAAGAACTTGTCACTTGCAATGGCACAGCGTCCTGAACGTCAAGCTTGGCTTCGATTTCATCCAATGCATCTCTAGATTTCACAAGATCGCCCTGATTGAGGTGCAATCTCGCAATTTCAATGTCTATCAGTAAAATGCCATCGTGATGCGACTTTAGCCCGTCGTTTCTCTGTTTTTTCTCGTCTAACTCTTTGAAGCTTTTGCGAAGATCTGTGAGATATTCTAGAGCTGCCTCTGAGTTATTTTCGGCTTTGAGCGAGGTCAGCAAGAAACTCACCACTTTCAGCTGGTTAATTTTATCGTGGAATTTCAACACAAAAGAGTCATATACTCTTAGTCTCAATGGGCCGGTTCTTTCATCCTGGAAGAAAACGCCCAAATTCTCAGTTAACTGATGCCATAGTTTCTGATCGTAAAGGCTCTCAAAATCGTAAAAAAGGTCGGAAAGCTGAGGTTCAACTTCCTGTCTCAATGTTCCTAAGATTGTGGCGATATCACTCGACATGTGTAACTTCAATTAGTGGTAGGGATTGCACGATCAGGTGTGCTTTGAGTGAGTTAGATGCGATACCCTTTCTTATAAGGTGGCAAAAACTTGAATTCTTGTTTAAAAGGACAGCATCGTGTACGAAGCATTAGATCTTCAAAAGAGCGTGAAGTTGAGACGGTGAGACGGTGAGACGGTGGGACGACGTGATTGTGTCAAAATGTTTTGATTATGAAGCTTTGAAATTGTGGAGGTTGGAAAAAAGTTTAAAACTGTGTGTTTCGGCTTTTTCTCCGGTCTGAGTAGTATTGCTTATTCGCGATTTCTTGTTTTCCAAACTTCTGCAATCCGCAGTGGAAGAATGGTCAATACGTTTGAGAATTGGGACGGGGTATTTTGGTAGACGACATTGGTGAAAAGAGAGTTTCGTTTGCTACAGGATGTCATCTTTTGGTGAATTTGACAGATGATAGTGCACGTGACCATGGCCTGTTGGTCAAGATAGTCGCTCGCTGGCGCTCTCCAGCAAACGTTCTGACTCTCTCTTCAAGTTGTACCTCTTACGCTGCTTAAAAAGGGAACTCCTATCGGCAGGGAATCCTTTTCTTTTCAAATTTTATGGCTTCAAACCAAGTTACCAGGATCGAAGTTGCGAATCCGCAATGGTTCTAGCATCAGAGTGATTTACCAGAGAATGTTGGTACATGATTTCACCATTATCATGCTTCAATGCCATTTTTATGGTTTCGAGGACAAAAAACCTCGCATCAAGGGCGCACGTTGATGTTTTCGATGACCGGTTTGGTATTTTGCCATGCAACCAATGACTCTCTGAGCCATACGAGAAGGACATGTGCGAATGCTTTTAAAATCACGGAACATCTCTCTTTTAGGTAGCGAAGCATATGTTGTAGGCTCTCATCGGCAGATGAGTTCACTTGTTTCACGTCTTTGGTAATGAGCTTAAAACACTCGTTCAACTTTTGTAGCTCCTGTGTCACCTTGGCCGCCTCCTCTTTCCGCTCCTCATCCGTAAGCAGATGAGGTTCCAGTTCTCGCGCGTCAGACGACGACCCGTGCCTCCGCGAGCCTGATGTCCTCGAACGTCTGGATTTGAAAAGATCCGTCCAACCCGCGTTTCCAGCATGGGCGTGTTTGTTTGAGACTTCTAGCAGTTTGGGGTGAGACTTATTTGAAGCCATTTCATTTGAGCCTTTATTCCAGCCATCCATATTCTTGATGGCCTGTGCTACAGTGGGCGATTGCTCAGCATTTTTTCTTAGGGCTTCCTCGAGTCTTAACATTTGTTCTTGAGCATCTTCAAGACTTTTGATCCTCTTTTCGCGTCTCTTAATCGTAGATTCAACTATTCTGTACTGTCCCATCTTTTGCTCTCTGAAATGCAAAACATGTCTAGCTTCGACAATTGTCTGAACCATTTCGGCCATTGGCTCTTCGATAAGAATTGTGATCTGTTCTGATACAATCTCGGAGTTCACATAGTTGACATCGATGGCTTGCCCCACCTTCTCAATTCCTTTTGAGAGCTCGTCGATCTGCCGCATGTTATCTTGAAGGGTTAAGATGTTGCCCTCCAAGCTGAAAGCATTATAGTAAGCGCCTAGTTCGGCCAGCGAAGACGCCAACGCCTGGAAATGTAGTCTACTCTGTTTCGATTGCTTTTCTAACGGGCTAAGAACTTTCTCAAACTTTTTGAAAACCAATTCATACTGCTTGAAGGCGTCCTCTTGACCCCAAATTGCGTCATCCTTGTTAATCGGTTCCAAAACAGTATGGTTGCCAGCTGTACTAGGGAGCAAGAGATGTAGGGGACTAGGCTTGGTCTGTTGCAAAGGCGGAGCTAAAAGACTATTGGCAGGGATGATAGAGATGGGAGGAGAATTCAAGACATGTCTCCAAACTTGCTCGGAGTCTAGAAACTTTCTAAAAACGATATGTTGGCGGATTTCCACAACACCGTAACAGTTATTGAGAAACAAAGACAGTAACCGTTTTCTGCGATCTATGATTCTAATGTCCTTCTCCGCACTCAATGGGTTCAGAAAATACCGAATCAGTGGATGCTTTGATGGTATTGGGGGCACGATGATGGTGGGCAAAAGACGGTACAATGCATGCCTGAGAGTGTCAAAGTCGGAGTACCGCCTCACGACCTGTTTCCCTTCAAACTCGATAGTGTAGCCGATAGCATACTTGCCGTTAGCATCTCTGAAATGCCCTGCGTCGACTATTTTGATCTCTTGATTATCGACCGGCATGCAAAATGACGGAACTCGGTCTTCTTCTGTAGATCGACTTTTTCTCAGAAGAGGAGGTGCTGATGGCTCAACCTCTGCAGATTCGGCCTCCCATTCCTGTGCAACCGTTTCAGTTTCATCCACCTTGAGCTCCTTGTGCGGTGCCATGTCACTTCCAAACAACTGGTGCATTAGTTCATCCCTTGTTTCCTCTTTCTCCTGTATGTTTGCAAGAATAGTAGGGGGAACAAAGTCGTCTTGTCCCTCTGGCACAGCTGCGATACCTGAGGCATATAGATGATTAGTGCCCGAGAATGGATTATTATCCTCCTCATCGCTATCATAGTAGCCATTCATGGCACCTCGTCGTGTTGATCTTTTTGTCCCGCAAATGTGATGATAATTGAATTGTCAATGTCAATAAATGTCAACTTTAAAATATTCATTCCTTCTAAAGCCTATATTCGTTCACCAAGAACAAACAAGGAACGTCATCCAATGTCTTCTGAGCGTATGGCGGAGTAACGGGATTTTGTCGTCAAATCGACATGGGTTATGCCGAGTTGCTCAGTTTTTGACTAACAATTGATCTCGCAGCGATTTTGAAGGCCTCGGATATCGTAAGTATACCATAGACTACTTGGTGGTCCACGGACGAAATGCTAACGCAAACACGCTTTGTCAGTCTCCGGAACTGAAAGATGCAGTTTTTGAAATCAGCCTGAAAGCTGTTAAGGACTTTTCCTTAGAGAGAGAAATAGCCGGAGTGGTCAAGAAAGAACTAGACCTCAAACATGGCAACACCTGGCATGTCATTGTGGGCAAAAGCTTTGGAAGCTATGTGACCCATGAAAAGGGACACTTTTTGTATTTTTACATCGGTCCCTTGGCTTTTTTAGTCTTCAAGACCGCTTAGTGCACACCAAGTAGACAATCCCCATAAATAGCAACAAAAGTTTGTTTAAGAGACGATTCTCATTCGTAAATGGTCCCGTTTTTGGCACTGTCGCGCGTACCATTTGACAATGGGCCTGCCATCACGCAAGGAGGGCCACTCGTAATAGATCTCGTTGCGCTATAATTGGCCTGAATCTTTTCCCCTAACTCTGTGGATCTGAGTTTGAGCCTCTTCACTTTCTCTCTTAACCCACTCACTTGCGTGTCCTGCACGCTGCTCACTATACCTGCTAAGAGCTGCATTAATCTATCTCGCGACTGAGCTGCTTGAACCCACTGATCGTAATAGCCCGTGGTCAGCTTCTGCTCGCGCTCAATTCGAGCCTCAAGAAACTGATTGGTGAGATGGATCTTTTCGATTTTATCATCAATAGCGCGCTGGTTTTCCACCTGTGAAAGCGCTTTTCGCAATTCTTCGAGCTGAGATCTCAAGACTTGAACCTGTTCTTTTCCATCGAAAAGTTCGTTGGAATTCAGTTTTGCAGACGTCTTCACGCTGCGCGCAAGGGTTGCGTATCGGATCGTGGACATTGTCTCCTCGTAGTCGCACGGTGACACACAGGCGATCATACATGTCTTGCTGTTGCCGCCCAAATTCTCTTTCAAAACCCAAGTTAACGCTGCATCTCGGTAGGGTATCAAAAGAGGTTTCTTTGTCTTTGCAAGCATCGATATGACTCTTCCCAATGTGCTTAGAGACTTGTTGATGTTGGCGCCCTCTTTCAGATGATCTCCAGAAGTCTTGGACGCTGTTGCCCTTTCGCTGCCAGCTAGATCGATCAATTTTATACTAGACTTGCGTTCCAGGATGTGACCTAGTGGCGTAGTTTCTCGCTGCTCGATCTGAATCGTGAAGATTGCATGGCTGCGACTGGACTGTCCATTAACGTGAGTTGCCCCCACGACTCTCCTTTCGTTGCCCTGTTTGAAAAACCCCAGCATATCACTGACTTCAAAAACCTCGAACTCTTTAAGCCCTTCCACAAACGTTGTCTTGTCAGCTCTTTCTCGTATCTTGCACTTGCATTCGCCCAGGAGGTCCCGCACAGTTTCGTTGTAGATCTCGAAATAAGAGCACTTGATGCTGAATTGCGGGCTCACCTGCTCATCAGACAGTTCGTAAAGGTCGCGTACTTCAAAAAGCTCTCTGCACATTCTTGGTACGATTCCCGGACTCTCAGAGCATCCTGACATTGTATGAGATTTCCCGGACCCTGTTTGGCCATATGCAAAAATGCAGGTGTTATAGCCATCTAAAGCGTGCAGCAGATACTCTCTAGCTAAGCAGTTATAGACTTGTTCCTGATCCTGGTTTGCATCGTCAAGGTAAGTTGCACAGTAGTCAAATTTGAACCGTTTTGACTCATCTTTCCTATTGGATTGGATATCTATATAGTTATCTAATTGCACACGAGCCACTACGAAATTTTCAGACTCTGTGTCTGACGGTTTCCTTAATCGAACGGCAACTTTGATGCTATCTGACATTGATCTTGACTCGAGTTCAGTTGCGGTTCAGTTTGGAGTTCAGTTCAGTTCCGTGTGTTGAGCGCCTATTCTGACGCCTTAAGATGTAAACAATCGAGATTCTTGAGATGAAATGGTCACGTTTTTTGACGTTTAAGCTAAAATGTCAGTGATGGGCCCTATGAACTTAGCAAGATAGAGCTAGAGGTTCTTGGTGCTGTACTGGCATTGTGAAGCTTGACAACTTCCGGTTTTGTTCAACTCTTGATTTTATGTAATTATTCTATCTTAGCATTTACGAACAACATCACCAACAACTTGTATTAATATTCAATTAGAGTATATATGCGGAACCGTGATAGTAGCCTTGCATCGTGAATGCTGACTACGCATTCTTGGGAATCTCCGAAACGGAGACCTTTTCAAATTCACTGTCGTTGAAATGGGTTCCCAAACGAGCTACATTATAGCCCGTACTTTCTAGGTACTCTACAAACATCTCGTCTTCGAGAAGATTGGCCTCTTGGTCCACTGCAGGCAGGAAGAATAAAGCCAGGAAGGCACTGTTGCAACAGATGGCACCGGAGATCCAAAATGGCACTTTTAAGTCATCGTAACCACCGTGTTTCTTGATAATAGCGGGGAAAGCATAGGAACCTACAAAAGCACCGATTTTGCCCACGGCAGCTGCTATTCCGTAGTACTGACCCCTGATGGGAGTGGCACTGGTTTTGGAAGCCAGCACTCCGATGTTGTCACCGACGCTGAACTCGCCAAGAGTGCTGAAAATACCAAAGACAACCGTGAAAGCGGCAATATGTTTCTTTAAGTGATCAAAGCAGCCGGCAATTATAAAGGCAATAGCGGCTTGCAGAATCACACCACTGACCAATGTGAAACGTGGGCCCCAGTAGTCTGCGAAAATAGCGCCGAGAAAAGCACCAGGGATGTAGAACAGATTGAAAACAATGTTCCAGCCAAAAGTCTTGGTCAACGTAGCGTCGTCTCCAAGCACGCCGTCGAGAATTAGACTCGACAAACTCGAAAAGGAATAGGCAATAAAGTCGTATTGGAACCAGATTACGCTCACGATCGTTAGTCTGAACCAGTAGAACTTGAAGACTTTCCAGTATGGCATTGTTCTTTGAAACTTGGTGTTCTGGTATTGCTTGCCCTCTTTGTATTTGAAACGAAGCAAAAATAGAGACAATGGCGGAATGGCACCTAGCCCAAGCGTTATTCTCCACACGGGGGTCAGATGCTCTTCGCCGCAGATTTTGAGAAGGATCAAGGGAACCACGGAGCTGACAACGAATCCTGCGTCAATCATGAAGTTTGTAAACCAGCAGAACCATCTGTTACGCTTGCCTGCCGGCAAAGAGTTTGAAGCTTCTGCAGCGGCCGTGGAGCCTGCAGGATACTCAGAGCCAATTCCGATACCCAAGAAGAAGCGGTACGCTGTGAGCGCAGCAAACAGACCGCCAGCGTGGGTTCCGGTGGTTCCCACGCCCCAGGCTCCGGCGGCAAGAATGGAAAACAATATCAGAATACCGGTGCCGACCAACATGGCCACTTTACGCGAGTGAAAGTCGGAAATGTAGCCAAACGCCAGTTGGCCCACCACGGTGCCAACAAACGCGATGGACGACACATTTTGCAGCGCGTTCGAGTCCGAGTACTGGCTTTTGTAGATAATCGACAGACACGCATTCACGGTGCTGATGGAGTTGTTGATGTACCCGTCAGAGAACAACCCTGCACCGGTAGTGACTATGGCCCAGTAGTTGTTGCGCTTGTCGTCGACCTGGTATTTGCGTTTCGCGCCCGCTTCGCTGTCCGAGGCCTCATCACTGGTGGTTTCTCCAACTTGGAGCTGGCTCTGGCCCTCGCTTGAATCGACGCTATTGCGGCCCCAAGTGATCTCTTTTTTGGACCTTTCCACGCAATTCGAGGCCAATTCTTGCACGGAAAAGGGCAAATCCCGAACGGCTGGGTGGGTGACGTGTCTCTGCGAACTCATTTGAAGCAAAAAAGAAGAACCAAGTCAAACAATCACTATTCTAATCTAAAATCCAGTGTCTTTCTAGTTTTCTTTCTTGGCAGGCTCGATGGTCTTAGCAAAAGTAAAGCCTATTCTAATTGATAAGATAGTGAATTTCAAGGACTGTAATTACTGGGAGAAGATAACAGATACTGTCCAAATTGCCTTGTTCGCTCGATACTATCAACGACTGACATGGAATCCAGCTCAGCTCAGCTTTTCGTCTCGAAGCCATCTCTTCCTGCTTATATAGCCAGCAAATCCAGCGAAGAGCCACTTTAATATCAAATTTCACATGTGGGCGGGTCAAAATTAAGAACGGACCTGGAGTTACGTAAGCGGCCACAGCTGGAGTCCCTCGTCTGTAGCGATACATTTGGTGATGCTCGACGTTGCTCGACGTTGCTGAACAAATTCTTGTAAGTAAAGAGACAGCGTCCGGCAGTCTTGTAGATATTCTTAAAGATTTCGTAGTTACCGTGAATTTTGTGAACTGCTCTGGCCTTTAAAAGCTTGAAATGCCTAGCCCATACGTGGCCACTAATGTCATAAAAGTACAAAGTGATCTGTCTTTTTGGGTGAGCTGCACCGCGATGCCGTTCCCCGATGCGTGCAGGAAAGGTTGTCGTGCTGGGGGCTCGGTCGAGATACGTAATTAGCCTAGTGTTATAAACTAGATGTGAGGACTGTTGGCTCGCCAAGAACAAAAAACGTCATACGTGGTGTTATTATTTGTGATTTCAAAAAAGCCACCTGATGCAAAGGCTGTTATTGTTTGAAACTGGGGGATAATCCTGGCTTAACTACGTATGGGTGCCAACGAGTCCCGTCGCTTGAGGATTTTTGCGTCTTTTGTCTTTGTCGCCCAAATCGATATGGAGGTCACGTGCAGCGGTGCGTTTCCACTCTATAGAATATATTATATGTACAGTGCGTAAGAGTGAAGGTGGATGCTCAGTTTTCAGGCTTCTTGGCCACAAACAACATCATGGGTGTGAATAGCTTGCTTCTGCCACCAGCCACAAGCCCCACAGCGGCCTCCTCAAGCGCTAGAGTCACGTCACGCGAGCCCTTGGGGGCAATGCCAACTTTCTCCATGAGTGTGACCATTGTCGTCGTGAACTTACGGCCGATGTACGAGGTTCTGAAGAAAGTGGCCACATCCGACAAAGTCTGCACGTATTTCCACTCGCCCGTCAATGGGTAGTACCATGGGACTGGGTCTTCGTTGTCGGCCAAGTCTTCGTCGTGTATGATGTCGAAGCCCACGGTCGACAACGCCTTGCGTGCCGCCTCAGCAGGGAACATCTTGGGGATACCGTCGCCAAGCTCGATCTCGTACGCGATTTTGCGGTGCTCTGGGTTGGTCTCGTCGTATTTGTCGGTCATGACCCATTCGTACACGGCGAAAACTCCACCGGGTTTTAGGACCTTGTAAATTTCGCCGTACACGCCTTCCAGCTTGGGTGCGTGGCAAGTAGCCTCGATGGCGTACACTTTGTCGAAGGTCTCGGGCTCGAATTGCATGTTCATGAAGTCGCCCTTGACGAAGTCCAGCTGGTCTGCCAATTGGGCCTTTTTGGCGTAGTACTTGGCCTTAGCGATCTGGTAGTCGTTGTTGTTAAGTCCAATGACGTTGGCGCCGGTGAAACGGGCGATTTCGCGCGCAGGACCTCCAACACCGCATCCAACGTCTAGAACTAAGTCGCCGGCTTTGATGCCGGCCTTGTAAGCCAAGAAGTGCTCGTGACGGGCCACACTGGCCGCGAAACTCTCGCCCGGGTAGAATCTGCTGAAATGGAACGACGAACCCCATCCGTACTCGTAGAAATCGGTCACCACGTTGTAGTACGAGTGTGTGGACTCGTTGTAGTCCTCAAGACGTCGCTGCTCAGCCTCTGCGTCGGTTTTGCCGTCCCAATGGCGCAGATACTTCGACACAGCTTCTGTCTGTGCGCTCTTGTTTTTGGAGAGAAAGGCCTTGAGCCCGCTTTTCGAGCCGATATCTTCACCGTGCAGCTCAGTGGTGAACTTGGCTTGTCTGTTCCTCAATTCCTGTGCAGATTCGGTGGTCATTGTGGTGTTGAAGAGACTTTAGATGTGTTGATGAATGAATTCGCGGAATTGGCACTTGGTATCTTGGATTATATCGAAAAACAATTGCTTCTGGAGGCAAAAGATGAGCAATTCAGTAAATTCAGAGTACGATCAATCAACGAAAGGTTATTCTAGTAGCTTAAAGCGAGGATGAATGCGATTATCCAGGATCCCCAGTTTCGATTGTTTTTTCTTTATATACCGAATTTCCATATCGTTTAAAGCATGAAAAAATCTCGAAACCGAGATCTAACTAAACGAACGAGAATATATATACACCCATCCAAGCCCTGACCGTTATTTAAAGAGACTGTGACGTCAGAAATAAGGCTGAGACGGGAGAGAGAAGGAAACGTGAATTGGGAGATGTGACGTTGGATTTTGCAGGTTAGCAATTCGTAGGATGGTTTTTCTCAAAATGCAAAAGAATGACAGTTTAATTCTCATTGCGTTCACGTAGCGTTCGTGTACTGTACCTGGGCCACATTGCGATTTTTGCAGGATGGTGAGAAGTCGAATGGTATATTAAATTTGCGGGTGTGTCGAATGGTATATCAAATTTGCGGGTGTGTTGCCTCGGTGCATGGTAGTAAATCACTGGTACTAGAATATTGAGAGCTTGATAAAACAAAAAAGGCCATATGCTCGAGGTTTTCGAGATAGAAAAGTAATTTTTACAATAGCGCTGTTATTTGAACTCTTGGCCGTCCTCAAAGATCCGGTTTAAACAGCATGCCAGATCTTTCCGTAAAGCGATCAATTGTCCGGTAGGCATCTGATCAGCTTGAAGGAATGACAGATAAAGTATAAAGTGATATGATATAAAAAATGAGGGACAACGTTTGGCGATGTAAAACAAGAAGAATGGTGACGTCGCCTATCTTTGTATGCCCCCTGCGCTCTGACACGTTTACATATGTCTCAGGTCTAGTGCGATCTTTTTCCGCCAAGTTTTGAGATTAAATGTCAAATTTATTGGCAAGCATGCAGTTGTGTCTAGCGTGTGTCACACTCGTATACAATTACTCGGGTGTCACATATACGAGTAAAATCCATTGTGCTTGCCAATGAGCCCTACTGTAGCCCGCTCGATCCACTGTTCAAGTAAACAGCACAACCTTCATAAACACTGGGCGCTTCGACATAATTTATTCATTGACTAGAAAACATAAGCTATCTTATTTTGAGTTTTGTTCCTAAGAACAAGCTACCAAGCCACCTCCGAGCTATCGTAGGACATGAATTTTCCCGCGACCTCGGGCATCTTCTTCAAAATATTCTCGTTGATCGCAGAGGCAGACTCTTCTGGCGTTATAAAAGAAAAATTGCCGGACAGGTTCTTCAGAAAGTCTGATTCCATCGCTTCTTTGCCCATATCGCTACTTACCGCACCGGGGTGGATGGCAACGCATTTGTAACCCTGGGACGAAAGCTCGAGGTGCAATTGTTTGACTAAGTAGTTGATGGCGGCCTTCGACATGCCGTATGCGGAGAGAGGCATTGGGACGCGAGAAATCACATCGATTGAACCGGCCATGGAAGAGATAACTGCAAATTGCTTAGTGGGTTTTTGATCCAGCAAGGGTTTGAAAGCGCGTAGGAGCCTAATGGGGCCAACCGTGTTGACAGTAAAATGGTCGTAATATAATTCGTCAGAACAGTCCAGAACGGGCATTGCGGATTTTGCGATCCCCGCGTTGGCAATCAAGACATCCAGACCTTGTGGCAAAAGATGTGCAGTTTCTTTGGCGGCCGCTATGTTGCTTTCTGCGCGAGAAGTGTCCAACGACACGATTTTCACGTTTGAATGAGTTTCTGCCCATTTTTTCAGCTCGTGCGCTTCTGCCACATTTCGGGCGCTGGCGACCACGGTATTTGATGAAGAAGAGCTGAGCGTTTTGACGAGGGAGAATCCAATACCACGATTACCACCCGAGATGAAATAAGATTTGGACATCTTTTGAAAAGTGTGGGCGTGTGAGTCTGAGTGTGAGTGTGATTTTTGGAATTCAATTATGAACAGAATAATATAAGGCTGAAAGGTGAACAGAGACCACTGAATTTATAGCTTTCAGGTATTGTGTGCTAACAAAAAGTCATTAGTGACCGGTGGGGTCGTCAGCTTTGGGTCCGTGAAAGGACCGTTTTAGCCCTGACTAATGGTGATGTTGGTACACGTGAGAGCAAGACAGTTACGAGCCCAGTAGAACAATCGAGAGCGTCAGCGATCGATTGTGAATAACTTGAGATGTATATTCACAATTGTATAATTGCGAGTTGATGATCAACTGTGATTAGTAAAAGTTGCTATGAGAAAAGAGCCTGTAGAACAGCTAAAAAGTGCTCTTTAATGCTCTTAATAGGGTAAACGTAGTTTTGATGTCTTATTTTGCGAGTACGAGTACAAGCTAGAGAAAAAGACCAGAAGATTTATTGAATAACGTCGGCGATGAAATGGGGATAAATAGAGGTTATGTATTGCTGCTGAGCAACTGATGGCATCAACGATGAATTGGAATAAGTGGATGCTTAGTGATTTTGAAGCATCAGCGTTCATAGGTGATAAATATGGTAGCAAGTGTCAGGGTATTTTTGAAATCGCTGAGAATCGTTCGAGATTACGTAAATGAAAGGCCATAATTGAAAACGTCAGCGCTTGGTTGTTAATAAGGAGAGAGGTTGTAGAAAGTGTGGTGTTCTTGGGCATTTGAGAGCGCCAGTGGCAGCGAGCTTGGAGAGTTCTCATTGTTGATTTTAGATGCTCTGAGATGGAACACCACTTGATGTTCGTCCCTCCTCCGGCGCTGAAGGTGGCTGGGTCCTTTTTAACTCACAATCGAGAGCACAAATTATCGATTGGAATGATTACACAAGTTTTGCTAGCGCTCTCAGTTGTTTGTTTTTGCTTCTAGCCATCTTGCTAGAAGCACACTCGATCGCTGACGCTGTCAACAATGCTTAGGGCCATGCCTGTGAAAAATCAAAGATGTACTCGCCATTGTACTCGTGACGATGAGGTGGTAGAGTAAGGGCTGACTATTCACAGTTGAGAGCGTAAGCGAAGAGTGAGGACCAGGAGGAAAAATGGCAATATTATTTCGCTCTTGTGAGCTGCAGTGAGGTACTTTTCCGTGCTTCGAAAAACGGGGAGCTTCTACGTATTTACCGTTGAAATGGCGGGAGCTCTTGTTTGATATATAGTGCTCGTAGCCATGGCTGGCCCTTTCAATTGTTTAATCGTGCTCGTAGACATGTCGACTACTCACAATTGATCGCTGACGTTCAATAGTGCTTCAAGTGTTTGTGTACTCGTACTCGTACTCGTCCAATCAATATTCATTGTCTGCCAAGGTAGTACGAAAAACTCTACCTGTCATCGCCTATTTGCAGAAAAGCGCCACCGATCTTCATTGTTTGATAGCTATAACGCTTCTCTTAAAGATACTAAAGTATCAATAAATTACAATCAAGAGCGCTGGCGCAATAGTGCTTGTAGCACCCTTTGCTGACGCTCTAAATTTTCCAGCAGTGCTTCGAGATCTCTAATTATTCACAATTGATTGCTGATGCTCTCCATTATTCAATAGTGATTGTATATATCTTGATTATTCACAATCGATCTCTGACGCTCTCGAATGTTCAGTAATGATCCGAGTCCTCTCTTAAATACGTCTTATATCCGCGGCCAGCTCTCACACCCATCACCTCATACGAGATCCTCTCGTTAAACCTCATTTTCGGGGAGTTAGCCTTACTCATCATCGAATTTCGCACTTTAACCACTACCAACCAGTTGACATACAATTTGCCACCCAGGATCAAGAACCACTTTTAAGCTCAACTCACCTCTTACAGACGCGTTATCCGCGTTATGACTACCGTGAAACGCGTTTTGGACTCCCCCGTCCCCCCCGAAGAAGCGACCAAGCGCCGGGGCTCCAAGCCAGGTCGCAAGCCGCTCGACACCGAGGCCAAAAACAAGCGGACTGCTCAGAACAGAGCTGCCCAGCGGGCGTTCCGTGAGCGTAAGGAACAAAAAATGCGTGAGCTGGAAGACAAGGTACGGCGGCTGGAACGTGTGCAAGAACAGAACGAGATGGAGTCCGAGTTTCTTCGCGGCCAGCTGCAGCAGTTGGTGGCGGAAATCCAACAGTACCGGCCCCAGCGAACGTCAGACTCCCAAGTGCTCCAGTATCTCGCCAAGTCCGAGGAGCAACAGCAAAAGCAGCAGCAGCGCGAGCTGGAACAGAACCAGAACCAGAAATATCAGCACCAACACCAACACGAACATCGCTCACGTGACGAAAATGGCGGCGGCCGCGGCCGCGTTCGCTCTAGTAGTAACAGCACCAGTCACAGTCGCAGCAGAAGCAGATCCGACGGCAGAAACACTTGCAACACCACGCCCACTGATCCCAGCGAAAACTCCAGCCCCGTCGACGACAACGCCGCCGCCAACGCCGCTAAGATACGGGAAAACATGCAGCGCAAGATGAGCTTCACGTTCGAGTACCACAGACCCTCGGCCTCCTCCACGTCGTCACATAACAACAAGTCGCTCCCACTATTGGCCCATACCCCCAGCACCTCGTCGGGCTCGCTGGATCTCTTTAGCTACAACACCAACAGCGACAACCAGAGCCTGCCCAAGTTCACGCCGTCCAGTTATTCAAACACCTTGAGTAACGAGTTCGATTTCAACTCCCACTTCGACGAGCAAGTTTCGGAGTTCTGCACCCAGCTCAACGAAGTGTGTGGAACTCGGGAGTGCCCCGTACCCAAGAAAACTACTCCGCCGTCTTTGGCATCCTCACATCCCTCGCCCACAATACAGCGGCTGCATCAGTCTCAACTGCCGTCTGCCTCCTCGCCTTCTGCCTCATCGGTTAAACTCTCTCAAACCACACAGCTTCCGCCTGTAGCCCAGCGACAGGACTTAAATCAACAACCGGGTCAGGACACTTTAACGAACTCCTGGGACTCTCCTCAATTTGGACAATCTACTTTCGGCTGGGATACCGACTATTCCACCAACAAATGGATGTTCGGTGGTGTGGACTTGTCTAAGACCACAGGGGTACTGCGAGCTCCTTCAAATACTGCAGATTCTTTACCTTTTATCGATGCCTCTCTGGCATTCCCCTCAGAACAACAAGATCGGTTGTTTGGCCACAATTCGGATGACGTTTTAACTCAATTCTTCGAGGAAGATCCTACCGTGACTCAACTGACCACGGAAGAAAGCAACTACGACCCTTTCAGACCAGATGCAGTTTCGATGGCCAAGGACAGTTATTCAAGCTCGGAGTTCGTCGAATCGGGCCAATCAGCATCCGAGTCAAGTATATCGACTGCAATGACTGCGCCAGATCAGCAGTTTACGGAAAAGGCAAGTCCTTTCGCCGAAGCCGTCCATGTGAAATTGGAGCAAGAAGATGTTGTGCCATCCCGCGATGGGCATATACTCAAATGTTCCGAAATATGGGATCGCGTTACTGCACATCCAAAATATACTGACATTGATATCGACAGTTTATGTTTCGAGCTAAGGAGCAAGGCGAAATGTTCCGAAAAGGGTGTTGTTGTTAACTCGGATGACGTTCAAAAAGCGTTGACGAAACACATGTCTTAGGAGAACGTGCCGGCAACGTGAAAAGGTTTGGAAACACGCTGATCGAAAGAAATCCGTGGCGAGGGTTGTGCGAAATCTCTCTTGTGGTTGGATTTTTTTTTTTTCTCTTTTCTTCTCCGGCTAGTTCCCTGTGTAGGGTGGGCACTGGTGAGCCATGGGCACTGGTGAACCGTGGGCGACACGTCAAGTATTGCACACCCTTCCCCCCATGACTTACGAAAAATGGATTACACCCTACATGTTTATGTTTATAGCAGCTAGTACGCAGAAGTGACTACTAATAAAGGATTATGGTACCATGTTTTTAGACCTGGGAAGCGAGAAGAGAGCACATTGTATTAACAATGTACTAGTGGAAAATTACGCAGCAGGTTTGCTCAAAATGTATGCCCCTTCGGTGAAGGGAGTTTAGATTGTTAAACGACTACATTTTAAATATCGGGGCCCAGCCATCAATGGCCAAAACTACGTTATATTATTGAACACCAATTAATGTGAGCATTTTGCTTTCAACTATGTGATAATCGAGCTTAGCATGTTTCTCAGGTACTGAGTTCTTTAATTTCAACGAAGAACTTGATTATGAATGTATGTTGATGAACTCCGAATTTTCAAAATGTGGACTCATTATATTTTATACAGCTCACTAAATACACTACTGGATGCAAAGCACTTTTCAACGGTAACAAATGACAGCTGGTAACCGCGCTAGAATTATAGCTTATATTCTGAAACTATTTTATGTGACGTTTTTAAGAAGGCCTAGATTTTTACCTCGAACTACAGCGAACTAAAAAATTTGGTGACCCTTGAGACTTTATAAACAATACTGGTGCACATACGATAAGACTTACCATGCTGGGCTCTTCATGGACCCGCTAGAACCACCATTATGGAATCTGATGACACATTAGTACAAAGTGACATAAAGTAATAAAATGGTAAACCTTCAACAGAATCTGACCCAAAACTACCAAAACGCATTCAAATTTTCTTAAAGAATGCTCTCCTCCTATTTACTGATAGCCTTGTCACACTCCAATCATTCCAGACACTCTACCAACCTTAAAATATCAGATCACATCATCAAAAAACAAATTTCGTAATCAAATCCTTCAACTTCAATTTTAAGAACATCAAGAGTTCTGGTCAAACAGCTTGTTACTTTAATGGCCAACATCGTTCAAATCTTTCAATATAAACGTACATGGTTTGAGCTGGCTCAAGAGACCCTTCCTGTCGTTCCTCGTGACCTTTTCCCCACGAATTTACACCATCAACGTTTCCAATCGCGACGCTAATATAAGGCCAAGTACCCATTTTTAAGATTGAAAATTGCTAGCCCTAAATTCAAAACTAAACCCAACAGCTATAGAACGGATTCGCAAGCTAAAAAAAAGGCCAATACAGAGCTCTGACACTCTTTCTTAAGCTCTATTAAGTGTTCACTCGGTGTGAAGTTTTTAGTATCGCTTTTTTTGCGGGCGAAATAGCTTCAAAACTCGCGGATTTCGTTCGAATTAGCAAACAAGCCTTTACAAACAGGTCTCTAGCAAAAGGACTAGAGCTTAGGCTTTTAACCTACTTCAATTGGTGCTTAAATATAATATAGGTCATGGGAAACAATCCCTCAACGGCAAACCAGCCGCAAAATAAAAGAGTGGGCCAGCTGGCAGAGGAGTTTCGGGGCCGTCAAGATTCCATCACATCGCAGCTTTTTCCCAGTAGAAGCGCAGGACGACATCCAGAATCAGAAAGAAAGGCTGGGTGGACTAGTCGGGTTTTGCCGGGCTCAAAAAACGCAGCAAGATCGACTTCGTCTGGCCAACAGCACGTTGTGAACTCCCCGTTCCGCAAAAACTACTCCATGGACATGAAACAGGATTCCCCAGCGCCATTCGCTCTGAAAAAAACCCCCGTGGCCAACCCTGCGCCGCCTATGTGCATTATTGCCAACGCCAGCGCTGACGAGTCGTCGTCATCGTCGCTCAGGGACCACTTGGCCGAGCTCTCGTTGCAGAATTCAGAAACGCAGCCAACTTCTGTAACTGCGACGTCGAGTGCTGCAGGCACAGCACCTGCTCTTCGAAGCCCGGGACCTGCTACCCCAGTGGTCAAATCCACTAAAGAAGATGCTCTGTCAGATCATCTTTCCAGCACTACGTCATTAAAAAGGCTTTTAGTCGAAGGCAGGATTGGAGAGTCCATGCATCTTCCTTCTTCATCCATCGATATTCCAAGGCGATCCAGCACGGCGATTTCAGACGCTTACATGTCTGACGATGAGGGAGATGATGAAGAGTCCCTGTTACAAGGTGCAAACGATGTACTTATCAATAACTCCATGTTAGAAAATGCCATGAAGAGGAAAAGAAGTACCACCAAGAAAAGCGGCACCATAGGAATGTCTCTCAGTTCTCGAGACACACTGCACCATCCTGGCCAGAAAAAGTTAAAACCGCTCAGCTCTGGCAGCGAAAGAACCAAGCTGCCCGATTTCAAAGTCATGCATGCACGGCCTATGGAGGGAGAAATTAGCTGCGATTCATTTTCAATGCCTCGGCTTGTGCAAAACAACCTTGATCGTATTGATTCCTTCGAAAAGGGAACCGCAGAGCACTTTGAAGGCACTCGCAGTACGAATAGTTCACAAAGCGTCACCTCCTCAGAGGAGCAGGTCTCAGACGAGCAAAATGAGACTATCGAAACCCATGTGTTGGTTAAGTGGAAGGACAACATCGTGGATCCCAAGACATGCAAAATGTCGATAGTAAGTAGGGACATCATGTCTGTCTTGGGTCCGCATAATAAATCCAAGAAAATACCTATGACGTTTGACACAGAGTCCAAATGCTGGGTAGCTCCAAATCTTTTTCTTCCACCTGGCATTTACAAATTTCAGTTCTTGATTAATGGCGAATTGCGACACTCTGATTTCCTCCCTACTGCAACTGATTCTTTTGGCAGTTGTGTCAATTGGTTCGAAGTTGTTTCAGGGCATGAAGTCATAGAACCCTCAAGAGATGTTCTTTCGGCCACAGACGCTCAGCTTGACGACAAGGAAAATGACGCACAAGCTGTAGCGTTTCCAAAACCACCTTTGAAATCAGACTCTTCTTCTTCTGATTACAGGGGTTCTAATCGGCATGTTGAGGGGACAAGCACTCCATTCTCGGACTACACAGGACTTTTCAGTAGATCTGATTCCTTCAAACCTCAGCTCAATCAGAGGCACACAAGTAGCCTTGACTTGCTTGCTCCACCGCAGCGCAAAAAACACGAGTACTCCGATGAGATTCCAGAACTCTATAAAACAAACTTTGAGGAAGACCCTGATTTGCCTCCGTACGAACCGCACCAAAATCTGTCTGAAGGTGAGACGGATCGCCCAAGCTTCTTACATCGCGTTCAGGATTGTAATCAAGATATGCTATTTGCAGATCTACAACAGGGTGGAAAACTGGACTCACAGGCAGCGGAAAACGCTTTCTTGCAACAATATCCAACTCCGGACCTTCCTGTTTACTTGGACTCTTCATTTTTGAATGCAGTGTTTAGCCGCTTTCAAAAGAAGAATGAATCCAACAGCAGAGTGAATCACATAGTTCCTCACGTCAACCTCAACCACCTGTTGACTAGCAGCATAAGAGACGAGATAATAAGCGTGGGGTGTACGACACGGTATGAGGGCAAGTTCATTACTCAAATCATCTATACGCCCTGTTATTATGGTAACAAAAAAAAGTGACGGCTCGCCCATGAAGCTAGACCCTTTCGCACTAGTAATGCATATTTGAACAGTACTTCGTATATGAAAACTCATCTACATAATTGAACATTTGGGATCTGTTGTTTTGCGCTTTGCCATCCGTTTTCGCTTAAACTTGGCTACCTTTTGCCTTAGATGGATAGCTTCATCGTCGAAGTTGCTGAAGGTTTTGAGGATTGAAGGCAGTGGCATTGTTTTAGCTCTCTCAACGGTGCTCATGGAGGCAGAGCTTATCGTCTTAGAGAGCCCGCTCTTGATGGAAGATTTCGATTGAGTTTTCAAAAGAGTGTCGTTACAGTTCGATTGTCCGCTCCCTGATAATGACGGTGGGGGAGAGGCATGTTGCTTAGGAGTGGAGTCGTGGTGGAATGCCCAGTCACCTATGCTCTTAATGGTCCGGATCGATCGATGAGCTGTTGATTTATTGGAATTTGTACGTGTGGCAGCATAGAGCTGGAAAATTTGTGAGTCTTGAGCTCTGTGGTTTTGATCATTCTCTAGCGCGTCTTCATCGTCATGTTCGTTGATATAAGGATCTTTAGACATTCCACAAAAGGGTGACAGAGAAGTGCCAAAGCTTGGACTACTCATGCAGGAGTTCATTTTTGTTATCGTGGACGTTATGGTAGATTCCAGCCTCAAAGTACGATCAGATAATGCTGAGGCAGAGACATTTGGTTGGGGTGACAAGCGCGAAACATTGGGATGATATCCCTGAGCTTCGATGGCTACATCATCCTGGATCATTACCAATGTGTAGAATAAAACTTTGGGAAAGAACTTGTTCAGTTCTAATACATCGTGCAACGCAAGAATTTGCAAGTTGTTCATAGAAAACTTGTTGTCATAAAGGAGCCAGTCGTCATTAACATGAGCCACGTTTGGATCATTATTAGACTGCCTAACCGCTGTGAATAACTGCCGAGTATCCGGTTGCTGTATAAGAATAGATTGCAGGACCAGCCTGAATCGACCGAACTTTTCGGAGATAGACAGCGAAGGAAAGATGGAAGTCATGGAGCTAGATCCTTGTGAGAAATCAGAGTCGTAACTCAAAGATCTAAGCGAGTGGTCAACACTCGACAATTCTGATATGCATTCGTTATCAGCCAGAGAAGATGCGGAGATTTCGTCCCTTGTTATTGTATGAGTCAAAACATCGCCGTCATAGGAAGAAACGTCTGCACTACGAACTGATGACATTCCTGTGGAAGATGTGTTTGCCGTTTGAGTGCCTCTAGAGTTTTTAAGAAGTTCTGGAGCTATTCTTTGAGGTCTATTATGAATGCCATGGTGTTTGAACTGTAAGACAAGCTCACTGCTCGTGTCGTTCTCGAGATTGCGGGCACTAGGGTAGTTCTCGCACTGATTGCTATCTGTGGCATCGTCACATTCGCTTGAATTCACAGATTCGGCTTTCTCAACAGTGGTAGATCTGACGGATTCAAAAGGCGCTTGGTCAAAGCAAGAATCTTCCAAAATCACAGTGGAGGGCTGTAACTCCCTCTGTGGGCTTGGAACATCTGAAGGCGACTTCACTGAATCAAATCCCGTTTCACCGCTTATGATGCTATACTGGTTATTATAGGATTGGGGTCGCGGCAAAATTTCGTTTCGAGTGGCTCTGTTTTTAGCACCCAGTTCCAGAAATGATTTATCGTTGAAATTGCTAAGATTATCACTGATAAGGTAGTGGTTTTCGTGATTGTAGCATTTTTCTTGCGTTAGTTTGCGGATTTGGATATACTGCAAATCGTCTAAGTGAAAGTAGTCTCTCAAAAAGTTCTCCAATAAGTTTGTGTTTTCGTGAATATCGTCTGGTATGGAAACTAGCAGCAGTTTTTTATTAAAAGGAACCGCTGCAGACATAAGTTGTTCGTAAAGAAACCTTTTCAGCAGTGCCACTTTCAACTCATTATTATTCAGTTCCTCGAAGTTGCCACGTCTCAAATTGCTCAAGTACCACGACCAAAGCCCATTGTCGTCGTTTCCGAAGTAGTCATCGACTTTTATCGAGTTTTCCAGCATTGCACGGCCAAAAAATCGCGCTTATGGGAAATCAACGATTCGTGAGTGAAGCCAAAAGAGAAATAAGAAAAGAGCAAAGATGTCCTACCGTTATGAAGCACCTCTAAACCGACTGAAATGCGACGAAATCGTGCGCTATCGAACTAAACAAGATATCAAAAATTGTTCAAAACAGTCGATCCAAAATCCAGTTCAAAGACTCCGGGTGAATATTATATTAAAATGGGGTGTTCAACCAGCTCTTTACGCTCCAGAATTATCGCTCTAATCCACCAAACTGGCCAAAAACACCAAAAACAAGAAGAAACCGCAACAGTCACCGTCCTAGGAATAAAATACTTGGCACTAATTCAAAACGTCCCGCCCTGGGTTCCACGAGATTTCACAACAATAACCCTCGAGAAATGCCAAAAGTCGCCTCCAATTTAATTCACCATTAACCAGGAAACCAGGTTAAAGTAGCTTGATAATCGTCGAATTTAGAGGATAACTTGTTGTGGGTTTTTATATCAGTCTCGGTCGGATCTCGCACTTTTATAAATATTACGTCGACGTCGTCGCCTGTGAAACATACTGGAAAACACCATCGAAAATGCCTCAGGGTTTTTGGCCGGGTAACCGTAGTAGGTCGAGAAGGCGCGAAGGTTCGGACCCTGGCGCGGACCATAAGGAAGCGTTTGGTCGTGTTTAAAATAGTTTCTAAGGTTTTTTCAAGATGTTTGGATTGGGATTGTAGGTTTTTTGGTCGATAAAAATGGTTTTTTGGTATAGATGACAGGATTTTTATGTTAGTAGTGTGGGTGACAGGTGTCGCATTGAGCTGACGGTAATGACTGCGCTTTTGTTTGATTGTCTCATGTTAGGGGAAGTTAAAAGTGAGTGATTTCTGTTGCTGGAAGTACCACACAAGCTTGAGCAGTATTTTCGAAGGGACCTTTTTTAAATTTTTAGGCCGGTAGAGCTTTCTCCTTGTTGTTTGCTAAATGTCTAATTCGAATACCGAAACAATTAAATTCATAAGATGTGTCAGATAGTTTTAAGTTTAGCTGGGGGAAGGTAGTGCACACACTGATAAATATTGCGAACAGCCCTTGTCTATTCCGTAGTCCCTGTAGTAGCACCTCACTCCTTTGGGCGGGATCAGTCTCGAAGTAAAAAGATATTATATCACTATTGACGCATGAGTCACCGGAAACTCATGAGCTTGCCGCTACAACGAAGAAGAGACCAGATTCCCTCCCACGCTCCAGTTTTCAACTCAAAGACCACAATTTAATTAAGTATTATTATTACTTCTATGGGTTTAGGTATTTATGCTAGTTATCAGCCCAGCCCAAAGAGTTCTCTGAGCGTATTGGGCGTGATATTTGTATTTTATGCAAATCATCTTTGGTGTGGCCACGAGGACCGACATCATCGACTGTGGATGAGCGTTTGCGGCCACTGCCATGAAAAATATTCGCGTTATGCAAAGTGTATACGACTGATTGACGAAAACTTGCCCTTTTGGATCTTTCCGGCCGCGACACAGACACGCTTTTGGACCCTTCTTGGGCCCGGCTTGCTGCAGGGACCTCCGGGTCTGTTGGCTGCGAGGAACGAAACGACGCTTTTCTGGAACCTATGTTAATCCCAGATTCTGTCTCACTATTTTGGCCTGCAGGAATTGCAGACACTCGAGCGCTCAAGTGCGACAAATCCGCATCGCTATCCTCGGCGAAACTGACCATAGAAGATGGTCTTGGAGGCCGTTCTGGAGGGTCACTGGAGCTGTCGGTTCCAACATGAACACTACGAATGACTCCCCCAGAATTTTGTCTCGTTGGCATCGATTTGATGGCGGTTTCAAGAAGACCTTGCTCAGACGTGGCAGATAATGAACGAGTGTAAGATAAACGGCTATCGGAGTATTGTATTGGCGCGCCGGTCCCGAAAGTGTTTAGACTAGAGGATCCTCTGAGCTCCCCTGTAAAACCGCTGGCGCTCGACAAACGACGGTAAATTACCTCGTCCAGTTCATCAAATTCACCCACATGAACGTCGTTCACTCCGTCGTCTTCGTCTTCGTCACCGGAAGACGCAGACGTAGATTCGAATTCAAGGTCCTCAACGTCATCGGCATCGTCCACGTCCTCATCGTAGGCTTCTTGCTCCAAATCTGTACTGGCGCGGCCGTCTTGGATGTGTCGGGTGCCATTAGCATCAAAGCTGGCTCCGTTCTCGAGATCTTCGCTGTAAAAATATTCTTCCAAATTTTCATCTTCAGCAGAAAGCTGTCCCATTAGGTTAGAGCTGTCACTCGAAAGAGGCAAAGGCTTGGAATTGCTGTTGCTACTTGTGTCGATCTCTTGGGCCTCAGTGCTTTTGGGGTGAGCAGGGACCTCAGTGTCTTCGGCGTCGGATAATTGGCTCAAGAACTGGTTCAGCTTATAATAATTCTGGTTGTTATAGCTTTCAAACGTGTCAGTGTTATTTTCGTCCAACGATAGTCGTTCAAAATCGAGGACGGAAAGCTCGACGTTACCTTCATCATCGACATTAAGCTCATCCAGTTCCGAATTACGCTGAGACTTAAGTGTCGTAACAGAGTGGGGTTGATTATCAGATATAGCACCAAATCCCACAATGCTATCGGCAGGGCGGGAGTCCGAGTTCCCTTCGATTAGTTTGCTGGTGGCAGAAAAGTCAGCTTTGCCCGGTGTTCCAGCGAAGTAAAAGTTGCCATCCTCGTCAATTTGATAGAAGAGGCCCGTGCTTTTACTGAATATCATGTTATTGCCCATCGGTACCAAATCCCCATCATCATAGGTCTCAGAGCTGCTGGTGTCTCCAACAGGATTGCTACTATCAAGATATTTTTCGAGGTCTCTTGAAAGGTGCGACGGACGCCTATGGAATGGCGGCATAAAATAGACAGCCACGGTTTGATCATCAGCATTCCATTTTTTATCTTCGTGATCGAAGCGCTCGCGAATAGGATCCAGCTTGCACATGCGGCCAAATATAGCGAGAGTGATGAGAACCCATATAGCAAGGAAAAACAAGAACACGGGAAGAAAAATGAGCAGCCTTTCCCCCCTGCTGAAGGTTACATGGAAGATTCCATAGCCGTCCAAAGCCCCGGAGTCATTGCCGTTTTTATTTCCACTCTTGTTCGTATCGGAGTTTGAGCCTCCAGTACTACTTCCCCCACCACCTTCAGATGAGCCCGAACTTCCAGACGGACTGTCACCACTCGACAGCGCCGAGTCTATAAGGCCTGTCAGAGGAACAGTTGGGTCGATCAAAAGTGAAAGGGACTTCAAGGCAGGATCAGGATTCGAGTAAACCTTCGAATTATTGTTGAGCACCATTTTTTGTAAGATATCAATGGCGCTTGTCGGGAAATAAACCACTGCTATCGAACTGATGTAAGAGTCGCCAGGAATTAGCAAAGGCAGTATTTCATTGACAGCGACATCTGAAAAGTTGGTTTCAAGAAGTTCGGAGAGATTCTGAATCGCTCTAACGGTGTCCAGTACGGTCAGCGCTGACGCGTGGAAATCACCATCGCCTTGGCCACTTGTACCTCTCAATACACCCCTGGTTTCAGTGAACTCTCTCTTTTCAGGAAAAGTGGTGTTCCTATGGTGGTCCCGCCAGGACATGAATGGATACGTCAAAATTCCAGGAAGGAAGCTAAATATCTGGGCTGATGCAAGTGAATTTTCAATTAGAAACGGATAATTCAGTTCGCGTTTAAACCCAACAGTGATCTGTGAGTAGTTTTGCGCCTTTGAAGCAGGAGCCGAGGGCAATATCACTTGGGGCAATGTAGCTGTTGCTTGAACATCAAAACTGGATTGATAGCTGGCAGTACCAAAAGCTGATGCCGTTACTAAACTATAAGGTAGCCAATTGGTTGTTGCTGCTGAATTTCCAATATTTCCGGAAATGGATGTTTTTTGCTCAGAGATAGACGTCGTGCTTGCTATATCAGATTGTTGCACAGTTTCAGAGGATGATTGACCATTACTAGTCTTGGAAGAGGATGATATGAAAGCTTTTGATGCTTCTGTGGTAGTTGCTCCTGTATCAGACATCGAGTTTTCGCTGATCGTGGTCTTGCTTGAGAGTGTCCCGGAATCACCTCCCGTTTGTTTAGAGGATGTTCTATCATTTGCCGGGGTGTATGAAGTCAAGCCTGTACTCTCTGTGTAGGAGTTTTTAATGGTGGATAGAGCTGAAAGAGCCGAGTTGGGACCACTGGGGCGGTCTGATGTGACTGGTTGAAAGGACGTTGCAGAAGATGACAGTGTCGATGCAGTGCTCCCTCTTGACGCCATTTCGAAAGAAGAGGCCCCAGTGGGGCTCGCTAAGCTTGTCATGAGCGAGCCAGTGGTGTCGAAGGCTTTGGATGAGCTTTCAGAATTTGTTGACGAGCCGAAGCCAGCCCCGTCAATAGAGCTCGTTAGCAAAGTGGCGGTCGAAGCATACAAATGTGACGATGGCAGTGTGTTGGACTGTGACTCGAAAGTATCAGTAGACGAGGGGCGGGGAAAAAAAGATACTTCCTTAGAGCTCTCAGATGAAATGGACGTGGTACTTCCATCATAAAAGGTACCCGCTGAGTCCGTCGATGACAGAGTGCTTGATTTTGAAGTTTGAAACGCAGAAGTTGGAGATTCAGAAGATTCTGAAATGGTGTACGAAGTATCAGTAGAAGGGCTGTTTGTCATGCCCACGTTTAGCTGAGAGCTAGAGCCGACTACTGCTGAAGCTTCAGATCGCGTTACTGTGTTGGGATACGAAAACGAACTCATTGGTAAAGATCCCGACAAGAAAACCGAAGACTCCGTTATGGAGCTTTGCGGCACTTCTGTGGTTCCTGATACGGCTGTTGAAACACTCGCCTGTACAGTAAAAGAAGACGAATCCGTTGAATAAACCGTTTCAGGGACCTGCGAGCTCCGCGGAGTCTCCTCCTGGCTGACTAACGGGCTCTGTGAGAACGACGAGCTCTGGAGAAGGCTGTAAGAGTCACTTTCGGTTGAAAATTGTCCAATCAAGCTAAATGTGGGAGCTATCTGGCTCGAAGAAATTGTTGAGGTGGTTCCTGTCGAAGTCGAGTCAGAGGTACCAGTGTTGTCAGAAGTGCGTTGAAATTCTTGGCTGGCGCCTGTTAGGGACGTTCTGCTAGATAATGTACTTGACAATGTAGTCGGGGTACGGTCCGATGGATTTGCAGACTGCAGTGATGAAAATGGCAACTGCGATGAGGAGCTCAGAGAGATAGACACTGGTTGTGATGCTCCCGGTGACACACTACTCGCTTGCGTATATGCGGGCGTGGCTCCAGCAAATCTGCTGGTCCCTGACAGAGCGGCGGTATTCAAACTTTGAGTGCTTGACCTCGAATTTGCTGACGTACCGACCTGAGAGCCAGAAGTGGCTGAATTCCCACGAGTAGGCTGATCCGAAACCTCGGTACTGGTTGTAGTTGGAGTAGGGGAGGCATATGAGCTAAAAAAGCCAGAAGTCTCGACTTGTGTAGTTCTGACTGCCTGAGTGAAATCTGCTGATAAAGAGCTTGAAGTAGTCTGCGCTGAGACAACAAAGCTTGCTGAGGCCGCCGATATTGAACGTGACTCGGTTGATTGAGCGCTTATGAGGGAGATAGACGCTGGGGATGATGTTGTGGAGAGGGTCGATCCAGCGGGCATCGGAGATCCAGTGCTTGCAGTCGTAAAACTACTGTCTGGATTCGGCGAGCCCGTGCTGAATGTGCTTCTCCCACCTAACAAATCAGTGGATTGAAGGGACGAACTGCCGGAAGGAGTTGCATCATCGGTGGTTGGTTCTGATAGTGATGCACTGCTTGTCGGGGGTACGGTGCTTTCGATGATGGGCTGTGAAAAGGTGTTAGCAGTGAACGAATATTCTATGGAGATTGGTGTAATCATTGTAGTGACGCTGGAGGTGGATTGCGTGTAATAATCAGAGGTGTTCGGCGTGTATGTAGCAGTCAATGGCGGCGAGCCTGAGGCTGTCGTCGAGTCAGTACTGACTGACGAGCGTGGCTCTGTAGTGGTTGCAAATGGCGAGCTCGTGATAGTGACAGATGAAGAATCCGTTGTAGTCGCAAATGGCGAGCTCGTGGTAGCGGCAGATGGCGAATCCATTGAGGTTGTCGTTTGCGAGTCTGTGTCCACTGGCAGTGAACCTGCACTGCTTGCAGTTGAGATTGTTGTCATCGCGGGAGTTGAGGAAAAGGTATCACTACCGGTTGATGCTGACGAAAAAGAGCTCGGACTATTAGAGGAAACGCTCGTAGCAGATTGTACCGATGGGCTTGCAGATGACGACTTTGGGAAAGGAGAGCTTGTCTCGGCAACAGAAGAGCCCGAAGAAATGGGATCCGTGGATGCCAGTTCACTGCTGTATGATCCCCAGTCAGTAGGCGTGGTGGAAGTTAGTTGTGTCGAGGACGGTGCACTGCTCGTGGTACTGAGAAGCTCACTTGTTGACGAGTCACTGTTCTCAGAACTTATCACAGACAAGCTGGCGTCAGTAGTTGTAGCAGAGGTGGTGCTTTGTTCAAAAGTAGACGCTTCATCGCTCAATGTGAGTGCTGCAATAGCGTCCGTTCCTATCGAGCGTTCACTAGAAGCAACACTACTGCCTGCAGAAGTGATGCCTGTGGCACTTGACAATCCGACGCTTGCAGAATGAGCTGTTGTATTGCCTTGAGGCGAGAGATCTTGAGTGGCCCGTTTGTAATATGCGCTTCCAGCGTGTGTCGAACCAGCCAGCATAAGGAGATACACCAGCAAACATATCAGCTGTCTTGGTTTCGCTCCTGTGATCATGGAAAGGAAAGGTGTGCAAGGTCCTGGCACCCGTTGAATTCTAGCAATTAGACCTCGTGCGGCGAGCGGAGCAGCTAGCTAAATGAGACTATCCGGTAGCAAAAGAAATCTAAGGCTGTCACCAGTAGGTATCTGGGTGGTGTGCGGTCTAGTCGGTTGGCCCTGGAATGCCGCGATTGTTATATTTTATACGGTGATTGGACTTTTCAACATCTATTGAATTGAGAACGGTCAACCTCACATTCTTTCAATCCCGCTATGTCGTCTTCAATGGGTAATAAAGAACAGTGCCACTTGTCACGTGATCGAGAGGCATCCCAGGATTTCCCAATTTATCATTTTTTGGGGCATGGGAGGGTAACAGAGAGAATAGCCGCCGAGCTCCATGGTACCGATTAAGCTAAAGAGAAAGAGAGAGAGAGAAAGAGAAAGTGAGAGAAAGAAGCTCAGCTCTCTTCTCTCACACTAATTCCACGCGTTTAAGTAGTTTGGGCTCGAGAGCTCTCTCATTAGAACCACCTTGCGACTTGAAACGTTCTGTTTTTGTTCCGTTTTTGAAACAACGAGAAATGGAAACTGTGTCTCTGACTCTGTTAAACAGTGAACCACAAACTGCCGATGCCATGCTCTGCGTACCTTCGCAATCGTCTTTAGGCTTCTCGAGCTTACCTTATAGACCAACGGCTAGCACAATTGTTTTTGAAACACGTAGACTCGCCACTAACCAAAAAGCATGCCCTGGTGTCGCTTGAAAGACCACAGAAAGAGTTTCGACACTCTTGTAAGCTCTAAAGAGGATTCAAGCTGATCATGTTACTTCATAGTCGCGTTCTGTCCCGTTTTGACTGATGTGCTGTTTTTTGTTGTGGTGTATGGAAATGAAACTCTATATTTTATAGAGGAATCTTATTTAAAACCCTATGTGAGCACACAACAAAATGGAGAACCCGTCCGTGTATGTCTCCTTTCATACTCCAAGAAGTGTTTCTGGCTCTAATGGTAGACCAGTTGAGTATATATACAAGTAAGTAGCGTGTCTTGCCGGCCGGTGTCTTGACGGAGTCTTGTCGTCATGATTATTTCTCTACCCAGTCCAGAGAGCTCATCTGCGTGAGTCTGCTGAGTGCTCTGGCAAAAGCGAAACGTTCTTCGTCCAAAGTAAAGATATTGGAGTCGAGCGGCGATGCCTGGTTTTCAGAGTTTACAGGACGCAGCTTGTAATCGTTCAGAATAGCCTCTGGCTCGACAAAAAGCTTCTGGAACGGCGCAGCAGCTGTTGTTGCAAGCTTCCCACCGTTGTCGTAGACTGCATCCAAAAAAGTGATGAACCGGCGTACCTCGTCACGTACGTGTATAGATAGGTAGGGAATGTCGGTGATCACAAAGCTTTTGAAGGCGGTGGAAAGCGCTAAGTAGTCGCCTGCTGCCAGTGGGTTCCCGCATAGCTCTTTGAAAGTGAACTGTGCCACTCTCTGGGGCGTGCAACGGGGCACATTCAGTTCTCTGCCCCAAACCTTGAGCTTATAGTTTGTATGGATGCCGTGGTGCTGTTGTGAGTTTTCAACGTTGGCTCCATACTCGGGGGTCTCCAACTGCGAGAAAAAGTTGTACCACTGGTTGACGTGAGATTTTCTTGCAGCCACACACTCGGAAGATTTGTAGTCCACCCCGGGAAGCGGGAAATAGTAAACGGCGGAAAGTGGGCGGCGCACCTTTCGGTAGTCCGTTTTGGAGTCCAACTTTACCACCTGCGTTCTTTCTTTCAGGAGCTCGATGCATGGTACAAACGACTCGCGCTGGATCCCGTTTATGTACAGGTCCTCCGGTTTACGATTACTGGTTGCAAATAGCACCACGCCGTATTTTTTCGAGAGCAGAGCCGTTAAAAGCCTTCTCAGCATCATCGCATCTGCCACGTCAGTGACCTGAAATTCGTCGAAGCACAGCACCCTTGACTGACGTGCGATTTCTGTGGCCAGGAACGGGATGGAGTCGATGTCCTTGTGCTTGGCCTCCCCTAGGGCGTCCAGGTTGAGCTCTCCCACCAGCTCGTGCGACCGTTTGTGTACGTACTGCATGAATTGGTGAAAATGCATTCTACGTTTTGTAAGGTGTGGCGGTATTGTGGAATAGAAGAGGTCCATGAGCATCGTCTTGCCGCAACCGACATCGCCATATAAGTATATTCCCTTTGGGATGCCCTCAGTGGAGTATTTTGGTTTGAAGAGCATTTTGCCCAAAAAGCTCGATCTCCATCCAATTTGGCTGAGTGGGTTCGGGTCTCGCACCTGCGGCGGCCTGTATTCGACTAGCGAGTCATACAGCTTGCCCAACGAGGTTATCACTGATCTCTGCAGTGGATCATCGTTCAGTCTGCCAGAATCCACCAGCTTTTCGTAGTTTTCAAGAGGCCTGCAATAGCCGGAAGTATGGCGTACACACGATGCTTTTGAAAATTCAAAATTTGCCGGAACTCTCCACAGCCTTGCCCCCAGTCGTGTTATCCCCATGATTACCTTGGCGTTTCCTCTCGTGCCTCCTTCCTCTCGAGGCCTTGAGTCTTTGACTTATCTAGTGACGACAAGATGAGTAGATTTTGCTCGAGATTTTGACATTTTTACCGCAGTTGAAGCTGAAATATGGGCTCAACTCACAAAAGGCTGTGGAAACGCGTCAAATAGGTTAACAAGTATGCCTGCAATTGAGACAAGACACATTTGCAGTCCACTAAGTCATTCCAAGCTGTTAGAACAGCCTTTAAGCTTACATCCAGCTTATGGCCAGTCAACTCACCTTTAATCATATATCATTTTGATGATTTCAAGAAAGTACTCGCGACATTTTTTAAGTACTCGAGCTGTGAGTTTTTCACAATTCATAAGATGTTGATAAGTACAGTTTACAATAATGTCAATATCAAGCGCTAGAAGTGGTAATCATCGCTTGCATTCTGGTCGAAATGGAAGCTTTGAAGGCTCAATTGGCACACTTAAGCATAGCCCATGACTTAGTGGATGTAACTGCTGAGTTTCGAGAGCTGGCGCGCGGCATGAAGCCCGAAAGCGTCATAAAAGCTCCGTCGTTCGATCTGTTTGAAGGAACGCACTCTTTGGAGATTGACAACGTAAAACTCGACTCCAGTTTACTAGTTTTAACGCACAATGAAGAGGGTTTTGACTGCACGGCTACACATGGTGACACAGAAGAGGAGAAAGCCGAGTTTGTCACCGCCGTTGTCGACCGTCTGTGCAGGTCCATCGTGCTGTGGCTCAACGAATTTCAAACACTGCCCACAACGTTGCTCAGTTGCCGGTATGTGGAACAGATGATGTGCCGCTTCACTGAGGATCCATGCAGCGACTTCAGCACGTACATGTTGGAAACGGGCCATGACCTGTTCGACCAAGTGTTGTCTAGCTGCGTGATCGGGACATGCTACTTCGTGAAGCTAGTGCAAAAGCTGTTCAGGGCAGGCGTGGTTTTCGAAGAGGAAGACCTCAACTGCAACACCATGGGACTCAACATGCTTTCCAATGTCCAACTCGAAACAGTCGTGGCACATCTCGATCTCAGCCAGCAACTAGTAAAGAAGTCGTATCCGAACAGCCGGCAGCTAGCTCTTCTTGTTGACTTACTGACCCAATTGGTCGAGCTTCATAAGTTTTTGCCTACGGCTGATGAAATCTCCGCTCCCTTGGACCTACAGCCTCTCCATACACTAACCAGCTGCGCAGAGCAGCTGCAGACTTTTGAGATAAACAGCAACGAAATATACAGGGGAGCATTTTCGGCGGGGATTCAAAAACGACTATCCAATCAATTTCCACCTCGAGATATTGTGAGCCCCAGAGGATCTGAATATAAGGGATTCATCGAAATGGCGCGAGATTTATTGCTAGTGATTTCTGTCGAAAAGGCTAGAACAATAACGGAAATTGCACAGTTCTCTCGATTCTTTAACAGAACCAAACAGCGGCACGTTTTAGCTCGAGCTTTTTTCCCACTATATTTGATGAGAGACGACCAAACGGTTTTGAACCAATATACCTTTAACGACTTTTCGCTTCTGCATTTAACTGAATTCTCATTTTGCAGCACTTCCCTCTCAAAAGCATTAGATCAGGAGCCAGACGAATCAATTTTGAGACAGAAATTTGAGGATTTCTTACAAGAAATCTCCAGTATCCTATTCGAATGGTATCAGACGACATCACAAAATCACTGTAGGTATAGACAAGGCTACAACCGCCAATTGCTATTATGGGATTCCTTGCAAGCTCAAATCGAGACATATGAGCTAGAATTGGAAGGTCAAGGCGTGAGAGACGAACTCGACAAGGAAAATTCCTTTATGCCCCTCACAACATGGGTATTTTACATGAAATTACGCGCAATGTCGGACTTTGTCCTAAAAGGTTTCGAACTCGACATCTACAAGCCATGGGAATTCTTCTCAATGTTTTGGTACAATTACTACTTGAGTCAGCATCTAGAGAATAATTTAAACAGAGTCTCAAAATCGCTAGACGCGAAGATGAACTCTATTTCGAGCCTCAATAAGAAGCTCAAAAAGTTGAAAGCAGGCGAGAAAAAAGAGAAGCTAAGAGAAGCTTACCGCTCTCTAATGGGTTCAGAAATGCCGGTCCTGACAAAAGCGAAAGACTTTGTGGAGTACAGTTCTTTAGACTGCATTGTGATGAAGAATCTTTCTCTGGTTGAAGTATGCCAGTTTGCGATCTTAAAGTCTTGTGGATTGATAGATAGTAAAGGTCCGATAAGCGCGGCATTCAGTTCGCCGGAATGGGTGCATAGACTTCGCTTCAAAACGTTTGCATCCATAGGAGTGCCCGAACTGCCGTCGTATACGCTATTCCAGCAGTCTTTACAAGAGTTTTTGATTGCTGAGCCGATGTTTGGAAGCAAATTAACACGGTCTATCAATTTTATGCTCGAAGAGCTTGAGAAAGTGAAGGAGTTCTTGACCTCAATAATGCAAGATATAAAGACGGAAGGTGATGCAGCAGCAGCGACACAATTGGTGCTCAATGAATCACTTGATTACTACCATGGTCTTTACCGCTCCGCTGAGGCCTTGATGATAAACGCCCGGACACTGCGGACCAAAGTGGGAGGTGGCGCTCCAAGAAAGGAACTGGTCGAAAAATACACGGTGGAGGTTTCTCGTCCGCAAGGCGGCAGTCCCTATTTCCCGGTTTTGATCCTAAAGACAAAATCAACGTAGTAGCGAGCGTGAGTGAACCTTACATACCAGAGAGAGCGCTGAGCATGTCACATAACAAACAAGAATAATAATTATAGATATGCTGCTGATGTTTGGGCTCTTTGAATAATTTTCACCACCACATATTATTGTGTCATCGCCAGACACAAGTGTCTTGTACTCTGGATATGATGTTCCTTACATCTTTGAACGTCAGCCAGTCGTGCTTCCACTCCCAGAGGGCGTTGTTCAAGTCCAAGCCTGACTAGATGACAGTGCCATCCATTGCATAGGTTGTGACTGCTTCCTACCCAAACTCACTATCTACGACCGTATTATTTTACCTTCTAAACTAGAATCGATTTAGAAACAAACCAGAATTCGCGAACATCGCAAACACGAGCTTAACTGACTTCGCAATTCGACCACAAGTCCGTCTCGTCCATTGGCCAAGTGAAGACCTTCTGAACAATCCTGGCGATACTAAATTGCCCTCTTATCACTTCTACCTTTCCTGTCGCGTCAAAAAACAAAAAATTCGTAAATTTTACTCGATTTTTGCGAGAAGTCTTTTTTTTTGCGACCCACGCAAAAAAACTGATTGTCTCCGCCTAGCAGATCCGAACTCTAGGCAGGGATGTTAGGCAGTTCCCGCCTAGCTCCAGGAAGAGACCCGCCCAGCCTTACCTTCGACCCAGCCTAGCTCCAGTCCCTCCAGGCAGGCTCCCTCACCTGTGTCTCTTCCCGCCCAGGCAGACGGTCGCGGGCAATGCTCACTGGAAACTATTCCATCAAACGCTCTCCCAGTGTAGAATATGAAACTTTCTGTCTGATTAGTACATTACCTCTGTATACCCTCAAGGAAGATCCGTAAGAACACAAGATGCCTCCAAAGTTCGACCCAAATGAAGTTAAATACTTGTACCTAAGAGCCGTTGGTGGTGAAGTCGGTGCTTCTGCCGCTTTGGCTCCTAAGATCGGTCCTTTGGGTTTGTCCCCAAAGAAGGTCGGTGAAGACATCGCCAAGGCCACCAAGGAGTTCAAGGGTATCAAGGTCACTGTGCAATTGAAGATCCAAAACAGACAAGCTGCTGCTTCTGTTGTGCCTTCTGCCTCGTCTTTGGTCATCACTGCCTTGAAGGAGCCTCCTAGAGACAGAAAGAAGGACAAGAACGTCAAGCACAGCGGTAACTTGCAATTGGAAGACATCATCGAGGTCGCCAAGCAAATGAAGGACAAGTCTTTCGGTAAGAACTTGGCCTCCGTTACTAAGGAAATCTTGGGTACTGCTCAGTCCGTTGGCTGCCGTGTCAACTACAAGAACCCACACGACATCATCGACGCCATCAACGCCGGTGAGATCGAGATCCCAGAGAACTAAGCGTCTCTACGCAGGGTCGCAAGACATCAACAGTGGGCATCAAAGAAAAACCTGTTAAAACAAAACAATCACAATTTTTCTGTATTTTCTAGTCTAGGGTTTTTTTTAACAAACAAACAAAGAAAGAAAGCTTAATGCGTTTTCCATATCCTCTCCGGTGGTCTATGACTTTTTCGACTCTAACGTATTCCCCCCTCTAGGACCAAAACAAAGGGCGATGGTGCGGCTTTTGGTCGCCCGCTTTAGAAACAATACTAATCATTGCTCCAGGGTGACACTTGAACACTCATATCCTTGCACTTCAAAACCAACGTTTGTCTACACTCTGGATCTTAGCCAGAGCTCTGTGCATTACTCCGACGTGGAAAGCTTCGGCAAGTACACATTGGGCCACTTGCACAGGGCTCGCTTATTCTCCTGTGTTGAGCTCCAATTTAATAGCAAACAAAATCTATTCTGTCAACTACTCACCGAGATAAACCAAGCATAGCGAATAAATTCTTTGAATTTAATTTACTGGCGGTGGTTATATTGGTCCATTTCACTGACAAACATCTCTTGCAGCGTAATTCTTGTCTTTTACACCGTAGCTACAACAAAAGAACAGCAGCCCCGACCTGTGAAATAGAGTAACACGTAGTCAATTCGCGGTAATCCCGCGTAAAACTGCCCAAGCACTACATAAAACCCTATAATAAGTCTTGTGCGCCGCGAAATACGACGCAGAGAAGTAGCACCAAAATTCAGGCAGCTGTGTCAGTCAAGCTTAGCTTTATTGAACTTAATAACTAAAATGGCACAGACAGCAGGTAACCGCAATTCATTTGGTGATGTTTTGATTGTTTTCGTAATCTTCCACGATGTTCATCGATTTTCGTAGTTATAACGTAGATGTCATTGTTACATATATTAAAGGGTGGACCTATTGGAGATCAAAATTCCTCTAACATACCCAAAGTATCCAGCAGAAGCCAGTTTTCGGCTCTTTCTTGGCTCTAATATGTCTGCAGACTCTGTAGACCAGGTTTTCGAGAAAGCTATATCCACGATCCATACCCTTTCGTCGCTAAAGGGATACAATTCTCTTCCAAGACCACCTGCCAATATTCGCATCGAACTATATGCTCTGTTCAAGCAATCCACGGAAGGAGACGTTGACAACATACTCTTGCAACCAGAAGGTGATCTCAGCTCGCCAGAATACGTAGTGGCTCTCAAAAAATGGGAAGCTTGGAAAACCAAGACTGGTATGAGCCACACAGAAGCTAAAAAGTTATACATCCAGATGCTCATTTCAACTATGAGATCATACGCCATGGGAACACTGGCAGCACGAGAACTACTTGCAGATCTGGAGTTTCTCTGGTCGCAGGTGGCAGATCAAAATGGCATGGAATCGGACGAAAACAATAGCATGATTCTGGAGCTTCAGAATGACCTACAAGATACCAAGTCACTACGCTTGCGCCGGGAAATCTACGAGACCCTTTTTGCCCTCAACGAAAGCAAATCTGGACTTTCGCGTTTCCGTAGTCTGGGCGAATACAAAAAACCACACGACATAGTCCCCGAGTCAAGACTTTCTAAGCTGCGAAGAATAGTGCGTTATATTGCTAGCTTTTTATTACGCCAACTTTGGACTTTGACCAAAAAACTCTTGTTTCACGGCTTATTAACCATTGCTGTGCTACTAGCTGCCAAACAGCCGGGTTTGCTCTCCCCTATGCACCTTGACTTGACATCAACTGCCGTTCGAAAGCGGGAGCCTCGCAAGGGTCTCTGTGCGACATCGTTAGCACTGTGTCGCGATGGAGTTGGTTTTGTTTTCAGTTACCTCAATCGTCGTATGGGTCTGGGATTTCATCAGATTTACCTATATGTGACATAAAAGTGTTTCCAGCATTTCTACAGAGGAAAGGGACTGATCTCATTCGGAGAACCTACATTGAGTTGAAAATCGTCCTCGACTATAAAAACAATAATAACCGAAGTTGATTATCAATAAAAAGCTCTCAACCGAACCGTTCAACTCTCAAAACTCCAACAAACAAGCATCAACCCATTTGGCATCAAATAAACTCAAGAGTGCTGGGAAATGGTCGATAGTCCTCTTGGCCTCTGTCATAATTTGAACATACCATTTAAGATCACTTTGTACTAATGAGTCGCTGCCTCTTAAAATTTGGATATTAAGATCATGTTTAACTCCTCTACGACTTCCATTATGAAGTAATCGCGTCCACAACCGTGCAAATGCCTGTGCTCCCAATCAATGTCGAGATATAAATGGAGAGACCTTCTCGACATAAACTCAAAGACTAAGGCTTACTGTTCGCCCCTGTCGTGCATCGCACACATCGACATCAACGCATTTTTCGCCCAAGTGGAGCAAATAAGGCGTAATTTTAGCGTTGATGATCCAGTTGTATGCGTACAATGGAACTCCATTATTGCCGTATCATATGCAGCTCGTAAATATGGCATCACCAGAATGGATTCCGTCTTTGACGCTTTCAAAAAGTGTCAAAACCTCGTTCCCGTGCACACTGCCGTGTTTCGCAAGGGAGAGGACTTTTGGCAGTACCGCGACGATTGTGGGTCGTGGTACACCGAAGAGGAGAAGATGCTTACCCCCGAGAAAAATAAAGTGTCCCTTGATCCGTACCGCAGGGAGAGCCGTAAAGTGATCAAGATATTCCACGAATGGTGCGACCTGGTGGAAAAGGGGAGCGTAGACGAGGTGTACATGGATTTGGGACGCATTGTGTTTTCTGATTTACTTTTCAGTGATGAGTTTGACGACTTCGTTTCCATTCGCGATCAGTTCAAAAATGGTCAGTATGATCTAGATGATTATTTACCACCTCTACCGCGAAATTTGACCATCTCATTCAAAGACGGGGAAGACTACAATCCTGATAAAAATCCGGTCTTTCAGGACTGGGATGATATTCTTTTCTGCTTGGGTGCGATGACTACAGACAAAATCCGCCAAAAGATAAAAGACGTTCTAGGTTACACAACTTCTTGCGGCGTGGCACGTACCAAAACAACAGCGAAATTGGGATCAAACTTCAAAAAACCTGACGCTCAGACCGTTATCAGGAACAGTAACGTTGCTGATTACCTTGATAACGAAAGCTTCGAGCTTACGTCATTCTGGAGTATGGGTGGTATAATCGGCAAGGAACTTTCGCTTCTACTAGAGCTCCCGAGTGAAAAACCTTTGCGGCACATAAGGGAGTCATGGCCTGTTTCTAGTGATGACTTGACAGCCTTCATCAAAGAAAAGACACAACAGAAAACCACTGATAACGAGAGATTTTATAGTCTCCCCGCTGAAAGTCTTCAACAGCTAAGCGACAAAGTCTTTCAACTGGCTCGTGGAGACTACAGAACGACTCTCAACCCGCGACCGATGATCCGGTCGATGATGTCTAACAAAAATTTACGCGGAGATTCTTGTCGACACTACCAAGACTGTCTGGCGTGGCTAGAGGTATTTAGCGGAGAATTAATCGGAAGAATTAAGGAACTAGAGCAGGAATACGAACGGATTTTTGTGCCCAAAACACTCACAATTTCAACAAGAACACCTGGATTTCAAAGACACAGCAGAAGTTCAGGTATAGCTACTGGGGGTAGGATCAAGGCCAAAGATTTAATGGAGTTGGGTACAAAATTGGTAAAAGAGTTGGATGCCAAATACGGTTCCACTAAAGACTACTACCCTCTAACCAATATCAACATGGTTATATCTAATTTCGAGATATTGGAATCAGGAAGAACGATAATCGATATGTTTGGAAAACAAGCGCAAGTGGTCCGTAAGAGTGGTGACGACTTCCTCGAGGTAACGGACGAACGTCTCCAACCTGATGAAAGTGGTACCAAGAGAGTATTACGGTGCGAGCCGTGTAAACTAGACTTTGATGAAGAGACTGCTTTCAAGGAGCACAGTGACTTTCACTACGCTATGAAACTATCCGAGAGTCTGAATGGGGTGAACGAAGATTCCAAGAATCTTTCCTACGGCGAACGAAAGCTGCTGTTCTCAGGGTTGAAACGGAATAACTCTGGACCGAAGCAAAGTGACAACAAGAAACGTCAAATCACCGGAAGAAATGGCGACATCTATAAGTATTTCAACAAATAGCTAGAACAATGAAGAAAGCTGGATGGATTCGCTAAAAACACGAGAATATGGTAAAGCCCTCTATGCACATACCAGAAATAAGGCAATTTGGCCGAGTGGTTAAGGCGTAAGATTAGAAATCTTTTGGGCTCTGCCCGCGCAGGTTCGAATCCTGCAGTTGTCGAAATTTCCTCTTTTTTGCTGTTTTTGGTGCTTATGGCCCGTCACAACGTCCTGTTTTTGTCTAGAAGAAACTCTCAAATGGCCAGAATGCCCAATGCGTATAATCCAATATGCTTATTCAATATTTAGCCTTTCTAGACTAACTAATTATTTGTTTGGCCTTAGATCGAGGGCTCATCCTCGTCATCGGAGCCTTCGATCTTTGTACCTTGCACGAAGGCGCGAACCTGGCTTGCTACTTTCTCCCTTGTGCGATCTAGCAGTAGCACCACCAGCCCATCGCTGCTGATCTCGTACTTTATGAACCCTTCGTTGGGAATGCAAATTTCGGCGTCGAACTTGTCGAACCACTTATTAAGTTTATCCATATCTTCAATCTCAAACGGCAATATCAGCTCGTCCACGAACTCGTGTGTAGCCTTGGGAACTTCGGCTTTCTGCGATTCTCCGGTTGAATCGTCTCCTTTCGTATCTTCTTCCACGACATCCTCGAGCAAAACTAGCATGCGGTAACTGCGATCATCGCCCATTTTAGAAAGATCTTGTGGAGTGTGGAGTGTGGAGTGTGGAGTGTGGAATGCTTGCTAACCTGGAGTGAGGCTTCTTCCCAGTACGTTCAGCGTGCACTTTTGATTGTGTGCGAGCTCATCGCCGTTTTTTTTGTAGAAATTTCCAATTATCACTGGTAAAGGTCCATCATGTGATCGTGGCGCCAGCTTAGCTCTTGACGTCCTACGACAGCGCTGGAGAAAGCATTAAGTATCTTGATAGGTTTATCATGAGAGATTCGGGATATGGGATGCGTTCATTTCATACTTCCAGGGCTTCCCTGTTTTCATCCTCCAGTTGTTGTAGGTAAAGGCTGTGATTTACCAAATTTAGGTACGCATACATGAAATTGCTCAGCACAACCTGCTGGCGCAATTCGCGCTTAGGATCACCAAGTTTTAGATGGCTTAGACGGTAGATGGCCCGTTCTACATTAATTGGTAGTCGTTGGTCTATCATCACCACCGTAGAGGTCGTGAGCGGTGGAAGTGGAAATCCAAAAGAACTATCGCTGAACTCCATGGGAGCGTTAGGACGCGACGGTTTGACGACATCTTCGAAGGTGAGCTTTCGAGGAGGTAGAGAGTAACCGCCTGCTGCCGGTGCAGCGACTTGCGAAGACTCTTCGCTCTCGGCGGATTCAGACGCCGTGATTACAGTACCCTGTACTGCGCTATTACCATCATGTGTAGCATCGACAGCCGGGGCTACAATAGTGTTGCCTGATTCAGAGGTCCTCTCCGCATTTTTTTCTCTGACGGAGATCTGTGCTTCTATTGTGGCGTGGGACTCTTCTGTGAGTTTTTGGAAGTTCGTTTCGCCATGATCTGGCTTTAGTTCTAATTCAGAACCAAAAATGGTTTTATTTCCAGTGTCTTTACCGGCATTTGGCACTTGCAATTCGACTTTTTTTGCATTCTCTTTTTCCTCATTAAAAGCCGGCTTCTTTCTTGATGTGACATTGACAGAGGGCTGCAATTTACTCAAAGGTTTATGGGAACTATCTTTGCGATCCACATCATACTTCGATACAGAGTCAATGCCGCCTAATGAAGCTTTGCGATCAACCAGCGTGTGCCCTTCTTTCTTGGTGACATGGCCAGCTAGGTCTGCGGAAGATGCTCGTGTCCTGAGCGTATCGTGTGTGGCACCGCCCAGCTTTTCTCGTGTCTCCATGATCTCACCAGCCTCCCTGTGGCCAGTTGATGCGGACCGGTTCCGCTTGAACAACTGTATGAATTTCTTTTCGCGCGTCGATTTCTTGGAAGGTGAAGTGTTGGACGACGTTTTAGCGGGCTCCTTGACCTCTGGTGTTTCCGCACCATTATCAATTTTATGATGCCTATTTCTCGAATGGTTGACCTTGTCAAGGGACCGATTATTGTCCTTTGAGTCGTTGTCCCTTACATTCAAAAAATCACTCGACAGCTTTCTTCGAGTTTCTTTGGCGTTTTCGGCATCCTTTGACGATTTCTTACCGAACCAGTTCCACCCCCCTCTTCTGCGGGACGATTGACTGCTTTGCAGTTTAGAGTCTTCGTGTTTAGACTTTTCATTGTTGAGCTTTAGGCTGGTAGCTGTATTGTCCGATATTATTTCTATCGTTGTGTCCTTAGGTCTTGTATCAGCGTTTGCTTTGATATCTTCATCATCGGGCTCTTGCAAGGCGGCTTCATCTATCTTTTCATGGGTCAAAGGTGACTGGAACTCGATCGAACTGCCTGAACTGTCTTGTCTGTAATGATCATAGATATTATCAAAATCATTAAAGGAATTCGGCGATTGTAGAACGTTGTCATTTGATTGAAGTGGGGAGGCCAGTTGATTTCCCTTTGGCGGTTCTTCTTTGTTTTGGCCTGTCGAGGGTAAAACAGGCTCACTGCCACTATGCGTTCTTATTCTGTATGTGTTAAATTTGCTACGTCTCAAAGAAGACCGTGCCGGTATCGCCAATCCATTTTTGGTAAACATACTGGAAGCAAATTCATTATCTTGATGATTGTCAGATGTATCCGAGCTGTAGTCCGAATTTTGTTCCCCATATGAGCTGGCCACACTGAGAGTTCGGGCCAAAGAAACTGCGTCGCTATCTGTAAAGCCAGCTCTATTAGAAATTCGCGTCAGTTCTTCCGTAAGATCTCTCAGAGATGCCGACTTCGAAGCCATTCGATAAGGACTCACCTTTTTTCCGTGCATCTCTATGTTCTCATTATTACTCCCAGCTTCCTGCTGCAGTAAATCTTCGAGTTCTGTATAGGATTTGCGGAGTCCTGAGGGCCTTCGCACAAGTACATCGGAGCCAGAACGCACTTGAGATGAGGGAGAGATGCTAGAATTGGATGACGACGATGTCGAGAGGTCATTACGGCAAGCTTCGGAGCCGGGGTCCACTTTTAAGGTATGCAGGGTGTCTTGAACCAGCTCAAGGAAGTTTTCGGGCTTGACGCTCGGGTGCTTACTAGCAGGAACCCACAGAAGGTTCTGAGCGACTGAGTCTTCCGATTGTCCAGGTTTATGCGTCTGTGATTTTCCCGAGAGTCCTCGTCTGCGCACCCCACTAAGAACGCGGCCAGATTGTGAGCTATGGCCCACGGCCAAATCCACCGGGCTTTCCAGGTACTCGGTGCTTGTGACATCTATACTGTCGTCGTTGATGTAGGAGTAGCCATCTTCGTCATCGTCGTGGTCTGTGTTTCCGTCACTGCTGCTAGTCAAATCACAGCTCTCATCTTCCACTGGAGACTCTGCAGGGGAATCAACAGATGACGAGTCGTCACTTCGCGAAGATTGCGATTTTGTGGGGCTCACACGAAACTCCAGTTCCGGATCCATCAGAAGATCGAGCGAACCGATCGATATTCGCTTGAGATTTTTGACATGTTGCAATTCTGAATCCAGCGACTGGGCTGCGATCAGAACCTCCGATTTTCGTTTCTCAGAGCGCGATTGATAGCCCCGATTCGCATCAATTCCTAAATCTAGTCTATCTTTCGAATTGTATTCCTCAGTATCGTCTTGTAGTCCACTCTGCGACATATCTTATGGGTACCAATGGTGTGTATCTCGATGCCGCTTTAAAATTACCAATTGGGGCCCCAATTTAGCCCTTTGCGATACGTTTTTTCGCGAAATAGCCCAAGCACAATTTCACCTGTTTGATTGAGAAGCGATCAACAACCCAGAATGATTAGATTGGGGAAGTGCGCAGCTACTTGACCCTTCAAGTTCCTGATGTTAGCGATCAGTTGGCGCATTCATTACACGCGTAAGTAAAATTTCATTAATAGTATCTTTATACGACTATAGTAAATACATTGTCATTTTGGTCAAAAGTGACAGCTTGGCTCACCAGGCCAGCCTGACACTGTCAACCTGACATCGTTTGGAGTTGACTGAGCTGTTATCAGCATTGATTTAGAGCTCAATTGCGTATTTGCTGCCCGTGAGAGTGTAGAGATTGTCTTTGAAGCCTATAAGCCCCAAAACAAGTAGGGCGACGTAGGCGTATTTGAAAATGGATCCCAAAAACGAACGCAGCGAGGTTGATCTGTAGTTGGAATCGAGCCAGACTGCCAATTCAGAGCCTTGTGGCAATCCCATGTAGTTCGCAAATGTGTGTAGAAAAACGCAGCACCAGAAATTGCGTCCAGTTCTCATGAAAACGAAATTTGTAAAGGCTCCGAAAATCGTGGTGTATGTGAATTGCAGCAAGACTGTTGCCATAATTTGCGGGAGTCCGTATAGGCCCGTTGAGTGCATTTCCCAGCCGTGGTGGACGTGTGCGAGACCGAAAAAAAGTGGTGAGATCCAGAGTAGCGATGTCAGCGTAGCAGACCCGGGTTGCGTCAAAAGCATACAATTGGTCACCATGGAGGTGAAAAATAGCTCCTCGGTTAAAGGACCGAAAACGTAGTTGCGAAACCCCCAAATGCTCAGCGTTTCGTTCTTGAGGTCTTGCACAAGCGATTTGAAGCCTTCACCGGGCACCAGCAAATAGTATAGGGAATTGTCCAGCAATGGGCCGCAGTACAAAATGCAGGCAAGCTTTAGTGCTCGCAAAATGTCGCTCAAATAGACTTGCAAGGCCAACACGAGCCCAAGATCTCCGTCGACATACCGACCAGGCAGCAAGCCCAAAGAAAAAAACACTTTTTTGAAAGGCGTGGTGCTGAAATTCGAGATCAGCCATGGCACCAAGACCAAATTCACTAGCGAGATACAGCTGACACGTCGAAGCCTAGACTTGATCACTCTAGGGTCATCTCGACGAATCTTGTAGGCTCGAATGTTTCCAGACCACAGGTGTATCGCTGCAATATAGGATACAGAAACATACAATGATATTGAAAAAGGCACTAGATCCATGTCGATGTATCTGAGAAAAGCAGTTCGTGCGCCGTCCGATGCATACCTGGGGCTCTGTCTTCCGGAGAAGCGATGAGATCGGGTTTTTACCCAATTTAAGACGCGTCGTGCATGGCGATCTGAGATTTGGGCTCTCGACGTAGGCGTATAGAGTAGACCCAAAGGCACTTCTGCTAGGCTCCGGTAACATTAGTAAGGGATGGACAATTTTGTCCTCTTTCTTTCTGGCATTTGTGGCATATCAAATCTATTTGGTGTGGGGCCCTTTCTTTGTGAACTCGAAACCTTCAAAATTGGGCAACTCTCGAGCACAATTTTGTAGTATTGGGAGTGTTGCAGCTTTCATGATAATAATGCTAAAATTTTCAATATATTTACTGTTCGTGGATCGCTCAAATTTGTTGTTAGGCGGGAATTTCATGTCCCGAAACAAGTAAAGATATGTCTCGGCGCTCGTTACTTTGAATTGCCACAGGAATAGAAACGGCCATGGCCAAAAAAGCGGTCAGATTTGCCAGTGTAATTGCGCCAAATTTCATATTACAGGTTACTTTACGTGGTTCTTAAAGAGGGTTTGAAAGTGGCAGACATTTTGTAAACCAGCTAAGTCTGTCGTTTTTTCTTGTACTGTCATAAAATGGTACTCTGTCGCGAGCATCGAAAAACAAACAGTGAGCGAAAAACGATGCGCCAATCCTCGAGATATATACAGTAGGCAACTTAGATCTAGTTGCGAGTATTTGCTGAGAATTATGTTTTGTCATATTTAAGCTGTTTCCTCTTATCCCATTGTCACACGCTAAGCCGGAAACATACTCCAGCCAGTATGTCATGTCTCTGAATGACACCCAACTAAACTCATCTTCCCTTTCATGTGTTTTAGATTAATCCATATGTAGACACGTTTCATTCTACTCTTCAACAATTGGGCGTGTGGTCTAGTGGTATGATTCTCGCTTTGGGCGAAGTTCGAGCTAAAACTCGGATTTAATAACCACAAGCATGCGAGAGGCCCTGGGTTCAATTCCCAGCTCGCCCCATTATTTTTTTGAATTTTTTTATTTGCATTATTCTCGTGTAGAGCCAAGTATCAGTCTCAAGACATGTCTCGCGATTCTTCTTCACACACTGATAGTTGGGCTAGCCCTGTTATGATGACACTCTTCCCTGAGTGTTCTTGGGGGACCAGCGTCAGTGCCGTTTCTAGTGAGTCAAGGTCGTTGGAATCTTGGTGTGACACACATAGTGTTCAGAAAAGATTCTCGACAGAATGCCCGAATTATGGCCATTACCAAGTCGTAAATGTATGTAAATGTAGAATTCCTAAATTCGGTTTGAGTTCTGATATCTGAGAAAAATGGGTAAACAACGTAGTTTGACACAATTTTTCGCAGCGTGAACAGAAAGAAAGCGTAAGCAAATCTGCCAATTAATATCTCTCTTTAAACTCTTTTATGGCTTCTGGCTCTAACTATGACCAAATAAGATCAGATCTCTCTTGTTTTCTCTACTCGATTATCTAGTCGCTTCAGTGAATATTGTTATTTAGCCTTTAAAATATGAAAAACTAGAAGTACTGCTATAGATCTGATGATATCTAGTTGAGCTAAAAGGAAACAGCCTGCATAGCCACTCCTATCGAATTTGAGACCAATCGCTACTTATTTCGGTGACGAAAATAGTGAGAATGGCTTTCACAGGTATTCTGAGAAATTCCGGAAAAGTTGGATCCTCGCTTAGGGTGCCACACATCAGGCCCTTTGTAGGCCACATTAGAGCTCTACGTTTCAATTCAACGATTGGCAAAGACGACTCTCTTGAAACTACACATTTCGGTTCAAGAACTGTTCCAAAAAGTGAAAAACAGAAACTGGTCGGAACAGTATTTTCCAATGTTGCCTCTAAATATGATATCATGAACGATGTGATGTCTATGGGGGTTCATAGATTGTGGAAGGATCACTTTATTAACAAGCTAGATGCGGGGAAAAGACCGAACTCAAAAGAGCCTCTTCATTTCATTGATGTAGCTGGTGGCTCTGGTGATATTGCGTTCGGGCTGCTAGACCACGCTGAGCACAAATTCCATGACAAAGAATCAGACATGCATATCGTGGACATTAATGCTGACATGCTGAAGGAGGGTGAGAAGCGAGCCATGAACCAGGGGAAATATTTCAATGACCCACGCGTCAAGTTTCTAGTCCAAAACGGAGAAACTCTTGACCAAATCGAGTCGAACTCCAAAGACGTTTACACCATCTCATTCGGAATTAGAAACTTCACGAACATTCAGGCTGGTTTGGATACCGCTTACCGTGTTCTAAAGCCTGGTGGAATTTTCTACTGTCTAGAGTTTTCCAAGGTTAACAACCCCATTGTTGATGCTCTTTACCAAAAATGGTCCAAGGCTCTGCCAGTGATGGGCTCGTTAGTCGCTAATGATTACGACTCTTACCAGTATCTAGTCGAATCTATCCAAAAATTCCCAGAACCAGAAACGTTCAAAGGTATGATCGAGAAAGCTGGTTTCCAATGTGCCGGCTACGAGCCATTGACATTCGGGGTTTGCGCCATTCACTGGGGTATTAAAACTTAGCATATTCGCATAATGTTCGATCGAACATGAAACTATACAAAATGTCTATCCAAACGTTTATAAAGGCGATATTATGGTTCTAATCTTCTAATTTGAGCTGGAATATCAATCGTGGCCACTCCAGACTGACCTTCGAACTTAATGTTGACTCGAATACAATATAGTCTCGAGATCAAGCAACTTTCGAAAGTAGGAATCAAGGTTTCTCTAATGTCGTCAGAGAGTACCAGATTTACCACAACCGTCCTATCATATTCTTGATCGCTGCTTTTTACCCACTCATTGAAAAGCTGCTTTCTCAACCTCTCCGCGGTTGGTGTGTGATGGTTGCTGGACGATGAGCCACTAAATGTAGCACTGAGAATGCTGGTGCTACTCGAGCTCTTGAGCGGCGGAGGATCTAAGTGGTCATCTTCGTCTTTCAGCGTATGAGACTGCTTTTTGAAAATTTGAGGCAGAACCTGAATATGGCTGCGAAGTGTAGCAATACTTTCAATATCATTGAGCATTTGCTCTGGAATAAAATCTGAGAATTTCAGCTCTTTATTCTGTCCGGATCTCCCTGCCCTTCTGAAAAGGCCATTCAAGCGCTCTTGATTCTCCTCGAATTTGCTTCGGAATTCCTCAGCATCTTGCTTGAGCTGCAGAAACGAACTTTGGATCTGATTGAATCTTTTTTTCTTTGAAACAAATTCTGCGTCTAACTTTATGGGAATTGAGTTCGTAGACTTTAAAGTCATACAAACAAGTTCTGTCGTAACAGATTGAACTTCGGGCGGTTCATGAGGTCCACAGTTGCTGGCCTGAATACACTTCATGTTTATGGTTACCTCATTCAAGACTTCTTTGTCTTTATCAGGCAACGAGGAAATCAAGTTGTCCCAATTTTCCCTGTTTTGAGCGCCTTTGTTTTCCAGTCTATTAGTCTTTTTTAGTAGAGATGGCTCAGTATATGGGAGTCCTGCCTTGGGAATGTCACTGGTTATTACTATGATTCCAGACTTATTGGCAGGGGAACTCAAGGAGCTCGAAGAAGAGCTGGTTGATCCACCCAAACCTGCGAAAAAACTCTTTTTAAGTTTAGTTGAGGACCTGTTTTTGTCTTTAAGCCTGTATCTGAATTCAGTCTCAACAGTCTTGGTGATGTTGGCTTTCGAGATTTTCGAGTTGCTGAGTGGGAATGATGAGCAGACAGGATCAATGCGGTTATTGGTATATAGCTGATTGAGTTTGAGTCTGAGAATCTCTTCAGAATCAATCTCAGACAGATCAACCGCACTTCCACTAATATCTGTATTGTGTAAATCTTCGTTCGTAATTTGCTCGCCCTGTTCCAGCCGTTTCATCACCTTTCTCAAAGCATCAAGTCTCTCTTGCACTAATCGGGTGATGTCTTGCAGTTGCTTGAATGGCGCACGCTCCCCAGTGAAAGGCCGACAGAACCCAAACGGCACAAATCTTAGATTATACTCCCGCTCCCTTAAGATGTTAAGTTTTCGCGTACGAGCGTCCTTACCAACGACTTTTGTGTCGATAACATAACCGATGGACATTTCGCTGGGTGATAGATCGTCAGTCAGAATGGGCGATCCCTTAGTCCCCAAGTGGCCGTAACCTAACATAGGGTTTATCTTTATTCCAGCATATTTACCACCACTTTTCCAAGAGTCAATGCCAAATGTTGGAGGCACCAAACAGTGGGAGAACTGCTGGTGCTTGCAGGAGACATCAAGAAGTTGCGTAGGAAGCTTGAACATAAAGTACTTTTTGTATCTTGTGTTCGGGGCCAATATTCTATTGTTGTTGAGACCCATGACGCAGTCTTCGAAATCTTTACGACCGGGAAAATAGTTGAGACCGTTCGAGACGTCGATATTTGAGTAGGACCAGCTAGCACTTAGATCAACCATTCTGAGAAACCGCTTCACCGTTCGCTTTCCACATTCACGATCGATAACCGTAGAATGACCTTCCAGGGTCACATAGAACATTTCGAATTTAAGAGGCTGCGGAGACCTGTTTTCAACAGTCACGTAGCCATGTATGATATCTCCAGATGTGTATTCTCTTAAAATCGATTCGTCCTCGACTTTCTTGTCTATGCCTGCAGGTTCTTTTGTGACATGAATGTTGATATCAATGGGCGTGCTCAGTTTTGGAAGGGAATATATTTTGTCGATATTAATGTTATCTGCCTCGTCCATGTCATCCTGAATTGGTTCTATTGGCCCATGCGATGTCCTCAAAGCTTCCAAACTATACATCTGATCTCCAGCAATGCGGGAAGCCACGGCGCTAGCGTCTCCCGCGTCGAGAGGTTGCACTGAAGTCTCAGAGGGATCTGAAAAATGCAGGTTGCCGCCGATGGCAGCCATGGACGGTGATTCAGTCTGGACTTCTTGATATGTGGGTGGAAAATCAATCCTGTCAGGATCAACGTTGCCCTGCGGAATGTGTCGATGCAATGTGTTGTATAATTCAAATGACGGCAGAACTTCGACCATCATGTTGCTTTGATGCGTGATAAGGGGGTTAGAATCAAAAGCGTCTAGTTTTTCTGACGTTGTATCATGTTCTTTGGCTGTCGTTCTGGAATCTACAGTTTTTCGAGGGGACCGCGATTGCCTTGCCTCATTAGCTAAATGCTGTGGTCTTCCAATTTTCAAAAGATTGGAAGATGATGAATTTCTGAAGAAGAGTGACGGAGAGTGAGATCGACCCTTGCGACGGTCCGATTCTTGTCTGACGTTTTCAGATCTCAACTTTCTGTCATGGCTCATTGCTGACGGATCAAGGGGTGCAAGTTGTCCAACTTAGCGTCTCTTGTGGTTTTCCCAGATTGAAGCTCTTGAATGTTAACCACGGTTGGCTCAAACTGGCTATGAAGCGTTCTTTACTGCTTGTATTGTGGGGCAAACGAGTGAGCGTTGAAGACTATCATTGTTCATCCTGTAATATATATAGGTGAAGTTTTCACATAGTGAATGCACGTGACAAAATAATACTGTCACCGTAAGCTTTCAGATCGCACAACACATCATTCTCAAGCTTTGGGTCGTCTTAGGTCTGGCGTTCTTTGCCCTTACGAATGAGTTTAGGCTTGGAGATCTTAGAGCGAAATTTGGTCAAAACAGAGGAAAAATCGGTGAGTTTTTGGTTTTGCGATGAGGACAAAACGGTCAGTCACATAGCGATTTTGACAACGTTCTTTTATGATAACTTCCTCTGCCTGATTTCATTCCATGTCTTTTTGTAGGCTCTGTTAATTATACATATAGCTGTTGTGCGCAATTTTATTAAGCTCGCGTAACTCCGAGTAGTCGTTCCTGGTCATGCCTCTGCAAGAGTTCCACATGGAGTCAAACTCTTGGCCATCCAGAATGAAGTTTCTCTCGGTGAACCACAGGTGTTCTTTGGATTTTTTATGTCTTTCACGGTCGTTTTCCATTCTATGCAGAACCGTGCTACAATTTGCGGCCTGTGACACCGAACATATGCCCTCAATACGATACAGCTCCTGTAGGGCAGCTGCATGATTTTTGCGATCCACCAAGAGATGGTAACAGTTTGTTAATGCTTTTTTGTAGTCGTTTTGGTCTTTTTTGACAGTCTGTAGCCATGGCAGCTCCAGAAACTGTCGATGATTTTCCGTGCCCACTTCGGACACTGTTTGAGGTGTTAAAAGTTGTTTGATGGGTCCCTGCAGAAGTTTCTCTTCACTGGGACTGTCTAAAACCTCACATAATCGATTTAGATATATTACGATATCAACACACACATTCAGATTTGTCAATGCCTTCCAGTCGTCCTCGGGCAGAACCAGGGACACCATTTCGTCTAACTGGCCCAGAAGATGGCCGTGTACCACTTTTCCCGCACTATTCAATTCGCCGTCAACGTCTTTCATGCATCGCGGCCAGAGCATCGATATTAGTCGACTCCAGTATATTAGCACGTTCAATCGATCTAAAGAGTCCATTTTAGCGGCTGAATCCAGCATGCACTGCTGGAAATCCTCGTAATGATGTTCGTAATGTCGCAAGTAGAACGAAACGGGGTCATTTTGTTGCTGGCTTCCGCCAGAAAGCGGTGAGTTGTCTTTCGAAGCATTCAGTGTCTTATGGAGGTTTTTGATTACTTGTAAAAATTGAAGGCGAGCCTCAAATGCGTCCATGATTGTTGCAGACCGTTACAGGCGCTTTCTGGTTGCCGTTGACTTATCTTTTGGGAACTTTCAAGAACTTTCGGCATTCTACATATTTTAACAAGAACTCATTTTTCATTTTATCGAGTGTAATGTCGAGATGCGCTGACGGGCCTAAATAGTTCGACAGCATCAAAATCATGAGATGTAATGTAGCACAGAGGAATTGAGTGTACTCAGTCTAAAAAATCTGTTTCTGCTGTAGAATCCTCTTTGTAAAACCTTTTTACTCATGCTAAATGCTATATATACACTGTCGTTTATTCACGGTTGTTGCGAATGAGATGCGAACGATGTGATGGAGTCCGGGTCTCCAGGTAAGCCAAAACGATCTTGAAACAACTTTGGAGAGTGTGAGCTGGAGTTACTGGGTCGCGATGATTGTTGGGATACGTTGGCGGGGAGAAAAGGTGGGAAACCGGGCAGCAGCGAAGAAGCAGCAGAGGAGTTAACCCACGGTTGTAGAGGAAGAAATGTAGATGCAGCAGTGCCTGGAACGGTCGAAGGTGTATTTGTCCGATCAAAAATATCAATCCCCGGGATTCGCCCAGACTGGCCAGTAATTGCGTTCACTCGGCCTGCGCTGCTGTGATTCATGTGGCTGGGCTGACTACCAACGTTCATGCTGTTTGCAACTATTGATTGCGAAATGGACAGACTGGTGGTCATATGCATGGGGTGGCCGGGGGAAAGACGTAATGATGGGTATACAGTTGAAGACCTCGAGTCCCGTGATCGTAAAGGGTCACTGTTTGAGTTTGAAGGAAGAGACAGACCAGTGTTGACTTGATTGCGTTTTTGAATGTGATTAGCCGGTGCCCCTGCAAATGAAGAAGACCCTAAGCTCGTGGCGGACCCTGAACTGGATCCTGGTCCTGCACCGCCGTCCAAGGGTATTGGAGAGCCAGTTGCCTGATCTGCTGCCGCTGCAGCGGCAGCGGCAGCGGTGGCACTGGCCACTGCATTTTGACCGGCCTCGCTGTGGATCTGAGCCTGCAGAACCGCATTCAAGTCTCGTATAGGGTCGTTCTTGCTCACGTGCCCTTTGCTTCCCGGTTTACGTCCTGACCCAGGTTTCCTGCCCTGAGCCAAGGTTTTGCCCTTTCCCGGTTTACGCCCCGATCCCGGTTTTCTTCCCTGGGCTAGTGTTTTTGCCATGATTGTTTGGATAGGTGGAGAATTGTGGTGTGCAGAACACGCGAGGAACGTTCAAATGCTAAAGCAGGGACCAAAACCACCTATATTCTCTGCCCACTGATAAAACACTCCAAGAAAATCAAGAACTATCGACTCTGACTTTCCCCTTTTTGATGTCTTAGATTATGGGTAACTGCTGGAGCGCTGTGCTACAATTAGACCACTGATGTGGGATTTTGGATGAATTCCACGAAACACGCCCCGTTGCTGAAGCTTCAGAATCAAATTTCAATTTTAACACAGTATCCTCGAAGTGAAAGCCAGAAGTCGCCTTCTGGACCGTTGACCTCTGAACTATATGGTTGATAGCCTGTCTAATGGGCTAAGTTCATGTCCGATGAGCTTCTCTGCAAGCTGTATAAAAAATAAAAACCCACTATTAAGAAAAAAAAAGAACGAGATAGACTATTTTGGATCGTGCTGTACGAGGTGAAAGTTGGTGTCAGTTTGAGCGACAGAGGCTAAAATGGCGCTTTTTTAAACAATGGCTTCGGGATAGCTATACAGAAGATATGATCCACTGTTCTTCGTTCTCTGACCATAATATATTTGACCCAGTCCACTGAGTGATTACTCGCGCCAGTTTAATAATCCAAAAAACATATTTGGTCAGAATGGCACAATGTGATATGAGAAGGGTAGTGGTGCCAGTTTAAATCAGAGAACAGAGGCTTGAAGCACCAGTTGAGTTAGGATAGCAAGACAGAAGTTTGATCAGTTTTAGTGCGCTCTTGGCTTCCCTGCACTTTGACGAGAACTTTGGTCAAAGATGGCACGTGACCTACTAGTTTTCCCAAGTACAGGTATGGAACGATTCTTACAGCGAGACAGCATTCTAGCATGACCACAGAGGAGTAGGTGATGGATTTTGGCAGTGGTATTGGGTAACTTTCAAAAATGTAGAAATATAACAATAAATTCGCTTCTTGAAAAGTGCATTTTTCGAGGCATCACGGGAGTATTGTTTTGCATTTTGCCCGCAAACGACATGGTGCTCTAAAGCATCTAGAAACACACACACCCTGCCACCTAATGGTAACTCCCAACCCCCGAGTTGTTGATCTCAGACGCTGTCGCTCATGCTCTCTCCTCGTATACAATGACACATAGTTCTATTCTAAAATACTCACATCACCCAGCACGAAATGTTCGTATCTGTAAAATCCACAATTGTCAACTAAAAGTCAAATCCCAGCTTCGAAGAACCCTAATCATTTGCTAACCCAGACCTTACCGACTAGCTCTCAAGCACTCTCGATTTAATTTGACCAAATGAGTATCAAAATTAATGTCAAGTCTGGCCAGAACAAATGGGACGTTTCGATCGACCCGACTTGTTCGGTTGAAGATCTAAAGAAGGCCATAGCAGAAAAATCAGAAATCGCACCTGAAAGCCAGCGATTGATCTACTCAGGTAAAATCCTGAAAGACGACCAAACCGTGGAGTCGTACAAAATACAGGACGACCACTCGATCCATCTGGTCAAGTCTGGCGGCGCCAAGAAGAGCACCAGTCCCGCTGCTCCAGGTACCACGGGGGCCTCTGGCACCGCGACCGGGTCGCAGCAGCAGCCCAGCTCTGGTTCCACAGCGCCACCTACTCTATCAACCGGCCAAACCGGCGGTTTCAACCCGTTGTCAGACCTTACAAGTGCCCGTTACGCGGGGTTCTTGAACCTGCCCTCTGCCGACTCTTTTGGACCCGACGGAGGCATGACAAGTGCTCCAAACTCCGACGAAGTGCTCAGAATGCTTGAAAATCCAGTGATGCAATCCCAGATGAACGAAATGCTCAGCAACCCACAGATGATCGATTTCCTCATCCAGCAGAGTCCACAATTACAAAGCATGGGCCCACAGGCAAGACAACTACTTCAAAGTCCCATGTTCAGACAAATGATGACCAATCCAGAGATGATCAGACAAAGCATGCAATTTTCGAGCATGTTGGGAGGTGCAGACGGGCCCTCGGATTCCAATCCTTTTCCAGCACCAGGCTCGACGGAGACTAATACCTCGGGGCAACCCCCATCTTCCCAGCAACAGCAGCAAAACCAACAACCACAAGCCACTCAATCAGCCCCATTTGCTAATCCATTTGCATCTCTCCTAGGGAATATGCCCCAACCGCCTGCTACCGATTCTGCCGCAGGCTCGAACGTGCCCTCGAACCCATTTTTGTCCTTACTTGGCGGAGCTGGCGCTGGTGCCGGTGGCAGCACTCTTAACTTTGATCCTGCGCTGCTTTCCTCGCTTCTGGGTGGCGGCTTCGGCAATCCTGCCGCGGCACAAGCTCAGCCAGACACTAGACCTCCAGAAGAACGTTACGAACAACAGCTAAGACAGCTGAACGATATGGGGTTTTTCGAATTCGATAGAAATGTCGCTGCTCTCAGGAGAAGCGGTGGTTCGGTCCAGGGAGCTCTAGACGCATTGCTCAATGGAGATGTCTAAGTAAACGGAATTCACTTGCGCAGAGCGTTGTTTAGTACATAGTGATCATGAATAACATAGTTTCAATGATTTATCAACAACCACTTGAAATAGCTAAAATAACAACGAGAAAGCTAGTGAGTCTCCTGTGCTGTGCTGCTCAAGGCAACTAAAACAATGACCAGATCTGGTCCAGATACAACCACTTCGCTGGAAGATGGTGTCAGCGGTGTACAACTGAAGAACTTGCCTAATTTGACAGAGGTTCCAAAAGATAATCTTGAAGACCCTTTGAAGAAGATTCTTGAGAAAGCAATAGCCGTTCAGCTAAAAACTATCAAAGATGATGTCCCTGTCTCGCAGCTGGCGTTTGAAAATCTCGTTCTTCTCGTGGAAGAAGCCCTCACTGGGATGCTAGTCAATTTGCATAAGATCGCAAACATTCAAAGACGACATTGTATATCTAAAAAAGACCTACTTCTGGTAATTGACGGTTACAAGCTGACATGTGCGGATCTCATGGTGGAATGCGAAAGGTCTCGATTTGTACGGTCGCTGTGTCCGAACAAGGTCCAGAAAGTTGCACAAGAAGGTACTGAAATTCTACAAAAAGAGAAAACACCAGCGCCAAAGGAAGAGCTACTACGATCTTCACATCCCGAGTTTTTCGACAAAGGTACGGGGATTTTGAAACTGGTACCGCCATCTGTGAAGGATGTCAGGCATGTACCTAAATGGCTGCCCGAGTTTCCACCAGATCACACGTATAGATTCACTCCATTGTACAACAAACCTATAACAGATGAAAGGCAAATGAAACGAAAACTAGCCGAAGAGTCCGATCTTGCTGAGAAGGCGTTGATAAATTTTTCCCGTCTCACGAATGAAGAGTCGCATTTGCGTGTTGTGGACAACAGCGAGATGTTTCAAGAGAGCCAAGAGGAGACGCAGCTCATCTTCAAACCAGCCAAAAAATTGCGGACTTCAAGCGTTAATAAGGTGAATGATCTACTCAGGACACTGCCGCAAGACCACTACAATGTTGAGGAGTACGCTCGTAGCAGAGTTGAGATCACCAGACGACGCGTCAGGGACCATGAAAGGCACCAACTACAGATTCAGAAAGGACCTTTCATTAGAGCATCGCACCTGCTTTCTCCCTTTTCAAAAGAGCGAGTAAATTGCAAAGTTGCAGAGAAAGAAGTACAGTCGCTCTTGCACCGTAGCTATATCGGTTTACTGAAAATGGCACCACTTGTGAAAGAGCAAAGAGCGAAGGAAGTCGCGTTAGCTGAAGAAAACAGACGCCAGAAGGAAGAGGCTCTGAGGAAAGAACGTGAGGAGAGGAACAAAATGTCAAAAGAATTTGACGAGCTGGACTTGAACAATTTGAACGAGGACCCTTTCTTTGGTGGTCTGGGAAGTAGCGATAGCGAAGTTGAGCCTGAAGAACAACCAATAGATGGACCTGCTTCTACCCAGGCTTTGGAAAAACCCGAAAACGAAACATTCGACCCAACTGGAGACAAGACCGAAACGGACGGTGAGAAACAGAAGGAAAGTGAGAACACTATGGCACCCAAAAATACCTCTGATGTGACAACAGACCTCAGCCCAGTCCGTGCAGAACACGAAAATGCATTCCCTGGGAGCAAGTCTGACGGGGAGGATAAACAGACTCAAGATACAACTGACATTAAAAAGGAAGCGGCACCATTCGCCGAAAACGAGAAGTCTAGGACGGACGACATTGTTCTGTAACCAGGCATAGACTATTAAGAAAATAGACACTTTCCTGTGAGACAGAGATCTGGGTCTCAAAGCGCCGAACGCTCCAAAACAATTACTGCTGCTCATCCACAATCCCAATTTGTGTTGGTGGTTTTTTGGTTCGGTCGGTGCCAAGTTTGTGGAGACGCAACTGTTCATGAAGGAGTGCAACAAAGCCGCACCTGGTTCGCAAGACACCTAACTTGGAGTTCAAAAAATGCAAGAGCGAGTTGGCAAAGACATAAAAGGAACGAACACTGAAGGCATTTTTCATATAGCAGATATGCATGTAGAGACAATAAGTTGTTCTCAAAAAGAAATCTGATACGCAATGAATGAATTGTGAAGCTTAACCACAGCCCTTGAAGTGCCCGGGACCGAGCCTGTGCAAGAAGCTCACGGAGTTTTGATGAATAATTAACAGGAAACGTCAAACGACGTTGGTCATTTTCTAGCTCAATGAGCTCAGACAAGTGTAAAGACCGGAGTTTCAACCTGACCATATAGAATCATCACCAATATAAAACAAAAATTAATTCTTTGCCCACCGTCCTAATGACTTTGACCGAAATATTTTGACCACCGTAGTGAAAACTAGCTTTTCGTAGATGTAGATTGAGACTGAAGCTAACTGTATTGTTCGCTTCAGTATATGTGCTTAAGCTCTCATCCCAACTCATTTTTTACTCTCTACTCGAGGCTCCCCTTACATGACAAGCAAGCCATAGGAAAAGTTCTGTTAGATATTTCTCGAAATCGTTAAAACAGGGTCGCCTACGATTATGTGCTGATTTAAAACCATATAAGTCGGGACAAGATACGATCAAGAAATCAAAAGTGATCCGTTACAGCGCTTTCGCGATTGTTTACATTTTGTCCATCAACACTTTAAGTTGACTGAACATTGTGAACTTGAAGACCTTAGCTGAAAAATTAATGAACATCATGAATTTACTTAGTCTAAAGAAAAAAACCTGAAATTTCAATAGGAAACTGCTGTAGGAAAAGTCAAAAATTTGACTAGCGGGTCCTGGGTAAAATGACAACGCCTTTAAGACTGCCCTCAAATCTTCCTTTCCCGGTTAGTATTGCCAAGTTGTGTGTTTCTACAGGCGATGCGGTTAAGAAGGGCCAAAGACTGTTTGTATACAAGTATTGGGAACTACAAGATGTTATAACAGCTCCAAACGAAGAGAGCAGTAAAAAAAAGCGAAGAGTGGACCTGGTGGGCACTTTTGACTCGCCAATAGAGGGCACAGTGGTGGCACTGAACCTAAGTTTGGGAGATGAATTTGTCAATGATTCAGCCGTGGTAGCAGAAGTGAGCCAACCTTGCGCTCACGAAGTCACGTACGGATCGCTATGTGTGGTTTGTGGCAAAGCAGTTGACGAAGACGAAGACCAGACTATGAACGGCACGGGATTCTCAAATAGTAAGCTGACCATGGCTCACAACAACAGCAACATCAAAGTTTCGGAGCGCCAGGCCGCGTCGATTGAAAAAAGCACGCAAAGGCAGCTCCGAGAGCTCAAAAAATTGGTATTAGTGGTCGACCTCGATCAAACCGTGATCCACTGTGGCGTGGACCCTACCATCAAAGAATGGGCCAACGACCCTTCCAATCCTAATTACGACGCTTTAAAAAATGTCAAGTCCTTTTCGCTCGACGAGGATCCTATACTGCCGCCCTTCTACATGGGTCCTCGTCCACCACCTCGTAAGTGTCAGTACTACGTGAAACTGAGGCCAGGATTGCAAGAGTTTTTCGAAAAAGTGGCTCCTCATTTCGAACTACATATTTATACAATGGCTACCAGAGCGTACGCACTGGAAATTGCAAAGATAATTGATCCAGCGGGCGAATTATTTGGGGATCGGATTCTGTCACGAGACGAGAACGGGTCCTTAACTCACAAGTCTCTTGAAAGACTGTTTCCAATGGATCAATCGATGGTGGTTATCATCGATGATAGAGGAGATGTATGGAGTTGGTCCCCAAACCTGATCAAAGTGGTACCATATGACTTTTTCGTGGGTGTCGGAGACATCAACTCAAACTTTCTGCCGAGACAACAAAACTCCATGTTGCATATGGGTAGAAGACACCGCAAGAAGGCGGAAGAAGAAGAACTTCTGACAGACATCATGGACACCGAAAAGAAGCTGCAGGAGAAGATTGATCAAGAGGTCAAGAAGCAGGAAGAGAAATTCAATAAAGTAAATGAGGAGAATCAAACGGACAGGCCCATTTCCAAAGAAGACTTGACCAAAAAACTAGAACACAATGCCTCTTTGGAAGTCCAACAACAGAATAGGCCGCTGGCGGAACTACAAAAGCACATGCACAATCAAAAGCTTCTAATCGATGACGACGATGAACTCCCGCACCTCTCAGAGATACTGTTAAGAGTTCACAGCAAATACTATGAGACACTAGCCACAGGAGAAAGTTTACCCGATATCAAAAGCTTGATGCCAGCTATGAAGGCCAAAGTTTTGCAGGGATTCCATTTCGTATTTTCGGGGCTCATTCCGTTGGGAACTGATGTGCGACAAGCTGACATTGCGCTTTGGACCAGCATGTTTGGGGCAGTCACTTCGAGCGACGTGGATGAGCAAACCACGCATATAATTACCAAGACGCCTGGAACATTCAAAGCCCGCCTCGCGAAGGCATATAATCCAGGAATCAGAGTGGTCCATCCGGACTGGATATTCGAGTGCCTAATAAAGTGGGAACGGGTTGGCGAGCAAGCTTACGAGCTGATAACTGAGCAGGAGGTGACCCCCGAAGAATTGAAGGAATTCAAAGACAAATTGGAAAAGAGAAGGTCTGCAGAACGGGCAATGCGCGAAAACATGAAGCAAGCGTCTAAAGACGACGTTGCTTTGTTGACTGGTGACGGACTGTGGCTGGACAATGATGACGACGAGATGGACGAGTTTTTGAACGATGAAGACGAAGACGAAGACGAAGATGAAGATGAAGGCGATGGCAATGGATATGGCGATGGCGATGACGATGGCGATGGCGACGCACACGAATTGGAAGACCAACGAGACACTTTCGAAGAAGATCAAAAACCATCAGCGCTTGACTCACCGTTATATTCTCGGGAAGCATCTGCGAGCAAAAGACCCGAGGATCTAAAAAGGACGCTCTCGTCCGAAGGCAATGGACCCGAGAAGCGTCATCATCGGGAAACACCAGCAGAAGAAGAGAACACATCTCCCCAAGACAAAGATGATAATGACGACGATGATCTCGAGGCCGAACTTCTGCTGGAGCTGGAAGGTTAATAATGATTCTACCTGATTTTCATGGAATTGTACAATAACAGAATACGCTTCACTAGCATGGGTCCACTAACGGGGGTCCACCAACCTGGATGCAAGAAGATGTGGAGAAGCCCAATGTTATCCAAGCTCTTCTCTCGAATTTTTTTGATCTTAGACCGCTTAGGACCAGCTCCATGCGATGCAATTTTCATCGTATTCGTTTTCGTCACAGTTGCTTGGCGACCGCTTCTACAGTTAACCGTCATCCTTCTAGTTGATAGCTTGCATATATTCAGTCCTGCATTCCGTCTATAAATCCGAACTTTCGGCGCTGAAAAGTCGTTTAATGGCCGATCCGAGTCATCTTGATAACTGTGGCACTTATTTATCTTCACATGTTAAAGAATATTCTCTTCAAATCAACCTGTATATAAACAGCTAACAGTCCATTCAAGTACCTTCAAGATTACGCTACAATGAGTGCTGGCAGTATCCAAGTACCATCAGATCTGAAATGCCAAGTTGCGGCTTGGTTTGATAACGATCAAAACGAAAATACCAGAAATGAAATCAACGAGTTGATCAACTCCGAGAATTGGCATGAATTGCACACCCGGTTGGATACAAGAATATCCTTTGGCACTGCAGGTTTGCGAGCCAGAATGGAGGCTGGATTCAGTCGAATGAACACACTGACCGTTTTGCAGGCTTCGCAGGGATTGGCTACATACCTAGCTGAGAAATTCGCGAACAATAAGACCGTTGTGGTGGGCCACGACCACAGATTCCACTCGAAAGAATTTGCACAAGTGACAATTGCAGCGTTTTTACAAGCTGGATTCACGGTTTACGATCTGTGCGCTGTAGCGAATGACGGCGCTCAAGATGTGTATGTGCACACACCGCTTGTGCCATTTGCAATTGACCAGCTGAATGCTGCTGGAGGAGTCATGATTACTGCTAGCCACAATCCAAAGCTCGACAATGGCTACAAAGTCTACTATGCAAACGGGTGTCAAATAATTCCTCCTCACGATAGGTTGATCGCGCAGTCAATTGGTAACAATCGCAAACCCTGGGCTGATGCCTGGAATTTCGACTTGATAAAGGACGAAGCGATTGAATCTGGCCGTCTTGTTAACGCCAAGGCCGGCATGGCGGAGAAGTATGTGAACACGGTGGCTCAAAAGCTGATTTCTACGAAAATTCCAAGAGCGAAGCAAGGGCCCTGGTTTGTGTACACACCAATGCACGGAGTTGGGTGCGAGATCTTCAGCAAGATTGTGGAGCAGGTTTGGGGTCTTCAGGAAAACGTAGACTACCTTTGCGTCGCGGAACAAAAAAATCCTGACCCTGAATTCCCGACCGTTAGTTTTCCCAACCCAGAGGAGAAAGGTGCTTTGACTGCAGCCATCAATTTGGCGGAGGCAAACAATATCGTTTTCGTCCTCGCCAACGACCCCGATGCCGACCGCTTCTCGGCCGCTGTCAAGTATCAGAACAACTGGAAACAGCTGTCTGGTAACGAGATCGGATTTTTGTTTGCGCAGTACACATGGGATACTTACAAAAAGAAGACCGAGGAGTTGAAAAGCGCGAACACGCTTGTGCTGATCAACTCTACGGTATCATCGCAAATGATTAAGAAAATGGCAGAGGTGGAAGGTTTCCAATATCGGGACACGTTGACCGGGTTCAAGTGGCTCGGTAATGAAGCTCGAGTCCTGGAAAAAGCTGGTCTTTACGTTCCATTTGCCTACGAAGAGGCTATCGGATACATGTTCTCTGATGTTGTCCACGACAAGGACGGCGTGAGCGCAGCTATTGTATTTTTGCAAATGATCTGGGCCTGGGCAGCTCAAGAGCTATCGCCTATCGATATCTTGCAGGACGGATATGCTCGTTACGGTGCCTTCCAAGAGTATAACGGGTACTACATCGTGCCGGACCTGGCGATCACCAACACCGTTTTTGAAGCCATTCGTGAGTCGTATCGCAGGGAGGGTCGACAGTATCCTCTAAGACTAGGCGATGAATTTACAGTTGAGACGTTCATCGACTTGACGGTTGGTTATCAATCAGATACACCTGATCATGTCCCACGCCTTCCTGTCGATCCTTCCGCGCAGATGATCACTGCTGTGCTGCGGTCGCAGGTGCGCGAAAACGATAGTGTAAGGTTTACCACCAGGGGATCCGGTACAGAACCGAAATTGAAAGTCTACATCGAGGCTATCTCTGATACGGAAGCTAGTGCTCGAGCCTTAGTCAAAAGAACTTGGGATGCGCTCAAGAAATACTGGTTTAGACCTGAACAGACCGGCTTGACCACGAGTTTTTGAGAGATTGGGGGAGCAAAGAAATCGAATTGCCTTCAATATTGTAAAGAAGGGCTCTCTGGTCTGTTCGAAAACTTCCTCTATTCATATTGCTCTGAAAACTATGAAAAGTACAAAACAAGAAGGAAGGTTCTTCCTCTATCTACTACACACCAGTTCCCACCCGCTCTTTGACTCACAGGTGCAGAACCCGAACCATCATATTACGGACCGTGGAAACGACGACACACTCAGCTTGCTAGACGACATCGTGGTCAAAAAAAAGTCTCTAAAAAATTGAACGGCGTTGAAACCCAAATATCTCAAAAACATCAACTTTCAACTACAATCAAATTGTTTCTAATGGATAGGATCAATCGAATCAGTCATCTATTCACCTCTACGAGCAGAAAGACTCATCGCCGTGTTCGCCAGGGTCTACGGGTTTCCCATAGTGAAGGAAAAAAAATTAATGCTAAGAAACACACCAGGCGAAGAAACGAAAAAATGGCATTTGAAAAACGGCAAGACGTCGTCGTGCCTCGAGAACTATCACCCTAGTGTTGGTCATTAGAGGTGTCTTGTGGTGTTTGAACAGATATAAAAAAGGTTTGTGAAATTTGAAGTGAATTCTACGGTTTCCTAGAGGTGGAATAATATCCAATTTTGTCATCGAGCCAAAAATCAAGAGTTGTTACTCTAAAAGCTGCTGAACTTACTATTATGACCCGTTCATCAATTAAAGAATATCTAAACAGCAATCCTGAAAGTGTGCTGGTGCTGGATGGTGGCCAGGGAACAGAATTGGAAAACCGAGGAATTAAAGTAGCCAACCCAGTGTGGTCGACGATTCCATTTGTAAATGAGTCGTTCTGGACAGATCCAGCTTCCAAGGACCGCGAAATCGTGAAGGGAATGTACCAGGATTTTCTGGCGAGCGGGGCGCAGGCGTTGATGACGGTCACGTACCAGGCAAGCTTCAAGTCGGTTTCCGAGAACACCCGGATCAAGACGCTCGAGGACTACGACCAGCTGCTGTCGCGAATCGTGGCGTTTGCACGCGAATGCATCGGCGACGACAAATGGCTGGTGGGCTGTATAGGTGCCTGGGGCGCCCACACGTGTTCCGAGTTCACCGGCGATTACGGTGCAGAGCCCGCGAAAATCGACTATCTGGCTTACTTCCGACCACAGCTGTCGGCGTTCAACGCCAACAAGGAGCTAGATATGATTGGTTTCGAAACTATCCCCAATTTCAACGAGATAAAGGCGATTTTGTCGTGGGACACGTCTGTGATCTCCAAGCCCTTTTTCATTGGACTTTCAGTGCATGACAACGGCGAATTGCGCGATGGAACCAGTCTGCGTAAAATTGGCGAATACATCAAGTCTCTGGGCCCTAAACTGAATCCAAACTTTACACTTTTGGGTGTAAATTGTGTCAGTTTTAACCACTCGCACGACATGGTCAAATCTTTACACGAAGTACTGCCCGATCTTCCCTTGATTGCTTACCCCAACAGCGGAGAGGTCTACGACACTGTAAAGAAAGTATGGACCTCGAAAGGTTCCCAAACTAAGACCTGGGACGATATCGTCAAGAAGTACCTCGACAACGGTGCCAGAATTGTTGGTGGTTGTTGTAGAACCTCGCCCAGAGACATCAAGGAGATCAGGACTGCCGTTGACAACTACGGAAAACAATAAATCCCACAGCCAACTGAGGTATTAATAGTTGATCCTGGTCAAAAGTTAAAAATTGGTGGTGCATTTCCCAGAAAACGAAAATTAAAGAAAAAACAACCAAAAGTCACAACCAATCAGTGCGTGAACCTTTCATTTTGAACTGGATTTCTATCAAATCTCAACCTTCCCAGTAATCACGACGTCAATCCATTTCCGAGTCACCCGTTGCAATGTCCTCGGCGTTCTCAATGCAACATATATTAGGATAAATTCTTGACCGCCGTCCTCCATTTTTTCGCCCCTCAACCTAGCATCGCTTAACTCTAGATAGAAGCCTTGTCGTAAACTAAATAGTAAACTCACTCAGTACTCTGCATTCACATCGATGTTAAAATGCCTGTGGATTGACACAGCACACAGCCCGGTAAACTTCCATCTACCCATTTATCTGGTCGTCCCTCTGGTTGGTTAGACAATATCACTTTGAACGAAATTGTTTTTTTGTTTTCATATTTTATTTCAAAATTGGTATAACTTCGCCTGAATCACTCGACAGCACATCAACAGAGTAACTTATCGTCAATTTACCCCTACAAACAGTCTTTGCTAGCAATTGATTTAAGCCCCAAGCCTTCAAATTCAAGTAGGAGGAGATGGCGTTTTTTTTCGGGAAAAAAAAAAGCCATTTAGAGCTTCCAATGTATGTCTAAAAATGAGACTTTTTTGTATTGCTTTCAAGACGAGTTTTTGTCGAAAACACGATCAAAGAGGGTGGTGAGAGGGCTTTTCGTCTTGTGCGCTATTCTTCTCAAAAAATATCAGTTTACTAACTTGATTTTAACTTGATAGCTCCAAAAATAAGCCGAGATTGAGTCCGAAGCGCAAAGGCGATGGCACGGTTAGTAGGGCGAAAGTAAATCAATTTTTGAGAGGCAACACCCGCAAGCTGCTGGCAGTGGTAGCTCTTCTAGCTCTCATTACCGTGTGGCGGTCTTTGGGCAACTCCAATTGGAGTCAGAGCTCGCCGTTTGAGTTGCAGGATGCAGAATATTACGACTATGATTTCTTGGAGACGGACGTAGAAACTCTCAAGAAATACGACAACGGCTCAGAGCACTTTTTGATAACTCAAGGTGGAACCGATGTACTTACACCTGCAGATAAAGAAAAGTTCGAAAGGGAAATTCAGATGCTTTACGGTTCGACCGTGCAAAAATATAACCTCGAGGCCTTCCAAGGCTCACCTAACGGGATCAAGAATAGGGAACACGTTCTATTGCTAGTTCCTCTGCGTAATGCCGAGCGCGTTTTACCCCTAATGTTCAAAAACCTCATGAACCTAACATATCCTCATGAACTGATAGATTTAGCGTTTCTCGTCAGCGACTGCTCGGAAGACGATAACACTTTAAGCGCATTAATAGAATACTCCAAAGAGCTACAAAGTGGCAACTTATCCGAACTATTTGCTGAAACTGACAGTGATGAACAGATATTGCAAGAAAAAGGTACACGAGACCTCTTCTTGAAATACATGCGCCCATCCTACTTAGAAAAGGTAAAAAAGGCGTATAGCCCGCCATTCCACGAGAACTATGACAAACCGTTTCGTTCTATTCAGATTTTCCAAAAAGACTTCGGCCAGATCATAGGTCAAGGGTTCTCCGACAGACACGCCGTAAAAGTTCAGGGTGTCAGAAGAAAACTCATGGGCCGCGCCCGTAACTGGTTGACAGCTAATGCATTGAAGCCTTATCACTCGTGGGTCTATTGGAGAGACGCGGACGTGGAGCTGTGCCCAGGCTCTGTAATTCAAGACTTGATGTCGATTGGTTACGATGTGGCAGTTCCTAACGTATGGCGTCCATTGCCTGAATTTTTAAGTGGTGAGCAAGCTTACGATCTCAATTCGTGGCCCGAGTCACCCGATGCATTACGTCTGGCAAAAACCTTAGACGAGGATGATGTGATTGTTGAGGGCTACGCCGAGTACGCAACATACAGAATTCATCTGGGATACAACAGAGACCCTGACGGAAATCCAAAGGATATAATGGAGCTTGATGGCGTTGGTGGTGTCTCCATCTTGGCGAAAGCTCAGCTGTTCAGGAATGGTGTTCATTTTCCCGCGTTTACCTTTGAAAATCATGCGGAAACTGAGGCCTTTGGAAAAATGGCGAAGAAAATGGGGTATAGAGTAGCCGGATTACCAAACTATACTCTGTGGCATATCTATGAGCCGAGTGATGACGACCTGCTGCTAATAGCCGAGAAGGAGAGGGGGAGCAAAAGGTCGGGCGATGGCTCACCCTGATCCAGTCTTGGGCGAAAAGGTGACATTATACTGGAGTCTGAAATGGCAGGAGACAGCCCTGCCACAAAAGGTTCGAAGTATTAACATGGATTAAGTTGTATATTATAAATTATACCGTAAATGAGGTGCACCAATGTTTATCAAATTATCCTGTAGATCTGTCCCCGATACGCTCAAAGTCGTAAGTTTTCAAAAAGCAGATTGAGTAGGCCAGTACCGAACTCATCGCCCTATGTTTTCTTTTGCTACTCCAGTAGAGTACTATTCTTAAGGTCTTTGGCAAGCCTTTCCTTGCGCTTCAACCACCATTCCTCAATCATATATATCCCGCTGTTGATAACCGCAAGACTTGAAAGGCCAATACCAACATAAAGCGCTGCTCTGTAACCCTCGAGGAGTTCCGTGCCACTCTTGTTAACGTAGTGCTCGGCTGTTGTGCCTATTCCCAGACACATGGAGCTCGAATAGCTCACCATTGTACTCACAAGTGATCCAGCCATGCCTTGATATTGGCTCGGTAATTCATCACTCAATATGATAGATGATGCTGGGAATGACAAGTCCATTCCGAAGCTCAAAATTGTCATTATTCCCAAAGTCATTCGGAAATAGGTTTGGTTGACAGGTGTGACCGCCAGCATGATACATCCGCAGTCAAAAGCGATCATGGATATAAACAAGAGAACGGCTGGTCCACATATATGAAGCGTGTATCCCACTAGTAGAGCTGCCACAATTCCCCATATAACAAACATGAAATATGTGCCTCCTGCCCAGAGCGGCGAATAATGCCTGAGGTTTAGAACAAAACACATGTAATAGAATGTCCAAATACCAAACGAGCCCCAGCCAAGAAACAAAGAAGCCAAAATCATCAAAATCCGGCGATTATGCATTACGGCGCGTGGAAGGAGTGGTTCCTTGGCAACCTTGACTTCGAAGAGAAAGAAAGCCACAAGAACGATCAAGGAAACAACCAGCAGAACTATGATGTATGCTTTGTTCCAACCATCAATCGGAGCTTGGTTCCATACAAAGTTTAGTAGTATGAGTCCGGCCACACCCAAGGCTGCACCCCACCAGTCCATTTTGAACTTATGAATATTCGTTGGTATATTGTTTGGGATAATCCAAACTGCAACGCACAAATTCAAAGCTGCTGTGATAGTATAGGCGTAAAACGCCCATGCCCAGACTTTAGACTCTTGGGCGATTAACCCCGAAAAAACGCATCCCAGGGTTGCTCCGATGGGGGCGCATGCACCGATCAAACTGAAAATCATATTTTTGGCTTTTGTATTGGGAACATATATGTTACCAACGGTGCCCATGACGTTTGGAAGGATAAAGGCGATACCCAGTCCTTGAAATGCTCGAGAAACGATGAAGAAGTTCACATTATGCGCATATGAACTCAGACCGCAGATCGAGGACCAGATAATGACAGTGATATAGCCAGCGATCAGGGTTTTCTTGAGGCCGTAGATGTCACCAATCTTTCCACTGATCAGAATAAATGATCCCGAAACCAACGGAAATGCCGCCATGAGCCAAGTCTGCTGGGATACGCCAGAATGCATGTCGCGCGAGATTACATTGAACATGGGATTTGCCTGCGTCATTGCGGCCTGATTTAGCAGCTGCGAGAGCATGCAAAACCCGACAAAAACATACTCTTTGAAACGGCTATCCAAATAGTCCTGATTTTGCAGATTTGGATTTCGCACTGGGGTGGTGACTTTGGTGAAGTTTACACCGTCAACATCATCAGAAAAATCGTCTACTGCAGTATTTGACGCGCTCTTCTCTGCTTTAGCCTGGTCCATCGTGTGGAATTGTCGACAAATGTGGATGTCGCTAACGCAGATTGATTCTCAGATGCCTTCGTGATCCCAGAATCTTATTAGCGTCGATTTTCAAGCTTGGACTTGGCGTTGCAATTTTTGAAATATGGTAAGCTCCAGTGAGGTTGGATTTGAGCTCAGCTCGAACAAGATAGCTTCAGTCATGTTGCGCTCGAAGGATGTTTTTATAGATCTTCTCATCGTCATCTTCTTATCGAGGTCTAGGTCCGTGAAAATTCACAGTGACTAATAAGGCAATGGAAAAATCTCACGAGTACGAGTACATCCACGAGTACATCCACGAGTACATTGTAGAGGGCCCGAGCTCTCGAACCAGCACGTAAGACCCACGGGAGTCAAGCGGCTAGTTCCTCTTCGTAGAGTGCTAAGGATCACCATTCTTCACCACAAAGCTCAATTCACATCCCAGGCTTCTTTATTTGTCAAAAAAGTCGGGAATCTAACGTCTTAGTAGTCTTCTAGCGTCAACTTTGCTTCGTCGCACCGGTTTTACACTCTAGACATGAAAGGAGGCGTTCTATCAGTCACTGAATTACTCTAGTCATGCAAATATATTCACAGAGCTCAGATCAGCCAGCCAAAGCACGCTATAACCTTCGGCGGCTAACCTCAAATTCCAAACTTCATCAAACACAAATACATCAAACCTAATGATCTTTCTTTACATTCTCAATCCTATTGCAAGCTTCTCTATCGTCCTTTGAAGCGCTCTAACATTCAAGAAAGACTCTTTTAGTTTAGCATCCTGAGTCTGCCAACGTAGTTCGAAGGTAAAAACGGTTAGAATGAGACCTGTTTGATGTTTATAAATTTACAATTGATTGTCTTTGCCTCAGTCCAAGTTCTCTGTCCTCTTTTACCGTCTTGCCAGCATTGTCTTTTGAGCGTAACAAACTCAAAGATATACTGCTGTACTTTGAAATTGTTGTACTTTATAACTGTAACAATGGATAACCGATAATGGGCGAAAAGCTGAGTGGAATGTGCCCATGTAAGATCACGAAAACACTGTAGATTCTTTCTTCTGATCTCTTCACAGTAAACACAAAGGCTAATGTTCTCAGCTCTAGACAAAATCTTCACATACCTGAGCTTCTTGAGCTTTCTTGTCGATGATGCAGCGCACTCCGTCTTCATTCAAAATACTTACTTCGAGTAGCTACTAGTAATCGAGACAGCCATTTCATGGTTCACCAAGCGAAAATCAACTCCACTAAGCAAGTATCAGCTCCAAGAGGTGGTGAATGAATGGTCTATTAGGGAGTTGTTCAATTCAATTCGTTCGAGCGATAATCTAAGTCATAGGCTCGACATGTCCGTTCTCATCATAAAAAACCTGTGGTTCTCCGTCTTCCACGCCGAGAATGTTTGCAGCATACATGAAAGTTGAATGTTGCAACTGAGCCAAGTATTGAGCCATGACATCAGATCCCGGAATCGCCATCGACCTGCTACGCCTGGAAGAGCCTTGCGAGTGCGGGCGTTGGTCGATGCCATCCATATGATTGCGGTAAAGCTCGTTTTTCTTTTCGCGTTGGGTGGCAACTTTGAATTGACGGGTCATGGTTGAAGGCGCCAACGGTGGTACAGCGTCCAGCGATGTGCTCGAGACCATTGGCGAAAACCTCCTGAATGCATGTGGATCATCTCTCGCCCTGGAAATGTCGCTGCTTTGATGACTATCTGCTTTTCCTGTATTTTGGTCTTCTCCATCTCCTAATTGTGTGTGGTTTCGGGAATTGGGCCTCGAAACGATAATATCGATGTCAGAAGAGTCCGATGAAGCACCATCATCTATTGGATTTTGCTCCACGGCATTGGTGGGAGCTAGAGAGATCCCAAGTCCTTCCTCTGCTGTGTGAACATCGTGACTTAATCGTAAAAGCTCTTTTTCTTCCAATTTTTGCTCCTCATCAGAATCTCTTGCGGGTTCCTGGTCATCTACTAAAGAAATGCCAAACGCATCAGCTTGAACAATCTTTTGGTCGTTACTACTCTCAACAGGTGCGTTTTTGGCAACATCGAAACTCTTTTCTTGTTGCTGTCTGAGCCTTATTTTGTAACTTGTCTTTTTCACTTTTTTGTAATGCTTAGAGTTTTTGTTAGCGACCAGATTTTTGTTGATGTTACCACAACGGTCCTTACCATATCCCATTATCAGGCCCCGATATCTGTTTTGAAATCTTTCGTGGAACGATTCGGCATTTCTTATATTATTGGCATCTTCGACCAACTTAATTGCGTTGGAAATATTCATAAAGTTAATCCAACAACAATGGTTATCAGGCAGGAAATTGATCTGTTCAATGTCTCCAAAAGCTCGAAAATCTTGTAGCAAAGTTTCTTTAGATGGTAGTTTGTACTTCTCCTTCAAGTTGTGGTATTCAGGGTCGTTTATGAACTTATCCTTGAAAGCATGCTCTGGTAAACTCACGTAGACATTTCTGCTGGCGCCAGCAGTTACAGCCAATGATATTGACTGAGGCAGATCACCGGAGTGATGACCCCACCCGACTTTCAAGATGTTACCGTGGAGTACAATTGGCTCAATTGAAGAATTTGCGAAAAACTGAACAGCAGCAGCAGCATCAATGAAGGTCACAAAACAGATTTGCTTTGCAGCAATAAACTTCACATTTTGCAATAACCCACCACGCACTACGTTGCATATATCTTCTGCTTTCGAGCGCTGATTTATGTTACCAATGTAAACAGTCCTATTACCGGCACCTCCTCCCATCGCTGTTGCAACTTGCGCAGCACTGGTAAACTGCTGCTGTAGCGTCTGTCCCAAGGGCTTCGACATATCCGTATAATATGGATAGTTTGTGAATGTATGCGACTGACCTGGTGTTTCAGGTGGGACGACCGACAGCATGCTGCCACACGAGGAAGAATGTCCGTGATCGTTTACCAGCATTTCTTGAGGTGCTGGTGATGCAAGATTATTGGATGAGCTATTTGCAACAGAGTCCATACTGAGTGGCTTGGATGCAGTGATGTGAGAAAGGTGCTGGTTGGGCTCTGTCACAATTGGAAGACCGTACATTTTCGGTTGGATTGTGAGTTTTTTCGTGGGTACATTAGAATTGGCGGAATATGAGTTCATAGATGTGTTATCATCTACAATGATGCCAGTGGTCCGAGAATTTTTTGCCGGTTCGCGGAGATTAACTTGAGAACCGGAAAGAGTACGTAGCTCCGACTTACCAGAAGTAGAGGAGGTTATGACGTACTGGAATCTTTGTAAGTCTGGGATGGTATTTTTGTGCATCTTGAGATATGCGATGATTTCAATGGCCATGGCGATGCTAATGAAATGTACCACCGCATAATGAGAGCCCCAGTGTTTTGAAATGCGGTTTGTGTTCACAATTTCGATGCACTTTACCACATAACGGGGTCCACTATTGTCGAGAAAGGGTAGTTGTTCAAATAACGCCTCCCTTGAGATCTCAGAACCAAATTCCAAGGCTACTGAGCATGTTGCGCCCATTCTCAGTACTTCGGTTCTTACATCACGTCGCGTGGGGCCTGAGTCAGCATCATGCAAACGAACAAAGTTCAAGGTTAGCTTCGGTGACTTTAGTTCCTTTTTGAACTCCGATAGTTTCTGCAGCACTCCATTGTAAAAGTCCAAGCATGTTTCTTGGGTGAGAAAACTAACTATGAAACTCTGCTGAAGGGCGTCTACAAGGTAAACGCTTTCCAGCCGTTCGCATTTGTCAAATTTGCTTAAAAAGTCGTTCAAGTGCAGCTCTGGACACAGATCAGAAAATAGCAGCGACGGCGTGCGGAACTCGTCGTCTGTGATGGTGGGCGGCAGCACTTCGTAGTTGACTTCGTAAGGGATCTGGCGCGTTCGATCGTCCAGCCCATGGTATCTACCATTGCGTTGTCGACGTATGTCATTGGGGTCCGGTGGCATACGCAGCGGCAAAGACTGCCCATAGGACGTCTGGTAGGGATTGTAGAGCCCAGTTGCGAGGTGGTTGCGCCCGTTAAACCTTGGAGTTGAGTTCGAGTGCGGTGTCGCCAAGAACGGCGAGCTGAGTAAAAGATGCGACGGAAGCAACGAGGCACCGTATGTGAGATCGAACGGCGTCTGAGGAGGTTGCTGGTAGCTGTGGTAGCTATGATGCAGTGGCATTGGGCCCATGTTGCTGGTGTTCGCCAGACTACCGCTACTGTATGCGTGTCTCGTATAGGGTGATGTGTACACGGGCGATGCATCCGTCGCGCCGTGATGGTGGTGGCGCGTAAGGGATCGTGTATGATCCAGTTGTGTGTAGTCTTGGCTGGCCCGAGGAGATTTCACGGCGTGGTAGGGCCCATTTCTAAATCCATTTTTCGGTCCGTTGCGCTGAGTGGTGTTGGACGCAAAGTTGGACGCGCGCGGCGACGGCTGTTTTTGACCGTTCTTGGCACCTTCGAGAGCCATTTTCTTCTTTTCTAGGGCGCCTGTACTTGATTTGAGAGTTGTGCGAGTTGAGATCGTCTAGTTCACTCCCTCTCCTGTCACTTTATTTTCGTTTGATCGACTTTTAACGCTTAACTGCTATTTTTGGGGAGCACAGTTCTCTAGCGACAAAAACCGTACAACAACTCCTGATCTCGGGTTTTCTGGCGTGCACAAAATGCTGCTGGTGGTCTGCTCACACGTCTGTTCTTCCCACTGCACGCTGTGTCGCGATCTTACTCGACTTTTTTTGCCGAGGACGCGCGGACTTTAAACACTTGTGGTCCCGCTGTATTCCTGTCTTCTGGTGGCCCTAGTTATGCTGGCGCGCCAAAAGTTCCACAATTGACTGGAGTACAGAGATTGCGGGTATGAGTGGATCAGTGAGACTAATTTGGGCTGATCCCGAGCTCGTTTGAGGAAAGTTGTTCGACTCTTGATGTGTATGTGCAAGAAAGAAAACCATCACCGCTTTCGTTGTTTTTACTCAATATAGAGTAGAGAGAAACTCTATGGGAAGTTTTTCATCACTTGGTACGTGGTTGGAGTCTTCTGAAATATATATTTAGTTAATTACGTAAGACGGTAGGAGAAACGTGACCGCCAATAGTCATGTGATTTTTACACGACATGCACGTTACGTGTGACAAAGGGTGGTGAGACGGAGACTGAGACTGAGACTTACACTGAGACTAATTCGTACTTCCATCCATCGCACGATGACTCTCAATTGCCAGCGTTCACCATTTGAACGGTACTGGGTTTTTAAAAAACTTCTGACTCGCTCGCTCTTCTCATCTTGATTGAAGTAGAACTCGGTTTACGAGGCTCGAAAATACCACATTTTCCACTCTAAAAACCAGAGTTCTGCCATTGAAACAACTCTTGTAGGTTTCCCTCGTTGTCTCCCTGGTTCTGGTTCTGGGTCGAATGCTGCATGTGGTCCCTGGCGTCGGGAGGCGCGTTCCAGCGTCGCCGTGGCCCGCGCTGCGGTCTTGCCGGCATGGTGATGGCCGAGTCGTCGCAGAAATCTTGATGAGAAGTTTGCATGGACTGGTATTGAGGAATATGGCCAGCAGCAGGTTGTTGTCGAGCCTGAATGGTAGTTGGTGCTTGATGCGATGACTGCCGTGTGTCATGACTTTCAGCGCCCGCTGGGCTCCAGGCCAGTAGCGGCGCCAGTCCCAGAGACGCATCGACCGTGAAGCCCGATCCTCGAGCCATCATGGACGTTGGATGTGCAGTCACACTCGGTCCCATTGCAGCCCCATTGTCAGTATTGTGAGACGCGTCACGGCCCGAACCACCACCATGGCTGCCCATGAACATCAAGTTAAGCTGAGATGAAGACGCTCCAGGCACCCGATAATAGTCCTTCAGGAAATCACCGTTACTTGGCACCCGAAAGAGGCCGTCGTTGAAAGACATTTGAAGCTGATTTCGGGTTCCTGACCCGTTTCCTGGATTAGCGGGCATTTCTACAGCACTATTCTCGATTCCTGCAAGGTTCAATATCGATGCACCACTTCCCAGGTTCGGCACCGCTCCTTCTGCTGTGAAAAAAGCGGTCAGATCCGCATTACTGAAAGAGTTGTTGTTCAAAACTGCATCGAAATGAAAAGCCTCTGCAATGGCGTTATGGGGGTTGTTATGACTGGCGTTAGAAACACCACCGTTTGCGTCGTCTCTTCCATGCATAGGGGCCTTGCAATCATCTTTATGTGGGATTCGATTCCCGCTATGTTCGAGCTTCACTCTTTTTTCAGCGGGCGACTCGCATTCGGAGCTCACTGGAGTTAATTTGAGTCCACTTCCGCCGTTTTGGTCTTCCTTTTTCCGTTTCGAGCCCGCATTAGTAGAAGGACGACCCATCAACTTGTTGTAGTACCGCAGCCGCTTCTCCAAAAGCTTATCTAGCTTTTCTGGCTTTGTTTGCGGAGGCTGCAGAATCACATTAACAGCCATGTCAAGTAAAATCAAACTGTGCCACGAAAGCGAGCCCGGAATATCAAGCACTTTTGTTGTTTCCAGCTCTTTTATCACGTCTAGCAGCAAGCCCTTATTGAATTGAAATAGTGTCCCACCTTTGGTATAATCCAAGGTGCTCCGAGCGCTTAAAAGAGCAAACTGGGCTTTTATTCTTGGCATGTTTACCGCAAGCGGTAAATAACAGTTCCCGAGGGAAGACTGCACACTCAAAAACGTGTTGATGGCCTGTTGCAAAAGCACATAGGAAGAAGAGCGGTCGGCAGAGCCATTTGGGTCATCTGCAGCAAGCGTATCATCCGGGTCTGGTTCGCCATTGGGTCCAGCCAATAGTGGTTTTGCGGCTAATACAGGCAAATGAACCAAACATTTTATCATGAAATAAAGAGTCAAAAGAGCCTTTTTGTCTCTGTTCCCCAGTTCCTGATTCCAATCAGTGGACTGACTAAATTCCTTTGCATCAACTGTTCCATTCACATCCAACTGAAATTTAAGGTTTTGCGGTAGCCCTCGCCTCCAATCATCTAAAGCGTTTTCGTGTATCAGAGTCACCTGTTGCGCTGTGGTTGCTGTCATTCCTCGCTTGAAAATGGAGTCCAAAATGTTCCCCAAGATTTTAGAAAATCGTAGCAGCGACAGCGAAAACTCAGAGACTTGTCCCTCGAGTTTTACCACTTGGTCTGATAAACTGACGCCCTCTTTGTTATTATCACTGAGGGGAAGCGCACATTCAATTTCGTGGTCTTTCATCAAACGGGGAACACCCAATTGAAGCGCGGAGAAAACGTCCAAGTAATAGATACCCCAGAACAGCAGTCTTCGATCACCTTGCTCATTTTTGCTCATTGTTGAGCCTTCGGTACCTAAAACAGCACTAGGACAGCGATGTAGCCTCAATTGTTGCGCCATTGAAACGATTCTTCCTCGTACCTCGTAAACTGATGATACATCTCCCGTGTTCAAAAAGTAAAATAAGAGCAGGGAGGTCAATTGCAACGTTTTGATAGAAGTTGTCTTGACAGTGAAGTATGGATTAGACCTCAGTGCAGGGATCAAAGTATTGTAGTAGTTCATGGCACGACTCAACTTGTGGTTGGGCCCCAGGTTTTCAGACTTGACTTTGAGCATGATACCAAATTGACACACTACCATCAAAATGCAAGCAAATATCTTGTAAGAGATAGATTTACTGCGATGAGCGAAAGAGGAGCTGGTGTCACCAAATAGTTCTTTACCATTGATTAGGCCGTCCTTGAACTTTAGGTAGTAGCTGTAAAACTCGTTTTCGTTGAAAACCGGTATTAGGGCATGACAACTACCAAAGTAAAGGGATATCAGGTCCTCAATTTCTTGAAACGTGAGCGTATCTGGATCATCGCAGAAGCCGGGATTAAATTTGCAGCTTTGCATAAAAAACTTCAAAGGGTCATCGATTTCCCACAGACTTTTGGTCTTAATCTGGGATAGACCTTCAGAGCTCGGTATAATAACTTGCGAAGGCTCTTTGAGAGACGCTAGGAGAGAGGCAGTATATATACACTGCTTTGATGTTAGACCAAAGACCTGGCCCAGCCGGGCCAGGAGTTGAGGGATGAACAGGATTTCTTCTGTCGAACGCGGTATGGACAGCGCTACAAGGCATGCTAGTTGATTAGAATACTCATGATTGGCCATTGACGAAAGAGCTTTGACAGCAGGCAGCCCAGGCGCCTCGTTTTGCTCGAAAGAGATAGCAAGTGGGTCGCTAAGAGTCGTGCTCACTGGTTTCTCGTGCAAAAAGGGATGAGAAGAATGGCTGCAGCTAGTGCCTTGGCACCTGTGGGAGCCGCTATTAGGTTGTTCTGACGGCGAAGTCTTGTTCAGTAGATATAGATTAGTGGAGCTGACACGAAGCGACCCACCATCAGAGGAGCTTAGCTGCTGTAAAAGCTGGTCATCGTCTGTTGACGAAGAGGTTCCTGGATGCGATTTGGACGAGTAACGCGATACTAAGTGAAGCTGTTCGTCTTTAAGGTCGCACAGGGCAACCAACCGGCGGTTTTCGGCCTCCAGTTCACGCACACGTTCTTCCAGCGTTTCAGTGTAGCCTTTAGGAAACGCACGACGCGAAAGTTTGTCACTGATCTTGCATTCGAAGCCCACTGCTGCACACTGGGAACACTGAGGCCGCTTGCCGTCGCAACGAATCTTCTTGGACCTGCATCGGTCGCAAGCTTGAGCCACACGGTAGTTGACTGACGGAGTCGTCGAGGACGCCGTTGGGGACACACTGGGTGCCATAAAATTGGCGTTAGCCGTCGATCCTCGCCTCGGCTGCAAATTCGCGGGTGAGTGCGAAAGGGACGACGGCTGGCTGGAGAGTGAGTTCGAAATTCCCAAAGCCTGTGAATTCATCGTGCGGATGATTCGCGGCTCGAAAACGTCCTTTTCCACGCCAACCATCTTTTTTTTGGGGTCTTTCGATGAAAGATTAGTCTTGGACAGTGAGACTAAACACTTCACTTTTATATCAAAGACAACTGAAAAGCTATGCCACCGTAAAGGTCTCTAGTTTTTGAAAAGGTATGAGCAGTAGCAGCTTGAATATAAACGACTATGGGCCGCGATGAGTATTGTTCCGGTAGCTCTCTCAAAAAGCATATAACCTTTTAACTTTTGAGGGTCCATTTTCTTATTTCTCAAGAAGTAAATTGTCTGTCTCTATAATTTGATGATATTCAACATCTTCATCATTATTTTACAGACAGACATACATAACATGGCTCAACTACTCAAATATGGGATTAAGACCTGAATTTGATAAATAGCGACGGACAACAAAGAAATGGGTCGGTTAGATGACTTATCTACAATATATACAGGGGTTATAGGGGCAGATGTATAAGAATTATTATTTCTTGGCGCAAGATGGGGAACGATGTATTTTTGATTTGACAGGGTGTGGGATGCACTTTTACTGGTCCGAATGAAAGTTGAAACTTGATATGCCTCTCGAATCTATTAACTCAAGTGATTAGGATCTATATGCGATAGACGTGACATAATTCAAGGGCTCCTGAATTTTGTTAGAATATATAGTTGGAGGAATGTGGTGTAATATCTGCCACAAAGCTCGTTGAGTTCGAGCCAAGGAAGATAAACGAGTTTTATGGATGAGGACATGATAGTCATCGTTGGGGCTTGGGATATACATATGTTGTTGGGTCTCGATTGGCTCAGCGTGTAGAGAAAAAAAGGATGGATTTGAAAGTACAAACACGACATTTATCTGCAGCATTAATAGCAACCATTTACCGAGATAGTTTTCTAGACGGTGCAAAAGACGAGAGGTGGCGCGCCTCAAAAATTCTCATATATTCTGTAAACTAGCTAACGCCAGATGTCATTAGCGGAAAGCTCAGAATAAAGATGTGAACAGATATTTCTACCTAACAATGAGTCAAGTAAGGTACTACTACTACAAGAAGGAAAGCGTTAAATGTCTTTTGAGATGGCACGTCAGAATAGCATAAAATGTTATGATTAAGCAGGCTTTAATTGGTGCTCCGATTTCGATATTACCGGAATCCCCGAAAACTCACTAAGGAGAACAATCACGAGCGCGCCCGGAGCAGGTGTGGTCTGTCCGCTTATGTCACACACTTAGAAGAGGTAAGACTAGGCTTTGAAAAGATCGAGAAGCTAGGACACACAATGAAAAATAGCTACCCATTAAAGCTAATAAAACACTTCCATAAGGGTCAATTAAAAACTTTGGGAATTATTAGCATATGTGTGGCTCGTCCCATGCCCTTTGTGCTGGGACAAACCTAGGGTTCAACTAGAGCTGAGGTCTGTTTGATGGCCCGATCACGCTTCCAACAGTCACGTGACAGAATGACAGATGAAGGTTATATTCCAATTAATGGTGTTCAGAAACTGACAATGGTAATCATGATGTTATTGTTTTGCAGCTCATAGGAAATGTGGTCTGATCTGCATCTAACACTTTTCTCAGACACTTCCAAATCTTGATCAAAGCGTTCATTATTTCACCGTTTCGCTTCCCCGAGGTTATACATTCCCGCGGTTTGCATCCACAAAATAAAATATTTCTATGTATTTAAATTCGAGACCCAGCTAATCGCATAATTCATATCAATGGACAATTTCAACTGACAGATTACAACGTTCTCGATCAAAGACGCCAAAGCTCGTCAATAGTAACGAATAAAACCGAAAGAAGTTCTTCAAACTACGCTCCATAGCACAGTAAGTAACAATTCCCAGATTCGCCAAACAATTAACAGCAGCTCAACCTATGACTCTACGTATGGGAACTCTGTTTTATTCCGTCGCGCTCGAATTTCAATCACCATTAACGAAGGGTATATATTATTGATTATACACTGTAGTTGATTTTATCAATGCTTAAGCGCGATGAAGCGTTCCTCATCCCCCAGCACAGCTCCACCGAAGATGAGGATCCTTTCTAGTCCGGTCAAACTGGTGCTCTTACTGTTTGTAACTTATCTATGTAGTTCAGGGCGTATTCACACGTCCAATATGGCTGCTTATCAGCGGATGTTTTCAAACATAGAACCAACTTCTGTTAATTTGATAATAGCGCACCCAGACGATGAAGTGATGTTCTTTGCACCAGTGCTTCTACAATTGGACTCAATGCTGCATTATCGAGTTGTGTTTCGTGTTTTCTCGCTCACTAATGGCGGGGCCGACGGACTCGGCGGCACCAGGGCTCGTGAGTTAAAAGACTCTCTGCATCTGTTGATGCATCGAAAACACCCTTCAGTTGAAGTTTTGAACTTTGTCGATGGAATGGACGAGGAATGGGATCTCCTGAGGACTACAAGGGAACTTGAGTCGCGTGTCACAGATTCAGTTCCGGCTTTCATCACTTTCGATGACAGGGGAATCTCCAATCACATTAATCACATTTCCTGTTACAAAACTGTTCAGAGTCTGAAATCAATTTATACGCGGGGTCTATATTATCGATTGCTGAGCAAGGAATCAGTATTCCAGACATACACCGCTTTTGTTCCCGCGCTACTTCATCTGTACAGGCCTACTGAGAGTATTGTGTTTGTTAGCAGCTTCAAAGCGTACTTGTTGTCCTTCGCAACTATGCTCAATGCTCATGTATCACAGATGGTTTGGTTCAGGTATGGGTGGTGGTTGTTTAGTTACTACGTTTTTGCAAACGAGTTGGAGGCATTCTGACCAACAAAAGAGCTATGAGCCGGTTCCTAGTGCAAGAATATCAGAATAAGGCTATACGAATGTATATAGATCTATTTACCACAACCTTCCAAGAAGCATACTATCTTCCTCCTCATCATCAAATTCCTTCTGCTTCCGTTGCGTAGCGTCCCGTCGCTTTTGGCTTCTTTGCTCATATCTCTTTCTATGTATGTCAAAGTAACTTCTCAAAACACTTGCCTGTTGTTCATTTGGTGCCCACATTTTGATAAATTGCAAAGACTTATGGTAGCATCCTGCTGCCGCTTGATTCCTGAGTACAAGTTTGAAGTATTTTTGTACAAATCCAATGGCCCTTTTCGAGGCCAAATCTTCATCGCGTAATTGTGACAAACACTGCTTGATAACGCCAATTGCTCCTCTGTAGTTATTTGTTGCTCGCAAGACTGTGAATCTGTCATTGAGCACAGCATGATCTGCTTTTATTATTCTTCCGCGTTTGTTATGCCATTCCCTCATCACCTCCCAACACCCGTTGGACAAATGGCCCTTAGGATCCATTCCATTTCCCCAAATGATGATACTGTGCTGAAACAAGCTCCTCCAAAACTGAACGTCCAGTTCCAATTTTTCGTACGTCTCGATAAATGAGTCCATGAATTCGAGTGCCGAGCCGATTTGACCGTTTCGCGCAAAACTCGTTAAAATGGCAATCAAAATCTCTGACGAAGGAGCAATAAGGTCTTCAGTGTGTGCTCGCTCATGAGACTTGCCTAAAGAAATGCCCCATCTCTGGCGGATGTAGTTTTCGAGAGCAGAAATTTGCCCCATAAATCCCAATGAATATACGATCGTCGCCTCTAAAGCGTCAGTGGACTTGAGTGACCATTTGCTCGTAGGATCCCTTAAGAATTCCAAAAATGAGGGGACAAAGCTTTTGTCAAACGCTTTGTATTTAGAGCGAGTAGAATAGTCTTGTATCTCGAGTGCACGACCGCGTTGCGATTTTGCGACCCAGGTCTGTGGCAGAGCACCACATCGCAGTTGTAGGTAGTGGATTGCCGTGGAAATGTCGTAAGGAATTTGATCGTTATTGGAACTCACAATGAAGTCAAGGACTGTTTGAGCCTTTCGCAGCTGCTTATTCTTGATGAAAAACGCCACAAAGAGATTCAAGTCGTGAAGTTCAAGCGCATTTAAGTGTCCCGGTTCTATAACCTTAGCGTATAGTGCAAAAAGGTTGAAAACAATCTCCGTTGCGTGACTGCCTGGCGCTGTGTGTGCCAAGTTCTCAACGAGGTTTTTACAGGATAATGCGCCTTGGATAAAAGTGGACAGCTCCATTCGCGTCAGGATGTTTTCCGTGAATAGTTTCTTCCCTAATTCGGGGTCCATTTTGGACCGTAACGTTAGTTCCATCAAAACTTTTACGTACTCATTTTCTTGCAGAGACGCTGACAATCGGCTTGGAAGCTGGACGGGATTTTCGCCAGCTCGGACATCATATTTTTGATTTCTCAAAACTAATTGTTTAACTGTGCTTCGTTGTTCCAATGCACTTTGCAAGCTCCTGCTCAAATCGGTGGACTCTGCGGGTATTGAACCATTCGTTGTGCGTGCAGATCTAGCCCTTAGATCAGTACTTGCAGCACTATAAGTGAGAGCCAAGGTACTATTCCAGTTCTTGAGCACCGTATGTATTGTGAGGCGCCGATTAGGGAGCATGGCAATGGTGCTATCCCTGGTTTTGATCGGTTGTGTTGAGCCAAGTTAGCGCTTGATTCTATCGTGTGTATAAATTTTATATGAGTATGTCACTGTATACGTAAGTTGGCCTATGCTGTTCAGCAGGACACCCAGTTCTCGTCCATCAGGTGTCCGGTGCCAGAGCTATGACAGTTCTGACATGGTGTCGTTTTATTTGGTGCATTCGAGACCGTTTTCAAGCTTTGGCATCAATTGCGGGAACATCTCGTGTCGGGTGCTCGACCTATAAGAAATCACATCAAATAGGCATTGACGCTGTTTAAGGAAGCTCTTGGTGGATTAATGTTTCTACCATTCAGCTTTGTTATCATTTTCGACAGATGCTTCTTGATAATTGTTTTGTTTATGTTTTCTGGCTGCTCCAGCCTCCAGTTTTCGACATTATAGTTTCGGCAAAGCACACTCAACAATACGCACACTGACATGTCTTTACCATCGCTACAGCAGATCAAAATGGGAAGCGAGTGTTGTAGATGAGCTTCTACCGAGGGGCAGATTGTTATCAGGGCTGTTCGCAAATTCTTGGAGCTTTTCTTAGAGCCACTTGAAAGATTGATAATTTCAATGGTTGTGTTTTCGCCCGCGGCAGGATCGGTGTTTTCTGTCGCAATTTCTGCGTTCTCACTAAGAACCAAAACGTAAGAATATGCATTGCGTAGTTGGTCTTGTAAGCTGCTCGTTAGTTTCAAGGGCTCCACTATCTTTCCTAGATGTAGCTCCGGTGTTAGAATATCGATATTGATCAGCTTGTCAAGCGTGTCACCAGCACTGGTCTGTCTCTTACTGTGCTCTATCTGTGCTGATATTAAGGCCTGAATCACTTGGTTGTTGAGCGCTGGATCGCCCAGAGTAGTAACGTTTTCCCAAAGCAACTCAGCTGTGAGACCGTTGGCCCACAGCTCGTGATCGTCAGCTGCACCTTGCACGTAAGTGAATCCGTGTCTGTTGTCGACACCATCTTGACATTGGTAGCTAACCGCACACAGCACAACAGGGAGAATTTTTTCGGCCTCAGGGCTCTCCCATTTAGCAGTGATGAGCTCTCCGGTGAAAAGATCTCGTTGAGACGTTAATAAAGATGATCCAGGGTAGACCCATAAAGGACGGAGAATTTTACCACCTAATACCTCGACAAGCTCTTCACCGGAGATGGCATCAACTTCCTTAAGCTTAAAAACCAAACCTGGCAGTTTTGCCTTGATTTGAGCATATTCTTGCTTAGAAACCGTGCCCGGCGGGCAAAAGAGCACTTCTTCGTCAGTTCTTCCCAAATGCTCCAGCATCAAAGTGTTAAGAACTGCACACCAAATTGGAACGGTTTTGCTCAAAGCGTCAGGTAATTTTTTGCCTCGTCTGGTGCTATCCACTACAACGATCCCACCGTAGGTTGCTAGCGTCGGGAGTAAGTGCAGATTTAAGCGTCGAACACTAAAATCGCACTGGTTGGTATGACCATCTGTAGACTTGAAATAGCTTGTTTGATTGAAGATGCCCGGTTCACAATACCAAAGACCACATCTTTCATTGGGCACTACCGGGAAATCGGGAAAAACCGTTAAAACCTGTTCTTTAAGAAATCGATTGTCAAGCAGGATACTTTGGAGCCTGTTTCTTATCGCTTTGTGATCTTTCTTGATTTCCCTACTTAGGAGGTTTAGCGTTTGCTCATATTGAGTCCCCATCGATAAGCAAATGAACGATTTGCTCGTCTTTCATCGCATTTGACATCGATATTTTTTGTCAGTGCTAATCCAGTGCAAGAGCTTTGATTGATACATCAACAAGGAAAATTAAACAAGTATCAATACATTTAGAGAACGACACCATCAAAAGGCTGAAATTGTCACACGAATGAGGTTTAAAATCTGTTGATATGAGCATGAAGACTTTTTGAAGTTCAGAAAGTGAGCCAAACTACCATTGTAGCCCGTAGTTGATGGCGACAGAATGTGACGCTGCCGTCTTGTTTATCAGTAGCTTTATGAATATCACCGAGAAGAGATAATTAGAAACCTCTAGCTCATGTGTGTATTCTTGTGCTACAGGGAAAAATCCAGAGTCTAATCAAATGATTCTTGGCGAGCTTTTCCGTGTTCAATTGTGAAAGACGGCTCCTGGACGAGATGTGTTGTGTAGTATTTGTCTTATAACATATAAACATTTGGCAAATACAAGATTTTAAGACATCATAAAGATTCCATAAGCTTGCCAAAAGTAAGAAACAACGCTGGGGTGCGGACGAACTAAGAAAAGGTTTGGATATATGTGGGTCAACTGCTGCAACCAGCGCAACGTCACTGAATGTAGTTGGTTTGACTATTCAGTGACATTGTAGTCCTAATCACGCGACTTGGTGTCGCAAAGGTACAAAGTGACAGCGCTGTTCTCAAGTGATGGCCCCAGGATTTGGCATAATTGCAGGTCTCTAGCACGTCAAGAACGTAAGACAAATGTCGCAGTGAGCATACCATTCGAAAGTGAGAGGGGCTTAAACGCCTTCTCTTTTGTTTTGTTTCACAGTGAAAAAACTGTTTATGACGAAGACTACTGACTTGCCATTGTCTAATGTCACGACGTCTTCGCTATAAATTTTGATAAGTCCACCAATTTGTGCGTTCCTTTGAGTCGCAGGTGAGCTTTTCAACGAGCTGTTAAAGCCAAAAATTTGCAGTATTTTTCAAACATATAATCACTGTTGTGAAGCATATCGTCAGATCTCAGGTTCGACCAACAATGTAATTTTGTCACAATTCATGTCACATACGATTGCGAGATATTCAGATAGCGTAGAAAACATTAAGTAAAACAACTCAATCATTAAAACTGAGATCAAGTACATTATGGTCGTTAAGCCCGTCAACTGATTTTTTTCGATTTAGCATTCTACTGTGCAAAGGTCGGCGAGGACAAAAGCGTATAAAACTGCCAAAACAAACATCAACAAATTTCTGTAAAAGCCCAAACATTATCTAGCTCACCAGTAATGAGTTTAATCAAATATATGAGCCTAAAAATCACCGATTTTAGCTCGTCTAGCTGTTATAGTCTGGCACTTCCATCTTTTATGACACTTTCATCACGTCTCACGGCGAATGGGCCCTAAACCAGCAAAATCCAAACATAGGCTAACTAACCCATTGATGTCAGATCAAGATGAATACAATTGCAAGTGAGCAATACTTGGGCTTTTGATTTAATTCAAATCGAGTGTTGTGATACCCTATTCGAATCCAACTGCCAAATAAGTATCCCAGTGCGGGTTCAACACTATGTCATTTCTACAGAACTTGTATGTAATTTGCTAAGCCAGCTCATCGCGCGTCGCGTATCAATAAGTCGAACCAGGATCGACAGAGTTTCTGGGTAACAGCTTTTGGCTCAATTGTCATTTCATAGCTTCGAAAACATGTACTAACCAAACGCTGGTTTCCACAGCCATTTAAGTCCTGGTCAGACAATCAGATCCACGAGAGGATTCAAATGGAACACTGCAAAAACTCCAAATAACGGCCAGGACCAATATAGTCCCAGTCTTGGTGAACAGGGAAGTCCCCTTTTCTCTACGCCTCAAAAAACCCAAAGCGCCACTATAACAGATTTCAATTACACACCTTCGCACCAGAAGCCATATCTTGATGCAACGCAGGGCACGACCGTGTCCTCGCACAAGGACTTGAAGGAAATAGTGGAAACGACATTGGGATCGCATGGCGTTCTAAACCAGGCCGTGAAGCTTCCCAAGGGCGAAAACGTCAGCGAATGGATCGCCGTACACTGCGTGGATTTCTACAATCAGATAAACATGCTGTACGGCGCGATCACCGAGTTCTGTTCGCCTGAATCGTGTCCTCGCATGATAGCCACAAGTGAATACGAGTACTTGTGGTACGTGAAACCCGGTTCGCCGCCACTTTCTGTATCTGCGCCCAAATACGTCGAATACCTAATGAAGTGGTGTCAGGAACAATTCGACGACGAAGCGGTCTTTCCTTCAAAGCCTAACGTGCCATTCGCCGCTTCTTTCGCCGACAGTAATGCTAGACCCATACTAAAAAGGCTTTTCCGCATTTACGCTCACATTTACTGTCACCATTTTAACGAGATGCTCGAATTAAACCTGCAAACAGTTTTGAACACAAGTTTCAGGCACTTTTGTCTCTTCACTCAGGAATTTCAGCTGCTGAAAAAGCAGGACTATGGACCGCTTATTGAATTGGTTCAAGAACTCAAAGATAGATAGGTTCAACAAGGTGCAATACAATTGTTAAGGTGGTTTATATATGGGTGTTGTTAAGTTATATCAAGACGATGAGTAACGAAGCTGGCCAACGCAAGCTGTCTAGCTCGAATTACAAGGTTTTAGAAATTGTGACTACATTTTTGCAGGCAACCTAAGCTTCAGAGAGTCAATTATTCTTACGAGTGCTCATGGGAACTCTATCTGTTTTTACTGACACTTTAATTATGAATATTGAATTTTTGAACATAATTCATGGGACTTCAAGGTTCAACAATAAAGTTCGAAAAGCAGTATTAGCATGTCTTCTAGCAAGGTACTGAGTACGGTATTACTATTACTGGCGGGTACAGTTTTCTTATTCAAAGTTTTTGCTGGCTTCTTGCCGCATTTTGTTCGAGTTCCACCGGTGAAATGGCGATTGAGAGTAAACAATGCCATAAAGGCTGCTGAAGAAGCCACCAACAAGATTCCAGCAATTAACTTTGGATGGAAATGTGGTAGCGTCAGACGTCAAATGATTTTAGCGTCTTTCAAACCTTCTGACTACACAAACAAGGTATATGGGTCGAGAATTCATGTTGGTGCAGAAGACCGTAAAAATCGCGAATCGTTCGTGAATCGCCTGGTTCCAAGCAAAAGACCTTACAAGCGTGTTATTTACGGATATTTTCATCCATACTGTGATGCAGGTGGTGGTGGGGAGAAAGTACTTTGGAAAGCTGTGGAGACGACATTGCAAAGAGACCCCAACTGCGTCACTGCGATCTATACTGGCGACAACGAGTCTTCCGGTAGCGATATTCTTGCAAACGTGGCAAAGAGGTTTGGTTATCAGCTCGATAGCTCTAGAGTCGTGTTTATATACCTCAAGTCTAGACATTGGGTTGATCCACAGACATGGCCCAGACTCACGCTTCTAGGACAAGCACTGGGATCGGTTATCTTGACAATTGAAGCGCTATACAGAATGACACCTGATATGTGGTGTGAGACTATGGGATACCCTTTCTCATATCCAATTGTTAAGTGGATCGCTCGGATTCCCGTAATAACGTATACGCACTACCCCATAATATCGTCGGATATGCTGGATAAGCTAGCCCTGATGCCGGGCTTCCGCAAAAGCCTTAGACTAAGGCTGAAATATTTGTATTGGAAAAGTTTCATGATGCTATATCGCTCAACTGGAAGATACGTCGACATTGCTAATACGAACTCAACCTGGACTCAAAATCACATCAAAAAAATTTGGCTCAATTGCGATGAGAGAATCATCTATCCTCCATGCTCGACGGAAAATTTGGTCTTTGAAGAGGATACTATCAAATGGTCCAGGGAAAATCAGGCAGTTATCATAGCACAATTCAGGCCGGAAAAGAGACACAGTTTGATTATTAGTTCCTATGCTTCGGCCTTGAAAGAGAACCTTTCGGAAAACGAGATAAACTTACCGAAACTTATCTTCATTGGTTCTACTAGAACTGAAGACGATCGTTCCTTTGTTAAAGAGCTGACAAAACTGTGCTTCGAGGATTACAAGATACCGCAAAATCTGGTAGATTTCAAAATCGATTGTGAATATAATGTTATGAAGGACTATTTGCGCAAGTCAACATATGGAATAAACGCAATGTGGAACGAGCACTTTGGTATTGCTGTCGTTGAATATGCGGCCTCTGGGTTGATCTCTCTCGTTCATGCATCTGCAGGTCCTTTGCTGGACATCGTCGTGCCATGGGATACTACCTCCAACCAACAAGTTTCTGATCATACCGACCGTACCAGAACAGGCTTCTTCTTCAAAGACCCCAGCGACCCCGACTTTGCCAAAGGCGATTCGGAAAACTATAGCTCCCTCAAAGACACGTTTTTACAAATTGCTAAGCTGAGTAACGAGGAGAAGCAGGTTATCTCGCAGAGAAGCAAGCAATGTGTACTGAGCAAGTTTTCCGATGATACTTTTTCGAAAAAGTGGAACAGAGTACTTGACGATCTTCCAGAGATCGATTTCTCTCGCCAGTAAAAAACTGAGTAGAATATAAAGTTACATCGGGATTGGACTTGAGTGATAAAGTTTGTCTGATACGCCATGCCTCTCAGAACATCTAAGAGCCTCTGGGCAGTGTATGTTGAAAGTTCCAGGTTTATAATGTTACAACAAGCCACCTACACCATGGTAGTGATGTAATGTCAAATAGATTAAGTTAATAATGTTTCGCATCGGTGAGTCCCAGCCCGCGGTCACGTCCGCTGTCGATGTAAATATCTCCGTCGTAAATGCGACCCCTACTACTTTGTGACACCCTTGGCTGAGCAATATTTACGTCATGTAAGTCATACTCAGTCTCAGGAATGGAAACAGAAGTATTGGTATTAGTTTGATTGTCTAATGCGGGGGTTTGAAGATTGTTCTGTCCATGTTGTTGCTGAGGGGACAAAAGAGTTCGAGGCAGGCCCTTGCCGTTAGCTTTCATGGATGAAGCCCTCCTGGATACTCTTCTGTCGGAGTTCAAACTTAATCTCGCGGTAACAAATTTAGCCTTTTCAATTGGATTGGACGTTGATGTCAGCTTTTTAAGGTCTTCAAACCACCCCATCATTGACTCGTATGACTCGGCTCTGAAGACACAATTATGACCCCTATGAATGATGCCGTTTTGTTTAGCATGTAAAATAAATTTAAAGCCGGTCGAACCTTTCTTGGAATGCTCAGCAACAGTACAATCGTTCAACGGAAGCGACATGACGGGAATTGTATCCTTTTTCCTGTCAGGTGTTTTGAATTCATGAAGATAACTGGGTGTCAGCAAGTAAAATCCCTTGGAATAAGACTTCAAAAACTTAGAGCGTCTTTCTAAAAATCCTGATTTAACTTCATAAGTTAATGGATCGTCCTGATATCTGTAAACAATATCCCTCATGTGTCGAACAGGCAAATTTGGCTGTATGAAGTTGGGGTCCTTTGAGATAAAGTTATCCCACTCAAAAACTGCTTCCTTGTTAAAGAAGCCCACATCAAGTTTTGAAATTAGTACGTCAAAGACAAGTTGAGCATTTTGCCCCATGAGGCGGGCATAAATAGTCAGAGCGTTTTGAATTTCCATCACAACAACCTTTTCGAGCTCTCTTCCAGATCCTTGAAGGTTTTCGAACGCTTCGTGCAGCATATTTTCCTCGTTCAGCTGCCTCCTAATTTGTTTGTCAAGCGTAATCTTTAGTAGATGTGGGTCATGCTTTGGAGACCCATACCTGGCAGCTTCAACAGCCTCCTGAAACTGCATGAGATCGTTCCTCGTCTGATGCAGCTCTTTACTGCACGCATTTTTGAAGTCTGAGCTGAGACCCTTAATCTCTTTGATTTTTATGAGCAGGTCTCCCCTTAGGTCTTCGAGTCTAGGTATAACGTCGTTGGCTAACTCTTTGGACGCCTTCAAGGCCCCGTTTGCCATGTGGGAATGAAATTGAGACAGAATATTTGGCAGGTCTTGGATGGACCCATTCCCAAAAGGCAGGAAAAATCTTTGGATTGTCTTCTCTTCCGGTGTGGACAGCTGTAAGTGGTTTTCTGTGGCGAAAAAGGGGAAATTTACAGCGTGGGAGAGTCTCAATTGCTGTCTGACGGCCTCGTCTTGGATGGACACTGTTTCAGTCAAGTACACCAGAATAGAGCGGATCACAGATCTCCATGCTGCGAACCGTTGAGCCAAAACCTCTGTGGGGTTTGCCGACGTCGGGAGCATCACCACAAGCGGGGAGCGGGGATCCTGCTGCTTAGTTGCATGGTGAGCCCACTGCTGCGAGACACGAGAGTTGCTCACCCCAGCACTGGAGGTACTGGTCAGCGAAGGAGCATGGCTTTTTTGCTGTTGGAACAGATTTTCCAGCATATCGGCGTTGGTGTGCCCGTTTTTCCCACTTTCGCTGATTTTATCCACAGTGGAAGCGTTGTAAACCGGGTATGGCGGTTCGTTGCCGCTCACATTCCTGTTCTCGGTGCTTCGAACATGGATACTTGCATCATTTGAAATTGCACTTTTTGGGCCTGCTTCTGGTCCGTTCGGCGCCAAACTTTCTCCAAAGCCAGCCTGACCCTGTTGCGAGTGTGACAGGCGCTCTGCAGTCGTTGAATTCATTGACATCGGTCTCATCTGCGGCTCGAAGTGTTGGGTACTTATGTTCAAGTTAATGGAATGCTCAAGTTATTCTTGTCGGTATGGCCTGAGTAATTATGTACGGGCTCTTTCGGACGTCGAGTAGATTGTTGACTAGATGTTTGGAAAGATAATTGACTAGATAAGAAATTCAGAAAAGTCGCTTATCACGTGACTGGAGGATAACTCACAACGATATTAGACAAAATATACCAAAGGTTCAAGGTTAAACATCAATTCGATAATGAGCAAGGTTCAGTTGTTAGAATTTAAGCTTCTTTTTATGCCAACTCGTTGTTGAAAATGCGAAGATTTGACTCGGCCGTAAATCTTCTAGTTCTAGCGCTTTTCGGGAGTCTGACGCGGTCTGTAAAGGCGAGTTGAGTGTCTTTCTTTGTGGTGGCTATGTAGGCAAGCAATTCTTGCTGGGCGGAAAGTTTTAAACCCTAAGGCCATGCTCAATTATCTTTTCATATTATTGTAGGAATTGTCGTTGCCCGTGGACTAGTGTATATGTTCAGTGTTGTATTTGAGTCTCGAGTAGCCCAGATTTCTTGTTTTTCAATATTTAATAGAGACTTGAACAATAGTAAATATCGTGTTTGTTGGTTGGCCTAACAGCTATTTTCGAGGCGTATCGCATACACGGTATTGCCAGGCGCCACAGGCTGGTACTTCGAGATCAAAAACTCATAATTGTCGAGATTTCGATTTTGTTGTCAAGCCGTTGTTTACCTTTCACCGAAGACAACATGAGCTCTTCTTCATCGCAGAAGCCTGGGAATGGGAAAAGAAGCAGTATAAAGGGACTTAGGGGCATTTTGAAGCGCAATTCAGACAGCGGGGGAAAAGTTGTCAAGACGGAGCCTAAAAGAAGCAGGCCATTTTGGCGTTCGTGGCCAAAACGGTACTCGAGCGAGCCCTTGCGGAACGAAAATAGACTTCAGGCAATATACAGTGTCGACATCTCTATAGCCACTGCGATAGTGATATGTTTTGCCCTGGCAGTGCTGCTGCTCGTAGTGAAGGAGATAGGTCTGACGGCGCGACACTGTGTCAAATGGGACCTCTGGACATTTCTGGCCATGGGTAAGAGGAGCTTCGTGATGAGCGTGCTACAGAGGCTCTGTTACAAAATCTGGGAGGGACTTTGAAGTAGCATATGGGAAGAAAGTGTTACGAGGCTCTGTGGCGCTGTATGGGGAAATTCCATTAAACGTCCGAGCCTGTTTGGGGTGTTCCAAGGCCCACATTCGTTATAGTGCTTGTTGAAGCATGAGTTTCTGGATAGTGGTGTGTCGAGCACGACAATCTCCTGGTTTTGCGAGCCATGATTTGCAGAGTCGGCACATTCAGCAGTGTTAGCAGTGTAAGCATGGTCAGCATGTTCAACCTTTTTTAGCATGGTCATCACTGTCAGCTCTCGCACAAATTACTGTCTGACCAGACCTGTCTCACAAACACAGCGTCAAGATGACTCTTACCAAACTATAATGCAAACATTGTCAAACTCCGCTCACGATCACCCACGAACATACCACTCTATCAAAACCGAGAATTCATGTTTTTCAACCCTGAAGACCACCTAACTACAAAACTAAAGCAGGTCTCTGCTCAAAACAAGCTAAACTGTTCAAAATAACAAGACACATCCGACCTCTTAACCACAACACGTCAAAGGGTTCTTAGGTCGTCATGCTCATCCTGATTTTGTAGTGGTCAAAGGTCAAAGGTTTAGCCGCCTAGACATTTATTTTCTTATATGTTTTGGAAATTGTGATCGTTCTGTACGAAACGACCTTTATTGTTAGGAGGAATTACCAGCTACAATAATGAAAATCTAATGAACTATATATAAAGTTCCTAAGGTCTGGTACTCGCTCCATGTTCAAAGGGTTTAGAGCAGCAAGAAGCTTTTACTCATCAATGTCTGTATCACAGAGCCACACGAGAGGATTGGTTTTGCCCGCCGTGCTAGAAAAGCGTAGGCCCAAGCAATGCCCCGAGATTGACTACTCTACCTTGTCGAATTACAGAAGCTTTCAGGTTCAACATTCAACACTGGACTTGCAAATATCGTTTCAAAACCAGAAAATAAGTGGTGACGTGCATTACGACTTGCGCAATCTGGATAACTCGTCGCAAATTCTGCTCGATACGTCTTTCCTAGATGTCTTGAGCGTGAGTATCGACGGAGTTTCTACGGAGTTCGAGGTAGAGCCCAGAAAAGAGCCCCTGGGCTCTCGTCTAGTCGTGCATTCAGCCAAAAAGCTGCCTGAGCAGTTTCAACTCTCTTGCCAGTTTTCCACCACCGAAAAGTGCACTGCCCTGCAGTGGCTAGAGGGCCACCAGACATCGGGCAAGCCATACGTTTTTTCGCAGCTGGAAGCCATCCACGCGCGTGCTTTGTTCCCCTGTTTCGACACGCCATCCGCGAAATCAACTTTCACTGCCAACATCACGTCGCCTTTACCAACCGTTTTCTCGGGCATTTCGACCTCCAGGAAAACTTCTGAGGAGAAGACACAGACCAAGGTGGAGACAGACACAAAGACCTACCATTTCAAGCAAGACATCCCGATTCCAGCATATTTGATTGGAATTGCTTCGGGAGACCTACAGTCTGCGGACGTGGGCCCGCGTTCAAAAGTGTACACAGAGCCCGTTAGACTACAAGATGCGCAATGGGAATTCGATGGCGATGTTGAGACATTCATACAAGCAGCGGAAAACATAATTTACGCGTATGAGTGGGGCACGTACGATATTCTGATAAACCCTAATTCGTATCCTTACGGTGGTATGGAGTCTCCAAACATGACTTTCGCCACACCCACGCTAATCGCACACGATAAAAGTAACGTGGACGTAATTGCACACGAGCTCGCTCATTCGTGGTCTGGTAACCTCGTCACCAACTGTTCATGGGATCATTTCTGGTTAAATGAAGGCTGGACCGTGTACTTGGAAAGAAGAATCATGGGCGCTATTCACGGGGAAGCCACCCGGCATTTTAGTGCTTTGATAGGCTGGAATGATCTCGGCAATTCTATCAACAGTATGAAAAATCCGGACAGGTTTTCTACGCTTGTTCAAAATCTCAAAGACGGAACGGACCCGGATGAAGCATTTTCTACTGTCCCTTACGAAAAGGGCTCCACGTTTTTGATGTACCTTGAGACGCTGTTGGGAGGAAAGGAAGCATTTGACCCGTTCATCAAACACTACTTCCGCAAGTTCGCACGTCAGTCGCTAGATACCTGGCAATTCTTTGACGCGCTGTTTGAGTTCTACGCAGACAAAAGAGCGCTTTTGGAAACCGTAGACTGGGAAAAGTGGTTCTTCACTCCTGGAATGCCTCCCAAACCTGAGCTCATCACGACCTTGGCCGACGACGTTTACGCATTGGCTGAAAAATGGATATCGAAAGCTCAGACTTGTCACAACCAGGCAGATTTTGAAAAATGGTTCTGTGCTGATGACGTAAAGGAGTTCAGCTCCAACCAGATGGTGCTTCTGCTCGACAGTCTGGTACAGGTTGTTCCACAAGCGAAAAGCGAACAGAACGTCACTTTTGACTGGTCGAAAAACAGGGCAGCCGCGCAAGCTCTGCTGGCCATATACCGCGACAAAAGCCTGGACTCAAGAAACGCTGAGGTTGTCTTCCGCACATTTCGCTTCGAGATCATGGCGCGTATGAGTGAAACTTATCCAAAGCTTGCCGAATGGCTGGGAACCGTTGGCAGAATGAAATTTGTGCGTCCAGGATACAGACTCCTGAACACTGTGGACCGTGATCTCGCTGTGAATACTTTTGACAAGCTAAAGGACATATATCACCCGATCTGTAGAGCCATGGTAAAGCAGGACCTCGGTTTATAGCGGTAGCGCGGCTTATTCCCATTGAGTTGACCTTTTATGACGGCTCCCATTCGATTCTCGAGCGGTCCATAATTATCTTAATTCTTCACGCGATCAGTTTTATATAAGAAAAAATACACGGCCATACTTAGAACAAACTTAACTTCCTTCATGTAGTTTATTTACTTACAAGCCACGTCAGAAGACACTCATAGATTGCCTCAACACACTAAGATCTTGGCATATTCTTACCACTTATAAATACAATGAATCAGCTGTCCCAATTATCAGTAAGTTTTATGTCTATTTCAATAAATGCTTGGCGTGGATCGACACACTGCCCTGCCTGTCTGTGTGTTTATTGACGTGTTTTCGAGCGATTCGATGAGCTAACAAGATTGTTTTTTTGAACAGAACTTCTCGCGGTATGCCGACAATTTGTCTGTCGAGCGCATCAAGGCTGAGATGCAGTCGATGCAGAGCAAACTGTCTACCCTGCGTCCCGCCCAGGAGTTTTTCAACGTAAAGAAGGTGTCAAAGCCGCAAAACTTCGGGGAGTTGCAATCGCGCGTTGCGTACAATTTGAGACACTTTTCTACCAACTACGCGTTGATTGTGGGTCTGCTCAGCATCTACACGCTACTCACGAACCTGCTGTTGCTGTTTGTGCTTGTGTTTGTGTTTTTCGGTCTTTACGGTATTAACAAACTGGAAGGCCAAGACCTGGTCACGCCGTTTGGCGCATTCAAGAGCTCGCAACTGTACACGAGTCTCATGTGTGTTGCCATCCCTCTTGGGTTTTTCGCCTCGCCCTTCACCACATTGATGTGGCTGATTGGTGCGTCTGCCGTGTCTGTGCTCGGCCACGCGTCTTTTGTGGAGAAACCTATCGAGACCGTTTTTGAAGAGGAGACCGTCTGAAGCGCAAGCGTAGCAGAGTGGTGTAAGATTATTCTAGACTAATTCAAGATCAAATACGTATAAGTTTCCGACGACGAAGACAGTACTTGATGGTCAAGATCTTTATAAGTACTTTGCGTCGAAACCGGAAATTTCGGCGGAGAGCTATTTCTCTGCCGGAAAAACTCTACTCGCGAATATGCGTACATCGACCTCATCAACGTCATCAACTTCATCGTCTGTAACCAAGGTCTTTCAATCCTATGATCAACGCTAGATTTCTTGTTCATCACGACTGAACACTCGGGTAGATCGATTTAAAAAATCACAGATACGGTCTTTTACCCAGTTCTCCACCCGTTCATCTACTCACTTCTCGACTCACACCCCGTCTAAAATGACTCTTTATCTCAAATCAACAATAAATTACATTTGGCTCTTCTCGTCACCCTAAATCTCAAAATATCCAAATCTGTCAAACTCGCGCATCGCATCAAAACGAACCCACAACAGCAACCCAATCAACCGTTTATCCATTTAAGTATCTCCGAAATCCATCTTCAAAGGGATGGGTAGTTCTGGCGGTACGTTCAAGCCCGAAAGAAATGTGATGATATCATTATTTGGCGCTGAATGCTCGGAATGGCCCTTCTCGGACTCGACGCTAATGCACGCTTTGGCGTTCAAAACGCAGCAAGAAAAGACCAAACAGCAATTCTACAGGCTAGAATGTGTGAATCGGTCGATCGAGCTGCTCAAAACGGCCATGAGGGCCAACGTGCCGGGCCCAATGATCGCACAACTATTCCAAGGATCAGGATCGGGAATTGATGCGTTGTCGAGCGCAGGAGCCAATTCTTCGCAGCAACCGAGTTCCAATGCTAGCGGTGGGCACGAACGCAACCCGCAGGACTCGTCGCTCACGGATTCGCTCACAGAGTCACATTTGGAATCGCATACAAGTCCACGCACGAATTCCGCAATGCGAAGACCGCCAAGCGTGGGATCGGCACCACTCAACTATAGCTTCCCGCCAGTAAACGGCTCTGGCGTCACTAGCATGCATCGCAGGACCAACTCGCCGGCGAGAATAGGTGCTGCTGCCGTGGCAACGCTGGACGAACACAACCATCTGAAAGAAGAAGACAAAGACGACTTGCCAGAGGCTGTTTCGCTACCCCGATCTTACCACATGAGCAATCGCTCTCCCCTGCAGTTTCACTCGCATCGCAGGAATTTCTCGGTTCCGCTCGCAAGGCCCACTGATCTTTCACCACAGGAACCTCCCGCACAATTTCCATACAGGAAACCTCACAACCCAATGACCTCAGTGATAAACTTCGGCTCGTGGCAAAGCTACGATCCGGTCCCACCTTCCACCATGAGACGCTCAGGCTCCATAAGGAAGCACAGAAAAACAAAATCTGCGAACATAACGCCAAATTTCGGTGTCATAGACATGAATGTTGCCAACCAGGTTCGTCTTCCAGAATTAACTGAATCTCATGACTTCTACGCACCCAAGGACAAAAATCGGGTGAAAGATGAAAACGGATTCGACGACCAACAGACCTGTAGTGAGCATAGCAGCCGCGAATCAACACCTATACCTCAAGTGACAAAGGGCCCCAATTTTGCCAATAATTTGCTGAATAGTTAAATATTTGTGAAATTTACATTGATACATCCCTACAGCTTGTTATGATAAATCAACTCTCTCGGGCGCTGGTTCCGCCATTTTGCAGATATTCCTGCTCGGCTAAAAATTCCATTTCTTTAATTGTTAAATTTTCCCACGCTACTTGGCCAGTAGTCTCATCAACTCCACAGACACAATCAAAATCAACGTCCTCTTTCTTTGTTTGGTTCAATTCATTCTTAAGGGTAATCGCCAAGCTTCTGATCACACTTTCACTGCCCTCGGAAATGAACCACGCGCATAAATCATCTATCAAAATGGTGTTGTAAACGTAGTACACGTCGTGAAACCGGAAAACCTCATGAATATCTAGCAATGCTTGAATGACCAGCCTCTTCCCACCGCGAAGAATGTAGTAAACGTAGTCCCACACTTTCATGGACAGCTGGTAGTTTCTGTGCAGCGGGTAGCTCAAGCTTCTTCTAATTCCAGTAATAATAATTGCCTTTACAATTGAGACTTTGCCCAAGTCATCGGGAAGAACGATTTGCTGATCCAAAAACGAAAGTTGAGGGGCCAGCTTGCCGATCGTCCAGCCCGATTCCGTACTATGTACGCCCTCGTTTTCAGTTTGCTCGAAATTATACGCAAAGAGAAGCGATAGAATGGTCAAGTATAGCCTTTTAACATCGTCGACGAGGTAAGTTTTCTTGGGCAAATTTTCCCTCATTTGTTGTTGCTCCTGCTCAGAAAATTCGACATCCACAACTCCGTCCTTGTCCTCCGCATGTTTGTACCACTTGAGAAATTTCTTGGTTAGCGGTGGTGTAAACTTTAGGATTGTGTGGATTCCATTAATTTCTGCATCTTCCTGATTGTCGTACTTAGACGTCATATACTCAGAAACGTAATATTCCGGATCGAACTTTAAGTTTTCCTTGCGCAATCTTTCCTGAACCCGCTCGTCACTATTGCATTTATCGGGCTGGTCCAGTTCGTTTATATCGTTACCATTGGCTATGGAAACGCCAATGGCTGTATCATATTTATTGTCGAAGCCATACTTCGGCTTCAGAAGACTGGCAGCATCGTACACTGGTTGAGGCATCTGCTTAATCTCCCAATCGAACTCCTCGCCTTCGTTTATGTCTGTTCTTGTTTGCGAGTTGTCTAGTCCCTGTGCCTTCGCGCCTGTGGCATCTTCTCGGAGAGAAGAAACCTCCTGAATAAGTGGACCCTTCCGTGGCATTTCTGCAGTGTTTATGTTGTCGGCACTGATCAGGTCTCCCTGTCTTGCCAGAAGTTTTGTCGGCAGATCTAGGTCTTCGAAAAACTCGCCTCTATTTACCTTCGGAATTTGAATATAAATGCTCTCGTCTTGCGATTTGAACTCCGCTTTGCATCTCTCATCATCTACCAGGCTTTGAGCAAACCGAAGTCTCAAATAGTAGGGCGACAGGTTGAATATAAACAGCGTGTCGTCAACAACCATTTCAACACCAGAAGCACTAAATCTGACGCTAGCTATGCTAATACATATACGAACAAATTTCTCATCCTGAGTAACACTGAATTTGGGCGTTAGCATGGTCAAATGGTCCTTCTTGAACTGAAACCTGTTCGATTTTATATCTGGATGTTGGGTGGTCAATTTTTCAATAAAGTTGACGATGAGATGAGATGAGATGAGATGAGATACTCAGAAGAATAAAAAATGTGGAAACATAACTAGAACCAAAGTTCACAAGAAATAGCTTCCATATCACTTCCAATACGATCGAATTGTAGTGTTTGGTATATATAAATGACGTCTGGAGAAAGTGAAACGGTTAAGAAGCCCAGAAGAAGGTTTGTTGGCACCAAAAGTGGCGAAAGCGTCAGCACTATAAAAAACGAGCAAGGCAACGAAATTGTGGCGAAACCCAGAGCGAGGACTAATGTGAGACGTGCTATCAACCAAATCCCAGATGAGATCTTGCATGATGAAGCTTTGAATGAAGCCATCAAATTGCTGCCGTCAAACTACAATTTCGAAATCCATAAGACCGTGTGGAATATTAAAAAACATAATGCGACGAGAGTCGCTCTTCAGATGCCAGAAGGGCTTTTGATTTATGCTCTAGTGATAAGCGACATTCTAGAACAGTTTTGCAACTGCGAAAGCGTGGTTATGGGCGATGTTTCTTACGGTGCATGCTGTATCGACGATTTTACGGCCAGGTCTTTGGACTGCGACTTCATCGTGCACTATGCCCACTCCTGTCTCGTTCCCATCGATCTCACACAAATCAAGATCCTGTATGTTTTTGTGACCATTAATATCGATGAAACTCATCTCATCAAGACCCTGCAAAAAAACTTCGCTAGTGGCTCAAGGATAGCCACGTTTGGTACCATTCAGTTCAATCCAACAATTCACAGCATCAAAGAAAAGCTTTTAAATGCCGACAACGTTCTTTACGTCATTCCACCTCAAATAAAGCCCTTGTCAAGAGGAGAGGTCCTTGGCTGCACTTCCCAAAGGTTGGAAAAGGACCAGATCGATGCAATGGTCTACATAGGAGATGGAAGATTTCATCTGGAAAGTGCAATGATTCACAACCCGGAAATACCTGCTTATCGCTACGATCCTTATAGCCGGAAATTTACCATAGAGAGGTACGACCAGAAACAGCTGGTGCAAGTGAGAACCGATGCTCTTAATATCGCTAAGAAGGGCAAAACTTTTGGATTGATTTTAGGCGCTTTGGGTCGTCAAGGAAATTTGGCGACGGTGAACAATCTTGAGCAAAAACTGAAAGCAGCGGGTAAGACGGTGTGCAGAATTATCTTGAGTGAGATTTTCCCCCAAAAACTGGCCATGTTTGATGACATTGACGTTTTTGTTCAAGTGGCATGTCCAAGGCTATCGATAGATTGGGGATATGCATTTAATAAACCACTTCTCACACCCTATGAGGCCAATGTCCTACTAAAGCAGGACCGTATGTTTAGTGAGGAATACTACCCTATGGACTACTACGAGGCAAATGGCTATGGTCGCGGTAAAATTCCGTCTCATTAGTGTGAGTCAAACAGAGAAAGAGATATTTATCAGTTTAGACCAATTAATGTGTCAAATTCTTGTTCGGTGAAATTAAGGATAGAGGCTAATTCTTCCTCAGAATCGGGGTATAAGTGTTCTAACGTCTTTTTGAAAACAGCGTAGAATTTTGATAGGTTGCCAAGACAGCCTGAAGAGATGCGATCCGCTATTCTAGGGGAAACTATGTTGAAAGCAAAGTTCTCTTGAATCTCATTCGAAATTTCCGGCAGGTGGTTATTCAGTTTCTGGTGAACATTGGTTTGTATCGTTTTTTTATCCATGATTGGATTTTCGCCAGCTGGAAAGTACATGTCGTAGTCCAGTTCGTCTTCTACAGAGTCGACGGGGAAAATCATATTTAAAAGACTGTTGTAAAGACCTAGGCCCAGTTTCTCAAATAATTCAGCCGTTTCTAACGCAATCAAGCTCTTAATCGACTGTTCCAAATGAGAATTGATACGGTCGTATACTAGGTCGGACCCCACAGCCTCTAAAACGCTGCTTCGATAAGGCAACAGTCTAGTCAGCAACAAATCTAAGCAATTGATTTCGAAGACCAACATGGGTATTTTCTCCTTTCGGTTTTTCTTCGCAAGAGGAAATCTAGCCTGTTGATATTCGGAAAGCTTTCCACTGACTAGCTGGCCAACTGTTCTGTCCAGAAAGCTAGAGTCCACCACATTGTCTGAGCCTTCAAGACTTCCGCTTTTTTCAAGCTTGGAAAAGAATTCACAAAGGAGACTAACGTACTCAGAAAACCAGTCTGGTGGAAGGACCTCGGTTGCAGTTTCGAGTTCTTTTTCAGAAAATTCCATCAACTTCACTAAACCGACCAGAATTTTCTTGCCCGCGCTTTCTTTCAAGAGGTCAAGCTGCTGTATTAACGAGGAATCGGGTAGAATTCCATATTTAATGAACATCATTTTGTATAATTTCAACAACTCGCTGATGTCGAAATTTACCAATGGATCATCTTCAAATCTTATAATTTGTTCCAGTCGTATTCTGATGGAGTTTTCTGATGGTTTGAAAGTTTCGTTTAGCAGTCTAACGCCCAAGCCATTTAGAAATTCGCCATTTTCCTGGAGGACTGATTTCGGAGTCCCTTGGATGTTAAGCGTCTGAAATTTGAACATGGAGTTCATAAAGTCTGCTTCGTCAACTATAAGCGAGTGAACATTGGCAAGAACGTCACCTAAGTAGCGGACAGGATCATGGGCAGACATTATGATTGGTTTTGAGCCCCTAGAAGAATCAAAATCAAACTGAGACAAAAACTCATTTAGTACTCGTTGAGACCTTAGCTTGACAATTTTCTTTAGAACTTCATTGAAAAGTGATAGATCATTTGACAGGTATATCATGCTTCTCTGGAATGTCAAGAGACTTTTGTCGTCGGATGCAAATGTACGTTCACCAAAAGTTTTGAAGCCAGAATGCAGATCGTGAAAAAAATTGACAAGGTAGTAGTAAATACGCTTGTTGGCTTTTTCAATCTTGGAATTAATTTGTGCTAGAAGGGTTTGCCCTGCTTTGGGGTTTTCCAAGGAAAGAAGGTAAGAAGACGCTTCTTTAATTGCCATTAACTTGTTGATCACTTCAAAAAGTTCAGCTTCAATCGAGGCATTGACTAGAGTTTCTTCTTCCACTTGAGTCAGTGTGAGTTTATCACGAATCGCGACAAGCAATTTTTTTTGGATATGCAGCTGCTCGATGTTTTGGCGTAGTCCGTAAACTGTTTTCATGTCTAGGTTCGAGTCTGTAGTGTTTTGGGAGGTGTTCTTTAGGATTGATTCACCAATATCTTGCAAAGACTTGACGGGTTGAGACAGTCTTTTGACGCGCCTGACGATCGGCTTGATCTCTTCTATGATGGTCAAATGGGACCGCAGTAGTTCATTCTCCAGATCACTTCTTAGCGTTTTTCTAGCTAGAGACCCGACATAATCGGGGCGAACAACGGTCTTGCTTTTAAAATTGAGACGTTCTTCGTTGTCCTCTAATATTTTGAACGATTTTCGCAATTGAATATCTGTTAGGTGACACGCACTATTGTTGTTTAGCACACGGGATAGTTTTTTCGAGAGCAAGAGATCTGCGTCATTTGCAGCACTTTCTGAGTTTTGTAGCAGCTGCTTCAGATTGTCGCCCCTAGGCAATGTGCCCTTCGAAGAGGTTGGCAAGTCTGAACCTGAGTATCGAGGTAATTCGGCGGACGACAATAGCTCGAGAGACATAGACGCATACTTCTGCATTTTATCTTGTAAGTTTTCGCTAACATTATCTGACAAGGAACTTGCCTTTAGGTTAGGCAGCTGGAAGTTCTTTTCGAGAGCTGCTAGTGACTGTTGTGACTGGAGTTTGATCCTGGACGCCGGCTCCGAAAGTGTCGAGTCATTGGCACCTGTCTCACCCAGACCATAGGTCTGGTAATCGAGAAAGTCCATCTTGAAGCACTGATATTTGGAAGCTAAAGATCTTACAAGAAATCAGAAAGCTCGGCGACCTCTTTCAAAATACTGATTTATGCCGCCAATTTGTTGGCACGTGACACCAAAGAAATGCCAGAGTTGGATCTTGACAGGTCTGGCTAAGTGTTGGATTCCGATAGTTTTGCATTTTCCATATAAATGTACTGGTTTCTTATGCCAAGGATCGAAGACGTTAGTTCCCCTTTCTTTCAGTGTTAAAAATACCAAGAACTCTATAATGGTTGGTTTGCATTAATCAGGGATATTTAGGAGACGTACCTTTACTTTGAATGTGCACGGTGTTATTTCATCTCATTTGAAAATACTCGGTAGTGCTCAGAAGCTTCAAAGGATTAGAGTGATCCCAAACTTTCATGCTCTGATGGCATGACAGAAACGAAACCTGACGCTGTAAATGACCGACATAATAGTACAAAGTGACATCAACAGTAATTTATGTCGGACCTTGTTGTGATTTGGATCTGAAGCTCTAACCAGCACGCCACGCTATACAGAGTATTAACAATGGTAGTTTCGCTTTTAGTAATTGTTTCTACATCAAATGCGATTATTTCTAAATGATGAGATTTTGGGATCTTTTCTCCCGATGTAAAACAGTGTCTAATGACTTAATAGCAGGTCAATAGATGTTTTCGGGCAACAAAGTTCTTTCGCCGGTAGATGGTTGAATCACAGAAATGAGGAATGACAAAAACAACAACCTTGACTGATCTGCTCTTGAGAGTGGCTCCTTGCCACGAAAAAAATTGTTACAACAAAGGAAAAATAAATGTCATTTAATTCAACTAACTAACTATTGAACACCAACCCGAAAGTCATCCTTACCTGAGGAATTCGACTTATGTGATGGTTGCTGCTCTTTGAAGACTGGAATGTTTCTGGGATGGTACATGACCTGCATGCCAACAGGGTAAGAGTACTTGTGTCCGTGGGAATTGTAGAAATGGGCAAAGCTATTCGGGGCGGTTGGGTTCGAATGAACGTTTTCCATCGATGAATGTGAGGCATCGGCCAATTGGGGACGTGCGCCAAATGCAGAAGAGGAACTCGAAGTTGCCACGAAATTATTCGAGTAAGAATTGTTGATTGGATTCACACCATGAAAATTGGGTGCCTGTGGCATAGTGCTATAGCCTGGAGACATGGGAGGGCTGAAATAACGAGTATCGGTGGTCAAAGGAGATGATAAAAAATGTTCGCTGGAATTGGTGCTTGCGTTACTTCTCCCATTGGTTTTGTTGATGATGTAAGTAGCCGAGCTTGGTGGTGAGGGATAATTATGTTCCAACGAGTCCAGCAGAGGTCCGATCGGAGGTAGCGGTTGGTACTGATATGGGTGTGCGGGTTTTTGCGGAGTCGAAAACCCGGGACTCCAGGAAGAAGCTCTGTTTCGGTAAAACGGGGAAACTGGAACCGGTTGTTTTGAACTTTGAGGACTTATATTGTTACGGGAGAGTTTCAAAAGGTTCTGAGAGGCATCGAGCAACTCAGCATCGACGCGGGGTCTTTTCAGCGAGTTTGAGACTGAAAGATTCAGTCTTTGGGGTCGTTCGCGCACGGTGGTGGTAACAGCGGGCGACGAAGCTGTCTGTGCAGAAACGGCCGCGGACGACGATTTGGGTGGAAACAAACCTACAAAAGATTTGTACCAGGTTTCGCAGTCATGTGGGAACTCCGGGCCAAAAATGGGCACTAGCAGGTATCTAATGGGGAAGCAGAAGCGTACGCAAATGGCTTTGGTGAGTTCAAAGGGCAGCCAAGTGCCCTGGATCTTGATGTAGCCGCCGCGAATGCGTTTCATGAGATCTTGGAACTCGAAATCGCGGGTGGGATGGTAAGTATCGCGGTAGAGCTGGCACAGACTTTCCTTGAAATGCGTATCGAGGTTGTGCCAGTGAATATCGGAGTAATGGGGCGAGGAGGAGGCCGAGGAGGCTGCCACGGAGGGCGTTTGCGCCGCAGCAGACGTGGCAGCAGGGTTAGCGGCGTAGGAAGAAGAAGAAGAAGAAGAAGCAGAGGTGCTGGAATGGCGATACCCACGCTTGGAGGTTGGTTTGCGACGAGAAAAGTGAGCGTCCGAGTCCACGGGCTGGGGTTGCTCGTACAGACACTTGGAAAGCACGTAGTCGAGCTCGAGTTGGCAGTGGGCTTTGCGATCAAAGCCCTGGGTATCGGGCCGATCCAGCGAGACCAGTGCATGCATGACATCCTGGTATAGACGCCAGATCCCGGTGAAGAAGACGTAGCCCGTGTGGTGGTCCCACAGGACGCAGTTGTTAGGGTTGATGGCGCTCGAGACGCGCTGGTCCGAGTACTGGATCTGTCGCAGACGGAACTGCTGGTTCTTGGTGAGCGAGTTGAGGTCGCCACTGGCGGTGGTGGCCGTTGCGGGGACGTCGCGGGACGGACTCGCCGTACTCGTCACGTGGGCTGTTGAAGATGTTGACGACGACGACGACGACAGCACGTCTGGGAACATGTATTCCGAGCAATCGAGACCCGCACGGGTCGGGGTAGTAGCTGTGGACGCTGCTGATGCTGCTGATGCTGTTGTTAGACCCGAGATGGCCGACGACGCCGCCGCCGTCGATAGCACGTCGTGGAAACTTTGCACGGCGCACGTGCGGTACTGCGCGCGAGTCACGTGCAGAGGCGGCTCCGTGTTTTCTTCTTCTCCGCCGCCGCTGCCGCCGCTGCCCGCGCTCTCGAGCCACGTGCGCTGGTAGTCGTCGACCGGGTTTTCCGAGAGTCGCACTCGGTCGATGCGAAGCTGGTGTTCTGGATACATCGTGGTGTGGTGTGGTACTATGCTATGCTATGGCACGCCCTACTTACTAGCTATACTATATTTCCGGACCTGCTGTCCTTAAAACCCTGACACAACTCACGTTGTTGTTGTTGCTGTTGTTGTGATTTGTTACTTGTGAATTGTTATTTGTTGGTTGAGGTTAGGTGATGATGTTGTTACAATTCCCACCACCTCATCCTATCAGCGCTTCTTGCCGCCTTTATATAACTGCATGGGGGCAACCGGGTCATCTGTGTCAACTGGGTCAACTCCAAGGTGTCATTCTGAGGCACCCCCTGCCCCTTTGATGTGGCGAGCGCAGACGGCGCCGTGGGGTGTCAACACCGCTCTAGAAACCACGGAAGAAAACCCAAACACAAAAAAGCGCCCACGAGACAAAGGCTAAACCCCATTTAAAATGTGAGTGGGGAGTGCCTTTGTGCTCAGAAAACGGGGTGGCGGCGCCTGCGGCGCCTTCGCCCTTTAGCCCTGTAACCATGGTGTCAACGTGCTGTAATGCATGCCGTTGCATGATCTGTGCATGTGAAAGTGCAGCGTTCCAGGCCCTTTCTCCCGGTCGTTGTTGGCAACCGGGCCGTTTTTCGTCTGCTCAAGCGGAGTCACGTCAGAAATTGCCAAACGTCGGAGAATTGGGGTGACAGTGACTCGGGCTGGAGCGAGCGAGCCAGGGCAAGGGCAGGGCAAGAGCAAAGAAGAGGAACTAACTACAAGCACAGTTGAACGATTGAGAGCGTAAGCGTAGAATGGCAGTAAGCACAACTGAACAGTTAAGAGCGCTAGCGATTAACTGGGAATAAGTAGAGAACTCGTAGCCATTACTGAATATTTGGGAGCGTCAGCGATCAGGTGGAATAAGTAGATAACTCGAAGCCACTACTGAATATTTGGGAGCGTCAGCGATTAACTGGGAATAAGTAGAGAACTCGAAGCCACAACTGAACAGTTAAGAGCGCTAGAGAACTCGTAGCCATTACTGAATATTTGGGAGCGTCAGCGATGAACTGGGAATAAGTAGAGAACTCGTAGCCATTACTGAATATTTGGGAGCGTCAGCGATCAGGTGGAATAAGTAGATAACTCGAAGCCACTACTGAATATTTGGGAGCGTCAGCGATTAACTGGGAATAAGTAGAGAACTCGAAGCCACAACTGAACAGTTAAGAGCGCTAGAGAACTCGTAGCCACTACTGAATATTTGGGAGCGTCAGCGATGAACTGTCAAGAAATTTGGTGCTACAAGCATCAGCGGTCAATTGTGAGTAACTTTGGAAATTACAAGCACAACTGAACAACTGAGAGCGTTAGCGATCGATTGTGCATAGTTACTATGGCTTTAATTACTGCTGAGCGCGCAATGGTGAATATGTATAGAGCTCGTAGTATTACTAGCCCTCCCACTATTGAGCGTAGCCCTCCCACTTATTCACAATTGAGGGCATCAGCGATGCAGAGACGTTTTGATCTGACTGTTTCTCGTGAGCAAGCAATTGTGAAAAAATTGAGGACTAGTAGTACTCCATGACCAGCTGAGGGCGTTACAAAACATGTGTGATTAACTATGGTGGCTTTGAGCACAGTCGAATAATTTAGAGCGTGAGCACTCAATTGTAGACAACTCGAATGGTCTGAAGCACTGCTAGGCAATTTGTGCTTACGCTCTTAATTTAAAACAATTTCAATGGCGAAAAGCTCTACCGAACGAATGATTGCATACGCTCTCAATTGCGAATAAGTAGAGAGGATTCATCATTTTTGCTTTTCAAAATCGATCACTGACGCACTCTCTTGTTTTAACAGTGCTTGGGAAATGTGTCGCTATGCTCTAAATCGCCCTACACTGGTTTTGGCTTTTCAAGATTCACGAGTACATTAGCAAGTACATCGAACGTCTTTCTATGATTACAAGCACACTTGCACAATTGAGAGCATTAGCGATCAAGGTTTAGAAGCATGAAACAATCGAGAGCGTTAGTGATCGATTGTGAATGGATTTGATAGCCAATTGAGAGCCTCAGGCTACAAATATTATAGATTAGTTCATATATATATATATATATACGATAGAAGCCTGCTTCGTAAAATTGGAGAAGGCAAGGAGCATTATTGACCAATTGAGGGCTTCAGCGATCACATATGACAAACTTTGGTGATCACATCGCTTGCGCTCTGACTTTTGAAGAACTTTGGTAGCTCCAGTCACAATTGAGCAAACTTCGTTAACCACATCGTTGACGCTCTCAATTGTGAAGTGTTTGGGGCTTTTGAACAATCGCTGTAAGCATTATACTTTCATTAAGAGCCCGAGGCTACGAGCGATGAATTGCCAATAATGGGAAGAGCTTAAAGCACTACTGAGCTATTGAAAGTTTTAGTTGATTTTGAAAAATGACTTGAAGCACTTGTAATCTTACTTAGAAAGAGCAAGAGAGCTTGAAGTATAACTATCACTGAGATCTCGTGGTACCACTACCACTGAGAGCTTGTAGCATGCCCTAACAGTCTATGGCCGAGGCACCGTTGTACAAAATTAAGGGGAGGGGGGGGGGGGGNGGGGGAGG